AATAGGGTAGTGCCTATTATTTCGAATTATAATATACATAAATCTATTATTCGTAATATAGGCGTAGATACTTCCCCCTACTTAAAGAAAGGTTTACTAATTACTTAATACTTATAGGTTAAAGAGATACTCTACTCTAGAGAGTAGATCAGCGGTATAAGTAACTTAGGTATTTACTCGCGATTTTACTAGAATTATTAACCTCTCTATACATCTAACTATCACATTAACCCTAGGCATCTTAGGTATAACCTATATACAGGCCTCTACGCCCTTTACTATACTAGATATAATAGCCCTTTTATAGACATTAATATTCATTTTCTCTTAGTTAATAATATCTATTCTAATTAATATTTTAGAGGCGAGATTATCTATAATATAGTATTTACGGTTAGTTTTAATAAGTACACTCTAGCTATCTAGCTTCGCTAGAAACTAGATATCGATAAATATAATTTTATAGTAAGATATTATATTACCTCTAACTCCTTAAATTCTAGTAGAATTCTCTAGCTTAATAATTAGAGCGGTTAGAGCGATATCTCTTAAATACCTTCTATTTATAGCTGCGAGCAGGTAGCTTATATTAATATAGTAGTCTTTGTCTACTAATTCTAGCGTAAGGCAGCCTTTAATTATTATGTATTTATACTATTAAAATCCTTAGCTAGGTTTAGCAGTAGATAGAGGGGCTATTAATTCAATAACTAGTAGTAGTAAGTCTACTTAGATCTAGAATATTAGTATCTCTAGTAGCTAAATAGAGAGTTAATAGTTTTACTTCTTAAAGACTAGGTAAATATACTAGTACAACTTATTCCCAGAGTTAAAAGTAGAGCTATAGGTAAGATATATATAAATAAGGGGTGTCTTAGACGTTATTAGCGTAAGTAGAATTAAAGTTAGCTTTAGTATAACTACTAGAGGTAGTTAGTAGGATTTAATAAAACTTATAAAGGCTCCTTCTAACTTAAACCCATTATCTCTAGTAATTACGTTAGAGAGAGGGTCGTTATTATAGTCCTCTACGTTCTAGACTAAGATTTCTTTTTAATTAGAAGAATACTTCGCGTTATTAGCTAGATTCGCGTTAATATAGTAGGTTCCTATAGACCTCCTCTAGTTTCTACTAGTATTCTTAGTTAAATTATTCCTTAGCTTATTTGGCTGCTAGTTACCTTACGGCTTATTAGAATAGCTAGAGGATTAGGTCGCTTAGCTACCTTACTTTAGCTTATTTCCTAAGGTAATATATAGGCGCTCTATTATTATTATATACCTCTTACTTACGCTTAGCGGTTATTACTATAGGGGGTTAGGTTTTTAGGAGTAATTATATTAAGTAGAAGGGTTAGGGCGTTAATTAAAACTCTTACCCTAGCCTTATTTATTACTCTTATACCCGTTTAATTTATTCTTACTTAAGTTTCTTTCCTTATTATACCGAGACTACTATTAATAGATATCTTTCTAGGTCTCTTTCTTTCATTTAAGCTAATTAATTAAGTCTTCTATAGTAGTTAACGGTCTAAGCTATTAGAGGGTAAGCCTAAGCACTAGATTAATATAATTCTAGACTTAAGCTAGTTATCTTTTAGTAGCCTTAATACTCCTATTTCTTAAATTATAAATTACTAATAGAACGAATTCGGCGATTAGGTAGTCGTTTTAGATATTTTAAGGCGTATAGTATTTATTTTTTAAAGCCTTCTAAGCTATAATAGAGCGCTTCTTATACTTATTAGTTAAGTATTCGATCTAGCGTTTAATTCTATTACTATTAGTTAGATACTTACGCTATATTAGGGAGAGTTAATTAATATACTATTATTAGGCGGAGCTATATAAGTACTTATAGAGGTTCGTGTAAATTACTTTAGCTAGATAGAAGATACGAGCATTCTTCACTACGTTAATAAAGGGGTAGACGCTTTAGTAGTAGATCTTTCTATTCTTATTAATAACGTCTCCTTCTAGAAACTCCTTAGTATCTAGATCCGGATTAAAAAAGCCGATATCTTTAGGGAAGAAACACTATTAAGGTTAGTAGTCTTCTTCCTCCTTCTCTATATTAGGTATTAGGTAGGGTTAATAGTATAGTTCTTCCTAAGTGCGTTTTAGCCTTTTAAAAGCCTAGTCTAGTAGAGTTAGAGCTATTAGTAGTTCGGCTAGGGTACTAAGCCCTACTTTAGCCTCTCTTATACGTTAATTCCTCTTAAGCTATTCCTAGTTAATAGACTCTTAAGTAGAGTTAATTACTTACTATAAGAGTAGCTATATTACCTAGATCTATTAAGAGGTAAAGGCTAATAGTACGTCTTCTACTAGAGGGATATTATAGTTAAGTTCTTCCTCTCTTAGAATAGACTTAGTAGAAGAGGAATAATAAGGTGGAACTATTATCTCTTACATTATTAGGGGTATTATATATTAGTACGTGGGTTAGTTCTAATCTTCAGTCCTCTATAGAGCCTTATATAAGGCTTAAGTAATAGTTAGGGCGTCGTCCTAAACTAATTAGTTCTTTAGTAATAACTTTAATAGGGGAAGGGGTTCTCTTAGGGCTTAGAAGACATCCTTATTAATTAGTTAATACTTACGCTCGAAGTCTTTCCTTAGCGCGGATAGTTCCTCGAAGGCTCTTAATAAAAGAGAGGTAGAGAGTAGGAATAAGTCTGTTATTACTAGTATAGTAGCGTTAAATAGAATAATAGGTTGCAAGGTTCCTAATCTATAACCTAGCTAGAAACCTAGAGGTGCTAGCATAGCTAGAATAGTTAGGGTTAAGGCTATAGAAGTACTATTAGTTTTAACTAGATAGTGTCTTTCTAGTATTCCCCTAGGGGTTAGTTTATTATCTTACTTCTAGGCTAGGTAGGAAGGGAACTCTTTAATGAATTAGATATCTCTTTAGAACTAATAGAGGGTAAGATTAATAAAGTATTTACTATTAATACTAATTATCTAGTTAATTAGGTAGCTTAGTCCTCTAGTCTATTCTTGGATAGCCTTATCGAATATTAGAGGGAAGGGAAAGTAATTAATAATAAAGTCTTAGAGCTTATCAACTTTTTCTTTTATAATAATAGACTTATAGCTTAGAATCTCTTCTATGAAGGCTTAAATATAGTATATAGTCCTAATAGTAGCTGTGGGTAGATCTAGAGGAATCTCTATTAAGGTAACTAGCTTAAAGGCTTACTAGAATAATAGGGTTCTGTTAACTTAAGACGATAATAGGGTAATACCTTAAGTATTAAAGGAGATAGAAGTAAAAATAGGAGTTAAGAGGAAGTAAGAGAAGAGAGGAAAAGAAAAGAAAGAGGGGGAGTATAGGTTAGTTAGTAGTAAGATAGGTAGATTTAGTATATTGCTAATAAGAAAGGATCTAGCCCCTAGCTTAATTCCTAATTAATAGGTTGGACTATAGTTACTTTTTAGATAGAGCCTAGTAAATAAGGTTAGATTAGAAAAGGCCTAGAACTATTAGTTAATTAAGGTTGCAATAGTAGTATAGCAAACTATATAGTAGCTAGTAAGTATTAAAATAAATTAAACCTAGTTAGTATCTTATTAGTATAACTATAAAGAGCGCTACTAGATTAGTATAACTATAAGGGGCGCTAGTTTAGTAGAGTTAGTACAACACTTTAGTTAGCTTACTAAATATAGTGTGGAAGTCTTTTAGCGCTATATAGTAATAGCTAGTAGAATTAATTAAATAGTTGAATTCTATAGTATACTTTTTAGCTACTATATATTATAATTAGTTCTAGGAACCTCTAAATAGTTGTGAATATATAATTAATTAAGTAATAGTCGCGTTATCTTAACGCGACCGACTATATACCTATTATTTAGTTAGCTCTTACTATTCAGGCTACTTTACTGTAGCCTAGATCCGTGATAGCTTAAGCTATAAGTTAAGTAATATATTTAGTCGCTTTAGTATATATAATAACTACTATATTATACTATTATGTAAGATTCTTAAGTTACTCTTTAAAGGTGCTACTATAGATACTTATCTTATTAAACTAGTTCAAGAGGTTAGTAAAGAACTAGTACTAGATATTAGAGTTTTTTAAAACTTCTATAGTAAGCGCTATAGGTGAGTTAACGGCTATAGGAGCTTATAATATATTAGAGGTATCGCCTATAGATATAGACGCTTTAGCGAAGGTAAAAGAATATATAATAGGCTATAGCTAAGCTATAATAGGAGGTAATTAGTTAGTATAATATAATATTATAATATAGGAATGCTTAATACTAAAACTTGATTTATTAGAGTAATATATAAGATATTATATAAGGTTAAAAGGTGTAGTAAGGAAAATAGAAAGATAACTCTATAAGTAGAGTATATAATCTAGTTATATAACTCTCGAATAACTAAAGATTCGAATACTAAGGAACACTAAATTTAAATCGTAATAATACTACTACCTATACACACGGTTTTTATAGTATTTTATACTTTTCTATTATATATCTATTAAATTAAATCTAGATAAATACTAATATAATAGCTATAGCTATACTATATCTTTTAAGAGTATTTAATTATATTCTAAGTATTGAATTGTTATATAAATATAGTTTTAGTCTTTAATAATCGAGGGGGGGGGGAAATAGATAAAGTTTATTTCTAAGCGGCCGCACATTTTGCAAGCGACAGTAAAAAGATGAAAGCAGGCAGTTTTACCACCTTCCCCACAACCCTTCATGGCCAAACCAATTCAGCCTGCTCAATATTTATCCCCGCCTCCACCGAAGCGGTGCAGGACGGGATGTCTGAGGTGTCGTGTCAGAAGGCGGAAGTGTAGGCTAACCCCTGTTCGTGAGGGCCTGGAGCTGCCAAGCAGCCCGCTGTCTGGGAGAGCGCTCATCATCATTTCCCTCTCTAGGTGACGAAGGCAAACCGCGGTGTCAGAATTGCATCGATAAAAGTTTTGAATGTCAATACAGATCGCAGTTGACCTTTCTTGAGAAAAATGCCTATACCGTTTTACCAGCTGACGCAGCCGCCGCCGCAATATCCTCACGATACACCAACCTCTGCGTAAGCTGTCAATGCCTATACTGGCACCAATGACTCCTGAACCCGCATTTACCAGGCCTACAGTTCGTCAATGAGGAGCCTCAGAGAGACGTGCAAGATGCTACAGCGCCGGGAGACGCAACGTCAGTGAGCGAGGCCAACTCTGACACGCGAAGCGGTCAAGCTATAGATGAAGCAATTCTTCCGCAAAGCGACAACTTGATAGCCCAGCAAGTCAGCCCAGAGTACGAATACGATGGCCGCTACGATGACAATGATACGAGTGTTGCTGCTTGGGACCCTGCTGTCCCGCAAGAGCGGCACACGAACTGTCAAGCCGATGCAGCATTCCAGCAGGCGGGCATGGTGCTGGGCGACCGCTATGAATTTGCTGTCCGTGGACTGCTTGCATTAGGTACAGGAAATGGGGCGAGCTTGATGGCTCCTTCGAACATCCCCAACTCGTCGAATCTCAATCACACCACGCGGCGGCTCTCTTTGCCCGTACTGGGAGATGGAACAGCTTCACCAGAAGTTTTAGAACATCAACACCAGAAAAATAACGCGGACGCGCGCCGTGAGCCTAGCATGAGTCTAAGCGGCATAAGAGCAAGCAGCACAGAAGCAAGCAATATATCACAAGAACGAATGCTTGAACTCATGAGACATTATAGATACGAAGTAGCTCCATGGGTAGGTATTGCTCCAACGTCAGAGGCACATCCAGTGGCTGACTCAAGCACAGCTGGATATATGTGACTTGGGACAATTGTTCGGAGTTACGGTGCCTCGGTTGGCGATGGACTGTGAAACCGTCCGTTGGGCGGTGCTAGCACTCTCAGCAGCCTCCGCGAACCACCTCAGCTCGTTCGGATCGCAGCCCGGTTCGGAGAGTAGGGACTACATCTGCCTCTCGGAAGCGCATCAAAGCCGCGACTCCGGGATAGAGGCTTTCACGGGATCTCTGGCTGTGATGCTACGGAGGGTTTGTTACTTCATCTCCGACATCCCGAAGGCGTGGGCACAGGATCTGGATCTGGATTATCGCGCGAAGTTTGCGGACGCGCTTTCATTGCAGGCTGCTGGCACTGACCTGGTAGTAGCAGTTCGCTGGCTATCCTTGAGAATAGGTAAGCAAGCCGAGCATAGTCAGACCGGCCGGAGTTCCATGCCCGAGCCACACTGGGATAGAGATGGGCTAAACCCGTTCATAGAGCTCAGTGCTGCGCTTCACACCGGAGCACCGGTGCATATTCCATTTCCAATATCCAGCAACGCAACACTAGCCCGTTGCTCGGCTGACATGTTTGGAGAGATGTTCCACTATGCCCACGGCCCGCTTCTTCTCTGCGCTAGAACCGTTAACTTCTGTAGCAGGGATGTCGAAGCGTCCGTTTCCGCTGACTCGCAATCGCGGCGAAATCCACTAAAGAGCTGGAAAGCGTTATTCGAGGAACTCGATGTATGGTACAGCAGTCGACCGGAAGAGTTCCAGGCCATGGTCGAGCTACAATCCTGGCAAGGGACTGACGCTCATGAAAACGCCTTCCCGGTGATATTGTTCACCAACGGAGCGGCGATCTTTGCGAATCAGCTTTACCACACGGCCATGCTTCTGCTTCTGCAGAACAAGCCGCGAACACTGGGACTGACGTACCGTCATTCGTCGATCGTGTCCCCACTTTGGCATGCTCAACGCATATGCAACATCGCTCTGCACAATGACCGTCGTGAGTCCTGGGATCTCTGCCTGATCTCATCTTTGCTAGTCGCTGCGAGGTGTATGACCCATGAATCTCAACAACTCGCCATCCTGCAGGGTTTCGAGCGTATCAAAGCTCTTACGGGATGGAATATCAATGACTGCCTGAGTACTCTGCGTGAAGAGTGGCATCTTGCGGAGGCAAACTGATGATATGTCCGAGAACGCCCAGCCGGCCGTATCCGGTACAGCTTGCATCTGGATGCTATCAATGGTCAGGAAGGACGGTTGGCTTTCTCCTCACGTCCGTCTCTGCGGACTTTGTACCCCCAAGCAATCTCGAGATCGCGAATGCGCCAGCAGGTGCCCCATCCGCTTAAAGATTCGATAGCTCTGATGAGCTTAACGATCAGTGCATGCTCCGACTTGTGGCTGAGGAGCCTGCCTGCGATCCAAAGCGGTTGAATGGCGTTATTCAAACAACCTTGATGCGGATTCGTCAACGAGATGCCGCATATGCGCTTTGCATGCCACAACATGGAGCCACTGGAGCCCAAACCCAGTTTCATGGGCCTCGGCATCGTGTTGAGGAGGAGAATGCATGCGGTGTGCTGCAATTGGTTTGAAGAAATGGCCGCCCAGTGCACGAAGAGGATTTGAGGGAAGGGCTTGGAGTCGATGGTCTGTACGGGAAGCAGCTCGGTTGGCCGGTGAGTAAGCCAGTTCTGCAGGTCTTGCCAGAGAGCCAACCAGCGGTCGGCGAAGGCTTGGCCGGTGCAGCCGTTCTCCTCGCCTAGCTCAGTGTACTTCGTGCGGTCTGATACAAGCTCGCATACTTTTGAGCATAGATAAACCGCGTAATTGGCATGCATGTCGGGTGATTCGGACTTCAGGAACAGGCCGGCCGCCTCATTGTGACAACTCTCAAGAGGAAGCCATTTCGACGGCTCGAGAAGCGTGCTCTGAGTGCCGTCAGATATGAGGGCACCGCAGAGGTCTGCATTTGGTTGTCAGTATCCGAGATACGAGCCTTTACGGATATATTGTAGGCTCCAGACATGACTACGTAATGAAAAAACTCACCCATTCTCGCATAGCACCAAAAGACGGCCTGTGGCAATTCATTGCCAAATCCATGGATGCCAAAGGCATCGAACAACGCCGCACATCCTTCCAGATGCCGCCGCCAGTCCTGCGCACTGGCCGACATCATCTCTAGACAGCACAAGAGCACGCAGGTGGCGATGACTTTTTGGTCACGGACTTGGAGAAGCGGAGTCAGCAGCCGGATTGCTTCCTGATACAGCTCTATACTGTCGAAGGAGTCTTGTGCTCCTCTCTTCCGCTCCATTTGGCGTGCGGATATGGCGAGAATGGCATAAAGTAATGCGGGAGAGTTTCGAGCTAGAGCAGGGAGTTGAATGCCGAAGGCGTGGCGACTGTCGAACATGTCAAGCTGTGTGTTTAATCAGACATACATGCCTCAAGTCGAACTGATAAAAGATTCAGAACAACGAAATATGATTGGACTTGAGAGCGTTCTAGAGGTTTCCCTGGGGAAGCCGGATGTGTGAAAGCGGAGGATCAGGGAGGTAAAGGAGGTTCAGGTGGGATATCTTACCCAAGGCGCCACCTGGCCGATATAATTCTTCAGATATTCTACCCGTTTACTGCTTGACAAAATCTCCCGCATTTGATGCGGCATGTTATCTTCATCTTCCGTGCCACCAGCCGGACTGCCAGCGCGTGTAGGCGCGGCGGACTGGGCGGTGGAGAAGAGCAGACATCTCAGCTCTTCCTGCGAGGCCAAGTAGACTGGGTCATGCGAGAACTCATCCAGACTCCAGTGGCTGAAATCTATGGATCCCAGAGGGGTGCCTCCTGTCCCGTCCACTGACTGTGTCGCAAATTGGAACGAGGAATCAGCTGGGGTGCTGGGCGTAGGTAGGAGCCCGGCAGAAAACAGATCTGAGAATTGGAGATCATGGTGGGGATGGTCATTGAGCCTTCGCCGTTTGTTGGCAGTCGTGGAGCCAGCATCGGAAGGGAGCATCGTGTACAGGGCAAATATCGATTGGATTGATAGTCTGACAGCTGGAGGAGGTATGTAAATGGTCACGTGGTAGCGCATAAAGTCTATGGCCGCAAGGAGTGTGGGGCCATGGGGGAAACGCCAGACCGTTCACCTCACAGTCGACTGCCGCATCACGAGCTACCTTCCTTACTCTCATTGCTACACTAAGTACAGGCATATTGCATTTCGAGAGAGACCGAAAGACCACGCAAACTGAAAAGGTACACATACTACCTTGGCTAGACTGGTCGTGTTTCGGCAAACATGAGGGATTACGAGTACGACCCCAGAGGCTCTCCAGAAACGGTAATCGTAGCCACTGACTGTGAACGGAAACGGAGCACAACCAAGATATTTGCCGAGGATCCCCCGGAAAAAGTGACCGGACATCTCTCTTCCCTCGTCTGGCCCCGTAGGTAAGGCAGGATGGTTTGATCTCAATCCATTGCCCAAACCAGAATGCCGGGTAAAGACGGTAAAGTCGTCGGCAGCGCATGCACGGTAATCCGCCATGCATCATCTCTCTATCCTGTCTCTATACCATCGCCGACTATTCATGCTTTTTCCCTTCTGCCTCGCTAAGGTCAACTCATGAATCCTTTTGCATCCCTTCAACACACCGCTGCTTGCCTCTTCTGTTGAATTAGCAGTATTTGAGCAATCAGATCACCAAAGTTCTCGTTAAACACCTTGTCCGATAATCGGGATGGCTCCTTCAATCCTCCTCGAGCAGCCCGCACACGATAGCATATCAAACCCTCCCGCAACCAAAGCAAATGGGACTGAGCTTCTCGCCAACGAGACTCTTCATGGCCCTCTTCCTAATCCCTCATTGCAGACCACTGCAGATCACCAACTGAAACAAGTAGACGCCCCGGTATACGCGCCAAAGCGTGGAGAAGTCCTTCTACACATCAAGGCTACTGGAGTTTGCGGGTAAGTTATACGCAGGGACATGAAACTTGCATTGGCATATGTGAGAAGGAGTTGCTAATGCACTCTATGCTCAGATCGGATATCCATTTCTGGAAAACGGGACGGATTGGGTCACTTGTGGTCGAGGGTGATTGCATCCTGGGCCATGAGGCAGCCGGAATTGTATTGAGATGCGGAGAAGGCGTTTTGAATATTAAGCCTGGTACGTATGCGGGAGGGACGCCGAGATTCTCAAGACACTCTGACTCTCTGACTCTCTGACACAGGGGACAGAGTAGCGGTGGAGCCCGGTGTACCCTGCGGAAATTGTTTTCTGTGCATGGAGGGCCGGTACAATCTCTGCGAAGACGTAAAATTCGCCGGCGTTTACCCCTATCGTGGCACCCTTCAGAGATACAAAGTCCACCCGGCGAAGTGGCTACACAAGTCAGTTTCATGAACTCCCAGCTTCCTAATTTACTACTTGAAGTCGAAGTCTAACCATCGGCCAGGATTCCGGATAATGTCAGCTTCGCCGAGGGCGCGCTCCTTGAACCGCTCTCCGTCGTCATGCACGGCATCAACAGCTCGCGGCTCGGTCTCGGCCGCGCAGCCCTGATATGCGGTGCCGGGCCCATCGGCCTCATTGCACTTGCCGCAGCTCGCGCATCCGGTGCTCATCCGCTTGTCATCACCGATCTGGAGCCCCGCCGCCTAGCATTCGCGAAGGAGTTTGTACCCAGCTGCACGACGTATCAGGTAGATCGGTCTCTAGATGCTGAAGGGAATGCCAGAGCGATACGGAAGTTGTTCGGCCAGGACGAGTGTTCTGCCCCGCAGACAGTCTTGGAGTGTACGGGTGTAGAGAGCAGCATTTGCACGGCTGCGTTCACAGTAAGGAGGGGCGGTACGGTCATGGTGATCGGAGTGGGACGGTCGGTCATGAACAACCTACCCTTTATGCACATGTCGTTGGCCGAGGTAGGATATCACGAGCTTCCAATTGGTGAGACATGCTGACACGGGAATTTCTCCTTCCTCGCAGATTGATCTCAAATTTATCAACCGATACCGTGATACTTGGCCTGCGGGCATCGCTTGCTTGAGCGGTGGAGTTCTCGATCTGAAGAAGCTCGTTTCGCATGTGTTCCCGTTGGAGAACGCCCTGGACGCCCTTCAACTTTGCTCAGATCTCAGTAAAGGCAGCATCAAGGTACAGATAGTTGACGACGTGGACGCTGGTTTTTAATCAAGAGGTAGTGCAAGTTCAATCCTCTTCTCCAGTTCACGGCAGATCATGTCGTTATCTTTCGCTAGAGAAACCTTTGATGAGCAAGTCAGATGTACCCTTCTGGAGAGCTATGAACTGTATTTATACATCGTTCTGATGCGGAATACCACATGTGATATAGCCGTTATTACATGTTTCCCATCGCGTCTCCAATCGCATCAGCCCCTTCCCCGCCTCCTCTCAAGTCCTTATTAGTAGTCTGGATCAACACTCTCCGATAACTCGTCAAAGGAGGCGTCCCACTATCCTTGACCTCGAGAATGAGATGCAACAGCTGCCCTCGGGAGACAGCCTTCCTGCTCATAAGCTCCACGGCGCATTTTTCCGGGCCCGGCAACTGCACCTCAACCTTCCGGCCCTCCGAATCGAGTTTCTTGATCCCAAGCTCAGTCACTTCGGCTTCAACCCACCACTGTGTAGCGCTAGGCTCTCGGTAGTGAAACCAATTGAACGTCAGCTTGTCATCCTCGTCCGGATCGTAGGTCGAGCTTGCATCAAGCACTATGGTTGAACCGGCTTCCTGCTCGATTTGCAAGGGTGCCACTCCGCCGTGACCGTTGATGGATATGACCGGATGATGGTTTGCTTTCCCGAGATCTCCTGAGAGCGTCCATTGGATACGAGCCGCAAAATCATTCTGGAACGCATCCCGCCATCTCCAGATGGTAGCGTGGTTCGAAGCGTATCTCCTACCGTCAGCGCCCGTGACGCGATCGACAGCATCGCTATAATGCTTGCTGCTCAAGCCGCTCTTGCTGATATCCGTTAGAGCATAGCGGCCGCCCCAAGAACCATAATCGGGGTGCTCGGGTACACCAAGTCCGTTCTGGATGAGATAGAGGAATGTAGGCGTGTCTCCTTCAGGGATAAACAGGTAATCCGGATATGCTGACCCCAGCGGTCCGATCTGGATATTCTCTTTGATCCACTCCTTCGTCAGCTTAGAGAAGTCCGGCCCACCCTCGTCGAACCCGTAATACTTGTCTCCCGATATCCCAGTCCATGCAGCTAAGCCGTACTGATTCCAGCCATGGACTGAGGAGATGTAGAAGACGTCGGGGAAGTTGCTGCGAATCCAGGCTCCCGTGTCATCTTGGTCGGATATCGCGTAGACTCGCAGTTTCTTGCGTAAACGGGCGGCGTCGGGTGCTGACTCTTGGTTCTTGATCTTAAGCAAGACCTGCGCCAGAGCATTCGTTCCGCCCCAGCAAAGCACCCACAAGGGCTCGTCCGTCGGAGCTTTGATCCTCTCCAAGAGAAGTTTACCGCCATCACTAAGCGGGATGTCCTCTCCTACAGCGGTCATGCCATAAGTCTGCCCGGTTTCAGCTTACACTCGCCCGGCTGATAGAGAATTGCAAACCGAGAGGTAACAAGCCGGCTATACCCTATAGCTGAATATACCATTGGGGAACGGTGATAGATCGGAGCATGTGAACCAGGAAAAGCTCACCTCCGCTCCTTTCCGTATAAGACCCCTCATATACTGGGCAGAGGGGTATTGAGAGTCTGGATGCGCATGTGCATTGAGATTGCTCACTGCGCCTTCGTACGCATCTATGATCTTCTCCATGTCTTGCGGACAAACCTTTGTTTTCATCCATGTTGAAGTCACGGCTACAAGTCCCTCCGTTTGAAACTGGTTTGAGTACAGAAGGTAGCGGACCAGGGATTCGGCGTCATCAGGCTCGTTGGAGATGTCTGAAAGGATGAACACGCGAGGCTTGGAAGGAAAGGACTGAAGTTTGCTTGTAGAGGGGAAAGACATGGTTGCCTGTAAGGTCCGTTCTTTGGAGAATAGCAAACCAACGACGGTGTCGTTTTCGAAGACTCACACAGGAAAGGTAACTCTTGTAAATGTCACAATATGTGCGGAGTATTGCCCGCAATAAAATGCTATGGGCGTGAGGTTAACCAGGAGCGAAGAGCTAGAGGAAGGCTCAATGCTCCGCAATGGCGGTTTCGGGAAACAGGAGGCACTTCCAGGGTCGCCTGCCCGCTTCCAAAGACGGTAATCGTAGCCATCTCTAGATTCCGCCAGGCGGCCAAAGATCCGAAGAAGTCCCGCGTGTAGGTGTTTTGTCAGATGTACATACTGTTTTAGTGTCTTGGAGCTTAGTCATGCAGGGTGGGAGTAGCACTGTACAATTCTCAGTATAACTAAGTTGCAGTTAGGAAATAATTGGGAATCAGAGTGACCTACAGACAAGCTTGGGTTGAAAAGTGCTAGGTGGTCTATCACGTGCTCGCTCAAACGCTGGGCCAATGACCGCTGGATAGCCGGTAACTAAGACGCTCGTAATGCTTTAAAACTCATAGTCGTCGCCGGGAAGTCAACCGAGTAGGTATTCTCCTCCATGGCGGCGCTTGATCTGGCGCATCAGACATCTTCCTGCAGCGCACAGAGTGATTGTGGACGCTCTAGTGTATCAGAATATATCGTCTAGGGAGTGTGGTTTCACATCTGGACAGGCACAACGTGAATTGTAGCACTGGCCGGCCAATATCCGTAACGCCATCATGAACGGCGCGTTCTAGGTCAAGCCAGAGAGATCGCGCTTCCGGCTTCCCACCCAACGGCCCCCCGCTCGAAAACGTTTCAAGCCAATGCCTTCAGCGCTTCCACACCTGCTCTCAAAATTTCTTGGTTCTTAGTCTTCCCCAGCAGCTCTCTCAAAATCTCCACTCCCCCCTCCGCTTTGACCTTCTCCCTAGCCCTCACGCCCACCTCCTCCGGCGCACTCACCAAATTCCCCACACACACGACCCCACGATGCACACACTCCTCATTTTCCTCCCCACACAGCCCCAGCAAAATCTCCACGCCCCTCTCCCGTGCCAGCACCGCCTCAACCGCCTGATCCCACTCCGTCAACATGGCCAACGCACCCCCCGCCGCGCGCCTCGTGGCGAGATCTTCCGCGTCCGCCAGGGCAAGCAGCACGTGTAGTCGCTGAATCGCCTGCTTGCTCCCGTCTGCGAACTTCGCGACGCCTTCAGGCGAGGCCATCAGGTTACAGACTAGCTCGACGGCGGCGCGCTGGATGAAAGTATGCGAGGAGAGGAGAAGGTCCTCAAGGGCCGGGAACGCGAGACGCAGGATGGCGGTGCGCGCGGGGTCGTCGTGGGAAGCGAGGTTGGTGAGTGCGAGAAGGCCCTCGAAGAGGGGGAGGAGGTCGCGCTGCTCGGTGGTGGGGTCAGGAGTGAGCAGGGTGCTGAGGAGGCGGATAGCGGATGTGATGGGGAGAGCGGCGCTGGTAGTGAAGAGATGGGCCGGGTTTACGGATATGAGAATGCGGGCCAGTGCGTGGGCGGCTGTGCGGGTCGATGAGGAGGTGGGTGCCGCATCTTCTGGAGTTGGCGTCGGTTTGGAGGACGGTGGTTCGGTGAGCTGGAGGAGCAGCTTTGCAGCGCCTTGCTGGGCCATGAGGCCGCGGTGTTTTGGCTCTTTGGAGATGGAGACGAGGATCTGGAATATAAGATTTTGAAGATTTGGGGAGACTCGTCGACTATAGAAGACCAGTAATGGTACGACGCCCGCGTTGAGGACCTTTTGACAGCGAGCCGTGACATGTGCATCGTCGTCCAGTGGATCCGCAGCCTGCGGTTTTGATGCGTTGGCGTAAGCTTTCAGTTGTGACATCTTCTTCTGCTCCTCCGAAAGAGTGGGTCTGTACGCCGTAACGTTAGATAGAATAGTCAGTCCGCCGAAGGCAAGTGACGGGCCAGAAGCAGGATCCTGCAAAGCTGTAATAAGCTCACGCAAGAAGGCGCTGTCGTTGACGAGCTCCTCCATAACCTCTGGCCGAAGAGAAGCATATGCGAGTCCTTCCACAGAGTCCTGGATGCCGCTGCCACCAGATTCCAGTACCATGCTCTTGAAGCGCTGCACAAGTTCCGCTTGATCATCTTTACCGACTTCAGATACTTTCTGCTCAGTTCCGCCATTGTCCGGCTTCGCGTCGCTTAACTTAACGAGAATAAGAGCAGCGAGGTTGGACCTCCTCTTGTCCGTTCCGCTGTCCACGATACCCTGCAACCAGTCTTTGCACATGGTGCTGATAGCTTCGCGGCATGCCTTGTCAATGCAAGCAGCGCTGAGTAGCTCCAGTGCCGCTTGTTCCAGTCTGGTGCTCTTGTGACCCTTGACTAGGTGGACGAGTTGCCCAGCAAATCCATCTGTCAGGAAGAGCTTCGCGGCGGCGGGAGGGGCGAGAGGGAACATTGCAGCAGACGCAGAACAGGCTACGATCAAACTCTCCGTAGTCGGCTTAAGGAATCTCGATGTTACAAAACTCTTGATCAGTTTCCGGCCGGTGTCTGGGGAAAGCTCCATGAGCTTCGCGGTGGCCAGGGTAGCCTGGCTCCGAAGCGTGTTCGGTAGGCGGATGTCCAAGCAAGAGAGGATGACATCGAAGCCGTCAGCGTCGATGAGGCCGTGGAGATGGGATGCTTCTGCGGCCAGGAGCCGCGAGATGGCCTTCATTGCACGATCAGGGTGATCGAGCCCGGCCGCCATCAGCATTGCCAGTGCCAATTGGAACACATCTCTTTCAGCCGCAATGCGGGCTTTCTCTGACGGCCAGGATTCAGGGTCCAGAAGCATAGTAGTAAGCGCATCGACGCTGTCGTCACCTCTTTCCCACAATCGCATCCAGACGAAATGAGGTTTCCCGGAGAATCGGCTTGCTAGGAGACGTCTGGCTCCTCGATGCTTCAGGAGTTCCGCAGTAAGCTGGTCTGCCATGTCGTCTTCTCCAGCGAACTCCACGAGGACCTCCATGGCTTCCTTGGCGACATCGTCCGTGAACTGGGTGTGGTGTAAGACGTCCAACGCTGCTTCGCCATCATCCTCGTTTTTCGTTTTGAGCCACTTTCGGCATGCTTTGAGAACCGCGCTTCTGCTTTCTTCAACCTTAAGATTCTGCCATATTGCTTTTATTGCCGGATCCTCTGGGGCGATGCTCGATGCCTCCCGCAGCGACCGCCCGGCTTGGGCAAAGTCGCCCACGGCTATGTGTTTAGTGGCGTCTTGTGCAAGTTCGAGTGCTCTCGCTTGCTCAGGCGTAGCGGCCATGCTGGGTGGATAGTGGTTGTCAACATGGTTGAGGGCCTGTAGAAAACAAACAACATGATAATGTAATGCAGTCACGGGAAGTCCAAATAAAGTGGACCTTCTCTGGGCAAGTTCCGATCGGGATTTGTTCTAGACCAACGATGTCATGCATGGCATCTCGCTCCTATATTTAGGATATGCAAATTTCCGCAATTCGTGGATGAGTTACAAAAAAAATGGGTATGCAGTTTGGTCTCGCATGAGGTTTCTCAAGTGCGGGTGTCAGAGTTGATGGAAAAGGTTTCAGCTAGACCGAATAGGGCTGCGGAAACACCTCGTTGGAGTACACATGCAATAATGGTGGACGAGTTTATCGGTTGGTAATAAGTAGACATAAATACTTGCATTGCGATGCATCTAGCAAAACAGATACTTCGTGCGTTTTACAAGAAAGATGCCGGTTCATCCCTCATTACCCAAGATGCTAACTGCATTCAACTCTCCATGAACGCCCCAACAATGCTCACTAAAACCACAAGTATCCAACAGCGCCCTTGACAGAGCCTCTCGGGCGTCGTCACGCGTCCTCGCCCTCCAAACCAAGCTCCGAACCCCCTCCCGACTTTTTCAAAATCCTCAAAGACAGCAGCCGATCCCAAATCTCATCCTTGACCAACACGCGCTCGCGATCAAACTCCATCCCATCCAGCGTCCTCAGCTCCTTACAGCTATTCGCGAGCAGCATCTCATACACCCTCCTCCTCAACTTCGTGTCCTCGTCCAGCCTCGCCAGGTACTGCCGATCCCTCTCCACGTCTCCCATCGGCAGGACGTGCATGTCCCGGTCCTCGTCAGCCTCCTCTGACGATGCGTTGCGAGTCGCGACTCTGTTTTCGGCGGCAGGAAGATAGAACCCCACCGCAAACGGGTTTTCCCTCAAATCCAACTCTCTCAGCGTCTTCAACTGCGACAGCACGGCGAGGTTTCTCCGCAACCGCGCCAGCCTGTTGCCAACCAAGCTCAGCTGATTCAATTTTTTGATCCCCAGCAACGGCCTCAAATCCCTCAACGCGTTGAAATTAAGATTCAGTACCCTCACATTCGGCGCCAGCATCCCGAACTTCTCAGGTAAGGCCTGCAAGCCACATGACGCGAGCTCGAGCCGCTGGAGGTTGAGGAAGTGGTGCCGCATCTCGAAGCGGGGGATGTGGTTTGCGGAGATCAGGAGAGTGGTTATGTCGGCGTTGTCCATGAAGCAGTGGCGGAGGGTGTGGGAGGAGAGGGAAGAGGCGACGCGTTGATCGCGAGCTGAGAGGGTGTGGAGGTTGTGGAGAGAGGAGAAGCCGATGAGGGTTTGGGGCGTGAGCTGGTTGCGGTCGAGGTGGAGGCGCTCGAGGTTGGGGCAGCTGGTCGAGAGGTCTATGAGGCGGAGGTCGTTGGATTGGAGGCGGAGAGTGCGTAGGGATGGGCATGGCTGGGTCTGGAGAGTATTGGTGGTGAACTCCTCGAACGAGTTCTGGTCTACGCAAATTAGCGAGTTCATGCTTGTGAGGGAGGAGAAAGTGTCTTACCCAGGTTCAGGCTAGCAAGCCGCGGCAAACACTGTAAGTTGCGCAGCGCGGAAAGCTCGTTGCCACTCATGTCCAGTTCGGTCAGAGACATGCTGGCGAGGTTAGCAATGGCTTCTTCTATGATATGAGTGTCTACTCACAGGTTGGTCTCCGTGAAGTCGACTTCCTGGATCTTGTTTCTTGACACAGTCAAAGACATCAGACCATCCAGATGAAGCACTCCCTCCAGACTAGTGAGACGGTTGTCATTCGCCTTGAGCTCCCTCAAGTGGATGAGCCCGCCAAAGCCCTCCAAAGTATCAATGTCGTTCCCAGATACATCCAGATACTGAAGATGCATCAGGTGTCCCCAAGACGTGAGGCCTGTCAACGCGTTCTTCTGCACGTGCAGCTTCCGGACGGTGCAAGGTGCGCCGCTGAGGTGAGTCAGGTAATTGCCAGATACATCAAGCTCGTCAACACGATAGCAGAACTCATCCAGCCGGTGAAGAGTAGGTAGTGCACGTTCGTGAAGGTCGAGCTTCCGCACGTCTTCCCAGTAAGGCTCATCAGCGTAGCTATCTTGGAGAGCCTTGACCAGCTCCTTCGTGCCCTGCTCGTACCGGTCTTCGGTGGCTTTGGTCACGAAGTTGCCTTGACGTCGTACTAAAGTCCTTACTGGTAGCTCGCGCTCGTCAACCTGGTTGACAGTGAAGTCGGGTAGGTCGCTGAGGAGGAAGCTGAACTCGGCATGATCTGGAAGTGCAGGATGTACCTGCTGCACCGCGCCTCCGTGCTTGCCCTCCACGGCGAACGTACCGGAGACACTGACGGCAAGCTGCATCCGGGGCTTGTCGGGTGGAGTAACGGTCGCGGAAAACTCGCTGTTGTCAAGAAACCTGGGTGTTGCCAATGGCCTGGGGACTCTCGAGTATTGGGATACTTGTCGACTCGCGCCACGGTAGAGACCGCTTGAAGATGTCACAAAGGGATGTGCGTTTGAAGTGCTGTGTTGACTCGCTAGCTGCTCTATCCGGGCTGATTTCTGTGGTTCAAGGTCGTCTGGAGCTGAAAGGATGCTGTTCTCTCTCTGGAGGACGCGTTCCTCGGTGACCAGGCGGTGGACCCGCGGCACTACAGGGGATGAGAAGGAGATAGTCACATTGCGGACCTTTGGAAGCAACTTGTTAACAGGCTTATCGGTACGGCCCTCATTAATCTGAAACTCGTGCTCTATTCCCTCACTGGCTCCCTGTGGCTCAATGGACGCGGTGGAATGCGCTTGAATATTTCCCATTGCTTTGTTTACCGTGCCCTGTTCGCTCCATGAGGTAGCCCGAGTCTCGATTTGGGGTCCGCTTGATCCAAAATTGGAGAATCTCGAAGGGACGGTACTGGCATCTCCCAATGTAGGTTCGGTGGTTCCACGTGTTGTCGGCCGACTACTTTGCGCCTCCACTCCTGTGGGCTGAGCGTGGTCTATTTCATGGACCGTCGCATCATCGATCGTGCGAGATGCTTTGGCGTCTGGTCCACCAAACGATTTAACGGTTGCGGGGCCGCTCCTTGCGAGTTCGTTCATCTCGTCCACCGTAAGGTCAGGGATATTCCCAAAAGGATCCTCCTCGCTTTCTGTAACATGGCTGATATCACCAGGCGCTTTCTTATCCTTCTTTGGACTTTTGGTCCTGACCCACTTGCCCAGCTCCTTGTCGAAGCGCATATCTGCAACCTGATCGCCTATCAAGGGGACGACAAGCTCGGGACCCAACGTTGCAACAGTACCTGACCGTCGGGATACATTTGTGTTGATAGTCCTGCCAAGCGACGAGTCCACCGACATCTGAGATGTGTGCGTCTTAGCAGTGGTCCTCGAGGACCCGGTTCCCGGCTGAGTGGCATCAGACTCCGAGCGACCACGGCCATTGTCCAAAGAACGGTTCTGACTGATGCGGATATTACTCGGTTCGCTCATAGGTAGAGCGCTGTCCACACAGTTTTGCTCTTTTGCTGGGCTGAGGTGTAATGATCGCATTGATGCTATGAAGTTCTCGTCGTCCTTCTCTTCGAAATGCCGGAGATGGCTCATTACACGCAGACCGAGATCTTGGGGTGCTTCAGACCTCCAACCACTCCTTCGGCCCTCCCGACTGGGTGGCCTGGAGAAAGTTAGCGAGGTATTGATGGGCGCATCGTCGCCAGCATCTGGGTGTTCTGACTCTGATTCCTCCAAACTGCTCAACGCGCTTATCGGCCTTCCTCTGTTGCGGAAGTATTCCATAATACTCCTCGCTTCGTCGAGAAAATCTTGCGTGGTGACGGATCTCTTGCGACCTTCATCCTTCATGCCTTGCGCCACCCGTACGGTGAAAGCAGCGACTTCGCCCGCGATGGTTTTGGCTTGGAGAGCTTCGGCGGCGGTACCAGGCGCAGCTGGCGAAGAAAAGTGCTCTTGGATAGCCTGAAGCCTTGGCGAGCTCGAAAGAAATGCGTCCGTCGCCTCAAGTATCTCGGCCTGGATCTGATTCCGCCGCCTTTGGCTAGGTGTCGGATTTCTTGGCCGCAGAATGTGCCGTTGCGCGAGGGTGTTTGGGTCAACGGGGTTGCTGTAGCTCCCTTGCCGTGCGTTGTGGGGCTTTGTGCTGACAATGGACTGTATAGCAGTATGCGACTCCTTAACAGATTCGACAACGACATCCTCATGCTCGTCGATCTCAATGGTACACAAAGTCCGCCGGCGTTTTGGTGTTGGATTTTTATAAGGGGATGTTGGTGGCCTCTTGCTCTTAGCATTACCTGTTACAGCACCCTGCGATACATTGCCTGAGTCATTGGAAGCGAGTGGTCGGCCAGCTAACTTGGCTTTGGAAGACTTGAGGGAACTCCGCTTCGTCACCGTGATGGAACTCTCCCGTGACCGCTCCGAGAGTTTCCCTTTGTGCTTGAACGTGTTGTAGATTTCCGGAGAGGAGCCAAGACGGAACTTGAACTGCGCTTGAGAACCTGGCGGCGCTGCGCTGGGAGATGGTGATCGACTGATATCGAGCCCACTCGCGTCGTCGCCGTTTGAGGAAGCAAAGGACAGGTCGTCTGGGAACGGGTATTCGTCCAGCTCTCCTTGTCCGAAATTGCTTCCGGTTGACAACTGACGTTTTGAAGACTGCTTCGCCGCCGCGGTGGTAACTTTCGGGCTTGCTGTATCTTGAAAACTCGTTTCTTCTAGGGAGGAAAGTCTAGGGTCCGCATTACGTCTTCTTGGAGACCTCGTACTTGCGCTCTTTCCTTCTGCTTGCAGCTCATCCGGCACAAGGTCTTCAAGCTGGCTCAGCCTTCTATGGAGTCGGGTACTGGTGAAGGTATCATGATCTCCAAAAAGCTTGAGCGGACTTGCGGAAGACCTCGTTTTCCCGGGGCTCAGGAGGTTTGATTGACCACTTTTAGCAGGAGTAAGCGGTACTAGAGGCGGGCTGGGAGCAGCTGGAAGTACTGTCGCTGTGTCCTCGGTAGACTTCTGGCTAGGCCTAGATATATCAATTCGTCGCTGGGTAGAGCTCTCATCGTTCAGATCAGTAATCGACTTCAACGGGGATGGACTCAATAGACGCCGCTGAAAGGATCCGTCGGCCGAGTAGCCTCCTCGCCTCACGCTCACGAATTCACCGATATTGAGGACGTCCGGAGTGCCTACAGGAAGGTCTTCTGGAAGTGTCTCGTTTGCAAGGCTTTCCGATTGTCTGCTGTCGCTAACTGTAGAAAGCTCAAAATCGTTGTCCTGCATATCATGTCGTCGTAACCGGTCGGCGATCTGTGACTTTGACAGGGCAACATAATCGATTTGTCCATCAGTGGTGTTGTGCTTGGAGATAAAGACGGGGCTGAACTCCTCATACCGCAGTTCGGTTTGTCCACTTGCAGTCCGGGAATGGTCAGAAGTGGCTTCGTCCCGCACAGACTCCGTCGCCCCATCGTTGACTCGCCGCGTTTTGCCAATGGGTAGCTTCGATACTTCCGGTCGCAGTAAAGACACCTCGCTCCTCAGTAAACTAGCCTCCAACCTGTCTGTGTCATCTTCGGGGCCGCTGTAGTCGTATTGTTCATCTTGTTCGATAGACGACAATTGTTCATCCTCCTGGTCGTCCTCGGCAATCTGCGATTCGTATTGATCTGTCCGTGGCTGCATCCTGCTTGAACGGATTCGACTTGAATTACCGTCCGTTTTCGGCCAAGGAGGGGGGCTTGAGGGCATGGAGCTCACGCCTTTCAAGAATGATAGTCCTCGTTTGCCGTTTGGGGAATTTCTGATCGACTGGGGTGCGGCGGGCTTTTGAAACAAGTTCTCCAAAGGCATCGGACTAAACAAGTCTTTCTGATCCTGATACCCCATCTGCCCCTTCAGGAGCCGTCTCTTCCAATCTGGAGTTTCGTGTTTCCCTATTTGATTTCCCGAGGAAGTGAGGCGTGGGCGCTGTTCGACGGTCCCATGCCGGACCACTGACTGGGCGGAGGACGTAGATAGCGAACGTGAGCTGGGTGCCCCTGCTGTTGCCTTCCTGAAGCCCTCACGAGGCGAATTGTCCGGAAGTGCGTTGTTGTCGCTTGCGCTTCGTTCGCTCAGTGCGCTCCTGCGTTTTGGGGTGCCATTGCTCCTGCCGTGAGCGGAGGGAAACGCGCCCGATGAACTTCGTAAACGCGGTATCCGGCTCTTGCTCTGAGCATGTATATCGGCAGCATTGTGCGTTGCGGAAGAAACGGTATGCGATACAGACGGCGGGGGAGACGAGCGCGGTTGAGACACCCAGTCTTCGGAGAGGCTATCGAGCCATCCATTAGCGACCGATGCCATTGAACTCGACACCAACGAGCAACGTCGTGATGAGTTGTGCTGAGCTATCCAAGCGTGCTGTCAGTGCCTCTGAGCCCCCAGTATCAGGCCGAAGGGGTCGCGGGGGTTTGTTTTGGTGACGCGCACATGGATCTAGTCGCGTGCGTTGAGAAACACGGGATTGCGATTGTGAGTGGGGAGTACGCAGACGTAGTATAAAATAGTGCTAGTCCGTGTGTACCAATAACAATGAGAAGTGTAGCGGCATAACTAATAAAAGCGTTGTGGATTCGACAGCTGATGGCGCGTTTCAAGAAAACGCCTTGAAGTGCAGTGGTCCCAAGAGATCTCCGTGCGGCGGCGCCACAAAGATCACCGAGGCAACACCCGCTTGACAGGGAGGCAACTTCGCGGTGATCCAACCATGCCAACCTCAGATGGACGGCGGAGGCCAGGCCAGGCCAGGAGAAGACGAAGATAAGGGAATAATAACAGCAGATCGGCTACGGACTGCCTGAGAAGATAAGGTACGGGGAGTAGGACAACCAGAAGATGCGACGCATCCGCCAAAGCAAGCAATCGCATTTCAGTATTGCCGCCTCACCAAGGCAGAAAACGGAATCGCTGCTTCGTACAGTTCACGTCGGCGAACCCACCCCTCATACCTTCAAACACGCGCAACTCCATTCAACATCGACAACATCCTCTCGAAACCTCCTCATGCCTTCGTCACGCGACCGAATATGCCAACCTTCTTCAAGAATCCCGCCTATTCCGAGGTGAGGCTTGAATCGCCTCCCCCATCTGAGATCTTCGTCCCCGATTCTGATGCGGAGGAAGAGTCAGCGAACCGCGCAGCGAAGCGCCGCCGAATAGAAGAGAATGCAACAAACTATCTCGGGGGCAAGGCTGTGTTCATAGCGTCAGCTCTGCTCAAAGGTCCATTCGACGAGCGCTGGAAGAATCCATGGCAGAAGCCGAGGCGGTCCAACACAGCAGGCAGAGTGGACGGAGCGGACAGCAATGCACATCGTCGTTCAACAGTATCTGTGGCCGAGCAAAGGGCACGCGCAGGGCGAGAAGAGCGCAAGCGTCGGCTGAAAGAGCAGCGGGCACAGAGGGCTGCAGATCTGCAACAAGATGGTTGTGGCAAATCGACTTCGCATCCGGTTGATCTTACGAGTGAGGATGGCCTATCTGCTGTAGCTGCAGGCGAGTCTCAAGCTGTTTCAGCGGTTCCGCCTCCCACAGTCAGGATCAGTGCCCACACTCGGAGATGGCTTCAGCGTCAACGGCCGCCTTCGTCGACACCAGAACTACAACACGACAAGAATGAGTCCGATGAGACGCCGTCGAAACCTCCACGTACCCCTTCATCCCGGCCGTCCTCGTCGCACAGTATACTCAGACAACCTCTCCGAGCTCCAGGCATGATTGCCAGATCTGCCCTCCCGCCTTTACCTCAAGGAGCATCCAACCAACCGGCTGCATTACAGATTACCGATGTGGTTACTATCAGCAGGAATCCTGGGTCTCGAGATTCGCCCACTGATGGACCTTCGCCTGACCACAGTCTTGTCGGACGTTCTGCGAGATGTGTGAGCTTCCCAGGGACTGGGCCGTCTCAGCCCCCTATCAGCGATTCATTGCGGGTTAACGTCAGCGGAAGTGCTCCACCTCACAGTCAATCATCGAGTCGGCCACATCCCTCGGAGGAACTAAGCGTCGCACCAAGTCGGAACTATCAGACAAGTCTAAGAGCAAGACATCACAGCGCAGATATTGAAGCCGCGCTAGTAGAGTTCAACAAGAGTTTGCCGGAAGATACCGGCGGTGATGTCGAAACGGTCAATGGGAACTATCAAGCAGAGAACTCCTCTCAGCATGGCGTTAATGCTCCTGTTGGAAGAAAACACTCGCCGCTTGAGAGACTTCGCAGCCCGGAACCGATCGCTCAGCAATCTCCTGCACATAAACCCAACGGAAGCCCTCACCAGCGCGGTCGTACCCCCTCAAAGCCGTCCACCAAGCATCACAGCGGGTTTACGCCAATCAATCGGCACTTTGCTTCGCCGTTGCCTGAACTGCCAGTCACCGGACGAAACGTTGCAAAAGAAGCTTTCGAGCCTCCAGATGACGCTTCAGTGACCGAAACGGTACAGCATGAGGATGCCGCATCAGGTCAGCAAGCCAACCTTACTTCCCTTGAAGGGTTGCACTCTGCGAAGCTGCTGTCGCAACTGGCAGTCGAGCAAGCACTGTGCTTGGAAGCGAACAGTTCTCCAGCTTCGACTATGCCGTCTAGTGCTGACGCAGCCTTGATGACAGGTCTTATGACTGCGAAGCGTCTGTCGTTGGACGCAATTACAGGAGATGTCCGCAATGGAGCCCCATCCACCGAAGACATCGTCTCGTTTAGACAGGCTCTACGCGAGTCCGCAGAGCGATGCGTCACACCTAGAGGGGCGGCGACAACAAGTAAGGCTGTCCGAAAAAAGAAGACGATGAGTACGAAGAAGTCGAGTGATACGGCAGAACTACATCCGCACTTGCAAGGACCTGTTGTAGACCAAGCGACTGCTGAGGCATCTTTGCCACCGCGAAGATATATGTTGAATGCATCTCCTACCGCCACAAACTCACCTGGTTTCGCTTACCAGAAATTGGTCAACGGTATTGCGGCTGGCACCTCCGTAAATTTTGATGCTGAAAACACGTTTACGAAGAAGATCAGACCGCAAAAAAGAAAGCCGCGCACAATGATCTTTGCGTCCTCTCCCGCAGAACGGCCACCATGCGAATCTGCGACCGAGCAAATTGAACGTACCAGCAACCAGCAGCTTGAGACAACTAATGAGGAGACAACTAATGAGGAGACAAGAAGCAGCACCAGTGATCCCAACGCCGCCGGTTTGCAACCACCGCCGAACAGCCATGTGACAATTCCAGACCATCAGGACTCCACAGCATACTCCCTGTCAAATCGCGACCTTTCCACTCAGGCTGCTGTCCTCCTCGCGCAGGAAGCCTTCCAGGAGGAGTTAGTTTCGCCGACCAAAGAAGCCCCGGAAGCAGAGCCGGAACTGGCCCCTGAGGCTGACCACATGTTGCTCTCACCGACTAAGGCTCCCCAAATCAACGCTGTTACGCCATTCAGAGCTTTCAACTCTCTTGTGCGGCCATCACCCATGCGCCACACCACTCGAGCATCCATGGCGACGCAAGACCTCTTCAACGCGGCATCGCCTTTCGCTGTCAGTACGGTCAAGAAGCCCAGACAAGGCAAAAGAGCCAGCTTTGCAGCTTTTGATGCCGAGGAACACGTCACAGCAATCAGCAGTCCCGACCGCGAAGTCGAACGAGAAGCCATCGACGCCAGTTTGTGGACGCCTCAACCTACCAGTCTTGCTCGAACACCGATACCAGCGCCTGGAACCGCAAGAGCTGCCACGCCAGCGGCCCCCTCGCCAACCGATGAGGCGTCAGTCACCATGTCACTACTACCGGCTGACGACCCACCCGCTCCAATGCCGACCACCACACCGAACGCAAGCCCGGTTAGAAGCTCCGCTGGCCAGCCAATTCTACAGGCGATAACTTCGTTCTCCCCTACGCCGTACGGATCGCTCAACGAGGTCTCTTTCCAAGGCGGGCAGAAGCTGCTAGACGATAGTCAGTTTGACGTGGATGCCGCGCTTGAAGACGCGGAGTCGTTCCTGCAGAGCTGGGATCTTGAGTCTGAGATCAGGAAGAGCTCGTCGAAGAGTGGGAGTTTGGCGAGTGGGATGCAAAGTAGAAGGGTGCTGGGTGTTAAGAATCATTGAACTGGATCGGGGGCTCAGTATAGGCTGTGTTGTTTGCATAGATGCCTGGTGACTCTTCTTGTCATTGGCTACTCGGAGTGTCCTCCTGCCAAGGTCATTGATGGCCGGAGTAGTGTCTCGGCTGAGAACAATCCTCATGAGTTGATGATGTTATGTAAATTAGTACGCTGCATAGGACCGCCGCTCGAATTACATGAGTATAGATAATCTCCCAACGTCCACAACAAGGATGAATTCAGCGCCGCTATCCACAATGGCATTGTGTGCAAGCCAACCTCCTACCTGTTTACCGTCCTCACCCACGCGGTGAATCTTGACTTTCCTGTTTCGAGTGATGGTCTCATGACTACAGCGAATGTATCCAAGGAGAATCCCGAGCCGGCACTTGCCCAACACCTACGACATTGGATCCTGAACAGACGACAACCACGTTTGGACTACAGTCCCTTTACCTTCACGCCCGAAGCAATGGGTAACTTTAATACGATCAAATGCAGAACCTATCATGCAAGAGCAAGGAAGCGGTGGCAGGCGAGGGGGGCTTCTGACCAAGGTTGTGCCTCAGTCGGATTGCAACATAACGCACAACACCAATTCTCTGCGTGTCGATGGGAATTACGCGATGATAGTTTCTGATGCCCTTGCAGTCCAACTTTCAAGGTGATTCTACCAACCTCTATAGCGGCTAGTGGCTGTAGATGCCTACGGTAAATGGAGTGGCGAGTCGCGGTGGTAGGCAGCAGCGGCGTGTTGACCAAAGAAAGACCACATACGTGGAGCACCGCAGACAAACCTGCAAACAAACGTTTCCATCGAGTAGAGCGCGGTAGTATCTAGAGTAATGCAGCCTGAGAGCCGGTAATGGAGTTCCTCGCTCAGAGAGTGATACACTTTCGCTTTCCTTCAACACTCAATATTCCTTAAGTATCCTGCGAGTCATCTTCCTCAGATATCGCAACATGCTTTCATAATCCGCCGTACCGCAATGTCTTCAGACGATTATCCCCATTTCCCGTCTAGTCATGCGCGAAACATACTCTCGCACTTACTCCAAAAACTCCGTTCACGCTCCTCCCGTCACTACCAAAGATACGGCGAATTTCTCGAGAGTGCACCCGACCAAATCGAGGCTCTTCTGTGGAACTGCATCCAGCCAGACATCCTCCGTCACATCGAGTGCGAAGACTTCCATCCGCACGCTGCGTAAGCCGTTCCAACTCCGCCCATCTCAACGGGCACCAACCCGCCACCCAGCCACACAACCCACCAACTAACCCACCCACCCCAGCATCCCCCGCATCCCTTACTCCAGCCTCCGCTCCTCCACCTACCACGGTCGCAGCATCTACCTCCACACAATCTACGCCCCCTCCGGCCACCCCCGCCTCTACATCGGCCAAGCCTACAACACCGCCTTCCGCATCGCGCAGCACCTCGACTTCCGGTACCGGCGTTCGCACCGCTCGCTGCACCACTACGCGCTCGAGCTCAGCGCTGCTGACTCCTTTACGCTGCTTGCGACGCTGACGGCGCCGGGGTCCCAGCCGGGCATGCAGAGGCCGGATCTCGTGCTTAACATTCTCGAGATGTGGTGTTCTTTGGTGTTTCGGACGTTGCGGCCACGGGTGTTGAGGGAGTGGTTGCCGGACGGGGTGGAAGTGGGGGTGGGAATGGGGGTGGGGGGCCTGAATCTGGCGGTGCCGCTTGATCAAGGGACGGCGAGGGCGGGGATGGGGACGATCAAGCTGTTGGAGGAATCTGAGGATCCGTTGGTGAGGGAGTACTGTGAGTTGGTGAGGTCGAAGGGGCAGGGTTCACGGCTTGACGACAGCTATGGTGTAGCGATGAGTGGCGCGGGCAAGGTCGTGCTTACGGCAGGGGCGGTGTGCGCTGCGGTGTTGGTGGTTCGATATTTTATGCGCCGGACGCGGGCTTGATTGCGGATATCAACAGCTTCGAAGACTTTTTTGACTGGATCCGTGAACAGGAGTGTTCGGGCACTGATAATGGGACGACTTAGACCGGTCGATCGCTTGCGAATGTGTCAGGGGAAATGTATCTTATACGGCATTGTACTCAGAGTGACACTCGCTGATGTTCATTATTTTTTGGGTGATGTTAAGCAATAGAGTCTTAATTACTAGCCACACGATGATATATAGAAGCTGCAGACCAGCATCATTCTACATACGCCGGACTCTCCCCTGAACTACTGCTGATGCTCAATATCAACGATTCATGATGCCAGTTACTAGGGATATCATACAAATACTCCACGCCGTCGAGAATGGCCAGAAGAATTTGCAGTAGAAACAGCCATGTAGAAGCAATGGTGATGCTGGGTGGTGTTTGTAAAGAGATCGAGAGATCATTTTGGCTCCCCAGCTGCGGCTAGGTACATAATGTTACTCTTCGATCTTACACGAATGCCCTTGTCCTTTTGTGACCAGTAGAAGGCGTCTTCTGCCCCCTCAAAGTCGCGAAGCTGCGGGCTTTTGTACTCTGTAAACGGGCACTTCTTAAATAGCCACCTGCTTCCGATCTCTAGTAGAACCGGGAAGTCATTGGTTCTCTTACTATGCCACATTCGTAGATATCGCAGTTTATGTTCTCGCGACGCTCGCAGTATTCTATAAAACCCCCATCTTCCTAGAGATCCGTGGCCAAAACGTGCTCGAATGTGTTGTCTCTACTCTGTTCGTAGTCTTTCCCATCCCAGCAGGAATCGCCCACCATGCACGGGTAGTTGTGGCCTGCACCTCAACCGCTCAAGCGTTGGCCACCTCAGTCCCATCTTGCGGATTCACGTCCGCCTGCCGACGAGCTCGCACCCTAGCCCAGCCTTTGACGACCGTCAAGAACCCCAGAAGACGCCTATGACGCCCACAAGGGCGAAGAGAGACAAGCCCGCAGCAACATATCCGTTCGCATCCATCAAGAATACCCTCTTAGGACTCTACGCGCGCTGTAATGGAAATATCATAGGATATAGAGACTTCTGAGATTAAATTTTTTTCTTGTCGGCCATGATACGGGCAGCTCCTACCAGAGTGATCGTTTCAGCTACCAATTGTCAAGATCGGTAAGGCCGTGCTTGAGAGCTCGAACCAAGCGGCATGCGGGTTTGCAGCCAAGATCTTCTCCATCTGCGAGCTCCCCGTCATGCTGAGGATGGGGATGGAACACGTTGAATGATCATAGGCACATTGAACGGCAAACGTTCGCTTGTAAGGCGGCGGACCGTGATCGGGCGTTCTGAACCGCGGTGGTTTGAGAGCCCTTTCCAATGCGACCCAACAGGCAGCTGTTTTCGTCCGCCTTTTGTGGAGGGGTTTGCGGGTCGCCGTATTCCTCGTCCAGCATGCCTTGGCAGCGGCCATTGTAGAATTGATATTGGGGGCCGGCATCCGCTCATCAAATGCCAGCCCGATGGCTATCTCCGCCGATGCTGAGGGGTCGTTTGCAGCGAAGTGGTGGAATTGGAAGTCAATGCTTTTCTTGGTTGTGTGTCAATCATTAGATCGTAGGTTTTTTCCCTCGCGAGTCCAAATCGGATCATAAATGTTGCCATCCTTGAACTCCATCAGTTAAGCCAATGATCGACAGAGGAGTGCTTTGCTTCCCCGGCCCTGGTGTACAGCGGCGATCTTGTAAGCAATGTTGTGAACGTCTGCGATCTTGGAATCAAGGCCCAAGCAGCACCCACGAAAGATTGTTTGCCTTGGTAGAGGTTTGCTTTTAGTTAGTTTGATCCCAGGTTATGGATTTTTTTTTGCGTGCAGTTATCTGGCGTGACCGACCCCAAGTTGGCACTTGTATGAAAGCGAAGGGCAACATGTTTTGCACACACACATACTCGCATTTATGTTGTGTTACGCTTCTGGTGATGTAAATAACCGATGTGTTGTGCTTTTGTTCTTCACTGCTGTTGTGGAGAGTGGTGTTGCGGTAGAGCAAATGTTGGGAAACTCTGTGTTAGTTGACACGTTGAGTAGCTCTCGATCGCAAATGACTTTGATGAGCATAGGAAAAGTTTGAGAAGATGCATTGGTCTAGATAAATTCTGATCACATTCGTGGCACGCGACAAGCGGTCACGATGAAATACATGCCCTGTTCCCAAGAGTACAATACTATAACCCTTCACCGACAAAACCCCGTCAACACCGGCTCAAGCCGCAAAACCACCACAAGCACGTGCTGGCGTCTCGATGAGGGCTGTAGACGGGCGCTGGGTGCTGTGACCAAGACTCCTCCAGATGTTCCATACTAGTACGGTGTTCTTTGATTTACAGCATATTGGCGTCTCATGACGGAGCGATTTGCAGATTCTGCGCCTGCGCAGCCGCAAGGCCTTCTGGCGCTTGCCGATAGAGTACGATTTCGGATTGTTTGAAGTAGCGCCGCGCATCTGCGGTAAAAGTCAGCAGCCGCGAAACCACAGGGGACGATGACCGCCCAGGGTGGGCCGATTTGGCGGAGACGTGCTGGGCGTGGTTATGCGCGGGTTGGGAACAAATAAATCTCGTCCTGGTACATAGCTATAGTCTCAAGTCGTCGACGTACCTTCATCGATCAGGACCAAGCTCAGGTAATAACGCGTCGAATACTTCTTGTTGACTTCACGGAAGGTTGGAGTCAGGTCAAAGCCGCCAAGGAAGAGCCGAATTGGTATCGTTTCCCCTAATAATATGTAAGCCTCCGTACGTAACGCTCAGCATACTTCTGGGAGCTACAGAGTAGCAGCAATCGGCGACCGTGCTGCTTGTACTAACCTCGAGAAGGTGATCCGTCCATTATCTGCCCATTGTTAGCGCTGTGTCTAGCAATCGTACTAGAATCATCGCTTGCCTCAAATCGCACGAGGGTTTCGCTCTCATTGTACTGATTGGGTGCTGCTCCAGTCGTCTCCCTTCGGATGATTGACAGTTCCATATGCTTAATCTTTAACCGCACTAAAAGGAAGTATATCCGGCCCACGATGACATCCTTCAGGTGATATTTCGATTTCGAGTATTCAAACTCTATGTGTAGACAGTCCTCGATACCGACATCCATCTTGATAGAGGCATTCGTCTCAGGTGGTATCCGGTAAGAGTACACCCAGATGTCCTTCTCCCGAACCACATCTGCCATCCGCCGAGAGACGGTGACTCGGACGAAGTACCGTAGCTTAACGTTGATGCCGTTGTACGATTCATATTGCTTCTCGACGTTCTTGAAGTTGAACTCGAAGGTCTGGGGGTGTTGCAGATCGCCAGGTGCCGCCAGTTCCTGGCCTAACGAGAGGAATTCGTAGTGGTTACCGCGGTCAAAGAACATTTCTGCATATCAAGCCCACAGTCAGCCATCGACCGTGTTTACGCGACGCTGCTGGTCGCACATTGAGGCCTACTTCACTGACCGATCGTGCCGATGAACTGCACCTTAATGCCGGTGTGCTCCAGCCTCTTCCCGTCCTTCGGCCGTATTGTGACTGCACCCTTCACAGACTCCCCATCCAGGTACAAAGGCGCCTTCTCCCTCCGGTTCTTATCAAGCTTGATGTCCACCGCTGACCGGTCATCGTTGTCTTCCAGGACGATGTCGATGTCCACGGGGGTCGAGAAGAAGATTGACATCGTGCTCCGCTGCGCACCGTATCCTTCTCAAGCAGTGACTTCCAGAGCAACTTGGTTTCTGCTGCTCTTCTTGATCTTGAATCGAAGGCAGGTATTGAAAACGCTATGCCTTCCGGTAAGCACTCGTAAACGCGCTAGGTACCTACCCTTGTCGGGAGACGGCTGACGTAACAAGCGCGCGTCCACGCCAAGATATCAGCCTTACAGGGCCGCAGAAACCGCCATCAATGCAAATGTTTGCGGGGTACTCATGTCGCCGGAAAGTTATGAGGTCGCGGGGCGACCACCAGAATCGCGCTGAGGCTTTTCAACCACACTGCAGATCACGAATATGTGATAAATAATGCTATAATAGTGTAGAAGTTAAGCGTGCACTAACTATTAATATATAAAGCACTCACTTAGTTAATATCCCAACGTAGTGTTGCGATATATAGAGCTGAACACCACAGCGAGACACCTTGCGCGAACCCTTAGAAGCGGATTTGAAGCGACCTACCGCCGGCTTACCGCTATCTTGGCAATCTCATAAATTTCCGGCGACATGAGTACAGCTCGCGGCCCTGAGAGTTATCTGGTGTCTTTTGCGCAAATCATCTATCTCCGAGCGCTCCTGCCTTCACTCTGGGCTCATTGCAGACTTGAATTGGAGCCCATCAGGAGTTTCGACCGCCCATTCACAATGTCCACCACCGATACTGTCTTGCTGGATACTGATGCTGCTAATCCATAATACTCTCTATTCGATTCTGTCTCCAAGAGGTTCTCCGTACCTGCAGCATCTTACTGTTGCCGAGAGTACTTCGATCGTGGATTCCGTTCCGAGCTTCCCAAAACTGCCGGCGGAGAGATGTCCGCGAAACCCCACACTGCCATTTGGGGCTTCTGCCACCTATCCCGCACCAGATTGCCATGCGCAAGCGTTGCATTCAGCGCTCTGCAGCATGTTTAAGTATCGCGGCACATCCCCACGGCAGTCACTGGGGGGGCGCAAATACAACGCGGAGCGACAGGCTTGAGATGCTCACGATGCTGTGCCTGACAGGGCGACGGGAGCATGCGACGCACTGTGGGGGAAAAGTCAGAGGCCGAGTCCGCGGCAGACCCCACGCCAAGATATCCCTCCGTCAAACGCCGATAGCGGAAACATCGCCGGTCTTTCATGTTGTTGGCGGCGCGGTAAGTTCGGCCGGCCAAGTCATTGGCGCAAGCCCCGGCGTTTGCTCGTTCCGGCGCACGAGGTCCGCTTTTCCGACCCTCGGGTTGGGCTCTGCAGACGCTGGTGACAGCAAACCCCATCTGTACCAAAACGGCAAGTTATCACTTCAGCCCACCTCTCACGACGAGATGCACCGGTGCGCGTGCGGCATCTGTTCCACCGATTGTGGATCCCGCACGGCCGGGTTGCTTCCACTCCGGCAAAGGCTGACAGGCTCGCTGATAATATCTCCATGAAATGCCCGCTGAACTGAAGCTGTCAAACTTCAAACTTTTGGACCCTGTGGAAAGCCGAACAAGCCAGACCCTGCTGTCGAGCCTAGACGTCGTCTGATCGACAAACTCATCATCGCGCTGTTTGCTGCTTGCAATGCTTATGTTAGACCACACCTCCGGTCTTTACGGCCCAGCAGTAAACTCTGCCATCCTAAACAGCACCATGGCACCAGTTAACGCAACCGTCACACCTCCGCATCACCGTCACATCTGGATCCTCACTGGTCCGGCAGGCTGTGGCAAGAGCACGGTTGGGAGATATCTTGCAGCACAATTGGCTTTTCCGTACATCGAGGGCGATGAGGTGAGAGCTGTCACCCTATGAACCTCGCTCACGAAACTGACAATGCCTAGTTACACACCGCAGAGAACATCCAAAAGATGGCCGCCGACATACCCCTTACAGACGCGGATCGATGGGATTGGCTCATCTCCCTGAGGCAGCAGGCTGTGGCAGCTTTCGCTACCGGCACGACTGGAGTGATCCTGACGTGCAGCGCACTGAAGCGGAAATATCGCGACGTCATCCGAATCGCATCGTACAATGACAGCCACGTCCTTGTTCACTTCGTATATCTACACGCAACAGAAGACCTCGCGGTGAGCCGGGTACGGGTTCGGCAAGGGCACTACATGAAAGAGAGCATGGTCAGGAGCCAGTTCCAGGCGCTAGAAGAGCCAACAGAAGATGAGACGGATGTCTTGGCCATCGATGTCGACCGCACCACGGCGGAGGTACAGACTTTGGCCATTCAGCTGGTGAAGGAGATCATGGCTGAAGGCACCGCCGAGCAGTTATCGTAAGCATTGCAGAGGCTGAACCGGGCTGGAGACGCTAATCAATACGCGTTATATTGTCTTAACATCATCGACACATCCGTTTTGCGTCCGCTGTCGCAGTCTGTGTCGCTCGAAGCTGTAACTTTCCCCAATTCACCTCTTTGACGGGCATTTCAAGTGCTATACGTTGCTTTTCAGATGCTGGGTCATGGTCAACATGCGTTCCGTTTTGGAGTCATCGGAGAACGATATCACCAGCATTATTCCCGTAGGGCATGGGTGGCGTCAATTGCTAGGACGATCTACTGGACTACTAAAATGGCTCAACTTTACTGTCTGCGTGGCCGCCGGCTCGATCTTGTCATTAAGAAGTCTGCCTTGCGTTTCACTCGTCTTGCTGAAGACTAGATACCATACACTTCCATTAGTTTGCTACTGGATTAGTTCAGTTGCGCTGCTCGCAGATCAAATTTGAGAGTAAGGATACACTCACTCTACTCCACCATCAATGCGCCGTAGAAACCCGTCTTCCGATGTCCATCTCCGGACGCCTCCACGATATACAGCAGAGGGATTGCACGCTCTGAAGCACCTCATCACTGACCGTAGTGCGACGCGCTTGATACCTAGGGAGCGGGAACATCGACCTCCTGTCTGCGACCCGGAGCTTCAGCACGTTTTTCCAAGCCTTAAGCCAAGCCGAACTGTTCTTCGGATCAGGTACCCATCCACTATGCAAATGAATAGGGCTCCTTGAAAAAATTCCATCTGTCAGGTTTTCATCACGTGCCCTGTCCCGAGGGACAAGCTTCCCCAGATTCTGCGTCTAGCGCCCCGCGATGAGCGCACTCCGGCTTCCATCGGCTCTATCCCTTCCTTCATAAACACCTTTCTCCACGGTAAACACGACGATGTAGTCCGCACGCCCTCCTCCCACGATGAAAACCCTGATTATTCGAGAACTGGGCTGCATCCTGAAGCCTTCGGTGAGGCCGTTGTGCGGGGTGAGACCCTTCAAAAGCCCCGCAACCCCTAGACAGCACCCACGTCGGCCATTCCACGGCACCGCGAGGCGCAATGTCGTTAAACCGTATCTTCTGGCGGATATTGGGGAAGGTGAGTGGTCAAAAGTTCATTTTTGTAGAGCTCACGCTGACTGTACCTGAGGTATCACCGAATGCCAGGTCATACAATGGTTCGTCCAGCCTGGCGCACGTGTCGAGCAATTCGACAAGATATGCGAGGTCCAATCCGATAAGGCATCAGTAGAAGTAAGAGTCTGAACTGCGAATAGATTATGCAGGAGTTAAGACTCAAGGCAGATTACTTCCCGCTTCGACGGCGTGATCAAGAAGCTGTACTACGAGGCAGATGACATGGCCAAAGTTGGGAAGGTATACGACCCGCCGTCGGTTGAGATGGAGAAAGGCTAATAGTCCAAGCCTCTTGTGGATATAGATATACAGGGCGACATAGCTCCGGAAGATGAGGCTCTCACGAAGGTCTCAAGCGAACAGCCCAAGCAGGCGCCCGAACCGGAGCAACCTAGGACAGCACAAGAAACGAGCCAGAGTCCACCGGAGCCCGAAAGAGATGCGGCGAAACCTGTCCAGCAATCCCAAAAGCCGCGCAACGAACCGTCAGGAAAACATGCCACTTTGGCCACGCCAGCAGTGCGGCATCTTACTAAGGAGCTTGACCTCGACATTGCGGATATAACAGGCACAGGAAAGGACGGACGGGTGCTAAAAGAGGATGTCCAGAAGCACGCATCATCACTGAAGGAAGCTCCCGCACTCTCTCCTGCAGCGACAACAGAGCCGCATGCGGAGGACAAGACAATACCCCTGACCCCGATTCAGGTCGGCATGTACAAGGCCATGACGCGCTCACTCTCAATCCCACACTTTCTTTACACCGACAACGTAGACTTCACCTCGCTCAACACCGTCCGGCGGAAACTCAACCTCTCACACTCGGCCAACTCCGCGGCGCCCACACAAAAGCTCTCCAGCCTGCCCTTCATCGTCAAAGCCGTCTCCCTCGCCCTGCAATCCCACCCCATCCTCAACGCCGCCTTCGAACCCCCCCGCAGCCCCTCAGAAAAGCCCCAACTAACCCTCAAAGCCTCCCACAACATCGGCATCGCAATCGACACGCCCTCCGGGCTCCTCGTCCCTGTAGTCCGCGCCGTTCAGAACCACAGCATCGCTTCTCTCGCCGCCGAAATCGCGCGTCTAGCCGGCCTAGCGCGTGCCGGGAAACTGAGCACCGCCGACCTGTCCGGCGCGACGTTCACGGTCAGCAATATCGGGAGTATTGGCGGCACGGCCGTCGCGCCGGTGATTGTGAGCCCGCAGGTGGCGATTCTGGGCGTCGGGAGGACGAGGACGGTGCCGGCGTTCGGGGAGACGGGAGAGCTGGTGAGGAGGGAGGAGTGTGTGTTTAGTTGGAGCGCAGATCATAGGGTTGTGGATGGGGCGATGGTGGCGAGATGTGCAGAGAGTGTTAGGAGGTATCTGGAGAAGGTAGAGGGGATGCTTGTGAGGATGAGATAGGGGTGTTTAGTTTGCGTGTATGGGTTTGATTCGGGGAAAAGCTGGTGGTTTGGGAGGTGACATTGGTTTGTGGAGGTTTGTGTCTAGCCCATAGAGCGATGTTAGATATTTGAGCAATCATTATGGAAATATCTCTGGTCTACATCACATCCGGTTGCTTGCGCAAATCAAGTCAGCACCTTTCATATGATTCATGAAGCTCTCCTTGACCACTTTGCCAATGCTGAAGCCTGAGCGCCTGGATATTCCTCCTCGCCAAGCCTCACATCCGCAGCTCTACCCAATCCTTGACGTCAACTCACTCGCTCAGGGTTCATGACTAGCGCCCCGGCTGGAACCCAGTTGGTTTAATCTACGAGGAGGGCCCATATCGGATCCAACATGTAGTTGCATAATGATTGATTTACCCCTTCTGTCGTAAAATGTTCACGGACTTCGGTATTCTACTTGGGGTAAGCTGTAGAAAGAACATAGGCCAATGAAGGCAAGCTCCGTCATCACATATCAGTCTCACGCCAGATTAAATCAACGACAGACGGCTTCCACCCGTTTTCATTTAGCGATACATGCGTGCGATCGTATATAATCCGCTTCGGTCATCCTCGGCCTGGTCAAGTCGACTGAGCAAATTGAGCATACTCCAACCCATCCTGAGCCGTCCAACGTTCCGGCCACGAGCGAGTTGGAACACATTGAGCAGAAACACTGAAAGAGACACCCCAATCCTTCGAGGCTACCAAGCGTCAAATATTCACTTCGAGGGACGCGAGTAGTAGAGACATCCCAAGCAGCAACAAAGGGACTCCTATAAGCTCGCTCCCGCCTCGAGGAACTTCAGTTGGAGCTGGCGCACTGCCTTCCGTGATGTTCTCGCCCGTCCGGAGACACATGAGGTGCGCTTTGGCGTACTTCTCGGCCGAGCTCAATTTGTCACTCAGCCCCCTGTCTGCGATGAGCAACGTGACGATAGGCTGAACAAGGGTTGTCAGGTTGTTGTAGCTGATTAGATTGGCTGGCCCGTAGCCGCTAGATCCCCAGGTGTACACAGGATTGGACGCGTTACCAGCGGCGGGATTGAGATCACAAGTCGAGGCCGTCGAGTTTAGCTCCGGGCTTGCGAACACTATAAGGCGCATTAGCGAGCATTGCGAGCAGCTTTATGCTGTCGGTTCACTCACGCCAGTGGTCCAGCCAATAATGACCATCAAACTGGTCTTCGCATTCCTTCGGGAGCCCGAGAGCGTATGGGGAGGCTTACTGCGCCTCTTCGTCCGCATGAGAAGGATTCGAACACAGGAGAAAGACTGCGGCGTAGTAGGACGGTTGCGGTGCAAGAAGAAGGGTTTGGAAGCAGGGAAAGGACTACGGCGGAGCAAAAGGATTGCGGCGTGAGAAGAAGAGAAACGCAGTCGCGATGTAGGGTTGAGCATGTTACAATAATTACTAGTACTTACGAAGCCGCCACTAATCCACACATGTCCTTGAGCGGTTTGCAACGTACGAATCAGAATAAGGCACGAGTAGGGTTTATCGGCCTTCAGAACTTCAAGATCTGAAGTTCCGAAATCCCTTGCTTAAGGGCTAAGGATATTAGTTGGTTAGTTAGTAGGAGGTATTACGGCTAGTAGTAGCAATACCAGCGGTACTAATAGGTGTGATACCTAGGCAAATTTGTACTGTTATTAAACTAATCACGACCGACTTATTTCAAACACTACTAATGCGTATCGGCTAGCCGTTGTTCAGATGATGCTTACTCGCTCTCTTCGTCCCATTGCCTGAAGTGTCTCGAACAAACCATGCATTGTGGACCATACGCGAATGTAGCCAACCCTACTGTAGATCCCTCTTGCGTTCTCAACAGCCTTGAGTAGAAGACCATCGGCCTGAGAATCACCGCGAGGTTTGGAGTCTTCTGTAACAAAGAGAACAAGGAAAACGAGCTTGTCCGCCCCATCGCCCCTGATTTCGTCCACATGGTGGACGTCTGGAAGGACAAAAAGACTGTAAGCACTCGAGGGCGTATCGTGTAGTCTAAGAAGCCAACGAAAATCCGTCCGTGGAAGGTTGTCTCGGTTGGAGTTGGCAACTACAACCAGACCTTCCGCGTATAGAATCCCCTGGCCTGGACCAAACGGATTCCTCCCGAAAGTCTTCTGATAGGTCCCTTCAATCACGGCTTCATACTTTACCTTGGTGGTCTTGCTGATGAATCCACGTGACCGGAAGTCCAATGGCCCTGTCACTGAGCCCCACGACCATGTTGGAGCATAGGAGCAGGCAGAAGAGCCCAGTTCGACAGGAAGGGGTTCCGAACTGGAGGCATCGGAAGCCTGATCTACGCTCCCGGGCAAAATGTATATCCGCCTTGCATCCTCATCATTCTCTTTGAACCACGCAAGATCATGTATAATGGTTCTGCGCCATAATCCAAAGATATACTCGTCTCCTAAATACGGCTTTGCAACAGCCGCGATCCCTGCAATGGCCTCCAGGCGGTCCGTTTCATGGGTCAGTTGCCGTTGAGAATAATCGAACACTATCTCGTGCCAAGTTTCGTGTCTAATATGCGTGAGTTCTGATGCGATGTTGGCTTGCGAAGGTGAGAGGTCTTTGGGTGATGTATGGTGGAACCATGCGTTGTTGTCAACTCCGTGGCTGTGGTGGGTCGCTAAACGACATTGACACTCCGACAACATGGAGCAAGACCATGCGATCTCTTCCTGATTGAAGTATAGTGTCCGTTTGGATAGGACTTGCTCTTGGTACACCCAGCCTCGCTTTGCTAGCGGACTACGAGCGGACGTGATCATGGCGCCCTCTTTGCCTAATATGTGTGTGGTTGTGTGTCCAGGAGAGCTCCCGCCTATTTCATATCTGAGGCGGCGAAGCCAGGCCGTAGTCTCCTGACCAGACCCCGTACATTTGACCTCGTAAGAGGTCCGGTCTGAGCTCTTAAGTGATGAGAGACAGCCGCTGTGACTGTCGATTCCTTGCTCAGCAGCAATCCTGATGTAGGCTTGGGCGTAGATAGATCCCATTTGCGCTGCCTGCTCTTGTCAGTCCTGTACCGAATTCTGGATTATACACAAAGCGTCAATCCAGATATAGGAAAGCCCAAGGCGACGGCAGATGAGCAGTGCGTCCTTCAACGTCTGAGGTAGTGTGTCTAGCGGTAACTTATCCTTCCACAAGACACGAGTCTCGTGGGTCAGGATAACTGGCTGCGCTAATCCCCAACGGTAGCTCAATGCTGCATATTCGACAAAACATTGAGGATTTTCGACAAGATGTGGCCAAGATGTATCGTCGCCAACGTGGATCAACCTTCTCGGTACCTGATAGCGAGCACCACCGCAATCTGCGTGGGTACTGGTGCATTCACGGATCCACGCTTGGGCGAGTCTGAACGTGTCGTCCAAAGAGATATCATCGTACAAGTGCGTTCCGATGCCGATTGCTGGTTCCTGATTGGACGCTGCTTGACGGGTGTCAGTCCGCATACCTGTCGCACAACTATCAATCTACAAGATCTTGTGAACAAGCGAACCTTGGTGCGTATAGAGCTCAAGGCCTACGCGGAGAGGCAAGGGTGAAGACTCTTTCTTGAAACTGATGTAGATCGGCAGGGGTCCGTTGGACCCATTCCTCTTGTTAAATCGACTCTTCAGATTGATCTCTGTCATCGAAGACCAGAAATCCGGCGTAGAAAATGTATTTGAGATGTATGTCGCTATGGCATCACGAAGGAGGTTGCATGCACTGCATCCGCCAGCACAGGCTTCTAGAAGCCATTCCGGGCGAAGAACTAGATTTTTGTGCTTTCCACAGACAAGAAAGCGGCATACTTGACAATGAGCCTCTTGAATGAGCAATCTCGGAGACGTTACAGACATGGGGACGACAGCGAATATGGAGCATCCGTCGGCTAGGGTGCGAGTGCGGCTCACAATCTACAGTCCATAAGCGAAGGTCGTGGGCGAGCAAGATAACGTTAACGATGTCCGATGAGGATTTTTGCGATATCGGGGCCTTTTCAAGCTGTTAAGTGGCGCGCAATCGTTCATTTTGAGGTTCCATATCGTCGTTTCCAACTATAGTTGGATAGCTACGAGGCTTGGCGTGGAGCTGGTGGTCAACCTCGATTTTTTTTCTAATTCTCTAGCGTTTCAGATTCACAACCAATGTTTTGTTTCTCTAAGTCTTTCGCTGACTACCTCAGCAGATATGTAGAGCAAATTTATGCCAGACGGGGGGCCTTGTAATGTAAGTGGAAGGATTGTGGATCATCCTCTTGCTCCAATGTGCTTCATGCGTATCAATCTGCCCATCAACCGGGCTTCTCTCCTATTCGCTGCCGTATGTTCGCTGTCAGCTCTCTCTTTCCCTCCCTAAATACTCTACGCACCAGTCAACAGTCAACCTTGAGGGCTTCAAACTTTTCTTATAGCCGCGGCACAGGTGGATACATGACGCCCGGTTGCTTGGCAACTTTCCCCGTGGGGTAGCTGGAGGCGAGGGGTGATCGACATCCCGAGGTCCTGCGGCTGAGAATAGTGCGAACATTGTTCCCGCCAAGCACAAGATACCTCCTCAACAGCTCCACCCTACGCAAACAAAAATCGCACAACTCAAGCCCACATATCCTCGATCAAATCGCCCCCATGACCTCAACCACAACCGACTTTCCCTTCCCCCCCCACCACTCCTTCCCCCCCTTCTACACCCTCCAACCCGTCCTGTCGACACGAACCTCCCAACTAGCCTCCTGGTCGCACCTAATCCAAGCCTACTGCCGGCACCACCGGCTGTTCCAGCTCTCGCTCCGCGATGCGGCAGACGGGCCGCTCTTCTACAACCGCGCGCTGGGACGAAGACTCAGTTTGAAGGATGCCAGGGAGGTCGTGGAGTGGATGGCTAGTAAAGAGGGGGGGGAGAGGGCGGAGTGGGTTGGTGGAGGGGGTGGAGGGAAGGGAAAGGGAGGCGGAGGAGGGGACAAGGAGAGGGATAGATTCTGGGTGTGGTGGAGGAGGCCGGAGGAGTGGGCGGGGGTGATTGCTGCTTGGGTAGGTTCAAGATCAGAGGGGGAGATGTAGAGGGTTGGGGGGGTATCAGACAGAAGTGCTGACAAGTAACTTGGCGTGCAGGTCGAAGCTACGGGCCAGAAGAATACGGTGTTGACGCTCTATGAGCTTACGGAGAGCGACGCCACGGCTTCGCAGGGTGGGTTGTTCTCCTTTCCGTCCCGAAACCGCTTTTAAGACTCTCCGTCGCTAGGTGGATATCGGCTCAAAGAGTATGGTATATACTGGTGCTGACTGAGTTTCGGCTAGAGTTCCACGGCATGGATCCAGAGCTACTGCAGAGATCACTTCAAATCCTCGTCAAGCGCGGCAAGGCTCAAATCTTTGGCAGCGATGACTCGCTCGGTGTCAAATTCTTCTGAGGCACTGGGCGTGCTGGAACGGACGGGTTCTAAAGACAGCTAGGCAGCATGCAGGATGCATGTGGACATGCGGCCGTCCTAGGACAAGTGCAAACGAAGAAAGGTATTAGTACGATACGCAGAGACTGCTGTGAGTTCAGTACTTTTACATTGAAACATATATACTCGTGAGTTCGTTTAGCTAAACGTGCCAGCTCTTCTAGACAAATAGCGATCCAGCGTCCGCAAGCTCGTAGCGCGCAGCAATCCCGGAACAGATTCTCCCGCGCCCGACGCCATAGCAGGTCGAACGGCCTAAATGCTGCAAGCCAGCCGTAACCCGTAGAGATCCACACACGAGCCAGTTGTAGTACGCCTGCTTCCAAAACCGCATCTTTTGTCCGCCTACTCCTCCTGCTCATACTGCTCATCCCAAACGACCTGCTGCGCCATCGCCACATTCAAGATCCAGTCCTGTCTCACAATCCTCGGCAGCATGCCCTGCTTCGTCGCCATCGTTTTGAAAGCGTCCCAAGTCTTCTTCTCCTGGGCCGTCGTCCCGCTGAGCAAATACAGCGCCTCCGGCTCCCCTTCCTCTTCATTTCGACTCACCTCGTCCTTCTCGTCGCTGATCCTCCTGCGCGCCGTCTGGTTCGCGCGCCCCCCTTTCCACGGCACGCACACGCCTCCGTTCGCCGCGATGATGTCTTTGAAAGTGTCGAAGCCGCCGCCGATGGTCTCTGTGCAGAAGATCTGCCATCCCTTAAGCAGCTGGCGGCGGTTCTGTTTTGCGCGCTCCAGCACCTCGTCAAGCTTAATGCCGAGCCTGTCCTCGGTCTCGCGGTCAACGAGCTTGAAGTTTGCCGGGTCTGGGATGCGTCCCCAGCGCAGGCAGGAGTCGAGGAAGCCGGAGGAGACGACGGTCGGGGCGGCGGCGAGGGCAGCGACGAATTTGCGGGTACGGATTAGGCGCGGCGCGCAGAGGAGGGTTACTTCGGTCGGGGATTGCGTGAGTGCGATGCCAATGTCGCGGAGTTTGATCTGGGGTCGGGCGATGTTAGTTGCGGAAAAGAATCCGCGCGAGGCGGAAACATGCGTTGGAATAGAAGATGAAGCACTTACCTTGTCGGCGGACTCCTTGCCCGGCTTGTCTACCCATCGGTCGTCTCCCGATAGCATCAGGCGGTATTGAATGGGTGGTTGGTTCTTCGCTCCTCGTGCCTTCTTGGCTTTCTTTGGCACTTGGTCTGCAAACGAGTCTTCGTCGTCATCGTCCGCTTCTTGGTCTTCGTCTCGCGTTCGCTTGCGACTCGCTGCCTCCTCTTTCGCTTTGGTCTTATCGTCAACGGTGGGTGAGCCACTAGTTCGGTCTCTGCCATATACAACACCACCAACCCGCTTCCTCTCTTTCTCGTACACCGCAATGTCTGCAGCCGCGTCATGCAGTTTTGAAAGTGCCCGGTTTTTCGCTCCGCGACTGCCAGTGCTTGTAGGTGTTTCGTTTTCTTTGCTTTCAAGCTCTCGAAGCGCAGCTGGCGTGCGGATATCTGAGTCGCCGCGAGTACGCTTTGCTCGGGTCGCCAGCGGGGTGGGCCGATCGGCGACGTCGTCGTTAGGTTCTTCTCGTGCCGCGCCTATGGCTGGTTGAACTGGCACCTCAGTGCTTGATGCTGGAACGGCGGGAGCCGAGGAGACGGCACCGTTGGTCTTTGGTGGCGCTCCACTGCTAGGGGTTGGCTGCATGGGATTAGGTGGGAAGAACAGCCTCTCGACTGCCTCGCGATCAAGCTGTGTTTGGCCGATGACCTCGCCGAGGTTTGTGCGAGGCGGAAAGTGGGAGTATCGTGGGTTTGTTAGGGGTTGGAGCTTGCACTTGGCATAGCTCTCTTCGAGCCAGAGGTGGTTCACGAGATTGATGCCCCAGTCCTTGGCGGCCTCGCATTTTTCGCTCGCCAGGTGAGCCGTGATGAGATGCGTGTTGTCCTGCTTCATTGTCTTGGTAAACTCGGCGCCGGTCGCTCGCACTAGGTTTTCGAGATAGATCCTTGCTTCGCCGGTGTAGTTTGACAAGCTGATTTTGAAGTTTTCGAAACCCGGGATACCTCCTCTGGGCAGGGGATAATGCAGGAGGCGACGCATCGGCGAGGTCCAGGCATTATGCGTGATCAGGTAGTATAACCACGTTACGTTGCCCACGGCCTTGCCGGCCTGTGACGCTTTGACGTAGTCTTGACCCTCGCGCCAGTTGCAGATGTATGTGTCGGCTTCATCAATGAGGTTTATGAGTTCGCCACCGCCGTAGTCCACTATCTCTTCCAAAGTGTTGTACAGGTGTTGGCCCATCTCCAGGTCCGCAGAGAACATGATCTTCTTTCCCTTGAACACATCGAGCACCCGCGGAGGGACAGAAACCGGCGGCCACACTTGCGGAACTGGAGAGGTTGCCCCTTGGACATCCTTGTTCGAAGGAATCCTGTGAGGGACTTCTTTGTTTGATAGGATCAACGGGTTCGGCAGCAGATACGGATCCTCTGGGATACGCCTGCCCAGCTTCAAGCAGTCGTCGAACCTGCGAGACGGTGATCAGCATCTGCTTACTGAACGTTTATCGGATGAGCGTACCAGTGTGGCAGCACAATCTTGCACCGCAGCCTCTTTTTCAACGCAACCTCGCACTTCTCGTTATCCACGGTCAAAGCTACGACGTGTGTAACCATCTTTGACAGTGCCGGAGAGTACTGCCCGCCCATAGCTAGGACAGCGCCAGCTATGCCCTCCTTGTCGCCCTCAGGCAGGTCGGCGCACGTCACGGTGACATCGGATAGGAAGAGCGTGGGGTCCGGGCTGTACTGGCGGGGATTCGCAAGCTTGTGCTTGACGATACACGCGTCTACCCATGACGGTTTGACGACGTGGACGAACTTGTCGAACGCGTTGTGGTAGTCTGGGAAGTCGGAGGTTGTGGAGACGATATGGCTGAGAAGTGCGAGATCTTGGACGTGGCCGGTTTCGGGATCGAGTGGGATGAAGACTGCGCCGTTTGCTTCGAGCTTTCTTCCGAGCTGTATCCTATCAGTGAGTATAGGTAGCGCCATTGTTATGGAGTGACTGTAGAGCTTTAAGTACCTCTGTTGCGTGGTGCTGGGTCAAGGTGGGACTTGGGATGATGGTAAAGGCAATGCCGTAGAACAGCGGCTGGCTTGAGCTTGTGGGTTCTCCGCCGGCGCCGTCGGTAGCCATAGTGTCACTGGCACACGGGGATGACAAGTGGTGGATAGGCGTGATAGGGTAGCATCGAATATCAGAGCGGTGGAGTTAATTGTGATGCGCAGAGGTCGGCGCGTCAGAGCTTCGTCGCGTCGGCACGTGCCAAAGGCATCAGCTCTCTATCACTTCAGCGTTGAACCCCCTCAACCCTCCAAAAGTCCCGAAAGTCCCATCCAGTGCTGTTTCGTCCTTGAGGCACGCGATACCAGCACCTTATCTATCTCCGAAGCTTCTGCCGTGTTTTGTAGCGCGGCTTGCTTCCACTGCAAGTCTGATAGGCCAGCGCCAGCTCCCAAGGCCGCTTCTTGTCATGAACCTCGGCCCGCACTGGGACCTGAGCCTCTCTCAAACGGTGAGATAGATGCACCATGTCCCGGCCATCGAATCTTCCACTCTTCATTCCTTACCCTTAAGTCCGCTGCCTATACAGTTTCGGCATAGCAAGTCGGATCACTGTATCGGCTACCAAGACAAAGGCTTCCGTGTCCTCTGTAGAAAACGATACATTGTTATAAGGCCGCTTCTGAGTTGTTGCATGGTTATCCCCCTAGTTTCCGGTCCACAAACATTTCTACTCGCTCTTTTCATCTTCGTCTTTATCCTCAATTCTCAGAATGTCTACATCTTTCTTCCGCATCCACGAGCACGTGCTGCCGTGCCAGCACATCCGCCAGTATCCTCGAGCAACGGCCGGTGATCAAGAGGACATCCTGCACCTATCAATCAAGCAGTATACTCCTTTAAGCAATCCCAGGCCTCAACCTGGAGATGTGACAATTATTGGCGGACATGCTAATGGCTTTCCAAAGGTATCCACTCCCAGTCCATACGTACTTGAAGATGTCATCCTGATTCTCGACCGTGCCGTAGGAGCTCTATGAGCCGCTCTGGGACGAGCTACTCAAGCGAACAGAGAACTCGGGTTTCCGGATCCGCGGCATCTGGATAGCAGATGTAGCCCATCAAGGCGCAAGTGGCGTACTCAACGAAGGCAAACTGGGCAATGACCGTGTGTATCCCAGTACTTGCTCTCACATAGTAATCCACTAATCAGTAGTAGCTTCCTGGTTCGACCATCCGCGAGATTTGCTCCACATGATCAACCACTTCCGCTCCCAGATGCCCCGGCCCCTCATCGGTATCGGCCACAGCATGGGCGGCGCCAATCTTGTGAATCTTTCCCTCATGCACCCACGATTGCTCGAAACCCTTGTCCTCATCGACCCCGTAATCCAGCGCTTCAGCAACATGAAGGGTAACCACATGCCTGCCCAAGCATCCGCTTTCCGACGTGATCTCTGGCCCTCCCGCGCTGCGGCTGCCGCATCGTTTAAGAAGAGCAAATTCTACCAAGCCTGGGATCCACGTGTTCTCGATCTGTGGATCAAACACGGCCTAAGGGATCTGCCGACCGAGCTCTACCCTGCCACCACCAACCTCCCCAACTCCGCCGTGCCAGTAACGACCGAGCCGACCATCGCCCCGGAGCCGCCGGAGGAGAAGCAAGTCACCCTCACGACGACGAAACACCAGGAAGTCTTCACCTTCCTGCGTCCCAAGGTTCCCCATGACCCTTCGACCACCTCCACCCCAAACCGCCTCACCCACCCTGATGACAGCCCCCTGGAGCACCCGCGAGCCCCCTTCTACCGCCCCGAGCCCATCGTCATCTTCCACAACCTGCCCTTCCTGCGGCCTTCCGTACTGTATATCTTTGGCACAGAGTCTGCTCTCTCGGCGCCGGAATTTCGCGCCGAGAAGATGGCGACTACGGGCACCGGGGTGAGTGGAAGTGGGGGCGCGGCTGAGGGGAGGGTTAAGGAGGTGTTGATGGAGGGGGTGGGGCACTTGATCCCGATGGAGAGGGTCAAGGAGACGGCGGAGGCGTGTGCGGGATGGTTGGGGGCGGAGATGGGGCGGTGGAGGATGCAGGAGGAGAGGGAGAGGAAGGAGTGGAGGGATGTGCCACGGGAGGAGAAGATAAGGTTGAATGAGAAGAACCTGGAGTTGCTCGGAGGGCTGGAGGGGTTGGAGAGACGGGTGGCGAGGAAGGAAAAATTGTAAGACGGAAGGATTAGAGGCTTGTAGGTGAGTTGTTTTGGAGCCTACCCTCTGCTCGAGCCCGACAAGAGCTGACTGATCCTAAGAGGTGCGGATTTTTGTGGTACTACCAATGGGCGCAGAGGATATGTGGTAGTACGCAGGGTGGCTCGGATGGTAAACGTATAGAACAGGAACGCTACATGCCTATCGTCACTAGATCTCCACAACCGTACCCAGGCGCCGGTCATCCACAGCTCCCAATGTACTTGCCTAAGGTCCTAGCCCATCCATCTCCCCCGGTGCCTCAAAGCTTTCCCTTCTCAATCCCCCGCAGAATCTCCCCAAAAACCCCAACCCCCCTCCTCCCCAACGCAGTCCCGACCCCCACCACCGTCGCCCCCACCGCCCTCATCCTCCGAAAACCCTCCGCATCCTCCACCCCACCAACGCCGATAACAACCACACCCCTCAGCTCCTCCTTCTCGCGCAACATCCTCACCAGCGTCGCCACGTTCCCCAGCGCCAGCGGATGCAGCGGCGCGCCCGCCAGGCCTCCTATCCCCTCTCCCGTAGCCGAAGACAGTCTCGGCTTGAATCCAGCGTCTAAGTCACTTGCCGGCCCGGGCGTCAACAACAGGGACGAACCAAGCGTATTCACCGCCGTGATGAAGCTGATCGGGCATCCCTTCCCAGATGGCTCCGCCTTGGCTGCCGCGCTCAGCGCGTCGACCAAGCCGGTGAATTGGTCGGCGTAGGTGTAGGGCGGTGTTTTGATACCTAAAGGGATCTCAGGCGCGCCGAGAGCAGCGGCCGAGCGCTTGAGCGCCAGCAGGTACTCGAGCAGGCGGGTGCTGGAGTAGGCGGGTGGGGGCTTCCCGGGGATGTTCGGGCACGAGAGGTTGAGTTCGATGGCCAGAGGGATTGGGGTTTGGGTTTGATGGTCGTGGACACGGCGATGGCACTCTACGACCTCGGAGACGGTGCCGGTGATGGAGAGGATGATTGGTTTGGGGGTGGTGCGTTGGACGGAGGTCGATGTGGAGAGGTTGGTGATCATGGCGAGGTAGCCTGATAGCGGGATGGGGCTGTAGCCGAGAGTGTTGAGGCTGCCTGTAGAGGTGGACGGCGCGGATGGTGAGCTGAGGGTGGAGTGGTGGGTCGAGGGGTTGAAGAACGTGTATTGATGGACCGTGTCATCATGTGGGAAGCCGTGGAGGAGACTGGTACGTGTCGTGACGGCCCCGGTGTGGGGGCATTCATAGAGGGCGCGGAGGTCCTCTAGGGTGGTTGCCCAGGGGTTGGCAGAGTTGAGGAGAGGTGGGGATATAGGGGGTAACATCGCTCGTAATCGGGGGGCTGGGGCAGAGCACTGCTATGATAATCACCCAGAGTTTATCGTAGGTTTGTATATTGATATGAATCTCGTATAATAGAATATTTCGACTTACAGATTAGTCGGCTGGTGCTAAATCGACCCGGTACACCTCCGATAAAACTATAGTGTAGAGAATGGAGTTTATGCGCGGCCCCTACGATAAGACAAACAATGGAAGGAGGACTTGTCGGACTCGGACTTTGTCGTTCTGCTATACCGCTTGATAAGCAAAGAGAGCGTGAGAGGACTAACGATGAAATCAGCACTGAAACTTGCGCCGATTGCCGCGGGCGACGATTGACTGCAAGCTTGAATGCGATGAAGACGGGATTTGGGTGGTGATGAGGATGCCATGATATGTGCGTAGCGGGCGGGGTAGTTTTTTTGCAATTATAAATTATCAAGCTAAAATAAAGTCTTTGTGATTAGGCGCTGTGGCTGAGTGGTTATAGCGATAGACTAGAAATCTATTTCCTTCGGGAGCGCAAGTTCGAGTCTTGCCGGCGTCGTTTTACCTTTTTCTTTATCTCCTGGTGTATCTTTTGATGTCTTTTTGCAAATCATGAGGCCTCAGAGCTCAGGAAGTCGAAACCTGGGGTAAACGCTGCAAGATTGCCTCAGGCGCACGCGGGTTGAGCACGGGCCGGATTTGCGGGCCGCATCTTCAGGAGCTTCCCGCAAAGCTTCTGACCTTATTAAAGACACCCACTTCCTCAGCCCATATCGGTCCTCTACTTGCGCAACATACAATCCCGCCTCAGCGCCCACTGCGCTATATCTCCCTCCACAACTCCCGACCCGAACTCTACAGAAACCTGCCGCTACTTCAACCTCAGACGTCACCTGGGCCAGGCAGCGATCACCAAGCAGCAAGCAGCCCCAGAGCACGGTATCTGGCTGGCTTGACTGGCAACACATGAGGAGCACCGATGCGCTCTGCCACACCAGACATACGCGCGCGACGTCCATGTCGATCGGATGCACCCGCTGAATCCATTCCTACGGGCCTTCTTTCGAAGCACACTTCCTGCGCAGTGCGCCCCCGTACAGCACCATGTAAGCTCCGGTCCTATCAGCAAGTAGTAGATGCATAAGGTACTGACCCTTTTTGTCTCGCAGATCCTTCTGGTTCCGACCACCGAGTTCTTACTCAACTCCCGCGATCGCGACACCAACGCAGCTTACGCCGATCTCGCGGGCTCCGAGGACTTTCTTGCCAGCCATGTCCTTCGGGTGCCCGGCGGCATTGGGCCGTCGACGCGAGGGAAAGATGGCGCCTTCCGAGATAACAGAGGGAAGGCAAAGCAGTATACCACAGCAAATGGCCGAACGGTGATCATCAAGGATACGTTCGTGTACAGCAACAAGGGTAAGAGTTAGGCTAAAGTGTTTCGTTTGTTGAGCCATACTCACGCCCGCAGGTTTCAAGAGCTTGAATCAAGCGCAGCTGGTGAACGATGCTATCTTCTACCCTGATACGTTCGATGCGCAGCCATGGCTGGTCTACTACATTACCAAGCCATTGATCGGATCACCCGAGCCCGTGCTCATCAAACCCGCCACACTCGAGCCAGCGAAACCAGCAGTGCAGGACGCCTCTACAAGCATTGCGAATGGTTCTGCTTCAAATGTACCGCGAAAGAAAGAAGTCAAGTCCTTCGGGGAACTCCTGAACCACTTCCCGATGATCGCGAGACAAATGCAGCCCGGGCTGGAGCGCCTCTTCAAGGAGTTTGGGCGTGAAGTGGAGAAGCCGCTCCCGGCACTTCCACCAGCGCCGCAATCCACCAATTCGTTGCGCCGGAGTTCGATGTCCTCGTCAACGGAGAGCCTTTCATTGTCTCTGCATAGCAGCCTGTCCAATGGCGCGCACATACACTTTTCTGCTCTGGAGCTTGACGAGAATGAGGACTTCATGAGACGGTCCTTGGAGACTGCTGTAACCGGCGCCATAGATCTGTTCCAGGAAGTGGACAAGCAGCAGCTGTCTTTACTGGGTGCCACGACTGACCTTACCGGGCCGATTGTTGAACGTATGATTGAGCGCTATGTCACGGAGCAAGTACACGACTCCGTTCTCTTTCCGAAAATCCGGACGATTCGTCGTGTTGAGGACATGGAGTTGGACTCGAACATCCGGCAAATGGTTGATGTGGATATTGCGCAAGTCGGCATATCGATCGATAACAATTCGCAAGTCAAGCGAGAGCTTACGGTCCGTGTTTCAAAGGGTGTAGAAGCATTTAAGAAGATGGGTGTAGCGGGCAGTCCTCAGGAGATGATGGACGTGCTTGTTGCAACTCAGAAGGCGATCACGATGCCACAACCAAGCGAAGAGGGCGGGAAAGTGGCTTTGGCCAACGGGATGGTAGGCCCGACCTCCGAAAAGAAGAGTACGAGCCTCACCATCAACGCCGACACTTTGGTCTCCTTACTACTTGTCGTCGTCATTCGATCATCCGTGCGGCATCTTAAGGCTCGATTGTCATACATGAAGCACTTCATATTCGTCGAAGATGTCGAAAGCGGAGAGATGGGCTACGCCCTGAGTACTTACGAAGCTGTACTGTCATATCTATCAAGTGATCCCGGTGGGCTCAGGAGAGCGAGCCGGAGAAACAGGAAGCTGTGGCAAGCGACGAGGAGTGGAGATATTGCCGAAATCCAAGCCGTGCTGGAGCCCAACCGTGCTTTCGACTATGCCAGTGGTCCCGTAGAAGATACAGAAGTGACGCCAAATGATGCGATGCTTGTGAACGGGATTACCGTAGAGCACACGGTGGACCACGAGTTCGTGAATGGTACGGTACGCAACGGAGACTTTGTAGGAGAAGGAAGTCGCCGAGCTTCAGTGCATATCGAGGAGCCACCGCCGACTGGAGATCTGGCCCACGTCTTCCCGTTCCAAAGAGCGCATACACCACCGCCGTCAGCAATCCCAAGGCCCAAGATAAAAAAGCGGGTATCAATGCAGAGTCGAAGTACTTCGAGCTCGTCCGGCTATTCGATGAGATCCCGGGCAAATACAGTCGACTCGCGAGGCAGCGGTATTGAAGGCGATACCTCGATCGAGAGGCTATCCAGAACGCACAGTTCCGGCGGCGAGTCCGTGCTCATGATGGCCGTTGAAAGCGGGCAGCAAAAGTCGCTGCAGTATCTGTTGAGTTTGGCCCAGTACTATCCGCTCGAAGTCGTCCTTGAGGACTGTGATAATGACGGTACGACTCTGTTGAGCACAGCTATCCAGTTGGGTCATACAAATATTGTTGATATACTTCTCGACTTCATCGCGGATCATGCAGAGGGCGACGAGGTCATCAAGGCCTATGTGTCGCGTCAGGATAACAAAGGCCGGTGCGCAGCGCATTACCTCTTCAATCAGCCTCGCTTGATAGCAAGGATAGGACACTTTTTACCATGGCGGTTGAAGGACAAGAACGGCCAGACACCGCTATTTGCGCTGTGCAGATCGTACGATCATGAAGAGTACCGCTCAATGATCGACACAGCACTGACTGCCGCCACCGAAAGTCAAGCGGACGGGGAGCCACTTCACCTGGATGACCACATCGACGGTAAAGGCAACACGTTGCTGCACATCGTCAACGATCCTCAAATAGCAGCGAGGCTGCTTTATCGCTGTGATGCTAACAGCAATGCCGCGAATGATAAGCACTTCACGCCCCTCATGGTTGCCAGCAAATATGGACGGACAGATCTTGTTCGTGTGATGTTTGGCGACGCTAGGGTGGACCTGCATGCGAAGGACCTTCGGGGACTTACGGCGGTGGAGTTGGCCAAGGATGACGAGGTTCGGAATCGGATCGACGACCTTGTGCTGCTCTCCAACGTACCAGCTGCCGACGGACGTATCACCACTGTTGTGCGGTCTTTCTTTGTCGAGGATGGCACCATCAGGCTTGTAATAAAGTCTGGGGCACCAAATGACAACTCTACGATTACGGTTACGACATGTCGAAGATCTTTGACGGACTTCGAAAATCTGGCTAAGCTGTTGGCTATGGAGCAGCCAGCATCTTGGCTGCCATCAGTTGCAAATTTCCCTTCACCATTCCTCATACCGTCCAAGCCGTCACGAGTAGTGCTGCGCGATATCCAGGTGAAGCTTGACGGCTTCTTGAAGAACTTGCTCTCGCACTCGACCTTCTCGACCCACGAGATGGTCTGGGAGTTCTTTCTGGTGCCCGAAATCGAGCACACCATGCTCGCGGAGCGCAGCCGAAAGAAAGCCGAAGCGCGGGTCGAAAGAGTCAAAGACGAGTACGACCCCATCTCCGACGTCCGCGAAGTCGAGCTATTCGTCCAACACGCGCGCGAATCCGTCCGCAGCCTACACCACGCGACGCGCAGCGTGATCCGGCGCGTCAATCGGCTGCGCTTCGCGCACTCCGACTTCTACGACGCCACGACCATGGCCTCCTCCGCCATCTCTACTCTCACCTTCCTGCCGCAATCCCACATCACGGCCCTCGACCGTTACGTCAAGACTCTCGCCCAGCCGGAATTCCCCCCGCTGGCAGCCTTCTACTACAATATCCACGCCATCTTGACAACCGTGACCGCGATCCTGACAGCGCTCGCCCGCCCCGCCTCCCTCATCGGCTCCATGTCCGCATCCCAGAAAGCAATCGACAGACACAACCAGTCGCTCCGTCGCAGCGACCGCTGGCCGCTCGGCCTGCTCGATGACACGCGCCACCGCATGCAGCGCGACGCGGGGGACAAAGTGGATAAGGCGCAGCAGGAGCTCGAGAGCTTGGGAAAGGAGCTTAGGTATACGCAGCAGACTGTTGCGGGCGAGTTGGCGGCGTGGCAGGAGAGTAGGGTTAGGATGGGGAGGATGGCGTGTAGGGAGCTGGCGAGGAAGATGGTTGTGGTTGAGAGGGCGAGGTTGGAGGGCATGAGGAGGGCGGTTAGGGGGTTGGGGTTGGGGAGAAAGGATGGGACGCAACAGGATTCAAGCCGAGGGTCAAGCGGCTAGAAGGCATAGGTACAGGATTTGAGTACTGAGAAGGCGTTCGGGCCCCCTGCATCAAGCGTGTACGCCGAGATGTCTAATCCAAGGGTTGGTTAAACGGCATTCTTTGAATTTCTACGCTGTATCGACCTGCAATGCAGGTGGGGGTATCGGAAGTCTGTCCATCTGCAGAACAACGCGCTTCAAGCTGCATCGAAGAAAAGAAACGCGGTGTGAGCTTCTCAAACGGAGAGCCCAAATCACATGACCACTACAAAAAGCCCAACTCCCCCAAACAGGAGAGCCTTCCCGTATCCTGCCACAGCAACGCTCGCGCCGCCTTGTTGATCAAACAAAGTCCCGCCGTTGGTAACCTGCGGTCCCAGACTGCTAGTTGTTGTTCGTGCGCCCGTCGCCGTCAACGACGCAGACGCCGCAGCCCCTGAAGAGACAGGCACGGGGATGACAGAGCGCGTGACCAGCTGCGTGACAATCGAAGACGGACGCACTGCGACCGCTGTCGATGGCTCCGCGTCTACAGCAGCCGTCGATGACTTCTCGTCTACAACAACCGTCGACGACGCCTGCAGAGGGATACCCACAACATACGTCTGGCCCGCGCCATTCGTCGTCGTCTGCTTGACGTCCTCCTCATGCGACTGCGGTGTCTCGGTTGCTGCGGGACGTTCCTGGTTGCGCGCAGGCGTGGAGTGGGCTGCTGCGCTGACGGTGGGAGCCGCGGTAGCCGCGACTTCGCAGCTGCGGATCACGGACGCGGGGATTGGTTCTCCGAGGGCTTTGCAGGTGGCCGCGAGCGGGCGGAGGATGGCGCGGACGTCGAAGGACTCGGTGTCGCTGTCATCATCATCGTCGTCATTGTTGTGGCCGGGCTTGGCGCATTTGTCGCGCGCGCAGGTGATGGTTGCGGGGAGGAGGTTAAGGGTGCTGTGGGAGCAGATGCCTGGTGGTTATTAGTCAATGGAATAGGTTGTGTAAGGGCGAGATGAGAGGGCCTACATGACAGGTCCCACCAGCCTCTGCAATTGTAGTCGGCGGCGGCCTCGACGCAGTTGCGCCAGCACTTAGGGAAGTCGTTGATGGAAGTGCCGCTGGCGGCCGCTGCCAGCAGCGCGAAGGCGAGGGTAGTAAAATGAAGCATTTTCTGAGGCTGCTCAAGGGGCAATCGTTGCTAGCTGAGGGCAGAAGACTTTAAAGGAATGACTGAAGGAGTGACTGGATGATCTAGAGAGGACCGTAGACCTGCCTCGGCAGCGGGCAGTTCATGTGCGCAGTTGCATGTTTGGAGCAGCTCCCTATGATGTTTATGAAGGACAGCCCCAAGGGCGACCTTATATTGCGCAGGGTTGTTTCAGGTTTCACTTCCCCAGATGCTGGCGGAGAACCCCTGCACCTACCCGGCCGCCAATCTCCCGTAAGGCTGAATTGGCGGCGGATACATCCTCTCTGCAGCCCTGGATTCACTCACAGTATTATGTTAAGTCCCCTATGAATGCTCTCTGTCCGACGAAGACTCCCTGCGTGGGATTCTCCGAGCATTCGGCAAATTCAAGGGTATGGCCTGAAAATGATATGGGTAAGTGTCGTTCACGTGACGTCTCGGTCTCCCCGAGCAAACTTCTTCAGACGTCACATCATCCAGTGGAAATCTTTCCACAATCCAATCCCAGAGTCTATATAAGTGTCCTTCGTTTCCGAGTCATCTAATGCTCCGTACATTGCACCTGTACAATAGCATTTCGTAGGAGCTACATATGGCTGTATCCCTGATTGTGAAAGAGCTCGGATTGAAATACTATGGAAGCCGCAGGGCTTGCACTCGGCGTCCTCGGAGCGGTTGGCGTGTTGGGCCAGATGTTCGATGGTTGCATCAAAGGCTACCGAGTCTTCAGCACGGCCTCTAATCTCGGCCGCGACAGCGAGCGGCTAGTCTGCAAGATTCGGATCGAGGAGACGCGTCTCTGGGTCTGGGGCCGACAATGCGGTGTTGTCGAGGGGAAATTTGAAGCCCATCTCGCGGCCGGAACTTGGGGCCACGAAGGGCTGAAAGATCTGGCTACGGAGGTCCTGGCACAGCTGTTGCAGACCATCACTGACTGCAACAAGCTGCAGGAGAAGTACGGGCTCAAGGAGGAAACGCCTGGGAGTGTGGATAAGGAGGCGTATATGGCGTACAAAAAGTCTGCCGATATGAAGAGCTTCAAGACTGCCAAGATCAAGGATGAGTGGAGGCTTCGTGCGAGATGGGTCATTGCCGATAAAGAACAGTTTGAAAACTTCTTGAAAGATCTTCAGTACTTCAACGACAGTTTGGAGAAGCTATTCCCGCCAGGTCAGGTGACCACGCTTCAGAGAGCGTGGACAAGCGAGCTGTTGCAGTCTGCGGAGCGGAACACTGGAAGCCTGGAGCTTCTGGAGAACGCGTCGAGCGGGCGGTATCCTGGGCTTACCACCTTTGCCCAGCTCAAGCGGCTAAGAATCAATCTCGATGCAAAGGAGCCTTCGAAGAAGATCCTCTCGACTTCTGAGCTCAAGCAGCAGCAGTGGCGCATCAAGGTGCCTCCCGGCGAAGACTCTGTAGGCACGCGGGTACGGGCTGTATACCAACGGCCTCAGGACACACCGCCCTACTCGGAAGACGTACCTGTGCTCGTCGAGTGGATCCCCTACGACGCCATATCGGACCTCGATGCACGCCTCCACCTCTACCAGCGCGTGGACAACCTCTCACGAATGCTGCACTCCTGCTCATCACGCCATCCGGATCTCCACACGCTCGACAGCGCGGGCTACTTAGACGACACGCCCCACAGCCGCTACGGCATCATCTACCTCGGTCCTAGTCAATCAAGCGCAGCCCCGTCCACCATGCCACCATTCCACACCCTCTCAGCCGCAATCGAAAACCAAGGGAAACGGACCCCGGACCTCGAAGCGCGCTTCTCCCTCGCCCGCACCCTCGCCATCGCCCTCTGGTCCTTCCACTCCCTCGACTGGCTCCACAAGTCCTTCTGCAGCCACAACATCCTCTTCTTCTCATCGCCCTCAGATCCCTGCCCCCGCTCCGAGCACCACGACCTCAGCGCGCCCTACGTCGTCGGCTTCGACAGCTCGCGCCCCGACGGCCTGGCAGAAATGACGGCGGACCCGCGCTTCGCGCACGGCGAGGACCTGTACCGGCACCCGGACAGCCTGGGCGTGTGGCGGCAGAGCTACCGCAAGGCGTTCGACGTCTACAGCCTCGGCCTGGTGCTGCTCGAGATCGGGCTGTGGAACCCGAAGCAGAGCATCCGCAGCATGCACAAGCCGCGATACTCGCCCGCGGCGTTTAGGGAGAAGATTGTGCAGGGCGCGGTGCCGGCGCTGGGGTCCAAGACTGGGTCGGCGTACAGGAGGGTTGTGGAAAGGTGTTTGGGGTTTGGGGAGGAAGGCCTGAAGGAAGGGGAGGGGATGAATCCTAATCAGATGATGGAGTGGGTCGTGAGGACGTTGGAGAGTCTGAGGGTGTGAGTTGGTTGACCGTCCACGAGCTTCTTCCGATGGCTCTCGAGCGGGAGAGGCCCAAGCGCTCGCGAGCCTCCGATTATACTGGTTCATCAAAAGCTCCACAGGCACTGCTGTTGGCCCGCCAATGTCGAAGCCTGTGGTCCAGTGGCTTGGAGAGTTCCGAAACCAGACCCAAACTCACAGTCAGGGCCCACTCCAATAGGAGAGCTAGTTACCCATTCGCCGCCATCAACACAAGAAGCGTCCTCCGGTACCACTATCTCGCTCAAAAATCGCCGATTGCCTCATTCATCATGCGACGTCATATAAATCTAAGGAGGCGTCAATGAAGCATTCCGTCGGCGCACGGGAAGCCGGAACTCCCCAGCGGGCTGTTAGATCGGAAGATTTAGCGGCGAGATTAACCACTCGACCGGCGCCCCGATCCCTCTTTTATGTGCGCGGTTTCTTTTGAAGCGATGAAGCATAGGATCGGAAAAGTTAGCGAGGAGACGCGCGTCCGAATATTGAATATGATATCATGACGGCAGGTGTGCCGCTAGCTCAGGAACGCTCATATGGTCCCGTGATATGGGGAAGTACTACTGTTTCGAGTCGTGCGTTGTGCGTGTCGTTCAGAGGCCAAGACGACACCTGACATTGCACAATGCATTGGTAATTGAATTGTAGATGCTTTGATAGCGAAATATTTTGCTAAATCATACTGAGATAACTGTATTACCGCCGCACATGGGCACGCTAACTATGTGCAAGGAATCGTCGAGAAGCAATCCAAATGCTATGCAGAGAGATTTCGCTCAAACCGCCCCTCCCGTGCCCAGCCTGGCATGCCCCTTTCCCAATCATTGCTTCGTACCGTCGATGCATCCTCCCAGCATTCTTAGAGTAGAACAAGGAGAGAATGTCCAAACAATATCATGTCCCGTGATGTCTCCAACTTTCATCGCACATTAGGAGTAGATTGTGAGACGCTTAAAGCATGGCAACAGCGACACCAGCAGCGGCGATGAGGCCGAAGAGGCTGCTGACGCCCATGCCGCTGGCACCACCCAAGAAGGGTTGGGGGGTAGCGGTGGCGGAGGCATTGCCAACGGAGGTGGCAATCGGCTGGCCGTCGGATCGGACGGGCACAACTGAGGCGGCAGACGAGGCGATCGGCTGGCCGTCAGAGCGCACCGGTACGACGGACGCAGCGGAGGAAGCGATGGGCTGACCGTCGCTGCGGACGGGGACGACCGAGGCAGCAGAGGTCGCGATCGGCTGGCCGTCCGAGCGGACTGGCACAACCGAAGCAGCGGATGTAGCGATTGGCTGGCCGTCGCTACGGACCGGGACAGCGGACCCGGCGGAGGAGACGATGGGTTGGCCGTCCGAGCGGACAGGGGCAACGTCGGCAGCGGAGGAAGCAATCGGCTGACCATCCGAGCGGACAGGGGCTACGTCGGCAGCGGAGGAAGCAATGGGCTGGCCATCGCTGCGGACCGGAGCGACCGAGGCGGCGGACGTGGCGATCGGCTGGCCATCAGAGCGAACTGGGGCACCAGATGTAGCCACGGGCTGGCCGTCAGGGCGGACAGAGGCACCGGTGGAAGCAGCAGGCTGGCCATCGGCGCTCTGGGTAGCGGAGCCGCTGCCGCTGTCAACGGCGACGATGTAAATGGGCGAGCAGGTGTCAGCCCAGTTGCGGTCGTAGAGGTTGTAGAAGTCGCCGCTGTCGCAGCCGTAGAAGACGGCGGAGCCGCCGAGGGCTAGGCTGCCGTTCTCGCAGACGGAGAAGCCAGCGGTGTAGATGGCGCCTGCCTGGGGCGGGGCGTCATACTGCCACTGGAAGTTCGAGGCAATGTAGCCGGTGCGGCCTTGCTGGTCGGTCAGAATACCGTCCTCGAGACTGAGGGTGAGTACGGTATCGGCCGGGCCGCCAGATTCTTGGCGCTGTGATCTTTATTAATTTTGTCGAAGCTGCAGATGTAGCGGGTAATCTTACCTTGACCTTGTTGGCAGTTGTGGCATTGACAACGGTGACCTGGAATTCACCAGGGTCTGCAGGCATGTTAGCCGACGATCCTCAAATGCGAGCTTCGCGAACAACGGGCACTGACAGGATACTTGGCAGCCAGCCGGGGCAGACGCCTCAGGAGCGATCTCCTCGGTGACGCCCTGGGGAAAAGGCGAAGCAGCCGCAGCCGCAGCGAGGGCGAGGACAGCGAGGGAGTACTGCATCTTGATTACGAGATTAAGTGTAGTGTAACGATATGTGGTATTGGTGATCTGTTCGATGCCGAGAGCTCGAGCGATAGTTGTTGATTCTCAAGAGCGAAAGTAGTGGAATGCAGTTCGGAAAGCAGCTGCAAAGCGAAGGTGAAATAGTACAACGCGACAGAGAGGAGGCAGGAATCGGAGGCTGGCGAGGTTGGAAGTGAATCAAATAGGCTGCTCTCCCCTTCACCGTGTCGACGCAGACCTTGCACAGCTGGATGAGCCGTTCACACGCTAGCGCACAGCACCCCCTCCATTGCACGACGACATTTCAGCCTCCACCCCGCAAACAACGCTTCCCAACACGCATTGCCACCAATAATGCCTAAGCTTTCAGAGGGGCGGGTGGACGATGCCGTGGCGCTATCGCCAAGTGAGAGCCAATCGAAAGGAAGGGTGGAGGCAGGGAGAACGAGATCAAGACGCAGCGACTTCCGTGAATAGAACAGTGCCGAGCTCCACCAAGCGAGCCATACCGAACATTGCAGGAAATCGCCACGAACATACGTAACCCACCGGTAGCTAAAGGCCAGAGATCAGGCTCACCTCGGAAGCTCGCCGTTCAGAGAGCCATGGTTCCTGCCATAGCTCCTGCCATGGTGAAGGCCCGTTCGCTATGATGACGGTGGCAGGTACGCCGGCCACAAACAACGTGAGGCAGGTTTGAGACATGTTGCCGCGGCGCCAGGACAGGAATGCCATGCTCGTCATCGACGCTGCGGGCCCCTCAACCTCTGAGCTGCCGCTTGGACTCGGTGCAACTGGCGCTCCAGCCGGACAAAAAGAGGATCTTCGCGCCTGAACGGATGGCCGGACTTCCTCAACGCATTAGCGTCGTTGACCAGACTCCAGATCCTGCAGGGAAATGGCCTCACACAGGCAAGCTGAGATGCACTTGAAAGGAGCCAACGAAAGCTGTGCCGGCAGTCTAACCAGCTTGGTTGCCTTGGAGAACTCTCAGCGTCTCTGAAACGACGGTGATCAACAACTGCGTGGCCGTGAGAGGAGGTTGGACGTTCGGACAGGCTGCCTCGCATCGCCCATCCCTGGCCTATGAGATCCTCCGGCCCGTCACCACCGTCAGCATCGGGACTAGCGTGAGATAGCGATCTCGCAGCAACTCCCAAGCAATGCCCGCTGCATGCACAACTGGGCAGGCAAGAAAAACCTTAGCCGCTCCTTCGGTTACCCAGAAAGGATGCAGCTGGAGGTCAGCCGGCGAGATGCCCGTCATGTGCAGTCGCTTCTGACAAGGGTCGCGGACGGGGATAAGCCTGTCCAGCATGCGAAAATGGGCCTGCCGGGGACCGTGAGCAACCGCCGGCCTCGCAAATCGCGGCACAGTCGCCTCACTCGAGACTGGCCTTGGAGGTGGTCAACATACAGGGCATAAATCTTGATTCGGTGTTCCGAGTACCTAGAGACTACTCGTCACGGCATGCGTGCAATATCAGAAGTAGCACCAGCTGACCGCGTCGCGTAGGTTAAGCGGATGTCACCAGGACAAAAACCGTCTGCAACGTGGTGACGTTGAAAGATGCAAGTCTCTAGCTGCAGTGGGACTAAGGGACTGTGGATATCAATTATGTACATGTACATCGATGCGGCTACCAAGACTGCAGCAACGTGGGGTATCTGTGTCACCGTGGCTGTCGCAGAGCTTGGTTTGCTGCATGCTCGTAACCCGGAAAACGCTCTCTCCAACCTGTGAGATACCTGGATCGGAACAGGGTCCACCAACATTGAGACGCCAAAACGCCATGCTTTTCAGTGACCAAAATCAAGATGTAAACAAATCCTGCGCTGAACGCTGAATCGAGGTAGTGAGTGCTTCGCAATACAAAAACAAGGCCCGGACGTCCAGGTGACCGTTTTCGAAACACGAGCGGTGATCACTCGCTTTCTTCTTCAGGCTTGGCCGTTGGTGCAAAGGCGCTCCTCTGTCGGATCTTACCCCCCTTCAGGTAGAACCACACAGGCACAGGCACGAGAACGGCAGCGAGACAGCCGAGCAACGTGCCCGCCCAGTTGACGCCAAGGCCTTGGAACATCTGTCTGGCGAACAATGGAAAGGCAGCCCCGCAGAGCGAGCGCAAGAACGTATTTGCTGCGATGGCAGAGGCCGCGAACTGTATCGAATCGTTAGCCAGATGTGCAGAAGGAAGAAGCTCCGGCGTGTACGTACCATCAGGTAGGCGTCTACCAAGTAGTTGAGAGCTTGCAAAAAGATCGACAGAAGTCCAAAACCGGTCAGGAGACCGCTGAGCGTTGGAACAATCCAGTGCACGTCTGCTCTGTAGCCGCTCCACGAAAACCAGAACAAGCCTGCGGCGAAAGCAGCGCCCCCAATGATGACCTCAGGAAGTCGCCATTCTGGGACCGGCACGTCGTTGTTCGCCGCCAGCTTGCGCTGATAACCCGGCTGCCGGAGGACGATGAACAAGCCTGCAAGCAGCTGACCGATGATCATACCAAAGAACGGAAGGCCGCCAACACCTAGGTTCATGCCGTGAATCCCTTGGAACACGATCGGGTACGCGGTCAGGAAGAGGTAGAGAAGACCGTAGATGAAAGCCATATACACGCTGAGCAGGAAGACGATGGGCTCAGTGAAGAGCAGACGAAGTGGCCGACTCAAGTTCTTCTCCAGGAGTTCGCGTAGGTCGATTTCGATTTCCTCTTGCTTCGCGTGGATGCCCCAATTCTTCGTTCGTCGACGGAGTTCCGCTGCTTTCTCGACCAGGATGATTGGAGGATAGGTCTCCCTCAAGAACAGTGTGTCGACGCCGAAGGCAAGGAATCCCATGATCGCGACGATATATTCGGTCCATCTCCAACCGAGATCAGACATGACGATAAAGCCGCCGATGAAAGGTGCCAACAGCGGACCGCTAAAGACCGTCATGGAGAACAGTGTGATCGCAATACCCCTGGTACGATTATCGAACATGTCCGAGAAAACGGCCGCAACAACGGTCAAGGGGCAGGCGCCGAAGAAGCCGCTGAAGAACCGGCAGAGCAGCACTGTCTGAATGTCCTTGCCGACGGCTACCCCTATAGAGAATATGGAGAAGCCGAACATTGCGATGATCAACGGCTTCCTACGGCCATACAGCTCAGATCCAGGTGCCCAAATCAATGGTCCAGTGGCGAAGCCCAATACATAAAGCGATACTCCGAGTGTGCCTACGTTGGTGGACACCCCGAACACGGTTGCGATGGTTTGTGTGGCGGCGGAAAAGATACTGCTGCCGAATGCTGCGACAAGAGTGGTATACCCAAGCATAGCGGCAACTGCAAGCCTACGTCATTTCCTCGTCAGCTACTGCCATCTACCACCAGATGTTCTGCAAACTCACTTCTCTCTCAGCGGCCAATTCTGCGCGTGCATTGGATCATCATGGCCCGAAAACTCCACCACATATTCTTCTTGTGCAGGCAAGGACGGAGGATAGGGTTTGCCTGCTCCAAACGGCGGCAATGGCTTGTTCGACTTTCTTGACCGCGAGGTCAAATTCGCCCCAACTGTCTGACTGTGCTGACTTCGTTGTGTCTGTATACGGCTTAGAGCAGTAGGATGGCGGTCTAGTTCCGCAGCGCTTTCGTGAACCGTAGGTATCCTCGACATGCCAATCTCTTCTCGTACTACAGACGCTTCTGAAGAGGATGTCGAGGAAGAACCACTGGAGGTGGCGGTGACAGTTCGTTCTAGAGACTCGTGCCGGGCTGCGCGCTGGTTTTGGCCGTATGTAGGGAAACGGTCCGGGCTGGCATCTCGCTCAGCCTTCTCGATGTCGCGATCAAGGATGTCCATCATGTTGGCGTTGACTGCAAGAACTGCAAAGTGTGGAAGGGTTCTTTAAAGAGGCAATGGCTGGCGATAATGTGCTGTATATATTTTGAAGCAACCGTCTTTGCCGTAGCTCGGCTGGCAGCGGCAACTAATGGAGCTAAGAAAATCTCTTTTTATTAACCCAGGGCACAGCAAAGACCGGCCTTAAGGATAGATAGGATGTGCCAGTGTGTGTCTTGTTGGGGAAGAATCGGATATATCGGGACGCAAAAAAGCGATGAAACGAAGGCGACGCTGCTTCGCTGAAAAGAATCCTCTGGAGGTGTTTGCAAGCAATGACGTTATTGCCGAAGCTCCTGCCGTGAGATCCGCGCGCTTAGGGAGTTCAGCCTTGCCAATTGCCCAACGGTCGTCTCAATCTCGCTCTCGAGAAAGAGCGACCCTCCGAGATCTTTAATACTACTGCGTGGCCAGGTTCGTCTGCTGAGAGGAGCAAGGCGTATCGTTGCATCGAGCAGCCATGTGTCTTCCCTTCTGCGAATCAATTGACGCGACATTGCGCGCATCTGCAGTTGCAGAGTTGTAAGCCAGGGGCTGCTGCACAGTCAGCGACAATGGCTTTCCCGTCACACTGTAGGATGCATCCTTCGGCCGTATCCAGTGAGTTCGCACATGGCCCACGGGCCAGTGGCAAGGCGATTGAAGTCGTGAGTGCACGAAGGTCCAGAAGGTCCGCCAGACAAGAGGTATTGTACACGTCTCTGGTCACGTGACCGTTTCACATGCTATCATATACTTTGAGTCTGCTAATGTATGCACTTCAGTTCCACCATCAAAGGCGTCTTGATGACGATGAGATTGCTGAGCATCCGACTGCCGAAACAATAAAAATAACACTTTTGTGCTCATAGCATCCTCCACCATGCCCTTTAGTTAAGAGACTGGGCTTTCCAGAGATTCTGCAACGTCTGCTGTAGCCAGCGTCCGAATTCAGGGCCCGTATTCCCAAGCTATCCACGAGAAATTCCAACGCCAGACATGGCGAACAGTTCTACCAGCCGCCAGCTCAATGACTCAACAGATCTCTGACGCTCATTCCTCTGCCCCCGTTCGCTGAAGTCCAGATCCTGCGGTCACTGTTCAACATCAGAAGTGCACTGCTGGCTTCGTGATCGTCCTGATCCGGCTGCGGACGCAGCGCTGGAGAAGTCAAGGAGGTGAAGCTCGTTGAAGCATGGCTCGACTGCACGCTAAAAGCCGGAGAGCTTCGCGCAAACTGTCCAGAGGAGGTATAGGACAATGCATAAGAAAGCCTTCGGCGGTCCAGAGCCCCGAAGGTGGGTGATGTGTTCGATGGTGTTGGGCCATAGGGAGAGTAGTGGATGCCTGGGGATGAGCTGCTGGTCTGGGTACCCGGCACGAACGCCGAAGCTGAAGTGCCAATGGTCTTTCGATTAGTGGATGGAGCGGAAGTCGGTGATGTTTCCTCTACCATCTCTTCGTCTTCGCTTCCACCCTCCTTGTCGTCCTCCTGCTCGTATTCGTCTCCGTCGCCTTTTCTATGGTCAAAAGACGGGTATGGCTCTGACACTGAATAGTTCGTGGATATGGAAGGCGGGTTGCGGGCCTGATGGGAAGCCTTGAGGTCGGACACGCACTTCTCCAAGTAGCGCATATAGTCAATGCTTGCCTACAAAGTCTATGAGCATCACGTGCTCCAGTCGAAGTCACAATATCATGAAGCTTATCCGCACCTGTAGTATGGAAAGCTTGTGCATATCCTGCCCCCTGCATGCCGGTATCATATCCTTCAGTACACCAAACTCCTCGTTCATCTTCGATCGTCTCCGCCGTTCAATCAGGCTATGAGCCGTCTTGCGCGCAATCTTCCTCCCAGCAGTAGTCGTGCCGTCTGCTTTCTTCCTCTTAGAGCCACCTGCTTTCGGAGCGGGTGTAGTGTTGTTCGCTTCGCCAGCTCCCGCTATGCTATCCACCTGCTCCGCCTCGTGGACCCGCGGCTTCATCGGTTTGAACTGCCTCGACCTTGTCGGTGGAGGAGGGAGATCACAAGCCTCGGCGCTGACAGGATGTTGCGCAATTTTTGCTCGCTTCCTTGGCAATGCAGACGGTTCTCTTGCACTGGCCTTTCTCATTCCTGCTGACGAAGGAGGTGACACGGGCCGGTAGGAGGAGTCGGAGCCGTTGGATGCTGCGCTTGACGGACTGGCACTGCCATTGCTAGCCGTAATGGCGGCCGGCGGCAGCGCGAACGACGGGTCCAAGTGCGTGGCTAGCACGTCTGCCTTTCCAGAAATATCGGTTGAGGACGCTGGCGTGGGGAGGAAGGTTCGGCGTGACATGGCGGCGGAGTACCGTGATGGACAGAAGAGGGAAGCAGGTCTCAAGTGATGGGTGCCGGTGTTGTAAAGCGGCAATCTGGCTGAGCAGGAGCCCGAAAGGTTAAAGGCTGAAGAGAGGGCATGGTCAACGGGGCACTTGGTGGGCAGATATGAGGGTCTGCCTCAGAGCTGGTGTCGCGTGCGTGCTCCGGTCGATTGGTGAGGGTGCGAGCTCAGAATGCGCAGGATTAAGGCCCCGTGTCGATTTGCGCGCTCCCATTGGCGGAATAGAGCATCTCAAAAAATCCCTTGCCAAGGCCGCGCTGGGCACTGCGCTGATAGCGTGCTCCCCGCGCGTTCGTTGAAGCAATGCCGGGCGGAGATGTGACGCCGTCCGCACGAGCACCGATGCACAACTGTCGCTGGCTGGGTTTGAAGACCCTTCCGGTGAAGCAGCCATCCTTCATCGGATCAGCTGAGCGCAGGTGAGTGCAGCAGGTGAGCCAATTGCGAGAAGCGTACAGGAGCCGGGGGAGAGAGGGTTGTGGACTGATCTTCTCTGGTCATCTCCGGGGGTTGTATGTATGTGAGTTGCAACGAGAGGCGTCCTGGAGGCTCGTCCTCTTTCGAGCACATCAAAGTTCTTTCTCTCACACGATCGTCGCGTCCTTGCAAGCTCTCTATCACCGCATTGAGTCCCATCTGAGGCGCGTCTCGCTCCGGCCCATCAGCTGCCGGTTTATCTCGAGGTACGAGAACAGACCTGCGGGGCTCCATGTGCACCCTTACAAGCATGAGCTAACACGTCTGGTTGAAGTCTCGAAAAGTAGAGTCCGTCTCCACTGGCTGTCAACGAAAGTACGATACTCTTCCTTGCTCTAAGTAGGCATCTTAGTAAAATATCCAGCTCCACGTTGACGCTCCTACACTGCCGAAGGCCTTGAAGCTTTGGAGTCGGCATAGCTTCATGGTAGCTGGTAGCAAAGGTGACCATGCGTCCAGTCTTCGCAAGTGATCGGTGCTCCTAAGTGAACCATTGTACTGACGTCGTCAAAGCTCACAGAGTGCGGAGGGGACCGTATGATGGTTCTCCCGAGGTTACTGTGCTGTCACTTGACGTTGATACCGAGTAACTTTATGTAAATGGACGGGTGAGGTCGGGAGATGGCGGCCAGGAGAGAAAGAGCGGCCCGCATGGCCGATTGCGCATTGGCCAAGGATAAAAACAAACCCCACCTTCCGTCACCCAACAACCCCTCCTTCAGCTTCAAAAACCCCAATCAGTCATACAAAGCATTGAGTATCAACAACCACACGTCACGCATCAACAATTACAGCTCGAACCTCAACTCACAATGGGTGTCAAAGATGTTCTGTCTCGCAAGGAGGGCGTCATCGTCGGCGACGATGTCAAGGCCCTCTTCAAATACGCACAGGAGAACAACTTCGCCATGCCCGCCATCAACGTCACCTCCTCCTCCACGGTTGTTGCGGCATTAGAGGCAGCGAGGGACAATAAGGCACCGGTCATCCTCCAGATGTCGCAGGGCGGTGCGGCGTACTTCTGCGGAAAGGGCGTTTCGAACACCGACCAAGCCGCCTCGATAGCTGGAGCCGTTGCTGGTGCACACTACATCCGGTCGGTTGCGCCGGCCTACGGAATTCCTGTCGTCCTGCACACCGACCACTGTGCGAAGAAGCTCCTTCCCTGGCTGGACGGCATGATGGACGCCGATGAGAAGTACTTCGAGCAGCACGGCGAACCCCTCTTCTCCTCCCACATGATCGACCTTTCGGAGGAGGAGGTAGACTACAACATCAAGACCACGGCTTCGTATCTGAAGCGTGCCGCGCCCATGAAGCAATGGCTTGAGATGGAGATCGGTATCACCGGTGGTGAGGAGGATGGCGTCAACAACGAAGGTGAGTGGCATACACTTAGGGGACCAAATCTTACCGCGCTTCATGACCGCGATATGCATACAAGACCCTGGTTCCTCGTTGAACTCTCAACTGACTGTGATGACAGATGTCGACAACAACTCGCTCTACACCCAGCCAGAGGACATCTGGGAGATCCAGAAGACGCTCCAGGTAAAGCAATGAAATCAAATTTGTATCCCTCGATCGAGCATAGCTGATCCACGTGACTCGCACCAGGACATCAGCCCCTACTTCTCAATCGCTGCCGGCTTCGGCAACGTGCATGGCGTCTACAAGCCGGGTAACGTGAAATTGCACCCCGAGCTCCTCCAGAAGCACCAGAACTACGTGGCAGAGAAGATGGGCAGCAAGGACCCCAAGCCTGTCTTCCTCGTCTTCCACGGAGGCTCGGGCTCGTCAAAGAAGGAGTACACAGACGCCATCTCCTACGGTGTCTGCAAAGTCAACCTCGATACCGATCTCCAGTTCGCGTATCTCGAGGGTATCCGTGACTACGTCTTGAACAAGAAGGATTACCTCATGACCCAGGTCGGAAACCCAGAGGGCGAGGATAAGCCCAACAAGGTAGGTCCTCATAATGTCAATAACTATCTGAGTAGGCGGCTAATTTTCTGCACTAGAAATACTACGATCCTCGCGTCTGGGTCCGTGAGGGCGAGAAGACGATGAGCAAGCGCGTAGCGGTTGCCCTGAAGGACTTCAACACTGCGAACCAGATCTAAGCCGACTTCTCCAGCGCTCACCTGTCCATCGCAGTGCTTCAATAGGTGTAAGATTGGGACTCCGAACCGCTACGTCGATTCTAGGCGCAAGCTTCCAAGGGGACTGTTGTAGTTGGCTACAGCAGACTGCAAGCCCGTTACTTGATTCCGTGGCGAGACTGCTACTCTGATAGGTAGATAGCTGTCCACAATGCATATACCGAATCTGTCCCCTATCTTGCAGGTTGATGAACGAGATCCCCGTATACTGGCTGGTGTGTTCGAGCCGCTTCGGAGAGCACGAACTCGGAATTATCAGCCGGATCATGACATCTCCGCAGTACAAGCCATTCCGCCTCCTTTCACAACCTGCATTGTAGTCCCGATTCTTGGTCCTCCAAATCGAATGAGACCTTTGTATTTGCACCAATGAGGATACAGTGAAAGGTATTCCTGCCTCACTCGTTTAGCTCTCCAATCATTTCAAGTCTCCATATGTCCAGTCTCTTAACATGACCGCCATACTCACAGCTGCCAGGGAGGCGATATCAAGCGGTCGCAAGCTTGTTACATAGTTTGCGAACGTCGCTGCCCCATCGTAATCTTATGTGGAATGGATAAACAGGCACAGATCTCAGGAATAACAGAGCCTAGTGATATCCACTTCGCAGGCCGAAATATCGCATCTAAGGCTCACAGTGCAACAGCACTGACACGAGTATGTCAATCACGCGAAACAGGTACAAGCCAACAAAAGCAAGACGATGTTGTCCAACTGCTATGCGACACTCCTTCCAAGGCACCCAGCATCGCAATACTATTGCCAAAGCCTACATGTTCCATCCGCCCCCGCACTCACACACCACGGCTGCTTCGGATGCCAATCAACATCCAACACTCCCAACTCCTTCCTGACCTGATGGCCCCTCAACACCTTCAGCGGCACAATCGTGGCATTCTCCATCAGATCCCCCACAACCTTCCCATGGAAGATCTGCAAGCTCCCATCGTCGCTCGCGTCCGCGAACAGCGGCAGCCCGCCCTGATGGAACCGCACGGCGCGGATGGCCTTCTTGTGGTACCTCAGCGTCTTGTACGGCCTCGTTGACAGATCAAGATCATGCCACAGGAGCCTACGGTCGTAGGAGCCAACAATAAGGTTATCGCCCCCGGGGTGGATATCGAACGACGAGATCCACTTCGCGCCCGGCTGCAGGATCTTCAGGAGTTCCCGCCTCGCGAGGTCGTAGCTGCGGATGGTGCGCTGGGTCGCGACGAAGAAGATTGGTTTCGACGGGTGGAACTGCGCAGACTGGGCGAGGCCTTTGAGGCGCCGGAAGGGGAGTTGGGTCAGGTGTTTCGAGAGCGTGTGGATGGCGATGGCGCTGCTTTGGCCTTGGGGGGAAACGGTGGAGAAGTACTCGCCGCGGCGGTGCCAATTGATTACTTTGACGGTTGAGCGGACGGTTATTTTTACAAGAACGCCCTTCTCTTCGAGCTGGGGTCCGGGTCGGGTCCATTTGGCGGCAGCTTCTTTCTTCGCCGGCCCATTCGTTGCGGAGGCTCCGTTGGTGGCTGCGTAGCCCCATCCAGCGTCCAGCACGTCGCGAGAGCTTCGCTCTACATCGGGTTTTCCGGCGATGGGAGGGGAAACTAGGAAGATGTTCTCGCCAGAAGCGGCTGCGAGGATGAACGCTTCCGTTCCGGGCCTCCATCTCACAACGTTGACCGCCTCATCTCCTGAAAACTTCACACTCCAGTTTTGCCGCCCTGTTCGAAGTTGCCACAGCCGAACCGTGCCGTCGTCACCGCCCGTTGCCAGATACTCCCCACTGGGATCGATAGCGAGACTCCTGACACGACCCTCATGGCCCCTGAACACCACAGAGCAGGCGGTAGGAAAGGGCCGCAACTCATCTGGACTAGGCAGTTTTGGTAACAGTGACTCCGGATCGATGTTGAGCTTGCTCCTTCGCACACGAGGGGCCAGGTATAAGTCTAAACACCTTTCGAACTTCTCTTTCACGAACTTGTCGTACCCGGGCACCTTTCGCAGCGCGTCATGATCCCTTGATAAATACTCCCTATCGCGGTCTTCCTCGTCTGTGTTCTCCCAAGCAGCCCTCTCTGCCTTATCCGGAAGGTACTCTGGCGGCGGGTGGTAACTCTCGTCGTGTACGGGTGGCGGCAATTTAGGCGCGGGTACATGCATTACATGATCAGGTCGCGGCGCTTCGTCTGCCCAGAGATCGTATCGTTTGACCTTTGGGTCCTCATCTTCGGTCTCCTCGGGGGGTCTGTAGGGTTTTATCCTCCCTTCTTTGATAGCCTTGACGATCTTCATCACCCTCTTAGCCTCATGCTTCGAAGGCACAAATCTTCGCTTCGGCTCCGGTGCAGCACTCAACGGCATGATCTCCGTCTTGCTCGTGAAGTATTCGACCATGTCGGGGTACGGATCGTAGCCTTCCTCCGGTACCTCGTTCCGGGTGAGCTTCTTGAGCACTTCCAGTTCTTCTCGGCTTAGCTCAAGCGGCTTGCCTGTCGCTGGGTCTGTGAGACCTGTCCATCCCTGGGGTACTTCTATGCTGTCTAGGAGTGCATCGAGCGCTTCGCCCTTTGCTGGTCGCATGATCTTCTTCCCGTTGATGTCGTAGCCGATGTGAGGATAGGAGTCGTAGAAAGAGAGAGGAATTTCACCGATGGTGTTGACAGTTGCTGGCGCGTCTGAATCGTCTGATTCGTAACCGGGCTCGATCTCCTGATACAGGTAGCGCGGATTACCGTTCGCGTCGGTCGTGACTGTGTAGTTCGGCTTGAGATCCTCTATGTCGTCTTGTGTATTGGTCTCCCCTAATGCTCCTGTGGCAGCTTGTGGCAATTCTGCGCCATTGACTTTTACGAGTCTTCCGTTCGCGCCCTTGGGGCTCTCCACATCTGCGGTCTTGAGATTCCTGATCTGTTCCCGGATATCCTCTTCCCCATACTCAGATGGTATCTCATCACTCTCTAGCTCTTCCTCGCCATCCATCTCGTCTTCACTCCCCTCGTCCTCTTCTTCTCCGTCCTCCTCCTCGTCGTCGCTGTCATCAAACTCTTCACCGTCGTCGCTTTGCGAGAGTATCCCGCCGAGTAGAGCGTCGCCAAGCTCGTCGCTGTCATCCCGCACATCGGGAAGCGCTCGAGTTACAAGCTTGCGCTTCCTGCTGCCGTTGAGCTGCGACATTGTTGCTGTTACGCCTCAGTCGCTGCGCTGCTTGGATGGAAGTTCACGAACTTTTTTCGACCTTCCGAGGCTTATCTTATCGGACTAGCGCGCCTTGGCATCAGGCCGCACCTCCATTTTCTTGCACCGACTCCACACATGCCCTCGATCCCGCAGCGACACAACGACACGCACACCAACTTCAGCAACACTACCCGCCAACACTCATACCGCTTTGTTTCTCCCGTACCGGACAGCTCTACTCAACGGACCGACCGACCTAGCAAGACCGCTGTAAAACTCACTTCGCCGCTTGGCCTGACAATGGCCCGCGGAGGGAACACTCGCTCACCATCGCCCACAGGAAGCTCCTATTCCAGGCGCAGCCGACGAGACGATGATCGTCCTGCGCGAGACCGCCGCGACGATGTGAGGAGCTATCGACGACGGAGCAGATCACGGAGCCCCGATGTATGTCACTCCACTGTGGTTCATGCGGTAAAGGGCAAGGCTGATTTGAGGTTTTCGCAGCGCCGATACCGCGATCGCGACGCATACAGACGTGCGGACAGACCGGTAGACCGACGGGATGACAGGCGCGATGATCGTGACAATAGATCAAGCCGCAGGGACCGCTCTCGCGAGAGGCGACGGTCGAGGGAGAGGTCACCAGACAGAGAGCGGAGACGCCGCAGCAGAGACAGAGACTACCGGGACCGGCGAGACGATTCACGTGACCGCGACCGAGCGCGACGCGACGCCCCTCCTGACTCGAGGCCAAAACCACGACGGGAAGATAGTAGGGAGAGGAACCGGGATCGGGATCGGGCCACAAGCGTGAAAGCCGTGGAGGTAAGTTTCCATTTTCATGGTCAATCGAGTTGCAGGCTGACAATGCAGGCATCGAAACCGGCAACGCCAAGTAAGCAGTCCGAAGAGGAGAAGAAGAAAGTTGAGAGACTCGCCAAGCTCGAGGCATGGAAGGCCAAACAGGCTGCCGCGCTTGCGCAAAAACAGAAAGAATCCGAAGCTGCCGAAGGCAAAACCCTTCTTGACCAAATGGATAGGAAAGCTGCTGCATCTCCATCCGTTGCCTCGCCTATGTCGCCAACCGTAACAACACCGGCTCTTCCCAGCGGAAACGCTTCCCCAGCACCGTATGCCGGGAAGTTTGATCCCAAGGCTATTGCCAAAAAGGCCACCGGAAGCTCGACCAACGCAAATGCACTTGGCATTGATGTCTCGGTACCTGTTAATGTTAGACCCGCTACTACATCAACTTCGACTGCAGGTTTGCAAGCTGACAAAATCAAACCAGCCTTATCAAGCACCGCATCCAGTAAGTTGTCCTACCCTTTCAGTACATCATCAACGCCGCTTACACCAGTCGCAGCTGCCGCACCTCTCCGTCCGCTGAAGGCCCATGGTAACCTCAGTGGGTTCGGCCTGGTCAACAAAGCTCCGACAGACTCGGACAAGGGGGGACAGAAGAAGACACTGGATTTTGGAGACGAGGAGTCTACTAGGAAGAAACTAGAGAAGCTACCGACCCCTCCACTTGAGGATGGTATTCGTGATGATACTGCGCGGGCTAACGGTGCTGAAGAAGAAGAAGGCGAAGACGATGACGTTGACATGGCAGACGCTGGTACGGAGGAAGAGATCGCTGCAGCAGCTCGTGCCGCCGCGGAGCGGCGTGATGAACAGCTTGCTAATGACAGCCGGGCCGAGGCGCAGACCAATGGAGACGTTCACATGGAGGAGGCTTCTGCCGACATCCCCAATGGAGAGCCTATGGAGGAAGAAGAGGACGTGGACCCTCTTGATGCGTTCATGTCCGGACTGGGCGACCCTATCAAACCTACACGAGCTTCTGCCGGGTCTGGCGCATTGAAAGGCAAGGGCGCCATGCAGGAGCCCGAAGCGATGTTCGGCGACGAGGATGAGATGAAGACTCTCGAGAACAACCCTGACGATATCCTGGCAATGGCAAGCAAACGCAAGAAGAAGGATATTCCGACCATCAACCATGCCAAGATGAATTACGAGCCATTCAGGAAGAGCTTCTACAATGAGCCGACAGAGCTAGTGGACATGACGGAAGAGGAACTTGCGGACCTCCGGCTAGAACTCGACGGGATCAAAGTTCGTGGCGTCGATGTACCGAAGCCTATCCAGAAGTGGGCACAGTGTGGGCTCGGCGTACAGACATTGGATGTCATTCGAAAGCTCGGCTACCAGAACCCAACCTCCATTCAGGCTCAGGCCATCCCTGCCATCATGTCTGGCCGCGATGTCATTGGCGTTGCGAAGACTGGCTCAGGTAAGACGATTGCCTTCTTGCTTCCCATGTTCCGACACATCAAGGATCAGAGACCGCTTGATTCTTTGGACGGACCCATCGGCCTGATTATGACGCCTACGCGTGAGCTGGCTGTCCAAATTCATAAGGAGTGCAAGCCCTTCCTCAAGGCACTGAACCTCCGCGCCGTTTGCGCATATGGTGGCGCACCCATAAAGGACCAGATTGCAGAGCTCAAGCGAGGAGCAGAGATCGTCGTTTGCACCCCCGGACGTATCATTGATCTTCTCGCTGCTAACTCTGGGAGGGTGACAAATCTGCGGCGGGTCACCTATGTTGTGCTTGACGAGGCAGACCGCATGTTCGACATGGGGTTTGAGCCTCAGGTCATGAAGATCCTCGCCAATATTCGTCCTCAGCGCCAGACCGTACTCTTCTCGGCAACATTCCCTCGAAATATGGAAGCGCTAGCCCGCAAGACGCTCACCAAGCCCGTTGAGATCATAGTTGGCGGCCGTAGTGTAGTCGCACCAGAGATCACACAGTTGGTAGAGGTTCGGCTCGAGGACAAGAAATTCCACCGATTGCTGGAGTTGCTTGGTGAGCTGTACGACAAGGACGACGATGCTCGTACCCTTATCTTTGTCGATCGCCAGGAGGCAGCAGATCAATTGCTTGGAGAACTGATGCGGAAGAGTTACCAGTGCAGGTCTATCCATGGTGGCATCGATCAGATCGACCGTGACTCCGCTATTGACGACTTCAAGAAGGGAGAGTTCCCGATCATGATTGCAACATCAGTCGCTGCTCGCGGCTTGGATGTGAAGCAGCTCAAGCTGGTTGTCAACTACGACGCGCCGAACCATTTGGAAGATTACGTGCATCGTGCTGGTAGGACGGGCAGAGCAGGCAACACCGGTACCGCTGTCACATTCCTCACTCCAGAGCAAGAGAGGTACGCTGTTCATGTAGCCAAGGCACTAAGGCAGAGCGGCCAGGACGTGCCCGAGCCTGTGCAGAAGCTCGTCGACTCGTTCCAGGAGAAGGTCAAGGCCGGCAAGGAAAAGTTCAGTGGATCAGGCTTCGGTGGCAAGGGCCTGGAACGGCTCGATGCAGAGCGCGACGCTACTCGCAATAGAGAGCGGAAGACGTACAAGACGGGCGAAGGCGACGAAGAGGAAGAGAAGGAGGACAAGGAAGAAGACGACAAGATACTGGTCAAGGCCAAAGGCACTCCTGCTGCTGCCGCTCCTGAACCCAAAGCTCCTATCCCTGGCGTGCCCAAAGGCATCGATCTCGACAATTTCGTTGTGCACAAGACCGAGAAGCCGGACGTCAGCAACGACCCGCTGGCAAAGGCTCAGGCGGCCAAGGCAGCAATCGACAATCGCCTCTCACAGAAGGGTCAGCTACGGCTCGGGCAGCCCATCGACAACAAAGGTCCGGATGCTGGCGCGTTCCATGCTACGCTTGAGATCAATGACTTCCCACAGAAGGCTCGATGGGCTGTCACCAACAGGACAAACGTTGCTAAGATTCTTGATTCGACGGGAACGTCGATCACGACTAAGGGCAGCTATTACCCACCTGGCAAGGAAGTAGAACTGGGCAAAGAGCCGAAGCTGTATATCTTGGTTGAGGGCGACACTGAGAACGTCGTCACGAACGCCATGAGGGAGCTGTTGAGGCTGCTGAAGGATGGAACGATCGCGGCGGCAGACAGTGAAGCTCGCGCGCCGCAGGGACGGTACAGCGTCGTCTAAGATGCGGTTATCGCGCGCATAAGTAGCATAGCTGAGATTAGGCTCACGTTACAGACAGTCTGCCTCTGAGCGCTCTATGTACCCTGATCACACCGGTCGCAGTATTGACGTGAAATTGAGTCCCCTACCTTTCATCCAAATGCTGCCAACTCCAAAAAGCCCAAGCCCGCTCCATATGCCGACGCCAGACACCGCGCAAATCAGCAAACGCTGGACAGCTCGTGCTATCGGGTCTTTGAGCATGTCCCCATCCTTTTCCCCACAACAACTCGGAAACCCCCTCCCCTCAATTATGCGCCCTCGACTCCGCCACGGTATCAGCGTCCCGCGCCATCCGGTTCTCCCGCGCGGCGGCCTGCAGCGTCTGATTCCGTGTCTGGCGCTTCTGGGCCTCGAGCTTCTTGGCGAGGTCGCCTTTTGCCTGGTTCTGCTGCATGCGCGCCTATATGTCGCATCTTTGGTTAACTGTCCTGTGCGTGTGCGCGCGAAAAAGGGTATTGTCTGTTGCGCACCTCGGCGGCTCTGTGCGCAGCTTCTTTGGGGTCCTGACCAGCGTCGGAGCTCGCGCCTAGCGTCCGTCCTGGACCTGTTACTCGCGCGATCTTGGGACTGCTGCCGGTGCTGCCGGTGGAGGCTGGGGCCGCGGAGGAAGTCGCGCGCGCGTTTGGAGGGGTGGCTTGGACGGGCCGCGGGGCGTCGAGCGTGTGGGGTTCGCCTTTGAAGTTGGAGGAACCTTCGCGGCTGCAGAGGTTGCCCATTGCTGCTTGTTGGGAGCGGAGGAGCCTGGTTGTCGCTGTAGTCGCAAGAGTTGGACGTTCGGTGATTGAGGGGTTCGCTGGATGGTGATGGAGGGTCGGTGGAGTGGGGTGTGGGGTGCGCGGCTCTGCGGCGATGCGGGCTTGGCGGTTGCGGCTGAGGCGGCGAGCTTTCGTGGCCACGCGAACTTCGAGGCGTAGTAGAACGGATTGAGGAGCTGATTTCGTCATGTAGAGCTCAATCTTGGCGAAATATACTCGTGGTCGTGCGTCTGGGTACTGTTCTGAAGCCAAACTGATGTCGTGGAGCTGGCCACACGTCATTGGTCGAGCCGAACACTTCCACCATACTCCACTGCCGAATTCGAGCCCTCCGCATCCATCGACACCCTCCGCTGCGTGCTGGCTGCTCACCCATCCGTTCTACGGCTAGAACAGTTACGGCAACCTTCCTTAATACGCTCACTTTCGTTCTTCCGCCGCCTGGACCTTGGTCATCGTACGAGACAGCCGCTCCGCCCCGCATCGTTCCTGGCCGCCGGCCACCAGGGTACACAATTGAGCACCGCATATCTGGTTCCATATCGCTACTCAACCAACCTGGAACCTCAACTCAGCTCGAAAAGTCGAAGGTGTTCACAATCATAGGGCTGTTACAATAGATGCTAGTCTTCCCCGCTCTTTCCCTACACTATGCTCAGGTACTCCAGAGATTCGCCGCGTTTCGCGCAACACTTCGTAATATTCTAATTGCTGTTGCAGGCGTGTACAACCTCAACCTCCCCCACTAGCTGGCTCGAAACGCTCGTGGTCCGGGGAAATATGCTCAGGCAACACAGCGCTCGGCGCGCCGCAGACTAGCTGCGCATCACGGTATACAGACACCGACTGTATGGACTGCATCGACCCGAGGATGGTCTGCACAACCGGTCACTGCCCGGATTTCCACTCCGAACCCCCGTCTCCACGTACCATCTTAGATGAGCGGGAGTGCCAGATACTACTAGGTGTGCCTTGCAAGCCGGTGAATAGTTCAGCCCTTGCCCCGCTGACTTCTCAGCAGCTCAGATGAGGACAGATCCATTTTACTGTCCTTTCGGAAACACAGACTGCCACTTTGATCCGAATTGCACGCTGCCGCGGTCCGATGAGTGCGCCGAGTGCAAAGATTGCCCAGAAGACGTTTGCGGCAGCCCTGAATGCATAGAGCCCGCCGCTTATTGGAACCGTGAATGCGTGGTCCCTGAATGTAAACAACCTTGCTTTGACGACGATTGCGAAGATTCCCCCAAGCTACTCTGCCGTCCCAGCATACAGCAACGTCGATTCGAGCATCGGTCAGGAGTGCCGGCTACTTACCTCGATCTTTCCGGCTCTGTGGGCTTTACTCGAGCAGCTCACAACGTGGGCAATTATGGTTTGGGGGGATTCTTCGATGCAACCGGCGCCTCTGGATTCGACATCGGTAACTACTCGAAACCCACGTTCGCCAATCTCGAACAGCAAAGCTATGACATATTACGCGCTTTACAGACCCCTGGAAGTAGTACTGTCATAAGTGCTACGCCCAGCAGCGGGTCGGAGAGCAGGAATCAGTCGCAGACACCTTCCACTTCCTCATCTGATTTGGGGACTGTCCAAAGGGACACAAAAACGAAACAAACTCAGAAAGCTGCTACCAAAACACCTCCGCGGCCAGCGGATTTGGAGCCTGTCACGCTTAAATGTCAGTGGCATATAAGTGGAGGCAGTGACACTGAAAACCCAGCGTTATGCGGGTACGTCACTCAGAGCGGACAGGCTATGTGCAACCACATCGACGAGGTCCATATCACCGCCATCAAGAGCACCTCCAAGAACTGGGTCTGCGGATGGTACGGCTGCGACCGCCATAACACCGAAGGTTTCGGCAATAAAGCCAAATTAAGAAGGCACTGTGAAATCCACTGCCTATGTAAGTACCACACTCGGCGTCCTTATGAGCCCTCCTCAACTGCACATATCCCATTTCCTTACCATGTCTCCTCCGCCTCCTTTGTTACACCTCACCACTAACACCGCGTCTCTCCTTCGTAGACAACGGCTTCCAATGCCCTGAGTGCCTCGCCCTCTGCCGCACCCAACAATGCCTCGACAACCACATGCGCACTCACACAGGCGAGTGCCCCTTCAAGTGCCCCTACGAGGCCAACGGGCCGCGCCTATACGCCGAACCCTTGCCCGGCGCAGCTCTCAAACCCGCCCCCAAATGCAGCGGCGCATTCGGCACCAAAACCGGCCTCGACACCCATATCCGCGCCATCCATACGCGGGAGAAGAAATTCGTCTGCGATTTCGACGGCTGCGATTTCGCGTGCGCCGACTCCTCGAACCTGTCCAAGCACCGCCGGAAGCACCTCGGCGGCAACCCCAAGGTCTTCCGATGTTTGCATCCGGGCTGTGGACACGCGCCTAAGGGCTCCTGGGACGAGATTCGCCGCCATTTTGTAGCGAAGGGGCATTGTCCTGAGCTGCTGGATGATCAGGGGGACGCGCAGGCGGAGTATAAGAGGAAGGCGAGAGAGGCGAAGAAGATGGCGCCGGAGACGAGGGCGAGGGAGGCGAAGATGCGGCAGGTGAAGATGCTGAAGAGGGGGAAGGCTGCGGCTGCGAATTCGGGTACTGGGTATCCGGGAAGCACTCATCCGGCGCCTACCGCCCCGGATATGATGATGATGGAGACGACGATTGCTGCTACGACTACTTACGATTATGCCCTGCCATCGGCGGAGAGCGGGCCTCTCGATATGATGATGTTTTGAGGCACTAACGCTGCGACGACGGCTACTACGGCAAGTGATACGGATTACCTCTGCAGATTACCTCCGCAGACTACTTCTGCAGGCTACTTCTGCGGCTTATCGCTCTGGACTGCTCACGACTGTTGCTTACGACTACTGCTTATGATGATTGCTCAGCATTGACGAGCGATGCGGCCGTTCTACTTCGCGCTGGTGGGAAAACGCGACGGCTTAGAAGGTTTGCATTCTGCCTTGGCGGCGCCTTACTAAACTGGTTCAGAGGAGTGCGCAGGCATAGACCATAGACTGGGGCAAGCTTTGACAGTGAGGTCAGTCCTCTTGATTGGGACGGACCCCGTGTACACAGATGGCTTAATAAAGATCACACTTAGTTGCAATATTTCATGTCTTTGATTGTGCCTACAATGGCTACTGAATGTTTCTTACAAGGAAGCAAAGGATAAAACCGCCCGGAGCTCGCCGGCTCACTGTTCTCCTCCGCGCGCATATGCGCCATGAGCGAAAGACATATCTAAAAGGGTGCCCCAACGCACTCATAACGCCTCTCCTCCTCCAGTTGTTGCCTTTTTGATCAGATGCAGTAGAACGCTCAATGCGGGTATAGCAAGTCGTAAGCAGACAAAAATAAAAGAAATAACCTGTTCTTCCGGATCTGGCGGTGGTTCAGGCGATGTTAACTTGGGAAGCGGCAGCAGATTCGAAGTGAAAGTCCAATCCCTCCCCAGTATCGAGGTCTCGGTAGCGCTCTGGCTTTTTCCTCATACGTGTAGATCGTCGCACTTCGAGCTTGTTAGCATGCTGAAGAAAGGTATTATGAAATTGGTGATATCAGGCGTGGATGCTGGGTATATGTTGTTGGGTTCGAAAACGCGTCATCGCCGGACGCCGACGGGCGGAGCGTTGTAGTTACCGGCAAGCGGACTGCCTGCTTGGCCGTACTCCTGCAAAGGGATGTTAGCAACGGCGCTGAGCTGTATCTCGAGACGTGGTAAAAAGGATGTGATTACCTTTCGGCGCTTCTTCTTCGCACCGCCACCCCAGCGCTCGTCTTCCCCGCCCGCCGACTCGGTTGCCGCATCGTCGCCATAGCCTTCGTAGCCTTCGTAGCTGGCATCGTCGTAGCGCCGCTTCGTTCCCGTGCGCTCTGGCCGCGATGGTTTGATCAGAGGCGAAGGCGCGGGGGAGGCGCGGCCTCCAACTTGCCCAACTGCACCCTTCTTGGCGTCCACTAGGGGCTTCGGCTTAGGCGCCTCCTCTTGGGCGATGATGCCCTTCCATTTGGCATCCTCGCTGGGTGGCAGTTTTCCAGAACCCATCTGCAGAGCGCGGTCGAGCTTGGACAGCAGCGCTGATGGGTTTGTCATCTCTTTCCCCTGGACCTTCTGGACATGCCATTCGAAGTCAGGATATATTAGCATGTTCATGAACTGGCCCTCCTCCACGACGGCTTTGTTCTTCCCACCAATCTGCAGCCGCTTGATCTGGCCCTCGTACGATTTCCGCAACTTGTTGATCTTCTCACCGGTCACGGGGTCCTTCCGCGCAACACTGGCAGCGATCTGCTCGAGACCGTAGAGCGCGATAAGGTTCTGCGCACCATGCGGGCGGGCGACGGGGTGCGCTATGTCCAGCAGCCTTGTGTTAACCAAGCACAACACAAAAACATGGTTGCATGTCACGAGTAGCAGGGACCTTACGCTTCTCGCAAAGCTTGTAAAGAGAGCCCAAATCGGCATCGAGCCGCTCCAAGCCCACTCTTCTTCCGCTTGCTGAAGTGGAGACGCCTTGCCGGTCATGGTTGCTGTGTCTGTGGTCCCGGAGGTCGGTCATCTCTGTGTCTTCGCCGGAGGCCTTGGTGCCGTCGTCTACAGGCGTGTCCTGCATTTGCGCATCGCCGTCGCCGTCTCTGATCGTGGAGAGCGCGTTATCGGTGATGCTGTCGGCTGGTGTGGGGAAAGAAGTGGCAGCCGTCACGACCGGCTGCTGCGAGTTTTGCGAAGCCATAGCGGCGGACAATGGCGGAGAGAGTTCCATCTGCTGGAAAGTCGGGGAGGTGGTGGAGTATGCATAGGAAGGCGGTGCGGAAGACATGTACGGTGGAGACGTTGGTGTGCGAGGGTGGACAACGGGCGTCTTTGTCTCCTCAGTCGGTGGCTTGGCCAAGTGATACGGCGGTGATGCTGGCGAGAACGAGCCGGAGGTGCGCTGACGCTTGTTCTGGCTTGCGGACATAGGGAGTGTCGTCGTCGCAGTTGCTGAAACAGCGACTTGAGCAGAGAAAAGGATGGTGGGGGGTCGAGCTTGCCCGACGGTGCCCGGCTTTCCCTTGGGTCGGTTCCGCTGACGATGTCGAAGGCAAGGGCCCCACCGCAGGAGTACCGGGCAACTACCTCTTGTGCTCGACCATCTGCTGGTGAAGTCTTCTTAGGAGGGCAAGAGTCCGGCGAGCAAGGGCTGTCCGGCAGCGCTTCACGAGGACGATAGGCGGAGTGGAGTGGTGCGAAATGGAGAGGCTGTTGTTGGAACAATGAGGCTGATGTCGGGAACGCTTTGCGCTCAGCCTTGGCGCCACGTGACCATGGAAGACTTTCTTGATCAAACATGCATCTGCACCGAAACACAACGACGTTGTATAATACAGCGCTTCCACACATTTGAGCAAACGTCTCTGCACATCCTGGAGAGCCAGCAATATGGCTGGTGACAACGCCGCCGCTGCGCAGCCCATACGCCCTGCGAGTGCAAACAGGACTGCCCCAGGAAATGCATCAAACCCAAATGGCCCAAAGGTACAGCAGCCGAAGCCGCAAGCTCTATCAACACGGCCAGGAGCAAGCGCTGTGCTGGTGTCTGCGCGTCAAAAGGGCAATCCAATTCTCAGCAACATCAAATCCGTTCCTTGGGAATACTCAGATATCCTTGCGGACTACGTCCTGGGCGCCACTACCTGTGCTCTTTTCCTGTCATTAAAGTATCATCGTCTGCATCCCGAGTACATCTACTCGCGTATTCGTGCGCTTGCGGGAAAGTATAATCTCAGGATCATTCTCACGATGGTCGACATTCCAAATCATGAGGAACCACTGAAAGAGCTATCGAAAACATCTCTCGTCAACAATGTCACTATCATTTTGTGTTGGAGCGCGCAGGAAGCCGGACGCTATCTCGAACTATTCAAGACCTACGAGCATACCGCCCCGACCAGTATCCGCGCTCACCAGTCCACGAGTTATTCAGACAAGCTTGTTGAGTTTATCACTGTACCCAGAAGCATCAACAAGACAGATGCCGTGGGCTTAGTGTCAAATTTTGGTAGCATCCGGACGGCAGTCAATGCGAGACCCGAAGAGGTGTCATTGATTGCAGGATGGGGCGAGAAGAAAGTTCAGAGGTGGTGCAACACGGTGCGTGAGCCCTTCAGGCTGAGGAAAGCCGCCAAGAGAGGTATCAACAGGGAAGAGGGTAGTGTAGCACCACTCGCACTGTCCGGGCAAAACACCCCTGCGGACGGTGAAGAAGAGGCCCGCAGGGTACCTACACTTGGCGTGGGGTCACCTGTTGGAGTCAACTCTCCGCTCAGCAGGCCTCCGTCCGCTGCAGGCGCTACTCCGGACGCAGATAGAAGACCCCCTATCAGACCGGCGGAGAGTATTTCTACTTGGATGCCGGATGAGGACGAGGAAGAGGCTATGCTTGCTGCAGCTCAGGAGGCAAGCCTACCACCACAAGACACCCGAAACAACAACATCCAATCAAAGAAGCGCAAGGTGCAAGAAGACGAACCCAGCGAGGGCGTCATGGCAGCCCTAGCCAAGCTCAGGCAGTAAACATGATAATGCGACATCATGATTACCATCTAATCGAGCTTCAACGCCTCTATGAGGACCCGCACGTGTTTCGTCAGCTGCAAGCAGAGATAGTCCTTCTCTCTCCCGGGCGTGAACTGTAGCGAATGACCGAACAGAATCGAAGCCTTCTCGGCCTTTTCCGGATCGCTATGCCACCTCTTCTGTCGGTCCTCTAGACCAATCACCAACCCTTCCAAGGTGACCTTGCTGATGTGGGGTTTCACTTCATTCTTTGCGGCATTTCTCGCTAATCGCAACCAGTAATCGGGTTCCAGATCTACGCTGAAGGATCCGGGGCAGTCGAAGTTTCCTGTGTGCAGATGCCCTGTCTCTGGTGAAAGGTCGCCCAGCTGCATTGTCTTAAACCTTTGCTGCGCTTTGAGTTTCTGATTTTCGGCATTGAGCGCCGCGAGGACCTTGTGGAAGCGTTCAGCGATAGCCATGAGCAGAGTGTTCATCAGAGCTGTATTCTGCATCGCCGTAGCCGGTTCTTTCGGGCATTCTTGGCAGTGCAGCACCTCGGATGCTGTGTTCATCGCCGAGCGCAGGGGGGCGAGACAAAACGGAAAGGCGAAGGACTTGATAGCGTGGAGGTTGGAGAGTGTAAGGTACAGCGTAGACAGGCATGCACAGGCTGGTATCGGTGTAGTTTGCCTTGGGGCTGTCTCTGGCGGGCTCGGAAGACTATCTGGGTTTCCTGCGGGATAGTTGATCATTGTAGGGGTGGCCATTCCATACGTTAGAAGTGGAGGGCTGCTCAAGTCAGTAGAGTATTCCAGCCACTGGATGGTTGCATCTGGCAGACCTAAAGGCTATATCGCCCAGTTGCATTGGTAAATCTTCGATGGTCGAAACTGCTCGACCTGGTTGACTTCCCTCGTCCGCGCCAGCCCATGCATTAGAGCCACCAGGTCCATCCGATGTAGGGATCGTTATGTCCCCGATTGACTCGGCCGAGTCCTGAATCACGACCTGCACTCCTTGATGGGTTCGCTCCATCCTCTGCCGCTTTCTGGGCCGTCCCATAGTCTTCTGCACAGAGTAGACACACTCTATACCATCAACATCACAACGCTCACAGTTTGGTCGCCCGCTTGAACATCTGAGCTTCCTGAACCCTGGACGGCCGTCAGCTCAAGCTCTCGCATTAAAGGGCTTCGCGGAGTGCTCACGACACGCGTCGCACGCAGTGTGCTTTTTCGTTCTATCGTCTGTTCCATCCATCTTGGGTTTCGATTCTACTACTTCGAGAGAGAGACTGGAGAGGAAGGAACAAACGTCGCTTCCCAGCGTCGAGGCCAAATCCTTCGGCTTATGCAGCAATCATGTGATGCTTACTTCCTCCACACCCGCCAAGCCCCGGCTTACTTTGATGCGTTCTTGCTTTGTGTCTTTGGTGACTACTATATTCTCTCGATGTCAAACGGCGTTGTGGAACTGTTGTTACAAGCCCAGTCATTCGGAGGGCCATGCTATACCAATCAACAACGAACTTTTGATACTCGTAGAACTCAAAACCGGACGGTTAACACCAAGGAATAGCCCTTGGTTTCCGTATCTGGGCAAAAGTCAGCGGCTTACCGCCGTCAAGGCAGCCACAAGATTTCCAAGGCTTTCTTCACATATCTCCTCGGTCTACATCCATATAAGCCGTAGTTACAGCCACTGAATCCTATTCAGCATTCCAACCCCACGATACAATCTCGAGACCATGGATCCATATTCTCCAACCAGCATTCGTGGCTTCTTCTACCGTTGCCTTTTCAGTAATCCTCCATACTCGAGTTCAGACTTCCAATTCCGATTTTTTAGTAGCGCTGTGTGGTCGATTTCCCTCTTCCTCACCTCCTATCGAAGGATGACAAGGCCAGATTCCGACGTAACTAAGTCTCTGATCGTCCTGGCCGTATTCCAGTATATATTCCTCTGCCGCGCTCTGCGCCTGTGGCGTGCGCATCGGAAGCACTCGCAGTACCCCTATAAGACGCGCGAAAGCTTCGCGAGTATGACAAATGAGCACGCATGGGAGATCCAGAAATATGTCTTCTCCTTGGAGTTTCCTTTTACTGTGGAGAAGAGTCTACAGTTCGCGCTGTTCAGGTAGGCTATCCGCAGTGTACTGTTCAATGAGGAACCCTATCGCCCCGGCAGACCCAGCATCAAGTCGTCGTTTCCCTCGGGCTGATATGGCTTTCTCTCAGGCTGATATGGCTATACTTCATGCAGGACATACGGCATACCCACGATATCAACTCTACTTGTCAAAACCAAGCAGCTCTCCTACTCCGCCACAGCATCAAAGGTACCCTCCCCCAGCCACCTCGTCCATCCAGCTCTCCGCCCTTACCTTTTTCCAGTCGGCTCTAACCACACCTACCAGCGCGTTGTCGATACCGCAGTCCTCATCTCCGAATTCATCGGCCACAGCCCCACGACCGCGCGACACAACGCCGCCATTGCACGTATGAACTACCTACACAGCATCTACCAAAAGTCCGGTCTGATCAGCAACGACGACATGCTCTTCACGCTCGCGCTCTTCGCGCTAGAGCCGATACGCTGGATCGCGCGGTACGAGTGGCGGGACCTAACGCCCATGGAAACGTGCGCCATCGCCACGTTCTGGAAGAGTACCGGGGATGCCATGGGGATCTCCTACGACGCTCTGCCGTCGAGTGGGACGGGGTGGAAGGACGGCTTGCACTGGCTCGAGGAGGTCGAGGCGTGGAGTCAGGCGTACGAGGAGCGGTACATGGTGCCTGATGTGCACAACCACCAGACGGCCAACGAGACGACGGCGATTCTGCTGTATGAGATGCCCAAGTCGTTGTGGCCAATTGGGAAGAGGATAGTCAGTGCGATGATGGATGATAGGCTAAGGGCTGCTATGCTGTAAGCCCGGCCTCGTACCCTAACCATTCACTCCATGCATACTCAATACCCCCCAGGTACGAGCCGCCGCCCCCAGGATATATCGAAAGGGTCAACTACGTCTTCCTCGTGCGACGGCTCATCCTTCGGAATCTCGCACTTCCGCGACCCTATGCCCTCCGCTACATGACAGTCACCGACGATCCGGATCCGAAGACTGGCCGATATTACCGCACCGGCTACGACGCTGAGCCGTGGTACGTCCCTGCTACGTTTTGGAATCGCTTCGGGCCTCAGGCGTGGATGCGATGGCTTGCCGGGAGGCCGTATCCAGGTCGGGGATTCAAGCCAGAGGGATTAACGATTCCGGAAGTCGGGCCGGTTAACATGGAGGGAAAAGGTCGTGATTATTTTGAAGGGACGAAGGAGAAGTTGATGGGGATGGGGAGGGGCGGATGTCCTTTTGCGTTTCAAAAGGAGTGAACGAGGGCATGATGGAACCTCCAAATTAATGTTGTCTATGACCTTGGAAGTTACTTTCCAAAGAGATTTCGAAATCCACGAGGGATTTGGACTAAGAGAGCTTGAAGCAGCTGAATGTGACTGTGATTAGAACGGCTATGGAAGTCGTCGTGGCCGCAACATCATACGCCTTACGTGCAGTCACCGACCGTTGTCCTGCGAACTTTGTCCGGTAAGAGCCATACTGAGCCGGCATTGATGATGTAACGAGCTACAAGCGTGTCCTTCATCGAACGTTCATCCCTCGGATATATATTGAAGACACAGCACCTGCAAAGCGAACGCCCCGGAAGCTTCATGTGATGTCCGTAATTTCGGTAAGGTACATCGCTGTGCCGTGAAATCCGCACCGACAGCCCGGAATGCAAACGCTTTGTAAAGCAAAGATCACCAGTACCATCCCCTTACGCCTCAGCCTGCCGTGCCAGCCAGTCAGCTTCCTGTGTCCCACAGAACTTCTTCAGAACCTTCATACCTTCACAGCGTACTTCCTCTGCGGGAAGTGCATCGCCCTCTTCTTCTGCTTCTCGGTTACCAAGCTAGCCTCATGCTTCGATAACCTTCTGCGCATTGCACGCGTCTGCTTCGGGCGGAGGTCCAGCGGCATGTACTTCTTGTTCTTGTAGAAGAGCCGTAGTTGCGCGCGCTGGTTCGCGTTGATTATTGTGAGGACTCGGGCGATCGACTTGCGGACATCGTGGCTGTTGCATTGGGCCCGTGTTAGAGAGATCTTCTTCTGCCTGATAGGGAGGATTGATGGTAGTGTGATGAGCGCGGATTTCGTTACATTTTGGTGAGCTTGGTGGAAGCGCCGCCGGCAATCTTCTGTGTGCGCAGCTGCACCAGCTCGGTCTTGAGGTCGTCGAGCTGCTTCTTCAGGTCGTCCTTGCTCTTGCCCCAGAGCTGGCCGGCCTTGACTTTTCCTGAGGACGACTGCAACTGTCAGTTGTCTGCAATGCCATTCTTTCAGTGGCTCCCCTCACCATTGTGTGTGAGTGTGTCGGCTAGTCGTTGGCGTGTGGTGAGGTGAATATCGTCGTCGTCGCGGGCTTCCAAACAATTGGCGCCAAATTCAAGTTCGAAGTTCGGTGGGTTCGCTAAGCGGAAAGTGCCGAAGCTCCGGTCGTCAGTCTTCAAGCCCTCGATCACGTGCGTCAACCCTACGTCTCCAGCATGAAGCCAGGCAGATCTGCTCCACAGAGAACAACACAACAACCCACTGGTCTTTCGGGATGGCTTCAGCAGGCGGAGGGTGGGCGCAGCTGCGCCAACAAGCGCGCTCCCTCGAAACTCAAGTATGCGCGCAAAACTCACCCCGATACTTCCTTACGCCGTACTGATCTCCCCAGACAGAGGCCCTCTTCCACACCTACTCCCAATACGCCTCCATGAGCGCCATCCCCCCCACGCCAACTGACGAAGAACAGCGCGCAGAAGCCTCTCTCCACGCCCTCCTCTCCCAGCGCGACACCCTCATCTCGCAGCTCACCCGCCTCCTCGACTCCGAATCCGCGCTCACCTCCTCCGCCCTAAAACAATCCAACCTCGCGCGCCACCGCGAAATCCTGCTCGACCACCGGCGCGAGCTCTCGCGCCTCAAGGGCGCCATCGCCGACGCCCGCAACAGGGCGAACCTGCTCTCGACCGTGCGCTCGGATATCAACGCCTACCGGAGCTCGAACCCGGAGGCGGCGGAGGCGGACTACATGCTGGATGAGCGGCGGCGGATAGACAACAGCCACAACATGGCGGACAGCGTGCTGAGCCAGGCGTATGCGGTGAATGAGAGCTTTGGGCTGCAGCGGGAAACGCTGGCTAGTATCAATCGCAGGATTGTCGGGGCGGCGAGTCAGGTGCCTGGGATCAATAGCTTGATTGGGAGGATTGGGGCGAAGAAGCGGAGGGATGGGATTATCTTGGGGAGTTTTATTGCGTTTTGCTTTCTGATGCTGCTGTATTTTTGGTGAGGTTTAGGGATTGGGCAAATCTGGTGCCTGGGAGTTTTGGAGTCCTTGCAGGAGGGAAGGCATCGCGGATGGGTTTGTTCAGCGTTCTGGAGCCGGAAGATCAAGATGGACATGGACGGTCTGTTTGAGCAATCTTGTTTGTACACTACGGCACATCTAAATCACAGATGGATTACGAAGCACCGGCTGCAACTACCTGCGCTTCCAGCTCTTCCTCAATCGCGGGCAGCCCCTTAACCGGCTTCTTCTTCTGGCCTCCCTGCTTCGCTTCCTCAATCAACTTCTTCAGTCCCTTGACAAGAGACTGCTTCTCCTCCCCCTCCGCCGGTCCACTCCCCGCCCATCTAATCCTACACTCCGGATCCACCAGGTACACATATCCGACCTTACTGTTCAGCAGCCCAATCGTCTCTCTAATACTCTCGCTAATCCCCCTACTCACAATGAAATACCTCCTCCAATCGCCCTTCGGCCGCTGAGCTCTCAGCCGATACTGAAACAACCTCACCAGCGCCAACTTCAGCGCGTTCTCCTCAATATTGATCTCGACCCGCTGCGCCACGTCCTCGTTCCCTTTGAGCGCCTCCTCCAGCTCCGGGTTCTGCGTCTCCCCCACGAACGTGTTCTTCTGGTTCTCCGCCCACGTGCTGCTGAAGATGCTCACAACGCTGACGCGGCCCTCGAGCACCTCCGTCGTGTCCTTGGCCTCGCGCCCAGACGCCAGCGTCGTGCCGCGCAGGTTCGGGAAGAAGAGTGCCGCGTCTCGCTTGAAGATGCGCGGGTTGGCGAGGAAGGATTTGCCCTTGTGGTGGCGCATGTTGCTGAAGTCTCGGAAATACGGCTTCGCGACCTGGCGCGTCCTTTTTGCCCCGTCAGCATTCCATCAAACCTCCCTCTGCCCCCCTCTCACGCCCGTGCTTGGGAAGAATAATGGGCGAGCTTACAGCTCCTTCCGCCTCTCCAGATGCTTCCCCCAATCCACAAACTCCGCCCTCCGCTGCCTCCACGACCGCGCATCCTCCCCGCTATTCTCCCCTCTGCGCGGCGGTTTCGAGAATCCGATCGGGCGGCCCAGCGGCTGGGGCACGAATTCCTCGCCATTCTTTCCCTTCTGTGCCGGGCTTTGCGGCTGTGATGTAAAAGGTCTGGGCGCTGGGGGCGGAGGTTTTACGGCCTCGGCCAGCCGCCGCGGTGCGGTGCGGAAGCTGCGGGATTGGCATTGCAGGCAGGTGTCGGTCGTGCCGAGGGCGACTGAGCGGAGGGAGCGGAGGAGGGAGGTGCTGAGCATTGTGGGTGGTGGTGCTTGTGAGATGGCTTGCCGTTTACATGGCTCTCTGTAGACGGAAGCTTGAAGCTTGGAGCTTGACGGTGATCTTATCTTATCAGTCGCACGTGATGAGACGCCTGGAGAACGCACACAGCATGAATGGAACAGAGCTTATGAGCGTGGAGAGCACCAGCTGATGGTGCTCTTGAGCAAGCGGACGGATGTGGTCAAGGTTCAAAAGCATCGCTGTCACAATATTGTCACATGGTTGCAGAATAATGCGATGAGTGAGAGTTTGTTATATTATGCTGCCGTAGGGACAGAAAGCAAGCTACAACAAAAGCCAAAGCAAAGCAAAGCAAATCAGATCCGGAATGTGCGCGGCTAAGCCAACAACCATGACTTGCTCGCTCGCAACCTGCTCCAAGCAGAGAAGAGTACGCTCGCAATGTGCGCGGCTACGTCCATCATCAAGAGTACGTGCTCGCTCGCTTATACATCCGAGCAGTAAAGGAAAGAAAGGGCCACGAGTCAATCGATCCCGTGAGGGGAGAGACAATCAGAACCGGCCGTAAGGTAAGAGAAAGGTGTAACAGTGTTGAGGCAGTAACAGAAAAAGCGCCGACCAGCATGCACTGCACAGGCAAGCCCGTGCAGAGATACGGTGGTAAAGGGGAAGGAGCAAGAGTCCTGGTGTACCAAAGAAAGAACAAAGAGCAACAACTTTTATGGCATTCCATCACCTCTCCACCACGCTCATGAGAAAGGTCCCGTCAGGAGAACCGTTTAGACTGAAAGACCATGAGCCAGAGCAAGGTTCTTCCACTTCTCCAAGTCTGCCTTTTCAGTCTCGAGGTCTGCAATGCGGCTCTCCAGACTTTGAATGAGTTGGACCTTCCTATCCCTAGAATCACGAGCAGCAAGAGTATTGCGGGCTCGCTTCACGGCAACCTTGTCGTTGGGGTCAACTTGAATCGGTGGAAGAGGGTTCTTCCGGCGACGCGGCTTCACGCCTGAGACAGCCGAGTGGCTCAAGCCGGCTCCAACAGATGACTTCCGCCGGGAGCCGAGGGTGACAACACCAGGCGAGTCGCTGGAGCTGCTGTTCTGTCCAAGAGAGTGATTGCTGGTTGATCGTTCAATAGGAATCGCCTCCTGCTCAAGCTCCGGGAAGAGTGAGCCGGTATAGAATCCAGAGTTGGTGAGATCATTGTCGTGGAACAGAGCAGGCGAGGGTTCATAGCTGAGGTCTAGAAAGGGGGACTCAACATCCGGAGAGGTGAGGTTGGTGAACGCAGTAGATGGGGGCGCAGACATCAGCGGGTCTGCAAAGATATCCTTGGGGGAGATTGTCTGGGTCGATGTCGACGCCGGCGTAGGCTGGTTAACGGAGGTGAACTGCGCAGCCGACAGCCCCCGATCCCAGAAGGAATCGAAGAGGCCGTCGTGCTGCCCAGATGCGGCCATGTCGCCGCCTAGGCCCTCGAAGGCGACGTTGATATCTAGAGCACGTATGAGCTTTAAGAGTTCACGCGACCGTGGAGAGGTGCGAGAGTATTCACCAGAATCCATCATGTTGGTATCGACGTTAAACTGCTGCTGATTTATGCTGCCCGTACTATTGCTATGGAAGAGTGGAACCGGTGGGCGAAATGGACGAGCGGCCGGAGATTGTTGAAGTCCTACTGCGGATTGGGGTGCCGAGTTGGCGTAGACGTGCGGCGATTGGTTAAACGTAGGACGAGGGCGAGGCACGCTCTGTCGACGAGGTAGGCTGGAGGCCTGCGTCGGCTGGTCGTAGAGGAGGAAGTCCTGTTGCAGTGTTCCGAAGGGTTGTGATGTCGGTGTGAGCCTTGAGGCCGGTGGAGCTGGTGATGGGTGCCATGTTGATTGTTGGGTAGCCGTGGTGGACGACGGGTAGTCGAACAGGGTGTCGAGGGCTGAACCGAAGATGCGCGAAGCACTTGAGTTCAGAGATCCTAGAAGGAGCTCTGGTGTTTGAGTGGGGTTTATAGCTGAAAAAGCTTGTGAATCTATTTTGTCGGTTGACAAAGTAAGGAAGTTGGAAGACTAGGAGGCAGCCATTTCCTGTGACTGTCTCTGTGTGTGTTGTTTGTGAAAGTGATGTGTGGGTGGAGGAAAGAAGAAAGGAAGCCTGAGGTGGATATCGCTCTCTGATAAACGCGAGGTGGGAGGCCCGCGGTGATTTCGGGTTAAGCGAGTGAGTCACACTTGTGCAGATGCCCAGCCGGCGCTTGTGGGTTTGGAGAGCTAGCGCTGAGTTTATGCAGTCAGCCTTGAGGTGTGGGAGCAAGTAGCGGCTCGTGATTGGTCACATCGCCCTCAGCCCTTGACCAACGGCTCGAGGGGTTGTTTCAATTCCTCGACCCTCACCGAGGGGAGTTTCAACACCATTAAGCTTGGTAAGAATAGTTCAAAGGTGCGCTTTCACATGCCCTCGTTGCCGTGAAACTCTGCTACGTTGTATCCCCAATCTATCGCGGCAGTGAAGCCTGAAGTGCTCGCGGACGAGAGGCAGCGGCAGGAAAAGGGCAGTGCTCGCTAGTGCCCGCACTTGGAGACACCGCCTTCCCCCACCCCGGTCTCCACGCCCTTCGCAGCACAAAAGCAGCCTTGGCGCAATCAGGCATCAGCAATACGACTTACGGCAGGCCAGAGTGACAAGTCTGGCAATGATGCAAAATGCGACACCGCAATGGCACAGGTGACCAGTCGGCGTCGCCGCAGCTCGTGACGCTCGTGAATGCCCCAAGAGGCATCGCGGTCCTGATCAAGCCGGTATTCGTACGAGCGGCAGCTTTCGGGCGCGAAACGAGAGGATGAACCTCAATTTCTGGCGCGCTCGTGAAAGGACCTACTCTCGTTTACCTTGCCAATTGGCCCGGGTCAGAAACGATTGCCAACTACCGAAGTTCATTGCTACGACATGGCCGTAGGAAAGCGTAGGTACCATCGTGATTGTTGTGTGAATAAAGTTGTCGCACAAGATTCCCCGGATCTTCAGATCAGCATTTTCACGTGATACCACATCGAACATGGAAATCTTGGCATCAACAACGACGATATTGACCGTTACCGCGACTCTCTTCTGCCCTTCCCTAAGCCATCGTGAGATCCTCCCAGTACGCGAATCTCACCCGAGATGTCTTCCTCCGCCGCCCAACCCGGCGGCCAAACCATCGACCTAGCAGCCCTCTCCGTCCAGCAGCTCAGCCAACTGAAGAAGCAACTCGACTCCGAGCTCGAGCACCTAACCACCTCCTTCCAGTCGCTGTCCCGCGCCCAGGCAAAGTTCAAAGACTGCTTGAAATCCATCTCGGACGGCCTGACCGCCAAGAAAGCCGGTACTTCCCCCATGCCACTGCTCCGCTCCCTTCCCCCTGCCTCCAGGAACCAAAGAACCCTTGAAAGATGCTGACACCTGCACTCCTCCAGACTCGCCTATCCTCGTCCCGCTAACGCCCTCCCTCTATGTCCCCGGCCGCCTCATGGATGTCAGCACGGTGCTGGTGGACGTAGGGACGGGATTCTACGTCGAGAAGAGCACGGCCGACGCGCAGGACTTCTACAAGCGGAAGATTGAGGATCTGGGCCGGAACCTGAAGGAGCTGGAGGCGATTGTGCAGGGCAAGGGGAAGAATCTGAGTGTCGTCGAGGAGGGTGAGTTGCATGTTTTGTTTTCCTTTGATCTCCAGGGAGGACCAGGAAGGGCAAGGGAGGGTGGGCCGTTGGAGTTGGAGACTTGGGACGTGTGGGAGGTTGCCATGGCGGGAGTTGGTGCTCGAACAGATGGCTAACTTCGGCTCTGTGTAGTGATACGGCAGAAGGTACTGGCTGGCAATGCGGGCGCGGCTGCGGGCGGCAGCACGGCTACGGCAGCAGCTGCTTGACCGGCACGCGTGCAGTCATTGTCATCGGGCTGTGTGTCACAATGTAGAGCTCAGGTGGTGTTTCCGACTGCGGACATCTACAGTCATGAGCACCGCTGCTGGTACAGGGGAAGCCGTGGTACTGGTGCTCCGGTGCAACTGCTCGCGAATCACTAAGCCGAAAGCACGGTGGGCGAAGAGGAACACTGGTCATCACCGAAAACATCTGGACGGTAGTGGTCAGTTTAAATAAGCTTTTAATTGAGACTACCTATGTGTGTCTGAGCCAACGAGCAGGGTCCCGGAAGAAGCGCTCCGAAGAAGCATATCCAGAGAGCACATTATGGGCAGCAGTAAACAAAAGAAAAAGCCTGCCGTCCTCCGTCCTCCGTCCTCCATAGAAACTTTTAGCAACTTTCCAGGTATGATAGAGACAAGAAAAAAGCCAGCAGATAGTGTCATTGAGCGAGCTTATCGAGATGAGCCGATAGTCCCTCTAATGGTGTATCATGTACCCCAATGATGGATTCGTGATGTGTGAGTTGAGTTCCGGTCAAGCTTCATAGTGGACTAGCAACAACTGTGTCAGTGCTGCGCGAGCTGATAGCAAGACCTGGGTAACAAACTAGACAAAGAGACATACGAGAGATGTTTGGTGCGTGCGTGAGTTTCATCACTCGGCCTTCCCGACCATCAACTCCTCGAGTTTCTTCAGCTTCTCCATCAGCTTCTGGAATCCGGTTCCGTCTTCACTATTACCCTCCCCATATCCGTTGCTTGGGAAGAACTTGGGCATAGCCTTAGCCCATGGCACCTCTTGGCCTATTTTGAGCTTGCTATGAGCTTGGAGCTCCACGTCCCAGTCACTATGCCAAACGCACACGCTCCAGCGCGGCTCACAGATCTGAGCCTCCGGTTGTGACAGTTGTGTCACCCCGTTCTGGCGTGGTATGAGATTGACCGTACTGATCTTCGCCACTTCGCAGATATAGGCGCTACCCTTGAGACAGAAGCGCCATGCAGTTTTTTGCTCTACGGACTGGATCGGGACCGTAGACGGGACACCTTTTCGACCAAAGGTGATATACTGGTGGTTCTCACCGAACTTGTGCGCCAATTTGGCGTCTAGCTTCACGCTCCAGTCGGCAAACGCAAAGTCAGCATAATGCTTCGGCAGCTGTGTCTTTTCGACACCCTGGGTTGTAGTCAACCCGAGATGCCAAGCAGTACCACTGACCAACCGTTAGCCGCCATCGAACTCCTAAGAAACGAAAATCTTGATGATATATCAACAACAGACGGGTGACTTACTGTTCGAGGTCGACAGTGCTCGCATCTAGTAGTAGCGTAGGTTCTTTTTTGCCGCGCTCAATCTTTGACCAGCGCATGGGAGTAGTCCCGTAATTCCCCGCCTCTTCCTTGAAATCCACTTGCAGGCGTAGATCACCTGAACCGTCCGGAGACTTGATAATGAACAATCCAGAGAAAACAGGCTTGACGTCTTGAAGCTGGGATGCCGTAGGATCTTCGGGGCAGAGCAAATGGCTCCCGTTCTTCACTAGGCATTCAAGGATGTGTTGCTCGATGCGTGGATGACCGAGCCTGGGAATTCGTTAGCTTAGCACAGTCATCGAGCTCAGCGGCCACTTACTCTTGGGTGACGAAGCTTTCCACCTCCGGATTCTGGACAATTTCCGCAAATTCGCTGAGAGGATAGATGTACTGATCGTTCTTGTTCTCTGGCTTAGGGTACTTCGTCAAAACAGGGGTACCCAGCTTGATGCGTAGCTGCAGATTGCCTCGGAAATGCCGCAATTCTTGCAAAGCCCAGGCAACCTCTTCCTCAAAGTGTCCAATGACAATCTGATGGTCCTGAAAGTCTTCCGCCGACAATGCTGATCCTACGCTGGAATTATCCGCAAGAGAGGAAAGAACGGAGAATCTTGAGTTCGAACCACAGTTCTTCTCATGCTGGGTTTCAGCACCCAAAGGCCTAAGCTTTGGAAACCTTCCGAGAGGTTCCGGATTGACGAAGCGGCCTGCGACTTTGGGTCCTCCATACGGAAGCAGCTGGACTTCGCGAGGCAGTTCTTCTTTAAGAGGCATAAGAAAGATGGTCCTGGCGGGTTCGAAGTTTCGAGCCAGCACCTGCTCGCAGGTAACCTTGAGGCGCTGGAGTGCATTCTCGACCAGCTCTTCCGTTGCTCCCAGAAGTGTTAAAGACTTTGAGCCTTTCTCTAGGATGATGAAGCACTGACAGTCTATCCTTATGGGGTCCAATGCCTCAAGGTTGCTTCCAAGAACCTGTTCAGGACGGAAAGAGACCTTCTTCTCCGGCCACGGAAAGACTGCGGTTGACATGGACTGTAGACCCTCGGGTGGTTCCTGCCGAAACATCTCCTTTCTAGCCTCGAGGCGGATTTGCTTCTTGATCTTTAGCTTTGTGGCCTCGGTCACGGCCCCCGTTTTGGCCCACTCCTGCTTACTCCTTCCTGGATACGCTGCGGTCATCCACTTTTCAATCTCCTGGATGGCGATCTTAGCTTGCTCGGCAGTGCCTCGAATATCGAGGTACACGGTGTTTCCGTCCATTCCCTTCTCGATGTGAGTACCAGTGGCTGTCGCAATCTCAGCAAGATTTGAGTACACACTCTGCTGGCGCAGTTCGGCGATATTGATCTTAAGTGTTGAGAAAGGGTTGATGTTACGTGGGAGCGGGTATCTTGCGGCCGGCTTCTCTCTGGCGCGATACGCAGCCATGCCCGCATTGTCGGGCTCAGCTATAGGCTTAGGGCTCCGTTGCCTTCTCGAACCTTCTGCCCGCCGTCCCTTTGCAAGAGTAGCGTACCGGTTCATTGAAGGGTTCGGCACTTCGCGTGCTGTGTTTCTAAGGTCGGAAGCAGCACGATAATGAGACTGGCCTACTGGAGCGGTTTGGCGATCTGTGCTGGCAGTCGTGGTCATGACTGGATTTGGACGAGATCCACTGCTCGCGGAGCGATCAGCAGCACGTTGTCCGGAAGGAGCTTTGGCCGGTGAAACCCACGCGCCTTTAGATCCTTTGCGTGTTTTGGGAGCAGAAGCCCACGAATTCTTCGAAGCCTGAGGGCGGGGCTTTGAACTGAAGCTGGCAGGCTGTGGTCCGCTCCGTTTGCCTGCGTATGCCCTGCTCAGACCAGGCTGGGCGGCAGGACGACCGTTGTCTGAAAGACTACTTGGGGTCATCTCTGGCGGAGTCGGGCGGAGAATCGGCGCAGGTACAGTTTTGGCCGGCGAGATCGAGTTTGTAGAAGCCATGGCATTGGCTGACGGAGAAGGAATTGGCAATGGCGAGAGGAGTGGATCGCGTGTCGCAGCAGTGGTCATGGGCGGACTTGATACGGACCCAGAACTGTTCATAGAATGGACGCCACTGCCTAGTGGAGTTATTAGAGGTGAGATGGGGATTTCGGTACATGCGTCAACCGGTGCCGGGCGAGTGCTCTCCTTAATAGGAAAGTAGTGCTTCATGCTTCGTTCCGCTGCTCCCTGTTGCTCCTTCTTGGTCTTGAACTTCCGGTGCGGTGAAGTAGTCTTCACGAAGCTTGCCTCGGCGTTCGGTACTTTATCGTCGAGACGCACTGAAGCTTGGCTGGATGATGGCCTTGAGAAATATTGTGGAGTTCCCTCGGCCTTCGCTTCGGCTTGGCTGCTACGACGCTCAGTCACAGGGCTGAACATGAGTAGATCTTCTAGATCATGCGACATGGTGACAGGTGCCGGGACGTAGCTGGCGTTGTCGTCGAAGCTTTCGAGATCGATCAGAGGCGGAGTCGTGGCGCCAACTTTGTGATCGATATGGGTTGCTAGGTTGGCAGCATTGAGGCTGCTAGAAGATCCGTTCATAACGGACTGACTCGCGGAGCTGCTCAGAGGCGGGAATCCGTCATCCTTGAATTTTGGAGATGTGAAGGTGTCCCAGTCTGCGAAGGAATCAGTAAGATGAACAAAGTTCCTGTAGATCTTCAATTGCATTGACAAAAGCTGGGATAATGAAGAAGCAATGGAGTGAGGTCCCGTGATCGGAAAGAACGTACCTAACTGGTCTAGGCCCCATTGACTGCAAAACATGTCTTGTTAGCTCTCAGATGTCTTCTCAACGTGCGACAAGTCCTCACTCACTGAGCCATGATGCAAATCTTGACAAGTTCGGCAAGTGGTGTGGTGTACAGGCTGAGGTGGCGAATAACCTCTGAGTCTGACGTCGACGTGATGCGACGAGAGGCAAAGATGTGAAGGCTGTGAAAACTACGACTGGTGTCGCTCCATCAAGATGATGCGCTGTGAGATGATTGAGGTGTAAGGCAGGTAGAACACAAACTGACAAACACCAGTGAGTGCGCGTGTGCAGGTTTGACTTTGTCAGACGGGACGGTGCAACGGCAAAAGAAACCAGCACGAGTCACTTTGAACCGGGTGACGCAGTCTCAGTCAAGCGGTCTCAGTCAATGAAGAATGGTCGCAGGTGTTTTGAGATAAAAGAATTGTTGTCTTCGAGTGAAGTGGCGAGGACGTGGTTGAGGTGAAGGTGACGGTGAAGGTCAAGTGAGAGATAAGAGATGAACGTTGGCAGAGGGATAGCAGGAGCGACACCTGCACTTCGTGGGAAGGAGAACAGTGAACGACTGCCTTCTGTGAGTTTCTTATCACAAACGGAAATAATCGTCAATAAGCATTTGTTCTGCGGGCACGTTGTTGTCTCGGCCGGTTTTTGTGCTGCTTTAGCTTGCCTGCAGCGCTGCCATATACCTTAAGCTTTCAGGCTGTCATATGTATATACGATCAAAAAACTTCAGGCCCCCGAAATGAAAGACAGTAGTGCGATCAGTCCTGAAAGGCTACATGCTCACGAGACGCAAGCCGGCCGTGCGGCTTCGGACACGATGCTGGTGCCCATCGCGCTCTACCGCTGCGTCTAGGCGACATCAAGCCTCGCTGTCCGTTTGAGCGGTCAACAGGTGATGATAAGGATGTCCTGTGAGCGAACCGGGATCGATGAGGTTGACATTCCCATCGTGCACTGGTCAGTCGTTTGCAGGTGGCTTCTCGTGCTACACTGACAGTGGACGCGTTTCTACGCGAATGAGCCCCTCGATCCATCGCAGCATATACCACGATGCCATCTGCAAACTTCTGACCGGATGTGAGAGGGGGATGCGAATCAAAAGTATTGGAAGGGAGATATGGATATTTATGAGGTGGTTGAGATCCCGTCTATTTGGATCAGGCAGATCCCTGCAGTTTGTAGAAGACCACCAATCATGGATCAGGAAACTTGGTTACCTACCTACTACAGGTGATCTTACTCTTTCATGGAAGGCATCTCCATGAAGGTATTATCAGTGAAGGCATCATCATCCATACAAGATACGTCGTTTCATTGGAAAGCTGTTCAGCAATACTAGATAAGTAGTTCAATACACGAATAATGCAACCATCATAGCAATCAAGCTCGCGGGCCTTCAGGCCTACAGACTGACTCGGATCCACCTAGAGCTAATCATTCAGCAAGTCTCGGATGGCTACAGGCCCGCATAGCAGCAATACTCCGCCATACCCGAACACGACAGCAGGAAAATAGAACCCTTCACTAGGACCGTGAGTCCGTTGTGGCCGAGATGGTGAGTATATCTCCCAGGAGTTTCCGAGGATCATCAATGACGTCCGCTTTGAGGAAGTCCCGCGCAATTTGCTCCTGGAGTTGTTGTCAGCACTAGAGCTAGAGACGTCATAAGCTACACGGGGTCGTACCGCTTCTTCAAGCTCCGCAGCCTCAGCCTCCGGCATCGCCGCACATGCTGCCACCAGGTCCTCGCCTCTGGCAGACAGCAAGATGAGCTCTTCGGCGCGTCTGACTATCTCTGGACTGATACCGTTCATGGCCGCACAGCTGTTGCCACTCATTAGCATCTGTTATCGCCGGTACCGCAGGACTGACTGCTCACCAAGTGCCCAAGCTGGACATGCTGCGCCCCTTCTCAAGATTATACAAGTACGTGACCTGATCTCCAACCTCCGCAGCCTCTTTGTTCAGCCGCACCTGCATGTGAGCGAAGCCCAGGCGGGGCGAAGGCTTCAGGTGTCCGCTTTCGAAGATCTCGTAGAAATGCGTGGCGCCGAGGACTTTCGGGCAGTCATCGCCCAAGCCAAGCAGGTACTCAAAGACGCCGCAAGCGAGACCGGCTCCGTCACTCGACTCAGTTCCCTTCCCGAACTCGTCGATGACCAGCAGGCTTCGATGGGTGGCCAAGCTCAGGGCTAGCGAGACTTGTTGCAAATCTATCATGAACGCGCTCTGGATCCTAGAGACGGATTCTCGTGTTGCGATACGAGTCAGAATCTTGTCGGTCACTCCGATTTTGGCGCTTTCCGCGGGCACGAAGCTTCCCACGTGAGCCATATACACGATAAGGGCGACTTGCTTCAAGTATACGCTCTTGCCGGAGTAGTTTGGGCCGGTCATCAGCAGCATGCTAGGACCGTTTGGAGTTTGAGAGGCTGTTATAGCTGCAGAACTTTCCGGCTCCGCCGTCTGGGATGAAAACTCCATATTGATGTCCTGCGGTACTTGTGAGCCTTGTCCGCCGACAAGGAAGGTATCGTTAGGAACGTAAGTAGGTACTGTTAATTCTTGCAGCGGATGACGGCCACCTTTGATCCTGATGATGTTCTCTTCTGTCATTCGAGGCCTGACAAATTTGTGGTGCTTTGCACCTTGTGTAAGCGCAAGCAGACTGTCAAGCTCGCCACAAGTATCCGAGACTGTAGTTAGCAGATCTTCATACTCCAGGATCGCTTGAGCAAGCTCATGTATGATCTCGATCTCCTTGTCACAGATCAGTCCATAAATATCGCCAAAACGCTCGTCCATTTCCTGCATCTGCGGGCTCTTGTAGTAGACCGTGGCTCCTGTGGTGAATATACGCTCCCATAATGTACCGGCATAGACACCTTGACCGGTCTGCTCATCGACTGGGACTGCAATCAGGAAACCGATCTGAGGGAAAAAGATGACATTCAGCTGAGCGTCGGGCGGCAAAGCGTTTGGCGGCAATTTGCTTGCAATGGATCTTGCCGCTTCTGAAAGCAGGTTTTCGATGCCGTCGTATACTTGCTTCAAATTGTCCAGCTCGTCGTTAACGCCACGAAGAACCACAGTCCGCTGCTGCTCGGCGGACTCGTCGAAGTCAACCACTTCGCTGATCTTCCGTCCGATTTGAGCGAGGTGGTAACCGTCGAACTTCTCCAGGACCTATGAAGCATCAGTATCGGTCTTACATTTCTGAAAGAGTAGTCGATTGAAACCTTATTGCGTATGGCAAGCCTGTCGGCACCAACGACGTCTTGAAACGTGTCGCGGATCTTTAAAGCGTGAAAGACGAACTAGTGACACATAGCTGTTAGACCACTAGAGCAATCTAAAAACGAAGCAACAGCAGTTGACGAAGATAGTGCAATACCTGACGGATGCTTGACCATGCTCCCTTTGCCACACCGCCGCCTCTCCCCGAGCCGCCACTTATGCCTTTCCGCAGGTTGATCATTACTAGCCTGATGTTCTTGATAGATCTCAAATTCTTCACCAGAGCATCCAGAGCTGTTGCGTTCTCTGGCTGGAAAAAGACACTAATCGTGTCAAGGCGCTCGTTGATCACCTGGAGATTGAGACTAGGTCGAAGAAAATACTGTCGTAGCAAGTACCTTCCTTGCGGAGTGCAAGCGAGGAAGTGGAAGAGACCATAGATGGAGAGTCCCTCTTTCGAGCCGGAATTTGCTTTGATGGGACCTTGATTGTGAGCATGGGGGTGCATTTCAGGTTGCATGATTTGCAGCGAGAGGAGCGTGTCGGCATTGATGAACCTATCGCTTGTCAGTACATGAGATAGACAAGACTCAGGTCAGGACGGGTATTGCAGTGGACAAAAGAAACCCACAAACTTACATTGAGCCGCTGAGGGTGAACATCTCAACTGTCGACACGCGGAAGAACGCGCCAGCATCTCGGTCTCCAGGCAGATACGTAGCTGCTCGTCTGCGCTGCAGATAGGAAAGAACGGCACCAGCGCAGCCGACCTACCCGTCAGTCAGTCATTGCTGGGCGCATAAGGGATATGTGTAGACAGGATTTACCGTCAGCCGGCTCTCCACGTCAATCCATCCAGAGAGTCTCAGCAGTTGTCCTTGACGACCAGCAAAGCCATCACCATCTGCTTCATAGCCTTCAGCCGGTAGCACGTCGCCTGGGGTCACATAAGTGATTTGCGGCCCATCCTCATATCCAATCTTGAGGTTCAAGAGCTTGTTCTTCGCTGACTCGTATGCGAACTCGCTCGATGGTCGCACCTCAAGGAGGTAGGACAGGTTAAACCGATCATCTTGTGGTCCGCTGTCAGCTACTGCATCAGATGCCGTGGCTTGGTCTACTCACTGTCACCAGCCACCGAACCTCTACTCCTCAGCTCCGGGTCTAGGCGGTCAATGACTGCGTCGTCTACTCTCGTCGAGACGAGGATGATGGTGGGATCGATGTAGAGCTTGACTGCCATGCTGTCAGAGTCACACTTAGAAAAGGTGGATGAGTATTTACGAGCATCAACCACTTCCACACCCCCCAGCTGCACATCTTCCATGAAGTAGAGCTTCCCTTCATGCGCGACATAGTACGAGCAGCCCACTGTTCCGCGGCCTTTGATGTCGATCGCGCACACGATCTCGTCCAACGCTTCAGCATCAGCGTCTTCTTCGTCTTCAGCTCCATCGGGCGCTGTTTCTCCGACTGTGGAAGCAGGAGCGGATTCAGTGACGTGTGCACGCTGAGGCGCGGCGATCCGAACTCTATGACGAGCAGCTCGCGGTGCTTGAGGCGGCTGTGAACCTCTCGGTGTGGATGTGCGAGATACTGAAGCGCGCGAGACGGAACTCTGTCGACTGCGACTTGATTGCGACGAAGTCTTGGGTTGAGCCCGAGCCTTCTTCGATGGAACTCTGAACGGCGCCATCGTAGATGCGACAAGTTGAGGTGGAGAAGCGAGGTGACCTCCGTTGAAGTTAAGGTGGATATGCTTCAAAAACCGGTAATGCACTATCGTGACACGCGAAACAATGATCACAAGAAGTGAGAAAGCCAAAGATCGGAGATTGATTATACGATGTAATGTACATGTTTGGTACAGTTAAGGTATATAGTCTTACATGCTGTGGGGAGTCCTACCTTGTACCTCATCACAAGAGCCGAGAGATAACCCCATACAACGCCTACAATGCTCGCTCATAAACAGATGAAATGACACACATTATGCTTTTTACCGTCAAGAGCGCCTGCGCCCACACGCTTTCGCCAACTCCGCCGTATGAATGCTACAACGCCGTCGCAGACTAATGAGCAGCAGCCCGGATCTGCAAACCCTCCTTATCCGCCTTAACCTCGACAACAGCCGTATCCCCAGTCTTGATCTCGCCCCGGATGATCTTGTCCGCCAGACCGTTACCGATCTGTTTCGAGATGAGCCGGTTGAGAGGTCGAGCGCCAAAGCGCGGATCGTATCCCCGCTCAGCCAGCCATTCTTTGACTTCATCAGATACCTGTAGGGTTATACGGCGGTCATCAAGCCTGGCTTGCAGCTCCTTCAGCCGGATATCCACAATGTCTCGCAGAGCCTCTCTCGACAACCTCCTGAAAATGATGAACTCGTCGATGCGGTTAAGGAATTCCGGTGGATACGCGCTGGCCACGGTGTCCATTACTGACTTCTTGACTGCAGGCGAGATCTCTCCGCTGTCCTTGCTGACCTGATGGCTGTGCAGATAGTCATCACCGACGATGATGTCGGCACCTAGATTCGAGGTCAGAACAATAATGGTGTTGCGGAAATCAACTCTGTGCCCTTGTGAGTCGGTCAAGAATCCCTCATCGAGGACCTGTAAAAGCAGCGCCGATATGTCGCGATGAGCCTTCTCAAACTCATCAAACAACAGCACGGCGTAAGGCTTTCGCCGCACCGCTTCCGTCAACTGTCCAGCGTCTTCATATCCGACGTAGCCAGCCGGGCTACCAATAAGCCGGCTGACGGTGTGCTTCTCCTGAAACTCGCTCATGTCGAACCGCACGACGGCTTGCTCCGTAGAGAAGAGGAAGCTGGCCATCTTCTTGCAGAGCTCAGTCTTACCGACACCGGTGGGCCCGAGGAACATGAAGCTCGCCAAGGGACGGTTCTCGCCGCTCAGGCCTGCGCGCTGCATGCGCACCGCGTTTGCAACAGCGGTCAAAGCCTCGTCCTGTCCGCGAATGCTCTGGCGAAGAGTGTCTTCCATATGGATCAGCTTCTCCACCTCGCCGGCCATGAGCTTGGTAACAGGTATGCCTGTAGTACGGCTGACCACATTGGCAATGTCATCTGCAGTGACCGAATCATGAAGTAAGCTGTCCGATGGCTTTCCGGCAGCGGAAGAATCCTCCCTGGGCAGTTTCTGCTCGAGAGCGGGAATAGTCGAGTAGCGTAATTCGCCGGCTTTGGCGAAGTTGCCTTCTCGCTGAGCTTGCTCTAGCTCGTGCCTTGCTTTCTCCAGGTTCTCCTTGACATTCTTGAGCTCCTCGATCTCAGCCCGCTCCTTCTCCCACTTCTCGGTCAACGTCGCTACCTCAGCTTGTTTAGCCTTTAGCGTCTCCTCCAGCTTCTCACGACGCTCTTTGCTTGCGATGTCGGTCTCCTTCCGTAGCGATTCAAGTTCGATTTGGATCGTCATGATCTGGCGGTCGAGCTGCTGTATGGCGTCCGGCTTGCTCTCCTGCTGCAAACGGAGAGCGCTCGCCGCTTCATCAACGAGATCGATGGCCTTGTCCGGCAGAAAACGATCAGTGATATACCGGTTGCTGTAGGTGGCAGCAGCTACAAGCGCACCATCGGTAATCCGTACGCCATGATGGACCTCGTATTTTTCCTTGATTCCCCGTAGGATTGAGATGGTGTCCTGGACTGAAGGCTCACCGACGAGGATAGGCTGAAATCTTCGTGCAAGCGCGACATCCTTCTCGATCAGCCTGTACTCGGCAAGAGTAGTCGCACCGCAGCATTGGAGCTCTCCTCGTGAAAGCGCCGGCTTCAGCAGATTGCTTGCGTCGATGCTGCCTTCTGCCTTGCCTAACCCCAGGAGTGTATGCAGCTCGTCCACGAAGAGTATGACACCGCCTTTTGCTTCCTCGACCTCCTTCAACACCTTCTTCAGCCGTTCTTCGAAATCACCTCTGAACTTGGCTCCCGCAATAAGTTGTCCCAAATCCAGCGAGATGACGCGTTTGTTCTTGATAGACTCCGGGACGTCGCCTCTGACTATCCGTTGCGCCAGGCCTTCGAGGATTGCAGTCTTGCCTGTGCCGGCAGAGCCTATGAGTACTGGGTTGTTCTTCGTTCTCCGCGACAATATTTGTATCGTCCGATGTATTTCTTGATCCCGTCCTATAACGGGATCAAGCTTCCCAGCCTTTGCGCGCGCCGTCAGGTCAACACCGTACTGTTCCAGCGCAGGCTTCTGCTCCTCCCCGCCCAAGTTCATGCGATGTGTTCCGCCTGGTGGATGCGGTCGGCCATTTGCGTAAAAGCGTATAGCTCCTACAGCCGAGCGGGCTACACTCTGTGATATCTGTGGTTGGAATAACGCCGGACGCGCTGCTAAGGGTGATAGTGTGCTGCGAGGCCGAGCAGCTGCGTGGAGAGATGAGGCAACGCGCCTCGAGGCGGTTCGTGTCCTAGATGACAACATGTTCTGTGCGATCCAAGGTTAGCAGAACACGAAGAATGCTCGGCCGGATGGCCAGCAAGAAGCTGTCCAATATATCATGATGGCGGACGTAACTATTCGCAAAGCGGCATCATCGAATCATCTCGCGCTTTCGATGGATGGCGATAGCTCGGAGCTATGGCTTCGGAGGACGGTGTTGTTCCATCTCCGGATCGTGCCAAGTGTTTCGACTCTGGCTCGAAAATTATCTGTTCGCGACGAATTGACTCCGCAACACCGCACAAAAGATACCCCCTCCGTCGCCTGTCCCTTCAAGCTACCAACACACACCCCTCTACACACGCTTCCAAAATGGGTTTCACAGACTTGGTCACCGGCGCTGGGCTCACCAGTAAGAGTTCAGAGCATCGCTGCCGACGGAGCTGCGACTGACTCGGCCCACAGTGCTCAACAACTGGCTGAAGACGAGGAGCTACATCGTCGGGTAAGCCCACCTTGATGACTCTATTCGAGCAAAACTCCTCACACTCCTCACTCAATGATGACTCTTCGTCCGTGTTGCTGAGGCGGCTTAAGACCCCGCCAGATGCTTAAATACGTCGCGCTTGTCGCACCTCTGATTCCTCTTCATATTCATAAATACTCGAAACGGATTGCTTGATGCAGCATGAACTAATCATGCTCTAGCTACACGCCCTCCCAGGCCGACGTCAAGTGCTTCCAGCAGCTCAAGGAACAGCCCGCAGTCGAGGATTACCCCTACGCCTACCGCTGGTACAAGCATATCGCCAGCTTCTCGTCAGAGTTCGACTCGCTACCGGGCGACCCTACCAAGTCACACACCGCATATGGACCGGAGTCCAGCGAGCTCACTGTGAATCCTGCCAAGGCGCCTGATGCCGCCGAGGAGGAGGGTGACGATGAGGACGTGGACCTCTTCGGCAGTGATGACGAGGAGGAGGATGCTGAGGCCGCGAGAGTCAGGGAAGAGCGGCTGGCGGAGTACAAGAAGAAGAAGGAGGGCAAAACCAAGCCGGCTGCTAAATCAGTCGTGACTATGGATGTCAAGCCATGGGGTATGTCTATCCTTTCCACTGAGGTTTTGTATCGCAGACCAAGAACACTAACATTTCTTAGACGATGAGACGGATATGGCAGAGCTGGAGAAGAACGCCCGCGCCATTGAGAAGGATGGTCTGGTCTGGGGTAAATCTCAGTTTGTGGCGATTGGCTACGGTATCAAGAAGCTGCAGATCAACTTGGTTATCGAGGACGACAAGATCTCCTTGGACGAGCTCCAGGAGCAGATCGCTGAGGATGAGGACCACGTGCAGTCCACCGACATTGTTGCCATGCAGAAGCTGTAGATGACTGAGGGATACCAGCTCCTCATCTCTGGTTGCCGTGTGTGCGCCCTGCAGAAAACTTCATAGCGCTATGATTGATGAACCGTGGTGGAAGAGGGTTATGGGTTACGTGCCATGAGCATTCTAAACACGATAGACCAAAATCACCGTTTGGAGTCGCGATGGATAAGCTATGCACTGCGGATCCTCTGGATCACACATCGCAAGGGTTTCATATGCAGATGAATTGTCGTGAGCCTCTCCAACATGGTTTTGGTGGATCACAATTCGCTTGGCAACCACGCGAGATCCGACATCAAATGCATCACCACCTCAAGCCCAATCACACAAGCCCCCAGCCCACCACACACACACACCAACAATGGCGCTCCTCTCCAAAGCCCTCAACGCAATCGGTCTACTCCTCCTCGCGCACGCGTACGTCTCAGAACTCTCCCCTAGTCCTTTACCGCCCCTTCCCAAACGCCCGAATCAACCGTTCAAACGCGCGGTACCCAGCTAACTTCCCAACCCACAGCGTCTACTCCGCCCACGAACACTCCGCGCTCCACGCCGGCGCGCCCTCCACCTCCCAGGCTCCCTCAACAACAGCAGCACTACCCCTAGACATCACGCTCGAGACGCTCACCTCCGTCTTCCTCGTCTGCGCGGGCCTCGTGCTGGGCAGCCCGGCGCTGAGGCCCATACAGTGGAGCGAGTGGGCCGGTGAGGTGGAGCAGGAGGAGGGGAGGCAGAGACAGGGGAGGGGAAAGGCGGGCATGAAGGAGGGTGAGGGCGTGGGGAATCCGTTTAGGATGCTGGAGGAGCGGCCGGGATTTGTGGATGTCAGGGTGAGTCGGTGTGGCTAGCTGTAGTTGGGGGGAGGGTGAGGCTTTGGAGCGCAGTGGGCTGACGTGTGGTGGTGTAGGCTAAGAGGAAGGAGTTTGCGGATTGGGTCAGGGAAGGCGGGTCGAGATAGGATGGGGCTGGTTACGATGGGCAAAGGCGTTTCGGTAGGTATTGCACGGCTTTGGTTTGCCTGCGAGATTGCTAATAGGTCATACAGCACGAAGCGACAAAATTGAAGATAGAGTTATACATGAATTGTTCTGAGCCATGCCCGCACGGGCGAGCGCCTGTCCGTCTTGTTTCATACGCTCTACTTCCTGCGCGCATCATTGGAACACAATACATCCACAGAGCTAAGCACAGGCTTCCACGTCTCTACTCTTGGGGTGTGCCTTCCACACATCTCACGCAAAGCCGTACTGGCCGACAGTCCACCACACCGTCCGCTTCAAGCCTTCTGCAGCGTCCCGCCAACCTGGCACTGCGCTGGTCCACAGCTCATGCCAGCCACACCACTCTCCTTCTCCTCCATCACATCAACTCCCGAGTCCTTCCTGCCTTTCCTCACTGAGATTCCACTGACCCACCAGACAGCCGCACACACGATCTCGACCACAGTCTCCACCTCCCGCTCGTCCTGCGGCGCATACACCATCATGAACTCCTTCGGCACGAACCTCCTAAACCAGCCTCCCCTTGCCAACGGATGGCGTTCTCCCCATCCGCTCTCCAACACGATCGCTGCGTCAGCAGGGTGCAGCACGATGTGCATACTTCCGTCGCTGGGGTGCGCGTGGCAGACCTCGCCGCGGCAGGTGTTGGTGACGGTAGACAAGCTGAAGAGACCTGTGCCGTGCTTCTCAAAGCAAGATGTGCCTTCTTGCAGCTGGTAGCGTGGGTCCGCGGCTAATTGACGCAGTGCTTCCGACAGCTTGGCGAAGGTGTCTGCGGAGATCTTCTGCGTCGTTTGGCGCTGGGGGGCGATGCCGGCGACTGAAGGGCGAGGAGCATGGCGGTGGGGCAGGTCGGTGAGATAGCCTTTCTGTGGCCGAAAGTGAGGGGGGATGCGTGGTGGGGTGTAGGGATCCCGTATGGCGAAGAGACCCAGGAATTTGACTTTCAGGTAGCCGGGGATGGTGGTGGGAGTGCCGCCCGGGCCGAGGGCTTTGAAGGCTTGGTAGTCTCGATAGAGGAAGTAGACAGCAGCTACTAGAGTGAAGGCTGCCAGGGTACGGCCTAGAGGTGAGCTGAGTGCCATGATGACTTGCTCCAGTGTTGTTATCGAGCTGGAGTGTGAGAATGCCATGGCGGGATCTTCATCTAAGCTCGAGGTCAGCAATTGCTCGCCGGTTCGTCCGCCGGGTTGTTTCTCATGCTGTTGACAGAGTGACCATTGGCTACTAATCAAGAACTCCGGTTGAGCAACGTACCAGGAAGCAGCTGAACCTTAAGCAGAAAACCCTTGGTGAATTCAGGCCGTCTAATTAGAAGTGAGTGTGACAGGCTGAGTTTCGAGGTTTGCTCCAGCTGACGGTGGAGAAAGCCCTCGTGGGTGCATGCCGGCGGGCTGGTCACGGAAATACGGTGCTGTGACGTGGGGGTGCAAGGGGGTTTTGGCCGTTCCGCAGTGGGCTTTCTCCCTTTCCCATCCCAGGGTCCCCACAGAAAAAAGTGCCATCAAGCATTTCGGGGTCTTGTCGGTAATTCGATGGATGAGAGCCTCCAACGTCTCGAAATCAACATTCGCTGCCTTCTATAACGTGCATTAGAAGTGGTCGCGCAACTAATATGGCTGGAAACCCGACAAACAATGCATGATCCAAGAGTGCGAAGCCGTAAAGTATCGACAGGGCCAGCAGCAGCAAGAGTATGAAGATTTACACATAAGCTATCTAAAGCTTCACGCTCTTCACCAGTCCCTTCTTAATACCTGTCAGCTCACCCTTGTATCCGCCTCTGCCCTCGCCGCCCTTGTATACCTGCCTGATGCTACCCAGCTTCTTCTTCTTGTCCTCAAAGGCCTTCCTCTTCTTGACTCGCGGATTCCGGACATCCTTCTTCCGCCTCGGCGTCAAGCCCTTGTTCTTCTGAATGGCGTAGGTAATGGCACGTTTGCCGTCCTGCCCTATGACCTCTTGTTCAACAACCCTGCCGCCCTCACGCTCAGCTTGCGCATGTGCTTCAGCCAAAGCTTGTTTGTCCGCTTTGCGTTTGTTCGTTCGAGCGGCAACCATGTCGTAGTAATCCTCGTCATCTTTGCCATCCTCGCCTCGGATCTGCCTGGCTTGTTGTCTGTCCTCTTCGTCGCTTTCGCCACCCAGCTCTTCGCCTTGAGCCGGCTGCTTGCGACCGCGCTTCTCGGCTTCAGCGTTGAGTCTGGCTTGTCTGTCCCTTAGACGCTCCCTGTACGGTATATCTGTGTCGCCGCCTGCATCGCGTCCAGCAGCCCCGCGCTTGTTGACTTTCTGAGCGATCTGTGAGGTGTAGAATCTCAAGCTCTTCTTGCGTCTCGCCTTTTCTGCAGCTTCGTGGGCGGTGAGCTCCGTCTCATCGCCGAAGTCGGAATCGTCGCCGTTCACGACGTCAGATTTGGTAGGCCTCGACTTTTTGACTTTACGTACTGCGGTCCTGTTCGTCAAAGATGATAGCGCAGCAAGCTCTTCCTCGGTTCTTCGCATTCTCTCGGCGCGGCGAGCCTCAGCTTCGGCATGCGCAGCTTCTGCTGCACGCTCTGCCTTAGTCTTCTTGGGTTTCCGAGTTGCTTTGCCTTCTCCGTTGACGACCGCTTCTTCTGGTCTTCCTTCCGCCTTTGTTACCGGCTCTTCCTCAATCGATGATAGGTCATTGCCGTTGGCACTATTCGGTATCGCTTCTGTGATGCGCAGATCCTTGATTTTGGTCCACAGTGTCCGGCATTCCACCAAGCTATCCATGACTGGGTGATCTCGCAACTGCGCTGGAGCTAGCGCAGCTCGTGTGGAATCACTTTCATTCGACGCTGATGTGAGCAGCGCAAAATACATAGAGATAGCGGCAAGATAAGCAGCCAGAGCTCTGTGCTTGACCACTGCGACCGGCGTTCTATTCGAACCTGCTTTTGCCGCGCTTCTATTCCTTTGCAGGTTTTCAGCAGCGGCAGCAGCAAGCGCTAGCTCTTCATGCAAAGGCTGCAAGTCCAGAAACTCCTTCGCAAGGGGCTCGAATTCTGGATATCGTGTCTTCAGCAGCTTGAGCCGCTCTGCAGGGCCCATATCCTCCGCGATCTGTAGTTGTGGCAGCACCTCAATGACAACATCGCCCTCTTCTCTGGCTTCGTCAGCTTCTCCATCATGACCGGCGTCTCTCCAATCTGCTTCATCAAAGCCGTAATCTGCCTCCGTCATGGCTTGCAGTTGCTTTTGCTGCAGTCGCCGCGCCTCGGCTTCCTCATCAAAAGCATCTTGCTCCGTCTCGATTTTGTCCGCATTATAGTAATCCTTCTTCGAGGGGCCCCATCCGCCCATGTCTTCGTCACCGTCCTCGGATTCAGAGGCGTCTGATCCCCGCCCGCGCCCTGGCGCCGCTTTGCTGGCTGTTTCGGCGCTGTCTGATACATCGTCACCGTCCTCAAGGTCCTGGTCTTCGGCTTCGGAAGGAGTGTCGTAAGCTAGGACTTCTTCGTCGGAGGGCTGCAGGAATTCGTCTGTCCAGTTTGATCAGCGAATGCACCCCAAATATCCTGCCGCATTAGCACACCTTGCTCCTTCCACCTCCTCATCCTCTTCGCCTGTGGCTCCTCGTCCAACAGTATCTTGTCTCGGTTGATGTGGAACTCATCCTCCGAATCCGCCACATCCTCATAGGTGTCGACCCGAAGCTTCGACTTCGCTGGGTCAACATCGAAAGACGTTTGCTGGTCGCGCGCCTGGGCGGATGCTTTGCGCTTTTTCGCCATCGTGGGTTGGTATTACCGTCTTTTCTGCACAGAATGCGGAGTTGATAGCTCTAGAAATTTTGGACATGCGGAGATCTGAGATAGCCGATAAGATGAGATTAGATAACCACTTTCCTTCGCACGTGACTTCTGCGGCACATCACAACGCTATCAAGAACCCCCGGCCTTGAGCCCCAAGAGTTCGCACCTCGGTCTAAAAACGAGCTTAGGGTTTCTAATTAAACCGCACGTGGGTGGGTTGCGTGCCATCAAAAAGGTCTATCGGTGTTCTTCTACGTTCTCTATCTCATATCATCAAGCTCCGGCAATGGCCCGAAGTCTTCTCAAACCATTCGCGCGGGCACGACATGAGCGTAGGGTACGAATAGCAAGACTATTCGTAGGTAAGGTCTTAGTTGCCTCGCCGCACCCTCCAGGCGTCCACGCCCCGCGAAGCTCCCGGTCCAATATCGCAGCCATGCTATGGAATCCGTGGCTTCGAAGGGCTGGGGCAAGATAATCATCTAGTATGGAGCGTTATGAAGCCGCGGATGTAGGAAGCTACGCCATGCTACCTCCATGGAGATGATTGGAGATGTTTAAGCATACAAGATCTTACTAATACCAATGAGCGCTATATATCCGGTCCTTAGTGATCGCTTTTGCTTTGAATAATGGATACAATCCCTGTGCTGAGCCTTCATATTGACCGTCTTAAAGTCAGCAATTTACAAGGGCTATGCGATCAATTTTAGATGGTATGGCGCCGAGGTCAGGCTTAGTCGTATAAGCAGAAACAATGTGCCTTGAGCGCTGATACTTTGACCATCCACAGTTCGCAACCACGAGAGGAACGTTTGAAGCGGCAATGGGTAAAGCATAAACTTCTTCAGCAGCAGGCGCTCGCTCAATGATGCTGGCGCGTTGATGTCGCACTGGAATGTTTGCAGTCATATACTTCGCATCTAGGAGCAAGTCAGATCAGTAGGAAACGTGTCCCATGAGGCCGAGCGAAGCCTTGCCATCATAAGATTGATTTTGTTGAAGAACAGTCGATAGATCCCCGACTAACTCTTGCCACTCTAATCATAGTCGAGACGGCGCGCCGTAACATGACATCCCCCACGGCTTTTGCGGGGTAACAGCTTGCGACAAGCTGATGACCTCAAGTTCCAACAGTAAGGTGTTCCCGAAGGACGGTTAGTCTTTGGTGAGCGAGGAGATCGGCTGTGGCGTCGCATGGCACACTCGAACCAGGGGGTTTTTGAAGACCAATGGCATTAATTGCGGCTGACGATCACTCGAGCAACGCTCGAAATACCCTGCATCCAAGGCAGGATGGCTGTCAATTCTGAAACGGACCACGCGTCACAGCAGCGAAAAGTTGCTGCGCAACGGCTCTGTCCTGCCAGCCTCGCTAGAGTCGTTGCAGTCGGCGGAGAAAGTCGCACAGTGGGCTGAGTTACGCAAGCTGCAACCGGCGACCTGATGCTATGCTCAGCGGAGGAAAATTTTGAGCAGGAAGAGGCTGAAGTCACCCAAAATAGCACAGTGCTCCACAGAAAAGATGGCCGGGATTCGGTGGTTGGGCCCTTGTGCAACTTCGTGCGGCGAAATGCACGCTTCCACCCCCCGGCCCGAAGGGGCGCAGACAGCGTTGACAGGCTGACAGGGGCCAGGGGACGCCGTAGCAACACACCCTTACTAGCCTGATAAATATTCAGCGTTCGCTGCTCATTAAACAGTTCCTATCACACCTTCCTTTCCCATCTCTCCACACTCGCTTTTGCTCCTAAACATCCAGCGCATTCTCTGTTTTACCACCCAAGACTTTCCTCCATCTCAACTCGACCTACTTCAACAGTCAACCACCATTACCATCACCATCAACATGCGCGCCTCAATCTCCCTCGCCGCGTCTTTCGCCGTGCTCGCCTTCGCGCAGAGCAGCGAAGTCTCCGTCGTCGTAAGTCCCGAAACACAATCACTCGATTAGCGCGTTGCTAACGACTTCGGAAGACCAGTGCCCTGAGTGTCTCGAGCGTCTCTTTCGAGAACCCTTTCACATCCTACACAAGCCTCACCAACTCCCTGGGCGTCATAACCGGCATGCCTCCTGTCGAGACTTCTCAGCCCTCCGTCCCAGCCGTCGTTACCTCCCAGCCCGGTGTCGTCACCACCCAGCCTAGTGTCGTAACCACGCAACCGATCGTCGCAACAATTCCAGCCATCGGTACCGGTCTCACAACAGTACTCGTTGGTAACTCGTCGGTCGCCGTATCTGCAAACAACAGCACAACCATCATCGTATCGACCACCTCCTCGACTGTGGCATCGAACTCTGCTTCGACCAGCCGCGCGACATCATCGGGTGGTTCGTCCGTTGCCGCCTCCGGAACGTCTGGCAGTGCAGCTGCCTCCTCGAGCGCGGCTGCTGCGGCTCACGCTAGGGTCGCGAGCGGTGCGCTGGTCGGTGCTGGCGCGTTTGCTATCATGTTCTTGTAGAGCTGTGGCGCCATCGTATCGCATGTTGGCTGTTTGATGAAAGCGAAGGACGTTGGAAAGGCACCTCTCGTACGCTTGTTGTCTTTGCCGGCCATTCAGTGTCTGACCACTGTGTGCGCCGAGTCTTGGATATCGCTCAGTGTCTGGGTTCGTTTCTGTTGTCCGTTGAGCGTGCATAGCTCGGCGCCGGATGGAAGTAATGTAATGAGTACTTATATCTGGTACTGGATGTTTGTCCGGTCACCGTGTGTCGAGCAAGGCAGAGTAGATAGTAATACAAAAGCTCATACTGACATGCGGTCTCCGGCTTGACGCTCTTCGTACGACTAATTCCGACTGTTGAAACGAGCGTGCGCGCGTACCGTGGATCGCTTGTCTATGAGAGCTGTAACTCCACGTTCGATACCCTTTTGGGTATCTCACCCTCAGTCTTGGTAATCGACACTACATCAAAGCGTACAGAAACACAACCTTGAATACGGTTGACAGATATACACGCTTATGAAGAACGGATGCCTGGCTCGGAAAAAGCCCAGATCACGTGCCAGGGACGGGAGCAGGCGGGATGATCGAGGCGCATCCCCGCGGAGTGCAGGGGACAGGGTCCAACCAATATGGGGAAGCCACAGGGGCCAAGTTCATAAAGTACACAAGACCACCTTAGACAACTCCACCACCCCGCCGATGCTCTTCACATTACACCTTCTAACAGACGTTCAAGACCTTACTTGAGCCTCATCCAGCCTGGTCAGTGGTTTTTGCGCCAATTGGTCTGTTGCATGCGCTGCCAACAACAATACTTGGTGATACTTTCACATGCCAATTTCTTCCCACAACAAATTATAGCAATTGATGACGAAGCTGATAGTTGTTCACTTGCAGGAACGTCACAAAGAACATTTGCAGAGCCTCTGTTCTACGACAGCCCCCTAGACTGAATGGATCCCTCCAGCGACCCACCCTCACCCCTTCGGCACATTCCCCTATGTTACGGCAACGCCGACTCTGAAGCCTCCGCCCTACGCCTCGTTCTCGCCCTGGAGCCGAGTTGGACGCAACATCAAGACTGTATCGAGTTCATTAAGTTCACTGATGGCATCACGAATACTGTACGTCAAAGGCAAGCAACCAAATCCGAACAATCTTAGGAACGTATCGACTGATGTCATGTTTGCCAGCTCCTAAAAGCGGTGAACAAGCGGGCGGGACAGTCGCAGGAATGTATTGACCAAGAGGCCATCATGTTGCGAGCATACGGTGAAGGGACGGCGGTGCTCATTGACCGAGAGAGTTCGTTACGTCCCTGAAGCACGCACTTGATCGAAAGACTTATGTTCTGTGCTCAGGAGAACGACTCTCCCACTCGCTTCTAGCCAGCCACGGTCTCGCACCTCCCCTTCTTGCATCATTCCACAACGGCCTACTCTATAAATTTATCCCAGGCGAGGTTTGTTCGCCCTCGGACTTGCGCCGTCCTGAGATCTGGCGAGGTGTAGCCCGTCGGCTTGCAGAATGGCATGCTACTTTACCAATCTCGAGCATCAGCTCTGAGCCGGCTGTCGAGGCCCAGAATGGCATTGCCAATGGCCACCGAAGGAGTGACAGTCCTGTTCCAATGGCTCAACAGAAGCGAGGCCCGGGGACATCTGACCGAACCCAAACTGAGGAAGTGAGTGCTCGCAAAATCTGTGACTTACCTCCTCACGCGATCTGTACTCTCCTATGTGCGTTCTGGTTCAAAAGTTTTCGTGGTGAAACGTATCCCATTACGCGGCTAAAATTACCGGAAAGGACCAGCGGAGCAGACGAACCCCATGGCGGAGTTGCTTCGTGCGTACCACTAACATGTCCAATCAGGCGCTCACCACTCCTGGAAAGCCAGTGCCGAACCTCTGGACGGTGATGCAGAGATGGATCTCCGCTCTTCCAGCCGGCTCAGAAGCAGAGCGAAAGCGACAAGCGATGTTGCGGACCGAACTCACATGGCTCGCTCGGAGGCTAGCCGACACGCCAGGCATTGGGGGCAAACCGCTCGTATTCGCCCACTGTGACCTCCTGAGCGGCAATGTCATCATCGAGCCAACTACCTCCCCCGAAAGCTCTAGTGCCAGCCTATCCAGCCAGCAGACCAACGGCTCCGACGACGCACCAACCCCCGTTTCTTTCATCGACTACGAATATGCCACCCCGGCGCCCGCAGCTTTCGACCTCGCGAACCACTTCGCAGAATGGGGCGGCTTCGATTGCGACTTCTCCGTCTTGCCGACCCGAAGCCAGCGCCGGGATTTCTTGCAGGCGTACCTTGTGTCCTTCAACCAGCACCTGGACCGACCTTACCGCGAAGAGGAGCTTGAACAGCTCTTCCAGGACGTCGACGCCTTTAGAGGCGTCCCTGGCTTCTACTGGGGTATCTGGGCTTTGATCCAAGCCACGATCAGCCACATCGATTTCGACTACGCTTCTTACGCTGAAGTCAGGCTGGGGGAGTACTGGGCCTGGAAAGAGAGTCTCGAGAAAAGAGCGGTCAACGGGAAGGAGAAGCCGTTGAGGGAGCGGCGCTGGGCGGAGGAGTAGAGCTCGATGAACTCGTGATGCGGTTGCAGAGCGGCGCCAACGGTAACGGGTAGGGAAATGGTATAGAGAGAACCACCTGGGGATCTTAGAGATGCCACAGGCGGGTTTCAACAACCTCAGGGCTTGCATTTTATTCTTGGTGGAGGCGGAAGTGCATCGGTCGGTTGGGGAGTTATTACACAGCATCATCTCGGCGGCGCCTTTCAACAGCGACGATACCCTTGAAAGTTTTCTTTTTCTGCGTATCAAATCGACATCGGTCATAAGTCTATCTTGAGCAGAAACAGGAAAAATTACAAAATCTAGAATTGAGGTCTCCTTGACTCAGCCCGTAGCCTTATAGTATCTTCACCACTCTAGGAACGCGATACTTGAACCAATCGCATTCCCGGCGCACGCGAATGTCATAAGCTGCTTGATCCCGAAAATTTGAAATGTAATCGAACATGCCCACGCGGTAGAATACCTGTTCCTCAGGCTCGCTTCGCTGTCGATTCTCCTTTGGTTGCATACGAAGTAGATCGCCACTTTGGGTTCGGGCGTAGTCCCAAACTTGCTCTGTGGACCACTCGTCGACTTCGACCCCCAAATAGCGACGAAATTGATAGCGCAGGGCGGCCGTCTGTATTGCGGAAGGTCTTGGTTGTGTGTCAACTTCATCATCCACCACTTCCCCTCTGTCCTTCTTTTCTTTGGCTGCTAGGCGCCGTTTCATTGCTTCCTTTTGAAGATGAGAGATTGTCTCTGACCGCAGTACCAGACCTTTGGTACTCCATTGAGCTCCCATGAATACGCTGTGTAGCTCTAGAAGCACGACTTCCGTAATGCCTGAATTTACATGTGGCATGCGGGTTCTGAAATCCGAAGTATCAATATTGACCTTGACTTGTTGCGTCTTGCCATCTTCACTCATCTTCATTATGATAGCGTGGTTCTCTTCAGCTCCGGTGTAGCTGTTCGAAGCCTGCGGGGGAAGGAGAAGCGCAGGTATCAATCTTGCTTCGAGAGTCAGGCTGCTCAGGTTTTCTTCGACTGCTCCAAATGGTGCGCTGTCTTCAATGAGCATGAGCTCACACTCTAATACCTTAGCCCTGGCTTGCTCTTTAGTCCCGTGTTCGGACCCGTACTGGCCCTTGAAGTCGATCACGCCGTTCACAGACGTCCAAGACCATGAAGGACCTTGGAACGAAGTCGGTGCAGGATGGGTGGTTCCTTGCACGGACCATAATAGCTCTGTGAGCAGTGATCTGCGCCACATGCCTGCGAGATATTCATCGTCAAGCGCAGCGCTGTACTCTTTCGCGAGTCCGGACAAAGCCAAGATTCGATCCGTTGGTCTTGTGAGTTTGCGGTGTGTATAGGCCTGAACGAGACTATACCAATCTCGTTTGCTTCCTCTCAGATTTGTCTCGTTGTCAACCTGTGAGGCTGATCGAGCAATGTCGAAGACTCGGTTGAATACCTCTCTCGGTAAGATGTTCTTCGTGCTAGAACTACTTTCAGTCCTCATGACCCATCCGTCTGTCCACCCTGGTTTATCTAGAGAACCACGACACAACCAGCGTACTTGATGCTCCGAGAATTCCAGCATGCGTGGTGAGAGTAGTCGCTCTTGCAATGTCCACGCTCTCGTATCAAGTGGGTTTGATTCTCTGTCGAGAGAGAACATTGTTATATTCCCCCTTTTAGAATTGGGACACACGTAAGGTAAAGTAAAAGCCGGTGTCTCTGAGTTGGGCGAATACCGTTGATGGAGGAATCCCTTAGACGCATCACTAGCTGAAGCAGCTGCAATAGTGATATAACCATTTCTGTATATCTGTGGCATCTGAGCAATCTGTTGGGATCGATCTCGATCGTCATCTTGTAAGATACATAGCGCGTCGACCCACAAGAAGCGTACTTTGAGGTTGCGACAAATGGTAATTGCGTCTTGCACAGTCCTCGACAGTTGAGCATACGGTATCGATTCCATCCACGCGGAAACAGTCGCCGTTGTCGATGTGATCGCTTGATCTTTCCCCCAGCAGTAACTCAACGGGATATAGGGTGAGTGGGCTAAGTGCTGAGTTTCGCACAAGCGCAAACAATCCGACCCGTTGGAGTCTTGCACCTTGATTAGTCGTTTAGGCACAAATGCGGAACTGAGAGTTGGGCAGCTATCGTTGTGTTCTTTAAGACAAGAGTCTCGCCAGAGGGATATCTTTGCGGCTGTCTCCAAGGATCCAGGTTCATTGTCTATCGGTCTGGTTGTTATGTATGCGGCAGCGGGATTGCCTGTTGACACGTCAGTTCAAATATAAGAGCACTTTGCTCAGATGGACTGTACCCTCAGAAGCCTGCACTCGGAATCCGCGCCGCGTTCGATATGCAACCTGTTTATTTGCTCGGTCCCAGAGGCCGAAGAACTGAACTTCCAAGATGTCGTGGTCCTGTGCGCCGAGGAAAAGGCACACGTTCTCAAAAGCTTCTGGTCTCTCTGTCGCTAGTTTACGCATCGTTTGTTCTGGACAAGATGGAGTCGTCCTAGAAACCCACATGGTGGCCTGTTCCAATACCTTTCGGAGCTGGTCATCCGCGATCTCGCTGCAATGTGCCGATACATCCTCTAGGGTTATACATTCTTCATCTAGAATCCATGAACACAGTCGACAACCGTTGCCGCTGGCTTTTACGAGATCGACCAAGGTGAAGTCGAAGAGAGCTTTAGCCTCCATTTCAGCATCGTGGCTATCAATCGGGCTCCGATCATGATTGAATCGATGGGGCGTTCGGTGTTCTCGGTCGAAGACTATCTTCTCACAATATTCACATGAATGAGGGTGAAGTATGACCGGCGCCATGACAGAGGACAAAGATGCTTGTTTCACTCAGCTGGAAGGGCATCAGCGACGGCAAGTGGGTAGATGAGGAAAATGCACAGGCAAACGCCGAGCTACATATGAGTTTCTGTCATTGAAAGTGCTGCGCCTTGCGTCGTCAGTCGCGAGGACAAGAACGCCAGAAATCGAGAGTTGCCTCAGCCGCTGCGCCCCGTTCGTGCCCCTTTATGTCTCAAGCTGAACCGTGCTTCTCAACAGGGCTTAGCTGGGTCTAAAGTTCTACAGTGTGCTTAGGAGTGCCAATCATGTCGTTCTTGCCTTTGATTCGTTATTCCTATTTTAAGTCCGCCGTATATCTCAAGCCTCAAAGTAGATGCCTCACATATTAGCGAAATCGATCCCCGAACTCCTCGGCACCGCACTCTGCGCAGCAACAGGCAGCTTCGCCGCTGCATTGGGATTAACCTCCACAATTTCAACCTCCTTGCACTTATACACAGTCGCCGCCAATGCGGGCTTGATCTGCTCCATGACCTCCTTCTCATCGAACGCCAACTTGCAATTAAGCGGGTCCGTGAACCCCGAGCTTTCGACGTCCTTCTTGAGAGCCTTGACGAAGGGCATAGCTTTCTTGTTCTTCTTGTCGATTTTGGGGAGGAGCTTTTTAGTGTCAAGGGTTGTGCCTTCGAGCGTGGCCCGGACGAGCTCGATGAGGTCGTCTTGCTACTTGGGGAAAGATCTGTGTACAAGTCAGTTGAGTCGTCGCTTTCTGCGTGCCAACACGATTGAAGCCCGACAATGAAGACTATCGCATGCTGCGCACCGCTGGCAGCTCGTCGCACGCGCTCAAGTCACAGGCTGGTGTCGGATAGATTCCATTCGTCGTTGGTCAGGTTTGACAGAGGCTGTAGTTGCTGTGCTCTGTACCGGTGCGTCTGAGAAGGCGTGGAAGGATACGATATGGTCGGTTGATCGAGGCGGAAAACCAGACCACGCAGCTACGCAGCTCGAGTCAGAGTCGCGCTGCCCGGGCGCGAAAGGGAGTCAGCCCTTCCTTTTTTCTTTCTCGGTAAGGATCGTTTTCTTTTAGTTGCCTTTGACGTTATTACGGGTGCTCATATGAACCTCTCCGCCCTCGTTCTTGCGATTCGAAGATAAACAACGTCTCCGAGCCCTATTACCGGAAAAAAACAAAAAACAAAAGCTTTACTACGCGCATCGGCGGCTACAGCAGACGTAGCCGAGAGACTCGTCGTGAGTCCGAGGAGAACTCTCTCCCGGCCACGGCAGCTTCCCGCAAGAGCTTTGTCTCTCCTCGGGATACATCGACGCAGTTGAGGCTTGCAGGCGCAGGTAGAACATGATTGCGCACGTAATCCCACTTAGTCGTCCCGCGCTACTGGCACGTGCGAACCGTGTTCATTTCCAAGTTCTCACATATCAACTGATAGCAGCGACTGCGTAGTTCCCGATACTCATGAGGCCATGGCCAGCGATACTCTCTGTCTGGCCAAGAGAGCAATCTGTGGTTGCATGCACATTAAGCGAACCGGAGCCCCGGAGGAGCATGATGTGATGTAGAAATACGGTACTTGACATGAAGAACCGCAGCATACGTGCGGCAAGACTTTCCATTACAGACAGCCGCAAGGTCTTGGGTATCGATAATGCGGAAGTAATATACTAGACATGTGTACAACGAGCAACGTACTGATGGGTATGAAGCAACTAAGCCCAACTCGGGCATTGAACCACGCTTCGAGAGGTGTAGACACTGTGCGGCAGGATGCTTCCCTTGTCGGGGTGGTGTCGAGCGGATACGGACCGCGCCCATGCTACAGGCATCCATTCGACCAACTGGACGTGGCTCCTCTACCAATTACCGTTGCTAAAATCATTAAAATCTGGCATCCAACGCTTGCCAGCGAAGGGCAAATCTATTCAAGCCATCCCGTTCTGCTGCTGCTGAGCCTTCTCTTGCTTCCACTTATGCGCCATCTGGAGCAACTTGCTCACACCAGCGTTGCCTTCGTCGTCTGGGAAGACGTAATCGGGGTACTCCTCAAACGAGCCATCGTCTAGCCTCCTTCTCTTCTTGACCTTGCGAGGCATCATCTTCTCCACCTTCTCGACGTCCTCAGGAGAGCCGTGCGTGGTCTCAAAGGACTTCCACGCGTTGAGTAGGGCGACACGCTGTGAAGTGTTAGCGACTGTTCCTGATTGATAGGGGTGGCGACTGCAGGACTGCATGCATACCTCTTCCTTGAGATCCTTCTCCCGCATGCTCCTATACGCTCTCTGGAAGATGCTTCTCGCCCTACTCTTGGCCTCTTCGCTGACCGGCTTCTCCTCGTCCTCATCACCCTCATCATCTTCCTCCGGCATGTTCAGCTCCATCTGCGCATAGCTGATCCAGACCTTGACATGGTTCGTCTTCTCGAGTAGCCTCTCGTACAGCTGCCTCGCGCGGTCATACTCTCCCTCGTCAGTCTCGAAGTCAATGTAGTTCTTCCACAACAGCTCCGGCATATCAAGTTGCTGCTGCGAGACCGCTAACTCCAAAATGGCGCGCGCTCGGTCGACGTCGTCGAGACCACGCTCGAGCTCAGCAAACTTGATCCAGGCCTGTGAGTTGGTGGGGTTAAACTCTATCTGCTTCTCGTAAAGTGTTCGACAACGAACGAACTCGAAAAGCTTAAGTTCAAGCTCGATATAGCCTTTGAACAGTTTGTCCTTAGGATGCATGCCAATGGCTCGCCCTAGCAGTTTACGTGCGGCTGACAGCTGCCCTTGCCTGACTTCGAACTGAGCGGCTAGCAGGTGGACCTTGGCAAAGGTGAAGTGCTTGGGGATCAGCTTAATGCATGCCGTGTAGATCTCTCGGGCTCTTTGGATGTCCTTGGCTTCCAGCTCCTCGTACAATGCGTAGAAAATCCAGAGGTAGATGTACCGTCGCCAATGTCGCTTCTCCTGTGTCGGTGGAACCTGCGCAATCGCCCGCTCGTAGATATCTCGCACTTTCTCAACGTCTCCTGATGTCTCCTCCAACCGGGTCCAGTCGATCCAGACATCGTAGTTTTTCGGCTGCTCCTTGACCTGCTCCTCATACTGCACCCTCCGCTTAGCCAAAATAACGTCTTCCACGCCCTCTCGGTCGCCGAACTGCTTCTCGAAGGTGGTGTACTGCTTGTGTAGAGTTACAGATTTCGATCTCGGCATGCGGTCCAGCGCGTACCGGTATATCGCCCTTGCTCTTTCATATTCGCGCAACTTCATCTCAAAGCGCGCGTATGCTATGAAGAGCTTCTCATCCATGAACTCTTCTCCCAGAGTCTCTATAGCCATGCCAAACACATCGCGGACAAGATCGGACGTGCCGTTTTCTTCCTCAAACCTTGCCCATTTGATCCAGTTCCTGGGCTCCGGATGCACGACCGTGAAACGCTCAAAGATTGCCCTAGCCCTCGCGAACTCGCCGTACCGCTTTTCCAGCTTAATGTACGCCGACCAAGCGTTCTCATCCGGCTCCCAGGCCATCCATCTCTCAAACACCTGTCTCGTGCCCGCCACATTCTGCAGCGTCTCCTCCATATGGACATAGCGATACCACAGCTTATCTACCCGCGGCAGAATCGTAACTGCCCTATCCAGCAGATTCCGCGCATGGTTGATATTCCGGTTCCTGATCTCCGAGTCAATATACCGCAGCCACAGCGCCACATTCGTGGAATCCACGTCCAGCGCCCGTTCGAATATGCTCCGCGCTCTCCGGAATTCCTTCTGCTCGAGTTCCCAGGCGGCGTACCGCATCCAGTTGTTCATGTTGATGCGGTTGCGCCGGACATAGTCCTCGAACTCCTTGCGCTTGCGGCCCTGGAACTCATGGAGCTCTTCGAGGTCCGCGAACCGCTGGGTAGGAGCCTGTAGCCCGGGCTCTTGTCGGTCGACGGCTTCGCGGAGAAGCTGCTCGGCAGAGATTTGCTGCGGCGCGGGGGCCTTATTCTTGACCCTGGGGGGGCCGCGGGAGGACTCCATGATGGGCGATGTGTTGTACTCGGAGATGGAGTGGTAGTGTAGAGTAAGGTGACAGATGAAGTGGCGGTTTCGAGAGTGGGGATAGAAATGGTGATGAGCAAGAAGAAAGTCACGGCAGTGAGAGACAAGGAGAGGATGGACTGAAAGTGCGGTATGGTATGCGCTTCGGCGTACACAGACAGAAGTTTAGAGAAGCTCGACTCAAGGTCGTGACGGCGAAACGTTATTCCGTTGGCACGCCAAGTATCGTGACGCGCCGGGCTTTGAGCCGCGACTGCGCTCCCGCCGCAACTTTATTCTCGCCATCAACCTCAATAGGCATTCAGCCAGCTATCTACATACCCCATACCGCAACCACTTTAGGCACACCAATCCTCTGATTACCCGATATCTGCAAGCCGCAGCACTTTACAGGACTGGGCCCGCTATGGCAACTTTGGCCGACGAGCTTCTGAACGACTTCGAGTCAGGCTCAGAAGGCGAGGATGATCGCGCAGAGGACTTTCCGCTCCACGATGACGTTTTAGCTCCCCCAGCAGCAAATGGGGTCAGCCAAAAGGCGGCCGCCAACGGCATAGAAACTGGAATGGAGCTTGACGACGATGAGGAAGAGGTTGATGAGGATGAAGAGATGATGAACGGCGCAGCTACAGCCGGCAAGGCGGCAGAAGCTGAAGATGAAGAGGAGACCAAGGCAAGGGTAGAGAAGATGCAGCTTGGGGGAGTCAATGACGTGCGAAGCGTAGCAGGGCTCATGAAAACCCTACAACCAGTTCTAGAGGTCAGTACAGCCCCGTGTTCCCAATCCTCCCCACTATATAAAGTACACGATTTACATCTTGTTGAAGAAGCAGCCCTGACGAGCCGCGTCGTCCTACAGAAAATAGCCTATTACCAAGCTTTGCCGCCGGAGAAGCAGACGAAAAATATCGGCTCGATCGAAGACAACCCAGAATACAAGCTCCTCACACAATCGAACACACTGTCAACTTCAATAGACAGCGAGATCATCCTCGTCCACAAGTTCATCCGCGACCACTACTCTGTCCGCTTTCCCGAGCTCGAAAAGCTCATTACCAACCCTCTCGATTATGCCAAGACCGTCGCAATCATCGCCAATGGCCCCATGGACATCAAATCTATCCAGAACTCCACCGACAACATCGTAGGCCAGTCGCTACGGCAGATTCTCGAAGGCGGTGCTCTCCTCTCCGTCATCCTCCAAGCTACCGACTCCAAAGGCCGCGAGATGACCCCATCCGAACTCTCCACCGTCCTACGCGCCTGCGAAATGACACTACAGCTCGACCGCGCAAAAGGCATCTTGACCTCCTACGTCCAGTCCCGCATGAACCTCTTCGCGCCCAACCTCACCGCCCTAATCGGTTCCCTCACCGCCGCTCAACTCCTCAACTTCGCCGGCGGCCTCACCGGCCTCGCCAAAACGCCCTCCTGCAACATTCCTCCCCTCGGCTCGAAGAAGCAGTCCGGCCTCGGCTTCGCCACTAATGTCGGCATAAGACACCAGGGCTTCCTGTACCAGTCGCCCATCATCAAGGGCATACCAAACGACCTCAAGAAGCAGGCTATGCGCATCGTCTCCGCCAAGGTCATTCTGGCGGCACGAGTCGACCACGTCCACAAGTCTCCCGACGGCTCCGCGGGCGAGGAGTTCAAGGCCCAGTGTCTCGAGCGGCTCGACAAGCTGACTGAACCCCCGCCTAACAAGGGCGTCCGCGCGCTCCCGGCGCCCGACGACAAGCCCAGCCGCAAGCGTGGCGGCAGGAGGGCCCGGAAGGCTAAAGAGGCGACGGCCATGACGGACCTTCGAAAAGCGCAAAACAGGATGGCGTTCGGGAAAGAGGAGCTCGAAGTCGGCTACGGCGCCGGCGACGGCACAAAAGGACTCGGCATGATCGGGCAGAGCAACGACGGGCGCGTCCGACAAACGCAAATCGACCAGCGCACGAAAGCGCGGCTGTCGAAGAAGAACCCCGGATGGGGCGGCGCGACGCCCGTCGGGGGCATGGCGTCCTCTTTGCGCGGGTTCGGACAGGGCGCCGGCAACGCGACGGTGCTGAAGGGGTCCGGGTTGCGGAGTAGTGGGGTTGGTGGGGGCGCGGGCACGGCGTCGACGATTGCGTTTACGCCTGTGCAGGGCCTTGAGTTGGTCGATCCGAAGGTTAGGGAGGAGATGGGCCGGAAGAGGAAGGCGGAGGAGGATCGGTGGTTTAGCAGTGGCACATTTACGCAGATTGGGGGTGGTGGGGTGCCTGGTGGTGCGGCGAAGGTGGATTCGGGCGGGTTTAAGGTGCCGCAGTTGCCGCTGAAGAAGAAGGTTGATACTGGGGCGACGAAGTAGGAAGGATTCTCTTCACGGATCTGGGTCGGGATTTGAATCGGTGGGGAAGCATGGCGTTTTGGGGGCGATGTGCATGGGATGGAGTTTTACTGCGCCCAAAGGGGGTGGGCAACTGGGTCTGGCGATTGCTTCTATGCCTTTGTGGGACTGCGGGAGATTGTGGTCAGTACAACCACACATTGCGAACAACATTACAACCCTAGGACTAACGGTTCACCTACGCTCAGCTTGAATCTGAGTGTAGGAGGCTTCGATCAGCTCAGACACGGGCTCACTAGTTATAAGCTCCCAACGTCAGATGACTTCAGGGATCAAACGATTTTATCACCTTCCCGGTAGCTGGTGATGTGATGCATCTGCACGAATACCCCAGAGACCTCAGGCGTTCCACTATCGCTGCCAAAGCATCTGGAGCGGTAACATAGACTGGGAGCCTCGAACAGTACGGTGTTGCAACTGCTTGATACTGAGCACATGAACAGCGTTTCCCTCACTCGCGGAGCTCCTATTACAATAGTGCTGGCGATATGGGTAGCACTTCTGTAGCTTAGCGCTTAAACACCTCTGTCATCTTGGTGGTTATAGACTACTACTTACGCAACATGTTCCAGTTCTGGACTTGAATCATAGATGAGTCGATATTAGTGCTGTCGTCAAGACAGTACCACCTACAAACTCCAGTCGGCTGCGTCGGCTGAATATGAGAAGCAGTTCAAGCTTGCAATCTTCATGTATCTTCCAAGAACATGCGGACGTTCGGCAGAGAGTCGCAATGGAGCTAGAGTTGTAATATTCAGGATGCTATTCAGATCAAGACGGAAGGTTCTAGGTTCCAGAGTCACACTCAGGGGTTTTAATGGACCCTATAACGTTCGGATTTTCGCCTAGTTCAGTAGTCAATCATTCCAAACCGTACTCTAGAAGCTGTGAGTTACGTTACGTCGTCAGCTGCATATCATTCTACGTTTCTTACGAAAGCGTTGTTCGACGCCGGAACTGATAATGCACCTTACTGTGGCTTGCAAAAGGCACGGTCTTGCAGCCGTATCGTGACAACGCCATATCGCCTTATAGGATTTATGATCGGAGCGTAAAGCTAGAACGTTTCGACTGAATAGTCATATATAACTTCTTACGAGAGTTTTGAGCCGCTGGAATGCTACCTGGACCGTTACTTTAGTGCTTTTATCTTTTACGCTGACAATCCTCAAGGGAAGTAGATGCAAACCATCTACGCAGGCCATACACTATGGTTGGAGCCAGCCTGATAGTCCTGTATATAAGATGGTGTTGTGACCGAGCTTCCCCCACAGCTATAGCTGCACTCTGGAATGTAATGTTAAAATCATGGTCGGAACTCTCGGATCCTGAAATCACACCCCGAAGGCTCCAAGTAATCGATGCATGAGAGCGTTCGACTGCTACGAGGCCGGATGATGCTTTACCTCGTAGAATCAACCCGATATGCGTGCCACCACGTGGTTCACCTCCGGATTGACTGCACCTCTGTGTTAGATGTGTCATGCAACCAAGAGTGGAATTGATATGGATTACCAACGGGAAGCTCAAACTCGAAGGAAGACTGTCACAAAGGTCACGGGTTGTCACGCATCAAGGTAGCCACGTGAAGAGTTATGAAGAGAAGCGCCTTTTACTGTCCATAACCAGAAGATTCGCCTCGAGATAACCAAGCCTTTGATCCGCCAACTGATATGCCCGAAGCGCTAAGAAGTCCCAAGCCCCAAAGTCCTAGTGAGCCCATGCCCACAGTGTATGAGGATAGCCCTGCAGAAGCGCCATGAGCCTTGTGTCCAGCCCCAAATGCATCCAACGCTTTTGCCGTCATCGCCAGCCGTAAGAGTAGAGTAAGAGCCAAAAAAGCGCCTAGATCGCAAGGAACCGCAGGAATACTTTGACCCCAGCAGTGTCCAGGAAGAAAAATATGCAGTGGAAAGGGGAGACTAAATGACGGTGCAGCCGGAAAAGAGGCGCATGCTAAGAGGAAGAAAAAACGCAGAGTAAATGCAGCAGATAAATCCAAGAAATTGGAGTGGGTATCCGCTCAACGGATGCCGCTACGTCCCGTGTGGTCGTAGGTATCGTAAGTCGTCGGCCATGGATTGCCAGAACCAGAAGGCTGCTGGCGAAAGGACGGAACCATGTTGATGGTTGATCGTGGGGCATGATGCAGGAGTGAAGGGATGCTCGGTGGCTTACATCCCTCTCGCCATCAGTTAAAGTGCGTAAAGGGTCTCGTGCTCAGAATCGGAGTCGGGAGCATCGGGGTCGGGCCCGAGGAGCTCTCCGGGGCGCTCTGGGATACCGTAGACGCTTCGATCGACGTTCCAGAAGACGAATGGACCAGAGTACATCTGCAAGGCCAGCAGCGTCAGCCAAGGCTCCCGTTCCATTGTCCATAGCGTTCTTACGTTCTTGCTAGTGAGAGCAGTATCATCCGGGCTCCACCAACGTCCAATCATGATCTGGCCGCCCGGTAAGACCACCCCCTCATATGCCCACAAGGCCTCCTCGTCAGGTCTACCCTGGGCGTCGAAGAAGAACTTCATCATGGTCATGCGCTGCCAGCCCGGAATGTCGTTCTGGCGTGGAAGGGGGTTGAGCCAGCCGGCGGAGTAGAAGTCCCTGTAGTACGAGCAGATAAGTACCCGAACACGGAAAAGCTGCATCGAGAGGAGCTTACTCATCGTCGTAGCCATCGCCATTGAAGTAGATCGACCTAGGGTCACCGTCGATAGCGGGGCTTTTCGAGCGATGCTGGGCACGCGTCTTGACTGGAGTTATCGGCTTAGGTAGCGACTGGAGATACTTCTCGAAAAGCGGCGGCCAGACCGGGAGATGCTTGCTCGGGAACTGAAGATGAAGCGTCTGCGTGAAACTCGTTAGTGAAAGCTTGAGCGTACAAAAGGGCTGCAGAAGGCAAGCTAAAGCCGAGAGTGGAAGAGAGACCGAGGCCTACCTGGATGGCGCGGTCCGGCTGGTCGACGTTGTGGTCTGCGTAGATGTTGTTCTCATCTTTGTCCGCCCGGAGAGCCTTGATTTCATTGCGGTCGAGATAGGCTACAATAAGACGTTTCGATCAACACTCCGCTTGCTACTCCATCGTTTCAGAATTACTTACCATACGTGCCCCTCCAGTGAATTCCCAACTTGTAGGATCCATCCTTGAGCTTGCGGTTCCAGGGATGAGGCCTCTCCAGCGCCCAGAGAGTCTCCATCGGCTCGAACAGAGTGTTCTCGTGCTCTCGTACCATGTGGTATCTGAAGAAGTTCATGATATGAAGTACGTACTCCACGTTGACCTTCTGCTTATCAGTGCCGGCGAAGATCGGGTAGTTGACTAGGGACTCGTAGGCCATCTTCTGAGACGTAGGGAATTGGAGAATCTCAGTCCCGAAGCGGGCATCGATGCACCAGTGGTGGCACACAAGCTGGATAGTGGCAAGAAGGCCGCTCAATTTGGCAGACTTCCTGTGGGGACGGAAGATGTCGGTCACCAGGTTCGTGCTCAAGATGAAGCTGTGGATCGCCTCTAGATTCTTCGATGTAGGCATACCACCTTCGTCTGGCATATAGAGCATCGGGTGGGCTTCTGAGGAGTGAAATGAGCATTAGCATCTGCTCCATTCATGGTGGATGTGAGTGTGGAGGTCTGAGTGTGAGCTGCTTGCTGGATCTAGAAGCGGCACAGATTCTTGGATACGGCGTGACCTCTCAGACCAGAGTGACTGCGCAACCCATTGCGCCCCTCTCGTTGTTCCCACACGTCAAGCAGACCAACACAAGACGAAAACCCGCATACCTTTGATAAGATCCTTAATGATGTTCAAGCACTTCGTCTCGGCGCGAGTGTTGCCGTACACGAATATCGCACCACGCTTCAGGCACTCGCGCCGAGCTTGATAGAGATCCTTGTACTCCGCCGGACTCGCGAACGGACGGTCAATTGGATCGAAACGCTCGTGAAAGCGCTGGCGCCAGAAGGAGTAGTGGTCGCCATCGAGAGCATTGTACGTGCCGTGGCAGATGAGACGGAAGATGCACAGGCCTTCGTCAGTCTCGATGTAGCTGGCGATCTCTTTGTTGAGCTTTGTGGGTGGCGGCGGTCAGTATCGTGATCTGGACCAGGAGGAAGAACCAATTGTGGTGCACCAAAGACGTACCTCAATTGGCAATTTGTTGAAGGCCATGGGGGGCGAACGTGATAGTGGAAGGACTGCGAACGGAGTGTGAGACAAGCCACAAGTCCGAGCGAGGGACGAGGAAGAGCCTTGGTGCCCAGATGCGAACGTGAAGGAAAGTGGCGAGCTTGCGTTGCGGGCGTGATGCGAGGACGAGGACGAGGACATCAAGATCTACGTAAGGTGAGCAAACGGTGCAGCATGGGCACTGCCGGAAAATGGGGTGGCTGAATTGGCGTGGACGATGGAAGTGAAGTGAATGTTTGGGTATTGCCGGCGCAAGACGGGCCACGGAGGACGCCCGGTTTTCAAATACGAGATTGGAGCCGGTCTTCAAGGCTCGGACTGCGAATGAAATGTTTGGAGATGCATCAGAGTTTGGAAGGTGTAGAAGATGCAAGGATTGAGGGTTTTTGTCAACGGAACCGTGTTTTCTATCACCACGGCACATCACATACTCATTCGCACGCTTCGAAGTTGCGGTTCCAGCACATGTAGTCCCCCCAGGTGCTTTCGCTGAGTACCATTTCCTTCGGTCGTTGATCCGCACAGGTTTCGAGTTTCTGTCGGTGTTTTGATGTGATGTCCGCATCACCAATCATATAAACTCTGTCTCAACGAAGATCACACACCGAAAAGGGATTCGCCGGCCAGATGTGTCTAGATAATAATGGGGTTATTTTCCGCCGAAGAGGCTACAAAGACAGACAGACAACAGCCACAGCCAGCAACAGCGCACTGAGACTCCCAGTGGCCCCAGAAGCCGCGCTCGCCGTTGTACTCGCCGCCGCTCCACCACTACTCGTACCAGCGGGCGGCAGTCCGGTAGTGGGTGTAGCACTACTCGTGTTGCCACCATCTGTCCTTGTAATCACGTAAATCTCTCCCGTGTCGTCGCTCGTCATGAACAGTCTGCCCTGAGTATCCCATGCGAGGCCTACTGGTCGGAAGCAGTTGTCTGGACACTCACCAACGTCCGGGTTCTGCATAATGTCAACAGTAGGCTGGCTGCTGTTGGATGGCTCGACCGGTTCGCCGTTGGCGAAGGGAATGACTGAGAGTTTGTAGCCGATCGGGTCATCGCGATTCCTGTGCATACGTCAACTTGTCAACGTACTGTGTTCCTCTGATATTGAGCGCTCTGAAGACAACAAAGATTATGTAGCAAGAGTAGCTATACTCACCAGCTCCCGTGAAAAGACACCCATGCCGCCGTGCCATCCTCATTGAACAGGATATCCAATGGCGCCATGTGAGCCGGAAAAGTTAGTCTTGGAGCTATCCTCTCGGCGCAAACGGCGTCATTGGTATTAGTGTTCTGATCGCCAATAGCAAACTGGCTGCCGACTGTCAACTGGTCGTTTTGTGGAATTTCATCAACGGCCCACGCTGCAAAGCAGGATGGATATCCGTAATTGCCGCCTTGTTGTGCAGAGCTCGTTCCGTTGAGGTATCCGTGGAAGTTTAATTCCTCGCCGGGATTGTCTTGATGGATGTCTCGTCCCTCTCTTCGAAGCTGATCCACAGAGTTTTCCACGGTGTAGATACCGCCTGTCACTGGCTCTTCGCCCACGCCTACCGAGTTGCGTAGGCCCCATCCGAGTAGTCGACCATCAGCAGTGAAGTCGTAAGGCTCAGACGTGACATTGCTGATGTTGAAAGCTTTAAGCTGGCAATGACCGGACGTTACATCCAGTGCTAGGTCGTCGAGGTTTGCGTTGCTGCCTCTGCTCACCAGAAGCAGATCTGGCACGTGACGCGAGAGGAGCAATGTTCGTGTTGTGTGACCCGCGTTATCCATACCGGTGATAAGAGTGGTGGGTTCCCCAGAGGTACGCCTGGTGTTCGGGTCGTAAGTCCAGGCGTAGACCTCATTTGGGGTAGAGGCGTATAGGGTTGTTCCATCCTGGGACAGCTCGATGCCATGATTGAGCTGAAGCAAGTGTATCAGCAACGTCAAAGTGAATGCATCGATGGTATATCAGTGTTACCCGATTGTTTTCGACTACTGTCTGAACGTTTGTCGAAGTTACGCAACCTCCCTCCTCGTCCGTCAGGCTGAGTGCAACGATCCCGACATCCCGCGTTACAACGAGCAGGTTGCCATTACTATCGACTTTTATGCCGCGGGGTGTATCCAGATTGGTAGCTACCAACCTTGCCTGGTAACCGTCCGCTATCGAGGGTGCAGGGTAGCGCGCGGTGAGTGTAGTCGAGCATGATGCTGAGCTTTGCGCCACAGCTGCCGCGACAAAGCACGCTTCAAAAGCGAGTAGAATGTTCCGCTGAAGACGCATATTTGATGTAGCACGCTGCAGAGGCCGCGAGCATAGTGTAAGGTATTCATGATCAATGTAGTCTTGAATGACATCACCACAGCCGCCGAGATGCTGTGGTGGGATCATCCATCGCGAATGATGTCGCGCCCAGCAGACGGCGATTCCTCCTCTACACTAACCTTCCGTTCTATCCGAACGTGGGAGGCTTCGCTCCGCTTAAACGCAAGTTTAGTAGCAGGTACGGTTCTGGACGTAAGAGTATAGAGTCACGACTGAGCTGAACCTGTGATCATGCTGAGGGGTGAGCTCACAACTAACTCTATGTAATCAGAATAGTAACATAATCAGAGGAGTGAAACTCTACCCAGTTGGTCTTTTGCGGTAAGATACTCTTGAGCTACCTTACTACGTCCGATGACCAAGTAACCAGCTCTCGGTCGAGTACGTTTAACTGAGTGCGGCAACATACGTTTTCAACGACTCTCGGGCGTTTTGCTCTTGGTTTCGCAGTCACATGTGGGTCTCAGCGTCGTCAATCCGGTCACAACATCAGCGCACTAAGACTGCTGTAAGGCAGACCGGTAACCAGGAAGCTGGAAACATACAGATGCAAGGCTGGCGCTGTGAATGACGAAGCGCAGAGGAGCATTACCAGGTTGTACCTGGGAAACGCGTGTTTTGGGTCCTCTATCAGTACATCTTCTATTGAGCCTGAACAACCCCCGCAGCGTTGGCCTGCGCCATAATTCTCTTCTTATAATCCTTAACCGTCCCGTCAAAGTGCTCAATCGTGCCATGGTCGCACACCCACAGACTCGTGCAAACGTTCTGCAGCATCGTGACGTCGTGGCTGACCATCAGCACGCCGCCCTCGAACTTCTGCAGTGCCTCCGACAACGCATCCATCGCTTCGATATCCAAGTGATTAGACGGCTCGTCGAGCACAAGGATGTGCGGGTTCGTCAGCGACAGGCACGCAAACGCCACACGCGACTTCTGTCCTCCAGAGAGCAGAGCCATCTTCTGCAAGCCCGTCATTCCCGTGATGCCGAACGCACCCAGATGACGGCGGTACTCCTCGTCAGACTTGCCGGGGAACTTCGCAGCCATGAAACCAACGGCGCTTGCAGACATGTCAAGCGCATCGACGTGATGCTGTGCAAAGAAGCCGATCCTCAGACGCGGATTTTGCGAGATCAGACCCGAAGTTGGCTCCAGGGCACCGATGAGCAGCTTCAGTGCCGTGGTCTTACCAGCACCGTTGGGACCAACGATGCCGATCCGCGAGTCGAGCTGCACATCAAGATCGACGTTTCGTAGAAGCAGGTTGTCCTTCGTGTAGCCAAACGTGACGCCACTCATCTGGATGATTGGCGGGGAAAGCTTTTCGACTGGTGGAAACTTGAAGTGCACAATGTACTCGCTCTCTGGCGCTTCGAGAACAGGCATCTTTTCCAGTTTTTTGATACGCGACTGGGCTTCTGATGACTTTGCAGCGTTGTAGCGGAACTTATCGATGAAGCCTGGAAGATGATGGTCAGCATTCAGTAATCACTTGAACGACACAAGCACATACTTTGAAGATGAGCCCTCTGGACCATTTGGTTCTCATACTCTCGCTTTGCGGTTTTCCGGCGCTCCTCCTTTGTGGCGTAGAAAGAATCTGCTGCTGTATTAGCTTCGGCGTCTCTGTCAACCGAGCATTGACCACTTACCGAAGTTAGCTCCCTTATAGTAGTCAAGCCGCTCTGAGTGTTGATGGATGATGTCTGTCGCGACTTCGTTCAAGAAAGCTCTGTCGTGAGAGACAACCAAAAGTGTGCTGGGGTAGCCCTGTAAATAGTTTGAGAGGAAGGTAATGGACGGGACGTCCAACATGTTTGACGGTTCTGTGATTCTCGTAAGCCATAGTACAGTATTCAGGATCTTGACTGGCGTACCGTCCAGTAGCAAAAGATCAGGCTCGCAGAACAAAGCACGTGCAAGGGCCAATCTCATCCTCCAGCCTCCAGAGAAGGTCTTGGTGGCGAACTGCTGCCGCTCAGGGGAAAAGCCGAGGCCAGCGAGGATGGTAGCAGCTCGAGATTCGGCCCTGTCTGATTCCATTTCTGACAGCTTCGCATGGATGTCACTCAACGTGGCGTCCAGCCCTTCGCGGTGCTTGTCGAGTTTGACGGCATCTGCAGAGGTATCTGCCATAGACGCTCGCTCCGCCTCGAGGTCTGCAAGCTCTCTCGCAATTTTCTGTAAGAATTAATGAGAGATCTAGTGGACACAATCTAAACCGGTGCACGTACATCCTGTTCCTTAAGTAGATGCTTTCGCCAGACATCAGCATCCAAAACGGCTTGCAGGGCAGGCGTATCGTCTCCAGTAATCTGCGAGGCGAGGTTAGCATAAACAACCTGATTCACTGTCTCAAACATGGCTAGATACCTCTTGTTCTACGTGGAGAATGGAAATGTGCGTTGGGATCGCAACCTCTCTGCGGCTGAGCGCGCGAAGTAATGTCGACTTGCCTATACCGTTCTGGCCTACGAGACCGTATCTGCGGCCGAATGCAAGTGTCAAAGTGGTGTCGCTCAGAATACGTTTTCCGCCGATGGCAACATCGATGCTATCAACCTTGATGTCCTTGCTCTTAGTACTCTGGTCTGAACCCAACTGTAGCGGATTAACAGCCATGAAGAACTCCTCGTAGGACTGCGTCTCATCGGGCTGGTTAAGAAGCCTGGATGCTTCGTATTCGACATTCTTGAATTCCTTGCGGTCTTGTTTGGCTCGCAGTTTCCGCTCCGCCTTCTCGAGCTTCTTACGGTCTACCCTGGATTCGACCTTTCTGGCATTTGCAGACTCGAGGTCCACGTTCCCGCCGGTGAGTCCCAACGTCGACGAGATATTCCGCTGCGAGCCAACGTGTATGGTTTGATCCAGCTTGCGTGCTGAGGGCGCCATTTGCCGCCGCTCGCCGTCGACGCCATTTGCCGCACTGAGTTGCGAGATGAACTTCTCCACCAGATTGTGGATCGTCGTCTCATTCTGGCTTGACAAGTCACCTGATGCCGATAGCAACAGCGCGGTGACGGCTGCGGCAGCCTCCTCTAGCGGCGAAGGGCCGTTGGGGTCTGTGTCGGTGAAGGAGTTTGCTGCGTGGTTCAAATAGCCCACTGCATAGTCCGACACAACCGGGTCGATGTTTATCTGAGCTCTGATCTCTGCCTCCATGCTTGTTTTCGGACGTGTGTTGTGCCGGAGAGTGCCACCTGCCGGTAGGAAAGTTGGTGATGTACTAAGGCGCCCTGCAGTTTGGGATATTTGGATGTGGCGTTCAGTAATGTGCGAGGCCGAGAGGCGATCAACCAGGCTCTTCCCTGCCTGTCCACAACCGTTTTTTTTTTTTTTGCCTCGCGGCTAGATTATCCGATCGTCGTGCCTGAGTTTTCCGCGTGCACAACCGTGGAAGAGGTGTTCTGAACAATGGTTATGTTGGCCTGCTAATGTCAGGGCAATCAGAGGTGAAGGCGTTCGCGAAGTTTGAGGATTTGCTGTCAACGAATCGCCTTCCCCCCGCCATGATGTGCAGGGAGATCCTGGAGACGCCATGAAGCGACGGGCGGTTTGCCAATCGGCGCCATTGAGCTAGCTGCACTCGCATGGCGCCGCGTCGCTTGTCCTCCCCACTCCCTTCCATCTCGCATCGATGCCTGTCAGTTAAGCTGCATATGTAGCCAGAGCTTTCGACCTCTCATCGCCGTGCCAGCATCCGCGCCTCCTCGCCGGTGACATTTGTTTTGCCAGACGTGCCTTGGCACCACCGTTCCCGGTTTTTGGGGACCATCCCCGTCTATTCTAGGGAACTTTCCCTCACTTCAACATCGACCGTCGTAGCTCGCGTGGACTCAAGGTCCGCAGTTGGGTGCTTTGTGGGCAGCGTACTACACGCTCTTCGAAGTTGCTGGAGCCAGTTGTGAGTGGGCGCTGCAGCGTCTGGCAGCGTCTGGCAGCGTCTCGCAGCGGAAGATGACCGCGCGGGTTGCTGGCAATGTGAGCGTGAAGGCATCTGGCGCCCTCCCCACCTGTGGAACGCCATCGCCCAAGTGTCCTCGGACGGCTAGGAAGGTCCTGCTTCTGCGTGCTTGTTGCGGCCAAGGAACGGTACCGACCATCTCCCTTGAGATCTACCTTCGCTGCTAATCTAGAGTACATCCTGCCAGCGCCGGCAGCCCCCACAAAGCGGCTCACTTTCCTTCCTCATCCAAGCACTCTGCCGTTTCAACTGCCATATGAGCACGCCCAAACCTGGACGGCACCTAATCTTTGCATTGACGCTCAACCCGTGCCGCTCTGTACAAGCAGCAAAGGCCCGAAGGCCGCTTGCTGCTTATTTGACTCGGACCCCTGTTATCGTTTGACGCCTTCTGCGGCTGACGTGCTTTGCCTAGCGCCTCTGGCAGAGGCACGATTGGCCCACAGCTCAGCCCTCTCCTGGTAGCGTGCGGACGGGACCCAGCTTCTGGGCTGTTGCCAAACAACAGCTCTTCTGAGACGCAATCTGCGCAACGGCCTTGGCTGCGGATACCGTGACCGCCGTCACCCTGTGGCGTACCGAGTTCCGGCTAAGGGCTATCAGGTACTAGGGAGCGTGTGTGGGCCTTGGGACTGAGGGCGTCGACGATTAGGTTCAAGTGCAGATGTGCGGTGCTTTTTGATTGTGGAGGATGCGTAACTAGGGAGCGGTTCGGTGCCTGCTTCCCCTGTATCTGCTGCATCTTGAAGTCAGACGAGGCGTCACAGCATGCGTTTCGAAGTCGCACGGCACCCCCCCCACCGTTGTCTATCAGTAGGGAGTTGAGAGCTACGGTAAACACAGCGGACAAGCACGCTGAATGCTGGCAAACTCATGGCCTGAAGATCGTGCAATCAGCCAGTTGAATGCAGTCAGGCATGAAGCTCGGTGCAGCCATTGATGTTGACATTCCATAATAACTGCCGACCTACGTTCGCTTGACAAGTCCAAGAAGGGGGTGCCTTGTCCGACTTGAGGATCCTACGCTGCCGGTTCTTCCTGGCCCACGTCCCGTCTCCTCTTTCTGTTAGGGTTGCTAACTAAGTTCCTGCTGTGGGTTACCTCACGCGTCCGCCGCTCCGCTACCTGGGGTAGAGCTCAATCTTGGTTGCCCGTCCTTTGCTCACCTCCGAATCGAACATGCTTACAACCACGCTTCCGGTCTTCACGATCCTTTGCTGCCCCCTACCCTGCGGTCCAGGGCTGGCACGCTTATAGGAAAGAATGAACACGGTTCCCACGGTTTGTCTCTCCTCAAGCTCTGCCTCGCATGCCGTTGGAGCTCGACCGAGACCTTCTGACAGCGCCGCCCCTCTCCACTCGCTCTTTCTCCACTCGCTGTTTTAGGCCTTGACGCCTCAATGGCCGTTCATGTCTATCTATGTTGTCCATGTTCGTCTGCTGATCGTACGCGTAGATTGTCGCCACCGGTACCGTCGTCGCTCTATCTTCCGTAGCCCTTGCGATTGGCCGGCCTGAAACCCTTACTTCGCAGGCGACAGACAAACACAACATCTCGTCGAACATCCATCGCGAACACAGCTTCATGTCGGCCACTGCCGCTCGACTCGCATCTCCAGAGATACTCCCGTCCAGCTCGCGTTATCCACTACCCGCGAATCGCTCCCGAAAAGCTGGCCAATCCCACCATGCAAGCACTTTACCGCGACAAACGCGGCGAATGACAAGCACAGCCTCTGAGATATCACATTTTGGTCGTGAAGAAACATTATCGGGAGTAACTGAGCTTGAACTCCCGCGCGCAGTACGGCCCCGTTTGTCTTGGGTTAAGAGGCTGTCGAGTCTGTCTACAACCTCGTCTAGACCCTCGTCGTGCGCAGCACCCGCGTCTCCGTCGATATCCTGCTCGAACGGCTCGACCATATTCTCGCAGAGCGGATCAACGGCACCGATATTTGGAGCTCGCGTGCCATCGCCTCTACCACCAAACAAGCTCGTGAAACGTTCTTCATCGCAGAGGGTCAGCAGCGGCTCGACGTCTCAGAGCTCAAGTTCGCGGTTGCCATCGTTTCGTCGGCCTGCCACTTCTCATCAGCGATCGCAAACACTTCAAAACGATCCTGGAGTTGCGATGTTGCCGGTCGATGAGACATATAGCCCGAGCATCGGAAGTCCTTCTGCTTTTGATGAGCCCGAGGTCCTATGGAGACATTATTTTGTAGCGAAGGCCGGAAAGAATCCGCTCATCTCTAAGAAGCGCGCCTCTACAAGTGACATTGATGCCATCAAACGTATCTTTCCCGACGAACGGCATCAGCCGACATTGCTCATGGCTAGCTCGGTCGTCACTTCGGAATTGAAGATGGACGAAACTTCTAGTCGGAATGGCGGTAGTATACATTTTGGTAGCCGACCTGCAACACCCTCGCCCTTTGGAAATCTTTTCTCTTCGCCGCCGGTAACTTCGCCAATGATTGACGAAAGTAAACGGGCAGTCGCTCGACCCCAGGACGCCGTCGAGGACATCCAATCACGACGCTCTTTCTCCATTGGTGATTTATTATCGACAGGCCCATCATGGAAGCAGCGGCCGGCGACCCCGTCCAGCGGTAAATCTACGCGAAGGAAGGCCAAAAGAAGTAGCTCTGCGCCGCTTGTCCTCCCAATGGGTGGTCAACATAGTGTCGCAGTGCAAGCAGAAGTGGAGAGACCTTGGAAGCGACGGGACCTTACTGATCCGTCTGTGTACACACATATCAATCACCCATCACAAAGCAGCCAAATCACGTCCAATGATGAAACGACTTCGCGTACCCCCAGCAGCCCTCCGTCAACGCTACCACCGCCCACAACTGTAACCAACCCGTCCTCAACCAACAGTTTCTTCCCTGTTGTGCCGCAGAAAGAGCCTTTACCAACAGATCCTATGAACATCATTCGTATCCCGCCGTCTACTACCGTCATGCAAGGCGAACATCAAACGTCGTGGCGCTCAGGCTCCCCATCCGAACAAGCATCGACGGTCAACGATTATGAGAACGAACCTCGCATGGCTACGTTTGGAGAAGAGGAGGAGACAGATTTCCCGAGCAAGGCGCTTTTTGGCCAGATACGAACAAAAGGGACACGCAGTATTTCTGGCGCCAGAGGACCACGTATCCAGACCATATTTGACGATTCACCACCCGGTAAATCCAATGTTACGGCTTTACGCGACCTGTTACCGAAAGGAACATTTCGCGACTCACTCCCGATGGCGCTGGGGGATCACGGAACTATCGAAGATCGAGAGGTTGTATCTTCGCCCGTACATTCTGTCATTCATGATGTAATGAACGGCGAGTTCCCTAGAAAACTTTGTGCGGACGGTGAATCGCCTTCATCGGATCATATTCCGTCTTCGCCCCCCGAGATACCAGCAGCCATGAAGCATGAAATGCTGGATTGGGACACACTTACTGAGCAAGATGCGGGTCATTGGTCTTTAGAAGATGAGGAAAGAGATGGTTGGAGTGACAACGAGGGGCCAATCTCGCGGTATATGGCAACGCCTTCGTTGTTGAAGCACCGAAGTTCGTTATTCGTTGCCGATAGCTCCAGTCCATCAACAGTGATGTCGCATCATCTTACGGTTGATCATTCGGATCGCGATAAAAGGACCAGTATCTTCGACTGGTCCGAACAGCCAGCTGCCGATCGTAGTCCTGGCAATCGCACACCGCCGCGTCCCAAGACCGTTCACGGTAAAAAAGATGCGAATGGGAGAGGAAGTCGATCGGTAGGCCGCCGTGCACCTAGTGCGCTGCACGCTCGGAGCCAAAGTGTACCAGTCGTCCCTGACGCTTCTGGAAAACTGGAGACGGTGATTACGAATAAATTCGGCACTTGGGGAGTCGGCAGCAAAGGTGTCACAGAAGACTGGAACGACGATTTTGATTTTGCAGAAGCAGACGAAGCCGATGCAGAACCTTCCAAGCTCGACGATGGCGATGAGAAGCGTATCGATAGTGGAGTCGCTATGTTTGTCCCAAAATCCATACGCGAGCAGCAGAGTAACGTACTGGCGAATATCGGTCTCTTGCGGGAATGGGGCTTATTGATCGAGGAACTCAAAGAACTTCGCATACGGGCAACTGTGCTAGGACTGATGGGAGGGAGGTATCTGAGCCTCTGGCAAGAGATTGACGCAATGATCGATCTCGCAGACCAGGAGGCAGAGGAGCCACCAGCGGTGCCATGTCTCTCGCCTCCGTCCTCACCGCAACTCGAGATTGACTTGTTCGATGACCTTACGCCAAACGCATCGATTAACGGGCAAGCTAAACGAAGGTCTGGGTTGAGTACGGCAGAAGAACTCCTAGGCGGATCCGGCCCCGTGGTTCTCAATGGGTCCCGAACAAGGCGAAGATCAATCCTTCCCGGCGATGATGACATTTTCAGCAACACACCTTCGACGGCGTCCAGGGGCGGAACCCCCCAACAAACACCGCATGGTACTCCGCGGGCTTCGATTTCGTCAAGAACTCGCCCCCGGAAGGACTCAGAGGCTGTCGCGCGCTCAGTCATCGAAGCCTTGAAAAGAAAAACGGACACAGCGGATGCGACGTGCGTGGTGCATGACGTCTCTCTTACGAAGAAAGTGCCGTTCGACACAGCGACGCTGAGACATATCGTGCCGTATGTTAATGGCCTAATGCGTAAGGTCAAGGACGTGCTGCGAGAGGCGGAAGGACTGTACTCCAGCCCACAAAAGTCGCCTCCACCGCAAGAGCCAGCTCTAAGCCAGCTCTTCCAAAATCCACCAAACAGCTCCCCATCTTCCCGCCGGGCACGGCGCCCTAAAAACAGCACCGTCCGTATGCATTCGGACGACTCGTTCGACGCAAAAGAGAACGAGCTTACCGCGGGTATGAAGTTAATGACGGTTATGTAAATCTTAATGCTTTCTGGTCTCGCGTCTCCGAATGGCAACAGATGCGATCGACGGCCTACGGCAGGTCGCGATTGTCTTCACGGCTTATTTGACCCGCTTTTTAGCGTTCCTTTCCGCTTTAGCAGATCCGTCGTTTTCGTACAAGTGTCGGTTACCCAGTTCTGCATTTGAGCGATTCAGCATAGTCTCTTTAGCCTCTTTACGCATTAATGGGTGGTAACTGCGTGTTATGTGGGGTGGTCCACAGTGTGTTGAGGATTCTTCCAAAAGCGCAGCATACAAGGCGGGGTCTTTCCTACATGTCATCGGTGGCTCTGTTGCACCTGCGGTATTGGAGTTGGCATCTGCTTGTTTAGAGACATAGCGCGGGTTCGCAGGGCCGTGAGCACCAAGTGTTCACGTACAAAATCTCTCTTTGGGTTTGGATTCTGTCTGGATCACCGCCGGTTTGCCAGAATCGGCTTCTCTTACTGGGGATTGTTCAGACGGCGCTGGTACAAAAGCACACAGTATACATAGGCCTACCAATACAATTGTAGCAGATATAGTCATCACGTCGCCCTTCCCTCCATCTGGCAATGTGCTCGAGTCCATGCTGTTGAGGAGTTCCACGGCTGAGTGAACACGACCGGCCTGCAATACGAATACGGCTCAGCCACGATAGACCTCTCAGCTCTTGGACTACTATTGTGACAATGCCTACACAAAATCTGCTCAAGAAGGGTCACAATCCTCAGTCCGCCGTGCTCCATTGGGAACCGCTACCTGAGTAGAGGGACGAGTAGAGTGGTAGATTGAGCTGTGGCTCGTTGGACCCTGGAGCGATGCGGCTAGACTGGTCCCGGACTAGGGTGACAAGGGTGCCATAGCAGCCGCCTCAGGAACCTCACCTCCATGTTGACACTACCGCAGAGCCTCCGACAGCACAAGAACCGACGCCGACTGACATCGCTCGCGGCGCTCTGTCTCAGCTCGCTATCTGGCTTCCTAGTCTGCGAACGCTGCCTTGACAACCGGGCAGGCGCGACCAATTGACAAACGAATAGTCGCGCCTACTTAGCTCGACACAAGCTCTCGTATCGTATCCTTGTCTCAACTTGCGGCATCCTTAAACCCGCCGCGAATCCTGGATTCTCGCAGCGAATCTTCCGCATCAGTCGCTCCTTCTCTCGCCGCCGTGCACTATAGACACACCCCCGAGCACGCCCACCCGCCAAAGACGGACGGGCGCGACCACGAACTACTGGAGTGTGCGGCCGAGTCGCCATATCCTCCGCCCTTCTCTTCCCTCTACTTTCCATCCTCCATCTCTTCAGAAGACCCCGAGCACACGTCCTTAACAAGTGCCCCCGCCGAACAATTACCAGCGTTCTCTTCGGCGCCGCCGTTTGAGCCGTCGGCTTCAGCAGCAGCAACAGCAGTAGCAGAGACTAAAGCTGCACTTCCGCAAGACACCAAGGACAAGGACGGGCCTTCGAGCAAGGACGTCGACGACGCAGAGCCACCGCCGCCTTACACGGTCGGGTCAAGTCCACTAGACGCGTTTACGTACGTCATGGCAACCGCAGGAGGGCCCGCGAGCATCATCACGCAGGTGTCGCAGGGCGCCGGACCACCGATCAACACACTGGGAGGTTAGAAGACAATCCCTGAGGATCTGCATGTAGATGCTGACAATCATGTGAATGTGCAGCCGGGTCCGATGAGAACATCACACTTGAGCTACGGTAATACCTCGACTGTCTACTGCTGCATCGCACTGGCTGACTGAAGACCATTGCTAGAGGGGTCCGCTTTCCACTTTCCAGGGACGAGCTCCTCACCCTGCCCGAATTCGTCCTCCTCTCCCTGTTTCCAAATGGCCTACTGCCAGACGGTCACATGAACTACCACGACGGAGACGTCTATCCGGTTGATGTTAGTGCACCCAAGCTTCTTGTACAGCAAAAAGCCCCGCAATGCGTTGTTGTGATCAGACAGAGCCTCTCCAATGTAGATTTGTATCTTTCTGACAGATATTATTACTCCCAGTATGACCCAGCTTCGCTGCAATACATGCTTGACTTTTTCCGAAAAGTCGCGCAAAGCATCCCGACATCACCACCTTCGCCATCGACCGATGACCATACAGAGGCCGTACCGATTGAGCCGATGCATGGTTCCGCAAGGGACATGCTACAGGATCGCGCCGGCATCATCGTCCTGCGGGAAGACCTCGATTTCTACGCCATCCCACCGAGACGAGATATTGAGCAGCCAGAGATGATCGAGATTAAGAGGGCTGCGGGGAAGGCGTTGCTGAAGCAGGATGGCATCTTTTCCGGGCTGAGGAAGAGCGAGGAGCCGGGTACGACGGAGCAGCACCTGATCGAGATGTTGACGGCAGGGTAAGTGAACATTGGTCATCAGTTCCATAGTCTTGTTGTCCATCCTGCGCTGCATAGAACATCCATTCTAGGCTCTTCAACGCTAACACTTGCGAAGCGGCTTCAACCACGACGACCGCTGGGGCCACCGCGCAGGCGAACCGAACAAAGCCGTCATCTGCAGTATCGCGCTGGCACGACTACGAACAGATGTAAAGGGCAATGACCTGTCGAGCAACAACGCTGTCGGCATGGCACAGAAGCTTCTGCTTTTCTGGCGAAAACCGGCCCGCCGGTGCTGGTGGGAAGGCGTCGATCTCGAGGGCGTAGAAGGTGTAGAAGGCAAGCTCAAGGTTTGGATCCGGAGAGTTTGGACACTTGAGATGGTGAGTCACCAGCAGAACCATGCCAGTGTTCGGAACAATGTCCCGGATACGCTGCCGCTTCTGAAACAAAGGCGACAAGTTACATCTCCTATCCCGATTTCAACCCCCTAACTCGGCTGGTCTCGGCGGCTAACTTGTTTCCATCATAGAGCGTCATTGGCTTGCGCTAGCACATCTGTCTCTGTCGGAGTATTCTGGGATGGTATTGGTGTTTGAAGTTTGTGGACGAGGAAAACTTGATACCTGGTCTGCTCTGTGGCCTTTGAAGAGGCGGAGAGACCCTTCGCATGGCGATGCATAATCTCATTTGTAAAGAAGCGCATACATGGTGTATACAGACCATATAATCACTCATAGTACCTACCCTGGCATCCTATCTGGTAGGTTGAGAGAACAGGACCCTCTGTAGAACAGTACCATTCCTTACTCAAACTTCCCAACGCACAACATGCTAGGCATCGGCAACAACAGCATGTGATTCACGGAGAGTGGATAGCTGGCTGAGGTGTTCCTTCTCCAATCACAACCTGGAAGTGATACTGGAAGTGATACTGAAAGTGATAATGGAAGTGATACCAGGCCGGAGGAACGCTTCTCCGAGCGGGCCCATCCCCGGAACCAGCGACGAGCTCCACTCGGCTTTGGCGGCTTGGTGGGGTATTCAAGTCTCAGGGAAAAAATATCCAGCACTTTCACCATCAAACCCACGCATCCTGAACTTTGTGCCTCTCTCCCCCCCTCCTGCCTTCCTTCCTTTCTTCCTTCCTACAAGACATCCAGCAGAGCAAGACGTCAAAATGAGTGCACCAGCCCAGAAGTTCAAGGTCGCCGACATCAGCTTGGCCGCCTTTGGCCGTCGAGAGATTGAGCTCGCCGAGAATGAGATGCCAGGTCTCATGGCGACGAGGGAGAAGTACGCTGCAGAGCAGCCGCTGAAGGGCGCCCGTATCGCTGGTTGCTTGCACATGAGTACGCTAACTTCTCCGCATTTGACTGACCTTCCATACTGACGGATCTCCACAGCTATCCAGACCGCCGTGCTCATCGAGACATTGAAGGCGCTGGGCGCCGAGCTCACCTGGACAAGCTGCAACATCTTCTCCACCCAGGACCACGCCGCTGCCGCCATCGCAGCGGGCGGCACCCCGGTGTACGTATAACATCGTAACATTGACGAGGAGGGTGCTGATTCGTGATAGTTTCGCTTGGAAGGGCGAAACCGAGGAAGAGTACAACTGGTGTCTCGAGCAGCAGCTCACCGCGTTCAAGGACGGCAAGAAGCTCAACCTGATCCTCGACGACGGCGGCGACTTGACCTCGCTCGTGCACACCAAGTACCCGGAGATGCTCAAGGACTGCTACGGTGTCTCGGAGGAGACGACGACTGGCGTCCACCACCTGTATAAGATGCTCAAGAACAAGGGCAAGGAGCACGGCCTTCTATGCCCTGCCATCAACGTCAACGACTCCGTCACCAAGTCCAAGTTCGATAATCTCTACGGCTGCCGCGAGTCGCTCGTCGACGGCATCAAGCGTGCGACTGACGTTATGATTGCTGGCAAGGTCGCAGTCGTTGCCGGCTTCGGCGACGTCGGCAAGGGTTGCGCCCAGGCCCTCCACTCCATGGGCGCCCGCGTCATCGTCACCGAGATCGACCCCATCAACGCCCTCCAGGCCGCTGTCTCAGGCTACCAGGTGACCACGATGGAGGAGGCGGCGCCCATCGGCCAGATCTTCGTCACCACGACCGGCTGCCGCGACATCCTCGTCGGCGAGCACTTCGAGGTGATGAAGAACGACGCGATTGTGTGCAACATCGGCCACTTCGACATCGAGATCGACGTCGCGTGGCTCAAGGCCAACGCGCAGAGCGTCCAGAGCATCAAGCCGCAGGTCGACCGCTTCCTGATGAAGAACGGCCGCCACATCATCCTGCTCGCCGAGGGCCGTCTCGTCAACCTCGGGTGCGCGACCGGCCACTCCTCGTTCGTCATGAGCTGCTCCTTCACCAACCAGGTCCTTGCCCAGATCATGCTGTACAAGGCCGAGGATGAGGAGTTCGGCAACAAGTACATCGAGTTCGGCAAGACGGGCAAGCTGGACGTCGGCGTCTATGTCCTGCCCAAGATTCTCGATGAGCAGGTCGCCCTGCTGCATCTCGACCACGTCAACGCCAAGCTCTCGAAGATGACGGAGAAGCAGGCAGAGTACATGGGCCTGCCTATCGAAGGTCCTTACAAGAGCGACATGTACGTCTCCCTGACCATTCATTATAACACGGGCTACTTGCTGACATTTCGTGCAGGTACCGTTACTAGATGTTCTCTGACTACCATGGCGGGGCGACGCATAATCTTTCAACATGTATTATGATTTGATGATACCAAAAGCGATTCTGTCTTCAACGGCATTTTCAGGAGCGGCGGGCGGACATGGGACATCCATCCTGCGATCTTCCTTCTTCAACAACCCGGACGCTGGTGGGGTGGGATCTGGAGCTTGCGGCGTTCTTTCCTTGTGGCCTGTCAACCATGGCCCAGTAGACCTGTCTTGGGATTTTAGATATGCCCGATATAGAGATATCGCCCCGAGAAAGGGGCTTCTGCTGCTGCAATGCAAAGTGCTCACACGAGTGTCGGATGTCTTCTTGAATGACAAAGCACGATCATCCAATCATGGTGTGATACAAGCTTGCTTTCACTAAACTATGACAACACTAGTGCTTGCCAAGAGCAAGTCTCTACTCCTCAGCTAATCTAGTTATCTAAGCTACCGTGGAGGTGATTAATATCCCAAGCATGCACTGGACGTGCAGAACGCTCTGCTAGCTCTCCCAGCTCCTTGCCCCGCAAGCTTCCCCGAAGCCTGCGCCTGGCCGCAGCATGTTCGGCCTCGCCAGATCAGACGAGCTCTATTCATACATCAACTTTTGAAATCCGTCACCGAAGTGTGCGATCTTGCTCAGCTACGAGCTCAATAGCGACTGCGCGGCTCTTAGGCTACCCACCACAGGGAAAGCGATGAGCGGTGATATCGCGTACGAGAGCTATATCCACGATCAGCACACTTTGTCTTAGAGGTAAACGAGTATCCTCGACTCACCGTCAAGAACTTCGCAATCGACATCTTCTCATGCTCGTCACTCCCATTCACATCCGCGAGGGCGGTGAGCTTCATAGCCGGCGGACCGGCGGGCATCAGCATCATCGCGAACCACAAGATCGGGTCCTGCGTCAGCACGTTGGTCTTCTTGGCCACCGCCCAGATAAGCGGGATGCTGATGAGCGGCCAGACGATGAATCGCATCAGGGTGATGAAGATGAAGGGCTTCCACGGCACCTCGCCGCTCGCCTCGCCGCGCTTCATCTTCTGCATCGCCTGGCTGAGCTTGACGCCGACGACGATGACCTGCAGCGCGGCGAAGAGGTCGCCCACGTTCTTGATGCTCGACGTCAGCCAGGCGTTGAAGAAGCCGCCTTCCTGCGTGTTGTTGAAGAAGGCGCGGTGGAAGGGCGGGACGAGGCCGATGATGCAGCCGATCACGGCGCCGATGAAGGGCGCGTTCAGGAACTGGTAGGCGAAGTCGAGCGTGGTTTGCACCCAGGGCCGCTGCGAGTAGAACCAGCGCTTGCCGTGGTGCGAGCCTTTCTGCTTGGCTTGCTCGCCGCGCCGCACGATGGGGTCGGGGAGGAGCGAGGTCTGCTCGTCGACTTCCTCGCCGGAGTCGGAGCCTGAGTGCTGCTGCCCGTCGCCTTGCGGCGCTGGTATGCGGCCGCGCTCGACGTCCTCCTCGCCTTCGATGCTGGGGGCGCCGTTGTGGCCGTTCATCTCGCTCTCGGTCCTGTCCTTTGGTTTCTTCTCCTCCTGCTTCTGGGGCGAGTCTTCCTCCTGCCCGTTCAGGAGCTTCGGGCCCAGCGCGAAGGTGAGGGAGTTGCTGACGATGGCGTTGACGAGGAAGTAGGACTTGGCGCGGGCGACGGCCTCGGAGGTGCTGTCGGAGCTGCCCATCAGGAGGCTCGAGAGGATGCCGGTGGATTCGAGGGACTGGACGAGGAGGAGCGGGAGGGAGGTGGTGTTGTTGAAGGCGATGGCCGGTGTGACCCACGATGGGAGCTTGAAGATTTTCGTCATTGTTATCCCTAAGAGCATGGAGAGGACGTTATAGGTGATGGACCAGACTGGGACTTCGTTAGCAGCTGGACCAAGGGAGAAGTTGCATGGGCGTGGGCTTACGCAGTACAGGTATGTACCTCGTGCCGGTATCGCTGTCCAGCTGAGAGCCAACATTGTGGATAAGCAATGCCGGAAGGAAGAGGCGCACGCAGGTTTTCGAGATGTCTTTGGCGCTGGCTTCGGAGAGGAGACTGAACTGAGTAGCTATCACTCCGTAGGACAGAGTGAGCAGCACGGCCAGGGAGGCCTGAAGGGCGCCGAGGAACGAGGTCAGAAGGCTTGAAGGCATTGTATGGGAATTCCCTGCACAATTGCCAGCGAGGGTGTGAAGGGCGCGAGCGAATGGGTGTTGATATACCACAGAAGCTCTCAGGTTGTCACACGAGCAGGAATTGCAGTCGGCTCGCTTCCGACCAAGGCACAGGCACCGCACTGCTCCTGATCGGTAACTGATCGGTTATTTGTACGTCATTGCGGCTGCTCCCGCCAGCCCTTGCCCGTCCTTCATTGCAAGATGAGACGGCACCATTGTCGACAGTAAAGGCAGCTGCTTTGGGACAATATTCAGAAGGGTTGTACTCGCAAACCATTCTTGGAGGCCAAGGATATGGGTCACTAAAGTTAAGATTTACTGCTGTTCCTGCCAATGCACTCTGTTCCTGACTAGTGCCGGGAGCGTGCAGTGGAACAAGCAGCCTTACGCAGTGCAGTCATGAGGAAAGCTTAAAACACCCATCAAGCCGGACGAGGCAGCCATCAACTCCGCGGAGCACCTCCTTGCATTTGTGTCGTGGACTGTTTCTTACGCTGACTATGGGCATTTGCTGTGAGCATGCCACGCATTTGAACCCAATTTGCACCCCTCAGACGGTTGCTGCGTTCCACGGTAGAGTTGATATTACCCTTTCCGGAGCATGACTTAGAGCTCTCTGTGCACAGTTCCGCTCAGTGCAGAAATCCTCTGCGGTGACCAACTACCCAGATATATGCGGTGCCTCATTATATCACGACGCTGACACAGTAAACATCTGTATACATTACTCAACGTTACGAAGATTCAGCAAGTCCTTTCTCTTGCTCTTCGATACTCTCGTTTCCCCGTAAATCGCGCTCTTGGCGACTTGATGCTCTGCTACAACGCAAGAGCTGCACCCAGGAACCCAAGAACACCTGCGGCAGCCATTGGGACCTGTGTCGGGGCAGCGAGGGCAGAAGACGTGCTCTCTGCTGCTGCAGACGACGTCGCAGCTTCCGAGGAAGTTGACGTAGTACTTTCGGTGACAGTCTCGGTGGATGCTGCGCTGGACGTGGCACCGCTTGCGGAAGACTCGAGCGAAGATACCGCAGCCGAGACAGAACTGGATAGGCTTGAGGCGAGTGATGAAGCGAGAGCTGAGCCCTGGGACAGAGCCTGATCAGGGTCAGTATAAGATTTAGAAGATGGATTTCTAAATACTCACGCTGCTAGCGCTGCTCGCGGCGGCATCAGTGAGCGAGCCTGGAACGATGCTCGTGATAGCGCTCCCCGCGGAATTAGTAATGGTAGTAACGCGGTCCGCACCAGGAATACCCGTGGCAGCGGCACCTCGGAGAGCGCTGATCTCAGAGTCCAACGCGTTAAGGTTCGACTGGTACTCCGTGGGCACGGCGGTCAGCCATGTGGGCGATGCAGTTGCTGTAAGCGCAGACTGGATGATGGAGTTAGAATCGCCGGTTACGCTGGCTGCCGTTGCGGCGCTGTAGATTGCGGACGCTACGCTTGGGGGGATGTACAGGGAGATGAGCTGCCCGGCTGCAGACGAGAAGGCTGCTTCGTCGGTGCTATCGGCTGTCAGTACTACGATATTCCTTAGGAAACCCCACGTCATGTGAATGGCCCGTATATGGTGATGCAAGCTAGGGGATATACTTACGCTTGGCGCTTCTCCCCTAGCGCAAGCGCTGCTGGCACCAGTGCGATTTGAAGAAACGTGATCAACTGCATTCTAGCCGAACAGACTGAGAGCTATTATCGTGATGAAGAGACGAGAGACAAGAGACAAGGCGAGATGAAACGATGAGGGGCATGCTGCCCGGAGAGGTGTTGGAGAAATACCAGGCATCCCGGTCAGATACGGGTGGCTGGGTCTGCTAGGTTGTGACTGATTGGTGCCTGTGTCCCATGCTCTGCAGCCAGCCTGTTTATATTCGCGACATGGTTTGCTTTTCCTGATCAACTGTGGGTGCTCTTCATTGGAGTGTCAGGCTAGAATGAGAGTTGAAGGAACTGTGGTGGCAGGTGTGGCTGCATAAGTGGCTGGAAAGCAACTTGGCCGTGATGGAAGCCGAAGCACTGGACCCGAGCGTCCATAACTAAAATAAGGTATTCAAGTGAGCGATAAAGCAAACATGCGCCGAGTGAACGGTCCGTGTATCAACTACCATCTTCCTGAGAGATCGCCGTTCCCATCGAAGGGGCAAATCCCCTCTATGCCACCAGTGACAGAACCTCGGGCATCAGGAGCCTATTACCATGGCTTGGAAAGCAAACTTCACCTGTTCTATATACTTCTACTCGTCACGTCAACCGATGGGATGCTCGGTTCGCACTATTAGTCTATTTCTCTATAGTCTATATGCATATTGCAAACTCATTAACAAGACGAGTCGAGAGAAGCTTGAATGAGAAGATCGAAATGTCCCAAACAACCGGACAGATAAAACGAGTAGCACTCGCATCCAACCATGCAGTAAAGGAGAACCAACCATCGATCCGTCATGAGACATCCATCAGGCCGGTAGCTAGCGCAGCTACTTCGTAGCCTTACAGGCAGATGCAGAGTCTGAGCCAGCGAACGTCAATTACTCGGCCTTGCTAGGTCCAGCACCTGCCTCATTTTCCACATCCCGCCAATCCTGACCCATACCGGTAATCTGCCCTTGACGATGAGGATCATCAGCAGTCATGGCCGTTTCGTACGCTGCAGGTCTGCAGGCGCTATGCGCTGCGCCTGGCCCGCGAATCCGGCGCCAAACCGCACAAAGAACTGGCATGTTGTGGCGAGTCCGCGTTGAGATCTTCTGTCTTGTCGACGCTATAGGTCGCATGTTGTTCGGCAACCGCTACACATTTGAAGCGATATCGAAGCCGATCTGGATCTTCCCGTCTTTGCCTATGAGTTCTCCAAAGGGGAATCTTTGCTTGGCGAGATGCAGACGGTATCATGCATGCTTCCGCTTGTCGTCCGCCTCCGGATAATTGACAGCGTCCAGGTCGAGTAGCACGCTGGCGTAACAAAGCGCAAACAGCTGCCCGAGTGAGTTCAGTGGACATGGTAGCCGGCGTTTGGCCGTTAGCCAGAAAAGAAGGGATGCTAAGAAGCCAAATTACAAGAAGCATTAAAAATACCAACGAGTGGAAGAGTGGCCATAGTGAGGAACACTCTGGATTCCTCGTTGAGCCGCACGGTAAAGATGGCTCCAGCGAAGACGGGAGCAAGATCGGGGTAAGTCTCAGGAGGGAGAACAAGGCGACCTTCCAGTGCTTGTTGCGTAACGCTTTTGCCGTGACGACAAGCGGTAAATCGTACACGCACTCTACTAGCAAGCAGGCGCGTGCCAATGCCGGGTCGTGCATACTTGCGAAAGGTTGGAAAGTGCGGAACCAGATATCGGCTTTCGCCCAGAACGGAACGTGCAGACTGCCCACCATAGCTGGTGTAAAGCGGACGAGGACATTGGCAATTCCGAATGTATAGGTATTCAGTTCCATGGGGAAGCTGCGGTTGAACTGAAAGACCAGTAGAGTTATGGCGATGGCAAGTAGGCCAGCAGTGATTGTAAGGAGTGTATAGATCCAGAAAGGACCCAAGAGATACGCAACGGAGGCAAGCTGATATGTCGGTCGCCCTTCGTCAATGCGGGCCTCGGTAGCTATGCCACTGCTGGCGGCACGGCGGTAGCTGGGAGCTCTGTCGATTTCAAACTAAATATGTCCGAAAAGACTTGTACGCCAGTAACCCAAGCGAAGCTGCAGTTCGTCAAGGACACCGCTCCAGGCATGCCGTGGTAATGATTCGATGCCACTGAAGTCTTCAAGAACATTCGACTTTGCAATCAGTTTGATCTGATCAAGTATGGCCGCCACATCATTAATCAGACCACACGACTGTCCATGTAGCGGTACAGTGGCTCCGGTAAGCAGCAGAAGCTGGCGTGAGTATGTTACCGTGAGCGCCACGGTCACCCGCTTGGTGGCTCGGATTATCCAGCCGTCAGTATCTGGTTCGGCTGTTAGAAAGTTGGCTTTGAGCGCTGGCGCGAACAGTCCGGTGAGAAACGCTTGCAGTATAAAACGACAAAGTAGCCATTAATGGTTTCGCCTTGCTAAGAAGACATTGACCAGATAGTAAGGTGCGAACATGGTCGACGCAGCGTTGGCAGTCTTTACGTCCGTATGCTCGTGTGTGCCGGTCTTGTTGTAGTTTGACATGCCAATGTATGGCGCCATCCATAGAAGACTTCTCATTATAGCTAGTACCCATACCCGCTTACCGTGGCAATCACAGTGGAAGATATCGAACGGCGAAATAGTTGCATCTGTTCTTTGTGTGAACCGGTTCGCTTTTGAGCCAGATGTTGCATCCGAAGTATAGGACCGAGGCGAGACACACTGCTGTGTAGACCGTCGCAGCCACTAGCAAGGGCATACGTAAGATTACGGGTTTCCAGGTGGGTCGCGGGTAACCTGCAGGCACGTCGAATAGAGGAAGCAGGAGATCTGATCCTTGTTAGCCCTATTCCATCTTTCCATACTGAGGAAATGTATAAGCCTTACCGTCTGAGCCGTTGAAATCGTCTGCATCGTCTGAAAAGCTTGCCTGAGCAGTGGTTGAGGACAAGTTATCGTTGGTGACAACACTCTGTCTATAGTTGTCGAGAGCGCACGACGGTAATGATGGATGAGGTAGGGGCTGTAGCGGAAGTGCGGTGGGCCCAGCAATGGGCCAGGTACCTCGCCGGTGCATAGTGGCCTGGTTGGGTGGAGCCCGCGGCGTAGTGATGCCGTCCCATCATGGAGAAATCTTGATATAAGATTTGAAGACTGCCAAGAGAAGGACGGTGATATGCAAGTAAAGCCAGGCACCAAGGGGTGCTGTCGCCGCCTCAGTCCTTTGACCTGCCGGCAACTGTGACATTGCGGCGGAGTAGATAAGAAATGGGAAAAGCTTACGCCATGAAAGCTTCTAGAAGTCAAGGGAAGCTGTTTGGAGCAGCCTTGTATTCCACGACGATCACCACGTTGCTCGACGCCTATCACGAAGATCCGCAACAGCCTACCCCGGCTTTGACCGTGCGACTGAGCGGCGAACGACTCATTTTCAAGCAGTGCGTTGCCAGCATAGCCTCTCTCAGTCAACATACACCCTTGAGTTCAGCTTAGACTCTCGTCCGCGGGACGGTCGGGCGATGCCGAACACTGGAAGCGAAGACGCCCGATCGCAAAAGGAAGCGTGCGCGTCGAGGATCTCCGCTATTGCCGTAGGGCCGGCTGAGGTGGTGCGGACTGGACTCGCCAAAATTGTCCAATTTAAACGTTTGGCTCCTCATCGTGGTAAAAGGCACTCTTTTAAAATGCACCTGAGAGACAAAGGTGGGCACTTGTCGTCCAGCCGATCAGAATGTGCCCGATAAAGCAATATAGACCTGTTGCAGAGTGCTTCGACCTGCGCTGGATCAAGCTCTGTTACTGGTGTTGACCTTCCATGCGTTAAAACTGTTCGTTCGCTGATCCAGGAGCATTTCAGATTGTAGCAGAAGCCTACATCTTCTCTGATAGGGTGGTAACGCCTCTCGAGCTTCGCCATCACCTCAGCTTTCGTCTCAGGCGCTAGTGGTTCTTTGGGTGGATTACGGATCCGTTTAGGCTCTGAAGGAGCCGTCCAATGAACACGTGTTCGAGGCGGAGTCAGCAGTGTGACTGTCGTCAAAGCAGGAACCATTGCTAATGTGCCATAAGCTTTACTTCGGGTTTGCTGGTGTTTTAATAAACGCGGGATTCGTGACTTCGCATCTCTCGAACCTGCTGCATCACGAGTCGGGTTTGAGTTTGCGGTCGTAAGCGAAGTCGAGTATCACTGAGTCGGACGTGGAATGCGGGATTGCCTGCTTGAAAGCTGGAAGCCTGTTGTCGCCAAATCATAGAGATGCCACCGCTAGAGAAAGCGAGGGCGAAGATGCAGAAGGGCGTAGCGGTGGCTGAGAGTGAGAGTGTATAAAGGAAGTAAAGAACCGAAGCGGGTTCTGATTCCTATACAAATGTTTTTGCGCTGAGGCGGCCGCTCTTACTCTAAGGCTCCCTCACGAACCACAGTTGCAGGAAACCATACAGGTACATGGTCTACCACGGTTGCCGCTTGAGGGCCGAGAGCTTGTTGCAGCCTGGACCATAGGCACTACTTAACGTTCTTCGTAATCTACACCGTGAGTGGCCGCCCTACTCCTGTAAGGTACTGCGCAGGGTTCGTCGCAGTCTGTACCGTGAATGAGTAGCGGAGTTAGTTCCAGCAAGATACTGCTCAAGGTTGAGATGGACGAGGTTCACCAGGACGAATTGAGGGCAAGACGACCGTTGACCGTCGACCGTTGACCGTCGACCATTGAAACCGGTTTCGCTCGCACTTGGTCGCTTGATGTCTTCCGAGCGCCTGTTCAAGCGCGTGGTCATTGGGAGTGCGCGAGTGAGACGATTAATTTACTGAACCGTAGAAGAAACAGTTTGTACATGTCATGTTCGGTGAAACAAGAACGAGCTGATCATGCCGTATAGCTTTGACCCATAAACCTTGTGTTACAGTTGTAGGGGCTGGCGTTCTAGTTGCCTTAGAGTACACGATCTTCTTCTGTGAAGGATATCTAAGCTGATGGATGGAGATGCTCACCTTCGTCGGATTCGATTTGTTGGCACTTGGTCACTACAAAGTGTTTCGACATCAGCTCTCTCCCTTCTCCTCCAGTGGTAAGATTTACCTTCAATCCCTTGCCCATGTGCCCCAAGCTGATATATATCCGCAGCCTATGTGGGCCTCCATGTCCTAGGCTGGGTGTTTAACTGCAGTTCCCCTTGCGTGTGTCTGCACCATACTCCTTTTCGCGTATGTCGTCGCGTGGGCATACCTGGTCACGCTTTTCACTATCCGCGTGATCCTCTTTGGGGATATCCTCATTCGCCACCAGGGCTACGCCGTAGTCATGGATGCTCTGGCGGTCATGGTCGTATATATGCATTGGTGCTTCCTTCGAAGCAACCGAGTGATGCTGCCAGAAGGTCCGTGGTAGTCAATCTCATACGCTATGGCAATGCTAATGGAAATCCGCACAGACTCGCATCCACCCTGCTACGAACCAGTGGGGGAATCAGGTCACGATTTCGGTCCTGGTCTAGGGCGCGATGCAGATAAAGGCGAAAAGAAGATGAGTCGCTTGGAGCATGTTACCATACTATGAAGTGGATGATAGTCGTTTTCTCGGTAGTCCGGAATCCGAAACAAAATGCGTAATAGCAGCAAATCGAAGGTTTAAGAGACAACCTTGAAATCATCCCGCCTCAAGCTGCTTCAAGTCTTGCAACAGAATCTGAGATAATCTTGTCAAGATTTCGGCGGTGTATGCACGCTCACCTGAAGCATTTGTTTCTCCCCGTGAAAGGCATGAACATACATGAAAGCCCTCAGGTGGATACTAGGATATCTTCTGTAAACATGTCAGAGCGCTCCATATGATATAATCGTCACGGGATGGAATGTCATTCTGCTCACAGTTTCCGTAGTTATGTTCTGCATGCGTGCTTTAATGTCCCAGGGTCATCTTACTTGAGATCTATGACAGCCTTTTCGACTTATGATAGCGTAGTGCAATAGTTCAACAGCACACCTTATGTGGGCTATTCATGGACAAAGCACGTGACAGCTCAAACGTACACAGCCTCCCGTGATGCGAAGCACAGCCTGACCCATCAGCCTGACCAGACCGCCTACATTATGAGACATCGAAGCCTCAAAACCGGCGACAATGGACATGTCTTTATCTCCTCGGATCCACGATGGCCGTGCCAGGCTACTCCAACCCGGTGCCAGATTACTATCGGGAGATCAACCACCCGCCTATTTTGCAGAAGATAGCTGATCTAGACGATCCTTTGGATTTCAAGAGACTTAATCGTACCGTTGGCGAAGTCCGCAGCCGTAACTTCTGTGTAGACTTGGGAGATGAACAGGCTTGGTGCGCGTTCGATCTGACCGCTGATGCCTTCAGCGCTCTCCTCAAGACAGATAGGCCGCACGAACTTGGGACGAGATGGATCAACGTCTGGGCCCCGCACGAGCAGAAAGACATTATCCAGACACTGGCGAAGCACTACGACTTCTCTCCACGGCTCTTAGGCATCATGTGTTCTACCCCTCTGAAGCCATATCCAAGGTCGAGTGAGACCTCGAAGAACAGCTCATCTATATTCCGGTTCTCTCACCACGCCGGACCGCGCAAGACGATGTCAGGCCTGTTCAGAGATCCGGAAGATCATGTCTTAGAGAAAAGCGATGTGTCCTCAATACCGCCTTGGGATCTCTTGCGCGGAATCGACCACTACCGTCTTGTAAATGAAGTTTGGCATTGGTCCTCCGTTGACTGGGGAAGGAGATATATCTGCCTGGGCTACAACTCTCTACACGGCGTGCGTGCAAAGCTACCACATGAAGCAATTGAGCAAGACAGCAGTGAGGATCTCCCCGAAGGGAAACGCGTCTGGACATGGCTACTTCTGTGCGAGGACAAGACAGTAATCTCCATTCACGAGGACCCGTTCCCTTTCAAGAATGGAAACCTGGACCGCAGAGACGAAGAGACGCTTGTGGCTGTCCGGCGCAACCTTGCCAATGTCTTTCGTCAACTATCGAAGGCTTACGATGAATCGCAAGACAATCCGATATCTCTGCTGCCCATCCGGAAGCGAGTTGGCAACAGTGATGAGGAGACCGCTCATCGATCGACGGATATGCCTGGGTTACTATTTTACTGTCTCTTCGACGACTGGTACACTACATTCAGCCTCGTCGCTCGGCGGGAGCATCAATACTCTGCGGAGCTGAATAGAGTGGTGAGTTGCTCCTTAGCAGCATCTTGACCTGTTCTATCTGCGCAGCGAACAGTCTCTATTATTTTCACAAGCCCTTGCCTCCGCAGCACAGCTTGAAGAAAGCCTCTTGGAGGGCATGTGCTAAGAGGTTTTACAGAGAACAGAGATGTTGCAAACAGCCAAGCTCGCCCATGTCGACCGCCTGCATCATATCGGCCGGCAGCTCGCAGTCCTCAAGCGCGTCTATCAGAGTTACGAGCTGATCATCGACCGCGTACTGGAGCAGCAACAGGCCTCGCTCGCCTCACTGAAAAACTCGCATATTCTGCCAGACGACCAGTCGGCATCCATAGAAGCGTCGCACCACTCCGCAAATCAGATCCGGGAAGGCGAAAGTCTCTTGGGCGTGTCTCTGAGTTCCGCAGCACGTGTACGGTTTGAGCGGTTGAAAGACCGTATTCACCTGTACGCGTTGAGCGAGATCCAAGAGTGTCTGGATCAGAAAGAGTCGCTGGTCATGATGGTTGGTTGACCCCTTCACGCTTCTTGGCCGTGTCGCCGCTCCCGCTGACTGCGGTGGCCGAATTCACATGCTGATGTGAGCTGCACAGAACTTCAACCTCATCGCGATCAAGGAATCCTACTCCGTCGAGCGCCTGACCCGTATAACCTTACTACTCGCTAAAGTCACTATCCTGTTCATGCCTGTCAGCCTGATGACTGGATACTTCAGCACCGAGCTGGAGAACGTGACGTTTTCCCTGAAGAGTTACTGGATTTGGTTTGCGGTCATTCTTTCAGTGTCTATCTTCGCGTTGATCGCCTTTGGCTTCTTTAGCGGTACCATGGAGGGTAAGATGCTGTATCGGCCGATTGGCCGGCGGATCGTGGACTCGTGGAGGACTGTGAAAGAACGACGGAGTAGGAAGATGGTTGCGGAACAGTAGCATCGTTTGAGTTTCAGCGCATGAAGGCGAGAAGGCGTTGGCTGTAGAGTTGGAATATAGCTGAGCTTGCGACGTTCTTATGGCAAGAATCTTACACTGTATCTACAGGACGAAAAATGACGACCCGTTTCAGCTGTGAAAAGCGGCTATGCACCGAGCACTCAGGGTCTCCCAACGCCAGAAATGCCTTTCTGTCTTCACAGCGCAAGCCATTCACCACTCCGCGTGCGCCTAACCCCACAGTAGAGAATACCAACGCCAACCCCCCTAATGCCCTCAAAAACCCTATAACGCTCCCTCCCTTCCCTCTCTCCCCTCCCTCCCCCTCCGCCACTCATCCAACGCCCTCTCAAACCCCTCCCCCGTATCCCCACACCTCTCACCAATCAACCCCCACGTCCTGCTCCTCACAATACTCTCCACCATCCGCTCATTCCTGATCAACCCGGCCAGCGCCTCCGTCCTCGCCTCCCGTGGAAAATACCGCCCACTATATGGATCCAGCCTTTCATCGACAATCCTCTCTCTCGCCCGCGCGTTCTCCACACCCCGTACCAGGCTCTCCGGGTCGTTGGGGTCGGGGGATGTGGCGACGCCGGCGCAGTAGGAGAGGACATCGGAGCGGGATTGCCAGGAGGGGAAGAGGATGGAGTTTTTGAAGGAGGTGCAGGCGGGGCCGGGGATGCGGCGGCGGGAGGCGGGCGGGAGGGTTGCGCGCACGGAGGTCGAGGACGGGTCGAAGGGGGAGAGGGAGGGGGTGAGCAGCGCGTTGAGGTTCTGCGTTATGCTGTCGTCTATTGTGCTGCGCGAGAGGCGGAGGAAGTCTGGGGGCGGGTTAGGGCTGAAGCGTGAGGGCATGCTAGGTGGGGGAGAGGAGGGGAGGGATGAGGGACGGCATACCTCGGAGGGCAGTTTGGTTGAAGCAGAACTGTGGCGTCAGTTCGGGGTGCTCGTAGGGTTTGGACATGGTGTCTTCCGGCGGGTTGACCTGGATAGAGGGTTCTTGCGGAGGCGGAGGTAAAGGCGAGTCTGCGGTGGCAGCCGCCCGTTTCCAGAAAAGGCCTGCCGTGGCTGTGGGTTGGTCTTTTGGCTGCGACTAAGAATAGTCTTATACGACTACCAGACGGGAATAGAGGCTTCTATGATGGTATATATACTGTATGCTGCATCTGTGGCGGATGGTTCAGGACAACTTTGGGGGAGTTGCAGGGGCCAAGCTTCCGATGACGCCGACAAGGCAGAGCTCGCGTCCAAGGGTCTGCGCGTGCCCGAAATCAATCAATTTACGCGCTCCTCCAGCACCACACGCTCCCCTCCACCCGCCATTCGGGATACATGCACACCCGCATCTACAACCTGCCTGGGCATGCGAGCTCTCCAATCTGTTCTGCGCCAGAGGTTCCACCCTGCTAATCCAGCATTTTCCCTCGACCGCTGCCTAATCTACGCACAGCGCACAGCCTGTAGTTATAGCTGTGCTCGCACACTCGCATCTTGGAATTGTCGCCGCTGTGGTATATCTTGTCCAGCTATGCCACCCAAGCAGGCAACGTTGGGGTATGTTAAACCATCCCAGACCACCTTGGGGTGCGGACATGGTCTCCCACTGTGCTGTTCTGGAAGCTTGTCTCACCTCTCCGCAGCAAGTTCTTTGGCCGTCCCAATGGCTTAAAGCCGGAACCGCAGCAGTCGAAGCTCTCCTTCTCGAGCAAGTCCCAACCTAAGAAGGAGTCAGTCGTAAAGAAGGAGCAACCTATGGAAGAGGAAGAGGGGGAGGATGCGAGTGCGGGGGCTGTGCAAGCAGACGATGGTGGAGATGTTCCTATGAAGGATGAGAGGCCACGAACTCCTGAGCCGCAGGCCAATGGGTCACCGGATGAGGTTGACGGAGAGGGTGCAGATGACTCAAGTACGTTCTCCTCGACCTCATTCACCGCTAGTCATGACCAGAGTCAGCCTCTTCTCGCCCAGCTGGATTTAATTTTCGGTGCATCTTCTGGTCAAATACACATTCTGACAACATGCGATTGCGCTCAGGCAACGAAGCGACCGCGATTACAACGCCATCGGTTCCTCAGCGGCCGAACAAGAGACCAGCTGAAGATGACGGCGAAGATTCATCGTATTCTGATGTGGAACCGAAGAATAAGAGGCGGAGGAAGCCTTCACCAAACCCGCCAACGAAGACCAGTCCGCAAGCGAAGCCGAAAGCCAGCTCACAAGAAAAGCCGAAGGCAAAGCCTAAGAAGTCAGTCACATTCAAGGAGACAGAATCACCAGCGACTAGTCCAAAGGGTGAAAAAACAGCCAGGGAGGCAGCCAAACCGAAGACGTCAAACGGTACTCCCAAGCGAGTGAAGAAGGAAGGATCTAAGGCCGTCGTAGAAGTGGTCGTCAAGTCGCCTCGAAGCAAAGCCCCCAAGCCGGTTGCGACAGCTGAAGTGGTTGAAACCGAACAAAATTCATCAGCCGAAGAGGTCGCATCTGACGCAGAAGAGGGAGTTGAATCTGACGAAGACGAAAAGCCTGAGGTTGTCGCCAAAGCAAGAGAGAAGGTCCAATTAACACTCAAGGCGGGCGAAAAGGACCCATATCCGGATTGGAAAGATGGTGATCCTGTTCCCTATGCCGCGCTGTGTACGACGTTCTCGAAGATTGAGATGACCACAAAGCGCCTCGAGATCCTAGCTCATTGCTCACTGTTCCTACGACAAGTCCTGCGCCTGACGCCGAACGACCTTCTACCTACCGTGCAACTCATGATCAACAAGCTTGCTGCCGACTATGCCGGAATAGAGCTGGGCATAGGCGAGTCACTCATCATGAAGGCTATCGGTGAAGCCACGGGCAGAAGCTTGAACATCATCAAGGCTGATCAGAATGAGATTGGAGATCTAGGTCTTGTGGCAGCAAAGAGCAGGTCCACACAGCCAACCATGTTCAAGCCGAAGCCGTTGACTGTTCGGGGTGTCCACGAAGGCCTCATGGCTATTGCGACCACGTCCGAAGGTGCAGGTGCACAGGGTCGGAAGATTGCAGGCATCAAGAAGTTACTGTCCGCTGCGGATGCACATCTCGCCGGGAAGGGCAGCAAAGGCGTCGACATTACAAAAGACAAGGGCGGGCCCAGCGAGATGAAGTATATCGTCAGGGCACTGGAGGGTAAGATGAGGCTGGGCCTGGCGGACAAGACAGTTCTTGTAGCACTCGCACAGGCGATGGTCTTTCACGAGGCGTCACAGAAGGGCGACAAGATTCCAAGCACTGAGCAGCTGGCGAAAGGCGAGACCATCCTGAAGTCGGTTTACAGGTAAGGAAAACTGGCTGACTGAAACCCAACATCCATTGACATCTTTCTAGTGAACTCCCCAGTTACGAGGTTGTCGTGCCAGCCATGCTCGAGCACGGCATCACCAATCTGCGGGAGAGCTGCAAGCTCCAGCCCGGTGTGCCCCTGAAGCCTATGCTTGCCAAACCTACCAAATCAATCACCGAGGTCCTCGACCGCTTCGAAGGGAAGAACTTCACCTGCGAGTACAAGTATGACGGAGAGCGGGCTCAGATCCACTTTGTCGCCCATGATGCAGCTCAGGAATATGCGACTGCAGTGTCGGCAGCCGGCAAGAGCGAAAAGGGCATCGCCAACATCTTCTCTCGGAACTCGGAGGACTTGTCGAAGAAATATCCAGACATCCTCCAAAAGCTGCCGACATGGGTTAAGGACGGCACAAAGAGCTTCGTCCTTGACTGCGAGACCGTCGCATGGGATGTGGTGCAGAAGAAAGTGCTGCCATTCCAACAGCTCATGACGCGCAAGCGCAAGGACGTCAAAGCTGAGGACATCACAGTCAAGGTCTGCGTGTTCGCCTTTGACTTGCTTTTCTTGAACGGCGAGGTATGTCCTCCTAATCTCTTCCCCCAAGCATAATCCTGTTCATAGACTAACACAGCCAATAGGCCCTTGTAAACCAACCCTTCCGCGAACGCCGCGAAAAGCTGCACGTTGCCTTCCAACCCATCGAAGGTGAGTTCGCCTTCGCCCAATACGGCGACACCTCCGACCTCGACGCCATCCAAACCCTCCTCGACGACTCCGTGAAAGCCTCCTGCGAAGGCCTGATGGTGAAAATGCTCGACGGCCCCTCCTCGCACTACGAGCCGTCCCGGCGGTCCCAAAACTGGCTCAAAGTGAAAAAGGACTATCTCTCCGGCGTGGGCGACTCGCTGGACCTGGTCGTGCTAGGCGCCTACTACGGCCGCGGCAAGCGCACCTCCGTATACGGCGCCTTCCTGCTCGCGTGCTACAACCCGGCCACCCAGGTCTACGAAACCGTCTGCAACATCGGGACCGGGTTCTCCGAGGCCGTGCTGGAAGAGTTCCACGCCCAGCTCAAGGAACTCGTCATCGAGCGCCCGAAACCCTTTTACGCGCATGCGGCGGGGAACAACTTCCAGCCGGACGTCTGGTTCGAAGCCCGCTATGTTTGGGAGGTCAAGACGGCGGATCTAACGCTGTCGCCGCGGTACAAGGCCGCTGCGGACCAGCTCAGTAATTCGGGGGGAAAGGGGATTAGTCTCAGGTTTCCGCGGTTTATTAAGGTGAGGGATGATAAGAGGCCCGAGCAGGCGACGACGAGTAGGATGATCGCGGAGATGTATCAGAAGCAGGAGAGTGTGGCCAAGAATAAGGGACCGGCGGTGGATGATGATTTTGAGTATTGAGCTGTTGCTGGCGGAAGAGCGGACAATGGCCGGAAGGGCATGTGGAGAGGAGCTTGCTTCGTCGCTTTGAGCATCAAGTGGTTGGGGCATACGGATCATGGGATGGGATACCAGTTTGCTGGCGAATAATCTGGCTCGGCGCTTTATGCATCGGATTGCTAGGTTGACCTATCCAGTGACAACAACACAACTAGCTGGTAATTTGCTTATGCATACGTCTTCTCTCCGTCTGCTACATTATGCAGCTCATGGAGAACGTTAAGGATGGCCGCAAAATGCAGCGCCATATGCACACAAAACTATCCTCGGCAAGCGCCCTGTACATCCATTATCTATAAACTTTTCCCACTGGCAGGACGATGCGCTGGACCCAACCCCTGGGCAGTATCTGCAGCTTTACATAAAAACGTTGAGTATTGAGGATCAAGCGTCTGCAAACACAGTGGCTTCCGGCCACCGCTTCCGTGCCGCGTTGATGTATGCTTCTCTAGCTTCCGATCCGCTCTTCCACTCGCCAAGTAGCGAGAGGCCGTTCTTGGCGTCTTGCAGCTCGATGGTGTCGAAATCCAGTGTTGCTAGAAGCTCTTTCTCGTTCTGAGGTAATGAGCTCGAGTCGAGTAATTGACGGACCTTCAGGCCGGCTTGCACATGCGGGGCGCTTTTGCTGTGCTTGGAGATGAAGGAATCGTTGTAGTCTGAGAGTGAAGTCGAGGTGGGGATAAGGGTGAATGTGGAGTCGATGACTTTGGCGACGGGCGGAGGAAGCGGTTCGGATAGTGTGTCCACTGCGGCAGATTCGTCAGTACGTCAGTGGTGTATTAATTTGCTGCGTGACTTACAGGTTCGGCGGAAACGGACTGTCTGTTCATGCAGGGTTGGATTCTCGGAATCTATGCTCGATGCTGCCAGCAGGCATTTGAGAGCTAGTAGATGTTTATCTAACAAAGGGGTCAGCCAAGCTTCCAAGCCATATCGGCGAAGGGACAGTCTTACTTTTGCGCGTGAAAACCTCAAACCCCACGTTTTGCGCCTCAATGTTCTTCGGACTGAACTCTAGCAGAAATGAAAGGAACTTCCCTGCATCCTGCAAAGGTTCCTTCGTTCGCGCAAGCTTCGTGCCTTGAGGATCCTTATCCTCCTTCTTCAGCTCGCCATCCGCGCCGGTTGCCGGTTTCTTCGTTGCAGCCTTTTTCTCTGCTTCCTTCCTCTCAGCCTCAGCCTTCTCTTGCTTTTCCTGTTCCCTCTTTGCCTTCTTCATAGCCTTCTTCCGCTCATTAGCATCCATGCTGTCCATGTCGGTGAAGCCGTTGGTGAGAGACTCATGCGCTAGGTGCGGCTTATCGTGGAGCATGATGTAGGCTTTGACAGCGAAAATTGCAGCTCGCGAGTAGTAGGGGTGTTCTCGGAGGTGGTCTTCCCATCTGATCATATCGACGTATGCCCTGATCTGACCTTTGCGTAGCGAAAAACTGTGGAAGTCGAACTGGTCCTCTTGCCAGATGTCAAAGATGTCATAGATGGCGTGAAATCTCTTGAGGGCCAGACCGAATTTTCCCTGCCGTAAATACGCCTCTCCATCCTCGGTGAGATACCACATGCACTGTAGGTCATGGAGATCCCCCAGAGCTTCTTTAACGGTCTCGTTCTTGGTGAATTTGCTCATCGTCTTGAGGGCATTCTCGTTCTCGTTGTTCCGCAGCTGATACTTCGCGCACTTACTGTTGATGGCGCGATCCCGCTCGTCCCAGGTCCGCGCCTCATCCATGATCTCCGATGCCTTCGCTGGGTTGCCGTAGTGCTTCCATATTCGTGCCTTGGTCATGCCATACTCAACCGCCTTTGGGTTCATCTCGAGGGCCTTGTCTATGAAGTCCAATGCCTTGCTGAGATCGCGGCTGAGATGATAGTTGTAGTGTTGCGCGAGGAAATAGAGCACAGCCTCGTCAAATTTATTGGAAGACCGATCACCTTCGTGATTCTCTGCCGACCCATTCGTCAACTGCTCCGAGGCGTAACCATTCACCAGTTCTTCAATTATTGTTCTCTTTGCGGGATCTCTGTACAGCGCTTTCACATTTGCGAACGTCGATGGGATGCCTCTCTTCAGCATGCTACGTAGGTAGCGATCCGCCGCGGTCTTGAAGCTTTCGCCTAACTGCGGTCAGTCAAAGGTGGCGCAACGAACGATGGGCACCAACCTTGCAGAAAGTCAAGCGGCACCCTCCGAGCGGCATCCACCTTCTCGCTCTTGGCGGCATAAGACTCGTATAACTCGGCCAGTTTTGGTATTGAGTCGTCATCCGTCCTATCAAGTCCCATTGCTTTCTCCAACCCCTCGTAGTATGCTCGGTACTCATTATTCCGGTCGAGCAACGCCCTATACGCCTTTTGTGCCTCCTCTTTCCGGTCTAGCAGAAGTAAATACCGCGCGCGCATCTCCATCACAGCTGTCCGATCCAGACTATTTTTCATGACCGCCTCCAGATGGCTCAAAGCTTTCTCAATGTTCCCCGATTCCGCTATAATGGTGTTCTTGTACAGGATTGCCTCGGAGTGTTCGATGTCGGACTTCGGTGGGGGCGATTTAAGCGTGTCCTCGTAGGTTGTAAGAATCCTCTCCGCTGCCTCGAATTCACCGTTCAGATGATGAGCCACAGCCATAGCGGTCCAATTTTGCCGCACGTGTGGACGCGACTTCAGAATCGCCATCCGAGTCTGCACAAAACCGGGATAGTCCCTCATCTGAACTTGTAGCTGCGCAAGGTCCCGCGATATCTGCGCAGAATCAGGGTCCAACTTCAACGCAAACTTGTATGCCTTGATTGCCTCCTCATAGTTCTTCGCGGTTCGATACAGGAGACCGTAGACATGCCAACACACGTGCGACTTGACATCGTTCTTGAGGGCCACTTTAGCGAGTTCGAAGGCTTCTGTCGAGTTTCCCTGGGCATTGAGGATGAGCGCTTTCATCGCCTGCGTATCGCCATGGTTCGGGACTTTTCGAAGGATCTGTTCTGCCGACTTCAGACCTGCCGACATCAGTACTGCGCTCGGTTCCGGACAGTCAACTGAAGATACCTTTCTTGTACTGCTTTGCTTCGTAGTTCTTGACCACTTGTTTGAACAAGGAGTTCTCCTTCGAGGGCAGCGGCTGTGGCATGGTTGGGGCGCTTCCGTCCGAGAGTGTCTGTGTAGTAGTGTGCGATACGAATGAGCAAACGCTGGATTTCAGGACTCCGGGTAATTGCGCAGAATTCAGAACTCCTTCAAATGCTCAAGCATCCTAATGTACCGAAGAGATGAGGGAATACGCCAATGAAGGCGTCGGAGCTCCGTAACCTCGACGAGGCCGAACAGCTTCTGACCGTGAAAGTGTGGATTATTTAGCCGGAGAACTGCCGGTCTGGGGACTCTCGTCGTCTCGTAGGGCTGAATTGACGAATCGGGCGTGTTCCGCAGCTACCGCTTAGTCTAGGTATTGTTTGACAGTTTATATGACACATTAAACGGGCAGTGGAAGCAGCTGGGAAGAGCTTGGCTTTTCTGTTACGCATAAGCTTAAAATCATGCCCAAAGAGCGGGCGTTATGATACATTTGCAAATATCTACCACTTTAGGACAAACATGACTACGCAAGTGGTATACGCTGCAAACATCAGGAGAAAGTCGTGTCTAGGTAGAGACAATTATGCCTTGCTGATCCGCGTAGACCTTCTCCTGCCCAAATGGTCTTCGTCCTTGGGCACAGCGGATTCTTCTTTGAGTGCATTGTCCTTAGCGGACTTCTTCGAGGACTTGCTGGCAGCGGCTGCTGTCTTCCGCCTCTTCCTCCCTTGCTCTTCTTCCACATCATCCTCCTTCTCATGGTCCGGCTCATCGATCTCATCTTCAACTTGGGCTTGGGGCTTGCCTCTGCCCCTCTTGACCGGCTTCGAAGGTTTCGGCTCTTTCCCGGCCTGCGCACCGTTCGTCTTGGCCTTGCCGCTGTTCTTGGTGCGTCGGGCTGGCTTCTTCTTACTTGCCTCCTCCTCACTGGCACTATCAGCGCCATCTACGTCTTCCTGCGAGTCCTCCACATCCGCAGAAACGTCACCAGCAACTTGACCTGTCTTCTTTTGAACGCTAGGGATGATCGCAGACGTTCTTCCAGCCACTTTGAGAAATTGGATTTTTTCTCCCGATGGCAGTTTACCGCCTTCTTTTTTGCCCTTTGACCACCTGTATCTCATAAGCCCTGAGAGAAATTAGCTATCTCTACTCGCATTGTATAGCTCTGCAAGTGCTTGAGAGTATAATGCTCGACCATCGTAATACATGACAGGGCATAGGCTACGCATGGATGGCAGGCTCTACCAACTCACAATTCTCTGGAAACTGGCTGGAGTCGGCCAGTGTGTCCACCGCGATTTTGCACACGCCGATGAGGGAGTTGTGCAGCTGCTTCATTTGGTCGTCGCTGAATGTGTTGCTGTATTGTTCGGGGTGTATTTTGGCTTGATAGAGAACCTCGTCCCTGTGCGCTGTCAGACGTAATCTCTGTAAATCATCTGACCGGGAGTTGCAAAATGGTACGACGTTGCGATCATATAGCGACAGGCACAACAGTGTCATCTTAAATCGCCGGCGTGAAAACGCTAGTTGTCTGGATAATACGCCAGTAGCTCAATGCTCCTGTACATCCTCACCCTGGATGTTCGAAATACGGGTTTTGTTGACTGTTCCAACTTTGAGATAGATTCACCAGTCGCATGAGTTGCTATTGGTACGCCCATCGTCACACAATCTAAACGTCGTACCGTTTGCAACTCGCGGCTAATTCTGACTTCACGGAACATTCAACTTACGCTACCCAGTTGCCGACGCCGCTGATGTTTGCTTGGTCCAACAGGAGAGCCTTCACTGGCACTCTTTTACTCCGCATTTTGCGAGAAAGCCATTCCAGCGTGATGGTATCACGGTCTATCACCGGGTCGGGGCCGTTTTCCTTCAGAGGCGTCGTCAGTCTCATCTTGTCCCCCTCGGCGTCCACCAGTCTGATTCGAGCAAGCCGTCGTGCATCCACAAAAGCCACCTCGCATTTGGGCTCCTCAGCTGTCTCAAGGACAAACTTCCAGAACTTTGGCGGCCACTGCTCTTCTTCCTGTTTCGTCGGTTTATAGTACGATGTATCGTCGTTGGAAAACTTCATCCAGCCGGTCATGCCGAAGTGCATCAGGGGGTGCGGAGGTGATGACATGACCAGCCAGAAGTATTTGCCTTGTTGCCGTGCATCGAGAACTTTCTTGCCGGTCATGGCTTTCTTGAAGGCGGTTGCGGATGTGCCCACTTTGCCGTAGACAATGTCATCTTCTTGAGTTTTGACTGCTGCAATAGTCTTCCCAACAAGGTGCTTCTTGAGATAATGGACAATGCGCGCGACTTCTCCAATCTGTGAGACTGTTAATGAACTGACCCTGCGCAAGGCTGGATCGACGTACCTCGGGCATTGTGAACGTCAAGTAGTGAAGTTCTCAAGAGCAATTGCTCAACTTTTTCTGGTTTCTCGAAGTTACTAACCGCTTACTTTGCGAAATGAAGCAAATGCGCGGGAAGTCGTCTTGTTGTTTAGGATTGTGGGAGTGCTGGGACGCGAAGTTCGCGATGAGACGCGCTCGCACTTCGCCCGGTCATGTGCGTCACTGTGGCTTGGGCAGCCAGCCAGCCCAGCTCTCTGCGATTTTGCTCACATCAACATGACGGATATATTCAAGACTCTCATGGTGATAGCAGAAAGGGAGGAACCATAGCCACGGGAAAATTCCAATCGCCGACGATTAGAACATCTTCTTCAATCACTGCGTGACCGATGAACATAAGCATCATCACACAAATCTTACAAAGATGGAGAGTTTACCGCAACTTCACAAGCAAGCATCGAACTGGAATCCATAGTAATGCCGTAGCAAAATACTTCGCAGCATCACTTGTTCGCATTCAGGCGCTACTGCTAATATTATCTACAAGCTGATGCACGCCTTCTCTTGTTACTCGCCGATAAGGCCCCTGCAAGCGGTTACATAATAGGCCCAGTATCATCATTTCCTTGCTCATGGACAGATTCTACACCACTCTTCTACTATTTCTCCCATTGTGGGCTTAACGATGCTGCCATCATGGGCGTTCCTGGCTGCGGCGTTGCCTGTTGTGACCCTTGCCCATTCAGTCAGTATCGACCAAGACATTCGAACTGAGATTGATCAGCAACGGCTCGAAGAGCTGGAGAGGAAGTGGGGAACAGATGTGGTTCTGCCCTTCCCTATATATGTTCGACACCTTGAACTAATGGGTTTGTAGTGGGGTTTCTCGGGCATCAGCACTTTTGCACATCTTCCCCATACAAGATGCTTGAGTCACCCAGAAACTCCGTATGATATTGGTATCATTGGTGCGCCATTCGACACGGCAGTGAGCTATAGACCTGGTAGGTAGTATGTACGTAGCGTCTGTCTACGTGTTGTTTCAAGCCAGTGGTTCTGTTTCTCATGTCCCTTGCTCTGGCTCTGGGTGATGTATACCTCAGTTACAATGTCGATGCCCTAATCAAAGCCGTCTATAAAAACTTACTAACGCAGCTCCGTGCTAGGTGCCCGGTTTGGACCTCGAGCCATCCGTGCCGGATCTGCCCGTCAGACATCATTTAGAGGATTCAATCCACGTGCACATATAAATCCGTACACGTCTTGGGCCAAAGTTATAGACTGTGGCGATATTCCTGTTACGCCGTTCGACAACGCTCTAGCACTTCGCCAGATGAGCGAGGCTTTCCTCGAGCTTGGTCGGCGTCCGCCAACAGCCGAATCTTTGGCCTCCTCTTCGCAGTATCACCAGAAGCCGAAGCTCCTCACCCTTGGCGGAGATCACAGTATAGCGCTCCCGGCCCTGCGCGCACTTAAGAAAGTGTATGGTCAGCCAATCGCCGTGGTCCATTTTGACGCCCACCTCGATACATGGCATCCTGCAAAGTATCCTTCATCATGGATGGATCCTTCCGACAGCTCGACGCAATCGTTCTTCAACCACGGTAGCATGTTCTGGATTGCCGCTACCGAAGGCTTGATAGCAAACGGATCTTCAGTGCACGCTGGCCTTCGAACCCGTCTGTCTGGCGACGACGCTGCCGACTTCCATGATGACTCGGCGCAAGGCTGGGTCCGCATCTCCACAGACGACATTGATGACATGGGCACCAAAGGCATCATCAGCACTATCATGGAGCGTGTCGGCACAGAGGTCCCCGTATACTTGAGCATTGATATCGATGTGATTGACCCCGGACTTGCTCCCGGGACAGGTACGCCTGAGCCAGGCGGCTGGACAACACGAGAGTTGATACGGATCCTGCGCGGTATAGAAGATCTAAATGTGGTTGGCGCGGATATCGTTGAGGTGAGCCCAGCTTACGATGGCGGCTCGGAGGTTACCGCACTTGCGGCAGCGCAGATCGGATTTGAGATATTAACAAGCATGGTGAAGCGGGGCTTGATGGAGCAGGGGAAGACTGCATCAGATGGTTCGGATAACACGCTCCGCGATGAGTTGTGATTTATTTCGTGGTGGGCTAGACTCGCAGCAGAGTACGAAGTGATGCGTAGACATGATCTTACCACCGTACTGTACATAGAGACTGTTACACTTCATGAACTTTCTGCACATGGTTTACCAAGATATAACATCGTACTCCCGGAGCCTACAATCCTCCAGTAAAAAAAGCGTCATGAGCCTCTCGCGGATGTTGATGAATCGTTAATGCCTGAATTTTCGGGCAGCAACTCTGAATTGGTTCCGCGACATCATCTCGCAATTGCAACCGAAGCTTGCAACAACTTCACACGCAACGCATGCGCAGCATGCGGCTAGGACAACACATGGCCATCTTCGGAATACTATGGCTCTAAGTCGCAGAGATGTAATCCTCGCAAGCATTGCAGCGTTCATCTCCTGGGGCTTCGTCACCCACTGGGTACCGACTTTGCGCTGGATACCTCACGCCTTTCTCGCCGGCGTCGCTGTAACGCTATTGGGTTTCTTCTGGACTATAGTATCCGTATCCCAACAGCCACGTGAAAATGAAAGAGCAGGGACTGATACGAAGCGCAACGTGGCTTTCGTTTCTCCGGCGGCTTGGAGAGCGGAAACCGCCGCCCTGAAGGGCAGGTTGCAATACACCAGTGAACAACTCTATCCACAATCACCTGTTATCTCCGGCCGCCTTGATACGCTCGTTGGACTCTTACTGCGGGACTTCGTTATGAGCTGGTATGGAGCCATCAGTGGAAGACCTACGTTTTCGAACGAAATCGACCGGGCTGTGCGTGCCGCGCTGGTCAATATTCGGGATAGAGTTCTGAGCCTCGACATGACCGAGATTGGGGTGTCAAGAATGTTACCAATAGTGACCGAGCACATGCGGGATTTCTACGAGGCGGAACGATTAGTCAGAGGAAGGAAACTCTCACGCAACGTCACGGAGTCTGAAGAGCTTGACCTTGCTATTGCTGGGAAATATCGGGATGGTCATCTACACCCAGCCGCATCTCTAGCATACTCCAGCACGAAACTTGCAGCGCAGCAGCATCTCCGCAGTGTCGTCACGCGCCTGCTGCCCAAAGTCTTGCCACCCAGTATGATTACCAGTCCTGCTGTCACTGTCTTAATCAAAGAAATTGTTTCTTGCGCAGTACTTTCTCCCGTTATGCAAATGCTTGGTGATCCGGATGTGTGGAACCAGCTCCTGGAGGCATACGTAAGGCAACTTCTGCATGACACATAAATTCCTGCTGAAAGATCTAGGGACGCACAGTGCTCCAAGACCGCAAGACGGTTCGCAGATTGCGTGCTGCTCTCGATGAACATGCACCGCCTTCCCCGAAGCCAAAGAAAGATGGGGGCCTTGCTAAACTCGCTCCAAATGATAGTGAGCGCAGATTCGAGAAGTTTATACGATCCATTCGGCGGTGCAACTCTCTAGCAGATGCTCGGCGCTTTCGCAGCGAAATAACGAGTCAATTCAGTAAGCCGGGCGCCGCAGGAGCTCAAGACCCTGTTTATCTTCGCCGTCTTGAGACTGGGAAACGTATCCTGGATCAGAGGATTGCCCAGCTGAGCGCTGGAGGCACTAGTAAACCCGCCCTGTCGGTGCAAACCCGACCTGGATCTTCACGCTCTACGTCTCGTATTGAAGATGCCTCGCTAAGACAAGTTCTGTACGATTCCTCGGGGTTATCCTACTTCATGGAGTACATGGATCGCATGGGTCTTATGCGCCTTGTCCAATTCTGGATCGTGGTTGATGGATTTCGAAATCCTCTAGAAGCAGACACCGACGAGCCAGAAGACTATTTGACAGCAGCACCCTCATGGACAGACTCAGAGCGTGCGGATCTTATGCAGATCAATGAGGGTTACCTGGTGAAGCCTGAGCTCAAGGTGTCCGACGATGCACGTCGTGCCGTCAAGGAGTTTCTCAAAGCCGGAAGCAATGCAAGTCCGGTTCAATACCACGCAGCGCGGCGCGCTGTCCTGCACGCGCAGAGCGCGGTCTACGAAGAGCTGACGGAACGCTACTTCCCGAATTTCAAAGTATCTGACCTGTACCACAAATGGCTTGCGTCCGAACAAGCGTCCGTAGCACCGAGGAGTATAGCGGTTAGCAGAGACGAGTCACCATCTTCACGTAGATTTGCTGCGGCTCTACGACCTGCACCACTCAAGCACGCGACTTCCACGGGGCTGCGAACTGCTGCGCCCGATCTCCGGAGGGCTGTCGCGTCTTCTTCGGATCTCCGCAACACTACAAGGGCTGTCGACAATGGTGCACCATCCCGACGCTCGATGGACGACTCTGCAGCACGAAAGCCACTCTTCGACGATGATGATGATGATGACCCTCTTGCGCAGTCGACGCAAAGTTTACAGAGCGTGGATTCCGAGCCAGAGCAACACCAATTCAACAGCGACGATCCTCGCATTGTAGATGCAATGCAAGAGGCATTGAATGACATCATGGGTGATGACCCTGACAAAACTTCACTGTTCTCTGATCCGAGCGTAAGATCGCCAGAAGATTACAGTCACGCGCGAGGGTCACTCGAACTGCCAAGACCCATATCTCCAGGCTCGGAGAGTAGCAGGGAAAAGCCGAGCATAGCCTCTCTTGGCCTACTTGGTACGCCAAACAGAAGAAGCGGAGTGTTCTCAGATGACCTCTTTGGCGGCGATGAGGAGAAGTTCCTTGAGGATGAGTACGATACCGACGTTGATGACAAAGACAAAGAAGATGGAATCCACGAGGCAGCCCCTGGAGATCTTGGTTTAGCCGAGGCGGTCGACGCCCTGACAGCAGAGATTGAGAGACTGGTAACTCAGGAGTTGATAGTCGACTCGTTGACAAAGAAGGCAGAGCTGACCAACAACTCCGCTGAGTTGAGAATCCTTCGGAAATCAAAGGCAAGCTTGCAAAGAGAAATTCACAGGAAAGAGCTACAGAAGCAGCAATACATCATCCAAGAAAGCGACAACAGTCTGTATGGCCGCGCCACTGTATCGATCCAGTCAATCATGGTTGCCACCGAAGATGATGGCCGAGAATACGCTTTGTGTAAGTAGAGTAAGCAGATCCGCGTGTTCTGGCTGACATTTGCCGAGACGTGATCGAGGTCCGGCGTCAGGCCGGCGATCAGATGCCGGCGGCGGCTTGGGTTGTCACAAGAAGATACAGCGAGTTTCATGAGCTCAACAAGCGGCTGCGGTCACGGTATCCCATGATCCGCAACCTCGACTTCCCTCGTCGACAAATGGTCCTCAAATTGCAGAAGGATTTCTTACAGAAGCGCCGTGTGGCTTTGGAGCGGTACTTAAGAGTAAGCCAATCTCCCAGAATATCACATCAAGACTGACAGCCAATCCCACAAGGAACTCCTGCTCGTTCCCGCTGTCTGCCGCAGCCGCGAACTCCGGGCTTTTCTCTCCCAACAAGCCATCTCATCCGCTTCGCCATCTTCCCAAACCGCAGAGACCCGCGATCTCGTGACGCGCATCTACAACTCCGTTACCGACGGTATGGAAGACTTCCTCGGCAACGTTCCTGTCCTTGACCAGCTCTCAATCGCCGGCCAGAATCTCATCTCCGCCGCCACTACCCAGCTGGCCGCCACGAACGGCGGCATGGGCTCTACGATGCCTACAGCGGCGCTTTCCAACGATCCGGCCACCGCCGCGGAAGCGGAGAAGGAGCTCAGAGCCTTCGAGTCAAGGGAGGTGGAACCGTTTGTCAAGCCTATCTGCGACCTCTTTCTTGAGGTGTTCGAGCTCAACAAAGACTCCAATTGGCTCCGCGGCCGCGCTGTTGTGGTCGTGCTGCACCAGCTCCTTGGCGGGACGATTGAGCGGAAAGTGAGGGAAAATGCGAAGGCTTTCTCGCAGGAAGAGAACGTGGTCAAGTATATCGATCTAATCAAGGAGACGCTGTGGCCCGGCGGAAAGATAAAGCAGCCAGGCGCTCCAAGGTCGAGCGCCGAGAAGGATCGGAGCCGGAGGGAGGCAGGATTGTTGCTTGCGACGCTCGTGCCGGAGTTGGCGGGGAGTGTGGTTGGGAGACAGAATGCCCAAGCGGCGAGTAGACGGATCTTGGCTACGGCTAATAATGAGAGGTTGAAGTAAGTGCCGCTCTTCGTAGTTTTCAAACACAAAGCGGATAGAACGCTGACTCGAGCCTTGTAGTACCCACCTGGCGTTTACGCTGTTAGACGAGGTTGTCAAGATATTGTTCGAGGAAAGGTAGTAGGCAGAGGCGGTCGTTTGCATACCACTTGTGGTGCATCACAGATGCGATGGAACGCAGCAGGCTCTTGTATTACTGCAAGAAAGCCACTATTACGATTGTCACAACACCTCCAATACAGGCTCACTAGTGCCTGGGCTACTGCAAATACGAGTTTGACACGTCTGTTGGAGATTCTGCCTGCCACTGCGGCTCAGCCTACAACGGATCTTCCTCGCTAGAAGACACTACGGCTTCACGTAAGTCAAAAAGCGGCTAAGCGGGCAGCCGTCCGATGAATATGAATCATCGCCCTTACGACCTACCTCGGCGAATGTTGCTCAGATAAAATGGCTTGGTCAGCTCTCTGGCAGCACAGATCACAAATTCCAACTTTATACAGGTACACTGCTATGATATTAGCAGTGGGCGCTTCCGCAACGTAATCGCGGCGAACGCATGCTTCGTCAACATTCACTACTCCTCCAGACTCTTACCAACACGCCGACGCAGCCAGCCCAGTCGTAGCTGAAAAGCTGAAGAAGCCGGCGTCGAGGATCCTAGTCACTAGGCTTCAGGGAAGTGCTCTGTTCTCTGTTCCATGTGCCAGCGTGCTATATGCGAAATATCTCAAAGCGCAATAGTACGGCCACATTTTTGCGTCGCAGTATTCGATATATACCTCCTGTCAGACCTTACCTATCCAAAACAAACGCTTCACAAGACTCGATTTGCCTACATGTACCCTCACCCGTGGCGCGTCTACAGCGTCGTCAAGCGGTACCGTCATCGTCGACTCGTGCCTCTCCGGACCTTTCTCAATCGCTGCTGCTGCTGCCTCCTCCTCCATCTGTCCGATCTTCCACGCTCGAACCAACCAGAGTAGAGCCGCAGCACCAACATATGTGAAACCCGTGAAGAGCTGCGCGCCCAGGTATTTGCCGCCCGCACCTTTGACCATTTCCAGTGCCATCGCTTCTGAGACTGTCCCTCTGTCAGTAAAGCTCTCTCGGCCAAATCCCCGGTCGGATCACACAGGGGAACAACTCACAAGTAGTCGGCAGCACCAGTACTATCCACACAATACTCAAGGCGCTCGGCAACTCCACTAGCCCGACGACCTCCGTCGTGACCGGCGCAGCAACCGCCCAAAACGTCCCAGCCACGGTCCCTCCGATCAGAGCAAAGAAAATCAAAACACCATAACCCGTGGCGAACGTCCAGATAAACAGCGAAAACAGCCCCGAAAGCAACGTCATCACCACCGCCATGTTGATCCTGCCCAACGTGTCGCTGTAATACCCAATCGGCGGCCTCCCAAGCATCTGTCCGAGATTCAGGATCGCGCCAACCACCGAGCCCTGCTGCGCTGTCAAGCCGACGCTGTCGGCGTAGTTGGGGAGCGAGAAGAGCAGCACGATATATCCCAGCATGCTCAAGAACCCAAAACCCAGCAACAGGAGAAACTCCCCACGGCGAAACAGCCTGTAGTCAAACCCGCGCTGGCTCGAGCCAACGAGCTTGTTCCTGTCCCTCACCAACAGCGCACACACCAGGTTAACCACAAACGCCACAATCCCCAGGATGCGAAACGCCCACGCCAGCCCAATCCGCTCAATCATCGCATTCGTAGCAAGGCTGTACACCAGCCCGCCAAGGCCCGACCCAGCGGCCGAAATCCCGTTCGCAAAACTCCGCCGCGCGCTGAACCACTGCGGAACGATGCCCACAGAGCCGACGAACAGGAAACCCATGCCCCAGCCGAAGCAGACGCCTTGGCTCAGGAAGAGGTGCCAGATGCGGGTTGCGAAGGAGGCGCCGATCAGGGAGAGGGTTTCGAGGAAGACGCCGACGAGGAGGGTCGTGCGCGTGCCGTAGATGCGGGTTAGGATCGTCGCGAGGGGCGAGACGAAGAGGGCTTGGGAGATTGAGAGGCCGCCGACGAAGGCGAAGTCGAGGGGAGTGGCGCCGGGGAAGGTGGAGGTGGAGAGGTAGTGGGCGAGAAAGACGCCGTAGGACTGGTAGTGGTGGAGAGGTGTGTTAGTTGGAGGGCGTGAAGTGTGCTCTGGGGGTGTTTACGCTGTTTAGACCCCAGGTGTGCGCGTTGATGGTGAAGGTGCAGGCGCAGCACACCCAGCCGTAGCCGCCGTCAGGGGGCACATCCACTGGCCTCGTTGCTGGCGGGATCTGCTCTTCATCGTTTGTTGTCTTCTCAGATCTGTCTAACGATTGTTGCGAAGGAGGAAGCGGGCTTAGTATGTCATCCCGAGCGCCTCGCGGTATCTGATCCGTCATTAGGTGTCAATGACAAGCCTGGACAGTATATTGCTCGAGTTGACAGAGTCTCAAAATCGCTCACAGCCGAACAAGACTGAACAAGCAATTGCCAACGGTCCATAGCTGGAGAGTGGATTGCTGACGGAGATGACGGGGGGCGCTGTGGAGAAAAACAGTGGGTGCCGTGCTGCCGCGCCGAGGTGATGCGGGGGGAAGATCTGCTTTACGCTTATCCCCGGATCCACCATTTACAAAACGACCGCTTTTCTCTCCGGCATTGAAACGCGGAACTGTTTCCTGGATGCCATCGAGATAGGCCAGGTCTTCAAAGACTGAGAACGCTGCCGTGTTCCTCACGGGAAGGACTGCTGTACTCGTAGACACTTCAAACATGGTCTCTCGAAGCGTCGCTCTAACTAGGGCGGCCAGAAGATGCCAGGATGCAACGTAGCGACGCTCAAAAGGCGATCGCAAAGATACTGAGACATGCCAGATGACGCGGTGGCACCCAAATTGCTATTCTCGTCATGCGGCTGAGGCCGAAGCTGGGGTCCACGAGTGGGCTGAAAAGAACGTTGCCGCACATCTCGAGCGATCTGAGAGCACAGAGCGGCAAGCTTCTTTTTTATCGGCCACACTACGGCTGTTGCACTGTAAACACACCTACTCAAGTCTAGATCAGAAGAACCTCAATGTCACTTTCACTGTCACTTGTATCGCACGAGAGACGAGCCTCGTTCCCAGTAAGCCTACGTGTTTGGCGTTTGCTTCTCTAATACACAGTCGCTACTTCAACGTCGTAACATCGATCGTTCTGCATGCATCTTCCAGCCTTGTAACATAGCAACGGCAACCGCCTGCATTCATTCCATCATGCTGCACAAAACTACAAGCAGAGACCAAACCACCAACAACCTTGGACCGACGTTCATGTCGCCGAAGCAGATGGGTCAGTAAACCCTCCCTCTCTGCCTCCGCATGCCCTCATACTCACCACGCCGTACAGGAGACTACCTGACCGACCTCCGATCGAACCGCATCGCGAGACCCAATGGCTCCCGTCCCCTCCCATCTCGCTCCACACCGAGCATGAGAAACAGCTCTCCTTTTGTACCGCAGTCTGTAGCACCCAGACCAAGCGTGGAGTCGACGCGGCCCGAACCGCCTCGATGCGCAAGTGCACAATCTCTTCGCAGGACGGAGTCCAGCAGCCCGGAATTCCCTCTAGAGAACCATGATAGAGGCCGTCCACTGGTGCAGGCACCAATCTTGAGCCCTACTGCAGGAAGCTCGACAACCTCACGATCTCCCAGTATAGGGTACCAGGAAAACGGACAGCGGTGGATGGAGCGTCAGGAGGCTCAGTCGTTGAGGAAAGCACTGGAAGATATGGACGTTCAAGAAGAGCAGCATTTGTACTCCGCGGCACAGGAGGAAGCTTCAGAGCTTGTATGGAAGCATCAAAATCCCAACGCGCCGTACCGGAGCCCTGATGCTCCCTACGACTACAAGGAGCATCTGCGTAAGGGCAGTCACGCCAAGGTACAAAGCATAGGGAGAGGGTCATTGGATTTGCATCGGGGCGACTCGTTCACCAGAGACTCGACCTCCGGAGCTTCGGCGTCTGGAGGAGGTGATGAAAATAACTTGTCGAGCACTCGTGTTTCAAGCGACTCGTCTATGAAGGTGCCGGAGAGCCCAGAAAACCGACAAGAGGAAGAAACCAAAGCGGACAGCGTGGTTCCAAAGGGCATTCCTGAGTCTAATATTGTCCTCCCAAATGCGCCTATACCTGCTATATCTGAACTACCATCAGGTCGGCGGCGTGGTAGTGGCTCTAAAAGGAAAGTTAGCGGTAGTCTCTTCCAGAATCCGGAGGACCAAATCTACGAGGAACCTGAGGAATCGACACCAAAACCCACCGTACCGAAAGTACCAACCGCTGCACCACCTCGTGGCCGCCGCAACCCCTTCGCAAGAGTTCAATTTGCGAGAGAGAACGTTGCGAGATCAAACACGGAGCCCTTGTTGACGGGCAAGAAGTTTGACAGATTTGAGATTCAGAGAAATCCACCTTCCCAGTCGCGCAATCCAGCTTACACGTCTAACACGAACTCTGCGACACAACCAAGGTTATCTAGTGACGTTGAGAACGCAGGTAGCGACGAGGAAGGAGTCAAAATGAAAGATGGCAAGGAGATCCGAGGCGACGATATCCGAGCTGCGACCAGCATGAAGCTAAAAGACCGGAGTCCGAAGCTTCCAACACCAACCGTTGTCAGCGATAGTCCTGGACGGCCTATCGTCAGCTTTCAGAATGGCTGGAAGCCGAAGGAGGTGGAGCTCAAACAAGAAGAAACGCGGGCTCTGCCGGCCGCTCCAAAGATCACCCATACCTTGCCGGACCCTGTAAAAAAGCCCGGTATACCGACTATCAACCTCCCTGACGAACCATGCAACGCTAGCAGAAAGTCGGAGCGTTCGACCAACCCTCCGGCCATCTCAGTCTCCCCAGCGCCCCCGATCCCCTCAATAAGCGTATCCTCCACGCCCCCGATCCCAACAATCAACCTCCCAGACGAGGACTCGCCACCAGTCTCCAGCATCTCCGTCTCTGCCTGTCCCTCCATCCCAACCATCAACATCCCAGACGCCCCCTCAATAGCCATCTCCGCGCCCCTCCCCTTCGTCCCCACGCCTAGTTCATCCGCTCCGACTCGACCGCTCCCACAGCCCAAGACCCACGGCCGGCCGCACCCCCGCCACGCAGCCACGTCACCCCCATCAACGCAGCCCCACTGGACGCCCTCACTCCGTGGCGCTCGCATCGTCGCGCTCTGCACGAACTGCGCGCTCCCCATTGCCGGCCGCGTCGTCAGCGCTGCTGGTGCACGGTTTCACCCGGAATGCTTTACGTGCCATCATTGCGGGGAGGGGCTGGAGTGTGTGGCGTTCTATCCGGAACCGGAGCATCTGAGGGGGGAGAGGGTGGAGAGGATTCGGCGGCGGATAGTGGGCGACGAGGTAGAAGAGAGGGAAGCGGGGATGGGGGAGGAAGAGGATGGAGACGAAGGACTGCGGTTTTATTGCCATCTGGACTTTCACGAGTTCTTTAGCCCGAGATGCAAGAGCTGTAAGACGCCGATTGAGGGAGAGGTCGTGTTAGCTTGTGGGGCGGAGTGGCATGTTGGGCACTTTTTTTGCGCGCAGTGTGGGGATGTGAGTAGAGATTCTCCCCTTCTCCCTTTTGCGGCTATGCAAAAGTAGTGGAGGAAGCTTTAGCTGACACTCGAGAACAGCCCTTCGACAGCTCAACCCCCTTTGTGGAAAAGGATGGCTATGCATGGTGCGTCAACTGCCACACGAACCGGTTCTCGACAAAGTGCAAGAAGTGCAGGAAGCCGGTCACAGATACGGTGGTCAAGGCGTTGGGCGTGGAGTGGCACACGGGGTGTTTTTGTTGCGTGGTGAGTCCCCTCCTTTCCCTGACCATTACCGACTGCTTCGCTAGAGGACGGGGGGGATGAAACTGGTGCAGAGACGGTCGCTAATTCGAGGTACGTTAGGAATGCGCCGGACCTTTTGACGATGGGCGGTACTTCCTCAGGAGCGGAAGTCAAGACCCGGTTTGTGTCAAGTGTGAGGAGCGGCGGTTGAAGGCGTGATCGTAGCAATCGTACGCTCGGGACCAATATCATACGCTGTAGACGGCAATCTACCTACACTCGCCGTAAATCCAGCCGCGGGAGGCTTCGTGCTACTCAAGCTGGAGTTCAGCAGCCGCAAAATGCCCAGCGATAGAGGGCCTCAAGGTTCTGGTTGTTAAGAGCGCCGTTGTAATCGTTGCTGAACCGACATCAACATGGATCTATGCATTAGACGGTTGGGAACTTGGTTTAGACAATCCTAGAGACGGGTACACTCTGAATGACAAAGTTGTTCATCATGGGGAACATGTTGGCTGTGATCATTGTTAAAAATACCGATGAGAAAGTCTATGAAAGCAGGGCCATGGACTCGCAAGTCCTTGAGATGCGGTTAAAACGCGGTTAAGGTTGCTCTACTAGGAGGGAAGCGAATGCAGGCATTTTCGCACTTTTTCTCTGGTGTTGTTTTTTTTGCTTATTAACTATTAGATTAAGCGAGACTTGCAAAGTTCCACTGGCGCAATGGTAGCGCGCCAGACTTCTATTTCGGAAAGGGCATCTGGAGGCTGTGGGTTCGGTAAGTCTAGAGTTCGATCTCGAGTCACAGCAATGCAGCTCTAACATCTATTCAGAGCCCCACGTGGAATGGTTCATTATTTTTGTATTGATCTACTTTTTGAATAGCAACCGGCGGAGAGCACGTTCGACGTCGATTCGGGGCTGATGGTGGTTTCGCAGTCGCGCAGATCCCGCCGATCCAGACCCTGACGCAGCGGGGCTGAGCGAGCAAGGGCCACCTAAAAAGAGTTTTGCCGTTTCTCTGCTAGGTACTAGACTGGACTCATGATCTTGTTAATCGTAGAGCAACCAGACCGATTTCATGGGACAAAGAGTATAGAACGTTTAGCAGCTCAGCTTTCCAATGCACCGATCACATGATGTGTTTTTGATCCGTGAACTATCCTTTTGGCTGTCCACCTCCGGGATGATGCGGGGATTCCAATGCGGCAACGGACATTTTAGATGACCCTTGGAGGCTACACGTGCGCCACAGGGCTAAAGTTCGCCACTCAACCTCCATCATTGCCCTCCGCCCTCACCCACCATCCTCTCCTCCGCACTCGCGGCATCACTCTCAACATGACGGGCCCCGCGCGCCACCTCCACAAGATGGTGGCCAAGAACGTGAAGTTGTTCAGGTATGCATCCATATCCTCAGTCCGCTGCTGAAGACCGGCTCTCACGATGACTTAGGCTTGCCTGGCAGAAGACTTCGCGCTTGATTCAGAACAAGCTACCATCATCACTACGACCGACTCAGGCTGAGCTCCAGCCCGTTTACGCTCGCAACGCCCCCAAACACCCGCTCCACCGTATCGCCTATCTCAAGCAGAGCAAAGGCCGTTGGTATACCACCCACAGCACGATCAATGCCGCCGTCCGTCGCTATACCAGCGCAGCTGCCAAAGCGGCCAAATATGACCGATCGTCTTTCCCCAAATCGACGATTGGCAATGCCGTCAACAGCCTTAGTGGTCGGGCGCCGTTCGCTACAACGCTCCGACCTAACCTTACCGGAGGCACCTTGAACCGGACAGCTGGCGGCTACGCCCTCGGCTCCGGCCGAGTTGGCGGGGCCAGATACTTCTCCCACACGCCTGCTGCACCAGCACAGGTCGTACACAATGTCTCACAAGCCGTGCGTGCCTTCCTGATCTCTGGTCAGAAGGCGCAATTCGACGGCGTCAACCCGCACACCGGCGAGAAGCGCTACAAGTCCGTAACTGCACTGCAAAAGGAGGTCGGACGGAAGATGAATTCTCTGCCAAAGGCCACACCCGGCTCATTCATCGAGTTCAACATCAACCCTACCATCACGGCCCTGACGCCGCTGACCTCCGTGGCTGGCTACAAGCACGTTGCGCAGGAGTCTTTGAACTCCGAAGGTCTCCTTGACGTTCTGTCAATCGACTTCTCGCGGTCTCTGAAGGAGCTTGCGGCTATCCTCAACGACCTTAAGCGCCTCTCCGATCTTGGCGACCTACCGATAACTTACCTCGCGTCGTCGCTACGCGTGCACTTCCCTGGCTGCGACGCAGATACTGTGGAGCGGCTCTGCGATGAGCTGGGTGTCCGCCGAGGCCTTGTCCGCCAGGACGAAGACTTCGACGCCTTCGCCGGCACGGAGATTGCGCTGCTCTTCCCGTTCGCGCCAAGCAAGACGGTGTCGGAGTGCGAGTTCTTCGAGAAGCCAGTCGAGGGACGCATCATACAACACGAGCGCATCGACTGGCGGAACATGCTGTCCCCGGAGGACGAGTCTGTTGCGTCGGCGGAGTACTCAACGCTTTCCGACGACGGGCTTGCCGTCGATGAGCTCTGCGAGGACAATCCGTGGATCTCGTCGCCGTCGGGATATGAGAGCGTGCGAAGTAGTGAGTTCGAGGAGTCGGTGCCGAGTCGGGAAGCGCAAGACTATCATAGCCCCTTGGAGTATCAGGGCTTCGAGGGCATTTATCGCTTCATTGAGCAGTGTGATGCTGCAAGGCGGTAGGTTTTGATACCCCGGTATAGGCGCTGCATTAGGCATAGAATGGGACATCTCTGCTCTTGGAAAATGGCGTTGTGTATTTAGGCTAAGGGTTCGGCGTGTTGGCATGGCTGGAGTCTGACAGAGGTCAGTACGGTTGGGTACGCCACAGGTCCAGATAGCTGCCATTCATTGATAACGACTATCGTCAGCTTGAAATCAAAGACATTCACAACCCTTCAAAGATTCTGCTTACCGATCTTGTGAAATCCCAAACACACGGATTGAACTGAGGTACTAATCGTATATATAGCTACTCGTGGATACCCTCACGCAAGCAGGTAAGGAGGCGATGGTAAAATAAAAATTGCATAAGAACAAGCAGCTAAATGTCTTTCTGTATCTCTATTTCTCTAGTGGTACGATACAGCCTCTTCTCTAGCTCCAGTATCTTAACACGGTCAAGCCTATCTTACCGTAAAAGCAAACATCTTCAAATGTGCAAAAATGAAGCGCCTAAACTCGCCGACCCCTTCTTCCCAAGCTCTTTTGCATCCCGAAACACATGCCGGCCGTTCCAGTCATTCTCGTTGCGCCCCAAGACGACAGTGCCGAGTCGAATCCATGTTTACGCCATACTCAAAGAAGCCCAGCTTTCGCCCGCAAACCCCAAACTTGCGCTCTCACTGAAAGAAAACGCATCCATCGTCGCATCCAAATTCAAGAGGGTGTCAAAATCCCTCTCGTCGAAGTTATCCGTCGCCATGAGCTCAAGTCCTGGGAGAAGCGCGTCGTCATGCAGCTGCTGTTGCGACTCCACGTGCTCCTGCTCGCTCCCATCGTGGTGGTCGCTCTCCGGCGGTGTGCTCGCCAGAAACGTCTCCAGCCTCCGCGCGACCTCCTCGTCCGTGACCAGAATCGCGCCATCTAGAGCCGCAGCTTCCTCGGGCGGCGGCGTAAGCGTGCGCGAGATGTTGTTGCCCAGCTGCGCGAGATCGAGTCTGCGGCCCGCATCCACGAGGTCCTCGACAGTGGTCACGTGCTCCGGCTTGCTCAGGGCGTTCAGGTTGGTGCCACCGATCGGGTTCGGGAACGGCGAGATGTGGATCCCAGCCTTACGGATCGCGGCCTCGAGGAAGGCGGTCGAGTAGTCGGCTGCGGCGTACAAGTCGCGTAACTTTCCCATCACCTGCATGCATTGGCAGAATCCTCGGAGACTGGAGCGGCGCGTCTCTTCGTCTGGCGCCTTGATGTCTAGGAGGTGGATAATGATGGCGGGAAGTAGCACTGTTACGCCGGTCGTGGGGAGGTAGCGGACGAGGTTGCGGGAGTCAAGGGACTGCGCGATGCTGGTGATTGCGGCGGCTGCTCGTCGGACTTTTCGACGGGACACATCGAGCAGATCGACGTTGTCATCGCTGCTTCCAGGCGAGTGTGAGGGTGTAGAGGGAAGGACCTGTGGACGGTGCAGCGCGGAGAGGGTGGTATAGAACACCATATGTAGGAGGGACCGATGCAGATCTATGGGGTCGTTGCCGCTGGGCTCGTCTCTATACCTAACCTCCTTCGGTAGCTTGTCTAACCACTTCTGCAGCTCATCGTCGCAGGCCTGGACGTCGCACGTCTCGGCATCTAGTTTCTTCGGCAACAACATCATAGTCGTCCTGTCATTTAGTAGTCCTTGGTTGTTGTTCAGTACGCAGTATTGCTTTGACAGGATCTGGCTGATGCATAAACATAGCTTGGCCTTTTCGATGCACATGACGGCCAGTTCTCGCTGCATATTGACGTCCCTCGCAATCGTACAGCTGGCGGGAACACACGAACTTGACTCGGAAACAGGTCCAAACGAAAAGTCATCGAGAGTAAGCATGGGCACGTCGAAATCTTCCGGTTTTATCCGTGTAGGCCTCCGCATGCCTAGGGCAATCAGTCGATCTCGCATATATGTGGACCACCAGATTCTCTTCCACAGCCTGGTGCGCTTGCCGTCCATATTGGAATTCTCCGGGTTACGGTGGAGACCAATAGTATGTGCTACAGACGTGGCAACGCCCATCCAATGCCATGTGTCTTTCTGGTCATCTGGCGTCTCGTAGTAATATGTTAAAAGTAGCAAGGCCTGAACAAGTGATATCCGGTCGGATTCATAATCAAAATCGTACAACAGCTGCACAACATTAGTAATGCGCACCGAGGTACTAGACATGGCCCTGAACGAGGACCTGGTCTTTGTGACTTTGGGTCACGTGACCTGTGTGTAGGGGTGGTCGACTTACCCTTGTCTTCAAGAAAAAGTCCTTTCGAGCTTCTTTCCGAGTAAGATATCCGGCCTTTCGCAGATGGCGCATGTCGATGAAAGCAGATCCAGCGAACATGACCGACTGGAAAAGGATCAAGCTCAGCTTCCCGTCACTGCCATCCCCCTTATCTACAATCTCGATAAATTCATGCAAATCCAGCAACGGCATGTACGGATGCACAAACTCGATATAAGCCCGGAGGAGCTCGTTGCGGAGGGCATTGTTCGGAATCGTCAAGGCGCCTTTCTTCTCCAGATAGGTGATCTCATCAGATCCGATGCGGGCTGGTAGGGGTTTGATGTAGAGCGGCAGAGAGGCAGCCGGCGTCTGCTTCGGCACAATAGACGGAAGGTAAGTTCGCCGGGTTGCGGCGGAGATCGGACTGTATCCCAGAACGGACACCGACCCAGATTCGTGCGTGCTTGTGGACCACTTCCGCTGAGGGTCCTGCAGATTGTGGCTAAGATGGCGATTGTGCGTTTGGTCTGCACCAGCTATAAGCGGACAACTCCAGTAAAGCAGCAAGTTCGTGCTTACAGATGGAATGCGGAACATGCTCTTCATGCCAGGAATCAACGTCACGTGATAATCGGGCTGTTGCCAAGGAGGGAATCCCGTCAAGAGCAGCCCTCGAGACTAGCTTGCGGCTGCTGCTATTGCTGCCGGTGTTAACGCCAGCACTCGCTGTCGAGGCGTTTGGGACCGTCTGGTTTTCGTCGTCCTTCGTCCACTTCCTGCAGGGCGTCAGCAATTGATGCAGGTCAAGAACCGGAGAAGATAATATCCGTCGATAGCGCGCGTGTCGGGTTGGCGAACGATAGCAGAGCTCCGTCTTTTGCCGCATCAACGGCGGACAACCGGATGGATACGGACCATGAAGTTACTGACTTTTTGCGCCGGCTTTCAGAGACGATGCAATCCACCTCGTCCAGTCTGCAATTCGTACACGGCGCGCCATGCTCTGTCACATTGCAACGGACTTTGCGTGATCTGCAGCATTGGCATGCTTTCGAAGCTCTCCGCTTGACGGGTCTGCCAGTCGCGTGTCCATCGACGCCGGCAGCAGAAGCCTTGCGCTTCTGCTGGTTCTGTTGTTGTTGCTGTTGTTGTTGTGGTCGTTCCGCTGGATCGGGGGAGGAGGCCGAGCAGTCCGACATGGCGACGCGTGTGAGGGACGTCCGTGGATGGGCTCACGATGCAAAGACGAGTAAACCAACTGACAGCATTGAACCCCAAAGTCCCCTTGGAGGGAATGCAGGGCGATTATGTATTCAGCCATGTGGAGAGGCGCACCAGACCCTGGCCTGTGTCGACGGCCACTAAGGTTCAATGCTCGATGGAGGGCTAGCTCCACCATGAACTCCGGGGGTGAAAGCTGTGTTGCGGACTGCATGACATCGTCTCCAGCGACGCAATGATCACCCCGATTCCGGCATTGTCCGCGCCTGTGCTCCCTCAGTCCGCCGTCGCACGGAGAACTGATTGCTGAGAACAGCACTGCCCAAACGTCAATTCGAATGCACACCTGGGTAACCTTTGGAGCACATCCTACTCCTACGCAACAGGCAAGTCCTGGTCGAAGGAAGCATTGATCAGCAGCCCTAGCAACACGCGTTATGACGGACGATGGTAAAGACCCAAGCATCGCGCGGTTGCAAATCGGCCAGCGGCTTTTTCAAGCCTGCAGCAAGCCTTCGAAACGCCTTCTGAACAGGCGGATAACGGTTTCCATTCCTTTTCGGGAAATCCGGCAGTCACGCCAAGCGTGTTCGACAGCCGAAGCGTGGTGCCGCTACCCGACGGTCGACGTCGTGTTTTAAACAGCTGTCTCAGCACTTGAGCCGTCACGACGAACGCGCGCAACGCAGGTCGAATCCCAGCCCGCGCGCATCTTCAGCTTGGCTGCGACCGGAGGCTCTTCAGACGCCCCGCCGCGCAACCTGCTCGCGAGCGGACCAGAGGAACGGTCGTTCTAGGTCGGCGATCTTTGTGGGGCATACCCAAGTCCTCGATAAAGCCGAGCGGTCTCCGCTGTTCTCCCCGCCTCCAAGAGCGCCCCCATAACTAATCACCGCCCCCCCAGGCGCAGCTCATGCCGATCTAGAGAAAATTGAGGTAGCCATGCTTTGCGGAGAGCGCTAGTCAAGAAAGTCCAGCGGCTGGCACCTCGGCCTGGATTTTGCTGCCACATTGGCGCTGGTGTCGGAAAAAACCGCAAGGTCGATGTTGCTCAGCTTCTATCCTGCGTTGCAACACCAGTCGATGATCGAGCAACAGTGATCATTGCTTAGCAGGACTCCAATCCATGGGAAGAACCCTTTGACCTTTTCAATATCGCAGCTGTGGTTACATCAAAGGCGTTTCGGCCCAGGAACAACTTCCGATCCTGGGGGTCCCGGTCAATTGGTAATCCTCCTCAAATTTTCCCCATCTTCTGCATCCCACGTCTTGGTTCGCACTAGCGCAGGGTGATTCCCATAGCGCGTGTGGATGGGAATGGAGAACAAGCCTGTAAGCGTACCGTCTAAAGTGCGCGACGCAAGCCTGAGGCGCAAACCTATGTCATCAAAAATCGATAGGTTATACCAGCATGCGCCAAAACACCTCAAGTTGCTGGAACGCACTCACGATGCCGAAAGGTTTAGAACAACCAATCGAAAAGAGCCGCTAACAGGGGTTTCTAACCATTCAGATCGTCTCCTTAGGCCTTAAGCGAGGACTTTTGGAGCTTCAACTTTCGAAGTTGTCAAGACCCCTTCGGAAGACTGGCATCTCCAGCTCTGACTGGTCGATATACCGTACTAGCGCCTCTGTTTTGTTGGTTGTTCTAAACTTTTCGGCATCGTGTTTAAGTGTGTGCCAGCTGCGGGGTGCAAGAGCCAAACAGCAAACCTCAAAGAGCGAAGCGCGTGACGCGCAGCTTTCATACTGATCTTTCTTTTGCTGTCAGATCTGAGTTGATCTCGTGCGTCACCAATGCTAGGTATTTTCAACTCTAAGACAACAATCTCGCTTCGATACAGCTGCACGAAACTGAACAATCGGGAGTGGAGCCTTGTGACTTGGGGCTGGATACTTGCCACGCTTTATCTCTTGGGCATCTTCACAGGGTTCAGTCTCGCTCGATCAGTGTCCCCTTGCGATAGAGAGCATCCACCACCGACACTCTTCTCGAAATACCTCCAACTGCGTTTATGCGGAAAGCCTCCAGCAGAAACCATTTCAGGCAACTCCGAAGCCGTCACGTGACCAAGTATCTCCTGTCAAAGCGTTTGAATTCCGTTGCGCCTAAAGCTTCGACGAGCCTCTTGGACGCTCCAGCATCTTCGTCTTGTTCTTGAAATTCTTCACGAGTTGGCGTATCGCGAGGTCGAGCATCACATCTTCCGACCCGCCGGGTACCCTGAGCATATTAGCTTTTGCCGCAGATTGAAATCGAGTCGTCAGCCTCCTTACCTTACGCCGTTCACCTCTCTATAAATCTCTGCATCGTAAATTGTCAGCCAAAGGTCTCAGCCCTAACCTCGTGGACCTTGCAGCGAACAAATGGAAGATGTGACGGAAAACGGGGCGACCCACTCTCAGCAATCTCTCCCTGTCCAGTCCTCGTAAACCCATTCCCCCCAAATAACAGTACCGCGCACTGCGCGCATTCGCTGAGCACAATCCCCGCCTGTGCCTTCGCCAGCGCCGTCAACCCGCCCAACTCAACGTCCGCCTCCTCCTTCGTCAGCTTCGTCATCTGATATACAAACTGCTCGACCCAAGCCTGCAGGCTCTCAAGCAGCGCCCCAGCCTTCGCCAACCGATGCCTCACCACCGGCTGCTCGATCAGCGCCTTCCCAAACGCCTCCCTCTTCATAACATATTCGAAAGCAGCGGACAGCGCAACCCGAGCTTGTCGTGTCGCCCCGATTGCGATCTGCAGCCGCTCGTGATTGAAGTTGGTCATGATGTATCTCATACCCATACCCTCGACGCCGATCAGGTTTTCGACGGGGACGGCGACGTCATCGAGCTCGATGAAAGTCGTGCCGGCTGAGATCTGCCCACCGACTTTGAGACGGCGCATGCTCACGCCCGGATAGTTGAGGAGAGGCACGAGGAGGAGGGAGAGGCCGCTGGCGCCAAGGCCGCCAGTGCGGACCGCCATGGTGGCATAGTGGGACCAGATGCCGTTGGTTATCCTGGTTAGGGGATGAGTCTTGTGGGGTGTTTATGTGCAACTATTGCGAGATGCCTGCTTACCATTTTTTCGTCCCATTGACAATGTAGTGCTTCCCGTCTTCCGACTTGACGGCGGTAGTCTGGATATTTGCTACATCACTGCCGGCGCTCGGCTCCGTGATGGCGATACAGATCCGCTTCTCTCCACGCAGCAGCTCAGGCATGAATCGCTCCTGCAGCTGCTTGTTTCCAAACTTCAGCAGTGGAGGGATTCCAAACGAGACGCCGGTGGTTAGAGAGCCGGAGGGGCCAGCTAAGCCTGACCGTGCCATCTAATCCGGTCCTCTCGTCAGATAAAGCCGCCCTCCCCATCAGATCTTTGGGGCAAGGCATACCTCGTCCGTATAGATAGCGTTATGTGTATAGTCGAACTCCTCGACCTTGACCGCGCCCAGGATGTCCTGTATCCCCAGTTTCTTAAGCCACTCCACAGGCAGCGGCGCGGGCATTGACGGTATCAACATGTTCGCCGCTGTGAACTTCTCCCATACGTCCCCTGGCAGCGTCTCTTCGGTCTCCCAGGCCATGGCATTTTTAATTAGATTCTCCTCGATGAAGGCGCGACAGGCTTTTTGCCAGCGTCGGTGGCTGTCGGTGTAGTAGGGAGAAGGGAGGCCCATGAGCCATGGCGGGTCAGAGAGTGGGGGCTGTGTTTGGGAGGACATAGTGGAAGGGTATGATGGATCTCAGTATTGGAGAAGATGAGGACGGAGGAGGAGAAACGAAGGGTAGAAAGATCAAAACCACTCTATCATCGCCAGCTCAGAAGAAGCAGAACTAAAGCGTTCGTAAAGCAGAGCCCGAGGGATAGGTATCTTAGCTTGTTTGCGGGGCCCCGGCTACTGATACCCCGGATCTTGGCATCTCCAGACCTCGGTATCTGGACTTAAACATTGTAGCGTTCACCGTAACCATGTTCTAGGAATGGTTCCACGTGGGCACCCGCAGATCTGCTTTGATGAGCTTCGTTCGCGCGCTTGTGATGTGCGCAGCGCGAAGACCGTTCGGAACTGTAGGGTCATCTGCTGCCGGCGAGTCATATGCGGTGATAGAATGACTCGTGTGGCCGGTAGAGGAGCATCAAATCACCGGCAGCGACTTCAACAAAGCCTCCCATTCCAAAAGGGGGCGTAATGGAGAGCATGGTACATCACTGAGAGCAATGACCGTCAAGAACACTCGCGTGGTCAGTCCTGCGTACAACAGAGCTTGTACTCGAGTACAGAGTGCGAACATGAAGTTGAGGATTTCGGTCCCATAGAATATACCGACAGTCAACACGTGACTTGAGCAACCATCCCTCCAGTCAACCTCTATCCTCGCCTCATGCTTCCGGGCAGCTGGGGAGGTTTATGTACCGAAATCAGGAAACTATTGACAGTCAAGAGACGAAAACACCGCTTGGATATCTGCTAATCGCTGTGCGTTATAGGGAAGGAACCAGGCTGCAGCTTTAAAAGGATATATGAACCGGCCCAGGAAGTTGGATCCGCCCCAGGCTTCACTCTCTGTCCCTTCCAGCAGCTATCCTGATAGCTATCCTGATGCCTTGCTTCCTCAATATCCCGCGGGAGCTCCGCGATCAGATCTACGAACTCGTGCTCGACTCACCGAACGCCGCACCTTCATCGCCCAAATGCTACCAAGGGAACTCCGCCGAACTTCTCAAACACGAGACTCCATACATCGAACTAAGTTACTGCAACTACGCCCCCCGCGATCTCCCTCTCAGCGCCAGCCGCTCCCTCCTCCGCCTGAACCACCAAGTCCGCGATGAGACCCTCGCCATGCTATCCCACCTCACCACCACCCGCGGATCTCGCTATGTTCTCGACATCATGATCGAAGATGAAGTCCGGCTTTACCCAACCTGGCTCCTTATCCCGTGCAGTCCAGCCGTGAATCCGCACATCGACACCGTGTCAGTCACCTTCCGCATCTTCGGCGACATGCGCGAGCAGCGCTCAGGCTGGGAGATCAGCGACAGCGGGCCCGGCGAAACGGTCTGGGGCCTGCACGCGCTGATCCAACGCTTCCTGTCGTACGGGCCCGAATGGCGCGGTCGGTGTCGACTGGCCCAGTATCCGATCATCACGCTGGGGACGCTAGATCTCAACGTGCTCAGCCCACCAGCGCCGGTGGAGGGGGCATTCCGTGCAACTCTGAGGCGTCGGAGTGAGGACACCGGGACGCTGCATCCCAAAGCGGTAGTTAGCGCGATGAGGTTCGGCATGGATATCCTGCTTTCCAGGGCTGAGGAGGCGGAAGCGCATGGCAGGCTTCTGTACGAGAGAGTTCAGCGAGTCAGGCTTTCGCTCGATGGTAAGGTGCGAAAAGTTTGGGATCTGAGCGTTTTGGCTGCGATGGAGGTTACCGATCCGGACCGAGGAGTACGCCTACCAGACAATCAGGAGCCATCAGAGGGTCAAACGTGATGTGGTGGAAGTCGTTGGAAGACTTTCATACCAGCTGCCTCAGACCCACACGAAGCGTGTTTCTGCAGCGCTCCTTGGTCATCCGTCTGTCGTGACCGCTTCAGTAAGCAGGAATAGATATTCTACACGACTAACATTCTCAACCTGGCAAGAGAAATTTGGCTCGATATTTGTGACGAGGCGCGTAACTGAATATTTTTTCCAGCCCTCGCTGCACTGATTCACTTCTGACCTGATGAAGCATTCAAGCAGCTGTAGTTTCTGATCACTTCTGCCTTCAAACCGTTTCAATGCCAATAGCACTGCATACCCTTGTTCTCGTAGCTAAGAGCTCATCACTCACACTGCAACCGGTCCCGTACAAAGTAAGTTGATGACTCATTACCAGACAAAAGACTGTAGCAGTTACGATCAAGTTGAATGTCTTTTGGTAAGCCGCACAAGGCCATGAGAGATCACACCAAGACGAAGGAATACATTTCGCCAATCCATGATAGCTAGGTATGTACAAGAAGAGACCACTCAACAAAGCGCCAGATGGCACGCCAACCGACACCAGACCATGATCGGTATGATCCGCCTCAAAAGACAGGGAAGGCAGCCATGCGTACAAAACGAATGCAACGCTGTGGTTTGAAGACCTACCCCCTGCAAAAACCGAAGAGCTGAGGATCTAAAGACCCAAAAACCCCCACAAGCCTACGCCTACCAATGCCACATAATCATGACGCCGTAACAGCCGTGGTGCACATACCAATCTCTCACCCAGCCCCAAATACCAATCTCACACACTCACATCACCCGGATTCTCGTCGACGACCGAATCGTCCCATCCCGGCACCGGAATCGTGTGATTGACGTTCCTTGCCATGCCCTCCACCTCACCTCTCTCGATCCACTCCTGATCATTGAGGTCGCGCCAGATGCGCTGGAAGTACATGCGCAGACTGCGGAGGCCGCGGAGATAACCGCGGTCGACGCCGTTCGGATCCTTGGGTGGACAGGACATGTTTTCCGGCCAGGCATCCTCGGCTGTGATGCAGTTCGCAAAGTCGACAATCTTAAGCTTGATCTCGCCCCCATTCTTCTGGTCCTCGGTGGACTTGACGGACTTGTCCATGGAAGCCCGGCGGCTTGGCGCGGCGGATTTGACGTCGGGCTCGCCGTCGCCGCGGTCGTACAGCATGAGCAAGCTGCTGGCGTAGAAGCGGTAGCCCGGCAGGTTGCGAATGATGCGTTCGAGCTGGGAGATCTTTTCCAGAATCACGGGGATGTGCTTCGTTGCGGCCGAGTAGCCGACACCGTCGAAGAAGAAGCGCGTCAGGGCGTCCTGAAACTCCTTGCCGGCTTTGAGGTCGCGGCCGAAGTACTTGTCCTCGAAGATGTAGGATTGCGTCTTCACATTCCAGACCTGCATGCCGCAGACACGGACGCCAAGCTCCCGCGAGGTCGTCATCTGGCACTTGCGGCGCTGCGACCGCTGCTTCTTTTCGTCGGCCTCGACGCCGTATTGGCGGGTGCCCATCTTTAGGTCGAGCACGCAGGGTTTGGACATGCCAGCCGTGAGATCTTCAAGCAAGAGAAACTGCTGGACCCTTTCGTCGGATTGGGCTTGGGCTTGCCCTGCATCCGCAGGCTCTTCGGCGGGCGCTTCGGCATGGTCTGTCGGTGGTTTCGCAGAGGTCGGCGTCGGCCCGGTCCCGCTCGTGGCTTGATCAAACGCTTTGGCGTCGTCGGCTGCCACAGCCGTTGCCGGCCCGACAGACCCGCTACTCTGCCTGCTCAGTCCGCTTGAGTCTTCATCCATGGGAAAGACTTCATCTTCTCCGTCCCCTTTATAGCCTTCTTCCTCATGGAACTCAAGGTTGCTCCTCTTGGAAGTGTTGATGTCGCAGGGTCTTCTCCGTAAGCCGCTACCTGAGTGACGACGCCGTGGCACACGCGACTGGGATGCCGATGAAGTTCGTTTAGCCGGTTCGTTGGTGCTGCGGGCCTTCTGCTCAGTCGGCGGAAACCCCGAGCTCTTGGCAGTATCTTCGGCGGACAGTCGACGGTCAGCCTCGGTTCGCAGGGCTTGCTTTAGTGTGGATTCCTCTACGCCAGACCGCTCCTGCACATAACACACATCAGCAATGCTACGTCGGCCAGGAGGTGCGGATCCCGGAACGGAGCCGGGTTCTTCTCCTACTCTTCTGGATGATAGGCTGTGGCGGCCGCGCCCTGAACGGTTATGGTGGATCACTGGCGGAGAGAACACCTCCTTCAACACCTGTTCCTGGAGCTTCCGATTGACGGTCGTGGCGCCCCAGCTTGAGTGCTGCTTTATCGAGGGTCTTGTGGGATTGCTGTCCGGAGTCCCCTGCTGATCACGGTTTGGCGACCCGGCGTCACTCAGGTGACGTCGATGCATCTGAGAGAGCAGAGAAGGATCGCTTGTCTGAGGCCTCGGGGTGGATAGGCGCCTATGTACGTTGAAAAGGCTATCTGGTATGATATGCCTGTTGTTCTCGAAGATAACCTGGGGCACAGGCATGGGCTGCTGCGAATGGCTCACGATCCTGGGCTGGTGGTTGGAGGACTCCCCATTTGTTTGCGATGAATTCACCTGCTGCTCAGAGCCATCTGGGTTCTCTGAGTGGGCGTTGCCGTTAGCTTGCATGGAGCGATCAGCATCGTCGCTAGGCTCCCTTTTGTCCTCTTTGACAGTCTTCTTCCGCCTCGGCGCTTTGCGGTATGTCACGTTCAGCACTCCTATGTACCTGTGACAGCATTACGACGTTAGCATTACTACATATAGACTTGTGGGCGAATGGGCGCGGAGAGGGCCGCTGATCCTTTGCTGATGTTTCAGCTTTGGAGCTTCCGAAGCATTGACAAAACTGGTCTTACCTCGGCAGGAACTCTAGGAGTTCCGGATGATTCCGCTCCACAATCTCATAGAACTCGTTCTCTCTGTTGTTGAGCTGCTTGCAGACTGCGCGCCGTGAGAAACGGTAGACCGTTGAGTGACCCCCGACTTGATGATCATAGGGCTTCAGCTCAACAGCGCCGAGAGGCACCGGAGGCTGATGGCTGCGATGCGATTCTCGGTGCGGCGCATGGGTGATCGGTGCTGCCTGTGTAGGAGTCGTTCCTGGATCGTCGGTAGCACTGGACTCATAACCGTACGCTGAGCGTGCAGACTCATCCATAGATTCATAATCCGATTCAGTGACTGACGCGTTGGACTCTGGCGGTGCATGAAGCTGTCCTTGCAGCTCCTCCTCAGAAGGCGTAGTACGTCGGTGCAAATCTCCATGTAGGTACTGGTTCTCGTCCTGGGACCGCAACGATATCTCAACTTCGTCCGGACTTCTCACTGCCTCTTCCGTTAACCACCCTTTCGAAGAGGTATCCGGCGATCTAGCTGGCTCAAGCTGTTCCTGTGTCGGTTGATCGTGGAAAGCAGGCTCCCCCGCTTGCTCCGTTCGCGCCGGAGAGACCTGACGGTGGGGTATGTAGAGCGCAGAAGAGATCTGTTCTCTTTCAGACTCGTCGTCCTCCTCAGTCGTAGGCGATCTGTCCCTCTCTCCAAAGCCAGGTTTAAAGTAGTCCGTGAGCTTCTTGAATGAAGGATGCGGGCCTGCTCTTGCGGACGATTCTTGAGAACGCTCAGACTCCGCAATCGGTAAACTTGATGAGAACGATATCCTTCGCTCAACACGTGGCGTGAGGTTGTGGTGATTTCTGATTTCTGTCAAGAGCTCTAGAGGGATGCCCTCTGGCGGCCGCTGAATCGCAGACCGTAAAGAATCGCTGATTGCAGGTTTTCCACGCTTCTTGCCTTCAGCTGGGCGGTCCCTGTTCAATGAATCCGGGAAGTTTTGTTCGGTAGTTGGCGCATTTTCTAGTGCCGATCGCAATGAAGAGACTTGTCGGCTCTTGGGATGACTTGCGTCGACACGACTGCTGTAAGGTTCCGGAGAGGCTGTATGACCGGGTTCTTCGCCTCTTGATTTGACAGAAGACTGCGCCTTCTGTCTCTGTGAACTGTCTTCTTCCACGTCCTGATCTTCTTGAATGGCCTGCTCAGCTGAAGCTCGTTCCTTGGCTAATCCTTCCCTCCTCTTCTGCTCCTCAGCAGCGTCGTTTTCTTTGAACAGTCCGAGATAATGGCTCGTCTTCCTACTTCTTACCACTGCAGGCTGCTCTACTTTCGGTAACTTCGCCTCAATCTTCTTGTCGACACGGGAACGGTCACCATCTTCGCGCAGGTGAATACCTGCCGGGGCTCCTCCGCCTAAAGTCGGGTTCCCTTCTCGCCATGACCGGTATTTCAGCCTCTGATCTGCAGCTTGCGGTATCCCTGCTGAGACGCTTGCAGGGCTGTCGTCGTGCGGCGTGGTGGGCCTCTCGTACGGAGAGTCGACGGGACTCATGAATGGTGGCAGGCCGTCGTGATCACCCTTGCCTTCAGCACGCAATCCTGAAGGCGTGTAGACGTATTTTAAGAGGTCGGTGTGCTCGTGCATGGGCAAACTGGATCTGCTTTGTCTGTTGCGTCGAAAGTTCTGGGCGATAAGAGGGAGGTCTGGTGATGCCGGCGACTCCGGTGAGAGAGCAAACGGCCTCTGGTGAAGCAGAGGCCAGTCAATGCCTGCTCTGACAGGAGAAGCTGCCATATCGATAGCGCCTTCTCTTATCGTGTGGGGTGCGTGTGAAGGAGGACTCGGGTTTTCAATGGGACTGTCCGACGATGTGTAATTGGTAGCGAAGATGCTATCTCGCTCACTGAGTGGGGGAGGATCGAGAGCAGGCGTCCACAGGGTGTCTAAGGCGAGAGGAGCGGTTTTCGACCTCCCCGTCTGTGAGAGGGTTCTGGGTGTCACCTCGGCATCGTGCTGGGCGGACGACGACGGTGAAGAGCCATTTCGACGGGCATCAGAGGGCCTCTTGCTCCTCACCGGGGTAGCATTCGAGGCGTTTTTGAGTTGCGCGGCAGAAGAAGCGGTGGACATGGAGACATTGACCTGGGCGAGAGGGCGTAGGGCTGGTCTGGATGAGTGCTACAACGCCCATTCGGAGCAAAACGTGCTGAGTTCGAGAGAGCCAATGGGGATCAACGGTGCGGCATATCGCAGTCGGACGGGGGGAATGGTGTTGAGAAGTAGTTGTCGTCCAATGCGGAGTTGAATTCGTCGCAGGTGCCCCATGTTGATTGGCAAATTATCGTTATGACGAAAGGCCGATAGCCGACAGTTCTAGGGCAGTCGCATTCCGGCGAGCAGGGCAGCTGCAGCCAGCGCCCACCACCAAGGCACCAAGCCTGGAAGCAAGAAAGGCTGGAGCCCCTGTTGATCTCCGGTTTGTGACCAGCGGCCCGGCTCTTCCACGCCGCCAAGGTGGACCTCCTGTTGACCGTTGCTGAGTCTTTCGGTACCCGACGTACAATCACCCTTGAGTGTTTACGGTTCCAGCTGCATAACCCTCCAGCGGCAAGGGGTTTCGAGTCGGCAGGATGCAGTAGCTGAGATTCGTGCTGTCAATGATATACAGACCGAATCCAATCATTCAAGCGGGTCAAGGAACGTGGACGCCTGAGGGAAGGGAGGGGAGGGGAGGGGATGGGCTAAGGATGGCAAGCTTTTAGAACCAGAGAAATATTGCCCGGGGTGCCTGGCACGGCTCCCTAGGTAAGAGGTACGCGTCTGGACCTCGATTCTACAGTCGGAATACCGCGATGCTCGTCATAATGGGATCCGTATCACTAAGAGTTGGGTTGACGATGTTGATGCCTAAATGTATCTATCCAGCAGTCTAATAACGATGAGGCTACTACGACTTACTAAAGCCTCGAACTCCATAGATTAAGTTTTACAGAGCCTTGTTATGCGCCTCAATGACCATCTTTGATGTTTACGATTACATTTATCGCTGCTAGTGCCCTTTTCAAGCCGGACAATGCCTCACATCGTCCGCAATCGAAGTCGCCTTAGCGGCCTTGTTGTAGTAGGTACGTAGCCTGGTAGCCTCAATATAACATCGTTTGCGGAGGTTGAATTCTCTTGTATTGAGATTTGTGATTGAAGTAAGAGCTAGGAGGCAAGAGGAGGTTGCTTTGGCATACAGCTAGCCTCCATGCCTCAGTATAAAGCCCTCACCCAGTGGAGGGCGTAATAATGGAGGTCCATACGAGTCCAACACGCGAATTCTGCGGCCGGGCATCCAGTCGCATTCCCAGCAAAACAATGCACCACGCCACCCCAATACATTGAATGCTCGCACCACCGTTAGCCGGCTGGAAGGCGAAAATCGAGTAGGTGATAAAGTCCCCACCAGAAGACGAGTCACAAAAACCGCCAACAAGATAGCATCCACCTCTTCACCAATACGAACATAACATCCCACCCTCACACCCCACCCAACCCCCCCACGATCTTCAGCCCTACCGAATCAACACTATACGCCAGCGCATACCTGCTCGGATGCCATTGCACGCACGGCGTCGGGCTCCTCTCCTCAATCCTCCACACCGCCTCCCCGCTCTCCGTATGCGCAATCTCGAGCCCCGCACTCCCCTCATCCGTGCCACCAACAACATAGCTGCCATCAAACGAGAAGCTGACCGAGCGCACCGGCCCCTGGATGCTCGTCAGGGTGCGCTGGCATACCCAGTCCGTGGTGTCCCAGAGCGAGATCAGCGCGTCGGAGCCGCCGACGGCGACGTAGGTGCCCGCGGGCGAGATGTCGATGCAGTAGCAGGAGGAGGTATGGCCGTTGAGGGTGTGGATGGTGGGGAAGTTGGTGTCGGGGGCGGGGGGAGGGTAGCGCGCGATTTTGACGGTGCCGTCGCCGGTTGTGAGGAAGAGGTGTTGGCCCGCCCAGCCGAAGAAGGTCTGGTTTGTTTGCAGGGATTGGCGGTGGGTCGAGATGATGGAGAGGGTGGCGCGATCGAGGCAGAGGAGCGTGTCGTCCTGGCGAGAAAGTTAGTATGATGCTGAAACGAAGACGAGATGCCCCGGCGCAGGACGACCCAGTGCGATGAGACCCACTTGCGCCGGCCAGGTGCGACAACATGAAGAACCTCCCCGCGTACCTTCTTTCCAACAACCAACTCCGACCCATCCGGTTTCCACGCCAGCGTAAAACCCTCCCCCCTAACATCAACCCTCCCAATCTCACTCCTCTGCCTGACGTCCCAAAACCTGACTATCCCATCACTCCCCACACTCGCCAGCTCAGCCTCCATGACCGGGTTCCACGCGACTCTCTCAACAGCGCCCGCATGGCCCCGTAGCTCTGTACTATTCTTAACCTGGTTCTTCTCCGGATTCCATATGCGCAGCGTGCGGTCGCCAGCGCCGGTCGCGACGAGCGTGCCAAGCGGATTCCATGCGAGCGTGCGGATGTTGTGAGGTGCGCTGGGCCGCGCGGGCGGGATGTCGCTGTAGACGGTTGTTTTTTGCTTGGGGAAGAAGGCTTTGAAGGCGGGGGGTGGGAGGGATTTGGTGCGCGGTCTGAGTGCGTGAGCGGAGTTGGGGGGACTTGGGGCGGCGGGATGGGCGGTTAATGTCTTACGGTGGCGCCATGATTAACGCTGTGGATTAAAGATGCTTGCGGTAAGCATGAAGTTTATGCATATGCGTTTGCCTTGTAGTTCTGGTACATCGATACTTTTGGTGACGGGGAGATCTGCACAGGGAGGTTGTGCCACTCCCGAAACAACGGCTCCTGGTCCACGGTTCCTCCCTCCCGTCACTTAATTTTAGCTTTCCGTTATCATTGGCGTCTTTGATGAACCACGCGCACCTTGGTAGTCTAAGCTAGACGCGCATCCTGCTAAGGTAATCCGAGATGTTGACCGGCTGCTGCTTCTTCGAGTGTCGAAGCAGTGAAGCTATCACACAACGCCGTAAAATGTCCAAAGCCCAGTATCCATACCTCATACATCATAACTTGTCCCCAGTTCTATGGGAGCCACGTCGCCGACTGAGCTCATGCCTTCTTGTAAATTCATGCCATCGGCAGCAATACCGAGCCGCTAATCATGCACTTTTGGTAGACGTCCTCCTTTCTCGATCCCCCCAAGCCTAGAACTTCTGCACGACACCCCTGACACTCCCGTCAAGCACCATGTGCCCACGGACCATGATCTCTTTGATCCGGTTCTCCTCGTTGCTTCCCTCGCTCAACCACTTCTGCAACAGACTGTTGCTCTCCTTCGGCTTGATGTCAGGGCTGGCAGTGCCGACGGTAATGTGCGCGACCGGATTGACCGTCTCATACTCGTCCTGCAGCAGCCTAACCACAAAACACATGACACGCTCATCCCACACCAACCGCTCAAGCTGGACTTTGCACTTGCCAAGCTCCGGCTCCGAAGGCTGGGACGAGGCGTTGGTTGAGCCGTTCTCCTTACTCTTGGCCGACTCGATCGTACGAGTGTGAAGATCGGTGAGCCGTGACCAAAGGTCAGCATGATCGTTGGAGGAAGCGCGGTGAATAAGTGTGACATGGAACTCAGGCTGGATGCGGCGAGAGTGCTGAAGATGACGGTAGAACTTGGCGGTTTCGGGATCCTGGTCTCTGAAGATGGCGTCAAGGATGGCGCTGATGCGTTGAGAGGGAAGGCGGATGGCGAAGTACTCAAGTTTGGGTTGCCTCGGAGCTGCATCTCTTCCGTTGGCATGAGGCTGAGATGAAGGGCGCTTTTGAACGCCGCCTTTATGATCGTTCTTCTTGAAACTCAAATCGTGCTTGATGTCTGGCTTGTAGTCGCTTAGTGCTGCTTCGATTGCAGCGTCAAGCTCGTCACCAGTAGGAAGTTTGTTAAAGAGCTTGGGATATTCGGAGTTCAGCTGCGAAACAACGTTCTCAAGGTTCTCCCGTGAAGATGCGGTGGGGTCTAGGTTGATGACGAGGTCGAAAGCATCGTCTGGCGGACTGTCTGGATATACAGGCTCGAAACGTTCTAAGAATCCCTCCATGATGGAAATGACCTCGTCTGCGCCCTTGGTGACCGCCTGGATGGTTTGATGGTTGTCACCGCGGTTGAGGACGCGTTCTCGCAAGGCTTTCCTGATCTGATCGTAATTGCTGCGGTCATGGACGTAATGCAGTGCCACAAAGCGTGCCTCGGGAATGAGCTGGGATACATCCTTGATTAGCTGCTCCCTCTCACGCCGTTGGTGGTTGTTTCTATCAGCTATGACCACTGGATGGCTGCCCAGTTCTTTGCAGACAGCGTCTACAAACCTCTGCGGGCGCCTCCCTTTGCCCTGAACATTATCATTCTGAAAGTGACCCCAGTCAAACAACTTGGCCAATGCTATGGCAAGGGTGGTCTTGCCGCAGCCTATTGTTGCGACAGGCACCAGGACTACATTCTTCTTGACATCAGTAGATCCGCCTTCGCCACTTTCAATCTCCTGCCGAATGATGTCGGAGCCTTTGAGACCACGTTCTTGTAGGAAGTCATCTCTGAGCTTGATAATACCGTGGTTTTGGTTGTACGCCTTCCCAAGCTGGGGGTCGCGCGCGAGGCGTTTGCGTGCGTACTGCAGATACTCCTCGGTAATCTTCTTGTGCTTCTTATACTTGGGCGGCCTGCCCGCGATGATAGCTTTCGTACACTCACGCCATTGACGGTACATCAAATACGGTTCCTCGAACTTGTATTTGAAGAACCAGTCTTCCCATGGGCTGTCGGGAGTGTTGCGAGACTGGCATCGGATGACGAAGCCCTCTGTTTCACGACCAGCATACGCGCCAGTCTCGGCGACCTTGTCCAGGAAGCTCTTGACCTGGCGGATGTCATCTTCCATGACGTACATTGTCTTTTTGAAACCCCACTCTGTCGCGAACCGGTCGAGGATGTGGTGCGGATAAGTGACAAACTCCGGTAGATTCAGGTTGATGCCGTGTAGGTAAAGCCCAGCAGACTCAGGGTTGTAGGCTAGCACATGCTCCTCGAACGCGTCATCGCATAGTTCTGCAACGGCTGTCGCATTCATCTTCCGCAGCTTCCTAGCCAGGTCTTCTCGGGTTCTTCCGATTGCCTTCAGCTGCTTGTCGATCCACCGTTCTCCTGCTATGGCATGGCTCTGATCTGCATCCTCTCGTGGTCCGGTGGAATGCTTGCTGCATACGAGCAATGTACCGTCATCCAAGCCGGCGATGAATATGATGCAGCCATTCTCTTTCACGCTCAGCTCGTAAGGACCCCTCGTGTTCTTCTCGACATTCGGCCATTCGGTCTTCCTCACCTCGCCATGGTTGAAGAACTTGTCGTAGCCTCGAACGGCGATTTCGTATTTGCCGTCCTGGTTGACATACGTGAAGAGACCTCGAGCGTACGTGGGAAGATTCGGTTTCTTGTAGTCCCAATCAAGCATGCGCCAGGAGTCGACAGTGCGGCCAGACGGCAGCGTGAACGTAGCTTTCTTGACAGAGAAGCCGCCTCTGCCTTTGCCTTTTGACTTATGTGACTCGAGGGCTTGGACCAGCTCTTGGATTTCCTGAGGATTCTGAGGGATGAAAGGGGCGTTCTGGCGGTGGGCCATCTTGAATGAAGTTTTGAGAGGCTACAGGTGAGAATAAGCTGAAGCGGCGAGGGAAAGCTTAAAAAACAACTTCTAGAGACTACTTTTGATGGCGGACTGTAGCGTCTGAGGATCAAGCTACGGGGGTCGTACGCCTCTGACAGAAGCTGCGCTGCAGCAGAGGAGTTGGAACACAGCCGCCACCTAGTTGCCTATAGCTCAGTTCGAGCAAGTGGCAATTCTCAAGCTCGCTGTTACGAAGTTGCCTAGGTAGGCGGTGACATTTTGTGACATCAGTCTTGACTTTCCTTCAGCCGCATGCGCGGGCTTTATCCGGTTCAGCCCTACGCCGAGGGGCACCGCAGCTTCCTTAGGGGCTCCATACGGTTAGAAATGCGGTGGTAGAACAATAAATATATTCCATCAATCGGAGCATGGTCTTAGCCTTTTAGAAGGTACAAAGGTATTTTAGTATCGAAGATGTAGTGGTTTTTAAGCATAGTTTAAAGATACTACTATTCAAAGCCCAAGATAGCTAGATTATAACCATGTTTTTAGATCCATAAGCTATATGTGAAGCTGGCCGCTCTTGTGGCTGAGTTGTTATAATCGATTGAGTGACCGCTAACTGCCCGCCTCTTTATCAAGCTAACCGACCTCGTCCTCCAGATCCACGGATACAGTGGCGGAACAAGTCTTGGCACGCTCCCAAAACATCCAGGTTCACGACGCATGTGCCATGCCACTCTCACCCGCTCCACAGCCTACAGAAGCAACAGCTTGTCCATAATCCGCTCTACCTGTCTTGCAGTTCGAGAAGCGCCAACAGCATGCGCTGAGCTCAAACCACCGCCATGTCTGAATATTGGAAATCAACGGTAAGCACGACGCCCTGTCCAATTGCCTCACCACCAGCTAACAGCCACCTCAGCCAAAGTACTGGTGCAAGTTCTGCAAAACTTACGTCCGCGACACAAAGTTCGAAAAGCAGCAGCACGAAGCGACACCAAAGCATCAGAATAACATCCAGCGATCCCTGCGCGATCTCCACCGAAATCACGAGCGAGAGGAACGTGAGAAGCAGCGAGCAAAGGATGAGGTCGAGCGGCTGAATGGCGTGGTAGCTGGCGCAGCGGCAAGCGATCCGCCATGGAAGCGCAAGGGAGCAGTTCCGGCGGCCGCATCGGCCAAGCAAGCCACGCTCGAGGAGCGGAAGAGACAGGCTGCGCAGCTGGCGGAAATGGGTGTTGCCATTCCGGAGGAGTTTAGGCGGGAGATGGCAATGGTGGGCGACTGGCAGGTCACTGCGGAGAGGCCGATACTTCCGGGTGTGAAGAAGGAAGAAGAGGATGAGGATGTCAAGCCTGAGACGCTGAACACTGGTGTCCGAAAACGCAAGTTCGAGGGCCAGGAAGAGGCGGAGGAGGCTGGGGAGACGGTTGTGAGGAAAGGGTGGGGTTCGACTTTCAGAGAGTATCCCGCTTCAAAAGATGCAGGTGATGATCTGGAGGCGTTGCTCAAGGGGGCCGGCACGGCGAGGAAGGAGACCGAAGAGGCCGCGTCAGGTCCGAGAATCAAGAAGGAAGAGTCAGAGGAGGGTGTGATTTCAGCATTGGTCGGTCCAGAACCTACGACTGCTGCTGAATCGAAGATCAAGGCCGAAGATGAGGCACCGGCCGTAGGAGTTGTGTTCAAAAAGCGCAAGGCCAAGGTCATACGTCAGAGATGAACTGCACGGTATGGAAACTGCACGAGCAGTGCATCAGCAACGCTACAAGGCAATCCTCGGGCCTCTAAGCGGTCCACGGACTTGCTGCGGAAATGGAGGAGTAAGGGAGAAATCAAATCCAGCCGCTCTTCAGCACGTACTGCTAGCCGGCTTGCGATCAATCCGCAACCAGCAGCTTGGAAGTGGGCATGACGGCATCCGCCATGGTCGCAAGCGCGAAATCTTGAAGGACTGTGGAACCGCACGTGCTCCAAGGGCGAACTTTAGGATGTCATCTACATTTCATGGGCAGCATCCATGCGTATCGTGGTCAGGAGGTCGGACAGTCAAATCCAGGGTGATGAATGGCAGTGGCCAGCCACATGTGGCCACGCATGATGCACCGAGTTTCTAGGGGGAAACGATACCAAGTAGCAGAGCTAGAGATATGGAGGTCTAATATAGCAAAATGTATAGTAGCTGTTAACATCAGTGTTGTTCTACTTTGAACGTATGACATTTGTGCCAAGCATCTCTTAGAGCTTCGCGCGCGACTCCCGTCAGCTCACGTCCACCACGTCCCAACGTGGAACATCTCATTCATCTGGAAACACAACACGCAACACACTTTCTCCACACTCCCTGAGCATGACGAAGCAACACAACGAGCCTCCGCAACCATGCATATCGTCAAGCCGGAATGGCTAAACCATCCAGGTTAGTCACAGAGCTGCGTTGGCAGCTGTCGCGTTAATATGCTCCAAGGCGCATTCGCTAACTGAACTCTGTACTGCTTAGGAGAACTCAAAGACATCGAAGTCTACAGCTGCCATGTCTCGCCGGACGGAAGCCGCCTCGTTACGGCAGCTGGAGGTATTGCAAACCGCTTTGCGCTGACCTCCACCAATGCGCGCTGTTCAAGAGTCCTGCTGAATCTTTCCTTTAGATGGCCACGTACGCATCTGGTCGACCGAAGCGATATATAACGCAGCCGATCCGAACTATACCAAGCCGAAACAGCTCGCGGCGATAAGTAACCACTCGGGCACTATACATGCGGTTCGATTTTCCGGAAATAACAAGTACCTGGCATCTGGGGCCGACGACAAGATCGTGTGTGTCTACGTGTTGGACCCGAATCCGCCGGCTCATGGATCGACGTTTGGTATGTTGGAGAACGATACAAGGGGATCGGGATGGCAGCTGAATGCTTTACAGGCACGAACGAGCCACCTCCCGTGGAAAACTGGCGCGTCCTACGGCGACTGATCGGGCATGACAACGATGTTCAAGACTTGGGCTGGTCATACGACTCTTCTATTCTAGTGTCTGTAGGCTTGGACTCCAAGATCGTAGTCTGGTCTGGGCATACCTTCGAAAAGTTAAAGACGTTGTCACAGCACCAGAGCCATGTCAAGGGTATCACGTTCGACCCAGCAAACAAATACTTCGCAACCGCAAGCGATGATCGCACGGTCAAGGTTTTCCGTTTCACCTCACCTCCGCCTAATGCCACCGCTTACGACCAACTGAACAATTTTGTGCTGGAATCGAGTGTGTCCGCCCCCTTCGAAAAGTCCCCTCTGACCACCTACTTCCGAAGGTGTAGTTGGTCACCAGACGGAAACCACATCGCTGCGCCAAATGCTGTCAATGGACCGGTGGGCGCAATAGCAATCATCAACCGCGGTTCCTGGGCATGCGACATCAATCTCATAGGCCATGAAGGGCCCACCGCAGTATGCGCGTTTTCACCAAGAATGTTCTACCAGCAGCCAGTGACGGCGGCCCAAATCGCCGCGAACGGACTCCCAAATGTGCAATCTGTGACGGTCATTGCTTGCGCTGGACAAGACAAGGCGCTCAGCATCTGGAACACGAACTACGCCCGACCCTTTGTGATAACGCAAGAACTTTGCGAAAAGGCAATATCCGATTTGGCCTGGTCACCTGACGGCGAAAAAGTGTTCGTCACGAGCCTGGACGGCAAAATTCTTGTAGCTATGTTTGAGCCAGGGGAGCTCGGATACCCCGCCCCGGTTCAGGAAAGCGAGAGGATGCTGTCAAAATTCGGCGCTGGCAGAAAGACGGGTGTCATCGAAGGAACAGCCGCGCTGTTGCTCGAGGAGAGCAGCAAGGCCGACGAGCTGAAGGGTGTTGAGGGCAGGATGGGAGAGCTCATGGGAGATGGAGCAACCAGCGCAGCAGCCACTACAAACGGAGTTAATGGCGAAACGAGAACCAACGGCGTCAGCACTACCAACGGTCAAACAGCAGCTGTGCCTGATGGTGATCCGGCGCCTCAACAGCCAACGCAAGATCCCCGGATAGACAAGTTGAAGCAACGCGTGACAATCACAAAGGATGGAAAGAAGCGCATTCAACCCCTGCTTGTCTCTGCATCCTCCGGCCTGGCGGAGTCGTCCCTACCGCAAACGCAGCTGCTTTCCGCTTCCGCTCAGGGTGCTCGCAGTGACACACCCTACAATATTCTAGACCTCTCCAAGCCCTACGATGGATTTCCTAAGGGCGGCTTGGCCGGGCTGCTAGTAGGTAACAAGCGCAAGTTTGCTGAAATCGAGGGCGATGAGGAAAGGAGAATAGAGAAACGACTTGCGGGATCAAGCCGAGACGGCCAAGCTCCTATTGTCATGAACAGCGCAGATGGATTGATACCTCCCAGTATTGCCGTCCGGCCGAGCGCAGCGGAGCCGCCCGAGGTGCTGCGCCCTGCAATCATTAATCCAGCAACATCAGTGAGTCAGGTCAGGCTAGCCGTGCCGATGGTCCGAAGCGTAATACTTCGGACTGTAGACGGAAGTGAACCTCCACAGACCAGCACAGGAGACGTGGGTTCTGGCCCGCGAGCCGACGCTGCCCGCGAAGACATTATTGTGCTAGAAGCGCGTAACGCTGTCGGGCCATCCCGAACCGGTCGGGCGCAGGACCGTGATCCCGCGCGTATAACGTGCACCAAGCGTGGCCAGACGCTGTGGCAGGATTACTTACCTAAGGCTGTTCTTTCTCTCACAGGAAATACCAACTTCTGGGCCGCCGCATGCGAAGATGGCTCGATGTATGTCTGGACGCCGGCTGGGAGGCGATTGCTCAACGCGCTCGTTGTCGAAGCTCAGCCAGTCATCATCGATTGCAGAGGGTGGTGGCTGCTGTGCATCTCAGCCGTTGGCATGTGCCATGTATGGAACTTGAGGACAGTCTCTTCGCCTCATCCTGCAGTTTCCTTAGCCCCGGTTCTGGACGCGGCTGTCGCGTCGCAAGGCCCTCATCTGACGCAAGCGCCGGGCGTGATCTTTGCAAGACTGAATACACAAGGCCGGATCATTGTGGCAATGTCCAATGGAGACGGATATGCTTACTCGCCTAGCATGTTTGTATGGCAGCGGCTATCAGAGCCTTGGTGGGCGGTTGGTAGTCAGTACTGGAACACAACTGACTCCTCCGTTGGTAATCTCCAGACTTCAGCCTCAGGGCAGGCCAAGCCTCCAGACGAGAACGATATGGTCTCGCCCGAGAACGTCTCTGCAGGCATCATACCCATACTAGAGCGGAACACCACCAACCACACCTTACTCAGAGGCAGAGCCTTCTTCTTGCAGCGCCTCATCAAGGCACTGCTATCAGCTGAGGGCTTCGAGGGCTTCGAGTCCAGCGTGTCAATTGCACACCTTGAGAATCGTGTGGCAGCGGCAATGACCCTGGGTGCCAGGGAAGAGTTCAGAGTTTACCTCTTGATGTACGCGAAGCGACTGGGAGCGGAGAGCTTGAGAGGTAAAATCGAGGAGCTGCTGAGAAATCTGCTGGGCAACATCTTCGAGGACGACGCAGAGCCGACCGCTGGAGCCGAAGACGGACTCGGCAGCCCGAAAGACGAGATATGCGGGTGGAACAGAGAAGATCTGTTGAAGGACGTGGTTCTGATTCTTGGTATGTTATGTCACATCTGCCTTCCGCTTAGCCGGCCGCCCATGTGCCTACGGCTTGATAACCTCGCTAACTTTGTCACAGGCAAGCATCGCGACTTGCAGCGCATCACTGTGCCTTACGCTAGACTAGTCGGTATAATTAGTGGGCAACCGCAGGATGAGGAAATTGGGGAAATGGATATGTAATACCATAGCGTGGCGTTCAGCAGGTGGCGTTATGGTTGGTCCCTGGCATCGGCCGGCACTGGCTTTATGGGCATAGGATACTAGATTTTACTAAGCGTTCCTTTTGTAAACAATTGTGCTTTTATAGAGGGCAGCTGCTGAAGTGAAGCTCCACCGGCTGCTGGCTTTTCAAGCTATGTCCAAGTTACGCTGTGTTTCTTCAACAATTCATAGGGAACTCTCTGCAGGACTTTTTGCCAATTCCGCTCTCCATAGGCTCTTCGCCAACTCCGAACCTCGAATCTCGAGTCCCACGTACACCATCTCAACTTTCTTCCATAGAGAAATCTTCTAGATTTGTTGCAGCAGCAATGCACCAAGCTCTTGATCTCTAATCATTGAGCCCTATCTCGTGCGCTCATCGTTCCCTTAGTGTTTCTCGACCCTTCACCCAGCATCTCAACATGAAGCATTCCGACCTTCATAGCGTAGCCGACGAGATATCTCTGCCAGTATCGCCATCCTCAATCGACTCGTTGCCCCCATCATCCACGCTGTGGACGGCTCCATCCCCAGCGCCTCCACGCTTGGCTATCCCTCGCTTGCCGCCTTTCAAGATGCAACGGGCAGCATCCAAGCGCCAGATCGCCGTTCTCACCATACTGTCTCTCGCTCTTCTCGTATGGTTCATACCCGCGCCGGCAACATGGGCCCAGAAACGCATACCTACGGATCGCCGCCTCACAATCCTCCGCCCCGCCGACCTTCCCACGGACACAGCCGCACCTGATCCCGTACGATGGTTGGAGGAGAATGGGAACAACAGGCATGCCGTGGGCTCTCGGGGGTACTTCTCTTCGGTAGGAGACCGGAGCAGACCACGCGCAGCGTTGATAAGTTTGGTGCGCAACTCGGAGCTCGAGGGCATTGTGCAGAGCATGCGCCAGCTCGAGTATCACTGGAACCACAAGTACAACTACCCATGGATCTTTTTCAATGACGAGCCGTTCAGTGATGAGTTCAAGGTAAAGAGCCATTGTAGCCAGCTGCTGCACGGTCCCGTTACCGGATTGTGGTTTAAGGCTTGGTGTGAGGCTAACGTACCGGTAGCAAGCGACGCAAAACCTCACCTCCGCACGCTGCTACTACGAAGTTGTTCCCAAAGAGCACTGGTCAATGCCCTCCTGGATCGACGAAGGCCGCTTCATGAACAGCCTGGAGTATCTCGGCGCCATTGGCGTCGGCAAAGGCTGGATGATCAGCTATCGCCACATGTGTCGTTGGAACTCTGGTTTCTTCTACCATCAGAATCGGTTGCTCGAGTTCGATTTCTACTGGAGAGTGGAGCCGGACGTGCATTTCTACTGCGACATCGACTACGACGTCTTCCGGTTCATGAGCGACAACAAGATGAAGTATGGGTTTAACATGAACATCCTGGATGATGCACGCTCGTTCCCGTCGCTGTGGTCACGCACGAGGGCATTCATCAATAAGTATCCTGAGCTGCTGCATCCGGAGTCGGACCTGGACTGGCTGCTTGACGCTCAGAACTCAGGTGACTACAACAATTGTCAGTTCTTCTCCAACTTCGAGATTGGTGATCTACGATTCTTCAGGGGCGAGCAGAACGAGAAGTATTTCGACTGGCTCGACAAAAGCGGCGGTTTCTACTATGAACGGTTCGGAGATGCGCCGATCCATACGCTGGCAGTGGCAATGTTCGTACCCAAAAGAGAGATATGGTTCTTCAGAGACATAGGATATCAGCACGACATCAATCGGTAAGCCATTGTTAGCCTGAGCCCCTTGGAGAAACACTGACTCGGAAACTGTCTCATAGCCATTGTCCACCATACTCGTCTGGCAGATGCAGCTGTGATCCGACATCCATTGACGAGAACTTCTACAAGCTCGTACCATTCGAGTCCCCACAGAAGAAGCCGGCCGATACATGCATCAGGCAGTTCCTGGGCGGCGACTGGCTGAACAAACAACCAGGCTGGAGCCAGTCGTCCGAGCGCGCACTGGGCGGCGATGGATATGGCGGGTACGAAGTCACTGGGTTGTAGACTCTTCGGAAAGGCTGTGATCTGTGCTTGAAAGTCTGTCGAAACTTTCTCATGTAGCCTTGGCATTTCGACCCCTAATAAAGCAAAGCACGTAGCCCCGATGTAGCAACGCGAGTGTTTATCAAATCACCGTCTAATCCCCAGATCTGCGAATCTTATTCGCGGACATCGGTGTACTCAGAACCACGTTCTTTAAACAAACTCGAATTGGACGGCGTGCGAGTCGATGCTCCGCCACGCAGTTAGAAATACGGTGCTGTTGATCCCTACTTTCAGCTAGCTAGCTGTAATACAAAGACATCATGCAGGCGACGCCCCACCCTTCCAGTACTTGCTCGGCACAAAGGGCATCTTCGTGACCGTTGCCTTCCTGTTCTTGCCTCTAACGACAACCTCAACCTCAGTGCCAGCCTTATTCAGCCCCTGCTTGATGTATCCCATCGCAATGTTCTTCTTCAGCGTCGGACTCGGGCACCCAGACGTGACTTTCCCTACCTTCTCTCCTTTATTTACAATCTCCGCGCCTTCCCTTGCAGGGGCTCCTTCAACGATCAGCCCTATACGCCTACGACTGACACCGCCCCCTTCCTTCTTCGGCTTGAGCTGCTGCAATATCACTTCGTCGCCGTGGAACCCGCCTTCAGTCCGGCGATCCTTGCCGATGATCCACGCCAGTCCCGCTTCAACAGGCGTGGTGCTATCGTCGAGGTCATGGCCGTAGAGACACATGCCCGCTTCCAGTCTGAGACTGTCGCGCGCTCCGAGGCCCGCCAGGCGGAGCTTGTCCTCGCCCGCAGACTTGAGCAGCAGCTCCGTGATCTGCGTGGTTTGCGGGCCGGGGATCGAGATCTCGAACCCGTCCTCGCCCGTGTACCCGCCGCGGGAGGCGAGAATCTCGGCAGAAGGCTCTCCGGAGGGTAGCCGAAGCTTGAGATACTTGGACTGGCCGAAATACATCTTCTGTAAGTCGATTGCTTGGGGCTCGAAGAGGACGTCCTGCAGGATGGCTGGTGCGAGGGGACCCTGCAGCGCGACGAGGCCTTGGCCTTTCAGGACTTGCCAGTCGACCTTCTCGCCGCCGCTCTGGTGCCAGTCGGTCAGTTGGTCCGTGAGGTAGCGGGTATCTTTCTCGCGACAGCCGGCGTTGGTGACGACGTAAAAGGCTTCAGGGCCAAGGCGAGTAATGATCGTGTCATCGACGATGCCACCGGTTCCTGGGTGGAGGAGCGCGGAAAGCGTGGAGTGATGAGTTTCTAGCGTCGAGACGGACGAGGGCGTGACTCGTGAAAGGAAGCCAGTGCTGCCGGGGCCGGTAAAACGATGTTGGACCCTTTGTCAAGAAATCAGCTTGTTGTATGTAACTGTGAGGGGGGCACATGGAGTCTGCGGCGTGTCGATTGGGGCTTACATATGGCTGACATCGAACAAGCTGGCCTTCTTACGGGTCCAGTTGTGCGAGTCTCCGACGCTCAGGTCGCTGTATTGGACGGGCATGGAGTACCCGCCGAATGGGACGAACTTTGCGCCATGCTGGGCGTGAAGATCGTAGAGAGGCGTCTTCGCTGGTTCTGGGCTCTCTGTCGGCTTCGAGGAGGCATACCGCACAGGCTGGCAAGCTATACGTGGACTGAGTGGTGCTGTGGGCCTCGCGGCGGGGCGCCTTTGCTGCGCAACATGCTGAGACGACAGTGACCTACGCGCTGGCCAAAGCAGCTGCGGGCAGTTTCTGGATATCCGCAGGCAATTGGCGCTGCTGGCGAGTCTGCCAGTGACTCTGTTCAGGGACATGGTGGGGTTGGTGGAGAGTTTGGGGGTGACGAACGAGGCCCGACATCGTCCCGCTTGCGCCGCGAGCTGTGACAGCCTTCAGATAGGCATGTACCAGAAACTACAACGGACAGCGGTGATAGATACACGGCGAGTACAGCACTGTCGCCACGCCCACCATGTCCAAGGGCACCAAATATCTGCTGGTGTCCCTACCAACCTCAATATCGTCCTCCAACGACCGAGACGAAGCCCTCACAGCTCTCCGAGCTGCCGTAACCACCGACTATGGCACCACATCCCCCTTCCCCATACCAGCCTTCAAGATTGGAACCCTCGACGCCCTAGTGCAGCAAGCGGACGACCTGGCGAAGCTCGACACGACATGTGAAGGGGTGGTAAACCAGGTTGCAGACTCGTTGCGGAGCTTACTGGAGGGCGACGAGGATAAGATAGCGCAGCAGAAGACGATCAACGATAGTAACAGCTGCCCGAGCTTGTCGTCTTGCAGCAGCAGTAGCTGACCACTGGGTGCAGAGCCCGTGGACCAGTACCTCCGGTCGTTTTCATGGAACAAGGTCAAATACCGCGTAGACAAGCCAATCGCCGAGCTGATAGACGTCCTGCAAAGGGTACATAGCTTGATCCCCACTCCGCAGCTCTTCCCGCTCATGATTGCATCTTGCAGGAAGTCACCGGCATAGGCAACGACGTCAAGGCCAAGTTCAACCAATACAACTCCGTGAAGACCAACCTGGCCGCCTCGCAGCGCAAACAAACCGGCAACCTCTCCACGCGCTCCCTCGCCTCCATCGTCCAGCCGTCCCTCCTAATCCGCGACTCCGAGTACCTCGAAACCCACCTCATCGCCGTCCCGAACCAGCTCGTGAAGGACTATCTCCGATCCTACGAAACTCTGGCCCCGATGATCGTGCCCCGCTCCTCGACCGAAGTAGCAAAGGACGACGAGTTCACGCTCTACGCCGTCACGACGTTCAAGAAGCACTCGGCGGAATTCATCCACAAGTGTCGGGAGAAGCGGTGGACGCCGAGGGACTACAAGTACAAGGAGGGCGGGAAGGAGGAGGAGCGGGAGGAGGTGGAGAAGCTGGAGAAGGATGAGAGGAAGATATGGGGGGAGGCGTTGAGGCTGGGACGGACGGGATACAGCGAGAGCGCCATGTGCTGGGTCCATGTGCTGGCGCTGAGGGTGTTTGTGGAGACGGTGCTGCGGTATGGGTTGCCGCTCAACTTTGTCTGCGGTGTCGTATCGGTGAGTACCCACCCTAGTCACGGTTTTCCACGTGCTCGTCGTGCCGTCTTGAATGGAAGGCGCGTTGCGGCCGAATGCATAGGCTGACACAACGAATCACAGACGACGCCGAAGTTGGCGAAGAAGGTAAAAGCGAACCTCGATTCGAGGTATGGTTACCTCGGCGGCAATGCCTTCAACCGGGACAGCCAAGGAAGGCCCAAGAAGGACGACTCGGCCATGTCGAGTGAGATACAGGCGGCGGCGCAGATGGGTGGGGAGGAGTATACGGCCTATGTGTATTATGAGTTTGAGATCGCATAGAAGTCATGCGCGGAATTCAGCACCTGCATACTAAACGAAATGTTTCATTTTGATCTGATGTCTTTACCTGGCCAAGCGTCTCAACCGGTCCCTAGAACTGACTCCAGACCATGGCAAAAGATAACGGTGTTTCTAGAATGCTAGGTTATAGTGAAATTTACGGCGTAAGAGTAATGCAATCTACGGTACCTATGATTTGACTGTGGAGAATGTGGTGCATACAAGGAATTATAATTCTTGACACCTGTGGCCTACCTCAAGGGTGTGGTAAGCAGAGCTCGTAAGTTGCTGTATAAGCGGCCGTGCTGCTTCTCGGCTGCAGTGACAGGTCTCCCCAACAGTGGATTCACTTCGAACATGCGATTCCAAGTAAAATACTCATTGTCGTTGACACTCATCACAGCGAAATGGCCAGCATCGGCTTTACCCAAAACCGGCAAGCCGCTCGCATGACGTCATCTCTCACATGCCCCCCATCCAGCACACGAGCAGCGCTGACGACGCTTGATGGCCTGGAAACAAACAAAGCACAACATCCTCCCCTCGCTACAACCTCCTAAACCCCAACACGCTCACGCTAGAACCTACGCCACACTAAGCAGACCCCGCAACATGCCTCTCGTAGTCCCCGGCCTCATGGGCAAGAGCGGCGCCAGCGACGACGGCTCAAAGTGGCAGGAGCAGCTGATGGGGAAGAAGCTGGGGGATGTGTCTGACAATACTGTACGGCACAACGCTCTCTGTTTAGGGAGGTGGTGGAGCTAATGTCGTGGCTGTAGACGTTCGCGAAGAAGGAGCTGCCCAAGGAGACACGGGTGATCAAGCAGGGCGACATGGCGACGATGGACTTCAAGCCGGACAGGTAATGCCATAGATCGTGAGGATGATATATACGGGTATCACTGGCGCTGACTGCGGGACTCAGGTTGAACGTCCACGTTGCGGATGATGGCACGGTCACGCATGTTAAGATGGGATAAGTGGACGGTATTGCTGGGCTTGGAAGGAGCTTTGCTGGTAAGGAAGGTTCATGAGAGCTACGAAGCATGACATCGCAATAGATGCATGGAGGTAATAGACGGAGCAAGCCGGTTGCCTGGCTAGAATATACCCTCAATTTTCGTCCGCGAACGCCTGTCCCAGTGCAGAAGCCGTAGTCTCCATGCAGTGACCGATATCCCTGACCGGCTCCGTAGAGTCCAAAACGCCAATCCCACTGCAGTACATACTAACGCGCATAGCCATTCAGCATCAACGCCGGTGATGCCCTGGTTCCACATACCTCCTGAACTTTAAGTAAGCAGCGCATGGTGCTCAGAACCGCAGTCCTATGCTGAAAGGCGAGCTTGATAGCGCATCGAACAGAAATCGCAGCAATGTATCGCCTCTCCGGCGCCTTCTCTTTTGGCAGGTTTCTGGCGGCAGCTCCGCCGACAAGCGCGATCCAGAGCAGCACGCCAGCCATGTTGCCCCAGCAATCACTGAGGTCAGATCTTTCCAGCGCAGCTTTGAGCTTGCTAACAAGTGGGGTGGTCGAGGCGAGAAGTGGCGCTTTTGAAAACGGTTCCTGTTGAGCTATTGCAGTGGTATAAATGACAGCTGCGAGCCGGCACGATTCGTATTTCCAGTCGCCGAATTCGTCTGTGCCCTGTACTTCCGCTGAAGGCAAACAGGACACCTTGCGACACAGTCTCTGCCGCTCGGCTTCATCTGCCAGCGTTGGTAGAGCCGTTGCACTCCGTGGATAAAGGAGGGAATGGGTGACATCTCTGAGCGTAAGGAGCAGTGTTTGGGTGTGCCGCTTGTTGTATCCTGATCGCTCAAGGGACAGGAACTTGCCGCAAGGATAGTAACCTGGTGACTCGGGCTCGGGAATGCATCCGGATAAAGGAAAAGGTTGGTTCGTGTCCGAGTCGAAGTGAGCAGTGTATATTTGGTGGGGTTGACTTTCACTCAGAATGGCTGATTGAAAGGAGATTCTGCTATAGATCAGTCGAGTAGTCCATGCAGCTTGCACAGTTGAGCAGGAGACTTCGCTGGAGAAACGACCGAACTTACGTGGTCAGGATTGCCGCTAACACTCTACTCACACCCAGCCCATACAATCCACCTCGCTGAGACACCATCTCAAACATACGAGCTGCTAGGAAATTCATCCGGCCCGGATGTCCGCTAATGAGCTCGGCGCAGAGCAGATGCACGACGGACATCAAGTTTTCGTCGCAAGGCGCATAGTGTAAATCGCACCTGTCGTCGTTGATGCGCTCCATGCTTAGCTCTGTTTCCGACCTAATGGCTCCAGTCACTTCGCTCTCTGTCCCATCCCTCCCATTCAGCTCTGCGCCCTGCATGGCTTCCATATGCGCAGATGAAATACTCAGCGTACTGATGAATGCTTGAAAGCTCTTGGTGAGCTCTGGGCTCCAGGAGAGTTCCATGGCTTGGGTCCCAAAAGTCTGGCTGCAATACGTCTTTAACACCTCCACGTTGATACGGGGATTGCCAATTTGATACATGGCCTTGAAGGGTTCACACGCCGATCCGATGGGGTTCTGAAGTAGCGAAATCCAAAAGGCAGACAAATAACCAGAGTTGCCGCGAAGCGGCTTTACGAGCTCCTGAAGGAACGGCTGGTTTGCGAGTTTCTCTGCCTCCGTAAGGTGCTGATGGTAAGCGGTATCTTCACCTCGCTTCCGCTTCGATTGAGGCGCTGGAAGCCGCTGCGATGTATCCGGCGCAACCTGTCTTTCCATATGCTGGCTACCATCGTCCGAGAGTTTCCGCTTCTTCTTCGAAGTAGGCTGAGCTGGGTCATGCTCATGTAAAACGCCAGTAGGGGGTTCTGTTATCGAGTCTTGACTCTGTCTCTTTTTTTCATTATAATCCTTCATTACAACCTGCTTGACAATCTTCTTTACTTTGCGGGTTTTCGCCTCCTTTGGATGATAAATGTTCACGAACGTGTGTTTCTTCTCCGCTGTTGGAAGGGAGGCCGATGCCCTGCGACCATCATCTTGACTGCTCGACGCGACAGAATCTAAGCAGATGTTAGTCACTAGCAACGGCTTAGCTGACTACCGGATTCGGAAACGTTGCTGACCTGGAGACTGCCTTGCGACAGAATAGGTCGATATCGGCGATATCATTCCTTTATCCTTGGAGTACGTCGGAGGAGCTGCCGGCGGAGAGGGCCCGCTCCAATCGCTCATTTGCGCATGCGGATACAGGATAGTGCTCATCGTGCGCTGAGGGAGGATTGAAGGTAGAAAGATGCGGAGGTGGTAGACTAAATGGAACTGCGCGGATGCTCGAGAGGCCCTCGTGGGCCAGACGCAAGAGCATTGCACAATTGTAAGCCTGATGACTGCAGGCGGCCTCTGCTTCAAGGGTTCGATTGAAGGCGGAAAGCAATGCCGATCGCTGCTTACCCGGCCAATTGCTACAAGTCGGTCACTAAGAGGGACTACGCCTGCAGCCAACCGGTAAGTTACATCCCAACAGGCATCGATCGACCAGCAAGGCTGAGAATACCGTTGCCTGCCTCCGGAACCAGGCAAAACGATGCCTGAATGAGGCATGGCTTTAGTGTCGCCATGCGCAGCGTGGAGCTTGACACTGCGGCTCACGTGCATTCTGACCGCTGACCGGTGAGGTGGTGGAGACTGGGTGTGGGAAGATCCTTGCTGCACATCCTTGACCGCCAGGCCGCAGCAACCACGACCGCAGCATCGAGGCCGCAGCAACCCCGCTGGTGAGTAAGGTAGATCCGCTCGTGCAGTATGTATCATCTCAGTGCCGTCGAGACAGAACGGGATGGAGCGGCTAGTGTACAGACTGAGTACCTAGCGGCATGACTTGTGGACGTCGGACCCGCAGTCTTGCTGCGCTTAAGCTTTCCACAGCCACAACCCAGCAACGGTTGTGTCCCCTATTGCACGACAGAACCAAAGTAATCACCAGCGCCCCGGTTCGCCCTTCCGTTCGACCCTCTGCTTGCGGGATCGCGGCTGCTGCTTGGACTGCTTAAGCCATTTGGAGACGGGCTGCCAGCAGTGTCAACTCCGAGACCCACGCCGTTGCGCTGATAGTGAGAGAAACCCATGTCTGCAGCGGCATCTTGCATGCGCGATCTGTCACCGCCACGCTCGTCGGCTGGCGACTTCTGCTCAACCAGATTCAACGCCTCTCTGAGCGTGTCGCCAGACTCGTCGAGCGCCATCAAGAAGCGCGCGAGCTCCTTACACAGATCCCAGTCCTGCTCTGCTCTGGCGCGTCGCAGTAACCGTATAAGCTGGTGCGAGCTCGAGCTGAGCTCTTCAAGAGTGTGAAGCACCAAGACGTAGCCACCCGCCGTCTTCAGCAACCCTTTCTGCAGCGCTTCTTCAAACAGATCCTGTGCCGGCGGCAAGTGCGCGAACAAAGTGCGCCAAGAGCGAACTTCGGTTTTGCGCGTGCACTGCACGATGATGTCCAGGTACTGTGGAAAGGACGAAAGGAAAGAGAGGACGCTGGGCAACAGCGCTTGCTCCGGAGCTGGAGACGTGTCCACCTCTTCGTCAAGAACGTTGTGCAGCATGACCTCCAAAGCGTGAGGGAAGTAATCCAACTGCTGATAATGATGCGCTAAATGTAGCGCCGCGGGTGAGTCAAAGCGCGAGAGATGGTACTGCAACAATGCCGGAAGGAAGAGGTGAGTCCTCGTCGTAAACCTGAAATGTCCAAAGCTGATGTCCCGCCTCAAGATAAGGTCTGATTCAATGCCGAAAAGGATGCCCTTGTCCAGTAAGGCGGATAGTGGATAGAAATCTATAGGTATCTTCACAGTAGGCAGCAGTTCCCTTCCCAGCTCTGCAGAGACCGAAGCCAAGGTCTCTTGGACATCGATCCAGACCTGCATGTGGTTGCCATCGAAAAACCACAGCGAATCCTTGAGTCCATGGCCATGGTATCCGCTCACCAGGGCATCCGATGAAGGAGTCGGCGGCCATGAATTATGTTGGTGTTGAAATTCAAGCTGCGGCTGGTCCCGCATCAGGGCGTAGTATTCAACGTTGTGGGCCAAGATGCGCATCTCGTACTTGAGCACCCGGTCCTCGGTCATAGCAGGACTAAGTAGAACCAGTTTGCCGTCCACAAGGAAGAGTATAGTTGCAACAGCCACATCCTGTGAAGGGTCGCCATTGACTGTGTTTGTTAGCTTGTCAGCCATTCATTTCGATGGTCCTACTTACTGAGATGACTGTCCGGCAAGATCCAACTCAAGGCTCGTACGCGGAGCGGCGCCCTAATGATCCCGTGAAGTGCAATCTGCCCTACCTGCACCAGCTTGACCGAGCCATGGACAGCGCTTATGACATAGTGATATAAAACGTTCTCGTACGTGTACACCAAGAGTGAGTCGTCTCCAGAGGTTGATATCAGCACGATAGGAGCCGGTAAACTCTCCGCATGCATCATCTGTCCGCTGTCAAGAGCCATCTCCCGAGAGTACAGCCGTAGCTGCAAGTTCCGTCAGTGGGGCCTTCGCATAACCATTAATCCGCTTACCTCATGTGAAGTGCTTGTCTCAACAGCTGCGATTAAGACATGTTGGTGCCAGCACATTCCACCCCTGACAGTAAACTCATTCTCCAAAAGTGAGTCATCAAACGCCTTCCATCTGCCGCTGTTGATGCTATAGTGGGCTAAGCCATGTCGACCGGCGACCGCCACGTACTTGCCGTCGCTTGATATTACAGCGCTTCTGATGGGCCACTGATCAACCAGATAGCTGGCAGGGATTTGAACGTGGTGCCATAGTGAAGCTTCTGCGGAGATGGTAGTTAGATCTGGCACATCGTACCCTCGGTATACTAGGAAACCGGTGTTGGTCTGGAGCAAGGAGCGAGAAACATTCGCAGGAGAGAAACAGCCCGCGACAGCACTGCGAGCCATTTCCAGAGACCAGATGCGATTGTCGCATCGGCCAAGAAGAAGGATCTCCGAGCCGCCTCCAATCCAAAAGCCATCTCGGACTCCTAGGAGCCAACCTTCGTCATTCGCTTCCGAGATAGAGCGGTCCGCTGAAAAGCTACTTGCGCCAGGTTTGCCAAATACGCTCCACGTCATCCATCCTTTCTCGTACCCTGCGAAGAGACAATATCCATCCGGAGAGTAACTTAAAAACGTCAATTTGCCAGTCGATGAACTCGTGCTGCTAGGCCGGAGTTTGTGAGACAGCGGTATATTCCCCACATAGTCGCGAACTGTATAAACATACACGTCGCCGTCGGCGCATCCTATGGCAAGCATTGAAAAGCGCGCATTGACAGCAGCTACGGCGCCAAAATCATTCCCCGACTCTGGAGTGTGGAAACAATAGCCCCGAAAGAGGCTTTTTTGAGAAGCATCAGTCAAGTCCGGTGTGAGTCGCTGCACAGCATAAGCTTTGCCGTCACTCGTGACCCATGTAGACAGGTTCATCGGTCGATCGTGGATCATGTCGATAATGGTTGTTTTGGCGCTAAGCCACGACATGCGACTGAGCAGCTCCGTACTCGTCTGAGTTCCCGCACTGTCCGGCGTCCAGCGAATGCACTGTATAGCCGGCGGCCTTTCAGTCGCAATAACCAGCTCTTCGTCCAGGGCTAGCGCTCTGGCAATTCCAGCGTCCAACCGGATTGCCATTCTGAAACGGACGCTGACCTCACGGATCCCGTTTCCTTCTCCAGGACCGACATACGCATCTACGCCGGCGTGCGCCATGTAGCCTCCAACACTCCGCCGTCGGGCATGGGACACGGCATTGTCGGTGAACTGTGCCTTGTATACACGAGCGTGAGGATCTGAAGCGAGCGTATAGGTAATGATGTAACCCCTGGTGGTCTGGATGTTGAAGAACACGGAGTTGGGGTGGACATGAAGGGCGACGTTCAAGCCGTAGGCTTGAAGGGACTGCTTAGACCGCAGTACGCACGCTAGGACTGCCGCCGGCTGTGACACAAGTCAGAAACGTCCAAGCACGTGTTGTAGGCATCGTGAGTTTACCTTGGTTTGCCAGATTGTGAGGGTGGAACGGGTGATGGTCCCAAACGTCTGCCCACTGCGTGTGACACACAGCCCGATAATCTCTCCAGCGATGCCCTCTTCATCTGAATATGCTTTTTGCGGATTGTCTTCGCCGTTTATAGGTGATTTGACCTCGCTTTGGAGTGGACCAGGCACTTGCTTCACCGTGCTACTATTAGCAAGAGGCTCCGTCTCTTTCCCTTCTTCGGTGTCTTCCTCGCTATAAGCTCCATTGGGTTTACTCGTTGCAGCATGTTGGATGCCGTCGTTGGAGTCTGTAAATTTCTCCTGGGGCAGCTGGTGCTTGCTCGCGGCATAGACTCGAGGTGCCCCAATCGGCCAGTACATGGCGCTTTAAACCGACCGATGCCTGCGTTTGTAGAGCGCCATCACCAGGACCCGCGCTTCGGAACTCGCAAGCTTGATTCAAAGCGCCAAGGGGTTGCTTAAGAATTGGCGGACGTTTAGAGGAAGTGCACCTGCGGGAGACACAGATAGTGATCGCCAAGGGTCTATTCTGCGAACTGCCAGGCAAAAAGGAACTCTCGAGGGAGACCACTGATATATCAGGATAACATTGCTCAAGATGCCAGCACAACCAGGTCAACAACCAGCCAATTTTACTCCCGTTGTGAAGGTCGTTTTGGCGCAGCTACATACAGACCTGTAGCTGTGTGCCTTGTGGCCTGGCGGCGAAACCGAGGTCGTCATCCAGGGCTTGAAACGACTCATGACTCTCTCCAGCTCTGGTCCAAGCAACGACAAACAACAAGCTTGACCGCTCATGAACGCCTTTACGAATCTCCTTTCTGTTTCAGACATTACGACTGCATATTGATATCTACAAATACCCCTTAATGCCTCTGTAGCTAGCACAACACGCGACATGCCTCCCACTAACGGCGGCATCGACAAGCTCGACTACCATCCCGGCGGCAGACCGCTGCTGCAGGTAGACGACAGCGCGTCGGAGACTGGGCGGCCGAGCCACGATACAAGCTATGCCGGCTCCTTCTTCGAGAACGTCGCAGAGGGTATCGTCGAGCGGGACAGAAGGAAGATGCGCAGGCAGATCATCAGATACACGAGCTTCGCCTGGGCCATAGTGAACTGGTAAACGACACCTTGCCAGGCCAACCTTTTCCAAGTGTACCTGCTAAAACATATCCACAGCCTATGCGGAGGCTCCATCACCGCATACTCCCTCTACGGCCACCTTTTTCAGTCCCGCCTGCGCTACACCCAGTTCCAGGTGAACATCGCGTCCATCACGGCCGAGTTGGCGCTATACCTCCCGGTACCGGTTTTCGGATATCTCTGCGATCGCTACGGGCCCGGCATACCGTGTTTTATGTCTGGGTGTTTGTTCGGGTTTGGGTACCTGCTGGCAGCCTTCACTTACCGTAGCGGCCCGGAACCATCAGCAGGAGGCGACGGCTGGCCTTTCGGAGTAATGGTGCTGGCATTCGTTGGTATTGGGATGGGCACAAGCAGCATCTACTTGTCTGCTGTCACGACATGCGCGAAGAACTTTGGTCGTGGGAAGCACAAGGGTGTTGCGCTGGCCCTACCCATCGCCTCCTTTGGATTGAGTGGGATGTGGCAGAGTCAGGTTGGGAGTAGGCTCCTGTACGAGCGGCGGCCTGACGGCTCAAAAGGCGATGTCGATGTTTTTCGGTTCTTCTTGTTCCTTGGGTGTCTCCTACTTAGCGTTGGAGTTATCGGAGGATTCGTTTTGAAGATCGTGGATGAGGAAGAGATGATCGATGAAGCTGTGGAAGAGCTAGAGCAGAGTGGGCTCCTCCAAGAGAGCGAGTTCTTCCATCGCGCAGCGAACATGCATGGCTACGGCACGATGCCCCGGCAAGATCTCTCAGACTCGACGTACGACTTCCTGAACGCCGAAGCCGAAGACCTGAAAGCGCGCGCGCAGGAGGAGCAACGCAAGAAGAACTGGCTCCTCAATGAGGAGACCCGACGCTTCCTCAGCGACAAGACCATGTGGTGGCTAGCCGCCGGTTTCTTCCTCGTCACCGGCCCCGGCGAAGCCTTCATCAACAACCTAGGCACCATAATAGGGACTCTCTACCCGCCCACCTCCTCGACCTCCGAGATCCCCACCTCAGCCGCGACCCACGTCTCCATCGTCGCCATCACCTCAACCCTCGCCCGCCTCCTCACCGGCACAATCTCCGACCTCGTCGCCCCCTCCTTCGCCGCGCACCAGCACCGCCGTGGCCCCAACTCCCTCGCCAACTCCATCGACTCCCTGACCCCACAAACCACCCAATCAACCGGCTTCTCCATCTCCCGCCTCACCTTCCTCCTAGCATTCTCCCTCCTCCTCAGCATCGGCCAGATCGTCCTCGCATCCGGCCTCGTGCAGAACCACGGCGACCGCTTTTGGCTTGTCTCCGCGTGCGTGGGCGCGGGGTATGGTGCTGCGTTTTCGCTCGTGCCGATCATCTTGTCGGTTGTGTGGGGAGTTGAGAATTTCGGGACTAATTGGGGCATTGTTGCCATGGTGCCGGCGGCGGGGGCGGCGCTGTGGGGGATTGTGTATTCGGCTGTCTATGAGAGCGGCGCGGGGGAGGGCGGGCCAGAGGGCCAAGATGTACTGTGTCATGGGGTGCAGTGCTATCAGAGCACTTTCTGGGCGATGGCTATCAGTGTTTGGGTCGCTTGTGGGCTTTGGCTGTGGGCTTGGAAGGGGCCAGGAGGTTGGGCGAGGAGAGGGATTGCCGTATAAGGGTGGGAGCTAGCGAAAGGGGTTTGCGTGATTGCATAGCGTTCGGTCAGGAGTACGGTTTGGGGTGCTTGTACCCGGTATCAATTAATACTTCCAACCACCGCTTCCTCAACCATTTCGATATTGCCTGAACCCGTAAAGTAGAGGAGTGTGTACCCGTGCGTTGAATACCTCATAAACTCACTGCGGGGCATGGTGGGGCGGCTAAGCAAGGAGCTCTTCGCTGGAAGGAACAACTTTGCTCATTGTTTGTTGTCATCTATACGGAACCCCCGTACCGCATAGCTGCGTAGAAATTGAATAAGGCAGGTTCAACGTAAAATGGATCCAGACACGCTGAAGCACTACCTGGCGGACAACCCCCCACTCGTCGTCCCGCTCAAGATCAAACCGCACTTCGAGGCCCTAAGCGCCGAAGAGAAGCTCTACGCGCACTACATCTCCGTGTCAGTATGCAAATATGACACCGCATGGGCGTAGCGGCAGTTGACATTAATGCAGTGCATGCTTCGCCGGCACGCGCATCGTGCTGCGCCAGGTCTCGCCGGAGTCGGAACACATCTACGACTTCATAATTGCTTTGCACAAGCACTGCGATGGGGACTGGAAGAAGCTGCAAGAAGAGGCGGGCATGGGGGATGAGGAGTTAAGACACTTCCTTAGGTATGCGGCGCAGTTCCTGGGGAACGCGGGGAACTACAAGAGCTTTGGGGACACGAAGTTTGTGCCGCGCTTTGAGGAGGGGACGTTGAAGGCGTTGGCAGATGTGTCCGATGAGACAAGAAACCTCTATGAGAAGGTCAAGAAGGGGATCTTTGCCGCGGAGACAGAGGCGAAGATGCTGTTGGGGTATCCGGATGCTGGACATCTGTCTACATATTACCCTGACTCGCCGGACATCACGAAGGGGGAGATTGAGGAGGTTAGCAAATTCCTGATGGATAAGGGGTTGCTCCCAGAGAACACACGGCTCAAGAAGACGGCAGGGGGGTTTGAGGTGTTGATCGCTTCGGCCTCCAAGGATCCGAGGAAAGAGGAGAGGGATATTCCGGAGACTGAGTGGGATCTTGAAGGCGAGCTCCAGGGCAAGAAGCTCAAGCTCGTCTTCGGCGACCACGCTTTCGAGATGGGCAAGATCGCGGACGCACTGGAAGAGGCGGGCAAGCACGCTGCCAACGAGACGCAGAAGAGCATGATGCAGGAATATGTCAAGTCCTTCCGGACCGGTTCGCTGGAAGCTTACAAGCAGAGCCAACGCTACTGGATCAGGGACAAGGGCCCGATGGTAGAGTCAGACATCGGATTCGTGGAGACATACCGCGATCCACATGGCATCCGCGGCGAGTGGGAAGGGTTCGCGGCCATGGTCAACAAAGAGCGTACCAAGGCGTTCGGGAAGTTGGTTGAGGCTGCACCAGAGTTGATTCCGAGACTGCCGTGGAGCAAAGACTTTGAGAAGGACAAGTTTCTCAGTCCGGACTTCACGTCTCTGGAGGTGCTGACTTTCGCCGGCAGTGGGTAAGTCGAGTCCATGGCAAGCAACCAGTTCATAAGCTTACAACCGCAACAGTATTCCCGCAGGAATAAATATACCTAACTATGACGACATCAGACAGACGGAAGGGTTCAAAAACGTCTCCCTTGGAAACGTTCTCAGCGCTAAGGCGCCGAATGAGCCCATCCCATTCATCAAAGAGAGTGACTTAGAGCTGTACTCCAAGTATCGAGACGTAGCATTCGAGGTACAAGTAGGCCTGCACGAACTCCTCGGCCACGGTTGCGGCAAGCTGCTTCAGGAGACAGAGCCGGGAAAGTACAATTTCGACATCAAGAACCCCCCATTTAACCCAGTTACCGGCAAGCCCGTCGATAGCTGGTATGCACCAGGCCAGACATGGGGCAGCGTGTTTGGCAGCATTGCGGCAAGTTACGAAGAATGCCGCGCCGAATGCGTGGCCATGGCTCTCAGCTGCGACTTCGAAATTCTGAAAATCTTTGGCCTAGGTGACGGCACTGTCGACATGGACGGCGAAGCCGGAGACGTGTTGTATGCCGCCTACCTCAGCATGGCCCGTGCCGGAGTTGTGGCTCTAGAGTACTGGGACCCGAAGAGCAGAAAATGGGGTCAGGCGCATATGCAGGCTCGCTTCTCCATTATGCGGACCTTCCTGAACGCCGGCGTTGAGTTTTGCGAGCTGCAGTGGACGAAGGATGACCTCTCGGATCTTACCATCTTCCTTGACAGGTCGAAGATCATCAGTCATGGCAGGCCGGCGGTGGAGGACTATCTACGGCAGCTTCATATCTACAAGTCCACAGCGGATGTCAAGAGAGCAAGGAGACTCTACGAGGAAATCACAACAGTAGAGCCCCATTATGAGAACAGAGTCAGGCCGGCAGTGTTGGCTGCGAAGACGCCGAGGAAAGTGTTTGTGCAGGCGAACACGTTTATGGAGGGGGATCAGGTCGTGCTCAAGGAGTATGAGTCTACCCTAGAGGGCATGATTAGGAGCTATGCCGAGAGGGAATATATCTAAGCTGCATTACTTAGTGGAGTGAGTCCGTTAAGACGGGTTATTTGAGTCCAAGCATTGCACGGCGGCGTGGGCATCTAGACATCTACCGCGATCTTGAATCTAAGTGCCAGCCGAAGATTCCGTTGCCGCATCTTCGCTCCGGCTCGTTTGATAACGGACACACGATCGAGCTGGCCTTATAGCCTTATCATCGTAGAGTAGCTAGAAAAATTCCATATGATAGAAAGTAAAAGGTGTTTAGCAGTCTAGCTCTTTATTACATCGACCATCTTAGGCATCATTTAGCCATAGACTGCACTGAGGGCTATTGATCTCCAGGGCTACGAGTAGCTTTCAATACGGGAATCGACTTTTCGGGTGGCCCTTGATATATCGCGTGTAGGAATACTCTCGAGTTCACTACGCAAACACGTCGGTAGCATACCGATCGTTCCGTATCTTCTCAAACCACTCCTTCGCCTCCTCCTCATTCTTCTCTTTACCCAGCTCTGCCGCCCTCTCCATCATGATCTTGATACTTGTCTCCTTGACCGCTTCGCCAACCTCTCTACTACCGCACACGAAGCACTTCGCACCCTTCTCCCACATCTCAATCGCATCCTTCCGTTCTGCCCAAAGCCTGTCCTGGACGTATCTGCAGCCATCGCTCGCTTCCGGCTTCCGACTGTACGCGCGCCTGACCTCAACCGCACCCATCTTCTCCCACTTCGCGAACTCGGCAGCGTATAGATCATCTACTTCCGGATCACGGCAGCCGAAGAACAGCAGCGCGGGCGCAAGATCCCTACCCGCAGCTATCTGCGCTGCACGCTCCTGGATGAAGCCCCTGAAGGGTGCAAGGCCAGTGCCAGCTGCGATGCAGATGATCGGTACTTTCTCAGGGTCTGACGGAAGGTGGAAGGCCTGATGTGATTGGCGGACAGATACGTGGAGTCTGTCGCCCGCGGTAAGGCCGGAGAGGTAGTTCGATGCTACGCCGACGTAGCGGCCATGGCCACTTAGAGAGGGCTGATCGAGCACTGCGTAAGTCAAGGTAACGCGGTGCGGGTTCCAGAGGGGCGAGGAAGAGATGGAGTATTGGCGGACGCGCATGGGTGGGAGGAGTTGCAGAAATGGGCCGAGAGGTAGGGAAACGGACGGAAATCTTTCGAGGAGATCAAGGATGGACACACGCTTGTTGCTGATCTCCTCAGTGAAGGCCGAGTCAGAAAGACGTGTAAGCTCAATCTTGGTTGCTTCGTCCTTCGTAGCCTCTGCTAATGCCAGGACGTTGCGTTTGGTAGCTGGCTGAGCGAGCTCGACGTACGCGCCGAAGAGGTCAGCAGTTGAGATAGGGACACCCGTAGGCAGGGCCGTAGGTCCAGCGGATGAGAGCGTAAGTACGCTGTCCCAGGCAAGACCAAAGTATCGCATAGCTCTTTGCACATTGTCCTTGGGGTTGATCGGCAATATCGCTAGGTAATCGCCAGTCGAATAGGTCATGTCCGACGGTAAACTGATCTCTATGTGCTTTTTTTGCGGCGCGTCATCTGCCGTCAAGAGCTTCTCATTAATCACACGCGCTTCTTTGACGTCTTGACGCAGCGTGGATGACCGGGGGCTAGATATTTCGACTTTGAGGCCGGATTCGAAAGCTGCTTCACCCACCTCGGAGGCTCCGTATTGCTTGACCATTGCTGGCCAGAAGACCTGATCCTCCCAGTTCTCGAAGTCGGTGAACATATCGCCTGCTGCGGCATCGGCCTTTCCCATCGGAGCGATTCGCTTTCCTCCACGTTGCTCCAGTAGGTCGTCCACCAGCTGGGGTATCTTGTGGAATGTGTTGGCCCAGTCATGATGACCACAGGCGAACACCGAGAACGCTACATTCTCCGCCTCGGAGCCCTTAAGGCTTTGCAGCCAAGTGACGAAGTGCGCCGCGTTATCAGGCGGCTGCCCTTCATAGGACGCTGTGATGATTACGACTGGTTGATCTGTCGGAAGTGCCTGGTTAGAAGAGTCCAGGCTATCGACCCTGGTTGCTTGAAAACCGTGCGCTGGAGCATCGCTCGCCAGTCTCTGAGCCAGAGCTTCGCAAGTCCCCGTATTTGAACCATACAGAACGACCATCTTCTTTCCTCCGGCAGCTTGGGTAATGGGCTTATTGGTTACTTTCGAGGTTTCTCCAAATGCGGCTGACTTGTTGGTACTGATGGTTCTTGAGGACAGTCCTCGCTCAAGCGTAGTTGGTGTGATATTATTCCGAAGCATAGCCCGCATCCGGAAGCCCTTAGGCTTGATGGTCAGGGTCTGCTTGAACTGCAGCTGATACGAAGGGTCTTCTGCCACAAAGTTGAAGTTTTGCAGCAACATCGCCACAACCAAGAGAGCTTCCTGCCATGCAAACGGTCTGCCGATGCAAGCTCGTGAGCCATTCCCGAAAGGTTTCCAGCAGTTCGGGTACTCCTTATTCCGCCTGTCGAACTCTTCGTCAAGCATCCGCTCCGGCTTCCACTCGTCCGCATCCTCACCATAAGCAACGGGATCGCGGTGGACTTTAGTGAGCAGCGCAATGACTGGCTCGCCCTTCTCCACCTGATACTTGCCGCCGATGATCTCAGGCTTATGCGCTTGTATGGCGAAGGCCGGCGCAGTAGGACATAGGCGCAGGGTCTCCCTTAGGATGGCCGTGATGTACGGAATCTTGGACATATGATCAACGGTAATAGGCCCATTTCCGATGACCCGATCGACCTCCTCTTGAGCTTTCTGATAGGCCAAGGGGTTCTTCAGCAGGTAGTAGAAAACGAACGATAGAAGTCCCGAGGTAGTCTCGTGACCGGCGATCAAGAAAGTGATCAAATTATCTATGATGTTTTCGTCACTCAGATGTTCCCCCGTCTTTGGATCTGTACCCTTGAGCATAGCGTTAAGTAGGTCCTTTCGTTCGGTTGGATGCTGTTTTCGAGTCTGCACAAGCTCGTCGGCCGTCTCGCGCAATAGCTCAATGTCGGCTTCGTACTTGTAGTTTGCTTGGCGGTAGAACACCTGGGCCAGTGCTGGACGTCTCGATCGGTTGCCGGATTCAGTCAAGAAGTCTCCCATAGCCTGGATGAATGGGTGCCTGGCTATCGTCAGAATGCACCGATATGGAATGTTTCGACCGCAGTTTACTAGAGCTTACATCTGCTCCCGGTAGTAGGAGTTGAAACGATAGTCCATAGCGCACAGCGCGATTGTATCCAGCGTCAGGCGCGTGAAGTCATCCGTGACAGGTATGCTGTAGGAAGAGCCGTGTCTCGCCCACTTCATGACCAGCTGTCCAGCGATATCATGCATCTCATCAAACATGCCTCTGATGGATAGGGGCCCGAAGGCTGGGATGAGGATCCTGTGGGCGATTCCCCAGTTCTTCTCTTCCGGCCCGTATGCCGTGAACAGGCCATCATGCGTGCCGTTTCGAACTTCTTCCAGTGCTGCTGCGACGATCTTGCTGAATCTGCTTTCGTCTGAGACCTCGTTCATCAACGCCTGTGATCCAATAACTACCCGACTCTTTCCCGTTATGGTCATCCGGTATATTGGACCTGTATGGTACAGTTAGGACCCTACAGACTTTGCCCGCATGATCTTCGCGCAAAAGTCACGTATCTTGCATCTCCGTTGCTATAAGTATAGAGTATAGCGCCTACCATAGATATCGGACAAATGATTCAGTGAGCCAAGTGGAAACTCCGGATCAATATCAGCGACATTACCCAAAAATGGCAAGCCCGGGGGACAAGGTATTGGAACTGTATCAGGCATGTTGGATATGGAATGAAGAAAACGGGGGAGGAATATAAATCAGGTGAAGATATTAGATGAACGCCTGGATGAACAGCGGATGCGAAGCTAGGGATCAGTCGTCTTATTGGAAAAGGAGGCGGAACGACAATTGCGCCGTAAATCCAACAGAAAACATCTAGTACGACAGATCTCGTACGAATGACGTCTCGGCGAAGAAAACAATCTCACTGAACAGGAAACTCGTCCGTAGAAAGGGAAACCCATGCCGAGGTATCCGTGACTGCGGGTGAGCTCCAGCTCCATTGTTTTCAGCCTTGCGAGCTGAGTTTCCCGTGTGGATGCTTGATCGAAGATAGAGTTTTCTTGGCGTGGGATCTGGAAACTGCCTCGGCACAGAGCGCACACTAGAGACAAGATGGGCAATGCCTTAACTTATCCAATTGTTGGGAGAATGCGAACGTACTACTCGATTACACTGCTTCGAGCGCAATTAGTCTTATTATTGCAAACTCTCCCTAAGAGGTACAAGCATATCAAACTTCGAGTCAGATGTTGGTCTAACCGACGTACGAGTAGTACTCAGCTCGCGAATCCGGTCTATGAACTGAACGCTCTGCCCTGTGCCTGATGGCAAAATTCACTCTAGATGTAATTACATGAGTCATGCTAGATGTAACCGACATGCTCTTGCGCTTCTCCTAGCCCAAAGTCAACCCTCTGATGGTCTCACCGATCTTGAAACCCGCACCAAGTTCTGTGTCATAGCCCCTGTCCCTGATAGCTATGTCCATACAGCGGGCAAAAGCCAGAGATCGAGCGTCAGCCATGAAGCGTGTAGCCAGCCCCAAACCCGTCCAAAGACGTTACTGGAATGGACTTTGCAGACATGTCCTCCATAGGGCAAGAGAACGACTACGGGCATCCAGCCGGATCTCCTCTCGCTCCTTCTAGATGGCGCGAGTGCAGATGCGGACGAGAAATAATCCATCGCCGGGTCATCGCCGGCCGTTATGCTGCAGACGAGATATTTGTACCATGGAGCTGTAGGATGAAACATCCTATGATGAAACATCCTTACATCCAGAGGCTGTGGTGTTTCCAACTTTGACCAGAAGGCCGTTTAGGTAAGAGGATTGCCACTGGCGCGCTGAGTTCGCTTCAGAGAACCTGTGATTCGAGATCGAGCCTCCTCTTCGCGATCGCGTATCCATTGGCGTCCATGGGGAGGATCCTAAGCCGAGCACCTGAAGCTTCCTTAAGATCCATCGCTTGTGGCGCTTACAATCAACGAAACCACCAGTTGACCTGTGCAATGTGAATGTTCGTCAGTAAAACGATTCCGTGACTGCTCCACCAGAGGCGAATCTCACCGAACCAGTAACCCCCTCCCCAACGCCCTTGATACTATGCCACCATCCTAGTGGAATGAACAGCCCATCCCCTCTGTTCAGCCGTGCCTCCCAGCCCTTCTCTTGCCCCTCTCCCCACACCTCCTCCTCAAGTGCCCTCGCCTCCTCACCCACCATCATCTCCGCCCCTCGAACACTCGCCCTGCCATCTCCATGCAACATCCTAACCCTCTCATATATGCCCCTTCCCAGCTCCGGCTCAAACAACCTCACAACTTTCTCCCCCGCCATCTGCACGAACAGATTTGGATTCGGGTCTTTGTGCAGCGGCGTGCAGGTAGGTGGGACTCCGATCCAGACATTCGCATCGTAGAGGTCTCCCCTGCCTGCCTTTTCCACGATCTTCGGGGTCGGCAAGTCAGCGGCAAGGCGCTTCGGAAGGTCGGAGATGCTAGCTTGCGCGAGGTAGAGCCGCGCCTCGGGGTCGATTTGGAGATGCGTGAGACGGCGGGATGTCCAGCCGAGGAAGAGGCTCAGGGGCGCGTGGAAGCGGTGGAATGTTTCTGAGGGCTCCTTTTGGGCCGCGTCATTGTTTTCGAGCTGCGGAGGCGACGTAGGTGGAGTTGGGGTGGTGAGCTCAAGCGGGACTAGAGTGTCACCGTATTCGGAGAGATACTCTTTGTTCAGCTGCCAGATGCTTTTGTCTTTCTGCACGGCGCTTCGAGGCTTGAACCATTTCTGCACCGCTGGGAGGCTGCCGGAGAAGTGCTGGCGAGGGAATAGGACGGGGCGGCCGGGGTTGAAATACTGGGTGCGGAACGTCTCGATGTCTGCAGATGGGAGTGTCGACACAGGATCGAAGCGGTTGGCTGTGGAGTAAAATCGAGCACTCTTGAGGGCAACGAATGCTCTGCGCTGTATGGGCATCTGGTAGTTTGCAAGTGACTGGGGAGAAGTGGGAAGCTTAAGGAGTCCATGTTCATTGGTAGTACTCTCTCGACGCCAGCTTCAGAAATCGCTTAGGAACCGTCAAAGCAAAAGGGAAGAGGTTCATCCTCCGGAAAAAATGCAAAAACATACAGCAGTAGGTATTCACTAGTGGTCACCCACCTAATTACTAATCTACCGATTCGAAGCTTAATTACAGGAGAGCGAACGGGATCCGATGTTTTCCTTGATCTATGGCCGTATGTGACGGTCACAAGCACGATTTTAATACTATTACACGGCTTGTTTGCCGCATTCTGGATGTATACTGTAACCTGTTCGTTTCTTGGATATATGTTATCTTCTTTGCAAGAAAGAGCCCCCATATCAGCAGGCAGCCTCGAACTCACAGATAGCAGGGTCATATCCAGATAGCTCGGGAATTGACCATCACATCTCACGTCTATACCGTTGAACTTAGGTTGGTAAGAAAGGCTCGTACGTTTCTCACATCTTGCGGAATTAACACTGCAGCGACCAATGAACTTAACAACAGCCGACGCTCTCCATTCTTCAATTCTGTCCTTGAACAGATTGTCATCAAGGTCAGCCTTGCGCGTCTACTGCTTCTGATGCGTGCTGCTGCGGTCATGTCTTGAGGACTGGGTTATGAAAAGCTCATTGAGCAGGTGAAAGATCTATCCTCAGTTGCAATCCTATAGAGATATAGTAGAGCCAAGACCCAGACAGCACCTGACGCCAGAGAATCGTATGCAGCTCACTTTCCCCCAATTTAGCATCCATCAGTCATATTCCATGCATCAGCTTCCCTCATCGTACCGAAACACCCCAGGTTTGCGAAAAGTAGTTATATGTCAAACTCCCCAGACACCTTCCAACAGTCTCTGCCTTCCCCTGCAGTCTCACTCTCACGCCGCAGCACCCACACCGGCACCGACGCCCTGCCCCCCCGCCGCCGGCACATCCCTCACAGGTCCCGGCCCCTGAATCCCCGCAACCTGCTGCACCTGCTGCGTAGCCACCACATCCCTCTGACTCGGCAACAAGCCCTTCCCGACCCACAACTCGACGAGCGGCATCATCGGCTCCATCTCCTTATCGCCGAGCAACCCGTACAGCTTCCCGACATTTACGAAGTGCACAAAGCAGGTGTTGAGCTCCTTGTACGCGTTCACGTGCCAGAAGGGATCGAGCCAGTGGCCGTGGTAGAGATGCGCGTAGCAGCGCATCATCTGGCGATATATGGACTTGAGGTCCGACTCGAAGGTCTCGGGGAAGCCCGAGGATTTGCCGAGCCAGGTCCTCCCGGCCAGTTTTTCGAGGGGCTGGGTCAGCGTCGTGGGACCCATTGGGATGGGCGTCATGGAGGTCGGGGTTGACATGCCGCTGTTGCCACTGCCGGATGGGTAGGCTGAGGGCGTGGTGTAGGACGTGTACGTGGGGAAGAGGGTCGGGTCGGTGATCTTACCAAGGATCCACTTTTGCACGAGGTTGATGTACTGGTACGCGGGGATCTTGATCGGCTTCTTGTTGTTGTCCAGCCAGGTGTAGGTGTGGCCCGAGGCGGACATGGTGGGGCAGGTGTCGGGGTTGCAGATTGGAAGGCCGGTGCGGTCGTCGAGGGTCTTGATTATGCTGAGCATGCCGTCTAGGAGGCGGTATTGTTCGACGACTGTGAGGGGTGTGAGTGTGGGCGGCTGGGGAGGGGAAGTGGAGGGGGGAAGAGGAGACCTTGGTGCGCGAGCCATTCGCCTTCTTCAACATGGACAGGCTTGGCGGCAAGAGTCATGAAGTTGCCCTTGACGATGAGGCCGGCGTACTCATCACGGAAGAAGAAGGGCGGCTTGCGGTTGACAGGCGCTTGGTCGGGCGCGGCGTTCTCGACGGACGTCGCCGCTGAGAGGGCGGGCGAGTGCGGCATGGGTGGGATTGAGGGTGCTCCTTGGGAGTTTGGGTAGCCTGTCGGGGAGGGAGTCTGCTGGCCGTTGCCTCTGCCTTGCTGGGCGGCATTCTTGTTGGACTGACGGCCGAAACCCTGGCGTCTGGTGAATGGTAGTACAGTCAGTGAATGAATCCTTGGGGATCAAGCCAATCCTGGGGTGAACTCTGGAGCGCTGCGCTTATTGGAGGAGTTCCGTCATATATCCGCTAGACTAGGGTGTGTTCACTGAAGAGCAGAAGCAGATCAACAGTACAATATCGGGCCTCCGCAAAGGCGTTTGACCACAATCACGTGCGCGTCCAACAGTCGACCGGAGGCGGTATCATGTGAAGCTACAACAGTGACAAGAGCATTGACGGCAGAGTGAAATGGCACAGAGCGAACGAGAATCGATGCCGGCAAATAACAACACAAAGATCATATGTTGACGTGGCTGAGACGACTTACACGCTGGAAAAGAAGGACGCCATAACCGCTGCAGTATTGGGCAATCCGGCGGAATCTAGATGTCTACAAGATAGGCCGGTATTCTGCTGGTGTCTGCTTGCCTCGACAGAGTGTTTCCAGGAAGCAGAGTGAAGTGTTTAAGCTGGATACAATGTCTAGATGCAGCAGTTGAGTCCCCTGATGGATTTCAGGGACCAAACAGATCCCCTGCCGCGCTAAAAGTGGGAGCCGCAGAGCCTCGCGGAGCCGAGCTCGCGTTCGGCCAAACGTTTTCTCCGTTCATGCTTGTATTGTTCGCGCATCCATCGAGCTATCCCATCGCGCAAGAGCTCTTGACCGCGGTCAAACCACCATCAATCTCTGTTGCTTCGCGAGTGCGCGCGCGTGGACTGTTTTCTCTCTTTAGCTGCTCCAATACAGTCTTCCGGATACCTAACCTCCACCAACTCACCTCCCCGACGCGTTCTTCACTCCCGCAATGGCGTCCGCAGCTGCAGTAGAGGCAGATATCAGCGCACCACCACGGCTTAACACCCTGAACGAGGACAAAGACATCACGGCGGCGGTCATCGGAAGGGATGAGCCGACTCCAGACGCAGAGGAGGATGAGGAAGACGTCGTTCGGAAAGTACGGCGCACGACCGAGACCAACGACGACGATGCGCTACCCGACGACGATGAGGAGCCACCCGAGGGGGATGACTTGTTCGGAGATGATGAGGAGGAGGCAGCAAAGCCGTATGCGTTGCTAGAACCCTCGCGCAGACTATTTCTAACCACATTTCAGCAAGCGCCGCCAACTCGACGACAACGAGCTCGACTCAGGCGACGACCTCGATCGCGATGACCGCATGGCCAGCGGGACACCCGCAGCATTCGAAGAAGCCGAGCAGCAGCTCAGCACCGAAGAGACCTTCTTCCCTCGGCACGGAATCCCCGATCCCAGCGACAACGAGCTCTACCTCCTCAAAGTCCCCCGCTTCCTCGCCATCGAGCCGAAACACTTCCACCTCGACACCTTCCAGCCCCCAACGCGGGACCACCACTCCAAGCCAGGCGACGACCCCTCCCCCACCTTCTCCGCCTACAACACCGCCCTCTCCACCCTCCGCTACCGGCACTCCCCCTCCAACCCCTCCATCCTCCAATCCAACGCACGCATCCTCCGCTGGTCCGACGGCTCCATAACGCTCCAATTCGCCTCCGACGCGACGCAGCAATACGAGATCGACGGCAACGCTTTAGCTCCACCCCAGCGCAACCCGCTTAAACCAACCCCAACCAGCATCTCGGACAAGAAAAAATCCCGCCCCGGCCACGGCAGCGCCGGGCCTCTTCCCCCCAGCACGCACTACAACCCCGCGCAGGACTCCTTCACCTACCTCGTCGCGCCGAACCCGTCCACGGGCTTCCTGCGCACGACCAACAAGATCACCGCCGGCCTCTCGATCCAGCAGTCCAAGAACACGGCCGACGAAGCGCTGGAACGGCTCATCGCGGCACGCTCGAAGGCGAAGGAGAAGCATGACGCGGGCGCTGTTGCGCTGCCGGTCGTCATGCGCGAGGATCCCGAGAAACGGAAACGCGAGGCTGAGGCCGCGGAGCGCGAGAAGTTGCGCGCGGCACGACGGACTGAGAATCTGGCGAACCGGAACAATGCGAGGGCTGCGACGGGTGGGAGGGGGGTGCGGAGCGGTGGCGCCGGGCTGACGGTTGGGGGGCTCGAGGATGAGGAGGGCGGGAGGAGAGGGGGTGTCAGGAAGCGCGGGAAGAAGAGGCCGAATCGGCGGGGGGATATCTATACGGATGAGGAGGAAGATGAGGGATATGGGAGACGGAAGACGAGGGAGGACGAGTATGATGAGGAGGATGATTTTATTGCGGGGAGCGAGGAGGAGATTGAGATGGTGGAGGAGGACGATATCGATGATAGGATTGAGGAGGAGGAGGGGGCGAGGAGAAGGAGGAAGAGCAAGAGTAGGAGTGTGACGCCGAAGCGGAGGAGGGAGAGTCCTGCGGCTGGGGGAGATGATGAGGCAGACGATGCGGGGGTTGTCAGTAGAGGGAAGAGGCGGAGAGTTATTGCCGACGATGAGGAGGATGAGTGAAAGGGCTGAGTGGGCGTGCATAGCGTCTGGCGTTAGCTTAGCAATAGCAATTGGGCGTCAGGGATGAACAAGAGCAGCCGATTTATTTTTCTCATTTGAGTCTATCTGAAAAGCAGATAAAGGCGGAATACTTTCACTGCCATTCATAGCTACGTACCCACTTCACAGAAAGCATCGGATATTCTGTCCGTCTTGGCAATTCCCCACTGCTCTGCCTTCGCAGGCCAGTACTTCGTGCGTCACGGAGCTCGCAACGAGCAAGGCGAGCGAGTAAGGCGCTTCCCTGTCGTCTATACCGAGCAATGTGAGATCTATACTTTTGCGCGCAGCGAGCGCTGACAAGGTCCAACCGACTCAGGATTCAAACGGCGTTGTATCTTAGAAATCGAACTGCAGCGCAGGCTCAATCGCCCCCACACACTCGCCAAAGCCTACCAAAGCCTCCTCGTCCTCCCCGCAGACGCCGGTAATAGTGATCTCGTCACCGTCCTCGAGAAACTTTCTCTCCTCGCCGCCTTCTAGCTTGATAGTCGCCTTACCGTTCTCGTTCTGCTCTAACAAACTGCCCCTTTCGCTCGGCTCAACACCGCTGATGGTGCCCGAGCCCAGTAAATCACCAACCTGCATCGGACAGCCCGTTATCGAGTGATGCGCCAGCATCTGCGGGAACGAGAAAAGCAGGTTCCGCGCCGTTGTTCTGCTTATCGTGGTCTTGTTGTCGGATTTCGCTAGGCGCGTGTTAGCACTCTACTCTTCTCGGTCTCGTTCCACGGAGCGCACTTACTCTTCAGATCCACCTGCAGCTTGATATCATACACATTCTCCTCTCTTTTCTCCCTTAGATACGGCAGCAGCTCAACATCATTCTCGACCGCCGACCGTGCCAGATACGGCTCCAGCGCCTCGGCCAAAACGACCCACGCGCTAATCGTCGTGCCGAAATTCTTCGCGTTGAATGGACCCAGGGGGACATACTCCCACGCCTGGATATCTCTCGCGGACCAGTCGTTCATGAGCACCACGCCGAAGAGGCTGTTCTCCGCCTCCCCGATCGGGATCGGCTCACCCATTTTGTTGGATTTGCACACGAAGCAGCCGAGCTCGAGCTCGATGTCCAACTTCCTGCATGCTGAGAAGATTGGCGCTTGGGCTCCAGGCTTCTCGAGGATCTGCCCGCTCGGCCGCCGGATCGGCGTCCCAGACACGACGACGCTGGAGGCGCGGCCGTGGTACCCGACGGGGAGGTGCTTGTAGTTTGGCTGCAGGGCGTTGGCCGCGCCGCGAAAGAGGACTCCGACGTTGAAGGCGTGGTTCAGACCCGCGTAGAAGTCGGTGTAGTCGCCTATGCGCATGGGGAGGTGGGTTGTTACATCCTTGAGCGGGATGAGCGCTTCTTTCTGCAGGGAGTCGTTGTCTTTGAGCACGGAGGCGTAGGGCGTGTCGACAGAGAAGACGCTCTGGATGTACTTGCGCACGACGCTGTGGATGGGGCGGCCGAGCGCGGCGAAGGCGTTTAGGGAGGACGAGGAGAAGACGGATTGGTGGGGCTGGATGGTCGAGAGGCCGGAGAAGCCATTGTTCGCGGCGAAGGCTTCGAGATCGAGGGCGTGGGCGCCGATGGCGACGGCGCAGTGGGGGGTGGGGGAGGACGATGTTGAGATGATGCCGAAGGGGATGTTGTGGAGGGAGAAGTGGGAGCCTTTGGGGATGGGGAACCAGGAGCGGAGGGAGGTCATGGTGTTTGGTTTGTGAAGACTGGAGACCGAATAGCGGGCTCAATTGCAGAGAATGGAATGTGTGACAGCGTGTACGAGTAGACTGAGAGCTGTTGGACAATATCACACAGCCGACGGAGGCTCAAAGGTGAGCCCATCCTGGGCTTTCCGCGAGTACCCTCAACAGCCCTCAACAGCCCCATGTCCGCACCTCCAAGCAAGCTGTCCAGGGTCCATGGGCGGCATTGAGGGGGGCAGACATGCGCCGGAATGCTTCCGCTGGAGGAACAGAGGCCAGTTTTGTGGCTGGCGGCGGCTTCCGTCGGATCAGCACTCTCCCCGCTTCTCCGCATCCTGTGCCCACCAGGCCCTGCGTCTGTCGCGGAATCTCTCCCCATCTCCACTAATTCACAAGCGTCCTCCAGAGCCCCCCCCCAAAACCCGCTTCAAGTCCGCTACGCACAGGACAACGGTTATGAGCGTCTCCAGCGCCGGCCGAGATGCCGATGCATTGAGCCTGGCCAAGATCGCGTCCTACGAGGATCCAAATAAGACGTCGTCGCAGCACTCTCGCGAGAGCCGCTGGAAGAGGATTGTCCAAAAGTTCAGCCTCAACAAAGACCCGGCTGCCAAACTGCCCAAGAGCTACGTGCCGTTGACCGAAAGGAACCTCACCGAGTTCTTCAATCCGGACTACAACGACGAGCACGATGCCTTCCACAAGTTTCAAGGTCCCAGAAAAATATCGATACCAGAATGGCTTCAGCTCCTACCATGAGTCCGCCGCGTCCATCCTTCTGCCATCCGAACCATACTGACTGAAGCCCTGCAGGACGGAAGCCGTTGAAGGCGCTCTGCCGATAGACGCCAACTCACCCCAGAAACCGCCCTACGGCCTCTACGCCGAGAAGCTCTCCGGCACAGCCTTCACAGCCCCCCGCCACGAGAACCAGCAAACATGGCTCTACCGCATCCTGCCCGCCTCCGCCCACAGCGCCTTCTCCCCGCGCGAATCCAGAACCTACAACACAAACCCCGAATCCAAACCCCATGAGAAGTTCTTCCAGATCCCGAACCAGCTGCGCTGGGACCCCTTCGACATGGATGAATCGGTCGACTGGGTGCACTCCCTCCACCTCGTCGCCGGCGCGGGTGATCCAGCTACGAAATCCGGCATCGGCATCTTCATCTTCGCAGCTGGGCGCGACATGGATCCCCACAGCGCCTTCTACTCCGCTGATGGCGACTTCCTCATCGTGCCCCAGCACGGCGTGCTCGACATCCAGACCGAGCTGGGCAAGCTGCTGGTACGGCCCAACGAGATCTGCGTGATCCCTCGGGGCGTCCGATACCGCGTCACCCTCCCCGAGGGGCCCGTTCGGGGCTACATCCTCGAGCTATATCAAGGCCACTTCACGCTCCCCGAGCTCGGCCCCATCGGCTCGAACGGACTCGCCAACGCGCGGGACTTCCAAGCGCCCGTCGCGTACTTCGACGAGGACAACGACGGCTCCAACACCTATACTCTGCTGAGCAAATTCGCGGGTCACCTGTTCGAAGCAAAACAAGACCACACCCCCTTCGACGTCGTGGCCTGGCACGGCCTCTACTACCCCTACAAATACGACCTGGGCCGCTTCAACACCATCGGCAGCGTGTCCTTCGACCACCCAGACCCCTCCATCTACACGGTGCTAACCGCGCCCTCGCACGGCTCGGCGGGGACCGCGGTCGCCGACTTCGTCATCTTCCCGCCCCGCTGGCTTGTCGCGGAAGACACCTTCCGCCCGCCGTGGTTCCACCGCAACACGATGAGCGAGTTCATGGGGCTGATCGGCGGCCAGTACGACGCCAAGGAGGGCGGCGGGTTCCAGCCCGCCGGCGCCTCGTTGCACAATGTGATGAGCGCGCACGGGCCCGACGCCGCGACGCACGAGAAGGCCAGCAATGCGGAACTGAAGCCCGCCAAGGTCGGCGAGGGCAGCATGGCGTTTATGTTTGAGAGCCACCTCATGGTTGGCGTCACGGAGTGGGGGCTCAAGAAGTGCGCCAAGGTGCAGGAGGCGTACAATGAGGAGAGTTGGGTGCCGCTTAAGCCGAGGTTTAGGCGGCCGGAGAAGGGTGGCGAGGTGAAGAATGGGACGGACGGGGCTGCGACTGAGGGGGGGATTGGGGATAAGAAGCAGGTGCCGCATTGGACGGATTAGGGGAGGCAGGAGGCGGGAGGCGGAAAGAGGTTTGTGAATGGGGTGGGCTTGGCACTCGTTATATGTGCTTACCGTTTACTACTGTGGTTCTGAAGCGTGTTTCCATTCTTTGGCGGAAGCCGCTGTGACCAAGACCCGCAGACTCGGTCACGCTGGATCTATCCCATTTTAGCAACTGTCACGGCAGAGTATCATAGTGTTGTCCTTTGAGACCAAAAATGTACCCGTCGTGGTTTTTTTAAATTGCTCACAACCCGAGGACAACCTCATAAGCTTGACTAGCCCAATCTGATCAAAGCGCTCTCCAACCACATCCGCTGTTCATCCAGAGGTGCGCCTCTCCCGCTCAATCCAATCCCCTTATCTAACTCACCGACGCAACACTCCCAACACTCTCCCTCGTCCTCTCCTCACTCTCCCTGATCCACGTATCCAACCTTTCCCTATCCCTGACCTTAAAACCGCACTTGAATGGCCTCGGCTCCAGCGTCAGCGCCGTCGGGATCGCATTCGCCTCCAACGCATCCAGCACCGGGGCATCCTTCTCCTCCCTCGGCGGCAGAATCTCAAACGCGGAGATCAGCCTCACAAACGCCGTATACAGCTCCCTGTTCGCCAGATGACTGCCCGCACACATGCGACTCCCCGCGCCGTACGCATAATGCGGGGTCCCCTGGCCCTCCATCGCGGAATCCAGATACCTTTCCGGTACAAACGAATACGGGTCCTTGAAGTGCGACTCGTCGTAGTCGGCCGCGTACGCGTTCATGTAGAACGTCGTGCCCGCCGGGATGGTGACGCCCTGCCACTCGATATCCTTGACGGACACGCGCGGCAGGCAGATCGGGATCACGGTCCAGTAGCGCAGGATCTCCTTGACGAGCGCGGTGATGTAGGGCACTTTTTCTTCCACGAGGCACGCGGTCCACGCATCGTGGTTGGGGTAGACTTTCATGATCTCGGAGTGGGCGCGCGCTTGGATCTCGCGGCCGTGCGGGCTGGACAGGTAGGCGACGCCCATGATTAGGTTGCCCGGGACCGTGTCGAGGCCCGCGGAGACCATGGTTAGGCAGATGGATTTGATCTCGGCTGGTGGTAGTGGTGTTAGAATGGGGTCTTGGCTGTTCTGGGGGATTGGGTTGGGGGGCTCACCTTCGGTCAGCTTTGCCTCGGGATCCTTAAGGACGTTGCCAGTGATACACGGCTTGTCTGTCCCCTCAGCGATCCGCGCCTTAAGCATGTCCAGCAGCTTCGTCATATACACGTCCCGCCGATGTCTATACTCCTGCGGCTCCTTGCTCAGCGTCGGCACTAGCCGCAGCATCGGAATATAGTCCTGCCAGTTATTGCTTGTGCTCCTAAAGTTCGAGACCATCCGCTCCACATGCGTGATCTCCTTGAGCAGCTCGTCCTCGATGCTACCATCGATACGGATCCCATAATTTAGGGTCAGGCTCGTGTTCAGCGCAAATCGCGCCCAGTACCCGTTCGGGTCGATGTCGACCTCGCCGCCTTTGGAGTCTTTGAGCATCTCTTTGATCGACACGGTCGACTCGAGGTCGATGATCGGCATGTAGGACTGCACAGCTGGGCGGTTCAAAGCGGTGGCGGCGGCCTTGCGGCGCTGCTTGCAAGACTCATCCCATGGAGATGTGCCGATGGTGAAGCCCTGGGAGGACGAGACGACGGTATGGAAGGTGTGGAGGGTTGGGCGGGAGATGAGGGCGGATTGGTTGTTGATCCAGAGCGCTCTCACGCTGTCAAAGGTGTTGGCGAAGACGATTCTCTGCGTGGGAAGTTAGTCGCGTAATCCCCATCGTCGTCATTGTTTTCAACGTTATCTAGCTACTCTGACGGATGAAGTTCATTTACAAGAGTTGAGATACTCACCCGATTGCCCATCCGCACTTGGAAGACGGGTCCATACGTCTTCGCCCACTCCTGAGCTACCTTCGCATGGTTGCTCCCCAATTGTAGCAGGTTGCCAAACAACGGTACTCCAGGAACTTCTGGCAATCCCTTTATCTTAGGCGTATCTGTGCGGTTAAGGTATCGGTAGATGAAATAGATGGCGGAAACAACGGCTATCACAGTGACCTGGAGCGTCATGATGAGAAAGGTCCGGTGCGCTGTTCACGAGTACAGTAAAGCAGACAGATTATAAGAGAAGTCTTTAATAGAAGAGATGAGACAGTGGTAGGTGTTCTTAAGTATGAAAGCATTCGGTGTATGTTTTACCTACCTAGCTTTCGCGCTGTTCACGAAGTCTCCGAAGGATGTCCGACGCAATCACCCTTGTGATCCCCGCAAAAGCGCAATGTGCAGTTATGCACTGCATCATGCGGGTCGGTTATTGGCCCTACTTTCACGAGCACTTACCTAAATCGAGGTGAGGATGTTCGGCACGGTGTGGTTGAAGGGATCGGAGGGGTCGAGGTGTTGACGGAGGCTTTCCGCTGCCCCCTTGCAAAACGCGGGGTCGCGGAAGTCATCCCAGCCCTAGGTTTCCGCGCGTCAGGGGCATTTGATTGGAGGCATTCGAGTGACTTTGATATTAGGCCACTTCAGTAGGCTACTTGTAGGCTACTTCATCAAGCGGATGTCCCGTAAGCTATACCCTGAACCAGAAGTAAGACCTCAGGATATTGCGGTTGAACTCTGGAGCGTTCTATTTTTCGTTTCGATTAGACATATTGTTGATCGTCGAAGGTTACCCAAGCGTACCTGGAATACATGGAGGTATTTGAACACTTGATCAGCTTCCAAGCCCAAGGGGCTTACTGAAGAGGAAACAGAATCACCATAGCGAGCCTTTGTACATAAAGTCGACCATTGACCAAGTCGGAAGGGGCTTTCGAAGAGTGTCTGTGGAGCGAAGTAGTGAGTGATCAAAATGGAAACCAGCTTTCGTAACTACTACGGTATCTCGTTGACATCCGACACCTCGAGTATCGGCGTAGCATTAACCTCTGCCCTATACCCCTGGCTCATCTTATATAGCTCCTTCCTGAGCCGATTCACGCTCCCTAGCGGCCGATGCTCCTCCAATCCATACCAAACGTTCAACTTCATGCGATCTTCCCAAAAGACTCTCCTCGCTGCATCAAAAGCATCCTGGCCAGCCGGAAATACCACCTTCCCCACCGTCTCGTAAGGAAACGCCGTCTCGGTCCAAGGTTTTGAGGTGTCTTCAACGCTCTGCCGGTCCGGCTCGCGGAGAAGCTGCACCTTGAAGTCGTATTCTGCTGAGTGCTCGCGGAAATATGCTTGCATCCAACAGCTGATCTCGGAAGGAGACGAGTCTTTGGTGATTTTCAGAGAGTTGAGAGATTGCTGTAGTTCCGTGCTAGGGAAGAGCGCGTATTTGCAAACATAGTCGCCGTATCGGAATGCAGATTGAGAGTACCTCCTTTGCGTTAATGGTGCTTTGCGACACGTCGTCACGGGAAGCGCTCACATTGTAAAACTAACAGGATGAACATTAGGCAGTTCCTGGGGAGCCACTTGTATCGCATGGTCCTTCCTCCACCACAGTTCCTTGTTGAGGCCAGATGGGTCGTCAAAATGTCTCTCTCGGAGTGTGAATATTTCAAGCGTCGTCGGCAGATCCGTCAGTTCTAGCATGGGGGCGTTGTTGAAAGCTATTCATCACGTTAAGTGAGGCCCTCCTTTAATCAGTACGCTGATCTTCTCAATCTAACTTACTAAAATCCTGTGTTCTTGTTCGGTCACCGCTTGGATCCAGATGTTTTCCTTCAACGCCAAACACCTTCAAGCCCATTCCACGGGGTCCTGGGGTCCGATCATCCTGCAAGAAGCTCGGCTCGTTAGAATATCTTGCAGCGACCGGATAGACACCAGGTTTTCGAAACAAGCCCTGAGCCAGATGCGGCGGTAAGTCTTCATTGACCGTGAGAGAACCTTTCACAACCGCCTGAGTCTTGACATGGGTGCCACGAAATGCATGCCGATGCATCCCGAAACTGCGCATATACGGTAAGCCGGATCCATCTTGTCGCGCAACACGAGACTGTTACTTCTTCTCCTGTATCCTGCGAATGACCTCCATCAGCTCTTGAACCTTTTCGGCTTCATCAGGTACTTCCGGCTCGACGGCGGGGTCTGTCCAGGGAACGGGGTCCATTTCTGACACTTTCTCCCCAGACAAAGATGGGAGTTGCTGATAGACGGCATTGGCGAGTTTGTTCACTGTAGAAGACATCTTGCCGTATGTAATACACCGGAGAAATGTGAACTCGTTTGCGTAGAGATGCGACTGTCTCTAAATCCATCTCAGCGAGCCGTTCTCGTCGTGTTCGAGTGACGTCATGCAGGTGCCCGCTCCGCTACTCATTTTCTTAATATTTCTGAAGTCGACGAATGAAAGATGTTATCTACGCATGGTATATCCACAAGTGGGAAGCTGTCAACAGCCTTTACCCGAATAACTTCAGACGTCACACTTCGAAGATCATCAAGAGGGGTCGGTAGAACCGAGCCCTGAGGTCCCATTCGCTGACATACCATGCGTAGCTCACCTTTTTGATTCGTCGGCTTTAGAATAATCAAGAAATTGAGCAGTCAGAACAAGAACCAAACATTCCAAATACACGAACAGTACGTAGAGCGTACTACATGTCCGTAGCCTCAATAAGTCTTAAAGATCGATAAACACCCAATTGTACAAGCCAGAGTGTAGAGGGCACTGAATCATCGAACAGCGGGACGTTGAAGGTATACGCGGTGTAAATAAGCTTATATAGCTCTACAGGTTGGCTAGTGTGAAACTTGAGGAATGGGATTGTTGGACTCTTGGAAACAGTGACAAGGGACTAGTACAAGAAGTGTCATCACGATCAAGATGCTTTTGATTACCAGTCTCGAAGTCCATAAGCCACCACTGGAAAGACTATGACTACATACCAAACTTTGGTGGTCCATCGCTCCAATGTCTCATCGTCCCACAGCGTGCGCGATCTCTACCGCACACTAAATTAGACGGCCGACAGCTTTCAGGGCCCCCTCAAAGCATCCGAATATCCATTACATGCACACCGCATTAAGATCAGGTGCCATCCCACACCAACGCCAAATAAGTATCAGTCGACGAGAAGAGGAACAGGATGCCGTGCGTCCTACTCCCTCATTAAGACCGCCGCAACCAACAGCAAGGTCAGAAGAAGCTCAAAGAACAAACGCCGCCAGCGCAGCAAGCACCGCTCCCGAACCGGCCAGCGTCCTTACAGCCGCATTCGTCGTCTGCTGAGCCGGCGCGCTCGGGGACACCGGGGTAGCCGTAGCCGAACCACTCGCGCCCCCAGTTGCGCTCGCCGTCGCCGTCGCAGTCACCATCGTCGTAGCGTTCGTGCCATTCGGGCTTCCCGAAGGAACGGCTCCGTGGCCAATGACTTCGAAGTTCGCGCACGTGATCCGCGTCTTGTTTGAGAAGTGCACGACGACACTGCGGTTGCCGAAGAAGGAGCCCAGGCCTGGCACGAGCGAGGCGTACAGATCCGTGTAGGCGGCGTGGAAGGAGCCGCTTGTGATGTTGCCATGTTTCCCCGACAGATCGCCGACCTGGCAGGTTTGGGGAGCTGTCGCGTCGCAAGGTGTCTCTTCGCCGCGGATATAGGGGTCTTGGTGCGCAAGGGCCTGGGCGCAGGTGCCGTTAGGAGGGATGGGGGCGTCGTGGATGTGGTACACTGTGTGGTGGATTAGCGGGAGCTCCAACGGTAGTCAATGAGAATCGTGGGATGGAGCAACCCAGTGTAGTAGGGGAAGGAGAGAGCAACTTACTGAACGGACCGCCGGTGCTGGGAATGCCGTCAAGTGTGATCTGGAAGTCTACGCCGCGCCCGGAGGGGTTGGAGGTGGCGATGAAGACGCCGCGCACGTCTGTCGTCGCGCTGTTGGGCAGCCTCGCCTCGTAGGATGCCCCAATGGGGTTGTTGGTGACGACTTCGGCATCGCCGAGCCTGCCTGTGTCTGCGGCGGCAAGGGCGAGGAAGGAGAGAGTGGGAAGGATTATTGAAGTGCGCATCTTTGTTTCTCGTTTTATGAAAGATCGAGACTGTGGAGAATGGACAGAGTGCGGTGAGGCAAGCACGATCGTGGACGTTGTTCTGGAAGTGCCGTTAGTGACAAAAGACACTTTCAGATGTTGTAACGCAGGGCGACTGGAATGCTCTCGTAACAATGGGGGCGGAAGAACTGCTCACCAGTGACGTAACTATGCAATTGGCTTTCAAGAATGGAACTGGCCTCAGAAAGTAGCAGCTGAGACGTGGCTGCTGTATGTACGAGAATGGAAGCAAGCGAAAGTGGTTGTGATTGCAGTGGCAGCAGGAGCGGAGGAAGCTCATAAATTAAATGGAGAGCTTAAAATGGCTGGAGTCACACGAGCCAATTACCCAACAGCCGCGCCTTCCTCTTCCACCCGCGAGCCCTGTGACCGGCGCAGTCACATCTCATCACCTCCCAGAAACAGAAACATCCCGATGTGATGGACGTGCCCCGCCGAGATCACGGAGGCCTGGTGGCTTGTTTCATGGCACGGTCTGCTTAAAGGCCATCGCTAGTGCTACAGCTTGTCCCAGCTCTGGCTCGGACGCAGCTCGCCGAGAGACGGTCCCGTCCACAGCCCCCTTTTCCCCTGCCTTCCCCGCAAAAGGTGTCCTCTACGAGGCTGGCTCCAGCGGCTGAAGAGGTCTTGGTCGAATCGCAGCGTGGTTGGTGCAGCGAGACCCCAGCCCCAGCTTTCCCTAGCGCTGTTGTTCCAGCCAGTCGTCTCTGCAGGCTGCCGCCACTAGCTGTCATCCTGCCCAAGCGCCGTGTTTGTTTCAACATCGTCTTCCGAGCCAGGCTGACCACCTCCTGTCAAACATCGTGTAATATCTGTTGGATTCAGACCTAAGAGGAACTTCAAATGCCAAACAGTTCAGTGAGTTTGTATATAGGCTAAGACCTAGAAGCCGAGAGGCCAGTGCTGTACTTGACTCCATGTTCCAATACATGCGACACGGCTTACTGCAGCATGGAGTCCGCGGAACCTTTATGTAAAACGACGGGAAGGGGAGAACACGAGTGCTGACATGCATGTTCGCCGTGTGGTCTGTTGCAAGCCGCAGGTGAGACGACAGATAGCTTCGCTAGGTAGATGTTCTTCTGGTGTGCATTTCGTTGCAAACACCTTATCACTTCGTATTTCACTCTCCCCGGCCCAAACATGGGATGCTTCCCACTTTCAACACAAGATCATATCGCGCCGACCATGTTCCCCGAATTCATCTTCCTTTCCACCATAGACTGTCCGATGCGGCAACAAACTCCTTCATCTTCTGCTTCTGCAATAATCAGCCCGTCGATTACTGTTTCCCCTGGTGCCCTCATGCTCGTGCTTCGATGATCAATAGCAAGACATAAAACGGGAAACTGTTCCTTCATGTACCGCCCGTCTAGGTGCACATAGATTCTAGAATATGGAGACAGACACCAGCGCCGACGATGGCAGGAGCAAAATTAACCGCGCCGGGCATGAGGGGCAGGGTGGAACTAGCATAATGATAAAGTGGAAAAGAAACGGTCCAAGCAAAAATCGAACCAGAACCTAACTGCCTTTTCACGGTTACGGGTGGGTGGCTTGCCTGTAACCACATTCCCTTTTGGGGTAGCAGGTAGCAAGTGCCTGTGTCCCGCATTCGCATGAGCTAACGTAGCAAATCTGGGATAAAAGCAAGATTCAGCTACTCATTTAATATAGTCAGATTGCCAAAATGTCTTCACTTGACAAGCCTTGGTCTCCTCAGCTTCACGTGACAGAAATTGCTCCTTGTTTCTCGTGTCCAATGAATGTATCTTACAACAAATTTCGAGGAAAACCACTGCGGGGGGCGCAGGTCGAATCTCAACATCACAATGCAGATTAAGACAAATACACAGGTAGAGCTTTAAAAGACACGAGGAGCGGCTGTTTGGCGCCATAGCCTTTTGCGTCGTTCTACGAACCCTGTCCCTTTCCAGATCCGGTAATACTTTATCCTGTCGTGGTGTCCGGCTCTTTCCGCTCTCTACAACAGCAATGTCAGGAGACAGGGAATAACGGCCGCAAGGACTTGAGAATAATAGTATCCAACATGAAGGAAACATTGTGGCATGCAAACCACCGGAGTCAATTCTTACACTCCAGTTCTACTCTTGAGTTTTCATGAAGCATAACCGCAAGCAAGTACCGGTGGATGAATGACGCAGTCACCTTGGCAGCCCTCTACCTTCCCCCATTCCTGACTTTGTAGCTGACCCTCGGCCTGCACCATCCTATCACCTCTGCAACCCCCTCCCTAACCAGATCCTCAGCCACCGCATACACGTCCTTGTATGCCTCCGGCGCCTCTTCCCACACCAGATCCTTCTCGTCACAGATCACCCACGTGCCGCCGCGTACATTCTTTCCGTCCTTCACATGTGCTTGCGATGAAGCGTTCGGCTGCAAGAGCGACGCGGAGTCGCCTGCGTACTTCTGGTTGATTGACGTGAGGGCCTTAGTGCGCGACATGGCTCGCCCGGCGCCGTGAGCGAGCGAAAGAGCATTCTTGTAGCCATACTGCGTGGCTTGTGAGAACACGGGCCGGAGCATTATTGTTGGCGTGCCGCGTGAACCGGGCAAGGGTAGAATAGTGAGCGGCTTGTTCGTCTGAGGATCGTATGTAGGCGCTGCGCCTTTGCGGTGAACATAGGCGTATGCAGCGCCCTCATCAAGGGACAGCGATTCCGTGCGGTCTGCTATTTCTTCTGGTGACGACTCAATGGCTGGTGGCGGCCGTGGAGGCCAGCGAATGCGCTCCACGTTGTTGTGCCATATATCGACTACTTTGCGTTCGCGCAGCTTGGCTTTTGTTCGGGCGACCAGTTTATCGAAGTCGGTTGAGTTTTGCTCATCTGTGTTCCGCCCTAGCCCCCATGTCTCCTCGCCGGGTTCGAGACACGACAAGAAGCGGAGCGCGATCAGGTCCCTATTCGCCTTCGCCCAGTTGCAAGCCCGATCGTGCTCTTTCATGTAGTCCTTCGCTTTCACGGCGTCCTCTCTGAGGCTCGGGCTCGTGTCCGAGACGTATTGCTTCAACACGTTTCCGCCATATCCGCGCGAGCCAGAGTGGACAAGCAACACCACATCGTTAGGACAAAGTCCGGTCTCGGCTGCTACAGCGTCCTCCACAACCTGGATCTCCGCGAAGTGGTTTCCAGCTCCAATGGTACCGAGTGCAGCATCCCACTCCGGACCCGCTGAATACTCCTCCTTCCCGTCCGCCAACCAGACCTCCCGCTCTTGCTGCGACCGCCACGCGCCTTCCAGCCCCCGCAGCTTCTCGGCAACTTTCCGCCCCTTGTCTCCGTCGACCTGGTTGCGGTTCAGCTTCGTTTTGTACCATGCCATGCCGCACCCGATATCGCCGCCGATGAGCGGTGGGTGTATCCATCCCTTGGAGACGAAGACCGCGCCGATGGGGAACTTGGTGCCGGGATGGAGGTCCGGCTGTCCGACAGCATGGATGAGGCCGGGCAAGGTTCGCGCGGTGGTCTCGACCTGAGTTACTGAGAGAGAGTCGACGGATGCGGCGTGCGCGAGGATATTGACCGTGCAATCGAGGTTCGGTATGCCTGCTCCGCGTTAACTGGTGCTACGAGCTCAAGCTTGCGGACGTCCATACCATCATCGCTGCCGCCTTGCGCAACCTCCTTCCTTAGCCCAACGTACTCCTCCCCCTTCGAAATGAGCAGCGTTACATCGTCCCTCAGCGCACTTTTCCACTCATCCTCCGTGCAAAGCTCTTGTCCTGTGCCGCCGACGAAGATCCGGCTAGCCTTCCTGATCTGTAATTTGTTCTGCGCGGCCTTGAGTACAAGCGCACGATAAGAATCCGGCGCCGCGGGGTCAAGTGAGGCTAACGGTAGGATGAGGACAGCCTTCTGCGACTGCTTGGCGTTGTTGGAGATGGTGATGCGTATCGGCATAGCTGAATTGGGTAATCCCGGAGTGCTTGGCGGGCGAGATGCTCAGTTCTGGAACGTGTTCGTCCGGCTTGTCTTGGATTGTAGATACTTGATGAAGGCGCGTGTTTGAGAGTTGTATGAAGACCGAGGTCAAAGGGTTTGAGGAAGGGACCTTATGCGGTTGATGATGTATGTTACGGATTGTGAATTCGGCTGGTACAACAGCTTCACGGTCAGCACGCGTGAATGAGTCACGCCCGAAAATCCACAGCAAACGTTGAAACCTTGGAAGGTTATCTCTAGGTGGGAGATTCTGGCAAGTGTCATCATGCAAGGACGAAGCAGGTGTAGACCATCTTCGATCAGAGCCGCGCATGACGCTTCTTCAATAGGCTCGCGCTTGCATAACTTTAGATGGAGGTGATGACAGCAAGCCGAGCAAGCAATTGTTCAAGGCGCAAGGGCGTCAGCGGATGGATGTCAGCATATTGATGGAGGATGGAGAAACGAACGGCAGCGCCCTCGCGGATCTCAGCACTATGGCGCTGGTCGAGAAAAGCAGGATCTGTCTTATAAAAACCTCTCTGCGGACTCTTGCACTTCTTACGCCCGTTGTCATTCTACACGCACCATCCCTTTGCAAATGTAGTAATACACACGCTTCCGTAGAACGGCTTTCTACACTCTGGAACTCATCGCCCACACTCCACTTGCACCAGCGCTTGTCAGGTCTTGACATCATCCGAAGAAATCATTTGAAAGAAAGCAAGCAAATTGGTACAGATAGGTTGGAACAGGTCTTGAGTGCTACATCTTGATGCCGCATACTCCATAATTGGCGGCTCGTCGTAAAGCTTAGGGTTATACGCCAGCTGGGTTGCGATCGCTACCGGAGTTATACTTTCTCAACCGGTAGCAACCAGCTCACGAGCCTCAAAAGCGGGTAACCTACTCTCGGTATTAATCACGTCAGTCAGTCAAGCTTAGACCCTCTGTTGCAACCTGTCCGCACAACGTTGTCAAGTCTATCTGGCTTGTCGAGCCGGGACCACCATTGATAAGAGCGTCCACTGCCAGCGCAAAAGCCACTGGATTGTACAGCACGCCTTCATGGGTGACGAAGCTGCCCGCCGGCCTGCCGTTGCAGATGACCTGCAACTCATTGTTAGTTGCGCCGATGCCGCAAGCATCGTTAATAAAAGCCGAGGCGCCCGGACCGCTTTGCGGCTGGATGAACTCGTCTGCGGCGCTGTATATGCTTGTTGTCGGCACGTAGGCTGAGTCTCCACCATCCGAGCGAAGAGTGGTGATGAAGTTAGCATCGTACCCTTGCTGGATAATGGAGGGTGGACAAGGGAGGATGGGGAACCGAGAGCACTGAGCGGTGAGGAATCGGGAGCCGTGGAAGTCCGCGGATATACTGATGAAGTCGCTGACTACGTCGCAGGTGGACGGCCAGTGTTTGAGGGCCCATTGGGTATCGAGGTTGCCTTGGGACCAGGCGATGACACTGAGGTCTCGGTTGGTGATTCCGAAAACGTAGTTGATGGCGTATGCCACGTATTCCTGCATAGATGTAAGACAAGCGCTCGTAACACTCGTCATCTCGCACTTACTGAGTAAATCTATGCATCATCAAGCAGGAAGCCGGGTTTGTTAAACCAGACTGGATCCGCCTAGTCGACGCCTTCCAGAAGTTCGATGTAGCTGGTGGTAAAGGCAACTCCTCCCTTTGAGCCAGTGCCAGGAACTAGTATAACCGGCGGCTTCTGGCCGTAAGTGAACGTGTTCGTGATGTAAATTGCGCCACGAAAACTGGACTCGGCTCTGGAGTAGGGCGCATCGTCCGCTGATTTCCTCGGGAAGACGGGCTGAGCTGGTTCGACTGTGTTGATGTTGTTCTCGCTGTTGATACCCGTCGAGTAGGTCTCAAGAACTTCGCCGAGCTCGCGAGGTCCTAGACTATTCTCGGCCAATCTAACGGCATTTTCAAAGAAGTTCGTAGCCGTGCCGTCGAAGATTGCTTCTACGACGTTGGTAACCCCTTGCGATATCTAAGCACGGACACAGTAACATGGGGATCCTAGACAATCGACGCATCTTCAATTGACGTTAGCGTCGCTGTAGGGAGGGCAGCATCTATGGCGTCAAGGGTGTCTTGGAACAATCCGGCAGCATTGGTGGCATCGGCGCCCACAGCCGACAAGATGCTACTGATTTGGCCGATGGGATTGATGGCGGCCTCGAGTACCTGGTTGACGGTATTGATAACTGTGCCAGGGATCCCAAGCAGTTGCCTCTCCCCTAGATCTGATCGGGCGAAGCTTGTTTTGAACGGTCAGCGCTGTGATAATTGAACGGGCGGCTGGTGAACTCTTCAGGAGGACAAAGCGCGATACTGATAACGACTCTACAGTACTCCGAGATATCCCATTTCCTAGAACCGTCAACGCATGAATAGAATCTAGGGACTAAGATGGGACTCCACCACTGCTCTTAGCTTAAGAGGATACCAAGAGAACATGAGAAACCCATGACACTGGACTCTTCTCATACCTGCTGAGCTGGTTTTCGTAGGTGCAGTAGACGCTGTTTCAAGCAGTACGCTGGCAATCGCCAGGAGGAGTGGGAAGCTCTACATTGTAGTAGAGTGCTAAAGAGTACTGTATGCGCGGAGGCTCTAAATATTTGAAACGTTGAAGATATCAGACAGTGTTACTGGTAACTAAGGAGGCTGAGACTCGTGTATATATACAGAGACCTCGCCCACCAACAGAGAGCTCTGCAATCAAGTCACTTGCTCCATGTTTTCACACGAAGTCTCTCTCCTCAGTAAGAACATCATTGTACATATTCGCGTACGACATAGGCGAAGCTGAGGAACGGTCGTACAATCGGTCAAGCTCGGCAGGGCTTGCGAACGTATGATTCAAAGTGGGCGACGACTACATCCAGGCGCCTTAATCGGACTTAAAGAGGTCCATAGCCGCATTTCGCCGACTGATCATCTTCAGAGACCGGCAGGAGTCTTCCCCAATCTTAACGGATGTCTAAGAATGCCCGCGAGATGTATCACACAGCGGACGCCGGGCGGGGGCCTGGGCGATGAAGGATAGAGATATCACAAAGAATAGCCAGCAGTCGTACGGAATGCTTTCTCTTCCGAGAGATCTGACGCGTCGACTGACCTCCTGGATACTAACAGTGAATAATCGACAGGATACGAGGCGTACGAGCTCCACTTAACGTCTGACGTGCGACTTTGGTTCAATGCAGGTAGGCAGAGAAATCTTACTAGTAAGGCTTGTTAAACTCAACTCCTCGCCTGGATGGAAGATGGACATACTCGGAATGCTCTTCCGTAAAGACGTTGTCGACCACAAAGTTCTCAGACCCACGGAGCATCGTACCATTGCCATATGGAAAATGGCTCTTGCATAAGTATTGTGCGTGCATCCGCTTACGCTGACCTTTGGCTCTGGTGTACACTGAGGCTTTGATGTTACAGGCTGCTCTCATGTGGCGTATTCCAGCCATGGATTTGCTTTACCTCTTTGTAAAATATATTGCCTGGCGTGGATTCAGATGAGGTGCATTAGATTGCGGTTCGCACTTGTAGATCCCGTTCGGCGTGGGACGGAGTGATCAACGACTGTTGTCTGATAGATTGGTGGCCGCCGTCACTCTCTCGGATTTGAAATCTCTAGGTAAAGGAAGCATCAATGTGGATTCCAGCAACATCGCATGCGCCCGAGCGTACAGCAGAGAGAGATCGCGCTACAGCGGCTAATAAACTTGACCTCACAAGCGCTGATGATGTCATGGCCAACCGAGCCCCCTCCATTTCCTCGGCATCGTGAACCCCCATTAACTGAAGTTGATACTCAACTAAACAAACATTGAGTCGGTATCTGTAGCGCAGTTGCACATCCTCGGCATCTGTTAACGTCTATTACCCCGTGGCTCGCAGTTGAAGACATCTAGACAATGGCCGCTTCCCCATATAACATCTCTGTCTCTGATCAGGCCCTCGATGACCTCCGTGAGAGACTCTCAATTGCTAAGTTTCCGGACGAGCTAGACGCGCCAAACCAGTGGGTGTATGGCGCGCCCCTTGCAGATGTGAGAAGGCTGGCGCAGTACTGGAAAAGCGGGTTTGAGTGGAGAAAAGCCGAAGCAAAACTGAATGAGCTGCCGAACTTCAGGAGGGCCATCTCGGTCGATGGGTATGGCGATATCAACGTGCATTGTGAGTGATTTCTTTCAAAACTTTCAAACACTCTGATACAACGCAACTTCTGTATCATGTTGGTCCTCTGAGTAGTTCTCCAGGAATGTTTCTGATATTGACTACATCCCAGATGTCCACCAACGGAGCCCCATCCAAAACGCAATCCCCCTTCTCTTCTGCCACGGGTGGCCCGGCTCATTCGAAGAAGTCACCAAGCTACTCCCCCTGCTCCAAGGTGATGGCGATGCACCGGCATTCCACGTCGTGGCACCCTCCCTCCCCAACTTCGGCTTCTCGGACGCGGTCAAAAAGCCTGGTTTCTCCCTTGAGTACTACGCTCAAACCTGCCACAAACTGATGCTCTCGCTCGGTTACCACGAGTACGTGACCCAAGGTGGAGACTGGGGCTTATACATCACTCGCGCCATGGGCCTCCTCTACCCGGACCACTGCAAAGCCTCACACATCAACATGATCCGTGCTTTCCCACCAACCTTTACCAAGAACCCAATCCTAGCTCTGCAACACGCACTAACCCCCTACACCGAAGCCGACAAGCGCGGCTTCGCCCGCAATCAATGGTTCAACGTCCAAGGCAGCTCCTACCACCACCAGCAGCGCACTCGTCCGCAAACCCTAGGCTTCGCGCTCGCGGACAGCCCGGTCGCGCTGCTAGCGTGGATCTACGAGAAGCTGCATGACTGGACGGACGAGTATCCCTGGACCGACGACGAGGTTCTCACCTGGGTGTCTATCTACTGGTTCTCGACCGCGGGGCCTGCCGCCAGCGTCCGCATCTACTATGAGGTTAATAACTCGCCGAGTCCGCATATCGAGAATCGGGAGAGGATGAGCAAGTGGATCCCGCATGTGAAGCTGGGGATGGCGCATTTTCCGAAGGAGCTGAGTGTTATGCCGAAGACGTGGGCGAGGACGATGGGTGAGTGACTACCTGTTTGCTGCGGCGCGTGGAGTGCTTTTGGGTGGTCTTATAGACCTTCACTCAAGAAGCTGCTTCGATAGAAGCGTCTCTGCCTGTCCAACGCTCTTTGGCTAATGATCTACAGGGCCGGTGGTGTACGAAAGTACCTACGATCGCGGAGGCCATTTTGCGGCATGGGAGCGGCCGGAATGCATTGCGCAGGACTTGCAGAAGATGTTTGGGAAGGGAGGACCGTGCTACGGCATTGTGAGGGACAGGAAGGGCTACGATAAGTCTGCACCGCAGGCGAAGTTGTGAGCGAGGCGGGGGACGACGGGAAGGTTTTTTTGGCTGAGAATGTTTGGCAGGGGTGAAGGATATACCAATGGATAGTAATGTAAAAGCTGAAGTGGCTTGCGTCTGTGACTGTGATATGTATATAGCGCGACGCAGTAATTTTGCAGTCTCGCGAAGACGGGGTGGCAGTCATAAGCATTCATGAGCATCGTTTCGTTTCGCTCGCCTTTACCAGCGGGCATTGAGAGGTGTTATTGTGCTGAGGATCGTCTAGCCGCATGACCAACCGGACGCTCCTAAACGCCAGTAGCAGTTGTTGGACGCAGGTCACAAGGTTATATATATACAACTGAGAGCGGGTTTTATTATTGAAGTTTCCAGGTGCCCCGACTATGAGAGCCTGCCCAAGTGCGTTATACGCGCGATTCATTTCACGCACCCTCTAACCATTTCCGATCTCCAAATCGCCAAACATGCCAATATGCCAATCCAACCGTGCATCCATGCCTCACACCCTGACATAACCCCACCGTTCCAGAAAGTCCGCCTCGAGCCCCACAACACCGACCAAACAATGCCGATGCCAAAAGAGAACACAGTCTACCATTCCTCAAACAGGACCAAAACGCCCATTCTCCCTCGGCCGCTCCGGCGTCGGGTTCTTAACCGGCGGATCCATAATCAACGGCCGTGCGCTCGGCGACAACGCTGCAATAGGTGGAAGTACCGGCGTCTCCGCGACGCTCTGGCTTGTCGGTCGGGGTGGGCTATGCTTTGCTGGGGAGAACCCCGGACTTGCACCGGAAAGGAGGTGAGCGGGGTACTGATGCGTCGACTGGAAGCTTTGGTGACGGGAGAGCGAGTGCGCCGAGCCGGGGGCAGCAAGGTCAGGGGTGGTGAATGAGGTATGCGGCGTTGCTACGAGCGGGTTCGCTGGTGTGTTTAGATGCCCGTTTGTCCTAGGTGGAGACATGGAGGGCGGGGGCTTAAGGGGCGACATTCCGGGATTGGAGTGCCCGGATCGAGGACTCTGCCGCTCGAAGGAGTTCGAGTACGGGTTGTAGTTTGGTGTCTGTGGGCGCATCACATCTGCGGCCGCTGATTCGTTGGACTGTGGATGGGCATGGTTTGCGCCGTTGGTGTAGCCGTTTCCGTAGTGCCACTGTGCCTGTGGCGGAGGCTGAGAGATTCCGCTCATGGCCGGCGGGGAATTGGCCAGGCCTGAGGAGAGCGGACGGTATGCCGTCGGTGCTGGAGATCCAGTGAAGTTCGAGGGCGAGTTGTAGGCATTCTGCACCCTGTGGATGCCAGGCGGGCCTTGGGACTGCCCTGCTGGTGACAGACTCGGCCCGTTCATAAGAGTGAAGGAGCTGTTAGGCGTAAGTGTCGGTGGCTGGACGGGAATCTCCACGCGGTGAAGCTGTCGAGGAGCTTCAGAAGGGTGCTGGCTGGGCGAAGTTGCGGAAGGCTCTGCCTGCCTCTCAGAACTACCCTTCGGCGACGCGGATGAGCCGAAGCCGCGCAACTTGAGTGATATCTTTGGCTTGTTGGCGTCTGCTGCGCGTCGCTTGCAATCTCCGCAGATGAAGTGGAAGTCGTCTCGTTCCGCCTCTTGCTGCTTGATACCGTTGCATGCACTGTGTTGCCAAACATTGCACCGCTCGCATGCGATACTGTGGGACCCATCATCCTGCGACTGGTCAGCAACAAAGCTTCTACGAAATTGACGCCAACTTACCAAGTTCTCGCCATGCGCGCCACAGCCGGAACAATCGAACACCCAGTTGTCCTCCTGAGTCAGCTTCTCCAGCTCCTTCTGCCGCCGTGCCATCTCCGCTTTCAGATGCCGCTCCGATAGCCGAGCTTCATTAGACTCGGCGAGTTTGCTGTTCTCCTCCAGCTTCGCTAGCTCTTCCTCGTGCAGTATCCTCTTGGCTTCCCGTTCCTGCAGGCGCTGCTCCCGAGTCATCATGCGGGATTCGCGAGCCTAGTAGCAGGATTAGCACCAGTCAACACGCAGCGGTTTCGGTTTACACTGACATCTTCCATCTTACGTTGCCGCTCTTGCACCTTCCTTGCATTCGCCAGTTCAGCGTGATGCTTCCGCTCAGCCTCCGCAGCCGCCTCGATCTCCTTTTGTTTCTCCATCTTGTCTGCGATTCTACTAGACCTCTTAGCAGTCGCAAGCTTTTGCAGATTCTCTAACTCCCTCTGTTTCCGCAACACTTTCTGTCGCTGCGCCTCAGCCCTCTTCTCGATGATGGGCAAGACGTCCTCCGTCAGCCTCTTGTACAGCGTCTTCTCATTAGGGTCTCTGCTGCGTCGTATCCCCTCCATGAACGCGTTGTAATCTTCCAAGGTGATTGCTATGCATTCCCATTTCATACCCCCAAACCCGTCGTCCTCTGCAGCTTCCGGTGGCTCCTCAACCAGCACTGTGTCTTCTTCCTCTTCCGCACCGCTTCCCTCCGCTGATGCCAACTTTCGTCGCTTGCTCCCTCTCGTAGACTTTGTCTTCTTGCTCTTTGCTTTCGATTTGGACTTAGGAGGTGGTGTGGCGGGAATTGGAGGATCGGTGCGACGGTACAGTCGGTCGTCATCGAGAAGGAGGTAGGATCGGTCGTCAGAGTCCCATCCTAACGGGTCGATACGCTGCGCACGTTGTTGTCAGCAATGGCGCCGGTATAGCGTTCAGGGTCTGTATTACCCATTGTGTCTGCTCAGTGTCCCGCTCCGGCATTCGCTCTCGTATGCGATCGGGATTGTGGAAAGTCCACGTCGAAAGCTGCTGCAGAACACGGATCTTTGTGAAGATGTCGAAATCGGCGAACTTGTTGGGCGTCTCTTCGGTGCCGAAGGGGTTGCGCTGCGGTGCTTTCGCCACGTATTGCCTGCGTGTGTATTCGTCGAAGATCTCAAGCCTTTGTAGAGTCAGTGACGCTTGACTCAACCCACAGCACCCTCGGAAACTCACGTCAACCCTTTATGCGATGAGACCTGCTTGAGCATTGCCAAGCCGATTTGAGCCAGTTGCTCTGACGGGCCCGGCTTTAGACACTCTGCTTCGAGGTCCTACACCGCATCAGCCATGCATCCTAGTAGTATCGAGGGATCGCTCCACTCGAAGGGCTGATTGTACGCCGTACCTCGATGTCGAAATCCTCGTCTATCTTGACCGCTTTGCCAAAAGTGAAGATATATTGCATAAGACTGGCGAATTCCCACATATTCCTCAACCGATCCAATACGCTGGGTTCTGTTGTGATCTCCTCTTCGGCCTCCATCTCCTGTCTTCCGCGCTTCCTCGACGGCATGGCGTGCGGAGCGTGCCCTGCGGCAGCGCGTGCGGATGTGAGTTCCTTGCGAAGTTTTAGGTTGAGGAGAAAGCAGTCAAAGCCTCTGAAAAGAAACCTCCCCAAGCGAACGGACTGGTGGGAGAACAGAGGGTGTTGAAAAGCGTTGCGTTGTGTGTTGGACTCAGGCCAAAAGTTACAACGGGATGTGTCGCAAGGACGGCAGCGCGTCACGCCCATGGGCTTTCACGATCCGCGGATCCTGCTTTACCGCTTTAGCCCTAGCGCCAACAGGGGTCAGCCAAAGTGCCAAGCCATCGCAGCCACCTGATACCATGATAGGAGGTGCATGTTTATTGAGCTGGCTCACGCGCAGCTCCGGGATGTACCTGAACGAATGAAGTGGACGTCAGCCATACCAGTTTGAGGTCTAGTTCTGCCGGCACCATATCACTCACCGTTTCGGCCAACGATACAACATGTCCGGCCAGAGCGAGGGACAGCCGAAAGCGGTGATCCGAATCAGTAGGCATTCCATGCTCAGGGTTAGTGAGGTAGACTATTACATAGAGCCATGCCGCTCGCCTCCGCGGCTTGATAGTAAGCTCTGGAAGTTCCTATATCAGGTTGTCACTCGGAAGCCTATAGACCTAGGTAAGTCTACAGGAGTATCTTGTAGCAAACGATTCACAGGCAGAGATATCATCTCGGCTGGAGAGCTAGTGTTGTATCAGAATCTGATGACATGATATGAGGCTCTCTCGCATGTTCGAAATCAAGCAGCAGTCCTGCTATACTCTCGTCTGGTGAGAAGCACCGAGCAAGGACTAAAGCAAAAACGTGAACGCAAACGTCGCTCTAACAACAACTCTTCCCACCAGCTGCTTTACAGACTCCACTCTACGTAGCCAAACCGATCCAACAAACCAAACAAGGCTTCCCTGGGCTGAGCGGACGAAACCTCTGATTAGACAACCTGGTCTACCTTCATTTTCTAATCCGCGGGTTCCACTGCAGCGTCCCTAATATCCCGACAGAATCTGGCCTATGTTTGAGCCCGCAGTCCAACATCTTAAGTGAACGTAGACTCGTGTTGCGCACTCATGGCTTTTGTTGCAGTTGCCGAAGCCGCTGGTTGTTCCTACCCTCTTAGCCATTGGCTTGGCCCGGACTGACGGCTAACTCTATTGCATTCGGTACGGATAGCCGGAATCCACGAGATTGGAAGCACCGCTAACTTGGCAGCCATCCCGCCTCTCTAGATACTTTAAACGTATGGCCACTCTCTGAGATTGCTGCTTGCGTGGTCCGTTGACTATGAACTTGTAGAAAGGGCTCCTACGTTCCGCTGTCATGTAGACCGTGCAGGAGCTTGTGTATCGGCTGAGTTATGTGGGCGTAGGGAATGCCATCAAGCGGCTGATCCAGTCTTGTTTCCCCTCGGCGCGAAGCCGAAGCCTCCTCTTCCGCTTCCATCGGGTCCGCGTGGCATCCGGGTCGGTTGCTCCTCACTTGGAGTGGCCGGCCTTGAACGTCCTTCGGTAGCTTCCCTCTTCTGCAAGTACACCGAGTTCGGCTTGGCCGTGTATCCCGGATCGTATAGCTGCTTCTTCTGATTCCCCGCACGGGCTGGAGATTGGTCCGCCGACGATACCGACGGACTCTCTCGTCTGCCCTTGCTACGAGCGGTTCTTCCTGCGCCCTCAGCCTTCGAGGAGGAGCCGCGACTAGGAGATTCCTCGGCTCCGGAAGCGGATGAGCCAAACAGGCGCTCTCGTACCTCCTGGTACTTGCGCTGCTTTTCCTCTCGTTCACGAGCAGCCTTTGCCTGGCGCTCTGCGAACGCTTGCTCGTTCTTCTTGCGCTCCTCCTCTTCGCTATCATCGCCGTCATCGGCTATTTGCATTCCTGCTACGCCAGTTTCGATGCCATTGGGCTTAGCAATCGTTGGTGGCGGCTTACGACTCAGCACCTTCAATGCGGGCTTGAAGTCCGTCTTAAGCGGCACATCTTCGCGGGCTTTGAGGAACTGATACGGGTCCGGATTGGAGTCCTCGGCTGATTGCCATAGCTGCCTGTTGGCTTCGGCGTGCTGGGCCTTGCGCTCAGCCTTGGTTATTTTTACAGCCTGTTGGACCGGCTTTTGGGGGTCTTCTGGTTTCTGGATGATCGTCAGTCAAGTTTTGTAACCTCCAAAGGGCGCTAGAGAACTCACGTCTGCGAGGGTTTCCCAATCATCGTCCCATGCATCAGGGACGGCTCCTTTCTTGCTCATCCGGTAGCTCTCGAATGTGAGGGTTTGATATTGAGTGATTGACGGCTTATCGTGCAGATGTAGCGAAATCCGTATACAAAAGCAACCACTTCGCCGGAGGTGGCTCCAGAAGTGAATAAAGTAGGTATCAAAGGATGTTACCCGGCACCTTCCACACCTCACCTGGGCAATCAGGCGCCCCGAGGGGTAAAAGCCGGAGTGCAAGGGTTCAGCGGTTCGCGCCGAAGCGGAGCCAAGCTCAGCCCTATCGAGCTTCACTGACGACCTCAATTTGTCCCGCTACCACAACCCGCAAACAAACCGCAGTTTCGAAGCCACATCGCCCTCACCAACTCACCAAACAGAGCACACAGAAAAGCCCGCCCAACTCCATAACCCGCCAGCATGTCCACCACAGGGCCCCCACAGGACGACGACGGTGACTCTCACATGTCCTCCCCCGAAGCTTCCGACTACTTCCCCGAAGACGACATCACAGCGCCCGCGCCCTCCACACCAACAGCCTCTAGCGTCCTCGCCAACCCTCCTCCCTCTGAGCTGTCCCCACCAAGCTCCACCGGTCCGTCAGGCGGCCGCGTCAGCGCCTTCAACCCTCCGCCCCCCACCAGCGCAGATGCTACCTCGATGGCCATAGCGAACGGCGGCGTGAGTCTACAAACTTCGATACAGGACAGTCCTGAAACACCTATTGGAGGAGGGGGAGGAGGAGGTAGTGGGGGTGGTGGAGGATCGACCGTGGGCATGCGCGGCGGACGGGCGACGACGAATAGCGCGCTTGACGGTCCTGCGACAGGCCAGCCTCTTGGCGTGCATCCGGGTGGTTATACGTGGTATAGACCGGAGGATGAGCCGGGCTTTGCATGGAAGAACAAGAAGGCGCAGGAGGAGTGGGGGAGGGCGTGGGATCAGGTGTTGGATAAGGATATCATGGTGCTGAGTAAGTTGGGCTGGGTCTTGTTGAGCCGATTCTGTGGTCAGGATACTGAGAAAGATCGTGGCTGACTTGTGTGCAGATAAGTATGGAGATCCGTGCGATGAAAGGGTCTTGCAGACCCAGAAGTGAGGAGCTTGGGAGTTAACGCACGCCTCTGATCTATCCCCAGGTTGCGCGTAACAAACACATCGGAAAGACAGCACTTTACAACCAAGCACTTATTCAGTACTCATAGTTGTTGGTATGGCATAGCGCAGAGCACCATCTGCGCATGAATCTGCCGGAGTTCGCGCTCCATTGAAGCTTGGCGGCATTGCAGGAGTTTTCCACTGGGATAGCGGTTCCGCATTTACATTGCTTATCAGAGTCCGGATTAAGAAAGCTCAAGTCGGCTTGCTTTTGGATGTTTTCGAAGGTGGTCATAATAGGGCTCCAAACATGAGCGACGGTTCTAAGATAAACCAGTCGTTTCGTTGCATTCATCCCCACTCAAACCCGTACATTGGGCACCGACATTTTGTGGAAGCTGCAGATTTTGTGCTCCCCGACGCCATGCTATGCAAACTCCCCGCACGCAGATTCAGCAATCAGTCACTGTCGTCTCCGTCATCTAGCACGTCATCTTCATCCTCAGACCCTACCCGTTCCTCAATCGGATCCTCCACTAACCGGCGCTCACCGTCCTCCTCATCCTCACTACCCTCTGCCTCTTCATCATCCTCAACATCCTCGTCCCGTTCTTGCTCCTCATCCGCCCCATCCTCTCCTTGCTCCGCCTCCTCCACATCCGTCTCCCCCTCATCCTCCCCCTCTCCCTCCCCCCTCCTCATTCTCTTTGCCGCAGGCGGCTCATCTCCCACCCTCGCGTGTCCATTAATCTCCGCCACCCCAGCCCCAGCACCCTGTCTCGTATCCACCGCCCCCGCCTCAATAGCCGCCAGCGCCTTGACCGCCTTCTCCTCCCTGACTTTACGCCTATAGGAATTCCGCTTATCGCACTGCGTAGCATTATACCGCTCGAGCTCCTTCTCCAGCCTGTCCATGAAGTCACCCAACTCGGCCTCTTCAATCGCATCTAGCACATCGCGCGGCTGTATCGTCTTCTTGTCTTTCATGCAGGCTAGATCGTGCGCCTGGTGTGTGAGGTAAGAGACGAAGACAGTTGCGGATTTGGAGAGGGCTAGGAGCGCGTCTTTTTGGATCGAGGTGTTGGGTGGGAGGACGCCTTTGGCGAGGCGCTGGACCATTGTGCGGGGGAGGGAGAGATCCTGCGGTGGGAGTATTAGCTGGGAGTGGGATAGGAGGGGCGGAGGGGGGGGATTACCTCCACGCTTAGACCGTCGCGAGGGGGAGAGGAACTGCCGTCTGCGGCTGGGGGGTTGCTCTTGCGGGCGGGCATGGCGGGTTTGATTGGACTGCTCGTGAAGGTTGGATGAGTGCGTTTGGCTGTAGTGACGAGAGTAACAAAGCTTGTACCGCAGTGCCTTTAGTAGCTCTCGAAGAAGTCTGTGATGCGTGACGGTAACTTTCCGCGATGTAAGGTCGTTGATAGTTGCTGCGTGATCGCGCGAAGTCGTGATGGACGCGACGCGTTGAGGGGCTTTCATCGAACTTCCATCCTCAACCACCGCGTTTCGTGGCGCAAGAGTCAGCAATTGACACGATATTATGCAGCAATACAGGCGGTTGCTGCAAGGCCTGCTGTTGAGATCGGGTATACCAATAGTTATACCATCGGGTTTAGAGCTTCACACGACAAGCAGCTTCTACCTACAACCAATTGCACAATCTCCAGAAAGCGTACAAGCTGAAGATTAGAGGCGTTAGGCTGCTTCACTTGATCAAAGCAAGCTAAATCATGGATACAGTTCTTCCGACGAGGGTCTTTTGTTCCCACCTTGTTTTCCAAACAATAACGGATCAGGTCTCAAGGCAAGCGTCGCGTCCGCCAACATGAACTCAGAAGCTGCAACACGCTCTGAAGCGCACAGACAGTGTCACTTCCTCCCTTTACGGTTTGACTTATTTCTCCTCAAACCCTCTTCAATTAAAAATCCATTTCCGTTCATTTCTCCTTAGCCATATCTCTATCTTACCTCCTTATTCTCCATTGCTTGTCTGCTGAGAACGGACCATCATCCTACTTTCCTACGACTGCGGCTTGCTACGCTCTCTAAAATAACGCTTTACGACCTCACAGTTCTTATCCTCTGCTGCGCGCTTGCTTGCTCTCATCCTCGGCCTCCTCTAATCTACACGTAACGACATGGCACCTCGCTTTACGATCGTCATGGACGATACCCCCGACAAGACTTACATCCCCGGCGACAGAGTGTCGGGAAAGGTTATTCTGGACGTCCCGAGAAAGTTGAAAAGAAAGGCTGTCATGCTTTCCTTTTTAGGAGAGTTCCGCTACCTCTACTACACCGGCACTGGCAACGGGCAACAGGTGCACGTTGTCGGTATTCCTTTTTTCAAATTCGACCAAACTCTCCATCCGGGGCCCGTCAACTTGGCAAACGAAAAGCGTGTGTGGACCTTTGATTTCAAGTTTCCTAAGGAGTTCACCCCCTTCTATGCACAGCACAGCGTCTTGCCCCTTCCTTCGTCGACTCACCACTCGATAAAATTCGACACGTTCAGACCATCGGCTGGGATAGTGTATTACCTTCATGCACATTGCCCTCGAGGCAGAGCTCCGATTATCAGCTTCCAGGGATCACTCTGCAAGCCATACGGCCTCCAGCATTTGCAGTTCGAACATCCAGCTAAACAGCCTCCCGGTGCACCGGAGATACAGGTCGTCACACTCAAAGGTCAGCATCGGAATTCAAGCAAGCTGCCCTCCAGCATTCATGCCTTCGGGGAAAAGTTCAGGGACGGCCGGCCAAACCGGGAGACGCATACACCATGCATTTAGTTTGTCCCCAAGATCCATGCTCCTAGAGGTACTACGCCAGACCAGCAGATTCCTCTATCATTGGCAATCGAGCTTCGCCACGGCAAAGACGCTAGCGACAGCCAAATCCGTCCTCGTCTCGTTCTCGAAACCGTCTCTATTTACGTAGCGAATTCCTGGGTGCACGGACGGCGCAAGAAAGGGGATCGGCTTGTGCACCGAGGGGCACTTCAAATTGATGTGCCCCTAGATGGCACTCCGGTCTCATTAGTGGAGCAATTCGGATACCAAGACGCGGAACCGAGCTTCGCTTTTCCAGTCGGTTGGGGAAGTCTGACGCGGGAGTATTACTTCACCGTGATTCTCCGACTTCGCTATCTCGACAAGGCTTTTAAGATAAAGTCGAAGAAGATACCCGTTGAAGTCGGCCCGAGATACGACCCCAGGATGGCCAACCTACCTGCAGACTTGCAGCCGGCTCCGCCTACCGAACTTCCTGACCATAGGATTCCCGGTGCACTGCCGCTTGATGTGTTGAAGGTCGAAAAGAGGAAAAGACGTGCTGCCAGGAAAGCACGTGTGAGAAAGATGTTTGTTGGCGATGCAGCGTGATCTCGAACCGATGATTGCACAGTGTAGGCCAGCAGCGCCTCGGAAGACAGCCTCTACTTCTGCACTAAGTATCACCGTACGCCCTGATTCGCGGAGCGCGTACAGGAGCCGCGACAAAAGGTCACTCGAGCACAATGTTGGCTTGTCGTTGAGCAGGAAGTTTGGTTTCATGGAGGCAAGAGATCGGCGCAGGCTGTATGAATAAGAAGGTGGGTCTGTCGCATGTTGGAGCAGGGATCCGTCCATGAATGCAGCAGAGCCGCAGTGATGTCTGAACTGCTAGATACCCATGAGGGGGTCTTCATCTTGTCATTGAAGGGTCGCAGATGGGCAGAACGAGCGAAGAAACCCCAAGAGCCTGTCCATCCCACTTGTGGCATTAGTACCGTGGGCTACGCAAGCAGGACGCACCCAAGTTTACCGAAGGAAGAACGTATGCATATCCCGCCTTCAACCTCTCAAAGCCCTTCACCATCGCCCAGTCTATAATGACTCTTGTGACTCTTCAGCGAGCTACACCAACATCGACTATGACGATGGTCAGAACGTCACGCTTTCTATCCGGTAAGGACTCTAGTTCGATGGGTTGCTTGCCTTGCTGGGACTCCTCGGACAAATTCAGACGCATACACAAGCAAGCAGGAGCAGTGCTTCCAGCACAATGTGGCGCACGGAGAAAAGATCAAGCAAATCGTTGTTAACTTTTGTTACTTTGCACATGCAGTGAAAGGGCATGATCACCAGCCTCAACTCCCCAGAAGTAAAAGAGCGTGTCCCAGCATCAACATCCCATCCGAGTAAGCCATACGCCAATACATCCAAACTGATTATCATTACCGTCCACGTGTTTTTCTTCCACACAACCACCCTCCCACAGGCGGACAGTTGTCCGTCGACCACGTGACACAACTACCACTTCCCCTCCCACTTCTTCAAATCCATCCAGCACCTTTCGCAGTCGTCGAGCATCTTGATGAACTCGGACGCGTGGAATCCCTCCTCGAGAGGTCCCAAGTAGCAAACCGCGCATCCCTCAAACCCTCCCATCAAGCACCTCAAAGATGCCCCCAACCCCGGCCTCACCGCCCACAGGCCTAGGCTCAAACAGCGCCAACTCACTCCCAAAGCTCCGTTTCTCTTCCTCGAGTTCTAGATCCCTAGCGCTCTGTTTCCGACGAAGCTGGAGAATGCTCCTGAGGCGTGCGGCCGAGTGCGTGGAGAAGCCCGAGTGTGCAGACGACGGGGGGAGGATGTCTGAGGAGGGGCTGGCAGTGCGGGAGAGTGAGAGGGTAGATGAGGTCGTATAGGACATGGTTGGTGAGGTTGTTGTAGTGGTGTAGGTGGTGGAAGAGGAGGAGAAGACGGTTCGTAAGCGGCGGAGGGAGGGGGTGCGGGTTGGTTGGAAGGCGGATTGGAGGCGTGAGGTCCGCATTGTTACTTTTCAGTGCGTGGTTCTGGGAGGCTTTCTGGTGGAGCGTAGGTGATGTGGTATACGTGGAATCCGGGATGAGATAAAGCAAAAGACTTCCTGGGTGTGCCGGTCGCGGCAGTGAGAGGTAATCGATGAGAAGCTTCTCACGATAGACGGCGTCGAAAGTGAGCGAAAACGGGCAGACCCAGCCGTCCCGCAGCGTAAGGAATGTGAATCTGACAACGAGCGAGCGTGGTGAGGCAGGCAAACGCAACCTAATGCGGCCAACCCAGCCACAGGTATGCAAGATGCAAGCTGCACTCAATGACCGGACGTCCCTGGTCAACGAAGAGAGACAGAACGAGAAGCACAGAAGAGCTCCGTATCGTAGACTTCCTCAGAATAAAAGCAAAAGCGGAGCCACAGGTCTCCAGCACAAAAGACGGAACGAAAGATGCAATTACCACCGCGGCAAACGAGGTTGCTCCTGGCATCAAAAAAGCCGCTGCATCAGGGTCGAGTCCGCCCTTATGAAATCTCCCGTAACACGTCGCCCATCTCTTTGAATTCGTCGTGCGCCCCGTAACCTTACCTGAAATGCACCGGGCCTGGCGATCGTTCACGGACCGTGTTACAGCTCGCTCTAGCGAGGAAGGAAGAGACACGCAAAAAGGAGACCATTCCGTTCACAACCTTAGCTTGGGATTGTGCTCCTGCAAAGCATCGCAGCCGTGCTGCATTCCGTGCATGGCGCCAGTCCTGGCCGTATGCGGACGACGCGGCAGCGGGTGTCAGACGTCAAAGGCGGGCGCTGTGGTGCGGCAGCTAGCGGAGACGCGACGGCTAGAGGCGTCTCAGGTGCGCGACGTGCTGCAGGAAGGGGCTTTCCGACATCTCCACACACGCGGGTGTCGGAGCTCAGAGACGCGTCTTGCTGAGAACAGAATGCGAGATTACAATAATACGATGATCTATCAACGCCATCGCTATGCACAAAAACACCTCTCCTCTCTGGCCCCATTCATCTAAGGTGTCACGCCCGTTCTTCTCAATAAAAGACGCAGGTACAGAAGTACAATGTGCGCCCATGCCAACCTCCCGCCGTCAGCCGAACGCCATGTACGCACCCCAACCTGTCAAGAATCTCCAAAACGCATGGTCGCATATCTGGTGCGACCCCGCAGGAACATCGGCCACCATCCTAAGATTGAGACGGCCTCCGCACTGTAAAACTCCTCCTGATGCTCTCGCCCCACGCCGAGTTATCCAGCACCTCCAGCACATCCTGCGCACTGACATTACTGTTCGCCCTGCTCCTGCCTGCCTCGCCCGGCTCAAGCGGACTAGGCGGCCTGCTGACGTTGAGGCCGCCCACGGGATGCCAGTCGCTGGCTCCATCAGCGCCGCCTGCTCGAGCACTCGGTGAGCCCTGCGGACTTGATCGTGAGGGACTCAGGCCTCGCGTTGGAGAGTGGGTCGGCGTGATTTGGATCGATGTCGCTGTGTTGGCTCTGCTGCGTGCTGCCGGGTCCGCTGGTGGAGATACTGAGCGAGCATCGCTACCGCGGCGCGAGTCGATCGGGTGGCCGGCTGATGAGCCATCGTCATATTGTATGTCTTCGTCGTCCACATAGATCTCTGGGACGGTGAAGCGGGGCACTGCCGTCATGCGGCCGGCGCGCTTGGTATCCATGACGCGCTGGAAGCGGCGCCGTCGGTAGAGCGTGTCGAAGAAACCGACCACGACGCTGCGCTTGACGGCTTCTTCGACGAACTGCAGTCGGGCTTTGCGTTTGAGGAACTCCTCGAGTCTGGTTACCGTCCCGTTAGCATACGACCTAGATGGATGAACGGACTGGAACACACCTCAAGCTCTTGTTGTCGTTGATTACTTTGTAGTGCGCGAGGATCATGAGGAGAGCGTTAAAGCTGATCCCTCTGTCTGGATCGGCGGAGACCAAGACCTCTTCGTAGAAGATGTTCATGCGTTGTCTTCTACGCCGAGTCTCGCTGATGGGCAGCTCAGCAAGGCGTGCATTGAGCTTGCGAATATCGATCTCGGGAGGCGTGCTTGTGCCATCCACTGGGAGCGCGGAAGTCCTCTTAGCTACACTGCAATCTTCGATCAGCTGGCGGACTGAAAAGTCGCCATCGTAGATCCTCATTTCGAAGAGGCCGGAGAGTTCCTGTCACAGAGATCAGCCATTGTAGGTCTTGAGCCAGTGATGTTACTTACGCCAAGTAATCTCGGAAACTTCTCTTTGGATATGTAGCCGGTACCGTTTGGGTCGAACTCGGCCCACGCCTGTTTAAATCTGCGGATCTCCTCTCTGCTAACAACAGATAATCCACTGCTCCGCTGGTACACGTAGCTGAAGCTCTCATAGATGAGCGACACAAACAGATTCACAAAGATATACACGCTAACAATGTTCCACGTGATGAACAGCGCGCGAGCCCATTCGGCACTGCCGCAGTCGCCGTCGAAGTGCTGATCACTTTTGACGCAAAATGGTGGCTCGATAGTAGCGAAGTCTTCCATGATCTGGTTCCATCCTTCTCCGGAGGACGTCCGGAAGAGGAGTATGAGCGCCTTAGGAACAGTTCGGAAGTTGATATTTTCGCTCTCATGCGCGTTGAATCTCGTCAAGCCGAAGGCCTGGGTGAGTGCGATTGCGAAAACAAGGAAGAGGACGAACCAGGTTGCGAGAAGATTGCCAATGGACGTTAGACTTGCAGCGGCGGTTTTGAAGAGCTGGTCTAGCTGATTGTTGCGTGGAATGAGTAGCAGCGCGATAGATACGAGACAGAGCTTGTGTAGCTGCACGAATATTCTCTCGTTGAAATCCGTGAGTAGAAGGATTGTCGTGGTGAAGGTGCCGAACACAGCAAAGATCGAGTAGACGTCCCATGAGCTCTTCCGAAATCTTGGCCACGTCAAGCCGATTATTCGCACGGCAATGTTTATAATGTACAAGACCGTAAAAGCTAGGAAGATATAATCTGCATCTGTCAGTATGAATCTAGCTACTCGACTGGTAGTTGCTTTACCTCTGGTCCGCTCCCAAGCCCACGGCGCCGGATAGAACTCAAGGCACAGTAGAGTGAGATGAAGGATGAGAATGCCGGTAACAGATCTCTGCCACCAGCCGGTCTTGCTGACGGCACGTCTATAGCACCACTCTTCCCACGTTTCTCTTCTCTTGGTGGATGAGGGTCGCTTAGATGGCGATATCTGCCGCAAAAGTTTCCTCAACTCCAGCCATGACCGCTGATCCGTAGTGAGAAACGCGACACCTGTTTGCTCGGTATAGTTGCGCATAAAGACAGAAACGAACAGAGTCAACACGAAGACCGCCCCCAAGAGATTGAAAATGACGAAGAAGACGGCATTGCCTTGAGCGACCAGAGCCTTAGGCTGAGTGAAGACATCAGTTATGCTCTCGGCTCGCCACATAACGTCTGTCCAGCCTTCCTGAGAGACAATCTGGAAGAGAATGAAGAGGGAGCTGCCAAAATTGTCAAAGTCATACCACGGGTTGGAGACCTGTCGGGGCGCGAGAACATCCCAGCCATAAGGACTGCTGAGGTATTCGCCGACGCAATCATTGAGGTCGAATATGCCGGAGCCGTTATCGTTACATGCCTGCATCCGGCCATGGAAAAGATTGAGCCCGTAAATAGCGAAGGGAATCAACAAGCTCAGAGAGACGAAGGCAGCCTACGACCAATTAGAGTGTTTCTGCAGTGATATACGACCTTCCAACTTACTGAGAGCACTTTCCAGCCTCCTCGAACGATGATCGAATGGAATGTGTCTCTTGCGCTGTCACTGATGTTGAGTAAACGTAGCGCTCTGAGCGCCTTGAATGCGCCCACTGCCCTCGAAACGTTACCTTCTTTGTACAGCGATGTACCGACGTTGATCCACAGAGTGACAAGCACAATACCATCGATGAAGCCCCAGGATCCCCTGAAGTAGGCGTTGGGTGTCCAGAAAAAGCCGTCCGCGATGATCTTTATCAGCGCCTCGACACTGAAAAGAACGGCGAAGCCTAAGTCTGTAAAGACGAACCAGTTCTTGACGCTAAATTTGTGCTCCGAGAAGTAGTCTTTCTGATAAACTGGCGTGGTGACACAAGCCAGAAGAACCATAGCCACGATAGCCGCGTAGATGAAGGCTGAGAAGGCGTACCACAAGGGAACAGAAGGTGGCACGCCCTCAATGCGGTCGCTTCCCCTACCGGGACCTACGATCCTTTGGCAAAATTTTCGAATGGGGTCATAGGGTCTGAACATGAACAGCGAAACATTGTAGTTGGGATGCTTCTGCAGATACTCCCTCTGCGCCTTCTTGCGACGATCGGTTGCTGTGACAACCTCTTTGGCCATTTGTCGAGGGTCTAGGTCCTCGTATGCGCGAGAGAACTCTAGGCGAGCGTAGAAAGGATTAGTTTCGTGGTGGAATATAGAGGCGACCACTCGAGACCATAGAGAGGATACAACGCCGGATGACACGATGGTGGTTGGTGCTGCGCGAAGTGTAGGATGGGCACCAGCGACAGTGTCTTGGTGGGCTGGATCGCCAGGATCGTCAAGAAAGTCCTTGACAACTGCGTCCTTTAGTAGCATCTCCGTGGCGTGCGAGCCATACTCCAGAGGGTCCTTCCGCCTTCCAGTATGCTGTCTGATCTTGAAGATAGTCGACAACGACAGATTGCTAATCAGTTAGCCATGCGTTCATTGAAACCATGTCTTAGAGCCTACCCATGTGAGGAGCCTCCCAGTTCCTTCTGTTGAAGGAAGGCCTTAACCTGCTGCAGGCGTTTCTCATCCTCAGAGACGTCGAAATTTTCCTGAATAACAGCGATAAACATATTCAAGACGATAACTGTGAAGCTTTAGCCGAGTGACGGTATTAGGCGGATTGGCGGACTTACAATTAGAGAGGATGTACCAGATGATAAGAAAAGCAGCGCCGATCCAAGCTGTATTATGTTTTACATTATGTTTTGTAACACTGTACAAGATCGTTGTCCAGTTCTCGCTTGAAAGGATCTGATACATGCCCAAGAATGAATTATAGATGGTGGCAAACGTAACTTTGAGGGGCTCGCCTCCGTCGCTTTCTGGTAGTTCGCCACGGAGGAGCTGTGCGGCAAAGATGGCCGCGAGGAAGGTCAGGAGAAACACGAAGAGGATCATGTTTGCGAGGCCGGATACGTTGCCAAGCACGACCATGATCAGGTCGCGAGTCATCGGAATTGCCAGCACAACCCGGTATATGCGGAGAATCTGGAATAGGGTGAGCCAGGCATAGGGCTGACCGGAGTTACGAATCTTAGGCAGCTGGATGATGGTTGTGATTACAGCAAGCCCCAGGTCTACCCAATTGCGTTTGCTCTGGAAGAATCGCCTCCAGTCTACGGTAAACCGAACGGCAATCTCGAACAGCAGTACAACGGTAACGCCGAGTTCGGACGCATTAATGAAGCGTTCCCGTGAGCGGCTCATGTCAGCACTACGCATAGACTGACAAGCCAGCCCATACACAATGACAGCTATCCAGAGCCAGTACATGCGTTCGTACAGCCTTTTGAGCGAGCTGATCCGGCGTTTGGGTGCCTTCTCATCCTCGTCCTCCGGAGGCGCTTCAGCTTCATGTGCAGTAAACGCGCTGGTGTTGCTTTCGTCCCGAATGACTTGAAAGGAAGACGTGATGACTGCAATAAGCAGATTGATCAACCACAAGCTCATGATGACGATGCCGAAGGCGAAGAAGAGGGCTGCGGCGAGGTAGTCGCTGTCGGTCAGATAATACATTAGGTCTGTGAAGGTGTTGGTCGTCATTACCACGAATATTAACTCCAGTGACTGTACAAGGTTATCGAAGCTGACTGTGCCAGAGTATGGATTATCCCCTTGCACGCAGTACGAGTTCATAGGGCATAAGAATCCCTTCGAAGAAAGGGCACCACTGCGTCCATCAAGAAACACCCAAGGGAGTGGATTGCTGCTGTTTCGGTCGAGGTGGCCGCCGCAAAACTGGAACTCGTTGGTGTAGTTATCTTGCTTTCCCAATGGGTCGACCCATACACAGTTCCGTCTGAGACTTGATTTGAAGCTCTGAACTCCGACTATAGCGAAGAGAAGCCAGAAAAAGCCGATGAGGAACGAAACGTTGAGCAGCAACGGCGCCGCTTTCTTGAGGCTTCGAAGGATGACCTAGGCAGTCACACTTAGCTGCTGAACGTAGAATTCGGATCCATAGAAATATCCTGCACTTACTGTTGTACCACTAGACAAACGAAGAAGCCGTAGTATACGCAAGCAGCTAAGCATCCGAAACACGTATGCATGTTGACTGTTCTCAACGCCGCGCAGACCCATGACGAAGCTGATCCAAAATGAAATGACTGCAATAAAGTCTAATCTATTGAATGAATGTCGAAGAAACGCGCGTTGAGCTAGGCGAACACGCTGCAGCTGTTGAGATCCACCGGACGGTTCGGCGTGCATCTGCGTAGTGGTGAACGCCCGAAGTATCGAGGGTTGCTGTGAGTCAAAGGTTGTATCGGTACGCTTGACCGACGGCTGTCGCTGTGGGGTGAACAGACTCTGTGCCTTATTGAACACTGCCTGCCTTATACCAATACGACGGTTGATCGTGCTGTACTCGACCGGGTTTATGATGAAGCCGGAGACGATAATCCTCACTACAATCTCTGCGGTGTAGATGACGAACAGGATCAGCAGGCCGTAATCAATCCATGAAGTGCCCCAGCTTTTTGATCTCGGATCATTGAAGACATTGCTGCCTGAGTCAATTGCCAGCAAGATGGTCTGAATGACAATCATGATAAACAGACATGGCTCAGTTACGGGATGGACAAGCAGGTCGCAGAGCCTCGTCCGTAACGGATGCTCGGGAGGGAACACTCCAAGCGAGTCGCCTTTGAACGGATTGGCTTGCTTCTGCCACGAGTCGTCCGCAATGAAGCCCTGGCGCTTGGGTGACGGCATTCTCTTTGGAGATGGGTCTGGTGCTGGCGATGACGCACCGTCATGAGTTCCATGCAATGGCCGAGGTGACGGAGGTTCGACAGTCGGTATGGACTTCAGCGAAGATTTTCTTTTCATGCTCCGTTCGACCAGCTCAGGCTCGTTTGTAAGATTTACCACTCGCTGAGACATGTTCTTTACAATCGTCCCGGCCCTCTGGAGTGGAGACGCAGCCGAAGGCGACAGAGATTTAATACGGGACTGAGATCTTCTGGGTCCGCCATCATCGGGCGTCCGCAGACCCGCTTCAGCTGCTGATAGGTCACCGCTCACTCTCGATGTTGAGGCCGCTTCAGGCGTAAGAAAGCGTATGCTTTGGAAGCTGCCCCTAGTCTGACGTTGTCCAACAGGTGTGGATGGCCCTGCTGCACTCAGTTGCTGGAGGTGTATGTCCGCCGTCAGACGAGCGGTGTCTGAGTATTCTGGGGGAAAGTATCCCTGAGACTCGTCCGATTCATGCAGTGTCATATAGGAGCCACTCTCTGTCCGCGCCGCAATGGATGGGCGCCGGTTCTGTTCATGAGGAGGCGAGGCCGCCGCTGTCGGGTGATATGCTGTGTCTCCTTGAAAGCTCAACCCCGCGAATCCGATAGCTTCTTGGAACCCTTGTCCATCATGAAGCGGGGATAGTTCGTCGCCGTCGTGATTATCTTGCAGGCCAGCCTCCGGTATGGAGAGTTGCGTCCTTGGCGGTCCCGCATTCCTTCGTGTCGGGCTCGGTGACCCTTCTCTTATCGGGGTGTATCTCGTGCTCCACCTATTCCCACCACCAGCTGATTCCGCATTACCGAACAAACTCCTTCCTCTATCGCTAAGTGTCCTGCGATGCTGAACGCTGGATCTCCTCTCGTCATCTTCAGGGTCTGGTGGGCGGCTGAGGTCCTGCAGAGGTATTGATTGAGGTGTCGAACGGTTTCTTCGATGAGACGGATCGCTCGAATCATGAGAGGCCATTGATCACCGGAGCACCGCCGATGCTCTGTCCGTTATACAACTCTTCATTTGCTCTGACGCGACCTGTCGTAGGCTTCTGCGGTGTCGATTGTGGATTGGGGTGCGTGGGAGGTCGCCGTTGAGGTCGCTGTTCAGGTCACAATGCAGCGCAATTGCAAACTCGGCGCCAGAAGCCTCCCACGGCCCTTCGGATGGAATATGTACAGGAGTAGAGAACTCTTCTGGTCGTATGGGCGTAACTGTTGAGTGGAGAATGCCGTGCCTTGTCTTCGGCGCCATTGCGCGTTGCTTCCACATGCGCTGCTTGGCATCGATAAACGTAAATTACCCAGATCCAGTTCCTCAGAGTTTCAGGGTTCAGGGTCCGCGTATTAATAGTAGCACTTCCCTTTTGAGCCTTCTAAGGCGGCACTAACGCGATTGAGAAACAGTGTAGACGGGATATTATTTGCAATGTTGGTCTGGTACTAGTGCGATCAGAACCATGAGAGTGTTGAACAAAACAACGGCTGTCGTGGTGGGCATGTTGCAACGGTGGATCAGTTATTGCGCGTCCGTTAACACCCTCGTCCAGTCAAACTTCCTCCATCGCTTCTTGAAGCCTTCAACTCTCCTGTCGTTCTTGCCCCAGCGCCCTTGTCGCTTGATGACGTCCGGCTCCGCATCGAGCATACCACCAATGATTTCTCTGGCAAACAGATCGCCTTTCGGCCAGCGGTTTGAGTCCTCGACAATGTGGCCAAGACCGCCATCAAGCTCGAACCACACGTGGAAGTACGGCATCTCCTTGGCAAGTGTCCGCTGGAATGCCTGCTTCCCCAAACCATCGCGCGCACGTGCTAGCGTATCGATGAGCTTCTTGTGCTGTGTCCACTCCTCGTCGGCGGACAGGATGGCTTCCCTGAAGAAGGCTGGTGCCGTCTCGCCCAAGCTATAAGGCAATGGCACGACCTCCAGAGCCGCATGCCTCTTCCGCTGCGGGTGCGCAGCGTTCTCGTAGAAGATGACGTCGCGACCCTGATCGTGATACATGCGGGTAAGGCATTTCATGAAGTTGCGGATCTCTTCCCACTCATCAGAATCACATTCGAGGAGGTTCAGGCGGTGCTGTATGGGGACGATGCAAGCGCCGCCTTCACTGATCTCGGGCTCAGTTGGTAGCGTCATGTACACCCGTGTCGCCAGAGACACAATGGGTGCTACAGGGGGCTTGTTAGTGTCTTCGTGGTGGCAGAGGGGACAGGTGTCGAGGATGCGATTCATCTTCTGAAAGTCGCTAATGGCTGTGTTGCGGAGATTAATCTCGGATTTTTCGACTCGTTTGGCAAGCTTTGTTGCGTTGTCGTCCATGTATTCCAAGTCATCCTACAGATGAAGTCAGCAAAGCACATACTCGACAGAGTACGGCAGCTCACATCAAACTTTACATCCTTCGCTATCCTTTCCGCAAATATCAGACCGTCACCTCCAGCCTGACCACGCGTCCTACGCTCTTGCCTGACCATGTCCTCGATACTCATGTCTTCATTCTCCTCTACTAGGCCTCGCTCCCTCCCACGCGTATTCTCAATCGCCTTGACTTCGCCTTTGCGACCACCTGCCAGCATGCGATTCTCCATTGCGCCAAGAACAACTACTTCCGGCTCTCTGCGATTTGCAGCTTCCGACATAGCAAGGTTGTACTTGGCCTCAAGTTCTGCCGCATCCGAAGCACCCCTAAGTTTGGCCTTCATCATCTGAGCTTTCAGCTTGTTCAACGCTGTCTGGTCAAGTGGCACAGTCCTTGCAGGAGGTGATTTTTCGTCCATAATAACACCCTGCCGAGGTGGAGGCGCTTCCTTCTCGTCTGGATGCGACCTTGACTCTCTCCGGATGCCCATGTTGAGCTTCCTCTCCTGAAACAGCTCACCACTGGGCTTGATCTTCCCCACATAGTCTTTGCCGTACATCTTCCGGCGATCGAGCTCAATCTCCTCCTCTCTTGCGTCGTCAAAATCTCGCAAGTCGCCGTAGCGCTCCAGCGCTACTTCTTCCACAGATCGTCCGGACTCTTCGGCCTGTCTATAGACTGCCTTTAGTTTCGTCATGCGCCATGCTGATCCGGCATCTCCGAACTCATAATCGACTTCGTGCTGTGCCGGCTCATCCGCGATGGCCTCCTCGACTGTATCCTTATGAATATCCCGTAGATGATGATTCAGCTCGTTCTTGTGTATCCTAAGCTCATAATCATCCCGCGTTGCCCGCGCCTTGGTCGGCTTCTCAGCTTCCCGTCGCCGCTGCACATAGTCCACGTCCAATATCGAAGGCGCCTCCATCCACGAGTCCCGCTTGAGGTTCGACTCGGTCGCATCCTCAAGCTGCTTGTCTAATGTCTCTTCAGTAGTCGGTGGGACCATGGCCTCTTTCTCGATCCATTCGTCGTCTTCGTCCTCCTCAACAGCGGGCGAATCCAAAGGACTCGGTTTGGTTCCCTTCTCTTCCTGACGCTCCGAGCGATGTGACCTTCCATGCCGGCTGTGGCGTGAGTGACTGTGTTTATGCTGTTGGTCCTCATCCTCCCGGTCCTTGTGGTGTCTTGACGAGCGGTGGTGATGCTTTCGACGACGTTGATCACGATCCGGGCTACGACTTCGCTCGCGCTTTCTATGGTTCTCCTTCTCCTTGCTCTGCGCAAGCTCACGCTCGAAATCCTCGAGACCCATATTGATCCTCTGCGATGTGTTTGTTATGGGTGCCAGTTTGCGGCTCCGGAGCTACAACGCAAAACGTCACGGATGCTTGGCGGTTTTGATGCCGGCGCAAAGCGATCGCGGACTCTTCCCCAGTCTAACTCCGACCAGCTCCAGCACTCTAAACCATCACGCCCACAACACCTCCGGCAGACCCTCCCTCACAGGGCGAAATCAATCTCTACGAGCCCAGGGCAAAGAGCGCCTACCTTGCGATTCACACACCTCAGCAATACCTCAGCGCCGCTCGGCAGCATTCGCGCCTGGCGGAGGAGCCCCCACCCCCATGGCTAGCCAACAGGCGTACTTTCAGGATGTGCTATTTGGCATGAAGAAAGCGCTGGCGCGCGCTGACGATGGTAAGAAGCGTCTTGCAACTCGCGCAAGCTCCATGTGGGACCATGCTAACTTGCCGTGCGACAGCCTCCGACTCTGACGATTCTGTCGAACGACTTACAAATCGCGGCCAGAAGAGAAAGCGAAACGCGAAATATGTGCAAGAGGGTCGCCTGGACAATTCAGTCGGGCCGCGTGTATACAGAAGGGTATGCTACGTCAAGCCTCTAGCTGGGTCTTCGCACGAAGGCTGACCGGACTCGTGACGTGCAGCAAATCGAACACGCAGGGTACCAGCGACACATCATCTCTCACAACCCTCAGCGCTTTGACGCAGATGGCGACCCGCTTGAAGACGACGAGGAAGATTCCCAGGCTGACGCGGATGCCTTAGAGGAGAACCCCTTCGGGGAAGTGAAGCTCGAAGGTACAAGTGTCGCGCAAACCGGAGTATCACTAGCTGACAAGATCCCGCTGCATAGAACTACTTGCACCATTAACCTCGGCGGCCGACCTGCCCACGCACCCCTCGCTCTCTACACCATACTACTCGAAGAGTCTCACGGAGATGGTCGAAGGCGCCCGCCTAACCCTACAAAGAGAAAAGGCGAACCTGTGGAGGATGAAGCATCTGTTAACGAGGTTCCGGGGCGACCACACATGGACGCCGTGTGGTATCTTCGCGACAGACTACGATCAAGTACTCCTTCGCGCGTTGATGCCGTCAAACTATCGCGCCGTTTTCGCATTCCAGAACGGAGGCCCGCAAGATCAAGGGAGCCTCTCATGGGATAACAATTCTGATTCACGAACGCTGGGGATGGATGGCCTACAAACACCGCCAACCACGTCCGCGCTGCTCCAAGCGCCAGAGGCAGAGGCTCGACCGGCAGAGGACGTGCAAATGTTAGGAGGGACCAGCGTGCAGCACTTCGATGCAGCAGAGGCGACAATCGACACTGTGAAAGCAATCGCGAAAAAGGCCAACGGAGAAGAATCAGCGGCGCAGAATGGTGCTACAACAGATGGCGTCACGAAGGCGATAGACCATAGCGGTGGCATAGCGGCTGACGCTTCTGGAGCGACTACCGAGGGCATTCCTGCAGACCCAATATCCTCAAACGACGAAGGCGCGCCGAACGGAGATCAATCCATCACCAATGGTGGGCAAAGCACAGCTCTGGTGATTACAGAAGGACAACAACCCAACGGCGACGCGCCACCTTCTCCACCAGGCGAAGCCGACGACTCCGCTTCCCAGCCACCCGCCCACCGCATGACTACTCGAGCTCAAGCCCACGCAAACTCGAATCCCCTATCGCCACGAAGCTCACCAACGCGAAGCGCGACCGCCGACGTGGTACCGCCCATACATCCATTCTTCAACTTCCTGCCATCATGTCGACCAGACCGCGACGTGGGCCTCCCGCCCGAAGTCGCGGAAGATACGCGGAAGTTCCTGAACCTATATGTTCAGCGGCAGGAGGAGGTGATTCGAGGGGTTGAGCAGCTGTACGATGGGCTGCTGAAAGCGGAACGCATGCGCAAGGAGGTGATCAAGTGGGCCAAAGCGGAAGGGCATGTCGGCGAGATGAGCGATGGGGAAGACTGGTACGACAAGGATGAATGGGGGTTGCTTGAGGATTTGGTGAAGGGAAAGGAGGAGGAGGAAGTTGATGAGGTGCCGGGGAAGAAGACCAGGGGGAGGACAACCAAGTAGGAGGATCGAGCTGGTAGTTTTTGACAAGTGGAAAGGCATGCGTGGCGATTGCACCGATACTGAGATGTCCACCCCACGGTACAAACTTTGACCTTGAGGCTTCCGATGATCGATCGGCAATAGTGTGTGAAAGCTTCCAGCTTGCTAAATGGGACAACTGTGGTCCCGTCTATGCTGCCTTGCTTAGAACTCTTGATAGGATGAGACATTGACCTCATCATCCGGTCGCCCTCATCCCAAAAAGGGAAGCCGAGAGCGGCAAGATCCGCCGAGCCTCGCGTCCAGGGTCCAAGCCTCCCACTTCGCGACCCCCACGTCAGCCTCAATGTCCTGGTTCACGGGCAGCCAACCCTGACCTGGCCTACCATGACCTGATAGTCGAATTTTGATACATTGTCCCGTTCGGCATCCTGTTCAAGTCTTCAGCCTTCTTCGTAGTCACGGCGCCATTTCAACGCCATGGACGATTTCAACAGCGAAACAGACAGTGACTACACAAGCTACTGGCGAGATTGGGTAAGTGCGTGGATTCATCCTTCCTTTATGCCCCATTCTGTGCCATCCTTCAAGAGCGAGGCAAGCATGGCAACCTTCTGGCTTCTGGACGTCATCTTTCCTCTACCTACCTTGGACGCAGCTTTATCGAAATATCTCCTTCAACATGGATCCACGCATTCCTTTGCAGAACATCAATCGAACGGCCGTGGTTTATGATGCTGCCAGGGAAGAATACCACGTCCCAGAGTATGGCAGTGGTGAAGATGTTATCAGTAGAATCATCCCCCGTTCCGAAGTGGTTGCACCTATCCCAAATCAGGCTCCTCCGAACCCCGGCAATGCTGCGCAACTCCGCAACCAGAATATTGTTCAGTCTTCTGCCGACGCTCGAGACCGGAACGATAGCCTCGCTTTGACCGAGACCAATCTTAAGAGGTACTGCGAAGACCGTGGTCGTCTCAACATCTACACTGTAACCCACGTCCATGGCAAAATCGAGAACTGGGGCAAAGCATGTTCTAAAATTCGGGACACCAAGTTACCTCCTGCCGCTGCGCAGCAAGGTTGTAAAGTTTCAGGTTACGAAAACTACTTCGACTGGCTTGTGTTGAGTAGTGCGTGGGAGACGGAGCCATCCACTGATGGCAAGGAACTGCACGAGGCAGCCAAGCGACACTTACGAAGGAGACTACTCGCTCGCCTTATGTTCCCTGACCGCCATGCTCTGAGTGACTCGAGGTCAAATACCTCGGCTAAGGCGAAGCTGAAAGAGGGCGAGGTTATCAAGCCGCGCGGCTGGAGGGCTATTCCGAGGCGGCGGAAACAGGACCGACGGATAATTTCACACTATATACGTAGCCGGTACCGCTTGAACCAGAACGCCGCGTCTCCAGTCGTGCCCGTCAATCCTGAGCCGGTTACGCCGCCTGAGGCCAGTGTAGTATTTAGCTCACCTGAGTCGGCTCCAATATGTAGCTCTCAGGACACCGACACTGAAACAGCACCTCGGGACTCCAGACATCCAGGAAACTCCAGCATTCTAGGAGAAAGTGCAACTTATTTTTCATCTATACTGGTCACCTGCAAGTCACTAACATCAACTGCCTCTCTAGTTCATCTCCTCGCGAGGCAACGAGTACTTCTGCGAGATTGACGAAGAATATCTGACGGATCGTTTCAACCTTACGGGCTTGAACACAGAAGTGCAGTACTATCAGTATGCACTGGACCTGGTAACGGATGTCTTCGATCTGGACTGCGACGACGACATGCGGGAGCAGATCGAGAAGTCTGCAAGGCACCTTTATGGCCTGGTTCACGCGCGGTACATTGTCACAACCCGAGGATTGGCAAAGATGGCAAGTCAGAAGTGTTACGCTGTCCCCTTAGAATGCATGACTAACATATATCTCAGCTCGACAAATTCAAGAAGGCCGACTTCGGCAAATGCCCGCGCGTAGCCTGCGACCAGCAAGCACTCCTTCCAATGGGCCAGCATGACACGCCGAACGGCTCACCCGTAAAGCTCTACTGCGCGAAATGCGAAGACATCTACAATCCCAAATCTTCGCGCCACGCCACGATAGACGGCGCCTACTTCGGCACGTCTTTCCATAACATCCTCTTCCAGGTGTATCCCGCAATGGTCCCAGTGAAGACGCAACGACGCTACGAACCGAAGGTCTTTGGTTTTAGGGTGCACGCCTCTGCGGCGCTGATGAGGTGGCAGGCGGAGAGGAGGGAAGAAATGAAGGCCAGGCTGAAGAAGGCGAGGGTAGAGTCGGGGTTCGAGGACGAGGACGATGAAGAAGAGATGGACGAGGAGGAAATGGAAGATGATGTGTCGAGAGATGAAGATGCGATGAGCAGGACGACTGTGCAGTGATGGCCAGCTACGGTGTTCGGATCATTGTGGGGGATTGCATGGGCATGGCGTTGACGGGAGCCATTTTGAACGGACATTGCTATGGTGGGGTTTCTTTACGAATGGATGGCTTTAGCTCGATGATAGCCATTGAACACACCTTTCGCTCGAACTGTGTCTGTTCCTCTCTCGTCTCACGGTGCGTATCACGTGCGCATACACCGGCAAGTCGCTGACATAACAGCGTGGACTCAGAGAAAGTCAACAGCACATAAAGTCCTCAACAACCACTAAATGCCACCCCTATTTATAAGCAAACTAAAGCTGAAACTCTCTTATGTTATACTTAAGGTCCTTTCCCACCTATTAATAGCATTCAACCATTTTAAAGTACGTTGTGGTTGATAAAATAGTGATTTAAGTGATGCTCAAGTGGCTCTGAGTCTACGCTATTTTGTCAGCGACTTGACCGGAAAGCTCCAGCAGACCCTGACGCCAAGAAAAATGCCCCTCCACCGACATCAATTCGCGATGTGGGGTTGAGGACAACTGTCGAGCAAGCAACAAAAAACACTTAGTCGCGGCATCCCATTACTCAACAATCAACACAATGTTCAAAAAAGAGTTTGCAGCCCACGGAATGCCTCATTACTCTACATAGAGCTGATACTAAAGCCAGCATCTCTCCCGGTGCAAAGTCGAAAGTCAAGTCCTCCGTCCAGCGCGCCATCCGGACGAAAATCACCGAGACGTATCCTCTCCTCGTGCCGCATATCGACGAAATCCTACCTAAAAAGGAGCAGCTCGATCTCGTAAAACTGTACGTCTGCGTCCTTCCATCCGCCCTCCTCCGCCCCCACACCCCCCGCACACACCGGTCTCTCCATGCCAGCTGTCTTCCTGGCACCCCCTCCGCGCTTACCAGAAGGCAACACGAGAACATGTGTACAGGACAGGTAAATGGCTAACAGCGCTTTCTACGTAGACCCGACCGCGTCTCCCTCTACGCCCTCGGCAGCACCCCGCTCTTCTGGCAACACATGGACGACCCGCTCCTCCCGCACCTAACCCTCGTGCACAAATATCCAACCTGCTTCCCGCTCCTGCGCATCGACCGCGGCGCAATCCGCTTCGTGCTCTCCGGCGCCTCGCTCATGGCACCTGGCCTGACGTCCCCGGGCGGCCGGCTACCGAAGCAGAACGACAAGGACGGTGTAGGGCCTGAGGAGTATCGATATGGGAACGAGGAGCTGGATGAGGGCGAGGTGGTGGTGATAGAGGCCGAGGGCAAGGAGAACGCGTGTTTGGTGGGCGTGCTGAGGATGGGGACCAAGGAGATGAAGGAGAAGAAGAAGGGGGTTGTGGTGGAGGGGGGCCATTATTTGGGGGATGGGCTCTGGAAGATGGGGTTGGATTGAGCGGGTGTGAGGAAACTTGGCGTGGGTTGGTGGCCTTTTCGAACGGGAACTAAAGGCTCGGGATCGGTTTGAGAGGAACCGGATGGCAGTGACATGGGCATGGTGGACAGCCGGTGGCACATCAACGGAACTGAAGGCGTGCCGTCACAACTGTCCAAGAAGGGTAAGCGGAAGATGGATTATTGGAAAGCATAGGCAGGATCTAGGAATGATACCCGTTTAGATGACACCCCCAGATCACCGAGGGGAAGACCAATATATGAACTCCCACGTGTTGCTTATCGTAGGCGTTGTATGCGAATCGGCTGATTATCCAGGATCATACGAAGAGTGCCGCCAGACGATTACTGAGGAGGCGCTCCTCTGCCAGCACCGCCGCCCATGAAGCTCCGTGCTCTGCGTTGTGTGTTAGAGAAGTAATGCTATGAGCAGGTGATCCACAATACTTACAGCTCTGCGATACTCGGGTCCTGCATCAAGCTCGCGATATCCGGCATCCCTCCACCCCCTCCACCGCCCCTACCAGCGCCTCCCCCACCGAACCTATCCGCCATCTCCCGCAGTCTCGGATTATTGAGCATATTGCTCATCATCTCCGGGTTGCTCATCATACTCTGCGCCATCTGCCTCATCATCGGATTGTTCATCATTTGGCCAATATCCGGCATGCCGCCCCCGCCACCTCCACCGCCAAACATGCCCGCCAGACTCGCCAGATCCGGCATGCCGCCGCCCATACCGGCACCGGCACCAGCGCCCGCACCTCTCGCCGTGTCCTCCGGAGCACCAACATCCCCACCCTCCTCCTCCCACCTCCTCTTCGCCGTCTCATATCCCTTCTTCATCGCCTCGCTGCCCCCGCTCCCCTCAGCCTCTATCCCCTGCTTGTACGCCTCCATGCTGCCCTTCGCGTCTCCCAACGCGAAGCGCGCGAGCCCAAGCCGACTCCACGCTTTCGTGTACTTCGGGTCCGCCGCAACCGCCATCTCGGCGTCCTCCTTCGCCTTCTCGTGCTGCTGGGCCCCGCTGTAGGCCGCTGCGCGGTTGGAGAGGTAGATGGGGTTCAGCGGGACGAGGTCGAGCGCGCGCGTGTAGAAGTCGATGGCCGCGGTGTAGTCTTTGCGCTGCATAGCCGCATTGCCCTGGCCCTTGAGTTTCTCGGCTTCGGCCTTGGCGGTCGCGTCTTGGGCGCTTGAACCCGCTGCTGAGGAGGAATCAGAGCGCGAGCCTGGTGCCGGCGCCGCGGGCGTGGCGGGCCGCCCTTCGCTCGCAGAGCTGGAGCCTAGAGTGCTGGCTGTGCTCTTGCCCTTCAGCTTCTCGTAGACGGAGTAGATGGCCAGCAGGTTCTGGCCGCCGAGCGCGTCGGACACGGCTTTGGTGTCTGAGGGGTCGACTTTGAAGCTATCGGCGATGCAGGAGGTGGCTACTTCGATGGACTCGGCGTCGTCGGCGCTGAGGGTGCCGTCTTTGAGGGAGGTGTTCAGGAAGTCGATTATTGCGAGCGCGAGCCGCTTCTTGGAGGTCGGGTCCGAGGGCGCCTATTCAAGTATGAGTGAGTGGGATAGCAGCGAAGGCGGGGCGGTGGGGTTGGGGGAATGCGAACCATGACGGCGGTACGGGTTAGAAGATTTTTGGGAGATCAGTGCAGTAGGATGAGTTCGTGAGGTCTTTGCTGGAGACGCACTGTGGAAGATTGCGAAGTTAGATAGTGGGGAATGGTGGAGAGAGAACACGGTGGTGGGATGGAGTTCGAAGCTTCCAGGGTTTCCAGCGGAACGACGTACGCGACTACGGTGGGCCTTGGCGTGCCGCATGTGCAAACTGCATCAGCTCGAAACCGGGCTCGTTGTATGATTTGGACGGCTTCAGATTCGATAAACTACGCTCTGCACAGCCTAACTCGCCTGGCGTGCGGTCTCGAGTACACGCTAAATGTAATATACACACAGAAGTGGGAGAGTAGAGACCGCTCGTGACACCATATAACCCCCTCCTACCCATTCCAGATCGACACACTGCGCGCGAATACAACTGCCCGACAGTCGACTGTAATACTAAGACAGAGAAGAAAGAGCTGGACCAGAGCTTTTACGACGCCGGAAATGCAGAAGGCGCGCAGGATGCCAAGACATAATGGAAGTCGACGAAGCGACGAGAGACGACCGTCCAAGCCACGCAACGAGACTGGAAGCGTCGGATGGCATGGCAGTGGTAGGATATGCGGCGCTTCTCATATGTAATCTCGAGCGCTCTTTTGCAGCTCGATCAAGCGCCAGCCTCTCGTTTCTGGGTTGTTTACATCCTCCGGTATCCTCGTGACACCAATGGCATATGTGACCTGCTGCACCTTGTCGTCCATTCCCGCTGCAAGCTCGCCGGTCTTGGCCTGCCTGTAGACGTGCACTTCCTGCGTCCGGCACGTGACGATGAAGACGGGGATATCGCCGGGCTCCAGAATCCGCGCCGACAGAATGTCGACATGCCTGATATCCAGAATGCGGCCGTCGGATTTGAGACCAGCGGTAGTGTACTGCTGCATCAACGCAGCGTAGACCTGATACTGCGCAGCGGACAGCCAGAGCTTAAGCACCTCGACGTCGCCCTTGACGTACGCATCGAGCACTTCCGGTAATATGTACTCGCGCATCTCCGTTAGGAACGGCTCGAGCTGGAAATTAGGGTCCATCTCTCTGAACTTCTTGATGACCATGGCCGTCTCGTTTTCGGCGAAGAAGCCGGCGACGCGGTCGGAGATGCTGCGCGCGGTAGAGATGAGCGGGTTCTCGGACTCGTTGTAAATAGATTTGACGGAGAAGAGGGATTGCATCAGTCGGCTAGAGTCGCGGAAGTCTCTCCATGACTCTTTCCATGCGGCATCCTTGTGGAGAGTGACATTTGTGCCGGCGCTGTTGCTGGTCAGCTTGCGATCGATTGCAGTCTCAATAGTATGCTCACTTTGGATCCTCCTCCACAGGCCCCGTGGGCCTCTTACCACCGGTCTTCTGTATTTCGTTCATCTCTCTGAGCTCCCTACGCTTCCTCCGCTCCTCCTTCTCCGTCCATCCACCGTACCGGGACGAACTACCATCGTCTATTGTTTCCTTAACGCTCTTGAACGCCTCCGTCTCCCGCACCGGTCGCGTCACCTTCTCGATCCCGCGCCCGGTGGCAGAGACGCCCTTCCTAACGCCCTTTACTACCGACGTGTCCCATGTCCACGCCGCACTCTGCCCGATCGCCCTGCCTGTCGTCTTTAGCGCGGCGCCGCCCTTTGACGTTGCCGCATCTGCTGCCTGGCTATAGGCCGACCTGGCCTTCTTGATTGTCTCATTCTGCGTGAAAGCGTTGACCTCGCCTGCCAGCTGCTTCGTAGACTCGTTCCACTCCTTCGACGCCTTGAACTCCGTCTTCAGCGTCTCGGTGAAGACCTGCCAGGGTGTCTTGTCGCCGTGGGGGGGTGGAGGCGGCGTGTCGGCTTTCTTCTTCTTCTTGTCGTCTTTAGCTTGGTCGTTTGGCTGCTCCTCGCCCTCCTTCTTCGCGTGCTCCTCGGAGGCCTGCTCGTTTGTGGGACCTTTGGCTGAGGGGTCTGGTTGCGCGGCTGGATCTTCGGGGCGCGGCTCCTTTATATCCTCCTTTAGCTTCGCCTCTTGGTGCAGTTGTGAGCTGGAGTGGAAATGTCGGGTATAGCTAATGGCGGTTCGGGAAAGGATATCTTGCGGTTGAAGCCGAGTTCGGAGGACGAACGGGGCTGAGGTGAAGAGTTGTGCGGAGTTGGGGCTCCGGAAGGATGACAGGTCAGATCTCTGCGCATCTGTTGTCGCTGTCCATAACCGCCTGTGGGCTGGAGAGCGTCCGTATGCTGAGGTTGGGGGTGAGGTAAATGACCGAGCGGCGACTCCTGGCCTCGCCTTTGTGACACTTCTCCGGAGCGCACTCATGCTAGACTTTGATGACGCTGAACAGGTCGGTCCGGTATGGTAAATCCGCGGATGCTTAGGAGATTGGTAGAGTGGTTGGAGGCGCTGCGCAAATGGACGAAGTGAAGGTTGAGCGCTGGCTGGCGGAGCGTGATGGGAAATCTTCAGGATTGCGTCCGTGCACTCGTGAGTTCGCCGAAGGTCACCGCCGAGGAAACCTCCCATACAACTACCGCGATACACTCCATATCCATCAACCGCCGGAATGAGCAAAGCAGCAGGAAGCCGGCTACTATCAGCCCTCACACCTTCCATCTGCGCGTCCTGCCGCGCAAAGCTCCTCCCGACACCCGCCTCCACCTCCCTCCTCCGACCCTTCTCCTCGACACCACGCCGACCGGCCAATCCACCATCCAGAGACAGCAGTGAGCTCCTCAGTTCCCTCGCCTCAGAGTTCAGCGCCTCCAGGCCCCAACCCCAGCGCAACCCCGCCCCCAACGCCTACACCACTACCGGCACCCGCAACACGACAGCCTACGACATCGCGCAGATCTACAGCGAAGACTTCTCTTCTTCCATCGAGCCGCCTTCTGTGCTCCCCGCAGAAAAGCCGCCGCACCACCTCCACATCTACGCGACAAAGCACAACACGCACATCACGCTGACGCGGCCGGACCGCAACCCCATCATCTCGTTCAGCGCGGGCAACATCGGGTTCCGCAAGGCGGGGAGGGGGAGCTATGATGCGGCGTACCAGCTCGCAGCGTTCTTTATGAAGAAGATTCAGGATCAGGGGTTACTGAGGGATATCACGAGGTTGGAGGTTGCACTGAGGGGGTATGGGCCGGGTAGGGAGGCGGTGACGAAGGTGCTGCTGGGGAGTGAGGGGAGGATGATTAGGGGGAAGGTGGTTAAGGTCACGGATCAGACAAGGTTAAAATTTGGAGGGACGAGGAGTCCGAAGCCGAGGAGGCTGGGTTGAAGGACTTTTTCCATTTCTGGGTGGTGAGAAAGGCCGGGGCGTGGGCTATTTGGTGTATGGCTTCTGATGGACATCCGTGGGTCCCCTTACTGTACAAACTTATGTATCTTCAGGGTGGAAAGAGAGTAATTACTCATCGGAGAGCTAGCTGTGTACAACGCTTAGTAGTACAGTATTAAGTGAGGACTAATAGACCGTGCTTGATACTAATCGTCTCTGAAACGTTGCTAGCATGCCGAGAGGCATCTTAAATGCCACCGCTACAGCCATTTCCTGGAACATCATCCCGAAAACGTTCCAGTACGCCGTAACCATCACCCGGCGCCTTGGCTTACGCTACCTTTGGACAGACTCTTTGTGTATCATCCAAGGTGATAGATCCGGTTGGAAAACGGAATCGGACTGCATGGCAGAGATTCATACCCAAGCCTGGGTAACGATAGCAGCGACAACTTCGGACAGCGGTCCAAAAGGCTGCTTCTCTATCCGCGATGCAGCCCCTGTACCTGAGGCAGATGTGGCCAGATCCCTGCTGTGGTCTGTGGACTTCACCACTTACGATGGAACCAGTCGACCTACAGTGGGCTCGATGCGACGAGCTCAGATGCATTGGCATGATTGGAGGCGATGGCTCCTCTTCCTGAAAGAGTCTTCTAGTCTAGACTCAGCCCTATCAGATCACCGGGCGGCGACCTGGAACTGGCCGTCCCTGGACGGCACCTTCTCGCACCGCTACATCGACCTGGATCATACGGATGGCCATAAAATTGTTTGGCAGATCGTGGATGCGAATGATCCGGCGTACATGTTCATGCTCGCCTTTCCGCTAGACGGCTTAAGTCTACTTCCTCAGTCATAACAGCACACGTCCAAACCAGATCCGCGACAAAACACTTGCACGGTGTAGGCCGCCTATTTCTGGAGTAGAGGAGAACGAACCACAGAATGAGTAGAGAGGGTTCATACGATCTGGCTCGGGGGTTTGCTTGAGCGCAACGGCGTTCAACGTACGTTTGATCCTGACGTGTGTTGTTTCGCGAAAGCGTTTGTCGCGACTCCAATCCACTACATCAGCAAGAGTCGTCAGTGGCGGAAATCGTAGCTGTACTCTGAGGTCTTGTGCTTGGAGATAGCAGCAGATGTGGACATAGAAGAGGTAAAGGCTTTGAGGCGGAAGGATGGTGAGCAAGATGCCAATCTCACTCGTATGTATCCTGAACCAGGGGGTGGGGTCGGATCAGTCGCTCTGATACTAGTGAAATCGCGAAAGGTGGAGAGTGCTTTTGAGCGAATAGGTATTGGGTTTTCGACAAAAAAGTATCTGGTTTAAGGACGCTCAGCGGAAAGAAACACTACTAGTGTAAGAGTGATATATAGGCGAGATTTCTTTACTTCCACTATAGGCTTCATAATCTTAGTCATAAAGCAGGTAGCGATAGTATCACTGGCTTGCGCCGAGCCGATTGAATCGACTTAGAACTGCCAGTTAGCGGGGGCCGATCAGATCATACATTGAAAGCCAGTCGATACGATTGAAAAGAAAATCGACTTTCTACTACTCATCCAAGCCTATTACGTGAACCTTAGTGGGTCAGGAGGGCAAATAGGTAGTAAAATTTGGGTCGGAACTCAACTCCTCGCGTAGCTGATCGGAAAAGGTAAGGCAAGGCCATCGTATGAGTAGTCACATGTATCAACATCACATACTCTGCAAAACGCGGTCTCTTACGTGGCTCATCTTCGCTTGGGTATCGGTGCTCGCTCACTAACGGGTATCCCCCTTCCACTCGTATCCCTCACACTCACCGGTCGCGGCGCATCGCTCCCCGCAGAGGTTGGTCTGGCATAACCATGACTACTACTACTAATCCGGTCCATTTCACTGTCCCAGCGATCTTGCTCCTCGACCGACGGGCGAACCCGGGGCCTGTTTCTTGAACTCCGTAACATCGCTGCTTCCTCATCATCAACCTCATCGTCCAGTAGCTCTCCGTCCGCAGTGTCGTAGTCAGGCGCGGCAATCCATTCTCGGGGTACTACGCAGGGCAGCGCGACTCCGATACTTGCAGCGCGGTTGAGCCAGCTGGGCGCGGGGCGCGATGTGAGTTTCTCGCAAAGGTAGGAGGTGAAGTGATTGCAGTTGTTCGTAAGGAGGTTGTAAGAAGTGCCCTGGAAGCGCTGTGATGCCTGGAGAAGAACGTTTCAGCTGTGGCAGCTTGCTAAGGCGCTTGCGACCCACTTCTTGTATGATCTCTTCAAGCTCTGTTTCCGTGCGGAAGGAGAATCCTTGCAGGAGTTCGACTCTAAACGTACCGCCCGGAGGTTCTACTTGAGGTCTGTATCGTGTTAACCATCAGCTAGCGGCTGCCATGCTACCGCGCAAATTCTACCTTGTCCAATACACTCCTGTCACTCCTGCTCTGTCATGCCCGCCAAAGGCATACTCCTTGTCCTGAATCACGATACCCGAGTGCAGGAGTGATCCTCCGATAGCCCAAAGCACGGATGATAGTTTGCCTGGCTGATACAGAAAGGACTGTCAGCTGGGAGCTGCGAACTGTATCGTGGGGGTCCGGGCGCGGATAGCTCACGGGTAGCAGGTCGTAGACGTTGATCAGAATCTCGGTCTTATTTAAGGATAGTGTGCAGCGGTGAGTTGAGGAGCTGTTGCGTGAGGGCTTGGGTCTTGAAGAGGACGACATGACTGCATGAGATGCGCGCTAGGCTCTCAAGAAGGACGCGGTTAAAGAGCGGGAAGTGGGACCAGCCCGCTTTCAATATCTAGATCTGTAATTGCTAATGACGGGACATGGCATCTGTAATGAAGGCGACTAAGAAACAGTAGGTCAGAGGCGCAAGGAAGGGAGGACGAGGTCACGGTGTCTGGGGAGGATGTGTTGGTCGCGTGTTGAGCTCCGGATGCGCCGACATGTGAAGCTTGCGGAGAGGTCGGAGCGGAAGAATGTTTCAGCGCTCGAGACCGCAAAACTTTCGAGTTCAACACCAGGTCATCCGCTGCAGGGCACTAGAACTTATCAACTTGAGGAGAGAGGCTCACGGCAGTCACCTCCTCGTCCTCTGTCATCACGACCTCCCCAATTGCATTCCGTCTTCCCTTCATTTCTTTGATACCCAGACTTCAGCGTTCGGCAGCAAGTACTGCTTTCGCGCACGGCTCATTTCGACCTCACCTCCCTTCTCCACAGCTGAATTTCGGCGTTGTGGTTGTCCGCTTCTACGCCAAAAGCAGAAAGATGCCTCCAAAGAAAGCAGTGAAAGAGGAGAAGCTCCTTCTGGGCAGGCCTGGCAACAACCTGAAGAGCGGCATCGTATGTAGGACGCCAACTACCCGAGTGCATCAAGTCAAGTCCTTACCCTGACAGTAGTTCTCAGGTTGGTCTTGCGAACGTAGGCAAGTCTACGCTGTTCCAAGCCATCACCAAGTGCTCTCTCGGTAACCCTGCCGTAAGTAAGAACCCCCATCCTTACTTGAACCTCCACCTAACCGATATACAGAACTTTCCGTACGCCACCATCGACCCAGAAGAAGCGCGTGTCATCGTACCAGACGACCGATTCGACTGGTTATGCGAGCATTACAAACCCAAATCACAGGTACCAGCCAACTTGACTGTATACGACATCGCCGGTCTTACGCGAGGCGCCTCGACCGGCGCGGGTCTCGGCAATGCTTTCCTGTCACACATCCGTGCCGTGGATGCCATCTTCCAAGTCGTGAGGTGTTTTGATGACGCAGAGATTATTCACGTCGAGGGCGATGTCGATCCGATACGCGACTTGGACATCATCGCCGAAGAGCTTCGCATCAAAGATATCGAGTTCGTCGAGAAGGCACATGAGGCCCTTGTGAAGCAGACCCGAAGAGGTGGTCAGAGCTTGGAGATGAAGAAGCTGAAAGAGGAGCAAGCGACAGTGGAGAAGATTCTTGCGATGCTCAAGGATGGCAAGGATGTGAGGAAAGGTGACTGGGGCCCAAAAGAGGTAAGACAACTCTTTCGTTCCAGAATTCTCGAACCCCACAATGTTCACGTGATGACAAAGAGCTTTCACGCTCGATCTAATCCCAGCTCTTCGAAGGCCTCAACACAACGCAGAGGCTGTCATGAGAAGAAATCCTCGTCTGATCCATATATGCGATTTTGTCATATCCGTCAACAGGTCTGCGCGAGCCTGACTGACGTTCTCCAGGTCGAGGTCATAAATCCGCTCTTCCTACTCACAGCTAAGCCCGTCGTCTACCTGGTGAACCTCAGCGAGAAAGACTACATCCGCCAGAAGAACAAGCATCTACCCAAGATCGCTCAGTGGGTCAAGGAGCACGCCGAAGGGGACCCCATCATACCTATCTCTGTATCTTTCGAGGAGCGCCTTACTCGCTTTGAGACAGACGCGGAGGCCGAGGAAGAATGCAAAAAGATTGGCACCAAGTCTGCGCTGCCCAAGGTCATCGTGACTATGCGGAAGGCATTGAACCTGGGAAGCTTCTTCACAACCGGAACGGACGAGGTCCGGCAGTGGACCATACGGAACGGCACCAAAGCACCACAAGCTGCTGGTGTTATCCACGGAGACTTCGAGAAGACTTTCATCCAGGTTGTTGTGTACAACTTCAGTGTGCTAAAGGAGGAGGGTGATGAGGCCGCCGTTAAGGCAAAGGGAAAAATTCAGACGAGAGGGAAGGAATACGTGGTGGAAGATGGTGACATCATTCTCGTGAAGGCAGGCGCTGCGAAGTCTTAGGCTATGCTGTTCATTACAAGCCGTTCCTGTTGTCTGGTTTGATTCCAAGACTTCGAGTTTCAGGGGCTCATCTTGGCGATACTCTGATTAGCTTCATAGAGCGGTCTATACATTGGCTGAAGGCTTCTCTAGATGGGCTGTTGCACTTCCATATACCCAAGCTAATGCATTGAATCCAATAGAGGAGCTCGTAAGGTTGCAGATGATTTGAGGTTGCGATCACGGGGCGGCAAAATCGCTCAATGCAACTCACCACCGGCTAAGGTGTCTCTCTGGAACAATCGCCACACATCCACAAACGCTCAAAGAGCGCTACGTGAGACATTCCTTGGAGGTGACCTCCAGCATAGTTATGCTAACACAAGCGTGGTCCCACCTTCACGACCAGATCCCATCCTATTATGGCCTACAAAGCCTACCTCGTGACCTCCATCGGCGCCCCCTGCGACCACCACGCCATCTTCATCGAGACCCACGAAGACGGAAGCGGCCACATTTTGCTCCATAATTCATATTGAGAACAATGCCACCCATGTCTGTTAACATGACCTGATTTGAAACTGGAATGCTGCATACGATTTGCAATTCACGATAGGTACATCAAAGTGCTGCACTGCTGCGGTCGAGTCTTTGCGAACACGTGATTGCAACCCTGGCTCACCATACCAGATTTCGTTCCTCACCAACATTATGTCTGTATCCTACCACGCGAGTGACAGAAATCGCCAGACCCGTCAACTACCGGACTTATAACTTACTCCAAAATAACCGAAATCTATTAGATTCACTATGTCTCTAAAGGTCTTTACTCTAGCTATTCTACCTCTAGGTATAGCTTATATACCTTATGTTTAAATAGCAGCATACTATGAAGGATTACGCCTGTTTATGACCTCTCTAAGCTGACTGAAGACCTATCTGTTTTGCGGAGTCCGGCAATTTCTGTCACCCACGTCCCTACCGACATTATCTCTACAGCGCTCCTACTGTAGTTCATTCAACGCGTTGTTGCTCCTCTCGTAAAGGTCGTGATTCCACAAGGCACTTTGCTACCCCAACAAACGCTTGAATTTAGGGTGCCTACTAGCTGAGCTGCTTGAGCAATACTCACCAAAGCCAAGGTAGCCCAGAGATGTGTTACAAGTTTGCACCTGTAAAACAGCCGAAAGAGGAAGCTCTTGATGTGTTGCTCTGCCAGGTTTAATACGTTCTGCATGCTGTGACACACATTGTCTCAAACGAAACTCCTCAATGCAACTTTAGACGAAGCTTGGTCTGAATTCATATCAAATCTAGCAACATGAGCCACAGGTTCGTATAATCATGAGTATCCCCGTCACACTTTCGCCGCATCCTTCTTCTACCTCAACAGATTCTCTTTCCTAATGATCTTCCGAAAAAACTCTAGCATCCAGCAAATGCGGTCGCTATTCCCCTTTGATGCCGCACAGACCCGCTCCTCAATCAGCCTTTCCGTCTTGATGTTCGTCAGTGCTTCTAAGGAAGGCTGGCACGAGAGATTTATTACTGCCAAGGGAGGCTAGCCCTGGGAGAGCTGGATCCCTGAGTGCAGAGTTCGTTGGAGTCCATATTTTCCCAAAGTCTACCTTCTGCGTTTCAGGACTCATGAATGGAGCGGGTGAAGCTGTCATCGACGCAGCGCGAGCCAGTCTAGAACTCTGTGAAGCTTGAGGAGCCGGCGATGCCACAGGGGCAGCTGAAGGAGTTGCTTCGTTTGAATCGTTGCGAGGGGAGCGGCTCCTCTCGCTGCCACGGTGCCTCCGACGGTCGCGGCTCTCGCCGTCGCTGTGGGAATCGAGCTCACGGTGACGCTTCTCTCCTCTAACTTGGGTGCTCATTGGCTTGGTCGAACCAGTGTTGCTAACCGAAGGAATTCGGTCATCGAAGCTGGTGGACAGCTCAGAATGACTGGAAGTCGGCTCAAGACAGGGGACTTGAGCAGCGGTTCCACGACGGGCCGCTGCGACCAGGGCGTCGTTGAGTTTTGTAACTTCTTCGGCTCGAAAGGGAGTGGCAAGCTTGCTGGTCAGTTCGTCCAGTTGCTTAACTCGCTTGGGATCGCGTAGATATGCGGCTTTTTGCTCGTTGCGCACCTGCTGCTCGAACTTTTTGATCGCCTTCTCGAGATTTGACTCGGTGAGAACAGAATCGTCTCTTGACACGAGCCCCTTCTGGCTCACAAATTTCCCCCAGCACTTCTCATACACTTCTTCTTCCGAGTCAGCCGAGTAGTCAGTAACCACAGAGAAAGAATTCGAGAGGTTGGAGAGCGCCTCTGTCTTCATGGTCTCGATCTTGGAGAGAAGGTCTTTCATGAAGTCTTCGTACAACTTCACCATAGCACTCTTCTCCATCTTGTACTGCGAGCACACCATCTCGAACGCATTGATCCTCGTCTCATCCACTGCCGTCTTGTTTGCCTTGACTTCCCGAACCTCCTCCCACGCCTGCCTCTCCGGCACTTCGTCACTGGATCTCTTCGCCCTAGCGTCCGCTGCCCATGCATAGAGGTGCTTTCCATTCAAGTTGCCGACTGCCGGAATGATCTCCTGCTTTACTGCCTCCTGGTACGAGTCCTGCAAGTCGTCAGGCCAGGCTTCCGTCAGCACTTCCAACCTCTCGGCATATTTCGCTTTTGTCAAGAAAACTTCTAGACTGAAGTCTTCCACTGACCCCTCTGCCTGACGCTTGACGGCGGCTATGACACGGGCGACGGCGGCGGAGCGGGAGCCCATCATATTTGATAGCGCGGATGAAGTTGTCAAATTGTTTCGCGAATAATATGGTTTGCTTTTGGAGTGGACTGCAGTTGTTGCGCCTCGGCTTTCCGCGTCAGTTCAGCAGCAGCTGATGTAAGTCCGAGTGGGAAGACTGGTGTACAAGCGGTCGGATATTGAAAGTTTAAGAAAGGAAGAAGCTGCCGGAACCTGCGAAGGAAAGATGTGAGAGGTGAATGCCAAGCATCACGTGCGTATATGAAGTAATAGGTTTCAGCGCTCTCGTCATAGCACACAGGAGAGCGAAGAGAACAGTCACTCTGCAGCATGTCGTGCGCTTCTACATTGTAAAGATCTAGTCTCCATACTCAACAGTAGCCTTCTTTCCAAGTTGATCCTGAAAACCGGCCGTCCCTTCGGATCACCCTTCAGCCTAAAAATATTAAGAATGCCTACCCAGGTTGTATGGGATTCCTTCATCTACCAACAAATGGAAGATATTCAGCTAGAACTTGAGCTACCGCAGAGAGGCGGTGAAGCAAGCCGAAAAAGGTTGACGTTATATCATCGATCGTAAGACTAAGAGTCGGTCTGAAATCTACTGTTTCTGAGACGAGGAGGGCCGAAGGAGGGAGAGAGCGACTATCGAATTCGCGCACTTCTATCCTATAATGGGTACAGCGAAGGCGGACAGCTTGCAAAACCTCCTACAACCCTTGCGCGGGTAGATCTTACCGTTCAACAGGTAGAGCTAAGTCGTGGTTTGTAACGTCTCATACGGAACACCATCTTCGCGTTCTCAATCAGGTCAACACACTTACACACTTACACTGTCATACATAAGCAAAAGAGAGGCAAACGCAAAGGCAGAATATGCTGTGTACTTATACCGCGCTGACTTCCAGTAGCGAGAAGGGTGATGCTTTGTGAGAATAGTATCTCCAAGCAGCGTTTCCGTCTACGAACAAACACCTGCCTTTAGCTCAGTTGTGTTTCTTGGGAACGAACTGAAGCTTGCAGAAGTGCCCAAGATGACATGCTGCGGTCGTCGGCGGACGATGGACTTTCCCCGGACGGGTGCGGCCGTTCAGCCAATCGGAGCACGGCTACGATCTGTAAGTTAAATGATGACATCCGATTTTGCAAGTGTCCGCTAGTCAAGCACTCCTCATTCGGGCCACTGGATCTCTCGGTGGAAATGTTTGAATACACCAGCGTTCCGTCCTTTACTGGAGAACAGTCACGAGAGCGTCGAGTCATTCTAAGTGTCCCCAGATACAGATGGCCACTACTGAGACTTCTCTTGGTGTTAACAACGATGTCATCAGGTTAAATCAGGACGGGAGCGAGAACAAGCAAGATGGATATGAGCTTACTACACTGTCTACACTACAGGCAGAGCCTAAAAAGACGCGGAGCAACTTTAGGTTGGTCGCTATTATGATAGCTTTGATGCTCTCTCTCTTCATCGCCGCTCTGGATCAGACTATTATAGCCACGGTAACTGCTTTCCCTCTGTTCCTGTTTGTAATTAAGTCTAACTTCGACTCAGGCAATTCCTACAATATCCGCTGAGTTCCAATCGGCGTCCGGATACGTCTGGGTCGGCGGAGCCTACCTTCTGGCAAACGCAGCCGCTCTCCCAATATGGGCTAAACTATCTGATATCTGGTATGCAACGGTGGACGGTGTCTATCTGTACGGTTGATCTAACCTGCTCTCCAATATTAGGGGACGGAAGCCGATACTCATGACAGCGGTAACGCTGTTCTTCAGCGCCTCCATAGTCTGTGCTACGGCGGTCAATATGAAGATGCTCATCATTGGCCGTGCATTTCAAGGAACTGCTGCGGGAGGCTTGATCCAGCTTGTCAACATCACTATCTCAGATTTGTTCAGCATGAGGTCTGGGATGCTACATCCTTCGACACAGAATCTCGTACTGACATCATACAGGAGTCGGAGTCTCTATCTTGGCCTAGTAGAGTTCGTTTGGGCAGTAGCGGGCGGTGGAGGTCCCGTCGTTGGAGGCGCCTTCACCGAGCTCGTCTCCTGGCGCTGGAACTTCTGGATCAACCTCCCCATCTGTGGAACGACATTTCTCCTTCTACTGATATTCCTCGACGTGCACAACCCCAGAACCGGAGCCATCGAAGGACTCAAGGCCATTGATTGGTTCGGCATTCTATGCGTTCTTAGTTTTGTGCTCATGCTGCTCCTCGGCCTCAACTTTGGGGGCGCAATATTTCCATGGAATTCGCCTACGGTTATCTGTCTCATCGTGTTTGGTTGCTTTATGTCTGTTCTCTTCATCTTCAGCGAGAAGAAGCTGGCTCGGTACCCGCTGATGCCTCTTGCGTTGTTTCGTGAGAGGTCAAATGTGGGAAGCCTAATTGTGGCCTTCTGCCAAGGCATGGTAAGGGAAAGCCCTCTGCGTCGAAGTACTCTGTCTTTACTGAAATCTACTGCCAGGTTTTCATCGGCGGGGAGTACTACCTTCCATTGTAAGCTCATCCAAAGCGTAAGAGCTTGTGGTTGTTTGACCCTAACATTACGCAGATTCTTCCAATCCGTCCGGCAAATGTCGCCCCTCCACTCCGGCCTGCTCATCCTGCCCGTCACCGTTACAGAAGCAGTAGGTGGCATGTTCTGCGGCATCATGATCCACCGAACAGGCCGTTACCTCGAGCTAATCTGGGTCGGCCTCACGCTTATGCTCATCGGGAACGGAATGTACATCCACCTCAATGCCTCCTCATCCCTAGCCGAGATCATCGCCTTCGAGCTAGTCGCCGGCGCCGGCGCAGGTCTCCTCTTCGAACCACCCCTCATCGCCCTCCAAGCCTTCGTATCGCAGGACGATACCGCAACAGCAACCGCGACCTTCGGCTTCATCCGCAACCTCGCGACATCCTTCTCCATCGTCATCGGCGGCGTGCTGTTCTCCGGCGGGATGCAGTTGCGCGAGCCGGTGCTCAGGGATGCAGGGGTGTCGGCGAATGTTATCGAGGAGCTCACTGGAGGCGATGCAGCCGCTAATGTGCGTGTTGTGCAGACGATTACAGATGCGGCGCGCCAGCTGGCTGTGAAGCAGGCGTTCGCGTGGAGCTTGAGGAATCTGTGGATTTTTTATACGTGTGTCGCTGCTGTTGGATTGATTGCAAGCTTGTTTATTAAGAAAAGGGTCTTGAGCAAGGAGCATACGGAGACGAAGACGGGGCTGAAGAAGGCAGAGCTCGTTGCTACTACCGACGTTCGAAGCTAGGATGTGTTCCTCTAGTGGCAAGCTATCTCTAAATATGCATCTAGAATCTAGAGTCATGATCGTTGATCCACGTCGACCGCCATGCAAGCCTCGTCTACGGCCACCGATTCACGACGCGCTTAATCGTCGTCCCCGAAGAAAACCTTGACCGGCAACCACGCATCTCCGCAGACCTTGAAGCGATCCGGCAAATTGTTCAACTTATCCATCTCCTCCTGGCTCAGCTCCCACCCGTCGAGCTCGAAGTTGCTCTCTATCCTCGATGCGGTCACGCTCTTCGGGATTACGCTGGTGCCACGTTGGATACCCCACATGAGACTGATGAAAGTGTTAGCGAATGCCAGCACATGTATGGGAAGCCAGGTGGGTTTCTTACAGCACTTGCGCTGTCGTCTTCCCCTTCGCCTCTGCGATCTTCTTGAGCGTCTCGTCCTTTGCGAGCGGCGAGTCGGTGGAGCCGAGGCAGGAGTAAGCGGTGCAGTGGATGCCTTTCTCCTTGCAGTAGTCGAGGAGCTTGGGGGAGGGGCAGTTGGGGTGGAGCTATGCGTTTGTCAGTGAGATGCGCGGATTCCTTTGCTAGGGGGGCAATCTAAAACAAACCTCGACCTGGTTCACAGCCGGAACGGTCTTGCACGACTCGTCGCTGAGCAGCTTCTCGAGATTCTTGATCGCAAAGTTGGACACGCCGATGTTCTTGACGCGGCCGGATGCAGGCAGCTTCTGCATCTCCTGCCACGTCTTGATGAAGTCCCAGTCTGGGAGGTGCTTGCTCGTGTCGTCCGGGTCGGTGGATGAGGGCCAGTGCTGGTCCCGTCAGCGCTGGTTTCCTCTCTTTCTCTCCCATATTTTCCAACCCTTTCATACGGACTGTCTTACCACTAAGTAGAGGTCGACATAGTCCATCCCCAGGCTCTTCAGCGACGTCGAAATTCCCTCCTCGACACGGTGGTGCCATGTGTTGTCCAGCTTGGTGGTGACCCAGATCTCCTCGCGCGGGATGCCAGAGTCCTTGATCCCCTGCCCGACCTCCTCTTCGTTGCCATACGCAAGTGCAGTGTCAATGTGACGGTATCCTTTTTGTAATGCTACTTTGACGGCATCACGAACTTGGCCTCTCGAGCTTTGCCAGGTCCCCAGACCGATGGCAGGGATCTTGTCCCCGGTATTCAGCGTGAAGGTTTTCTTGGTATGTTCGAGATTGGACGCCATTGTGAAAGGATCTGTGAAGTCAATCGAACTGCCAGAAAGTGGTAGTACTGTTGCAATCGGGGGCTGTAGAGGAAATCACTGCTTGCAAACAAATCTGTTTTTATGGTGTTTTTTTTCTTGCTGCCACCATCCCCCACGATGACGACCGCGGGGTCGTAGATTTCCATGCGCTCGGGCCCCATGCGCCCCCGAACCGACCGCCATGTCCGCCCGGGAATCTCTCCGAACGTCACATCTGCCATCCACCCTCAATACCACCTTCCCCCACCCGTCCCCAGCGCCTAGAATGTCCCGCTTCGTCCCCGGCGGCACGATCGACCAGCCAAACGAGCGCGACGACGCATGGCTGAAGGCGCAGCAAGAGATCGAAGCCGCGCAGCTGCGGAAGGCGGAGGAGCAGAAGGGTTTCCAGGAGGGCGGGAAGACGCTGTATGAGACGCTGCAGGCTAACAAAGGTATATCATGGATGGGCCTTAGGCGGGGGGGCAATGTTCTGGGAGATGGGCAGCCGGGGGCTGACATGTCAGGTTGGGCGTGAAAGCCGCGAAGCAGGAAGCTTTTGAAGAGGTAGGGGGGAGCTGCGCCTATGCTTTTGCTGCGGTGTAGAGGCGGAGGTGTGCTGATACAGGAGTGCCGCAGTCGATTCGGCTTAAGAACCAGTTCAGATCCCTCGATGACGACGAGGTCGAGTTCCTGGACTCCGTGCTCGAGTCCACGAGGGCGAAGGAAGCGGCCGTCCGCAAGGAGACGTCTGAGCAGCTCGAGCTGTTCAGGCGGCAGCAAGAGGACGCGGAGAAGGCGGCGCTGCGGGAAGGGACTAGCGGTAGTCCGCTGGGCGAAGAGGAACAATGGCATACAGGCGGTAGGAAGCGCAAGAAGGCCAACGACAAGGGACCGCTGAAGGGCGTCAAGCTCCGTAAAGCTTCGTCAACCGCCGAGAAGCCTGACATCACTACGACGAGCGTGGCCACTTCGCCCGCTGTCGTTTCGAAGCCCGAGACCGCTCGAAACGGGTCCTCAGCTGCATCGCCAACCGCAGCTCCTGTTGAAGCACCCGTGCCAGCTATCTCTGCCTCGGCGGCTCCAGCTAGGAGCTCGGACACCGCCGCTACATCACCTCCAAAGGCCCCGAGCGCGAAAGGTCCCGCTGTCTTGGGGCTTGGCGGATACTCCTCAGACGAAGACGAATAGGGCGACTGTATGCCTTCCAGGTCGTGAGCTTGTGCTCCCGTGGTTCAGTTCGTCAGGACAAAACGCGATACCCGTGGGCGCGGGTTTGGTACATCGATTACACGTTGTAGGATCGAAGCCGGGTCGTGGGCCATATGCGCAGATGGGCAGAATATGAGCACCGTGTAGAGAGCGAGTTGATATATTCAAGAGCTCCGGGATCGTGTTTTGTCGCCGGTATGTTACGCAGCTGGTGTCCTACTGCGGTAATGGATGTGTTGCGGGACTACTGCATAAACACTCTTCTCGTGTCTCCTGGCAACAAATGCAGGAGAGGATGTTGATTCTTTAGAGAGATTCAAGCCTGAGGCCCACAAGAACGGCATTGTTGAAACCTTTTATACGTGTAGCAAGTCGGTTGTGCACTATGCTCCAAGGTTATATGCCGTCCCTAGCGAAAGAATAAATGTACGCTGATGCAAAAGAGACAGAAAGAAACATTACTACCCGCTAACCAACGCTCTTATCCGAAACTCCACACTCTTATGCACTCCGACTACTCGTACAGCGGAGAATCCGCACTCCAGGCCCTCACACCCTGCTCCCGTTGCCCACCGGCAGATCAACCACCGCATCCCTCTGCACGCTCCCATCCGCCGCGCCATCAAGCCCCGGCCCGATGATGCTCGTACTATGCGCCATGCCATTCGCGCCATCCACCCCGCCATTGACCCCATTCACGCCACTCACCCCATTCCTCCCAACCCCATCCTCCTCATCCCCCCTCATCCTACTGCTCCCCCAGCCCTCCGGGCCGACATATCCCGCAATGCCGACGCCGATGCCAAACGCCCTATCCCTGGTCCTGGCGCCCCAGCTCCAGCCCGCGCCGGTGCGGATGGGGAGGTGGTACCAGCGGAAGGAAAACCAGGCGCAGACGATGCCGATCAAGCTGCCGGAGATGATGTCGAAGCCGAAGTGGCGGAAGTCGGAGAAGCGCGAGCTCGAGATGTAGATGGCGGCCGCGAAGGGGATCAGGGCGATGACGAGGGTCCAGACGGGCGGGGCGGCCGCTTGGTTGCGCACGGGGATTATTGGCGGCGAGGTGTCGGAGGCGGACGGGGTAGAGGAGGTGTCGGTGCTTTTGTGAGGGGAGAGCGGCCGGTCGTGCTTCGTGTAGGCCGGCAGGGTGAAGCGCTGTTCGTCTTCGAGGGCTGTGTAGGCTTTTTCTTGCGAGTAGGGCCGTGGTGGGAGGAAGGGGATTGCGACGGCGAATTTGGCGCAGAGGAAGAGGGTTAGGTAGAGGAGACCGGCCCAGGAGACTGCGAGTAGTCGTTAGCCTTGTTCAGGGTCTCGTTCTGTCCATGGCTCCGCAGCTGTTGGCAACGCTTACAGGAAGAGTGCCCGCTCGGAAAGCTTCTGAAGCCATCATCTAATCTATCCATGTCCGTCTCCTGGCAAATGCCATAGGAAACCAGCACCCATCTATCCGAGAGCGGTTGGCCGTATCCGCCGACCGTGAATTCCTGTATCCTGCTCAGGTCCGGGTTGCAGCGCGAGATCAGGTCAGGTCGCGGCTTGCCGAAGAGGTTCTTCATGCCCTCGGTGATCAAGAATGCCGTCGCAAGGCTAAGACCGAGCCCCATCAACCCGGCTGTTGCCAAGTCAGCAAATTAGCCCTCATCGCTTGATGTAAAGTGCTCACTGTTGGCCTCCCAGAATTTGCGCCGCCAGATGAGCGTCTTCGGCGTCCTCGGGTTCGCGGTTGGCCCCGGGATGAAAAGCAGGCAGACGAGGAGTACGATGATGCCCGGGACGACCATTCCGACGACCAGGAGGAGCCATACCGGGATTGTCTCCTTCAGTGTGTGCGGGTACGAGATGTCGAGGTTCATGAGGGAGAACGGTCGATGGTAGGGGCCAACACGGTTGAAACCGCCGCCCACGGCTGCGATGCCCCTGAGATGCGGTTAGCTGTGACTTTCGGCGCATGAGGCTTGTGGTATGGCTGATGCGGTGGGCGCTCGTGGTGATGTTTTGGAAGCCAAGGAGGCATGCGACACTTACAGAATCATGACCCAGTCGAGAACATAGGAGAGAATAAGCCGCCGCGACGGCAATGCAAGCGAACTCCTCATGGCTGCGGTATCGAATCTGTTGTACGTAGAGGAAGAAAGGGGAAGAGAAGAAGAGGCAGAAGAGGTGGTAGGTGTAGGAATGAGGTGTGCAAGACGACGTCTGACTTCATTCAGCAGTCGCATGCCGCCAAGTTGAAGAATGCCGTCTCGTTCTTCGGGCCTTCCGTCTCTCTCTCTTTCAACAGCAGCGATCTGCCCCCGGGCCGTTTCAACACGGCTGCGCGGCGCGCTTGCACGTCTTTGGGTCAGCGCTAACGTCACCCTTTGGCGACCATTGGGGCGTTTCGGAGCGCATCCTGGTCGTCCACTAAACAACCGCTGACGCACGCTGAGGCGAGTGCGACTTTGCTAATTTTACATACAGAACTCGCGGCTCAACAGCACGACCGCTGGAATGGCCGGCCAACAGCCCGCTCCCACCATCAGCCGCCTCCTCAACCTCGTCCCGGACGCCCCAGAGCAGGTTCTGAGCCTCCTCTCCGCCCATCCGCACCTGGCTTCCGAACAGGATGGCCATGGGTACTCGCTCCTGCACGCCGCGGCCTCGTACTCGCACCTCCCGCTCCTCCGCGCTCTCGTGCAGGCATATCATGTATCGCCAGATATAACAGACGAAGACAACGAGACGCCGCTGTTTGTCGTAGAGAGCCCTGCCGTCGCGGAATGCCTCGTAACAGAGCTGGGCGCCAACGTGAGCTGGCGCAACGACGAGGACCAGACGGCGGAGGAGAAGATTGAAGCAGAGGGTGACTGGCCGCTCGTCGCTGCATATCTGCGCTCGGCTGCTGGTGGGGGCAACGCGGACGCATCGGCACCGGCAGCAACAGCACCCTCTGAAAACGGGGTGGATGGTGTGCGCGTGCCGCCCCCGTTGCCGCCGAATGTTCGCATCGACATGAGCACGGTGGAGGCATCGTCCATAGACGAGAGCGAGGCGCCTGACCCGGAGTTCAGGCGACGAATCGAGGAATTGGCTGCGAGGGATGACTTTCAGGGCGAGGAAGGGCAGAGGCAGTTGCGGGAGCTGGTCACGGACGCTGTCACAGGCTTGGCTGCGGATGGGCAGAGAAGGGATGTAAGAAGACGGGTTGGCTGAAGCTGTACGAGGGCAGTCCTCGGTTTCTTACGGTTCTCGTTTCTCTCTTCCCCGCTTTTCTATCATGCATTCTGAAGAGCCCCCCCGCAAACCTCTCGTACTGCCAATCCCAGAATGATTTGACCCATGAGATGCCTCAGCCCAACGCATGCCGCTTGCGAGGCGCCGTCGCTCCGGCCACTGAAAACCGCTCCTCGCTCTGGCGCACCGCCTCATAGCACTCGCGGAGCCACTTGACCGACCTCTGAAGAAACCCGATCCGGGGGCTACCGTCCAGCATAAACGGTCGGTCCACTGGTAGCAATTTATGTGGCCTCCGAGTGGCCATGAACTCGATATCATCGAGGCAACGGCGTAGACTCTGTTCTTCGATGCCCCTCTGGTGCGAAGCGTGCACAATCCTCCCGACCCAGTGGTGGACGCTCTTGCTTTCATGCTGGTGTGTTGTTAGAGATGCGGCTGGGAGGGGTTAGACAGTGCTTCGCTTACCACGGTGTGTTCTTTTCGTGCCGCTACCGGCTTCCCCCACCCTTGCTGGCTGCCTTCCGCCTCTAACAGGTGGCGCCAGAGTTCCTCGAGCTGGGATTGCTGGATGGCGATATCCTGATTTGTAGAGATACGGTGCTCTGCCGCCGAGATGCGCAGATCGCGAACATCAGCCAGGACGTTCGTCTTGAGTTGGTCGATGTGGCCGTCCAGAGCGTCCAGCCGGTCCGCAACCTGCTCCCTCGCGCTCGCCACTCCTCCTTCGAGGGTTTTGCCATTCTTCTCAAGTTCCTTAACCCGCGCTCTGAGCCCCTCAATCTCCCTCCTCAGTCCATCTTCTCCACCTCTGCGCTCTCCTTCAGTCATCTCCTCCACCTCCCTCAACGCCTCTAGCTGCTCCGCCGTCATGAATCCGCCCAAGGCCGCAAGCAGCCTCATGATCTTCTCCTGCCCATCCCCCAATTTCCTCACCCTCCTCTCCAACTCCACCATCCCCTCTCCCATCCGTTCCACCATCCCAGCAGCGCCCTGCTCATTGACGGCATCCCGAAGAATCTCCTGCTTATTGCGCACCGTGCGGATCGCTTCCGCGACGGGCCACATGATCGCCGCGAGATCCGGATGCGAGTCCCCGTGAAGGACCCAGTTGTACCCTGGTTGGCCTGGGAGCGGCGGCGCGGCGACGGCGGGCCCGGGGGATGGCGAGGTCAAGGTCCGGACGGGCTCTGGCGCGTAGTCGCCGTTCATTGCGGATGTGGAACCTGCTGGCCTGTGAGCGATTGGCGACGGGAAAGCGAGGGTGGTGGTTTCCCTTGCTGGATGTTTGGCGTACGGTTGGGACGGTTGCGCTGACGCGGGGCGATGGTGGTGGTTTGGACGCGTGCAAACGCGGAGGAAGGGTTTATGTTGGAAGGGCGAAGGTGCGTGAAGGCACCAGCGGCGTGCTTCACCGCGTTTCACTTCACTGCGATCTTATCTGGTTTTTTTTTTTGGGATCCTTTCACTTACGTCTAATCTCGAGCACCAGTCGGTTGGAAAGGCAGGGCGTCAATGACGACGTTGGGAGCTGCGTATCAAGAAATCATGTTTGGACGGAGACTTCAAGATTCGTCGTGGAAGACTTGGAAACAACGATGACAACCGTGCATGCAGAATCGTTGCGATCTTGAATGTTGCGACGGACATGTTACCTCAGCTGTATCCTCACACTCGCGCAGCCTCATCCTCCCGCCGCGCCCGATAAACGGGGTTTCCGCTTATGAAGACCAAACGCCCATGCCCATGCCTCAGTTGAGTTCAGCAGCGTCCCTAACTCGCTACTCGCAACTCCATTCCTTACTGCTCAACCCCTCACGGCGCTTCCCCCGGCAAAAGATTACTCCTAACCGCAAACATCTTCCCCGTCACCCCCGCCGTAAACCCATCCACCTGCCGTGCATACTGCTCGACCTGCCTGCTATTCAGCAGCGTCTCGAGCCTGCTCGGCTCAGCCGGGAGCTTAAACAGCCTCTGCCACTCATCCTCCGGCAGCGGCGTCTGCTTCGCAGCCACCCTAGCCGCGTTATCCTGCTTGCGCTTCGCCTGCCACGCGTTGATCTTCGTCTGCTCGCGCGCCAGCGAGCGCTGGTAGTACTGGTGGTTGTTGAGCTCCGTGTGGTGCGCCTCGATGCTCTCCAGCAGGAGGTCGCAGGTCTTTTCCAGGAAGGGGTCGATGCTTAGCTCGAGCGCGTCGAAGTTGGGGCACAGTGGTGCAGGCGTGGGAGTAGGGTCGGAGGTCAGTGCCGCGAGAGTGGGTGGGAAGGAGGGAGGCTCCGCTGAAGGCTCCGAGGGTAGTTGGTGGAGGAGGGAGGTGAGGAGGTGCGAGTTGTGGATCGTGAGGGGGAGCTCCACAAGGATGTCTTGGTAGCGGAGCCCGCTCTTCTGGAGGCTGTGGAGCTGTCAGCGTGGGCCAAGGGACATGGAAAGTGAGGGCGGGGCGCATACGTCTCGGTTGTGAACTTTCCCTCCTTAAATGCCGCCATGAATGCCGGCGAGAGTCGGAATGCCTTCAGGTTCAAGCTGCCAGCCGAACTCCGACTCACGTCGTGCACCAGCGCGACGGTCCGCTCGTTCGGCTCTTTCTGGTAGAAGAATTGGTTCTCGATCGTGTTCGTGTTGATAAAGTTGCCCATGCTAGTGCTCGTGTACCAGCCCACATTCTGCGCGTCCACGTTCACCTCTCGCAGAAACTTGATCATCTCGTTCTGATATGCCGCGTTTGACTTTGCGCGGGGCGCTGCGGCGGCGAGCGTGTGGAGGGATTCTTGGTGGCCGTCTTGCGTCGAGGGGTCCACGGCGGGGAAGGGGAAGGAGTTTGTGATCTGGAGAGAGCCGTTGACGTCCATGCCTACGAGGGAGCCGGTCGCCGCTGTAGGGAAGGACTGCGAGGAGTGCTTGATGACTTTCATGACAACCTGCGATGCGTTAGCCGTGGTCGACTTTTTGGAGTCGCCGCCGACATACAAGTGCCTCAACCTGAACCGCACGCAGCGGTGTATCTCGTAGAGCGTCTGCCATGATTGCGGTGTTTGCGAAGTGATATCTGAGCCGGAGACGTGGTTGTAGTGGGATGAAGTTCGGGCGTGTGCCAAGATTTCACACAAGCGAGATGTTTTCTAGAAGCATGTGGGTTGGAGATCAGTGAGAACATTCCAAGGTTGTTATAGATCATTTGGCCACCTACAAGTTCGTAAACTTTAGCGACGCCAGTGTTTTAAAAGTCCTTCAACAGTCTCCCGGTTCCCTCAAGCCAATCGTTTTGATTGCTTCTTAAGCACGCCTCAGTTTTTGCTGCATCAATTTCTACATCCCACCTGGGAACGCTAAAGCTGGATACGGAAAACTTCGATAGAAGACGAGCCATGCCTGTGTCATTCTGAATCACACATATCTCTCTCCTTATGTCGGAAACTCAAGGTCTAGCATAATTTCACATATAGCTTTGACTTCTCCTTCAAATCTCTCTTGTAAAGTATCCGACCATGGAGTATCTCGTACGTCTGATTCAGATACACGAGACCTTTCGAAAACCAGAACTTGAGGCGCTTGCAGAACTCGTGAGCGTGGGTCTCGAGATCGTCTACTATCACGACAGCGTAAGGCCCTTTCTTCTCTATACTATCTCAAAATATTTCATCTAAGTTTAGTGCTGGTCGTGTTGTCATTCCAGCCTTCTATATTATTCAAAAAGCAGCTAGAGCCAGATCTCATTATCTGTTGGGCACACATACTCCAAGACTACTCCCTTCAATTAACTACACCCTCACAAATTCAGACTAACCAATCCCCAGTCCCCCTTTTGCATCATCCGCCTCCCCTCCCCCGCCGCGGCGCGCGCCCTGATAACCCGCTCGATCCTCAGCGCCGGCATCTACGAGCTCTGGGGCAGCGGTACCGACTACGCCTCTCTCCACGTCTCCGTCCGCACACGCACCGCAGCCTTCTGGCCCAGCTATAAGACGACCTCCTTCCGCTTCACGCTCGACGGCTTCCAAGGCAAACGCAGCACCGCCACGCAACGCGCCCTGATCGAGTCCTTCTCGTATATGGGCTTCGACGGCCCGATCCTCATGAATGGCGCTGAGCTGCAGCTGTGTGTGTTCGAGGAGTATGCGCTCCGAGCTCCTGGGGCTGCGGTGGAGGAGCCCAGGCAGCTGTATCTGGGCCGCTTCATCACTGCCAGCGGCCGTGCGGCGGTGACTAAGTACGATCTGAAGAAGAGGGCGTACATCAGCACGACGAGCATGGATGCGGAGCTTGCGCTTGTGACGGCGAATCTAGCGTTAGCCGCGCCGGGGAAGCTGATGTACGATCCGTTCGTCGGCACCGGTGGTTTCCCCCTCGCGTGCGCGCATTTTGGCGCTATGGCGATAGGGAGCGATATTGATGGGCGGAGTATTAGGGGGAAGAATGGGATGGGGGTGATTAGTAACTTTGTGCAGTACAGGCTCTTGGGTAACTATGGCGATTGCTTCGTTGCGGATCTAACGAACACGCCAATGAGGGAGGGGAGATGGCTGGATGGGATAGTGTGCGACCCGCCGTATGGCGTCCGTGAGGGGTTGAAGGTGCTTGGAAACAAGGACGGGAAGGGGACGGAGGCGGTGTATGTTGATGGCAAGTTGGCGCATCTGTGAGTCGTTCGTTTTAGTTCAGCGTGAGTGCTGATCAATAGGCACAGACCGAAGGGAAGCATGCTAACGAGTGTATTGCTTCATGACAAAAGGCAGGACGGCTTCGTTCCTCCGAAACGACCGTACAGCTTCGAGGCCATGTTGGATGATATCCTGGAATTCGCGTCCGTCATGCTAGTCGACGACGCCAGGCTCTCCATGTGGATGCCTACAGCCAACGACGAAGATATCGAGCTCGCCATTCCGACACATCCGTGTCTCGAGATCGTCAGTGTCTGTGTTCAAGCTTTCAACAAATGTAAGTCATGTTGCCCGTCGAGTCCGTCAGAAGCAGACAACAGAGGGTACGACCGATTTGATTTAGGGGAAGCGTGAGTATAGCGCTCACAGGCACCTGCCTGGTTCGGAGTCATCAAGCGGCACCGCCCCTCACCATGGGGCGGAAGGCTTATCCAATTCCAAATCTTTAACCGGCTCTGTCCTTCACTATGAACTAGAGGGCCTACTCCGTAGCTGACGCGCACTCTTGTCACAGGGTCGCGAAGACTGCTGACATATCGGCGCATTCCGGATTCAGAAGTCGATAGTACGGCAGTGCAGCAGCGGCGCGAGTACAGCTCAGGAATACATGCCAATGATCTGAATTCGTTCCGCAGAAAGGTGTGCTGTCCTCTTGTGAAGCTGGTGAGAGCAAAGACGACTGATCGGCTGTTAGTACTTTGAAGGGTTCAAGGTTCCGAACGGTGACACACAGAGCAACGGCGCCCCACTGCCGTGAAGGCGGACACGGGACAGCAGCAGCATGCAGTGATCCATCTCATACCTCGCTACAGTTGCAACTGCGAAGCATCCACAGTTCAGGGGGACAGACGAAACCTCGCCATCGACGGGTGAAGACAAAGGAGAAGCAGTCCCAGTGTCTAACGATGCAAATGCTGCGCAAGCGAAGAGCAGCTGTACGGAACCATACTACGCCCAGGGATCAGACTCTGACATGCTTGTGTGAAGCGCATCAGGGGTCCGGATCAAACACTGCGGAGTACTCGCGGCCGGATGAGCGCAGTACGACTCAACAAGAGATCCAGTTACGGCATGACATGGAGCTCAGAGAGGAATATCGATGAATACCGGCTGCTTTTGACGAGAGCCCGCTCTGTACCCATTGAGCTCTCTGCGGTCGCAGCGCTAGAGTGGAAGAATTCCATACCCGTCCGCTTGACGAATGCATCACTGCGATCTGGCTTCTCACTCCAAGAACCTACGTGTAAGTATCCACTGCCCATCACCTCAATACTGCATCTTTTTTCCCCTCATCCCCTCTTGGAACCTCAATTTCGCCGAGTCTATGTCGTGCTCCGCGCTCACACCATCGACCCCACCACGGCCCCCGAATAAACCTAAGCAAATGGCCACTGTAATAGATGCTCAACAAGAGCCAAGACGGCAGGTCACCCTCTGCGCTGGATATGCACGCGCGGGGATAGTCGCGTGTTGCTGCCGTGCTCATTCATATGCCAAAAGCAGACGGGTGCTGTGACCGTATCTCTCAGACGCTTTTTTGGTTGTCATGAAACTGGTCGCACAATGAGGAATCCGGATTGTCGTCGCATCGCAAGTTAGGAGTTCTCTCTCTTAGTTAGGTCCAGCGGTTCTAGGCTTGTAAGAAAGTGGCTTTCTGCTGCTTACTGTGCATGACCCCTTCGTCAAGTTGTACAGCTTGAGCTTACCAAATCTACATGGGGCCGAGTACACAGAAACGCTCCGAAACAGCATGTTCAGATGCAATGAAACGTGGGCTTGACAATATGCAGGCACAGGGAGAACCCCAGCCCATGCAGGGCTCAGCAAACGCATGGGGAAGAAGTGGGGAAACAGTGCAGAGTGTGCAGGTGGACAAGCAGGTAGACGCAAGGTTGCAGCTGCAAGACATGGCGTTTGAGGCTTGCATAATGGAATGAGAGACGAGGGAGATGATTTTCGGACATGTAGGAACGAGAGCTACCAAAGCCAAACAACGGAGCAGAGATTCAAAGGGAATGCATGCGTCCCCAATCATCAGTATGACGGCCTCACCTAGAAATTAAGAACGTAAAAAATGTGAGCACGTCACCTGACCTTCAAGCTCTGTTCCTCCACCCCTCTCACCACCTTCAACGAATTGCCCGCAGCCCAAACAGCGCCATGCTGACAATGACGAAATGGAAAGATCGCACCTCGGCCTTCAGAGCCCCTATCCGACAGGCAAAGCAGTGGCTTATCGAAGGTCGCATTTCCGCATAGCATTTGCTTCTGCAAGCCCACGCAAGCCGTTCAAGCCATAGCCCATAGTCCATTTAGGTATCCATGAACAGGCCCACCGAGCCCTTTTAGGCTCGGAGTCAAGTCCTTCCTCAGTCGCTGTTCTCCCGTGTCGCAAGGGGAGGCGGGACGGGAGCCCTGCAGAGCTCGCGCGCTGACTGCAGGAGAAAAGCGGGGAAACGGCATGGGAAAGTCAAAAAGCGCCACGGAGGTCTTGGTTTCTCACAGGACCTGAGTCCGACCGAGGCGATCCTTCTGCGAGTCTGAGTCTGTGACGCCGGATGGAGCAAGGATCGGACGAAGTAGTCTTACAGAATTGCGGCAGAATTCCGGTGATGACTGCTTCCGAGGCCTTGGAGGTTGGTCGCCGCTTTGTGGCTTGAGGGGACTATCGTGAGGAGGCGTTTCCGTTGTGCAGTGTTGCAAGCGTTGCACCTGACGTAAGATTGATGCGGTGCTGCGAGGGGCGCTTATCGTTGGGATAGTGGAGCTGGACGAATTCACTACTGAGCGCGGAGCATGTGTTAAGATAGTGAAGACAGAGACTGCGGTAGCAATGAGTCTTTAACCCAGATGATATTGACATTTCGGGTTACACCTCAGCAATTCTCTGACAAATGCACTTGTCCGACCTCCTGATCATGTGCTCCACTAATCCTCCTTCCTTACTGGCACCAGCACCAGCACCTGTGCCAGCCACAGCCGACTCGGCCCCGGCTCGTGGGCAGAACGAAGTCCTCACTCTAGCCAACAACGTACGAAAAAGCAAGATGGAGCACTGATGGAAGAGAAATTACAGTACTAGTAAGCGACATAAGCCTCCTCTGCCGTGTGTGTATCATAAATGCAAACCAAGCCAAACCAAACCTCAAGCCCACCAAAACTCCTTTTGAGAACCGTCCATTCGTAGCCATGACGGCATGCGTCTATTCTTCAACCACAGCAGCCCGCACCACGGCACCGTGGAAAAGCCATCCCTCGGTATCATGCTTCATCGAAACCGAGGGCGCATGCACCATCACCACAGCACCACGCAGTCGACACTAAACACCTCCCGTCTGGGCTAAGCGGTGCATCTAACCTTGAAGTAGTGAAGGCTGGCTCAGCTCGCCTCAAACTTGCGCTTCTCTCCGCTGGCGGCGATCGCTAGAGTCTCAAGACCGTGCGCGAAAGAGGGTGACATATGAGGATAATACGGGAACGTCTCGCTGTAGGGCGACGTCTGCAGGTACTCGGAGATGTATGGTTGCACGGCAGGTGCGCCAAAGCTCGAAGTTGGACTGATCGGCAGGGACGGATCAAGCACGTTGAGCGGTGCGGCTTGTAGAGGGGCCGGCCTTGGTCGTTTGGCTTGCGGCGACTGCTTCACCTTCTTCGCCCGGGACTCCTCAACCCCTTTGCCGGCATTGCGACCGCTCTGATGCGTCCGGCGGTGTTGCTCCATGTTGTCCTTGCGCGTGAAGGCTTTGTTGCACTCGGGACAGAACGCGTCTTTCTTGCCGGTGTGCTTTTTCGCGTGTCGTGCAGCATGCCCAGATGTGGTAAAGTAGTCAGAGCAGTTGAACTGCTTGGCCATCGGACAAGGGTACTGGTTCTTCTTCGACTGAGGCTTCGCTGCCTGCGCCGGTTGCGCGGGTTGCATTGACTGATTTTGCGGGACCAGCGGTGGTGCGTAGACGGTTAGAGGTATGTCCGATGTCGGGTAAGGTAGAGGACCACCATGGTGGGGATGGGGTGGTGGGTAAGCCGCAAGCGGCTCTTTCGTGGACGGGGAGAAGCCGGCACTTGTCGGAAACACTGGCGAGGGGTTCCGTTGATCAAAAGTGTATGTCGGAGTGATGGGCGATGGGGTGTTCATGGCGGCCGAGTCTGCCGAATCGCTGCGCACGAGTTGTGGTGTTTGGGGGGAGAGACAAGGGGTGGAGGTGTAGCTTGAAGTTCGTGAGTGAAGCGAGGATGGCTGTGACGCAGGTCGGTAGCTCGAGGGCCCCACCGCGCTCTCGTTCAGCAATGAAATTCGTCGTCCGACCGAGTCCTTCCCGTCCATAGTACTGGCTGTAATGCTGTAATGTCTTCCACTTCAGAGGCAGTATTGCAGGTACACGTGGAGAGGGACGCAAACGAGAGGCCGGTTGAGGTTAAAGTAGGCTGGCTGGGAGGGGAAGGGAGGATTACGCCAGCGGATTGTAACCATGAGGTATGGCGCTTCAAGTACTAGTTTGACCGCAGGATTACAAAGGCGGTGGTCGAAAAGAGCGGGCAAGGAAGTGAGATCCGTCAAATGCGCGACGACAGACGGAAGCGCGCGGGACATGCTGAACGTTTCAATCATGCACGTCGCAGCCGGGACGAGGGCTGTTGCTGGTGGCATTGGCACCGTTCCTGGGCAGCAGAAGAGCTGGCCTGCACGGGCTGATGGGAAAAACGAGAATGGCATCCACGCTCCAGGGCTGCTCGACAGCTAACTTAGCGCCAGTCCACTCTTCGAGCCACGCAGCGCCGATGGCACGCGAAGCACGCTTGAAAAGCCCCGTCCGATTAAACCTTGCTTCCAGCCTCGGCCGTTTTCTCCGCAGTGCCCTATGCCCTAATCTACAGTGATTGATCCCTGGCTTGACGGCCGGGGTCTTCTTCCCTGCGCCGCCAGCACGATGCGCTGTTGGACGTCTGGGTACGTCGGTGCGAGTACCGGGCAGCAACAGCAACACACGATGCAGAGCAGGCAACGAGAGGGGACGGGTTGTCTAAGGGGCTTCGACTCACCATCCTCGCCCTGCCAATCCTCCGAGTCAGCAGAACACCGTCCGCCCAGCGCAGCCGCTGATGTAGAAGATCGATCGATCGATCTCTGCGCGCACGGGTACTTTGCTGTCCGTACCTGCTCTCTGCTCTGCTTCTGGCGCCAGCAAAGCTCTCGCGCGCCGGCTTCTTCGACTTGGAGATGAGCTAAGTTAGTCGACGGACAGGAGGCAGAACCCAAGATGAACCGTCCCAATCTCAGCAACGGCATCGCATAATGACCTCTTGCTGTGCGCCCGATAGCGCAATGGAACCCCCGAATGCCTCGACACTTGTCGCACCAAACGCGGTCATTGCCCGGAGGCGCGCTCCGTCGCCTCGGACACGAATCTCGCCGTTTGACCTAAGAACAGGGATCTTTGCGAAGGACTCTTTGCGCCACGGCTCCTCAGATGTCGGCCGACGAGTGGAACACGTCGGATGTTGTACGGAGGTATCGCGCAAAGATTTCGCGTGGAATGACATCGGTGGCTTAGCGGTGCCGTGCCCTGCAGCCCGGGAGACGGACCCTTTGCCGTTGAGACAAGGAACACGACCCTGAGCGCCTTGACAACCTTGACAACCTTGACAACCTTCAAGCATCTCGCACCCCAGTCCTGAGGGGCGTGCATAGCTCCGACATGCCTGCTCGCCATCGATCTGCTCCAAAACTTCGATCGTCTGGGCCCTGTCCAATCGTCATCTGCCGAGGCGGCACAGCCACAGCTCTCCCGGAGATGCGACCTGCCGGACTGAAGTCCTCAACACCAACTCTGTGATTAGCTCGCACGGCTGGCCGCTCACAACAACGGCGTCCGTTTAGGGTTCAAATTGTGGGTAATCAGGGTTCGGCAGCTGCAAAAGGCTAGGAGAATGCTGTCCGCTCTTTTCACCTCACAAATCTCAACCTCGTCTGAGTACCTACGCGTGTGCACGGTCCAATGCCGGCGGCACTTCTACATTCCTGCCGTCCAGCGCCACAAGCGTTTGCAACACCTTGGGCCGGCGCTTTCTTGAGCAGAAGGGTTGAAGGGGTCTGCGAGTGGACCTCGGCAGCAGAGAAGCTCATTGTAAGCTCCACGTGGTTGGTGTCGGCCATCCCCTTTCAACGTCGATGAGAAAACTCAACTCCTACGCTGTCAACTCGTTGATGATGTCGAGGATCGTGGAATCTTGCGCATTGTCTTCCCCAGCACAGAACCGTTCATCTTGGCAGGTGAATCACCTAGACTTGCTAGGGGTTTGCATCGGGAACAATACCAGTCAAAGTCCAGTTTTGTGGATCTCACTATTACGACGTTCTGCACCATCAACAGCGCTACCTCCGTACTGCACAGCTGACACTTCATCTGTCTTTCACTAAATCTTGTTCGCGCAAGGACCAAGGGCCATCGTTGCCGCATTGAAAGTGGATAGCGCGCAAGCGCAGTTCAGAGACTAAAGACATCTCAAGTGATCAATGCACTGAAGGGGTGCAATGCTGAACATCTTATCCTTTCCTTCGCACGCATTCAGTCTTGCTATCCCACAATCAATACGATCAGGAGTCCAGCTCAATCACGAATCTGGTACTGAACAAGCTGGAGCATGTATGCGGCATCAAACTATCCGGGTGGCCCTTGGACGGGTGCTTCGCGATAAACAGGGCGAATATATCAGAGCCTGGCCACAGTCTGGCCCTGTTACCCCGCTTTTGTAGGAAGCACAGTTTCTCCGCTCTCGATAACCTCAGGATATCTTTCTGCACCGCTTGTAGCAGGCCGTTGACTACGACGAGCTTACTCATCTCACATTTTGTCTGCGCAGACAGAAGTGCCAGGGCGGGCCGCAAAAAAGCTTGCCGCTCCGTGTTTCCCGATTAGGTGTGCAGAGCGGCAAGCTTCTTCTTAATCTTCCCGGGACCGGGGATGGCTCCGCTGTCTTCCCCAGTTGGCTTGTCTGCAAGCAGGTTCATGGAATATGCGCACACCCCTTCGGCAGAGAACCGAACAAGCGCAACGTTGTTCTCCTTGCTCGCTGCAGATCTTTCGGAGTGTTTTCCACGTCAAATGAGAAGCCCTCTTGAGTCGCCCTCAATCCTAGCATTCAACCTGAAATGCCTTGCTTGATCTTGCCGCGATGGAAAATTTCCGACGGCGACGGTTGCGAATACCCGGACCCTATCTGCGGATCCCGCGCTTCCCGCCAGCCGTTCGTGCTGCTAGGGCTTCGCGTTGCGCAACAAGTGCCCCACAAGGCGAGGGACCTCATGACTGTGGTGCTCCAGTCGCTTGCCATCCGACCCACGTCCTTTGTGCAACTCATCCCCCTGGCAGAACGCGCGCTCAACCCCAGGTGGGGACATTCAAAGGGCCTCCATGATGCATGACATGCATATGACAGAGATGCATGGCATGTGGAATATTCTCCGATACATCCCAAGCTTTGGATTCAACGCTCTTGGTTACTGATACGGCCCGAACGACACCTCCCGTATTCAGGTTTCGCTTATGGGATGATTCAGTGCCTTGTTCGAAGCCAGGTCGAGCCTGATTGACCTTTCACTAGCGGTGCTGCTTCTACCCAGAGTTTATGAACTGTCACATATGAGCATCTGCAACGCCTACCGCGGTTTAACTCATCCACTGTCTGCCCACTACGAGGATACGCCACCCCGAGCACCATCCGGTGCACACTCGAGCTACTCACGTTGATCTTCGTAAGCTCTGTCACAACTGAACTCACTAATACCTAATTCAACCACAAGTGATATCTCGCTTACGATTGACACAGGCCTGCCGACCTAGCGAGATCGCCAGTGAACTGCCTGGAGTGCCGGACATGCTCATCTCCCTAATAGGTACGAGAATTCTACCCAGTCACTTCCTCGCTTTAGTGATGTGTGTGTACAGAGCACACAGGATGCAGGAGCATCCGGTGGTTAGCGTGTGTCAATCGCAGGGAGAAATACAAGGGTACATCTTCAACTTTGCAGCATCCGTTCGCTGCGGTTGAGGCTATCGAATTCATAAAGAGTTCATATCGTCTCCACGCACACATTCGGATAGTCGCCATCAGTTTCCGATCATGGATATGGTCCTTTCAAGGTCGTCGTTCTGATATCTCATACTGTGGCACATGACGCACGCTAACCACCGGAGGCTCCTGGATCATGTACCATTACACCCCTAGCGGAGGATCCCTATCACAATCAGCCTTTACCCTGTCTCCGCATAACGACTAAAACCAACCTCCTCCTCTAGCACCGGCATCGCTACATCACGTCTACCCCATCCTTCTCAATATGGTAAACTGAGAGTGTGGGGCCCGGTTTAGCCCCTTGCCACCATGCATCCAGAACGCATGTGATGCATAAATCCCCGACCAGAGCGGACTTTGGCCCGGGAATGCCTCAGCACTGTGAGAGAAAGGCTTGGGTATGCATGTGTAGGTGCAGAGCGTCAGCCACCCGCATGGAGAAAGTTCTGAGACGCTATCGAAACGTTTCTAACGTCCGATGCACCACTATTGACTCCTTAGCGACTATCGCATCCTTCGCGTTTCTCGCCTCCTTCCCGTCTCTCACTTTCCAATCAGCGATGCGACCCCTGTGCCGCTTTTTGTGGGGTACCGGACCGACTGCTCTACTAGCAGCTCTAGTAGGTAAGTAGGCAGCCGGCGCCTTCCGAGAACAACAAGGCGAAGTTTTTGGATGGATGACGCCGTGTGATGATTCCTGGAGATGAGTCTGCCCTTCGTCACGCATACGAAGAGCTCCATCTCTTCTCTGGGGCGCCGATTTGGGGATGGTAATGGAAACAAGGGATGGGCTTGCCTGGCAGCGGTGCCGGTAGCTTTTGCAGAGGAACGCACCCTTCTACAACGGCGCAAACCCTGTGACAAGCCTACCTGTCTCGGAGGATAAGGGCATTGTAGGTAACAAACTGGCCTGCGTATCTGGTGCAGGTACTGGTTCCCTCCGGTTCCTATCACACCAGCACAGTGACTTTCCTGTCTCAGAGAAGCACGTCCTTCGAAAAGCTTCCAAGCAGATCAGCTACCAAATGTAAGCCAGATCCACATGGGGCGGTCGTAAGAATTTCGTCCTGTCTCAAGCACACCGGACAAAAAGAGCGTTGTTAGAATAATCACGCAGCTGCGAACTGTATCGCATCGCCGACTGCAGAGAGAGAAACACTAGTGACCATAAGTGACTCCTGATCGTTAGGGGTTGAGAACTTTCTATCGTGTGGAATATATAACGAGAAGAGTTATGCCTGAGCGGCACAAAGCCTCCCGCATCCTCATAGACGGTGGTTTAAGTAAGTTGCCGTGTGTAGAGTGTGACACATGTTCACAAACGAATGATTGCGTGAAACAAACCTTTGCAACAAGGCTCCTTGTGATGTGGGATTTCCTCGTCCGTCTGAAAACGTTGTTCTACGCTTCAAGTCGAACCGCATCTTGGCGTGCGAATTGTATCTCTGTCAAGGAAAGCTATTAGTTCTCCTCGTTCTCATCCCTCTTCACGCATCCAGGCACGTAAAGACGCCGGAGCCGCGGGGATCTGCAGCGAGGTATGCTCACCAGAGGCCTGAGTCCTTCCATGACAACAAGAAGATTCGCCTCCCTATGGCAGACCACGCCCCGAGTTGACCGAATTTGCGACCTGTGATGTGTTCGGCCGGTTCTCTGTACCGCCACAATACGTCAGTAAATCATCCGCTAAACCCCGTCCTTCCCTCCCTGGGAAGGCAATAGTCAAAGAAATGAAAACTACCCACCAGCGTATCTCTCGTAACTATCCAAATACAGCTCATCCGTGCTCGTCGTCGCCCTCACATGCTCATTCTCCTCAATAGCCTTGACCCACTTCGCCCACCGACTATCCGGCTCGGGCTCCGGCCATCCTCGATAAGGCTTCAGGACGCGGTTGAGCCGTACGACCCACGGCGCCATCTGAATGTCCACGAAGGAGATGCCGGCGCCAAGGAAGAAGGGCCCCGTGGGGTCAGCAACATCGACGATCTTACCGATCTCGGTTTTGAGCTCGTCGGCGAGGGTTACTTGCTTCTGCTGGTCCTGCTCCTGAAGAAAGCGGTAGAATGAGGGGATAATGTGGCGGTTTATCTGTGAATGTAAGCCCGTGGTCGCGTGTCAGAGACCGTGTCTTTCTCACGTGATCGCTCCAGAGCCGGCTGTGTGCGCGCGTCTTTGGCTGCGGCGGCAGCAGTGACTGGCCTTCGCTCAGGTCCTCGAGCTGTAATTTGTCAGAGCTGATGGCTTCAGGGACCGGTCTAAACGGACATATTCCATGAGCACAGTGCTCTCGTAACAGCCCCAGTCGCCATGCCGTAACGCCGGCACGAGCCCTCGCGGATTGATCTGGAGAAGCAAGTCTGGCTTCTTGTACGGATCGACCTCGATGTATTGGTATGGTATCTGCTTGACTTCGAGCGATATCCAAACACGCTGCACGAAGGGACTGTGTCGCGTACCGAGGTTAGCCGGGATCTGACGTCATGGAGGTTGAACCTCAGGTTTTGATGGAAGGCGCGCACCAGAAGCAACTGCCGTACAGCTTTAGGTCATTCTCTTTGGAGTGATTCTTTACGGTGGTTAGGGCGTTGCCGGTTGCCTTTTTGTGGTATTCTTTCTTTTCGGAGGATTGCTTGTTAGTGTCTGCCATTTTCGCGTGGGGTTGGGCGCTCGTTGAAAAGAAGCGCGTTGCAGGAAGACCAGCTCTGCAATTGCTCTTTCTGTAGGGCTCTGGGAGCTTCTTGAACGGTCTGCAACTTGATGCTAACTGGACAGAAGGGTTGTGATGGTACCCTCGGAGTGATGAGAAGGTAATGGAGCAAGATCGACTTCTCACTGCGAACATTGACAATGGTGTAAAAGTCCAGCAGTAGCAATCCAATTATCAATTCAAGAAGTTCGATGATGCTTGACAAGGTATGACGAATACAGACCCCGCTGACCCTGGATGCTCCACAAATCATGTGACATATTGGCAAGAAGGACATATGAACAATGTCAACATACCTGCGATTTCTTCTTGTCTTTCTCAGCCTGAAGCATCCACCTGATGATGCTGTTCTTTTTCACACTGTCGCTGTACTCAAGCGTGTGCTTGTGCGCACCAGGCACACCGTCTCCCTTACCGTTCTGTCCATTGCCATTGACGCGCTGAATCGTGTACATCTTACCGTGGCTTGCACTTGTTTCTTGCGGCCATTGCGACGACTGTTCTATTGATACGACTGACGACCGATGGGCGAAGAAAGCATCCGGCTGGGGAGCATCAAGTCCGGGGTACCTGCCAGCCTGGGCGATGATTTCAGGAGGTGGATCACCAGCAGGATACTCAGTGATCCTGATTTTTACATCACATAGATCCCGCTCACGCGCGACGCGCTTGCGCTTCTTCTTGTTCGGGTCTTCTGACTTGGGCGTCCCGGGCGGCCGTCCTTTGAGGCGACAGTCCCAGTAATGTGACACGAAGCCCTTGCGCTTGTGTTTCTGGGTCGACCGGTGCGAGTACACGTTGTCGACGTGCGGGAAGTACGTCTGGAGCTGGTCTTCTGTCAGGACGATCGTGTCGTCCACATTGAAAAGCTTTTGCCGCCATGCTGCCAAATCCGGTGGATCTGGTATGCGTTTAAGGCCTTTGAGATGCCCAGCTGATTTCGCTGCATGTTCTTCTACTTCGGGCACCTGAGAGACTCTGGGTTCTTGCTGAAACTGGGCGATCCGACGCTGTTGCGGTCTCGCAGCAGTTGCATTTGAATCTCCAGAGGCAGATGGCACGACGCCATTTTCGCTATTACTTAAGACCAAAGGTGGCGCCTGAAAAGTAAATTGCCCTACGTTGGGTTGCTGCTGCTGATGTTGCTGGTAATGGAAACTCTGAAAGGACACAGGGGCAGCCCGAGATGTGGTTGTCGAAGGCAAGATGAACTCAGGCCTAGGCGGCAATACTTTTGTCGCATCTTGATGGTATGGCGCCCTGGCCACAAAGCCTAGGTCACTTGGATATCGATGTTGTAAGAGCGCGCCGGGGTCGGTTGATCCAACGCCGTGAAGATTGGGGCCAAGGGGGCCAAGAGGGCCAAGCGTCTGAGGAGGGACATGCGGTAACTGGGGAAGCTGGAGCAAGGACTGGGGATTCGATGGCGGTGGATCTCCAACGAAGCGCGGATGTTGAAACTGGATGCCGCCGTCACCGCGAACCATGTTTGCTGGCGCTGGCGTCGTAAAAGCAGCATGCAGACTTTACCGATGTTGCGGTTTAGGCGCGGCAGAGAGCCTGTCGCCAGATCACGTGCAGGCCTTTAATTCATTTGGTGACAACCTGTAACTCCAACTTCGGTATCATTTGAAAAGAATACCCGTCATTTCTTCCGCTCGTAGTAAATCCACGTAGCTTTCCTCTGCTCTGTACAACAGTCCGGTCATTTTCCATTCTCTCATGTCCAGCGGGCCTATCTGTAGGCCTTTAACGCGCAATCTGCAATCATCTCTGAAGGTTCAGTCAACCAAGTCATGTTTTGGTGGAAAGGCGCAATGTGTATCAATAAGGTTCCTTCATAATGATGGCCGGAACCGGCTGTCAACCTTCTGGACACCTTCAGGAGGCATCTCGGGCAACGCGGGAGAAGATGAAGATTCCCACTCGTTCCTGATCAGAGCAGGCTTCCTTCGGCAGGCATACTCCGGCATATTCCATCTCCTGCCGCTTGGGCTGAGAGTGCAAGACAAGCTCGAGCGCCTTATAGACAAACACATGGGCAGCATAGGCGCATCAAAAGTTTCGCTTTCCTCAATCTCATCTGAGGAGCTGTGGCAGAGGAGCGGCCGGGCAAACAACGCGGAACTACTACGCTTGAATGATCGGAGGGAGTCCGGATTTCTCCTCTCACCGACTCATGAGGAAGAAATCACGGCCGTGGCCGCCGGCGCTATCAAGTCATATAAAGAACTTCCATTACGGCTGTACCAAATATCCCGCAAATACCGAGATGAGCGCCGGCCACGGCAGGGGCTCCTCCGCGCAAAGGAGTTCTTGATGAAGGATCTATATACCTTCGACTACACTCCTGAGATGGCCCTGGAGACCTACTCGGACGTGAGAGGAGCATACGCTGCTTTCTTCAACGAGTTGAGAGTACCTTACATGGTCGCCGAAGCCGATTCCGGGGCGATGGGCGGAAATCTGAGCCACGAATACCACTTCCTCTCCTTGAAAGGCGAAGACAATGTCTGCGCCTGCAACTACTGCTCCTACGTCGCCAACGAAGAGCTGGCCGAGAAACGACACAAACCAGCCCAAGCGCAACAAACAAATATTCCGCACACAACATGGATAGGCATCAGCAAGGACAATACAACTTTGATCCGCGTGTATTATCCGCAGCCCCAGCGTAGCTCCGCTGATTTAGAAGATCCCTCAGCTCCTGGGCCGTCCCTCAACGACCTCAACATCCACGTATTGAAACGAATATATCCGGACCTCAATACCGCGATCGACGATCCAGCAACGGCGCTCCGAATCTGGGATTCAAACGTCCATGCTAAGACCGATCCTCGCCAGTCCGTCGACATCTTTGACTACCGTATCGCACAAAACTCCTTATCCGTCAAGGAAGGTCCTGACATCCCAGACACCGACCCCTCCGGCCTCTCCACTTCCTCGCCGCACCTGGATCCTGCCCAACACGGAGTTTCTGCTGGCCACGCTGCACCCACCCGCCAGGCCTTCGACCTCACCAAAATCTCCACCGGCGACGGCTGCCCCCGCTGCTCGACGGGCACCCTGACCGTGCACAAAGCCATCGAAGTCGGCCACACCTTCCACCTCGGCACTCGCTACTCTCAGCCTTTGAACGCCGTTGTCGCAGTGCCTCCAGAAGTCGACGCTGCCGGGCAGGTAGCAATGCAGATGGGCTGCCACGGCATTGGACTCAGCCGCATGATCGGCGCCGTCGCGGCTGCGTTGGCGGACAGCAAGGGACTGAATTGGCCTAAGGTGATTGCACCGTTTGAGGTTGCTGTATTGCCCGGGAAGGGGAATGAGGGGGATGCGGTGGGGGTGTATGAGGAGCTGAGGGGGAGGGGGCTCGAGGCATCGGTTGAGGTGGGTCAGGAGGCGCGGTTGAGGCATGCGGCTGCTGTGGGGAAGGAGGAGGTGGTGCTTGATGATAGGGATAGGCCGCTTGGATGGAAGATGAAGGATGCGGACTTGGTAGGATATCCTGTCATTGTGGTGCTGGGGCGGAGATGGAAAGGGGAGAGCGTGGTGGAAGTGCAATGTCGAAGGCTGGGAATCAAGAAGGACGTGAAAGTCGAAGCCTTGAACGGGGTTGTTGGAGAGTTGTTGGCTCAGCTGTAAGAACATTGTACTTGAGCACGGAGTTTGGTAAATTGAGCGGTCTTCGAATTGTAGTACTCCGCTCTGGTACCGCAGTAAGCCGGCAAGCACGGTATATGTTTACTGTATACTAGACTGAGCTACGCGGGTTTGGGAATTCGTTTATCAGCCTTATGGCATCTTATGCCGCATCCACGGAGCCTCGAGGAGCCTCAGCTTAAGATGAACGCGTGAAAAATTTCGTAGGAAACAACGAATGGTGTGAAATTAGGAACGCGATTAGATGGACTCGATTGCTTGAGATATGGAGTCGAATGCCTCCGTTTGCCCAATGCCGTCTCCCGATCACCAATCCTAAGACTTCACCAGCTTGGTACACCCACTTGCTGCTCCGCTCAGCCAGTCTAGTGTATAAATCTGCTTTGCTATCTCACTCTCTACCCGGAAGACTCTCAACAAGTCCTAGCCTCGCAAGACCAGTGTCACATATCCCGCATACTCCCTCCTCCAAGGCAACGCATAGACCAAGTCAACCACCCTAAACTGCCTGATCGGTAATTCCTCAAACGCCCCAACCCACACAAACAGGCCCGGCGCTCCCCTCCAACACCAACCCCTCCTCTTCTCAGCCTCATGCACCTCACTCAAAAGCCCCCAAGTCCAAAGGTACCGTACTCCCCCTCCCAGCCCTATACCTCTTGGGCCCGCCCACAAACTCCCTCGGCTTGGGCAGCTGCGCCTCATCCTGGAACTTCCATCTCGAGTCGTTGATCCTGAGCACGCTGGCCGTCCCCGCGCCGGCTCCGCGCCCAGGACTGCTGATCCCGGCGGCGGCATCTCGGCCACCGAAGTAGCCTGATGCCGGCGCGCCTCCGTTGGGCGTGAGCGTGAAGGCCGAGGCATCTAGGTCGAGCATGCTCCGCCCTGGCGTCTGCGTTGGCGGACGTGATGGCGCGGCCGTAGGCGGTGGAGGAGGCGGTGGTGGCGCGGGCGCAGCGGGTGAGGGCATGCGCGGGAGGTGAGGTGGTGGAGGCGCGCTTGGTGCGTGGGGTGCTGGGCTAGGCGGTGGCGGAGATGCTGTTGGAGGAGGAGGTGGTGGTGGAGGAGGCGCGGCTGGCGATACTCCTCTGAAGGCGTTGCGGGCGGCTCGTTCAGCTAGGGAGGGGGTGTGTGCGCCGTTTGTTGGGGGAAGAGAGGGCGGCGGGGGAGGGGTTGACCGCATCTGCATGGGTGGGGGTCTGGGGGCTGCTGATGGTGGTGGAGGCGGAGGGGCAGGCGGTACCGACGCGGTTGATATTGAGGACGGTAGGGAAGGCCGGTGGGCGAGTGGTGATGAGACGGAGTGAGGTAGCGGCGGAGGAGGAGGAGCGGTTCCGGATGGTTTGCGGGATGCGGGTGGTGGTATTGGGGGCTTCTTGCCGACTATCGGAGGTGGCGGCTTTGACTTGGGTATGTTTGGCGCTGAAGCTGCTGATGAGAGGCCGGTCGGTCGGAGGTTGTTCTTGAACGCGGGGACTGCTGGGTTGGGGGGTGGTGGAGGCGCCGCTCCTCCCGGCATTCGAGGCGCGCCAGGCGGCTTCGGCGCAGCACCTCCTGGTGGTCGGGGTGCTGAGCTTCGTGATGTTTCCGGGTCGGAGAGGTATGGAGACTGGGTGCTCGCGCCGGTGTTGACGCCCCCTGACTTTCGTAGCTTGGGCATTCCCCCTGCAAAAAGTCCGCCCAGTTGCGGCGCGGCTGCCATTCCTCCACCATCGCCGGCATCGCTGTTACTCCGCGCTCGACTTGCTGATCCTGGCGTCGGTGGTGCGAGTCCGCCTGGTGGTCTCGGCATGCCTGGTACTGGGGGGGCGGCGCCCATTGGAGTTGCTGCTGGGCCATCTGACACTTTGCCTACTAGAGGCGCGGACCGGTCATTGATTTGTGTAACTTTCTTTAACCGCGCGCCCTTCTCTATGTCGCCCAGGAGCGCTCCCTACACGCCTAGTCAGCCTTGGACTATCTTATTATAGCCCCGCATGCTGTGAAGCCCCAAGTTTTGTAGACCTGCTCAGAGAATATTCCTACATACTCTTCCCTTTGCGGCAGCTGCCGGCGGTCTAGCAGGAAGGTTGCCAGCTCCAGGAGGCGGGGGAGGCGGCGGCGGACCTCCAAAGCCCGGCATCGGAGGAGGTGGTGGAGGAGGTGGAGGGGCGGGCATGTTGGATGCTGGCGATTCGTATGCTCTGATGTCTCCTTGCTCTTTCTCTCGTACCTGTAAGGTATATGAATATCGAATCGGGGCGAACTGTGGGTGGAGTTCGTGAAGAGCTTCGGCGTTGTGGTTGAGGTTTCTCCAGCTGCTCGCCAGAAGTTCCATCGTGAGTCGTCACAGCCACAAGCGTCGTCAACCTCCCAGCATCTAGACTCCAGGAACCACGAGAGATGAAGCCAACATCAATCGCAGTACGGCCGAAGCCAAGATCTGTTTGCCAGCTATGCGACTATATTCGTGGCCAGTCCACCAGACAGGGACGAACTCTGCGCACCTCGACTCTCATACGAACCACGGCACCACTTCCACAGCTACGCCCACAGCTACAGCCTCAGAAACAGCAACGCGTTGGGAGCATCGTTACCTCAAGACCAGCGAGCAGGATTAATACCGCACCTACAAAAGATGAAAGCTACAACTCAGGCGCCGAAGCAGCGCTCGAAGTCGCGAATGCTCAGAAAGCCATCAATGCCATCCTCACCCACGACCAGGTCCCCTCAGAAGAAGCCACCTTAGCAGCTCTTAGAGCCTGCGAGAGCGCAGCACGACGCCTAACAAACAGGACCGGAGAGCCACCACCAAAGCGTAAAGACGACACCACGCCCGCCTCCGCCCTCCTGTCCCTCGACTCGCGGCCCACGCCCTCAGAAGCCCTCTCCAAACCCATCGACCTCCTCTCCAACCTCGCCTACAAGCTCCTCCTCCACCCTCCCGTCTTCATCTCGCCCGACATCCTAAAGACCTACGTAATCACACAAGCCCTTCTCGAGCGCCCCTCCACCTTCCCCGAAGTCTTCGCCCTCTACGCCACCAAGCCCGTCCCACAACCCTCAACACACCCACCGCGCTACAAAACCCCCAACCCACGCGCCGCCCGCGCCGCCATCCCAACCGACATCGCCAACCTAGCCCTGGGCGTCGCTCTCGCGACCAAGGACCTCCACACCGCCCTCTCCATCATCGAGACCTCCTTCCGCGCCCCGGCCTACCGCCGCAACAAGGTCCTGCGCAAGGCCGTCCCGCCGCTCCTTGGCGCCGCGTTCGCGCCCCTGGCCGCTTACACCGTCGCGGCGCAGCTGAGCAGCTACCAAGAAACCATGGACCCCGCGCTGGCGACCAAGATAGCGTTTGCAGGAATCCTAACCTACGTAGGCGCGACGGCGACGATTGGAGTTGTGGCGGTCGCGACGGCGAATGACCAGATGGAGCGCGTGACGTGGGCGACGGGGATGCCGCTTAGGGAGCGGTGGTTAAGGGAGGATGAGAGGGCGGCGGTGGATCGGGTGGCGTGTGCGTGGGGGTTTCACGAGATGTGGAGGAGGGGCGAGGAGGAAGGGGCCGAATGGGATGCACTGAGAGAGTGGGTTGGATTGAGGGGGATGGTGCTTGATCGGGTGGAGCTGATGGAGGGGATGGAGTAGGCGTTGTCTGGGATGAGATGGGCGCGTGACACATCAACAACCGGCCGCTCGTGGCAAGGACATGGCTGAGCATGGGCTAGTGTGGACGACGGCGCCGAGCAGAGCGAAGTATAGTTGATGGAAGGCGAGTGGGATGAGTATGAAGTTCTGGTTATGGCTTTGCCATGCAATGGCTGCACGCATGCATAGATACAAGCCGGTTCACTGCAGCAGGCCATCGAAAACGCACATGCTGTGCATGCTCTATCTCTAAGTATAGTCTACCCAAGCGCCCAGAAATGCTGTGCTCCGTCACAAGAGCTTCCGCTCCATCATTGCGAACGTCGCCGCCGCCTGTCCCGTTCTCCGGGCTCTTCATCAGGTTCCTCGCAGGTCCATCTCGGCCTTTTAACCACCACCCGCGGAACCGGTAAACGAGTGCTCTCTCGCATATGTTCCGGTGATGCTTCACTGTGCGCCAACTGCTAACCCCCGCCTCGTCCTAGGTTACCGCATAATGCTCTCCCAGCCCCCCCCAGTCCGTGTCAAACCTTGACCTACTGCGTCGAGTATACTCTCGCCATCGTCTGTATATCGTCAGCTCAGTTCCCTGCCCGTGTCACTCTTCCACTCACCGCAGCCTGCCTCGGCTCGATAAACAAGGCCTCAGCCTCACACAGCCTCTTCGGCAGTTTAGGTTCCTTCACCCCATTAACCTCCTTCGACCCGTTGACCCCATCAACCCCATTCAGGACCTTGAACCCATTGGTCTTCTCATTAGCCCTCTCCACCTCCCCATCCCCAACCCACTCCTCCGGCGCAGGCAGCGTCTCTAACCACCCCCTAACCCACGCCTTGCGCCCCTCCACCTTGGTCGTCTCGGCCCTGAGCACCACGAACTGGCCCGCCATACACGGCGCTTTGTAGTCGATCTTCAAGCTCGCCGTGACGCCGACCTTATTCGGCAGCGCCGGGAAACAACACCGCGCGAGGCCTTCGTCTAGCAAAGTGGCGAGGAGCCCGCCGTGCACGATCCCAGGGTGTCCGCAGAGCGCGGGGCCGAGGTGCTGGATCGAGACGAGCTGGCTCCCGTCGTGCGTGCTGAATGTGAGGGGCGGGGAGGCGATTTTGTTTTCGCCGAGGAGGGTGCCGCCGGTGAGGTTGTGCGGGCGCATCGAGGGCGGGATTTTCATGTGGGGCCGGGATTCGACGAAGCGCGGATCCTGGCGCAGGGATTGGGTTAGAGGGTGCATGTTGATGTAGGCATCGATGTCTGCGGAGGAGGGGGTGGACTCGTAGATTTCTAGCGTTTCGGCGTCGGTGGGGGGCTTGAGGAAGCTGTTAATCGTTTCGACGGCAGGGGAGGCGGCCATGGCGAAGCCGGCTGTGAAGAGGGCGAGGAAGAGGAAAGTCCCGCGGAGGAGGCGTATAGGGAGGGAGCGCCGGGGTGGTAGTGATTGAGACTCTGGGTTTGGTGGTGGTGGAGGCGGATGTTGGGATGCTGGCGGCGGGTTAGCAAAAGGGTTTGAAAGCAGTCGAACTGAGCGATGGTTGCAATTGACTTACTTGCTTCCTGACTTGCGATCGTACTCTGTAATCTGCGCTGTAAAGTGCTACTCTGGAATTTATGTAATATACTGCTCCGGCTGCGGCGCAGAAACACTCCGGTCACAAGCGGCGGTGACGGCAGGAACAGCCCCTGGCTAAAATTGACATTTCGTAAGCCGGCAGGGCTCTTAACCGCGGCTGCGTACCTGGCAGCAAGCATTGCCCGAACAGGCGTCAATTGCGATGGATTCCCATGGCCTTTCTTGCCCGGCGTGGCTGCACTACGTTCGCCCGGCGCCCTGTCGGAGATGCGAAGATTTCGTCGGCGATTAGATCCTGTTATCTTACCTCGGCAGAAGCGGTGGTGTTGATAGGATGGCGTAGATGGCCAAACCCGTTGAAGAACCTGACTGATACTACCGCAAAATTGGAGGACGCGTGCTAGGATTCGTTTGGGGGGTGTGGTGCAGCAGCCCTATCTGAGATGTTGAAGTTGTGGACGATCTGGCACGAATGCTAGACTGCCTCACGTCAGAAAAGTTATCACAAAAACACTCATATCTCTGGTAGCATGGCACGATGCGCTCGGCGAGTTGGGTAGATTGAAGATCAGGTGCTGGTGAGGTTTGTATAAACGTATGAAAAAGCGCGATGAGGTTTCTATCTGCATTTTTACAAGAAAACGAAGACAGTTCAGGCGGATTGTTTATTATAACTATCAGCATCTGCGTCATCTCTCCAAGCATGTACTATATGAGCATAAGAGTGACATCGTAGTACTGCCAAATCTGTATTTCCGCGCGACCAATCCAGTCAATTTGTCCATTCAGTCTATCCCTCCACGTGACACACAGCTGAGGCCCCAGCACACTCGTTCAGAACCTCCTATTACAGACCCACCCCGCTCACGTGCTCTCCATTCAGTCCTCGAAGCTAAACTTGTAAGTGTCCATGATCCTATGCCGCTGGGCCAGGCTAAAAAGCGACTGGTTCTCACTCCCGCATCGACAGAATCCATTGCGGCAGTAGCAGGCGTAGTAGAATGGGCGCAAGTTGTCCCGTATGATGTTCGTGTAGCCTTGGAAATGGCATGGCTCAGTGCAGTAGCACTTGGGTGGGCTGAGAATTTACTTATCAGCTAGACTTCCTGGGAGCGACTTACCCAGGATGGGAAAAGGGATCTGACTTACAAGTTGTCTTCTGGAAGAGATTTGATAGCTGCCACGTCGACTTCATGCTTGATCCCTAGCTTTTGGTCGGCGAAGATCTTCTTCAACTTCTGCCTCGTGCTATGTTTGATGAAGCCCGCGAACTGAATCTCCGGAATGTGTTCGATAAAAGGCTTCGCGAAGCTAAGGATCCAGTCCACAAGGATCTTCTGGCATGATGTCGGCGCCGGCCAGTCATTATCCCAGTTACGGAAAGGGTCATTCTCAGCGCTGTACTTGGTCGATTCGAAAGAAAGCCGAAGAGAGTGCAGCGTTGGCATTAGTAGTAGAATGTCAGCCTCGCACGAGTAGTACCCATTCCGTTCGCAGCCGGGGACATCAATCGCAAAGAATCCCATATAGCCTCTATGGGTGAGATGTAGAGCAACGTGGCGCAAGGCATCGAAACCTAGGGTAGGAGCCAATTTAACAAAACTTCTCAAGGTCCATTCATGATCGAAGCGTTTTGTTGTGTACTTCCAGCCTACCTCCAGTGCCTCCGCGCGGGATTGCCGATTGAGACACAGTATCTGGATGATGGGCGCGCGGATTGGGGGCGGGCCTTCGTCTTCAGACGGATAGTGATGGGAATAGCGTGGAGTGGTGGTGCCCCTGCCGAAAGTTGCGATTCGCTTTTCATTGTAGATCCACTCCTCGCCTGGGAGGATTGTGGACCCAATGAGATGAACAATGAGGAGATTGCGCAGCTCTCGGGGTAGATCCATCAGCCTGAAAGACTTCCCAGTTATCGACCACCAGCGGGACTGGCGCTGATATCCTTGATCGCCGAGACGTCTCGCATCGAATCTGGAGGATGTTGGCGGGGGCAGGCCATTCAGCCAGGACTTCAGGTCGACCCAATCACCGGCGACGCGGACTTTCATTGTTGATTGTCGGTTCCGACCGCGCCTAGCCACGGTGATCTGTAGAGGTACAGTTCGACCGATGTATCCGGGCTCGAGGAAGGTGTAGAACTTAGGCTGTGAAATGGCGCCGCCGTACACTATGGCTGTGTTGGTAGCTGGGAAAATCCACATGTCGGCACAGAAGTGGGCGAAGCTCTTCATTTTCTGCTGTTTGAGGATAGGAACAACGGCTCCGAGGACTGCATCGCGCGTCTTGCATGATCGCCTTCCCAGACGCCCTTCGACCTCCGAGTGCTTAGCGTGCAGCATGGTACAGAAGTCTTGGGCGGAGTCTCGACCTTCGGCCACCAAGAATGGAGCAGAGGAGATGCGCTGTCCATACTTGAAATCAGCCGGAGCGGGAGAGTTGTTGAGACTCCGAAGCGCGTCGAAGGGATTAGCATGCGCAAGAACAGCAATAGCGTTTCGGGTCTGAGGAACATCCATGCTGAGAGGATGAAGAGGCCGCGTTGATAACGCAGTCTGGTATAGTTCGTTGACTGATACTATGGTGCGCTTTCAGAAGATGTATGTATGTATGAGTGGATATTGTGACGGGGCAAGTACGTAAACGAAGGTTGTGGTGTGGTAAGAAGTGCGAATAGTGAGAAGAGCTGGAGAGGAAGCGGACGAAGTGGACGAAGGGAGAGATATAGTCGCGAGAAAAAAGTCCAGACAGTTTGCACTGCGAACGTCCTGCTTCACGAACCTGGAGGAGGCCTTCACCGATGCCCAACAAACCTGTGACAGCGGCCTTCGTCAAGCGCCACATCCTGTGAATGGCATCGCCAAGGACCAGTTCAAGCTATTCAAGCGTGTGAGACAGCTCATGTGCCGGTGAAGGATTGTTCGCTGGGAGCGTGGACGTGAATCCGACAGCACTGTACTCTTCTCTGCACTTCGTGTACCCAGTGTTTGTCCGCAACGCGTCGGCAACGTCGGTTCGTCCCGGTGAAGAGTCTTTGGAGAAGACCCGTTTTGGGCTCATACTCAGCCGGGAGGACCGGCCTGAATCCAAGGATCCGATTATAAGCCGACCCGAAACCATTGAGATATTGTTGTGGCATGGCCGTGATGCGACATCAAGTTACGCTGATGCTACTATTTTATGGTATTGAGTGATAACCAGTTTCTATGATCGTCCACGATGCGCCGGCGAATCGGTTTGTCAACCTACGCTGCTTGCTTCCAGATCCACTCGGTAGCTGTTGTCGCTGAACGCCCTATCGATGGTTTTCTAGCATAACAACCGGAAAACGCAGAAAGGATGCAAACCACTTCGTCGCTAGAAAACAGCACTGCTCAGAGTTCCATCTACTCTTCGATCGTCTTGATTAGTTCCCATCCTCCGCTCAACCGCTCCTTCCATAAGCTAACCCGGTTGTCGCCTGTGCTTACGGCGAGAACATTGCCGCTGAGGGACCAACTGGCGCGCCATGCAACGGCATCGAAGTTCAGAGTTGTGGATTTCCACTCGCCTGAAAGCTATGTCAGCAACCCACTTCTTTCCAACGTGACATACACTTTGGCACGAGCACATACCAACACTTGGATTGGTGCTTGTCCAGATCCGTACCGTCTTGTCTTGTGATGCAGAGGCAATGTAAGATTTCGAGAGGATAGTCGGGGACCACGCAACATCGCGCACCCAGTCACCGTGGCCTTTCAGGGTCGACACGCAGTTGTAGGTGTTAGTTTCAGGACTGCATTGCATCAGTAACCCATCCCCGCTACCTACCCACAGCAATCAACACCAACCTGAACTCCCAAATCTTGACTTCACAGTCGCTTCCACCCGTCACAAACCGCCTCAGCGCGCCGGGACCAGGCTGTGCCGCACTAGTCAAGCTCCCCGGCTGTATCGCAGGCGCCCAGCTAACGGCATTGACGCCTATGCCATGCGCAGGGAAGATCTGGTGAGACCAGCTATTGTCCTTGAACTCGAGCACCGACACATTGCCGTCCGAGGAAGCGCAGGCGAGCAGGCAGCCTGCTTCGTGCGGCGCCCAGGAGACGAGGTTTACGGATGCGGTATGGAGAGCGAACTCGTAGACTTTTTGCCACTGGGAGGACTGCTCGCGCCAGATGAAGACTTTGCCGTCGTAGGAAGCTGAGGCGAGGATGTTGCCGTATTTGGGGTGCGCCTGCTGGGCGTTGAGCGGGCGTGAAGGAGGAAGAGAAGGACAAGGGGAAAGTGACGGACCCACGAGACACACCAGACTGCACCCTCGTGGCTATATGCTTCATAAGCTACCGCTGCCTGCTGTAAATGCCCTCCCTTGAGCTGCCACGTACCCCTTCAGTGTCTCCGTTAACCGATGCGAATCGCCCTCAACTTCGAAGATTTTGATGGTCTTGTCCGAGGAACATGTTGCTAGCCGCCGTCCGTAGTAGTCGAGCACAGCATCGTGCTAATTGCGTCGGATCGTTAGCAATAGGGCTAAGTAGAGCTCTGCGGAGCTAGGTTTTCGAGGAAGGTGTGGAGAGGCAGCTTTGGAAGCTTGGAATACGTACAATCATGTCATCATGACCGGAGCTGGCTATTACTTGCGCCTTAATATTTTTGGTTAGCTGAAAGGACTATGCGTCGAGGGGTAGACTACATGCTTACCATGTTGAGACGTGTATATTTCTGTGATGTTGCGGCTCTTCCAACGCGTCCGTTCCCCGGAATTGACGTTGCGGATCAGCAAGGGTAGAGATAAGATCAAGATTAGATTGCTCAGTGTCGGTGGGCTGCGCAAGCCTCGGCACATGTCGCCGCGAGTTTCCCAATGTCCTCGTGAAAGCACATCTCCATCACCATCTCAACTTATCTTGCAGTCCATTCTTTCTACTTCTCTACCAACTATCTGTCCGTCTGGGTGGCTGTCTTTCTTACTGACTGGACATTTAGCTCAGCATGGCAGATGCCCTGTGTGGGCCGTCGAATGCGCTGCAGAGCTTCCAGAAGCACACCTCCGTGGATCGGACGCTCCAGCAGGACCGGCTCACGTCGAGGGCATCATCGTCGCAAGTATGAAGCGCATGTAAATCTGTATGTGCCGCATCTGATACTCAGTAGGGCTTTCGATCTGGACCCGGGCCAAATGCTGGCATACTAGACCCAGAATTCGAGGCTTTCCAAGCCGGCATCCCCTCCGCTCCGCTGCAACCAGACTTCCAGCACTTCTCTCCGCAATACTCGCATACGCCTGCTGGACCAGGTTTTGCGCCTCACCCTGCCACCTCAGGCTGGGCTTCCGACTTCCAGCGCCTCCACATATCCTCTCCGCCCCCCGCCTTTACACAACGTCCTGCGCAAGCTGCGTCCCCACATCAAGCCTCAGCAGCATGGCATCAGGACTTCCTCAGATCCCAGAATGGCGCGGCCACATTTCAGGGGCGTCAGACCCCCATACAGCCACTGTATGGAGGCGTGCAAGGATACGGCCTGCAGAATAACTTCCCGATGTACGGTGGCGGCATTGCTGAGCAGCCGGTGTTGTCAATCGCACAAGGGAAGCAGAGGCAGCACGAAGTTGCAGAACACTTCGACGAGGCGGCATTCGAACGCGCTTTTGATGCCGCTCGAGCGGAGATGCTTGAGGAAGAGACGCTTGCGGGGCAGGAGGCGCAAGCTGATCGCTTCAACCACGAGGAGATGGAGACTCTGCGGCACGCGACAAACCATCTAGCAGCACAGGACAACTCCGAAACCGCACGGCAGCTCAAAGAAGCGAGTATAGCGCAATACCGTGCAGAACTCGACAACCTCCGGCCTATGCCCCCTGAGCACTTCGAGCAGCTCTCACACGAAGCGCAACAGGAGCAGCAGCACGAACAAGAACAAGCGAAAAGCAGAAACGACGACGAGCTCGCCGCAACAGCCGGCCAGCTCCTCGAGTCCGTCTCCTCCAACACATCGAAGAAGTTCCAGGAAAGCCAGTTCCTGCAGCTGATGCGGCGGCTGCGCGACCGCGAAGTGCGCGTCGAGGGCGACAAGATGGTCGAAGTCAGTCCCACCCACTCCCCTCCTTCGCACTCCGTCCTTTCCTCCGCTCCAACTCCAGCACCGCTTTCCACAGCACCCGTGACTGCCCCGCCGATGGCTGAGCAAACTGATTCGCGCTCCCGGCACCTCCACATGCCGCCCGAGCCCGAATTCATCAGCTGCAAGGTCTTCGGGTGCAACAACGCGGCGCCCGTCTTCAAGGCCGGCTGGGGCGGTGGTATCGCGCTTCCGCATGAGCACAGTAGCTGATTTCCAGTTGCGGACTTTCGCAGGCCACAACGACGACGACGACGACGACTACGGGCTCCACCTCTGCGGTTGAGCAGGATGCTGATCTTGGCCGCTTCGGGCCTCCCGACCACGACCACGACCACGACTTCGGTGAGTCGCGCCGGTAGCTTTCTGAGACTGCGGAAGAGGAAGGAGCGTTCATCAAGCCTGCTGCAGCTGTGTCCTTGGCGAGCGTGGTGCGCAGCGCGTAAATGGCGCGTGAGGGGATGGTCGGCTCACGGCCGCGGTATGTGCCTAGCGTTACACGATGCTTCGTCCCTTTCGCGTGGTCCACAGCAGACGAATCCCGTTCACACCGGCAAAGGCTGATGTGCTGGCCTGATAGGCCTTAGGAGGCTGCAGCCGCCGATCGATGCGGGGAGGTCGTATGTTGCGGGCTGGTTCTTTCGGAGAGATGGACAGCTGCCTTAGAGGTCTGCGGAGGTGTTTAGACAAGCTGGGAATAGCCGGACGGGTATTTGCGAAAATCTAACTTCGTGCGAGATCAAGATCTTGGTGAGCCCTCAGGGTGTTTGTAGGAACGGTGGCAGATGCGCGGCTTGGGCGGGAACAGATGTACATTGATTCAAGCAACCCGCTGTGTATAAGCTACCATTCTTGGCTAGTGTGCTTTTCGTGACCCAGTTGACTGTATCGTTCTCGTATACTGCTATCCGCCCCCCACCCAATTCAAAGAATCCTAACCCCCATCCTCCTGAGCATCAACCCAAACCCCCACCGCTCCCTTATCCGCCCTCAACCCCTCCGTCGGCAGCACCTTCAGCACCTTCCCAAAATACCGATCCACGACCCTTAGCTGCGGACTAATCCACGCGCCCCTAACCAACGGCAGAATCCTGAACTTCACATCCTGCCTGCTCATCGGCAGCAACTGTACCGCGCCCGCCTTGGGCCCACTAAACGCAAACTCTTCGCTCGCTTCCATCGTCAGTTCGAAGGCTAGGAAATGCATGGTCGGGTTCTCGAGAGTGTAGCTGAGGGTGATGAGCGGTGGCGTTTGTGAGGTTGCTGTTGCTGTGGGAGGGGACTGGGTCGCGGTGCATAGGACGCGGGGTTCGCTGCTGGGCACGACGAAGCGGGGACATGGTTTGCTACTTGTGATGGACGCGCCGCCGGTCTTCCTGCGCCATTTGATGTCTAGATGTAGGTCTAGGGACACGGGGCGTCGGTCTTCAAGTGTTAGCTTCCGGACCTCGAGGCTGAAGTTGTATTCTCGCAGCTCTTGCTGCGGAATCACAGTGTCGGTGTTTGCAGGGGATTCCTTGGAGATGGCGCAGATGGCACCGCCGTTCACGGCCTGCAGGACAAGGGACAGGTCCTCGACTACCAGGTCCTCTTCAGCGAAGTTCTCGAGGCGGGCGGTCGCGAGCCAGATTTGCGCGATGCCGACGGCGGTATCAATAGATGCTTCTGCAGGAGCCTCGAGAGATTGCTTCTCGTCTACGTGGAAGAAGCTAGGCCATAGATCTGGGTGGACGCGTGGGGAGAAGTCGTATGCTGCTTCCCAGGGATCCGCGAAGAAGAAATCGGTGGTCAGGGTCTTGGATATAGGGGTTTCGAGATCGGTGATGAGGTGGTAGAGGACTTTGATCTCGAGGGTGTATTCTGCGGGATCGGGCGGTGTTCTGAAGGTGATGGATTGCGTGCATCTCGCTGCAGAAGAGATTTTTCCAACCTGATGGCCGGGCAGGTCGATCTCTGAGTTGGCATTATCCGCCTGCTCCGCTGATCCGTTGCCCTGTTCGGCCTCTTCCATTATCTTCCAAGAGAAGGCCAGCGTGGACTCTACGCGACCAAAGAAACGTACTTCAAGCACAGCCTCGGTCTCTTCCTCTTCTCCATTGAATATCTCAATGTCGAGCGTGACCAGTTCGTCAGTATAATATGCTTTCTGCAGGTTTGGCAGGAATATCTGCATCTTCGGAGGCTTGGGCAGTATCTTTGTCGATGCGGCAGCCGCTGCCCTCAGACGCTTCGTCTTCAGGAGATTACGAGCGGTGTACCACCAGACTGGCATGGTCTCTGGTCCTTCCACAGCGGATGTGTATGTAAGCACGAAGCGTTCCGCCTCAACGATGAACGTGCTGTCAACTGCACCAACATCGCCGGCTTCTTTAAAGTTGATTGCGAAAACAAAGACCTTGGTCTGCCCGGGGTAAAAAGTCAAATCGGCATTGCCAGCAAGCCGTGAAGGTATCTTCGATATCGCTGAGTCTATGTTTTCCTGTAGGTCAACTTCGACCATAGAAAATCTCTTCCCAGGACTCGAAGGCGGTCCAGAAGGGCTCGGCTTGTGACTGATTCGGATTTCTTCAAGCGATCCTGTAAGCCCCACCTTTACCGCCGACAGAACTACGGGTGCTGAGCTTCGCTGAGCTCTGGATTGGAATACGAGCTGTGCACGCAACGGCTCTCCTACATGACCCTCATCGTGTGCGAACGTGAAAGAGGTGGAGACTGGACCGCATCAGCAATTGCCTGCATCACAGATTGAGATATACTCACGAGGCGACAGGGTGCTTTTGGATGTGAGCGAAACCTCGACTTTGTCCTTTGGCTGGCCAGCCACGGAACTGAGGCATGACATCAGGTTGTACTGGTGGCTGGAAGAAGTGTTTATGACTGCCAACAACGTTAGAGCGATACAGCCACTCGTACTGACCCAACCGCTTACGTTCACTATGCAACTCCCACTCGGTTGCGACGATGGTCTTCGCTTCTTGTAACCGCACTGCACATTCGTGTAATGCCCAAGTAACTTGAGAAGCAAGACTCCACCATCGCTCGGCACGCCAACTCATGCCTTCCCAGAGCGGTGTCAGCACGTTCAATGCATTGCTGTATCTGCCAGCATGCATAAACGCCTTGCCGGTGTCTAGCTGGAGCCTGTCGACAGCGCGTTGCTGTCCTCTTGCATAGAACTCGTTGATGGCCTCGTTGAGCGTATCGACTATCTGGCTAGTATGGTCGAAGCCTTTCTTACTGCTGTTAGGAAGTGGGATTTCCTCATGAGGCTCTGGAACAAGGTAGGTGTCGTACGTGCCATATCTGTTGACGACTTGATGAGCTGGCGACTGGCCTGGTGATGTGCGGTCTTCCTCTGGGATCTCTTCTGCTATGTCGCGCCTAGCAATAGCGTGCCTAGCGGACAGGCTCAGCCAATATCCCGCGTGGTGCAATAGGTGCCACGGAGGTAGTCGCTCTCCGACGGGGATGGACTTCTCCGCTGGCATGAAGAGCACATTTTCTCCACCCGGCACGACATCAGGATCCCTAATCGGCTCTGATATAGCGAATGGAGGCAGCTCGACCTTCTGGATGGTCTCCGCCATGACTCTGGCCCAGCGCGACTCCCAGGCTTGCCAACCATAGTTCCCAGATCCTTTACCACGGCGGTCTATGAGGTCCCGCATTCTGTCCCGGTAATTCACCCACGACTGGATAGCAGATGTAGGCAGATTGTTCCATAAAAGACAGCGTAAAATGCGCATCGCGGTGGTATCTGCCAGCAGGCGCGCCTCGTCCCACCTTGGCGACCAACTGGCCGTCGTTTCGAAGACGCCATCTGGGCCCAACAGCGCATCGAGTGCAAAGCTGTAGTGCCTGCCCGCAGCGTCCATTTCCTGGCGGAACTCTGCGAATACGCCAAGCTTGTACTCGTACCGTGCGCCCCATCCTTGGCTTGAGAGCGTTTGTGATGTACCCCGTGTTGGCGGAGCCGTCGGTGGTGGTATCTGACCACGGCCTTTCTTTCGTCTTGCATGCTTGGTGAGATCCCGGTAATACTCTACACAGAGAGGCTGCAATGCTGTTAAAACGCTGTGCACGAACGAAGCAACCTCCACACGTGACGTATCTGGAGGTAGAAAAAACAAGGAGTTCTTCGGGTCTAAACCGGTAGCCCGTCTGATATTACCGAGGCGCTCTTCAATGTCGGGCGCCTGAAGAATGGTCTTATCGCTGAGGAGGACAACTGCATAGCGTGTCTTGTAGCCAGAATTAGTAAGGATTCCCTTGATGCGGTTAACTTCGCTCTTTAGCTGGTTGTCGTGGAGACTGTTCCGGCTGGGATCAGAAGCGAAGTCGAAGAACGATATGAGCGTCGCGGGAATGTGGTGTTGGTGCTTCGCAACCCACAGGGGCGTCATAACGCCATCTGGGAAGATAGGCGAGTCTGGTGATAGCGGAGAGATGGGAGAGTGCAGGATCCATGCTGGTGCTCCGCCACCTGAAGAAGTAGTCATTGGGGAGGACAGATCCGGCGAAATAGACGGTGGATTAGCCTTTCGTGCTGGTAAGGTGTATTCCTTTACAGCTATCAGTATTTAGGCTATTACTCATCGGTGCAGAGGCGTCTGACCTACCCTCCCAACAGCCCTCACTCTGAAGCCTGTAAGATTGCCCCTGCTCTTGACTGGTCTGCTGTTCCATGGTGCGTCGCTTGCGTCGGTTTTGAGGAACTCCTGTAGCAACTGCTCGGCGCGCTCCCCAGTGACTGTGGGTATTTCTGAATCTATCGGCGTTCCGTTCACTTGAAGGAGACGGTGCGCAGAGGGATTGCCCTCTAGCCGCGACTCATCCCCTAGGCCAGAGAGCACTACTAGGGGGAGGTTGTGCGCAATATAGTCAGGCGGATATGCGTCCATGTTGAGGGGGTTTCTATGGGTCCACTGCCGCAGGAGCTGGTTACAATAGCGCCGCAGCCTCATTCATAGGTATATATCCAGATCCTGTGAGTAGCTTCATCCTCGCCGTTTTCTTGGCCAACCTTCCTTATCCCCCTAGCGGCGCTTTGTGGTTGCAGATATTGATGTAGAATACAAGTACCTAGGTAGGTATCAATGTCACGCTTAGGTTGTTCGACAAGCTCCACCGGCTTGGCATTTTGACGTAGGAAGCTTCTGAAACATCCCACCTTCACAATTTTTGAAAAAATTGTCCAGGACACGACACATATCCACGACGCATACAAAGCAATACTCTGTCTGCCGGTCGCCGCAATCAATTTAACTCAGCGACTCGCGTCCAAACAACCCCCGCTGCGCAGCGTCACCTCACCCGGCCTCACCCGGCCTCTCCCACAACTCGACAACCCGCCCTTTACGAGCACCGTGTCCTGCACGACCACCATGGCCGAAACCACACCCTCCGCAGCGCAACCAGCACCCCCCTCCGGCTCTGATCAGCCGGTCGCCATCGTCTGCGTCGGCATGGCCGGCTCGGGCAAGACGACCTTCATGCAGCGCATAAATTCGTACCTCCACTCCAAGCGCACACCCCCCTACGTCCTGAACCTCGACCCGGCAGTACGAACCGTGCCTTTTGACTCCAACATCGACATCCGGGACAGCGTGAACTACAAGGAGGTCATGAAGCAGTACAACTTGGGGCCGAACGGCGGGATCCTTACGAGTCTGAACCTCTTCGCTACCAAAATCGATCAGATACTGGGGTTGCTGGAGAAGCGATGCGGGCCGCCGACGCAGGAGGAGAAGGCGGCGGGGAAGAAAGGTATACAGAACATACTGGTGGATACGCCCGGGCAGATTGAGGTGTTTGTGTGGTCTGCGTCGGGCGACATCCTGCTCTCTTCTATCGCGTCCTCGTTTCCCACGGTTATTGCGTACATCATTGACACGCCTCGTACGGCCAGTACCTCGACCTTCATGTCAAACATGCTGTATGCGTGCAGCATACTGTACAAGACGAAGCTGCCTATGATCCTGGTCTTCAACAAGACGGACGTCAAGGATGCAGAGTTTGCCAAGGAATGGATGACGGACTTCGAAGCGTTTCAGGCAGCGTTGCGGCAAGAGCAGGAGACCGGCAGCTATGGTGGGGCTGAAGGAGGCGAGGCGGGAGTATCCGGACTGGGTGGGGGAAGTGGGTATATGGGCAGCCTGCTGAACAGCATGTCTCTGATGCTGGAGGAGTTCTACAGTCATCTGAGTGTAGTGGGTGTGAGTAGCATGACTGGTCAGGGCGTCGACGAGTTCTTTGAGGCGGTGCAGGAGAAGAAGGCGGAGTTCCTAAGGGACTACAGGCCCGAGCTCGAGAGGCGGCAGAAGGAGAGGGAGAAGGAGAAGGAGACAAGGAGGGAGAAGGAGCTGGACAGGCTGATGAAGGATATGGCTGTTGGCGGGTCCAAGAAGAGGTCGGGTCAGAAAGAGGAACCAGAGACCATAAGTGATTTGGAGGATGAGGACGAGGATGATGCCGGAGGGGAGATGCTGGAGCCGGATGATGTGGATCCTGATGCCGAGGACACTGACGACAAGATCAGTGGGCTGCAGGACAGATATAAGACAGCTATGAAGGGTCAAGGCGGACCAACAGAGGACGACTACAGCTTTGCAAGATACGTACGCTCTGCGAATGTCGGCTGATGACGAATCGGAGGGACTTCATGCTTCGCTCGCCTCCGAAGCAACACCTTGGAGGTGGTCCACTGAAGTGGAGAGCTTGGCCGATCGGGCGAGAAGAGTATTTACTCCCAAAGAGCAAAGCAAGCCACGAGCAACCAACACTAGCCGTCTCAAGGACTCTCCGTCCGCCGCTGGACAGCCTCCTCTCGTTTTTCTAGATTGGAAGAGGGCCTTTAACGATCAGCCTGGGCTCATGTTCGCCGACCAAGGCTTGGACTAATGGCATGGTTGCTCCCGAAGTGGCTATTCCTGCCGTCAAAGCTGTCAAGAGTCCGCTGCACGTAGTAGGAAGTGAGAGGGGTTAGAATGTCGTACTAGTTCGAACTGAAATACCCGGTGGAATCCGCATGCCTGGTCGTGCCGCTTGGGGAGTTGGAGATGCCGAAGTATGTAGTTCATATATTCTGATGAAGTTGAGTTCTCATGCAGTAGACTAAGCGGCTCTGTGGCACGTTTAACTTTCCTTTCCATTATATCACCCGTATGAGGGCAGTGGTAGTGTTTTGGATTATGTCAACCCCACCTGAGATACATCATACGACAGCTCAACACAATGACAGCTGCGATGCCGAACAAAAGTGCCCGCCTCCCAGTGAAGAAGGGCCGGCGATGTAAAGTGGGCTATCGAGCGTCAGAAAGCGGGCTTAGACCCGGACTCTGCAAGTAAAGCCTGCTACAGCTTAGACCCAGGACTTACACCATGCTCTTGCCGTCGACTATCCCTCCACCAAAGCGACATAATCCCCTTTTCCGACGGAGCGCTTCCCTCAGGATAGCTACGCTGGTCTGATTTTGGTATCTTAACCGCCGCTATCGATCTGATCGAGAGCGCGAAATCGCCTTCCTGCTCCCCGAAGAAACTATAAACGTGTCAGTTTCCTCTACACATGCGGGAAGGATTGTTTGAAACTCTTACCTCCTCATCATCACGCTCAAGCGTTTGATGTTACTGGTATCTAGAGGCGCCGCATCGTGCTTCTCTTTGCCTCTGTAGGTAGCCTTCAACTCATCCCATGGCATCAGGATCTTTGTCCGATTACTACTGCTACTATGATCCTCCCTATCCTTCTTGAGCTGGAAATCATACTCGTAGGAGATAGTAGACTGCTCCCTGCCGTTCTCAGGGTTCTTTGGTAGCAGCCTGTCCTTGAGAATGAACGTATACCGTTTTGCTACAGTACAAGCAGCGTTAGTTACGCGAAACTGCTTAATAGCTTGCCTCTCTTCTTGGAGGTTGGTGGGACATACAGTCAGCATTCTCAACGTTAAGCTCGATCCCATCATAAGCGGAAAGGTCCCAGGAACGGTCTTCGCCCGTGGTCCGCTGGCTTGCGAAACCGGCGCCTCCGAGGGTCTTTATGTCGAGCGTGCCGTGGAAGCGGGCGGTGGGCAAGGAGCTACTGCATGTCAAGTATGACTGTAAGGCGGTCAGTCTTCCGGAATATGAAAGAGGTTATGATCGGAAGACGTACTTGAGAACTACCGCCGCGTACGCGGTCGTCGCTGGATGTCCAGTCGGTCGGGTTCCATGCTCTTTGTGGAGCCTGTTAATAATGCTGTTGCAGAGGATATTTGATGATACTCACTTGGACCCTCCAAAGAGGAACATCTCTGTTTCAGCCATAGACGGTAAGATTGACGAGGTTTGTTAGAAGATCCAATTAAGGTGTGGATCTTTGCGGGATGTCGGATTGTGCTTATGGTTTGGTAGAGTTTCATGTGACGTCTAGAAGTCGAGACGGCACCATTTGGGGTTGTCCCTCGTCATCGGCCACCCTCATAAGTAATTGAACAAAATAATGTGATAAACATATACGACCCTTAGGACAACAGACTTAATATCTGCTGAGAGCAGGTACCTAGCGGGCACGGATAATGGAACAAGTACAAGCAGGAGATGAGCAACTCCTGCAGGAAGAGTACAAGCCATGGTACAATTTTCTATTCTCAAGGCCCGTTCTCGTCCATCAGTATGGCATCTAGTCTCTGTACCTTCCATTTAAGATGACTAAGATCAGGCTACAGAAACAATAGCTACGATCGACTGGTCTTCCTCGAGCGACCTCTTCTCGGTCCGCTCCTCTTCGAGAATGAATCCTCCGATGCAAGAGACCACTGCGCGAACGAAAGAAGTAAATCCACATCAACCTTAGTCCTGATCTTGGATCAGACCCAGAAGTACTAATATCTCAATAGCATTCCTATCATGGCTCCGTCTCTCAATCTATATGGCCGTCGTCGCCGCCGCCATCATGATCTCCTTTCACCTCAAGCATGAACCATCACCCATTGAGCTGAAGCTCGCGCTTCCGTTCGGCATCGTCTTCTGGTTTCTTGCCCTCGCTTGCTTGGTCAACGGGTTCGCGAATTACCTCAAGACTGTCACGCACTATAGCCGGAGAGCAGCACTGGTGCAGTCGGGTTGGAAGACTCAAGTTGTACGCATCTTCCCATGCTCAAGATGACGGCTTCAATAGATAGTGCTATGCTAACTGCTGTGAACTGCTGCAGATCTTTACTGTTGTTGCTACGGCTATCGTGGCGGCTTGCGTTCTCTTCCTGTCGACGAACGCTTCAAGCCGGTAGTAAATGGGGTGACTCAGCTCTCGCACACGTGTGCTCGTTCGTGGGCTTCCCTGATACCGAGTAACACCGGTCTGACAAAGCTCCTACCGGTGATCGCTCGCCTCTCTGTTCCTTACAAACCATTTCCTGTATTCCCCTCACGTGACCGCTCTCCTATTTCATGTATCCAAAATCGCCCACGTCAAATCATCAACAGTCGTATAAATCTTCCCCAGCGCCAACAACTCATCACTCCCCTTTCCGACCTCCGCCATATCCATGCGTCCCCTCCCCGCGATGTCCTGCATATGCAGGCCCTCGTTACTCTGCGGTGAGTTCTTCAGCACCTCATACACCTTCCTCGCAGCGGCCGACGTGCCATTCGGCAGCGGCTCAAACGCGCCCATCCCTTGGTTCCCATACCCAATCTGTTGCTGCCCGCCGTACGCCACAGCACCCTGGCCCCCCTTGCCCGCAGCCGCGTCCGGCGGGCCCCGCGTAAAGTATAGATGCACGACTGTGGCCTCGAGCAGGTGGTACGAGATCTCGTTGTAGTCTGCTATCGGGCGTATGACGTGCGCGCCGACATGGCGGCGGTTGTTGAAGTCCTTGATCTTGCCCCACACGCGCACGTAGGCGTTGTCGACGATCTTGGGCTTTGAGGTGTCACCGCCATCGAGGGGGCTGGGCGCGTCTGAGTCGATCCATTGCTTCACTTCCAGCGTGCCGGTGCCGTCGTCGAGCTTGTAGGTCACGTTTGTGGTTTGGGTGGAGATATTGCGGACTTGGCCGATGAGGGTGATCTATGGGGGCGTGTATGTGAGGAGGTGCTGTGGGCTGTGGGCTGTGTGGTGCGCAGAGGGCTTACCTGCGTTATCCGCGAGCCGTCGAGGCTGAACTCGGAATCGGGCTTCTGCTCTGCGTCTAGCACTTGCTTGATCGTGACCGGTCGTAGTGTCTCGTTGCCGTATTCCTGAATGCGACCGCATGTCAGTCTGTACTGCGGTGCTGCGTCGAGATTGCTTGTGCCCGTACCCTAGTTGCGCCGCTGGGACTGTTCTGGCTGCCGCCGGGTATGAAGCCACCTCCTCCTGTGCCACCCTGCGCGCCATACGACGTCATGGTGTATTGATTGCCGTAATCTAGCATCGTCAGCTATGATGCCAGAGCCACTGATGCGCACGCTGCATACCCATGACTGTCCGAGGCGATGGTACGCCTATACGGAGCAGACGGGATGTGCCTGAAGCTGCTGGTTTGAATGGAGCTCAAATGCTTCTCAGGATCAGGATCCTATGGATGTCCTTTTTGGCCGCTTTGAGATAGTTTAGATCTAAATGGGTGATCTTAGAAGACAACGCGACGGTCAACTTTTCCCCCAGGCGGACGCGTTGAGGTGTTTGCCCCGCGTTTCTCGCCGAAGCACGTGCCAGCTCTTTGATAAACCCTGACGCCAAGATTTCGCGGATCAAGGAATTTTGAACCTGCTACAGCAAAAGTGTGCACTCTCCGCCGCACGCCTGACGGAACAGATTATCTACAATGCCGCATAGAGCGCCCTCACCGGCCGCTTCAGAGAACGAATTCGACATCTCAAAGGCCCTGCTCGACGACGGAGCCGGCAGCAGCGAGGACAGACTTGGCAATGTCAGCGGCAAAAGAAGAGCTAGTGACCGTCAGAATGTGGGACTGATGCAAGAGCTGGACGACGAAGAACAAGATGGAGGGGACACCTATGCGATCAGCACCGCGCAACAGGCCGCAAACCGAAAAGCGTCGAACCTCAAGGGCAACACTGTGAAGAAGGGCGGCGGCTTCCAGGCTATGGGTCTCAACGGAACGTTGCTGAAGGCTATCACAAGGAAGGGCTTCTCTGTGCCCACGCCTATTCAGCGCAAGACAATTCCGTTGCTGCTCGATGGCCAGGACGTTGTGGGCATGGCGCGGACGGGATCCGGCAAGACTGCGGCTTTTGTGATTCCGGTGATAGAGAAGCTCAAGAGCCACAGCGCAAAAGTGGGAGCGAGGGCCCTGATATTGTCACCATCGAGAGAGCTTGCACTCCAGACGCTGAAGGTGGTTAAAGAGCTTGGGCGCGGTACGGACCTCAAGACTGTGTTGGTGGTAGGCGGTGACCCGCTCGAGGAGCAGTTCAGAGAGATGACAATGGGTAACCCCGACGTGGTTATCGCAACACCGGGAAGGTTCGTTCATGTCAAGACTGAGATGAGGCTGGATCTGTCCTCAATCCAATACATTGTTTTCGATGAGGCCGACCGCCTGTTTGAGATGGGTTTTGCGGCCCAGCTCACGGAGATCCTTCATGCGTTACCGACCTCACGACAGACGTTGCTCTTCTCTGCGACACTGCCTAAATCGCTTGTTGAGTTTGCCAGGGCTGGCCTGCAAGAACCGAAGCTTGTCAGACTCGACGCCGAGAGCAAGATCTCGCCGGATCTTGAGAGCGCCTTTTTCACGGTGAAGAGTGCTGAAAAAGAAGGTGCTTTGCTTCATATACTCCGGGATATCATCAAAATGCCTCTTGGTGAGACTGAAGCCGCACGGAAGGCGAAAGAACAGTTGAAGAGCAATAGCAAGAAGCGGAAGCGGGATGCCGAAGGCCCTGGCGCCAAGGAAGCTCCGACTCCAGTCTCGACAAGTAAGCACATCACACGCACAGCCAAAAAGAAGTGACAGGATGCTAATAGCTCCCTAGTCGTATTCACTGCCACAAAACATCACGTTGAATATCTGGCGAGCCTTCTTCGCTCCTCCGGATACGCAGTCTCCTACGTCTATGGATCACTGGATCAGACAGCCCGGAAGATGCAAGTGCAGGACTTCCGGACCGGTATGACGAACATCCTCGTGGTTACAGACGTTGCAGCGCGCGGTATAGATATACCAGTGCTTGCTAACGTTATCAACTACGACTTCCCTTCGCAGCCGAAGATCTTCGTTCATCGCGTTGGTAGGACCGCGCGAGCAGGCATGAAAGGCTGGAGCTACTCTCTAGTGAGAGACGCGGACATCCCCTATCTACTCGACCTGCAGCTGTTCCTGAGCAAAAGATTGGTACTTGGCAGAGCAGCGACGGACTCAGTGAGTTTTGCTGAGGACGTGGTGGCAGGCAGTCTGGTTCGCGATAAGATGGAACGAAGCTGCGAGTGGGTCACGAAGCTGCTCACCGAGGACGACGACCTTGAGGCACTTCGTACAGTGGCCGCCAAGGGTGAAAAGTTATACATGAGGACTCGTAATGCTGCATCAAGTGAAAGCGTCAAGCGAGCGAAAGAGGTCATGGCCGGTCCAGGTATTGCAGAGTTGAACCTGTTGTTCAACGATAACGTGGATTTTGTGCAGCTAGAGAGAGAACGGATGCTGGCACAGGTGAGCGGCTTCCGACCCGCTGAGACAGTGTTTGAAATCGGGAAGCGTGGAAGCAACAAATCCGAGGCGGCAGAGATTATGAGAAAGAGGAGGGAGAAGGTTGACCCACAGAGACGCCAGGATGCGAAGGATCGCGCCGCCATCGATGTTTCAGCTGATAGCGTCCCTGTTGTCTACGGGGAGGCGGACCAGGACGCCGATGTAGACGCCGACGGTGCTGCGCAACTCGATCTCGATCCGGCCTCGGAAGATGAGCTTGAGGTAACGTTTTCTCAGCCTTCGTCACGCCAGGGAAAAGTGTCCGACTCATGGGAGGATTCGGAGAATTTCATGTCGTACGTGCCAAGGTCGTTGAACATGGCTGAAGACCGGGGGTACGGCGTGCATTCCGGAGGAGAAAAAGCTAGTCACGGCTCGAATTTCGTGGAAGCGGCGCGTGGTGTAACAATGGACCTGAACAACGATGACTCGAAGGGTTTCGGCGAGCCAAGCAAGGCGCGTGGCATGCGATGGGATAAGAAGAGCAAGAAGTACGTTGCACGTGCGAATGACGAGGATGGATCAAAGGGAGCCAAGATGGTGCGAGGAGAAAGTGGCCAAAAGATCGCTGCAAGCTTCCGTAGCGGGCGCTTCGACGCGTGGAAGAAGTCGAACAAGATTGACCGACTACCACGTACAGGAGAGATGGAGACGCCATCCAACAACTTCGACCGCGGCAGGCGCTACAAACACAAAGCCGAGAAGGCACCCAAGGAAGCGGATAAATTCCGTGACGACTACTACAAGAGGAAGAAAAAGGTAGAAAGTGCAAGGGAGAAGCGTATTGGCAAGTTCAAGGATGGCGGAGCCAAGAACGAGCTGAGAGGTGTGGACGACGTCCGTAAGCAGAGACAGTTGAAGGAGAAGCGGAAGGAGAAGAACGCCAGGCCAATCAAGAAGAGGAAGTTTTGAGGAGGCTGTCCATCCATGTGTGTCTAGCCCGCTCACGAGAATAAGACGCGTGGGGGCCCTCGGGACCTCGCGATATGTGAGGGACAGGGGAATGCTAGAAGGTTCTGTTTGGGCTAACAGTCAAGTAAGGCGCTTCCATGTGCATCAAAATTACCCTATATACCTTAGCCTCAGGCGAAGTCGCCCTGCATCATCACGAGTACCCTCTCCACTTAGCATTGTGCGTGTCGTCCATTCTTAGCCCATATATCTAAGCAGACATTGTGCTGCAGCCAGAATGATCTGGGAGCCGACGATAGGTGAGGTTTGTGTAAGTGGCTGTGGCGCGTCTGTAGTGCGTTCCTTGCTCCCGCGAAGTCACGTGATTCTCAACACGGATGCGGCGGCTCAAAGGCCGCTGCCGCAAAGCTTCCATGACCGTTCGAGCTCTCCCGCCTGTGAACTTCCTTTTTATTTCCCGAAGCGGCTGAGACCCTTCGTCGTTGCCACAAGGACGGGCTCATCGTTTGCTACTACTTGTAACGTTGCGCCCGCTCACGCACATAGCCGTTTAGCCTCTGTCAGGGATTCCCTGTCGCCCGCCTCGGGACAGCCGCTCGGTGCAGGCGGCTCATCAGCGCAAGCATCCTCTCACTTGCCTAGCTAGGAGTACGTGTGACCCGAGATCATAGGACTCTAATTCTACAACTGCTGGCGGTCATTAGACTTTCAGACGGAGATCGAATACTCCGTAGCTAAGTGGCTAAGGCTGCTGCGAAGCAGCGACATAGCCTCAGGCAACGATCAACTTGCTCCTGCTGCTAGTTCGCGGGGCTCGATAGTACTTACCTAAGTACTTAAGGAAGTGGGCGAATCTAGCCACTGCAGGAACAATCTCCGGAGCAGTAATCTGCGGCGGAGGTCGATCAACCGAGAATGTCCTAAAGAAATACCGCCCATAGCCGAGAAAAGCGAGGATCGAATCGGCCAAGGAGCGACTGCGCTTGGGATTTGCCTACCCGGAGCATCCAACAGCTAGGTTGCTGGGGCTGGCGCTGAACCTGGGGCAGCGTCGATCGGGCTGTGGGTGGATCAAGTACCGGCACATTGAGAAGCGACATTCACATTCTTCGACCGCACGTCTAGCTCCCGGCAGGCGACAATCACTAATGCCAGCCGTTAGTATTCACAATACTCGACGGGGTGTCTTCAGGCGCTTGTGGGCGCAGCCATCAGACACCAGCGACTCCCCAAGCCTTCCGCGGCGTCTACGCGAGCGGCCGTGCTCTGCCCTAACTTAAGCTTCCGGTCCGGTGGAATGGCGCCTCGCTCCTGCACGTGCGTGTAGAGATGTGCAGCGCAGGTCTGCGGAAGCCGGGACACTCCATTTCGGACGTCGATGACCGCCTCACCACAGGCGGCCGCCATTGCCTGGATGTTCGCAGATTACTCCGCCAGGAGTTCGCGTCCTTTCTCGAGGAGGTCTCATGAATGTGTATCAAGTTCTACGAGGATTTTCCGCGGCCATGCCAGCGAGTTTTCTCACCATTTTGTCCATATCTGTACATGTGGTCCCTGCGCTTAGATCTTAGCCTCGCCCCGGCCACCTGCTTTGTTCACCGGCCCGCTCGAGCTCCGTAACAATAGGGCTTTTTACAGGCATCCCATGCCACGCTACGCGCGGCCCGGGTATGTACGTACATGTGCACTTGGTTCGGTTCCATCCTGGCGGCCCGCCTGTCACCTCATGCTTCCAAGCTTCCAGCCAGCGGCCTTGTGGCCATCCGCAATGCTAACAACCCTATCTGTCATAAAGGTTGCGCCTGTTAAACGCCACACACACTGCGTCTTCCCTGCCACAGAGTGAGGGATTGATCTCATAGAAGCGGCTTCTCTTACTCACAGGTGTATTTGAACGCTGTACCTGGACAACGCTGCGTCACATGCGCAGCTTCTTTGCGCTGGCCCCGTTGCAAGGCTCTTACTCCCGTCCGGCCTACACAAAGGTTGGGTTATCTCCGCCTCGCTCATCGGAAGTTTTGCTGATGCCGGAGCCGTTGCGAGATCCATCGGTCGAACACCGCCGACGTCAAAGCCTCGGCGTGACGGCATGACCCGTGTCGTGACTTCATTCCTCAGACGATGATGAAGGTACCCTTCATTTTTTACGTCACCGTTAGGTAGAAGGATAACTCTCATGCTGCAGCCGGCGTACATGGAAACGCACCATTGGCATGTGGACTCACAGCGCTGTGTCGCGACTTGTAGGAGGTTCCGCTGTTGCGTGCGGCTTTCTTCTGGCCTGGGGAGCTGGCTGATGTTTTGCACTCGATCTGACCAAGCAAGTGGCCCCGGCAGTGATTTGCAACTCTCTCTGGTCCCAGCGTGCATTTGCACCGTCAGCGGGCTTATATCGCGGTCTACAATAGCATGCTGTGCCACAGTACCATGTGGCTTCGTCGAACAAAGCAGAGCACTGCAGGCGCACAGTTTTTGTGGTCGGCGAGACTGCTGGCAGCGAATATGCAACATGGCGAGCGGCTATTGCCGCTCCCGGCTATTAGGGCATCTATGCCTCATGACAGATCGACCTCTTACATCGTCGAGAGCGCATGCCCACGAGGGCGACCAAACTGGGGGCTTTTCTCCAGCCAAGGGAATTGTTCGATGTTGGAGGCGGTGGGGCTATTGGGATAGCAAGAAGTAGCTGTTCTCCAATACTATCTATATCGAGAGATGGCCGCTGAGTGGTGCCGCGGACGTGGAGAGACCCTTTTTGAGAACGAGCAACAAGGCCAGTCCAATAAGCAGCCTAGCCCCGGTCCCGCGGGCCCTGTCAGTCGGCAGCCACATTTGCAACTCGCTGCCATACCTGACTTAGCATCTCGCAACTGATTCGCTCCCGTGGGGCGGCGAACCAGAGGCAAAAAGAAACAACAGAGTACCTCACGATCGCCTGCAAATAAAGCAAGGTCGAATGCTGATTGGCACGGGTTGAAAATCCGTCGTCGGCTAGGGCTATCAAGTTGCCAGCGCCCATGCAAAAGCGCTTGTTCGGCCGCCAGCCACCATTTCCTGCCTCACACGCAAGCTTCTGCCCTACTGTACTCCGGACTGTGGTGCCACACCTGAAAAAACTCACGTTAAACACCCATTGCGCTCTGGCAGCGAACGATCAGCCGAACGGCGCTCTCCGTTAGCATCGCGCACGTCACAGTGGCGTTGACACCTTGAACCGGCGCGGGAATGATCCCATCCCATGGCTAACTCTCGTATGCAGGCGGTGACAGGGGTTGTTGGATAGGCAGTCTATGTACCAGATGTACCCAGATGCTCCCTCCCCGAAAGCTTGGTACTACTACCTAGATAGTCCCCACCCAGCATGAGCTCGCTTACGGCCCTTCAGTTGCCTCTCTCAATCGCCCACCCCACAGCAGAGCCCACGAGCGTTCGGTTAAACGTCTTTCGAACCCCTTGGTCGTGAGGCGGAGGGTCCTGCATCGCAGCCTACTAGTTGAATCGTCTGTCTTTACCGCCGCACCTCAAACATCTCTGTTCTCTGAGTGCAATCTGCTGAGAGCGTCCGGACCCGCCCAGCGATCTTAATCCCCCGTCTAGACCCTGCGAACACTGCTCTCGAGGCAGTCCTGCACTTGTGCTGTGACGTCCGGAGTACGATCGTTGTGTTTCGTTACCCTTGACACACAAGACGTTGAACTCCTGGCTCTCAGGTCCACCAACGGCGTTTCTTCTTTCTAACCCATCACTAGGTATGCGCGGGAGGCTAGTCCACACGACATAACAGGCACTGGGAACTCATACCTGTTCGAGGCCTACTACGAGCCACCGACGGCTGGAGGCATCTCTCGTCGTTGCAAAAATAAAACGCCGGAAAAGTTATGCATCTTCTGGATAGGCCATCCTGCTCCACTTGTCCTCATAAGCCATCTGGGCGGACCTAGCGAACCTCGCAGTGGGTTAGCTCAGACAACCTTAGCTAGCGCCGCGGAATTACCTATCCCCCCATGTCAGACTCACACTCAACCCCTCGACGGTCACCCGGGGACCAGCTGGAAGACTATCAGACAGCTGATCAAGACAGAGGACGAAACCCGGAACCATCTGAGCGCAGAGACGTTGGTGGCGAGCCCGGCGGTAGACTCGTGGTTTCCAGTGCGCCGACGCACCTTCCGCAGCGCGCGATCGCAGAGGCTCAGGTTAGGGCGCCGTATGGATTTCATCAACAGCAGCAGCAACAGCCTTCCGCCTCTGCCGAAGCATCGTACCAGGGCTATGCTTTTCTACAACCACACTCCTATCCACCCTATCCCGGTGGGCAAGCCGAACTTGTCGGCGGACAGCTCCCTGGTGCTCAATCTCAGCCGGCGGCATTCGCGAGTACAACACCATTTCAACCGAACAGGCATGCGCGTAGGACCAAGGCCCACGTACCTTCTGCGTGCCTGAATTGTAAACGTGCGCATTTGAGCTGCGACGTGCAAAGACCGTGCCCTCGGTGTGTGGCGTCTGGGAAGCAGGTAGGATGACTCACAAGCAGAGTCTGGATGCATGATGCAAGGTAGGCTGACTATGTTTTGACTGCTAGGACTCCTGCTATGATGTCCAGCATAAGAAACGGGGGCGGCCAAGGCTGCGGGATGATCGGGATGCCACGACGCAGGACGCAGAAATCGCTAGGCAGCAGTCTGGAACACCATATTCGCCGACTTCAACAGAAGAGTCCTCCGATCCCAACCGCCGTAGGAGGACCGACTCACTACGTACTTTGCGAGCAAGTGAGAGCGTTGCAGCAGGGGAAGCGACACGTGCTCAGCAGGAGAATAGCCCTCTGATCGCGACAGGACCTCCGGGTATTGACAGCCTTAATGCTCCGTTCCATCCTCGGTCGGAAGGTGCTGCTGCTGCCGCCGTGCGCCCGGTCGTGTTCCTCAATCTGGATCTTATCATACTGAAGTCTAACCAGGCCTTCCGAGAAGTGCTTGCCAATGGGAGGGAAGTCGTGGGACAGGACCTTATGACGATGTTAGATATTGGCCATGCGAACGACATACAGCGGTTGAGGCAACATCTTCGAGAGGAGAAAGAAGACAAAGATCCAACCTACATGCCTCCTATCAACTCAGGTGGCCAGAACGAGCAGGAAGCTCAGCAACAAGCAGTTCGGCATGTCACAGACCTCAATTTCGAATCATATAGCCAGGATTACGATCTCCGACATCAATATCTGAGGTTCAGACTTCCGGACGGGCAGTTGGTAGCGCTCGACGTTCTGTTCCGTCTCGCTAGGACGTCTCTCTTCTTCGTCACACTCGCGCTCCCACCCATTGAACGCCGCAACTTGCCGGTGTTTGAGCCGCCTATCCCGTCACGCCCCAGGCCATTACCGCCAACTCCCACAGCGTCCGGCTCAGCGGCAGCTGGAGAACCGACTCGCTTCTTTTCTTCTCGACCAGCATGGGCAGGAGCTGTATCATCGCCACCTCTTTTTTCTCGCGATGCGCCTGCAGCTCCAGTGTTGCCAACAGCCCCTCCCGCGACGTCGTTCATGACACCTGGCAATCGAGGATCCGAACAAGACTATCCTCGGTCATACCAATCCTCACCAGTAGGTTTTACGCCTCCAACCCCGTATGGTGGCGCACCGAGGCCGTCGTCAGTAGCTTCAGGGGGCCGAAGCCGCGCACTGTCGTTGCGAGACCCATCCCGACCAGATTCCCGCGGTCTTTACCAGTTTTCGCCATCAGTGGAACCCTCGGCAGGTCCAGCTCAGCCATCTAGTATAGATACAGGCGACCAAGGAATTGAACGTGTGCGGCAACACAAGCCGATATCGAGTAAGGAGGAGGAAGAACGTGAGGGCGGGGCTTCTGAAGGCAACAAGAAGCGTCGGTTCGGTATCGACGGGATGCTTGACTAACATGAAGGGTCAGTAATCCTGGAATGAAAGAAGAAATCTACGCCGCGTCTCGCCAGATGGTCAAGCACAAAAGTATACAGTCGCACGCAAGCTGGATTTGCACACCAACGCATTGTCGTTTCAAAGCATGCATTACGAAGGTTCGGAGGTAACGACGTTTCGATTCTCGGCACTATAGCTTTTGGACCACCGCCCATGCCCGAGATACCCTGCAATGTGGCAACACATGTAGGTTTTTCTTTGTTTTGGAGGAAATCATAGCATAGCATATGTTTATCGCATCGTCTGGTATCACGTACCGGCACACGCGGCATCTCGCATTTCTGGAATCCCCTTTTCAGTTCTCTCATGGTTCAAATGATAGCCGTTAGGCGTGTAGCGGCAACGGATGTGCCGGGACATGGGCAACCATTGGACGCCCTCGGAGAATTTTCGAACGCCCTGGCCCGTCCCATGACGCCGCAGGGGTCGGGGGAACATTTGCGTGCCCTCTAGGACATTAGTTAGCGGGGAGACGGGCTTATCAGCGGTGTCGGAGAATTCTCTCATTCGTACATAAGCGTCGCGTAAGTTCGGTTGGTCTTGAATGGGATGAAGGCCAAAACAAAACACGAACGTCGACATGTTTCCACTCTCACGCGCTTTCTCTAATGAAGAAGTGAATACTCTGTCGCCACGGAGTGGTTACTCTCGTTCTCAGCTGTCGCCAGCCAAGCCATTAGCGTTCTCCGCGAATTTCAATAGCACATTGCCATTTTGCTTTACAGATTGCGACGGGCGCATGAGATCTAGTCGCTTAGAGGCAGCTTAGAGCTAGTTCCAACGCCTTAGATTTACCCGAGCTGGAAATTCAACTTAAGCGGATCTAAGGCATCGAAGCTGGCTCTAAGCTAGCTCCGAGCTAGCCCCGAGGCCCCTAAGCTGCTTCCAAGCGTTTAGATCTTATACACCCGTCGCGATTTACAGAACAAAATGGCGATATACTATAGAAAATCGCGGAGAACGCTAATGGCTTGGCTTTCGACAACTCTTTTCAAAACAGGAGTAAGCTTTGGGCCAACCGCTCATCCACGGCTTCAGAACATCAACCCCAAGGACTCTGAGGCGTCTAGCTGCTATGAATCTTACTACAATAATTGCTGATAAAGTCAAAAAAGAGGATAGCTCGGAGCTTAAGATACCATATAGGATATATAAGGCTTTAGAATCAGTCGACGAAAGCGTGGTCGTGAGTGTTGGTGCTCATGGCCCTGCGCTTGGCAAGGCGACAGAGGATTCAACTTCTTGATTAGATTCACCTGCTCTGTAGGTAGCTAATCGGTGAAGCAAGCACTCCAGACGCCGCTGTCCGCTCCGTGCACCCAGAGCAACTCCTAAGCAACCGTCGTGGCCTTGACCATCGAATGCACGACCCTCAAACATAACGCCAGTTGAGCTATGCAGCCGCACATCAGAAATCACCTAGCGCCTTGCACCTCGTACCTCGCGCTTCGAGCTTCGCGCCTAACCCATCACCCAAGCACCTTCATCTTCTTTTTCTTCTTCTCCCCGCCCCCCGCACCCCCAGCACCCCCAGCACCCCCCGTCTTCCCCTTCTGGAAGTCCCTCCAGCTCCCAATGCGCTGCTCCCTCGTCTCCTCCCACTTCTCCTGATGATCCCTCTTCCGCTTCCTCTCCTCGATCTCCGCCTCCTCCTTCTTCTGCGCCCGGCCCTCCTCCTGCATTTGCGCCTTGACCTGCTTCCTGCGCCTGACCTCGTTGTCCACCAGCACCTCCCTCGTCTTCTCGCGCCACTGCTTCCTGAACGCCGCCGTCTTGAGCTCGGGGCTGTCGACGGTCCACTTGTTGGCGCGTATCAGCAGCATGCGCGCGTCGGCAATCGCCTCGTCCAGCCGCTCCCGCGCCTTCTCGTCCATGAGCTCCGTCTGTGCTTTCTTGAGCCGGTCGAAGGCATCCGGCGCGGCGGGGTTGGCGGTCTTGTCCGGATGGATCAGGAGGGACTTTTTGCGGTATACGGCTTTGATGTCGGACTCGGGCACACCGGGCTGCAGGTCTAGCACTGCGTAGGCGTCGAGCCGGAACGCCTTGAGGATGCGGTCGATCTCGGCGTCTTTGTCGAACTCTTTGGCTTCTTTTTCTAACGCGTCTAGCGTCGAGGTGTCGTCTGCGGCTGCTGCTGAGGCCTCCTCGTGCGCGAGGGCATCGTATGAATCTTGCGCATCCGCCATGGTGGGAGGATGTTGAACGAGTGTGTTTTAAACAACCAGAGCGGTTGCTGTGGTGCTGTCGCAAACGTTGTTTTTGAAACTGCCACAATGTGAAACTGCGCCGGGCTCGTAGCCGAGACGGGAGAGCCCACGAATGTGACGGCGATCGGCAAGCGTACTGCGGGAGCGGTTCCAGGTTGTGCAAGCCGGGGCTCCTCGGATCGTGAGCCTCCAGTTCTTCTGCCGCGGGCGGTGTGCGAAATGTTCCGCTGCGTCGAGAAATTCTGCTGGAGCATCTGCCCGCAGAACCGCAAACCTAAACTTCACCACACGGACGACAAGACTCGCACACTCAGCAGCACACTGAGGACAACATGGCACCGGGAGGCATTACAGGCCGCACGAGGCCTACAAAGCCGAAGAAGCAGGCCCGGGCACAGAAGCGCAAGCGGGACGATGTGGACGTCGAGAAGCTGGAGCAGGCGGTTGCGGAGCTGGTGAGCACACTTCGCGCAGCAAACACACAATACACTGACATGTACGCAGGACCCGAAAGGAACATACAAAAGCTTCGCAGACCTGCCCCTCTCAGAGTCTACCAAAGCCGGCCTGAAAGCGTGCCACTTCGCCGCCCTGACTGACATCCAGGCCAAAGCTATACCGCTGGCGCTGAAGGGAATGGACATTCTAGGCGCAGCAAAGACAGGCAGTGGAAAGACTTTGGCATTTCTTGTGCCGGTGCTAGAGAATCTATACCGTGCGCAGTGCGTCGGCGCGGATGCTGGACTGAGCGCCATGATCATCTCGCCCACCCGAGAGCTCGCGATCCAGATATTCGAGGTTCTGCGCAATGTCGGCAAGAGAGGCCATCTGTTTGCCGCGGGTTTGATTATCGGTGGGAAGAGCTTGCAGGAGGAGCGAGACGCATTGGCAAGAATGAACATTGTGGTGTGCACACCTGGTAGAATACTGCAACACTTGTCGCAGACAGCAGCTTTCAACGTGGACAACCTTAGGATGCTGGTGCTGGACGAGGCGGACCGTATCCTAGACATGGGCTTTCAGCGCGACGTCGATGCTATAGTCGAGTATCTCCCCAAGGACCGGCAAACCCTCCTGTTCAGCGCCACACAGACGAAAAGAGTGTCCGACCTCGCCCGCCTGAGCCTCAAGGAACCGGAATACGTCTCTGTCCACGAGTCCGCTTCAACCGCCACGCCCCAGACGCTCCAGCAGAACTACATCCTGACGCCTCTCCCCCAAAAACTCGACACCCTGTGGTCCTTCCTCCAATCCAGCAAAAAGTCCAAAATAATCGTCTTCCTCTCCTCCGGAAAACAGGTCCGATTCGTCTACGAAGCTTTCCGACACATGCAGCCCGGCATTCCCTTGCTCCACCTGCACGGTCGCCAGCGTCAAACCGCCCGGCTAGACATAACCTCCAAATTCGCCGCAGCCAAGCACTCCTGCCTCTTCGCGACCGACGTCGCAGCCCGCGGCCTCGACTTCCCCGCCGTAGATTGGGTCGTGCAAGTCGATTGCCCCGAGGACGCCGACACCTACATCCACCGCGTGGGCCGCACCGCGCGGTACGAGCGCGACGGGCGCGCGGTGCTGTTCCTGGACCCGAGCGAGGAAGCAGGCATGCTAGCGCGGCTCGCGGCGCGCAAAGTGCCGATTGAGCGGATCGGGGTCAGGGAAAAGAAGCAGAGCTCCATTAGGGATCAGCTGCAACATATGTGCTTCAAGGACCCTCAGCTCAAGTATCTAGGCCAGAAGGCGTTTGTGAGCTATGTAAGGAGCGTGCATATTATGCGGGATAAGGAGGTGTTTAGGCTCGGGGAGTTGGCGCTAGAGGAGTTTGCGGCGAGTTTGGGATTACCCGGGGCGCCGAGAATCAAGTTTTTGAAGGGGGATAATGCGAAGGAGTTGAAAAATGCGCCCAGGAGGGGCGTGTCTCCATCCTCTGAGGAGAGTGAGGATGGGGAACAAAAGGGCGAGGAGGATGCCGCACCGCAGAAACCGAAGCCGAAGAAACAGGATGCGGTCCGCACAAGATACGACCGCATGTTCGAGCGCCGCAACCAGGACGTTCTGGCGGACCATTACACCAAACTCGTCAAGGACGATGAGGACGGCTTTAATGGAGACGACCAGGCCCCTGAAGACGACTTTTTGAGCGTCAAGCGCCGTATAGCCGTTGACACCGACACCGATACCGACGCCGACGCCGATCCCGAGGACACCACCCCCACCGCTCCACCTGCGGAAGCAAAGAAAACAGTCCGCATTCCCGGCGCCGCACAGGCCCTTGTTATCGACTCCAAGCGCCGCGAAAAGCTGCTGAAGAGCAAGAAGAAACTGTCGAAGCTGAAAGGGGGGAACAAGAAACTCGTCTTCGATGATGAGGGCAACGCGCACGAGATCTACGAGCTTGAAGATGAAGAGGCGTTCAGGCAGCGCGGCGCGCCGGAGGAGCAGCGGGAGAGGTTTGTGAGGGAGGCGAGGGAGAGGGTTGGCGTCGCGGATGTGGGGGATAAGGCGCTCGCGAAGGAGAAGAAGAGGGAGAAGAGAGAGAAGCGGAAGAGGAGAGAGAGGGAGGAGGAGGGTGCTGGAGGGGTTGAGGTGGAGCGAGATGGCGAGGGTGCGGACGCTTTTGCGGACTTCGTGAGGGATACGGCTGGTTTGGTGGAGGAAGGGGGTGATGAGGAGGAACGGCCACAGAAGAAGAGGCCGAAGAAGTGGTTTGAGGATGAAGACAGCGAGGAAGAGGGAACGAGGAATGGAAAGAGCAAGCGGCGCAAGGCGGCAGAGCGGGCTGAACCCGAAACGTTGGAGGACCTGGAGGCACTCGCCTCAGGCTTACTCGGTGCTTGATAGAGGGGTCGGTACGGTCGGCTTTCTTGTCCAGAGGGCTACCACGTAGCGATACTTGTGGAAAAGAGCCTGATTCGGGTAACGCAACATACCCCTAGATGGCTGTTCTCCGAAAACAAGTACTACATTACTTTCCTCTACTCAGCCATGGTTCTTCTTTGACCTGCCTTTCCTGCTGCGCTATGCCTTGAGCTAAATCATACTCTAGCAAACCGATCTTTTCTCATAACCAAAATCAACTTCAACGTCATCTCTTATCACTGAACCGTATATCATACAACTAAACCCATACCATTCTTACTCTGAATCACAAGAGCGGAGCATCCTGGACTGTTTGCGAACATCAGGATGAGCGTTTAAGATTTTAGGGATTACGTCATCTGATGTAGGCTGGGGATAGGAGAAAGCTCAAGTGGGTCCTTGCGGTGAGCAATGGGCTCAAGGTTTGACTGTGTAGGACTTTATGGACAAGGGGGCAGGAGAATGGGATGCAAGACGGAGATGTTGTGCTCTAGAATTCAATGGTGTGTCTTGTGTTCAGTTTGTTGACAGATTACCCAGAAGCCTCGAAATACAGAAGAACACGCTCTTACGTATTAAGAAAATGTAGCCACGTTCCCATTACTCCCGATCATATTGCTTCCCATCCGCCTCCTTTCCCCTCCCATAATACGGCCTAGGCAGATTATCATAATACGGCACAACAATAACGTCCGGGTCCCCTGTCGCCCCTACCATCGCCCTCGTCACATCATGTACCGGCTTCTCACTAACCACCAGATTCAGCAGCCCGGGCCCCTTCTCCATAGTCATTCTGTGAACCTCATGCCCCACACGATCCAGCACAAACTGCCCCTTATCCTCGCCGCCCGCATCGACCTCTCGTGCATCCACCCGCGCAGCGGCGCACCCGAACCCTGCAGCCACGACCTCATAACGCGTCTGCTCGCTCAGCGCAACCGCGGGCCGCGCAGCCGTCTGCCCGCCGAAGATGAGTTCCTGCCCCGCGCGGCTCATGCCCCATGAAGCGTTGTTGACCACGACGGTCAAGATACTAAGTCCAAACCTCGCATACGTGTCCAGCTCCGCGATATGGAACCCGGCCGATCCATCGCCCTGGATGTTCAGCACCATGCGGCCTGGATCCGCGACTGCGGCGCCAAGCGAATAACCCCATCCGTTACCTAGGAAGCCCATGTAGCCCGTCGTGGCCATGGAAAGGTGTGCGTGCGCGTGCTCGAGGAGCTGCTGTGCCCAGACGCCGCATTCCCCGCCGTCGATGCACACGATGCTGTTGTGTGGGACGGAGGTGAAGACTCTTTTGAGCGCGTGATAGGGGTGCAGCCGGCCGTTCTCTTCATCGATAACCGGGTCCCTGTCATTCCGCGCGTTCAGCGCTTTCAGGCCCAGCGCTGTGCGGATCCACTCCTCGTTCGCGACGGCCTTGGTGGCAGTGGAGTCGCTGGCGAGGCGGGTGTGCATGGCGCTGAGGGCAAGGGAGGCGTCGGACACAATGCCGACGTCTATGTAGTGCGAGCGCCCAATTTCGGAGCCGTCGACGTCGATCTGGATCAGTTTGCAGTCGGTGTTAGGGATGATGGCACCGCTGCGGCCGCCGAGGAGGAACCCGGTACGTACGCCGACCAGTAGGATGAGGTCGGGCTGGGGTTTGTTTTGCGGCTGGAGGAAGGCAAGGCTGGTCGCTAGGCCGGCGCGGAGGTGGTGGGTGTAAGGGATCGCGGTGCTGCATTTTGAGGTATGGAATATGGGCGTACGGGTTGGTTCGGCGAGCTTCAAGATCTCGTCCTCGGCCTGCTAGAGCATCAGTAAGTGGCAAGGAGGCATGACGAAAAGGTCCTCACGTCTTTGGCGCCGGTGCCCACGATGATGCAGGGCCGCTCAGACGCTCGGTAGAGCCGTACTGCTTCGTCGATAGCGCTCGGATTTGGCCCAGGAAGGGATACAGGTGGTGCCGTGATGCCCCCCCAAGCGATGCTATCGGTATCTACAGGTGTGAACAGGATATCAATCGGGAAGTCTACCACCACCGGTCCCGGAGCGCCCGCGGTTGCAGTCCGCCATGCTAAAGCAACCACACGAGGTATCTCTCCAACGTTGGTTATGCGCTGGGCAAACTTGGTAAGGTTCTTAGCGAGGACGACTTGATCATGAAAGTCTTGCAAGGCGTTTGTCCCCGTATCCCGCAGCGGTGCAGAGCTCGTTACGCAGAAGACGGGGCTGCGATCCGCGAGTGCTGTCGCAAGACCCGGGAGGCTGTTGCAGAACCTAATTCGAGGAGGGGAATAATCAGCATGAGAGGCGATATGATCCGCAGAGTCGGCCGTACCCACTATTGGCTGTGACAAAGCACGTTCCCACCTTGCCGCTGACTCTTGAGTAGCCTTCAGCAGCTTGCACCGCTACAGTCTCATGTCTTGTATCCACCAGCTCTATGCCAACATCCACGCATCCCATAAGGAAGGCATCCAGGTGTCCACCATGGAGCCCGAAAGCCACACGAACGCCGAGCTGGTACAGACACTGAGCCAGTAGGTCGCCACCGAGGAGCTCTCACCCTTCGGGCGCTTTCAGCTGGAGACTTTGCATGCTGGCGTGGTTACTTGTCCGGGAGCACAGGAACGGCGGGGGGTCCTTTTAGGATGCGTGATGTTCCCCATGCAACTCCCAGGATTTGACAGGTCCCTTTTCTGGGCCTCGGTATCCAGAACGTAGCGCGTAGAGGTAGTCAAGAACGAGGCTCGTAAGGCCGGCTCGGAAACCGAATACCATCAAGTGGTGAAAGATTCTCTACATCGAGACTCTGGTTGAGACACAACGGACCATGTGTGGCACTTGTGGTGGCCGGCTAGCGCTCGGTGTGCGCTTTGTGTGACTCTTTGACCGAGTCACAAACTGGCAAAGTGAAGATAGAAAGGTACTAGTATGATTACTGACGTTGACAATGAGAAATGAGGTGGAAGGGGAGACGGCAGGCCGGTCGCATGAGGGGCATATAGCCGTGAGAGCTCACCCCCCAATCCGCGAGCTGACATCACTTGGCAACCCCTCCGCACATCACCAACCACCATCAGGGTCTTGGTGTTTTGCGGGGTACGGGTAAGGGGCCCCTGAGCCAGATCTGGTGTCCCCGCATTTCAAGCCACAGATGATCGGATCTGCAGCTTGACGACATGCACAGCGGATGCGACTCCGCGGGTCGGCTCTTCAGGTCGCGTGCTCGAAGATGTCTGCGCAATGTTATCTGGCTGGTTTTGGCAATGCACCCTGTTGAGCAACCCTGTGCTCGTACGGCTTGATCAGATGCAGAAGCACAAGATTATACTCTTCGCCTACGAAGGATCTGTGTGCAGTCGGCGCATGAAATGGTAGTGATCTTTCCAGGACAGCTTTACGATTCATACGAATGACACTCGCCAGGTACCTCGACCTCAGGGGAATTGAATACTCAGAATGTGTGAGTTTGCGTAAAAGGCGCGGCTTGTATTGGCGCACATTGGCTCCAAGACAGCGAGAGGACGGAGAGCATGTGTTGAGCACTACGCGGAATCGAGATCGTATCCAAATTTCTTCTTGAACGGGCTTCGTGTTGTTCAAGAGCTTACTCTAACGTTGTGAAGGCTGTACGCAACCGACTACCACGTCCTGAGCTAGAGGGATTGGGCGTCCGGTACCGCCGTATACCCATCATGTCGATAGGGCGGGACGTTTACTGCGATACTCGGCTGATGATACAAAAGCTCGAGGAGCTCTATCCTGAGGGGACACTCAGTGAAAGATCTCCCGAAGGGAAAGGCATTCAAGCGCTGCTGGAAACGTGGACGAACGATCAGTTCTTCTGGCACGTTGCGCGGTTGTTGCCTCCTACATATCCGATGATAGACAAGGCCTGGAGGGACGATCGCGCTGACATGGCGGGAGACAAGCTCAGTGCTGAGGCCCCTGATGAAGCGAGGCGAGAGGCTCTGAGCCATATCGTGGCGGCACTTGACATGTTGGAGCACACGTTCTTCGCAGATGGACGGGACTGGATATTGAAGACCAAGAATCCTACGCTGGCTGATATTAATGGTACGTTAAGAACAGATAGTCCCTCAGACACTCCTTGACGCGTTCCTCAGGTATCTGGACCTGGGACTGGTTGTTCCACGATCCCTGGATGGAGGGCGCTATTCCAGACGAATATGCCTTAGATGTTAGGTTCCCCAAGGTCTTTGCTTGGACGGAGCGCTTCAGACAGGTGCTTCGAGAAACAGACGCGCCGGTGTCCTGGATGGACAGTAACGATGTCGTCGAGGCGGTCTTATCATCGGAATTTGCGGAGCCGGAAGGGTCGGTAGACCATACTGATCCATTGGGCCTGCAAAAAGGGCAGGAGATAGAGGTGTGGCCCACGGATTCCGGCATGAACCACCATGACCATGGATTTCTCGTGAAGCTGGACACCCGAGAAGTTGCTATCTCCGCGAAGTCCAAAGATGGCAGGGAGCTGAGAATTCATTTCCCAAGAACCAACTTCAGAATCAGTGCGATCTCCGAGCTGGCAAATTGATCGGAAGTAAGCGGCGCGAAGTAGTCTTGCAGATAGACAAATCTTTGCATGGCTTCGCAGTTACTGCTTTAATATGCAACTGGCTGATCAGAGAATTCTGCAGCTGCGTAAGTTCAAGCCTGCTTCAACAGCTTGAAGCTCTACTCAATCCAGCTTTTTTTGGTGCCCGATGGCAGCAACACGCCCCTACAGATTAATGGCCCTCGTATTTAGCGGCCCGCCTGAACTCTGCATTTGGACCGAGGCTTCGTTCATCCCCTCATGCTTCTTGCAAATCCATGCATTGGTGGTCCGGATGATCCCCAGGTCAATCTCGATCACCAGGCATCAGAGTTTAAAGCTCTCTTCGACCGTCTTCCCATTCTTCCAATCTATATTCGGCCTTGTTGTTGTGAAGCTCTTCCTCTTGCTGAACTCGTTGAACCACTTCTCCAGACAGGTTCTGCCCTGCCGCCACTCAACCTTCCTGATATCGAAGAAGCCCAAAGCGGCAGCAACGGCTACTTCTGGTATCTCCGCCTTTTGTGGAGATTTGAGAATGGTCAACGTGCCTCTTTTCGCTTCCGCTTCGAGTCTGTCAAAGCCGCGTGTGATCTTTGCTCTCTGCCCATCGACCCACTCCTGGAACAGTACACCCTTCTCTTGCCTGACTTTTTGCTCGTAGACAACTAGAATCTCAGCGTCAAGCATGCCGCCAGCACAAGCCTCCATCGCTCGCAGCCGCCAGTAAGTCATATCTTTGACCACGTCCAATGCGGTTCCCGTCTCGGCCTCCTGTCTCTTAGCAGCTATGTTGCCCAAGAACTCGCATATGACACTGCTGTCGAAGATTCCATCTCCGCTGCCGACGGCCAGTACGGGGATCTTGGCTAGAGGATTGAAGACAGCAACGTCGGGCACGTTATCACTCCAACCTTTGTAGTGGGTCGGTGCCACGACGACTTGTTTAAGGTCTACGAGCTCCTCAAGCCCGAGCTCAATGGCGTACATATAGACTTTGCGGGAAAAGGGGCACAAGGGATGGTAAAGCAGCTTCAGGGAGGTAGAGCCGTAGGTTGTAGTATTGGAGAACACCGCCGAGGGTTCCACATCCGCGCTCGATCTCATATCCCAAGGCCTTCCTGAGCTCAAAGGAGCTTGCTTTGATCTTGAAGGAGTCTACACAGTAAAGACATTTGCCGCTGCCTTGCAGGACCGAAAATAACGAAGTGGCTTACACCTAGCTCTTGCCTAATCAATGGACCAGAATGATTGCCTGTACCGTACCTGCTAGTTGTTCAAGGAGGAGAGGGGATGAACTGCAGTCGATGGAGGTTGGAAAAACCCCGCACCTTGAATCGGCTTCTGCGCCAAGCCTGCTGGGACCTGCTGCATCTCCACCGTCCGTTTGCGCGTTGTAGTGCGAAATAATACAGCAACGGAGGTAAAGGAAACGACAATGTTTCCTCACCTCTGAGAACCACCTACCGATCCCACGTTCTCATAAATCATCTTCACTGTATCGACGCGAGTCGAAATACCAATCCCCCTGGCTTTGGTATGCTTCTGAACAGAACCTAGCGGTAAGAAACTCAGCATTTAACGCGGCATACCCCCTGATGCAGCGCGGCCGGGATTAACGGAGTGGGTCCATAGAGAGCTCGGAGTGACGATCACAGCTGCTGAAGATAGGTGTCGTTCCCAGCTGTGTAGCTCGTCGCAGACAAAACACGAGCTCGTGCGAATGCTTATGCGAGCTCCTGAAATGCTTGTCGTCATCTAGGCTCGGACGGCGGTGCCGACGCTTGAGGAAGCCACGAAGCTTGAGTTGCCGAACTACCGAACGGCTCAGCCGTCGCTCCCGAAGCTGTCAAGAACCGGCCTAGCGGTTGCCTTTTCCTTCAAACGGCTCTGACGGATCTCAAGCCACCGACAACCAGCCTTACGGGTCACCCTTGAAAACATCACTTTGCCGCGGCTGGTCGTGATTCCGCTATCCGCCCGTTTTCGTACGAACCTGACTTATCTTCGAGGGGCGTCTAGTTAAAATGGAAGTCCAGCCCAAAGCTTTTTTAGGATTGCATCCTGTCCATAAAACCTTCAAGTGCTGGTCCAAATCCCTTTCCGCTGTCATACATCCGACCTAAACACCAATCTCGAGAGATATACGAACCATTCGACGTTGAAGCACAGTGTTGCATAAGGGCTGGCGTCAATCGGCAGCAGTAAGAGCTATATCACGATGGAGAAGAAAGACGGGGCAGATGCGGAAGCCGGCCGCACGACACCAATACCGTACTGGAAGATCGTAGCGGACCAGAAAGTAGTCACGCCAGAGATTGTGAACTGGCCTTACAAGGGATCTGGCACAGAAGACGACCCATACCTAGTAGAATGGATAGACAACGACCCTCGCAACCCCATGCTGTTCTCGACAGCTACGAAACTACTCATCGCCCTTACGGTGGCGTTTGAGACGCTCTGCGTGTCGTTCGGTTCATCCACGTTCTCTGGCGGTAAGTCAAATGGTTAACGATGGCACTAAACAACTGCTAACGATGCATGGTGCAGGAATTGGTGGTCTTATACAAGAATTCGGCGTAAGCCAAGAGATCGCCATCCTCGGTCTCTCACTCTTCGTCTTGGGCTTCGCCCTCGGTCCACTTATATTCGCACCCATGAGCGAGCTATACGGACGGCAAATCACCTACCTGATCACCTTTGGAGCCTTTACCGCATTCAATGCCGGCACAGCGGGCGCGAAAAACATCGAATCCGTGATCATCCTCCGTTTCTTCGCCGGCTCCTTCGGGTCATCGCCGTTGACAAACGGCGGCGGTGTCATCGCTGACATGTATGCCGCAAAGCAGCGTGGTCTCATGATGGCCATCTTCGCAGCCGCTCCGTTTACTGGTCCTGCCCTCGGACCCATCGTTGGTGGATTTCTTGGCCAATACAGAGGCTGGAGATGGATAAACGGCATGGTTGCGATCTTCGCCGGCTTCATGTGGATCTTCGCTGTGCTGTTCGTTCCAGAAACATATGCGCCTGTACTGCTGAGGCAACGTGCCACGAAGCTGTCGCAGATGACTGGAAAGGTATATATTAGCAAGAGCGATGCGGATCGTGGGAAGGTTACTCCTGGCGAAGCGCTCAAGACCTCTCTTACACGGCCCTGGATCCTGCTTTTCCGGGAACCGATCGTTCTCATCCTCAGCATCTACACGGCCATCATATACGGCACACTGTACATGCTCTTCGGCGCCTTCCCAATTGTATATCAACAGGAGCGTGGATGGAGCGCCGGTATCGGCGGTCTCGCTTTCCTCGGCGTTCTCCTGGGGATGATCATCGCGCTGCTCTACGTCATTTTCGTAGACAACAAATACTACCAGCGTGCCGTCGAGCAGTCAGGCGGATATGCACCGCCTGAGGCTCGTCTGCCCCCAACGATTATTGGCGGCATCGCGCTCCCTGTCGGGCTTTTCTGGTTCGCCTGGACGAATTACGCCTCCATCCACTGGATGGTTAGCATCGCAGCAGGCGTACCCTTCGGCTTTGGCATGGTCCTCGTCTTCCTCGGTACCACGAACTACCTCATCGACTCGTACACCATCTTCGCCGCCTCCGTTCTCGCTGCGAGCTCTGTCATCCGTTCCACTTTCGGCGCCGCCTTTCCGCTGTTTACGCGGCAGATGTACGAGAGCCTTGGCATCCACTGGGCTTCGACTATACCGGCGTTCCTAGCGCTGGTTTGCGCACCGTTTCCGTTCTTGTTCTATAAATATGGCGCGCCTATTCGCATGAAGTGCAAGTACGCCGCGCAGGCTGACGCTTTCATGAAGTCGCTCCGCCCACAGACTGATATTGAGGAGGAGGAAGTTACCTCCGATCATGAGGGTGAGGCGGAGAAGGAGGCGGAAAAGGAAACTGAGGAAATTGATTCTGAGGAAGAACGGCCGCGCTTTGAGAGGATCAAGACGGGGAGGAGTGTGAGGAGTGTGAGGAGTGAAAGAGGCAGGGAGGACGGATGGAATGACAATCCTTACGATATCGATCGCGTCCACACAAGAGAATCCTTCAGGAGTGAGAGTCGACCAAGAGCTGCGAGTCGAGCGAGGAGTTTACGGAGGACTGCTAGTAGGACTTAATGATGGAACAGGTGCTTTGTCGAGTGCATTGTGTTGGCCGCGTATGGAGCATTTAGCGACTGGAGTTCGAGTGGGATGGAATCATCTGGCGCTACTGGGGCGAGGTCTGGACTATACAATACATAATTATGCTTGCTTAATGTATAGTCACCAACCGCGCGTTGCCCTACCAGCTACTTGATATTCTGATGACCTTCTAATCGAGCAGTCATGAGCAGTGTGGTCAGCTGCATCGTGAAGAACACCATTGATCGTGACGGCGCTCCTACTGAATCGTCAAGACCACGAAGCTCTCCTAGGTCAACGTCCATGGCCTACAATTTTTGCTTAAGCTGAACAAAGCCGCCCGCATTCCAATTCGACTGGCCTTCGAGCGAGTATAGACTTTCACCGGAGTTTGATCGAGAGGTGTGGCATCCTTGCAGATGCTTGATTGCCTACATGGCGCCTCTTAAAGCGTATGCCGTTTTCTCTTCACCAGCACACGTGAACCTCTTGATCGTTGTCTACGTGAAGCCACTTGGTCGCGCTCTAACCGCGCAGCCGTCGCGCTGGTCGGAAGCAGACGCGGCCGATCAGAGAAGTGACGTTGCCCGGCCACTCGATCACGTGAAGAGTTACAGAGTTACTACCGCGAATTCCTGCGATCCATGGATGCCTCAACTCTCCACCAGCAAAACCCCGACTCAAAAACAATACCGATTGAAAGTTTGCAGCAGCCGCAGCTTGTTCTTACACGCGCACCTTCCCGCTCGCAACGCATTCTGCCCTCGCTGTGTTCGCGCAAAGCGTAGCCTCTGCCCCCATTGACGCGGTCGTCGCGCCTCGCTCAGACTCGCTCGCACCTTGCACGTAAAGAGCCACTAACGTACGTGCGGTCCGTGCGTCGCCCAAACAACAAAGTTCAACACGCGAGAGTGCTCTCCAACTACCTCCCACTTCCAACCCTCGAACAGCCTCTCCGGTCCAACCCACACCCAACGCCCTCCTCTTAAGCTGGACTTGCCCTCCGACACAACCATTCTCCGGGAGCTTCGCCTTTTCCACCGGGCTGTTCGGGATCCGCCATTCCATCGCTGAGCAACATCGGTTACCCTTCGAGCGCGTCCAGGTACTTGGTGCTCTCCCAGCATCTACTACCTCGCATCTCGAGCCGGCTCTCGTATCTTTGCTGATACACTCGGCCGTCCTGCCGGGCTAGACGTACGTGTGCTCCCGAAGATATCTGACTCGCGAGCGAACGCCAACGTCGCGTCAAAACAGAATATAGTCACAGCAGCAGCATCCGCTTAGTGTCGATATACGCTTACCCTTGTGGATTCCTTCCAACTGCGAAGACATCACCAGTCGCTTCTCGTTCTCCGCAACAATGCCTGCCGTAAGTTTATCCTGCCATCGCGTTGATATCACCGTCACACATCAACATTCCGCGCGCGCCTGCACCCCAAAGACTCCCTCACTGACACATCGCTCTAGGGACGACCTGCCCGACAGCGTCTCGCCGCTGTCACCAATGAGAATGACGAGAACGCCGGCACGACACGTCTGACACGCGCGAAAGCCGCCGCGTTATCGACAACTTCAGACGCTCACGATCTTCCCAAGAAGGCCTTGGCAACCAAGAAGTCGGCAACGAACGTCACTGGCACCGCGCACCCCAGAAAACGCGCTGCACTCGGTGATGTCAGCAACGTCGCCAAAGGTGCTGAAGTAGTTGATGGCAAGGAGAAGAAGCCGCTTGCAGGCAAAGCGGGCCTCGTCTCGAAAGCAGCACAGCCGACCGGGATACAGAAGCCCTCGCGGACCAACTCGACGCGTACCATTCTTGGTCCGAAGGACAGGAACACTGCTCCTCATGAGTTGAAGCGGCCTGCGAGTGGGTCTGGCGTCGTGGGCAACGTGTCGAAGAAGCGAAACGTGTCGGGGTCCAGCACGAAGGCAATCAAGGAAGAAGAGACGACGGAGAACCTTGCGCCTTCGAGTAGGACGACGAAGACGACGGTCACTGTCGAGATCGAATCGAACATGCCTGCGAAGAAAGAGTTCACCGTCAAGTCTACCACGCCGACAGCACTGCCGGAAGCTGTTGAGGAGGAAGAGGTGCCGGATCTTGACAAGGAGGACGGCGATGATCCTTTGATGGTTGCCGAATACGTTGTCGAGATCTTCGAGTACTTGAGGGAGCTGGAATTGACCACGATGGCAAACCCTAACTACATGGAAAGCCAAGGCGAACTGGAATGGAAGATGCGAGGTATACTCGTGGACTGGCTGCTCGAGGTCCACACCCGGTTCCGGTTACTACCGGAAACGCTCTTCCTGGCCGTGAACATCATCGACCGGTTCCTCTCCATGAAGGTGGTGCAGCTTGACCGCCTGCAACTGGTTGGTGTCACAGCCATGTTCATCGCGTCAAAATACGAGGAGGTCCTGTCGCCTCACGTTCAGAACTTCCGCCATGTCGCCGACGATGGCTTCACGGAAGAAGAGATCCTGAGCGCTGAGCGCTTCGTCCTCGGTGCCCTCAACTACGATCTCAGCTATCCCAACCCGATGAACTTCCTGCGGAGAATATCAAAGGCCGATAGCTACGACATCCAGACGCGTACCCTCGGCAAATACCTACTCGAAATCAGCTGTCTAGATCACCGCTTCATCGCGCACGAGCCGAGCCGAATCGCCGCTGCATCAATGTACTTGGCGCGTCTGGTGCTCGAGCGTGGAGACTGGGTAAGTGCAAATGTATCTCTCTACAAACACAACTAAAGCTAACTCATCCAGGACGCCACTCTCGCTCGTTACGCCGGTTACACCGAGGAGGAAATCCAGCCTGTGCTGCTGCTCATGATCGACTATCTTAGAAGCCCAGTTGTTCACGAGGCCTTCTTCAAGAAGTACGCGAGTAAGAAGTTCCTGAAAGGTAAGCTATATACTCTCATAAACCACTATCTGCCTGTGGAGAAACATTGCTCAGACTATTACTCAGCTTCCATCGTCCTTCGCGCATGGGCCAAAAAGTGGGCCCCATACTATTTGGGCGAAGACGCCACCACCAAGAGCGCCAAACAGACCTAAGGCCCAGCCTTCTTCGTTCCCGTGTCAACGAGTAATCGCCAAATCGCCAACCATCTGCCCACCGCGTTGGGGCTTCTTCTGCGACAACCGCCTGCCGACTCCGATTCCGCGCTGCGACTTTCCCGTATCCCTCCGTCTCGCATTCGCCCAGCCCCTTCTCACCGTTCTGTTGGGGGCGGAAATATCTCATATCATCGGCGTTGGGGTCTCTTCCATGGTTTTGGATGCTGCTTTTCCTTTTCTGCTTTCTCTCCATCACTTGCTAGGCATGGGCTGGGCTAGGCTTTCTTGTTTGTTTACGGCATTATGGGTTTGAATCGTTGCTCTGGATACATCAGTGGAGGGGGGAGGAGATACACTCGTGATAAGTCCGGCTTGCGCTGGACTTTGACGGACGTGGGTGACGTGGGAGAGGAAGGGTGAGGAGAGGAAGAATGTACGCTGGTAGACGGGCTGGAGAGTGCGAAACTACACTGTACTGTAGCAGATCATGCGCAGCCTCAACCGTGTGTGCGCGACTTCTCCTGCTGTCTGTGAAGCCTTGACTTGCTAACGTGTGCCAATCCGCATTCTTCAGCTCTGGCAACTGAAGTATTTCGATGGAATCTACACGAGATGGATCCGTCACGTGATATCGTGCAGGCTTGGTGTCCTCAGTAACTCAACCTCAGTGTTCCGTGTTCACCAGGCCAGTCGATCTCACTCGCTCAAGTCCTACCATGTTCGGGATGACTTATGAGCCCACGGGAAAACTAGAAGCGGTAAAGCGGTAATCGTCTTGTGTGCGGCTTCCTTAACCCGTTACTGGCTCTAGTGTCACCCCATTCACATCAAATCACGCAGCGCCTTGCTTAGGTCAAGCTGCTTCGATAGCTCCTCGCTCCATGGATCCTGCATTTCATCGGCGCGATGGCTACGCAGCAACGTCAAGAGAAGGACAGCTTCTTCAACCATCTCTTCGCTCTCGACCAAAGCGATGATGAGCACGACGAAGGACTGGAAGAATCAATCGCGGCGCTGAAGCGCTCTGCATCGAAGACAAAGATTGCTGCCGCCAGTAGACAGAAAGGACCGTCCGTCAAGCCGGCTAAGTCGCCGCATGTTCAAGCAACAGCTACCCCCAGCGCAAGGAATGAACGTACGACCGAGCGCCCTCAAGTCTCGATTACGCCCGCCATAGTGCGATCTGTCTCAGCCCCTGAAGCTCCCATTTCTGTCGTCTCCCAGGCGATTGCTAGGGTGAAGGAAACACCTCTCCGCTCCTTCCATGTCACGAAGCCCGCAGAGCTTGTCCACAGCGTCACGGATCCTCAATCCCTTCGATCATCTATGATGGCGGCCTCAGCGATGCCCAGGGCAGCCGGCAAGCGCAAGCGTGCGGGAACTATTCAGATGGTCCCGGGAGACCAGCAAATTTTCAAGGATCTGGCTTTCTGTACGGACAAGCGCTTGGCTTTTTTTTGGAACATGACTGACCAGCTGGCAGATTTCTTCCCAAACAACGACACCCATCCCGCGAGGCGCATGCGGATCACCAAGGCCCTTCAGTACGGGGCGCTGTGGATCAAGGACTGGGCTGAGGGTATCACGCACGTGATTGCCGACAATAGCATGAACTATACCCAGCTTCTAAAGTACCTAAAGCTAGACGCCTTACCGGTAGGTTGAAGCAGCTCGGTTTATCACGACCGCTGACAGGTGTAGCATGATGTAGTTCCAGTCAATGAAATCTATCCTGCGGACTGCATCGCTTTCCGTACTCGGCTTGATCCTCATCAGGCTCGCTACCAAGTCGATGGCTTTAAACCTGCAGCCACTGCACTGGAGGTGGTTCCAACGAGTATTCCGTCTACGCAGAGTTCACTGCCGCTCAAGCCCGCCAAGCGAGACGTCCTGGCTCGGGAGCCGCAGACGCCCTCGAAAGCAAGTGAAAGCAGCAACCCGCCTTCGCAGGATGTTATGATGGCAAGGTCTCGTCCTGTCGAACGAAACACGACCGCTGAGTCTCTTACTACCGACCAATACCATGATGAACTGGCCGCCGCTATTGCGGAAGCGAAAGTGCTCGAAGACCTCGTAAGACCTCCCTATCAGAAGCCACGGAAGAACCAACTGACAAGTGCCCTCCAGCCTCTAGACTCCGATGACGAGTCAGCCGATAGCCGCCCCAGCAGCTCCTCAGCCGATGACTCCTCGGACGAGAAACCGGTGAAGCTCCTCAAACAGTCCTCAAAAGCCATCTTCCAGTCCTGGCAATCCAATTTCCAATGCATGCACGAACACACCGGCAAAGCCTCCATCGACAACCCCAACGCCCGTACGATCGAGGTCCTCGAGCAGATGTGCGCCTACTACGATCAGACGCACGACCACTGGCGCACCATCGCCTACCGCAAAGGCATTGCCAGCCTACGAGAGCAGACCAGCAAAATCAGCACGGCGGAAGCAGCGCAGCGCCTCCCCTTTGTCGGCGCGCGCCTCGCCGCCAAGATCGAGGAGATCGTCTGGACAAACCGCCTCAGCCGGCTAGACAACGCGCTGGCGGACCAAGATCCCGCGGCCGCCGCGCTGCAGACTTTCCTGCGCATCTACGGCGTCGGCTTCGCGCAGGCCTCGCGGTGGGTGGCGCAGGGCTTCCGCACCCTGTCCTCGCTCGCGGGCGCGAAACTCTCGCCGAGCCAGAAGGTTGGGCTGGAGCACTACGACGACTTCAACGCGCGCATCCCGCGCGCCGAGGTCGAGCAGCACGCCGCCGTCGTGCGCGAGTGTCTGCGCCGCCTCGATCCGGCCGCCGAGGTCATCGTGGGCGGATCCTACAGGCGCGGCGCCGCGGACTCCGGCGACATCGACCTCGTCATCACGCACGGCTCCGCCGGGCTGGCCCATCTGCAGCGCCTCGTCTTCGAGACGCTGGTCCCGCAGCTAACGGCCCAGGGCTTCCTCAAGGCCGCACTAGCGACGTCGCACAAGCGCGACGGCGACGCCGCCGGCGCGAAGTGGCTCGGCGCGTCCTGCCTCCCTGCCCCTAACCCGCAGGTCTGGCGCCGCATCGACCTCCTCCTCGTGCCGCCCGCGGAGATCGGCGCCGCGCTGATATACTTCACGGGCAACGACGTCTTCAACCGGAGTATTCGGCTGCTGGCGAGCAGGAAGGGCATGCGGCTTAACCAGCGCGGGCTGTATAGGGATGTGGGACGCGGCCCGGGGAGGACCAGGACGGCGCGGGGGACGCTGGTCGAGGCGAGGAGCGAGAGGCGCATCTTTGAGGCGTTGGGCGTGCCGTGGAGGTCGCCGGAGCAGCGGATTTGCTAGCGGGTGCTTTGGCGGGGGGGTATTGGGGTTTGGATGTTCTTGGTTTGGATTAAGCTGGGATACTGGATGCATAGCGTGGGGGGTTTCTTCAAAAGGTAGGTCAGGCATGTCGAGGCAGGCATGATTCGGGCGCGTGGCTGTTCCGGGCGCAGTGGGAGTTTTGGGATGAGATGGGTTCTGGATAGCGAGAACGTCACCCTTGCAACATTGCTCATGCGAAGTCAGACGTTGAGATAGCTGTATCTAGCACATAGGACAACGACCTCCGTCTCCTCATTAAGCTTACTTGGACAGCGCGGCGGTAACGTCCCCACAAACCCCCAAGCCCAGCGCGCGCCGTTTCTCTCCCAGCGAGTTTGACGTACACGTACGTCGCCGCCAACAGAGAAACCTCGACGGAAAGCAAGCAGCGCGCAGCGGGATGAGAAGAAAGAAAAACAAAACAAGATGGGGTTAGCGAATACTCCGCAAGGGATACCTGTATCTAAGTCTGCAAAACGCCAGCGCGTAGTGAAAAAGGGGGTATCTGAAACGAGTGACCAAGGGTAGGAGCGCGTGCGAAGCGGAGTGCGAAGCCGAGAAGAAAATGGCAAGTATAAGAAGACAAAGCTATGATTATCCGGACAGCAGAAGGAGATGGGAAGAAACGATGAAACTCGAGCTGCTAGCGGCTGGATGAGGAAATAGAGGGCCGAAAACATGGCATGCACGGCGTTACAAGAATGTAACAAGATCCTGAAGAGTGTGTGACGCGGTGCAAGAGGGAAAGACGAATCAGCGTGAAATTGCTTCTGTCCTCCTCCTCGAAGCGTGTTCTGCCCAAAGACATGTTTGGCGAGAAGTGAGGACGACGGACATCAAGGTCTACCCACTCGATTGGGGGTGGTGTCGAAGGATCCAATACTCCGGCGTCTCTTCTTGATTCCCTCCTCCTAAAACTTCAACCAGCTCATATCCTGATGCCCCAGGTCCGTCCTCTCAGGTCTGGGGGGCGGCACGTTCCCCTTCGCCGCCTGCCGAACCGGCATCCCAGGCTCTGGCACACCACCCGGAAACACCGTCATCGTGCTGCCCCGATCCCCTTGCTGCACCCCACCCGCGATCAACCGGCTCGCCGTCGCGCTCTTCGGCCCAAACTGCGCGCTGTAGAAACTGCTCGGTGCGTCCTTGCCCAGGTGCGGGCTCCCATGCAAGCTCTCGGTATAGACGCTGCTGACCGGTCGCGCGTTCCACACGGGGTCCGAGACCGGATCCCAGGTCGTGGCGCCGGTGTGCAAGCCCGTTGCACCAGACGTGCTGCTGCCGTGGTTGTGGTCGCCGAAGCTGGAGACGGAACTCACGTCGCTGTGGGGCCGTGAGGGGTGGGCGGATAGGCTATTGCTGAATGCGGCCGCGGAGCCAGGGACGTGTTCTTGAGAGCGGCCGGGCGTTAGGCTGCCGGTTGGGACTTGGCCGAGACGCTGGCCGTCGTATTTGGCGCTGTGGAGGTCTAGGGGGGCCACAATTTGGGAGGGCTGGCTTAGGCATGCCGAGTTTGTGTACTCGGAATGGCTTCCGGCGGATGAGCGTGAGAGGTCAGAAGCGTAGGTGGACCGGCCCGAAGGCATGCGCGCGAGGTTGGTGGCCTGGTTGTTGGTGAAGTAGCGGCTCCAGCCCGAGCTGCGGGTGCGGCGTGGTGGAGATTCGGCCGTTAGGGGCGTCGGGTCACGGACAGCGGCCGGAGGGGGAGGTTCAATACGTGCGACTGGCTTTTCTGTGATCTGGACCTCCTGTTCCTCGCCAATCCTAGTCAGTTCCACCGGATCGTTGTACGCAAGGGGGCTCTTCTTGTGCATGAGGCCCGCCGTGCTGGCGTCGCTGCCGTGGGGACCGAGGCCCCGTTTATGGCCAGAGGGGATCTTGCCGCTCATGATGGCGATAGAGCTCTGGGAGATGTTCTTCGAGGTCGTATAACTGTGTCCGATTGAGCCTCCGGCCTCACTCATGAACTCTGCGCCTTGGTCCTGGAAACTCAGACGATTGCGGTCCTTCTCGACGTAGCCACCTCCGCCTGCCCGCTTTCGCCGTTGTCGTTTCCACCGTAAGAGGAGAAGCAGGATGATCGAAATAGCTGCGATACCGAAGATGGCGCCAAGCGTGGCACCGAGTACCGTGAGCATTCGTGACTTGTTGGGACCGGGAGCAACTGGTGTAGTGGCGGCTGCTGTGCTTGATGATGTCGGAGTCGACGTGCTGGATGGTATTGGCCGCGATGCTGGCACGGAAGTAAAGCTTGAGATCACAACTACCTGGTCGCCTTCGAAGAAACTAGCCGCGTCCAACCATGTATTCTCTCGCTGGTCGAATATGGATAGCGGATCATCAGCATTGCCCCCGGTGATGAAAGCCACGCCATTCTCGTCTTGCGCTATCGAGAACCCTGATCTCGTAGTCGTTGGTGCGGATGTGCTGTTGTAGGCTGGCCAGTCGCCAGTATTGATATCTCGTCTTCGTCGTTTCGCGGGCCGCTCTCCCCCCGTCTGGCTGGGTGAGGCAGCTGAGCCGTCTCCATTGGCAAGAACAACACCGGTCACTTGGTTCGGAGAGACGCCCATGTTGAAGATCTCTAGTATCTTGCTTCCATCACCGCCTGTTACGATGCTGGCCCGAGTCGAGGACTGATCCCGAAAGCCTTCTGCGAGCTGCGGACCAAGGTCGGACCAGCCGCGGTCCGGACCGAAGAGGAAGACTTGCTTATTCTGCGCTCCGCCGCCAAGCATGACAGCGTGACTTTCGTTCCATGGCATGAGCATTGGGGCTACGACGGGCGGGGCAGTCGCGCTCAATGCTCTGACGGCATGGGGCGCGTGGACAGAGATGACAAATGTTTCCGATGATGGTGCGAAACTACTACCGGTTTCCTGGGATCCCGAGTAGATGAGGATTTCCTGAGAAGCTGGAAGATACGTGGCGCCGTGGTTCCGTCTGTTCGTGGTGACGGATGTGACTGGCCAGATCCATTCCCATCTCTTCTCTGTAAACGACCATCTCTCGAGACCTGGGTAATGTGTGATTGAGGGGTCGACGCTCCCTCCTACTAGGTAAAGGGCGGCTTTACTGAGGTCGCCATCAGGAATGACTCTGACGCATGCTGCTCCTGTCACTTGAACGCCTCTGTCCAGCTGCGACCATTCTCCACCTGGTCTCAGCTCGAGAGCCTGGAACGCATCGGGCGAGTATGTGTATAGAGTGCCATCGTGTACCACCGAGCAATGGCCTTTCAGCTCGACATCCGGACGAGGAGCCGGCATTGTGTGGGTTCGGAACGGATTCGTATCAGAACGGTTACGATGAAAGGCGCGAACGATGAAGGTAGATGAACGGGGAAGGTGTACCGGGTAACGGGGAGAGACCAGGTTCAGCGTTCGCTTTACGCCTTCATAGCGACGCTGTGTTTACCGCGACTCTTCAGGTGGAATGCTTCGACGAGGAGACAGAAGGACTATGTGTGAAGCCGCCGTAGAGCCCTTAGCCCTGACCGGTTCCTTCTCTTAGTATTGTGGAGTCCAGTTGCACGATACGTTGGTTGTGTTCAATTGCTTGGTACAGGTCGTGCGTGCGGATGTCCTTGAACTCACGACGAACGGGTCGATGCCAGTACACTGCTTTGTTCCTACACGATCAACGTTCGCGTGTAAAAAGTTTGACTTCGGAGCCTCGTGACACAGCTGCCGTAACGGGTATGGTATAGGGTGGCTCGTTCAGACGTTGCTGAGACGTGAAGCCCGTCAAGGGCGGTTGGTCGGTCAGGGAGGGTGCTGTAGCCGCAAGAAAAGGCAGCAGAGAGAGGAAGCCGAACTCGGGCGAGCGAGAGGGTAGAGGCACTCAGCCGACAAAGCTGAAGATGCGTGCAACGAGCGTGTCGGTGGTGGCACGGCGTATGAATGATGGGAGGTCGAAAGATCGGAGGGCGCTTCGCACGGGTTATCGTGGGCCGGGGGGGTGGTGGTGGTGGTGGTGGATGGAATGGGAAAGGGAAAACAGCCAAGGGGCTCGGAGAGCGGGAGGCCGGATTGCCTGCGTTTCTCAACTCAATCGCCTGAGTCAATTGGACCACTTGTAGGGATAGCTAGTCGACTCAGGCCATGAGCTGAAGAGGCACGATGTCTTCAGGCCTCTTCCTCGAAGGCCTGAAGTCGCACTCCTTGCCGTCAGCACGACTCGGACTTTTCACCAACAACGCTCGAAAGGGTCCACCAGATCTGCGGTGCCCAGGTGGTTCTCCACACGCAGTCTCGCGCATTCTGAAACCTAGCACGACCGACCGACCGACCCTATGGCCCACTACATACTTGACAAAGCCCAGCGTTTCTTGGTCTTGTGCACTTAGCTGCTTGTTCGAAGCCTTATCGAGGCTCTGCAGCTTCAGCGCCGGACGGGCGAGAGCAGCATTCTGCGGTGTGGAAAGAACGCCTGCTGCCCTTCTCGGGTCTAGTCAGGCACAGCCAGGCACAGCCAGGCACAGCCAGGCACCGTTGCAGCATGTTTCAGGCTACGACGGTTCAGGAAAAGCCAGCTGCAGGAACGAAACAATCCCTGACGCCGGCCCCCGGGAAGGGCTTTCCTTGTCCGCAGCGATCTTCTGGGCATCACCTGCAGGGAACTGTGGTGGAGAAGTGCCGGCTCTGCATGTCGGAACATCCCATCGCTGGCACTATCACCCGTCAGCACAGGTAGCGTGCATGTTGTTCAGAACGAAGTACGAAGTCTAAGACTATTCCACGCTGCTAGATTTCTGTCAAGCCCCGCTTCGCACTGGATCTGCCCCTGTCGTAGACCGACTCGGCCACTCGCACGCGTCGACCGCCTAGCGCGTGATCACAACCTTGGAACGTCTCCACGAAGCGCGCGCTCCTCCGAGCACAAAATCACCGTCAGTCTGTCGTAGTCAGTACACCCTTATGCTGCTTTGGTCGCCCAGCGTGGTCACCTTTCCATGGGCGCTTGTTCAGATTGGCCGATCTTTGCATTGTGCCCTTGCAAATAGTAGGCAGAAGTTGACCAAACGGCTAGCGCCACTGCTTGTTGCGCGACTTGCAGTCTTGCTTTAAGGGCACAGGATCGTTCTGGCATCACGGCGTGCTAGATGCGATCCAGGCTGTCTCATAGTATGACATGCGATGAGTTACCTACTCGTGAGCATGTGACGAGTGTTCATACCCAATGAAAGCTATGTGCCGTTTCGTGTTCGGTTTACGGCATGTTTCTGCTCGACGGCGACGTTGCGTAGGTCAAACCCACATCTCTAATGTATCTACCACACTCTACCGCTTCTCTTCCCGTAGCCCATAGCTGTCCTCGCGACTCTAGAACCCCCAGTTCAGCCCAAGACGGGCCCCTGCCCTTGCCCCTGCCCCTCCTCCATAACAACAACTCCCTCATCCGACTCCCCCTCTTCTTCCTCAACACCCGATCACAACTTCCCCCTCCCCCTCCCCCTCCCCTCAACCCTCCCCACCTCCTCCCTCAGAACCCCCCTCATCTCCCTCGCAAGCTTCGCGCCGTCCTCATCATCCAGCTCGTCGCGCTGCCCGCGGCCAAACATGGTCCAGCTCTTGTGCGCCACCTGCGGCAGCGATGCTGGCCGCGGGATGATGTGGAAGTGGACGTGGGGGATCACCTGGGCGGCGCGCGGGCCGTTGTTCTGCACGATGTTGTAGTCCGTCACGCCCGTTACTTTTGCTACCGTGCGCGCCAGCAGGGGGAGCCAGAAGCCTGGTGTAGGGGAGGTTAGGCGGCTATTAACAGTCCTGAGCATAACTTAGACAAAAAAAGAATCGATTGAGGTGCCCTGCCGTTGCCCTGCTTCTCTTTCCCTGTTGATGGTCGAACTAGTTGTTACACCCACGCCCAAACACACCGGATCAAAGCTGAGACGATTTTTGACACTCCCCAAAGAAACATCCAAGCTCTTCCTAATCTGCACGTCCAAAAACGGGAACAGAAATCCAGCGAGATTTAAGACAAGATCAACGCACCCACCTCACTAGCCTCAGCCCCCTCCAAATCCGCAACCTTCTTCCGGTGCGTCCTCGAAGCAACAAGCACGTGGCCCCTCGTCATGGGCAAGATATCCAGGAAAGCCAGCACCTCTGGCGCCGACAGTAGGACGAACGCATTTGGGTCCACTCTTGTCGGATCTGCCGCCTCTTCTGAGGGAACTGCTGAGGACAGCGTCGTTGATGCTGAGGTCGATGACGCGCATGGGAATGCTGATGCAATTGTGCAGAAGGGGCACGTGGAGGGATAGTAGGAGTCGAGGTCGGCGGTGTCTGACATGCTAGCTACATGCAATGACCGTTTCTCCCTTGCGGTGGTTGTTTGGGCGCCACGCCCTCTTGATGGAGCAATGGGGAGAGGACCTCGGGAGGTTAACTTGATGGCTGTAGATGTGACTAAGCAGATGGTGAACTTGGGAAGTGCTGAGGGCGGTTTCAAGAGGCCGTTGCGGCGTTGTAGCCCGTAGCGTTCTCAAAGCTCAGTCATGACTGAGCTGGACTCGTAATCAATCTGAGAGTTAGAAAAACCACATGGTTCTATATCACAGAAAGTAATGGTTGTTTCAGCAGCGTGACGCATTGATATATGGATCATCTCAAACGTCTTCGATCTATGAATCGCGTTCGGATCATTCACCTTGATGTTTGCAAGGGACTGTCAATGCCGCAACAGGCTTTTCAGATGACCCATGCCATGGCTCGGTAGAACTGGTCGCTCTCTCCGCGCTCCCAAACCACCTCACCGCCAATTTCTGCACTTCATCACCGCCTGTCTCCGCAAGCCAAATCTACAGATGGGTCGCAAGCCGAACCCACTCATCCTCGAGTACTTCGAACGCGGCGCAAAACTCGAGGACTCCAGCAACCGCTACGCGCACACCTGCAAGTCATGCGGAGAAAAGGTACAGTCCTATGTCCGCGCACTCGGCCTCAAATTACCATGCGGAAAGCTCCCGCTAAACCCGCATCCAGTTTCCCAAGGGCAGGATAGACAGCCTCACCGCGCACCTCGTGAAGAAATGTCCCGCGCTCTCGCTGCAGGACCGCCAGCGCGCGATCCTGCAGTTCCATGAACTACCAAACTTGGCCCCTCTTTCGGCTGATGTCGCCAACGCCATGAGCGCTATGCAGAGAGCTTTACAAAACGAACAGACGGTGGATTTGCCCTTTGCACCGCGCCAGGGCATGTCTGCCTTGGAGACTCTCGCCGAGGTTTCAAGACAGCGGCTGGACCTAAACGGGCAGCACACGAACCTACATGCAGGCGGTAGTGGGAGGCGGCTCTCTGTCGCGAGTGTGGGACAACCAACTGGCTTCACCGCGGATGACTTTCTTGTCGAGGACGACAAGCGCCATGTTTTTGCCGACAGCAGTGGCTTCGACCCTTCCAGTAAGTTCCCATGATCCGTGACCGAGCTGCTATCACTGGTCTAATTCCACACTAGTTCAGACCCATTTCGACACGTCCGGCGCACCACCGTTACCTTCAATCCACATATACGGTGGTGCACAGCCCTCACCTGGCGCCTCACCTCACCTTCCAGGCCTCTCGCTCCCACCAAGCAGCGCGCCGACAGCGCAGATGGTTCCCTCTCCTCTGCAGATGGCAGCATCAGCCGCAAGCGAGCTTCAGCAGGCGATGATGCCGAACAGCGGTCTGACAATGGAGCCAGAGCTGGAAGTGCCTAATGCTGGAATCTCGGACAAGTTCTTCCATCCGCAGCGCAGTTCGCCTTCGGCGTGGCCAAACATGTCAAACATCGACCCCTTATTGCAAGGAAACGGAGTGGAACCTCCAGCACCGCAGCTTCAGGAACAGGTCGCGAATACGATGCCGCAGCAACCCAGAGCCATAGCGGCAAACCCACTAGGGCTACGAGCGCAGCTCGGGCTACCGGCTCATTTCACCACAGACTTCAGCATAAACCAGAAGCCGGCTAAGCCAAAGGTACGAGGCAGGTTTTCAGACTCACGGCGAAAGGAGGTTCAGGAAGTCAGGAAGCGAGGCGCGTGTCTCAGATGTCGCATGTTGAAGAAGCCGTGCTCGGGCGACAGTCCTTGTAACACGTGCCAAAATGTGGAAAGCGCTAGGTTGTGGAAAGCCCCCTGCATCAGAACACGTGTTGCGGAAGAGTTCACTCTCTATTCTGCAGGATTGCACGCGGTTCAGTCATTTCATGCTGTCGGTCAGGTCAAGACACAGATCCCCTTTGCCTCTGTGCCAGGACGCATAGAAGCTACTCATTTCCCTGAGACCTCGATGTACATTACTCTCACCGTCCTGAGAGGTCGCAAGGCTGAAGGATCGACACTAGATCCCGCCCTCTTCGATGGTAACTCAAGGTCAAATGAGTTTGCTGAGCTAGAGATTATCGATACAGACATCGACGACGTTTCTGGCAAAATCGAGCAGTACATCAAGCGATTAACACCGACTTTTTGTGAGACCGAGTCGTCTTCGTTCATGAGGCCTACTTTAACTCAAGCTTACAGCATGAGCCAGAGCAGCAAGGTATGATTACCTAGCTTACTGCAATGGCGATGTCTAACATGAGAAACAGGACCGCCTTCTTATTTCCGTGCTCGAGCTATGGATAGCAACCCGTATCCTCGTGGATCCAGACCTCCGCTGGCAGTTCTTCTTCAATCCCGCCTTAGCACCCTCGACGGCCCCGGCAACTGTGGCCCAAGAGGACATCAACGCCTCCTCCAACACCAGCCACCCCCGTCGCGCCATCGATCCATCCACCCACCAAGACTCCTACAATCTCATACATCTCCAGCTGCGCGCCGCAACGGAAAAACGTGCCGCGAACCTCAGCAAGTTCGTCATGAACGACATTGAGCGCCGGCTCCTCCAGCGCCAGCAGGCGAACCCATTCGAGACCTTCCTCGTCGCCGTGATCCTCCTCGCCTGCGTCGAGCGCATGTGCTGGTATTTCAAGACATGGGAGAGCAGCGCGGCGCCCCATTCTCCGACGGCTGAGGCGAATGGCTCCAAGCCACAGCCCCCCGTCGATGGCAACATGACGTCTGATTCGCGACCAACGCTCGCGCAACAGCTCCAGCAGCACGCCCAGCAGGACCGGCACCAGCAACCACCACCACCACCTCCTCCTCCTCCAGCCGCAGAAGCGCACTCCGCTCCCCAACCACGCTCTCCTCAACATCCCCACCGCGCCCCCTGGCCCCTCGACAAGCCCCCAGCCCACTACTCCCAGCAAGCCGAGCGCTTCTCAGATATCCTGCACATGCTTCTGCGCATGCGCGGCGTCCCTCCCAAGACAGTCAGCACTGTAATCGAACCGGGCAACGACGGCATCCTGGCGGTGGCAGGCGAGGACGCGGATCCAGCCGCGAAGCAGTGGTTCGAGAGCGTTGGGGTTAGCGAGCGGTGGGTGGCCGAGAGGCGGGATGCGCGGTTCGAGGGCGTGAGCCCGGAGGAGTGGGAGGGGAAGTATGTGGGCAAGATCCTGGTGGCGGCTGGGTGATGGTGGAGGGTTGGTTGGGCGGCTGTTATGAACAAGGCAACGGCGTCTTGAGTATATTGCTAAGGTTTTCTGATGGGATGGTATCTGCAGTGGCGTGGGCGTCTAAAAGTCGGGCTGTGCGCTTGGCGTTTGCTGTGAACGGGCTGGACGATGATACGAACATGGCTATAGAGTGTTTGCAGGGCGGCTGGGGTGTTGTGCTTGTGTACGTAATACTAGACCCGAGAGTTGGCGATTCATCTACATCTCACTTCATCAGGAGGCGGGAGGCTCCGTTTTGCTTATGCGTAGATTCAGCAGCCACAGTTTTGGACGCTATAATGCTTGAAGGTTCTAATCATCAAGCGGTGCCGTGTTCATCATGAGCGTTTCGTTTCCCCTATAGCTGGCGATGTGACGGCTACGTGATTAGCCCGTCTGGAATTTCAGTGATCAGCGCTTCAGTAACACGACGTTGAATTGATAGACAGCGATGTGGGTTCCACGTCCATTTCCCTCCTAACGAACTCTCCCTCAGTGGCATAACTCCTCCCCACAGACCCATTCTTTTCGAAAACCGATACCCAGAGCCTAAGAATACCCATCCCTTGGAGAAACAAATTCCACAACCACGGCTCCCCCTTTCAAGAAACACAAAGATGGAAAGACCTTTCACGCCTCATTACTCGGATACCCGACCTTGTCATCGCCAACAAACTGCTCCTTCACCGCCCTCATACTAACAAACCTAGCCAACAAATTCGCGCTCCCGGCCTTATCATTCGTGCCGCTCGCCCTCGCGCCGCCAAACGGCTGCTGGCCCACCACGGCACCCGTGCACTTACAGTTAACATAGAAGTTGCCCGCAGCATTCCTCAACGCCTCCTCCGCCGCCCTGATAGCCTCTCTGTCCCTGGCAAACACGGCGCCCGTAAGCGCATAGTCGGAGCTCTCGTCGATAGTCCTGCACGTGTTGAGGAAAGCGTCGACGGGGGCGGTCTCGTCGTCGTAGACGTGCACGACGAGGATGGGCCCGAAGAGCTCGCGGCTCAGGAGCGGGTGGTGCGGGTTCTTGGTCGCGTAGATGGTCGGGTGGATGAAGTAGCCCTTGCTGTCGTCGTACTTCCCGCCTACTAGGAGCTCGAGCTCCTCGTCGTCCTTGGCCTCGTCGATCACGGACTTGAGCTTGGCGAACGAGGCCGCGTGGATCACGGGCCCGATGAAGTTGCCGAAGTCGGTCGGGTCGCCCATCGTGAGGCTCGAGGTCTCGGAGATCAGCTGCGGCTTGAAGGCGTCCCACACGGAGGAGGGGATGTAGGCGCGCGAGCAGGCCGAGCATTTCTGGCCTTGGTACTCGAACGCCCCGCGCACCGTGTTGATGACCGCGTTCGAGACGTCCGCGCTGCGGTGCACGATGTGGAAGTTCTTGCCGCCTGTCTCGCCCACGATGCGCGGGTAACCCTGATACTTTCCTTCTGCGACACCGTTGGCGATCTTGCCGTACAGGCTCCTGAAGACGGCGGTTGAGCCCGTGTAATGCAGGGCGGCGAATTGGCGGTGCGAGAGCACGGCGGCGGTCACCTCCTCGGCGTCGCCCGGCACGAATTGTATCACGTTGGGGGGGAGGCCGGCTTCCATGAGGATGGAGTAGATGAGCCAGTTCGAGGCGATGGCGAAGGGCGACGGCTTCCAGACGACGACGTTGCCCATGAGTGCGGGCGCGCAGGCGAGGTTGCCGCCGATGGCGGTGAAGTTGAAGGGGGAGATGGCGTAGACGAAGCCTTCCAGGGGGCGGTACTCGACGCGGTTCCAGACGCCGGGGCTGTTGTGCACGGGTTGGTGGGCGTAGGTGTCCTGGGCATACTGAACGTTGAACCTAGGCTCGAGGGTCAGTATACCTCGCATCTCCAGCCAGACGTACAACAGGAGCCTACCGAAGAAAGTCGGCAAGTTCGGCTGCGGCGTCGATCTCTGCCTGCCACGCGTTCTTGCCCTGTCCCACCATCGTTGCCGCCATGATGTCGTATCTGTACTTCCCGGCTATCAGGTCTGCGGCCTTAAGGAAGATGGCGCACCGGTCCGCGAAGAGCATCGATTCCCATGATGGCTTTGCCGCTAATGCTGCATCTATAGCGGCCTTTACCTCGCCGGTGCTGGCATTCGAGTATCGAGCTACGACGTCGGCGTGGGAGGCGGGGTTGTGCTGGGTGAGGACGGAGGATCCTTTTATCTGCGCACAGGTTAGAACACGCGTGCATTTGAAGATTATCCGTGCTCACCTCTTTGCCAGCCACCACTAGAGGTACTTCAAGGGGAGTCTGCTTCTTTAGTGCTTCTACAGCGTCTGCAAGCTTCTGCCGCTCTGGTGAGCCTTTGGCGTAGTGTTTCTACGAACCAATTGATCAGCTCCGACTTGGTGCTTCAACAAGCGGGGCCGTAAACGCACATTTGGCTCATTGTTAATCTGAGGCACTTTGAAGGTAGCAATGTTCGCCATGCTGCGGGTTGTTCTTCTATCCAACAGTCGCGGGGCAAGAGATGGAGAGGGTAGTTGAGCGTGCGAGAGGGTTCGAGGAAGCTGGAAAACAGACTGTAAGCCTTTCAGCGAGCCCATGAAGCAGTGTGAAGATGTGAGACTGACGGTATGTAGCGCGTACTGTAAAGAGGAGTCCCCGAGTATATATGTGGCAGCTGTTGTGTCATCAAAGCTGTGCTCGGCTTGCAGCGGCTCAACGAGCTCCTGCAAAAGTTACGGTGGGGCTCAACTCCGATAATCGGACCTGCGCCCGCTATTAGCGGCACCTATGAGAGCATCATCACAAGAAAAGGCCATGTCTCGCGTTGATATATGAGAATTTTGTTCCATCTCGGCTTTCTTTGCCTAACATGCATAACACTCGGTATCTGACATAGAAGCCACAGCCAGGGGTGGACCCGAAGAAGCTCCTGAACGCCGCCAATGCCTGAGACGCATACTCTTTTCCAGATCATGACTCCATAGCTTCCCCTTGAGTATTGTCGTCTCCCCACAGTCCTTCTAGCTTGAACTCCGCAGCCCATTCCTTGACAATCTCCTTGTGATCGCCAACAGGAGCGGCAGCATCAGCAGCTTCGTCGCCAGTAAGACGGGCCGTAACCACTGGGAGCACAGGAGCGTCCATCCAGCCTTGGATTCTGCCATCCCTCCAGTCCGTGATGACTGTCATCGCAGCCGCGTTGACGTTCGGTATGCCGCCCTTGCCCAGCCGGCCTCGCTTTCTGGCGACTTGCACCAAGAGATCAGTCGTGATGTCGCCGTTTGCCGACATGAGCGGTGGCAGGTTGTACACCTCGAGCAGCTTGGCCAGCATATCCTGTGACGCCGACAGCCTTTTCAGGAGCAATGAAACCGCTGGTAAAGGATCGTCGATCTCCTTGGGAGGTATGGCGTTGAGGAGAATAAGTCGCGCTTGCTCTTCCACCTTGTGTGCCTTCGAGGCTTCCGCTGATGACGGGAACACTATGCCGGGCGAGTCCAGAAGCTTCAGCTTGTTGTCAAGCTTTACTTCCCGCAGACTCGTTGTGACACCTGCTTCGGCGCCAACCGGACACGCATCGTTTCGGCTTCCTAGCCTGGATGTGAGGGCGTTGATGACAGAGGACTTTCCAACGTTCGGATAGCCAATGACGCCTACTGATATCGAGCGCTTCAGCGACTTCGACTGCGCGTATGACTTGAGCGCTCTGAACAAGGTCTCTGACGTCCCCTTGACTGTGAGCTGCTTGTGATCGAAGGTACGTGCGTTCGGTGCTGGGTTCGATGCTCGGAGCGGTATTGTTGGGAAATATCTTCGCAGATGAACCAACCACGCCTTTAGCACAGGCGGCGGGACTAGGTCGATCTTGTTCAGGATCAGGATCAGTCGCTTGTCGCCACCCTGTGCTGCCATGACCATGCGTTCCACCTCCTTCGACCTCGTGCCCTCGGGGTCTCTCGCATCTAGGACGTAGAGAACGACATCTGCCGACTCTACTACTTGCTTGAAGACCTTGTCGAATGCCTTGCGTGACGAATCTTTCCGGGCTGGCGCGGCGGATGTTGGTGCTTCCACGTCATTGTCGTCACCAAGCCCATTCCATTCCTCGCCTTCATCCTCGTCCATCTCATCCCCAGTGTCAGCACCGTTGCCTCGATCGTACTCCACTGCTCGCGCTCGTGCTGATGCTAGGAGTGCTGCCATGGGGTTCGTGTCATTCTGAACACGTATCAGCACACAATTGCGCAGCAGCCGCCGTGAGCGTTAGCTCACCTCCTGCATAGCTTCATCCTCATCCTCAGAGCCGTAATCCAGAAGCGCATCATCGTCCTCCTCCATCGCACCACCTGCAGCTCCCTCAGATTCCTGTGCGGGAGCAGTAGAACCGCCTTTCAGCGCCTTCGCCTCTGCCTTCTTCCGGGCAACCTCCTCTTCCTTCAAGCGCCTCTTTTCTTCAATCTCGTGTAGTATCTTGTCCTTGTATGGGAAGAGGTTCGGTATGCCAGGATCCTTCTTTAGCCGCGAGCGCCATTCTGGGTTCTACACATTGTCAGATCTGTGACAACGTCGTAAGCTCCGCCACGCAGTCCTACATTCTTCGCTGCCTTCCGCTGCTTTTTCTGCTTCGCCGCCGACGCCTTCTCGATCTTGTGACGCAGGCGAACGGGAACACGCTTCGATTTTGGCTCTAGTAAGACGTCAGAAATGCCGTGACTTGCGGATTCGAAGCTGTTACTCACTCCCTACTTTCATTTCCGCGGTGTGGTGTCTCGAATACGAGTACGTCTTGAGCTTGCAAAATCGCGATGCTACCCCGGATTGCTCGAGAACTTTTCGGTGGGCCGCCGCGAAAACTTCGGGCGGATGCGTTTCCTCTTCTGGCAAATCCGACGGAAGGCCGCAAGGCCGAGTTCAACATGATATCGTGTTGACGAAGCGTTCATCCGCCACAAGCCAGCCGTAGATAGATATAAATCATAGAGTCCTTCGCATTTTCGCATCCAGTCTTGTCCTCCGCAAAGTCAATCAAGCTTGATCTCATTACAACTACATCAATTGCTCAGCTACTTTACCCAACCCTCAAATCGACGTCCTTCACTCCCTCACCCAATTCCGCCGTCATGCCTCATATACAAGAAGAACCCTCTTTTTCTGCGCCAGCAGAAGAGCATTCCTTCGCCGGCCTCGTAAGCCTCAACCATCTATCCACCCACTCCCCACACTCTCGCTAACCCACAACCCAGCTCTTCGACATGGACGGCACGATCATTGACTCCACCGACGCCATTGTAAAGCACTGGCACAAGTACGTCCGCCCTCCCTCTTCCCATTCCCCAATATCTCAGCTAACCTCCCGCTCCTCCAGACTCGGCAACCAACTCGGCGTCGACCCCGCCGTCATCCTCGCCACCTCCCACGGCCGGCGCTCCATCGACGTCCTCGCGCTCTACGACCCCTCCCTCGCGACCTGGGACTTCGTGTCCACCGCCGAAGGCCTGATCCCCAAACAATTCGGCGCCGACGCCACCGAGATCCCCGGCTCACGCGCGCTGCTCGACGCGCTCGAGGCCGCCGGCGCGCCCTGGGCCATCGTCACCTCCGGCACACGCCCGCTCGTCACGGGCTGGCTCGACGTCATGAAGCTCGCGCATCCGAGGTACATCGTCACGGCCGAGGACGTCGAGCGGGGGAAGCCGGATCCGGCGTGCTATGCGCTGGGGGCGGAGAAGTTGCGGGCGGGTGCAAGGAAGGGAGGGGACGGGTATTTGGTGCTGGAGGATGCGCCGGCGGGCGTGAGGGCGGGCAAGGCGGCGGGATTCAAGGTCTGCGCCCTTGCGACGACGCATACGATCCCCCAGCTGGTGGAGGCGGGCGCGGATTGGGTGGTTAGGGATATGAGGAGTGTGAGGTTGGCGGGGTGGGAGAGGAAAAGTGGGGTCGTGAGGGTGGAGATTGTGGATGCGTTGGTTGCTTGAGGGCGTGGGGTTGCAGGGAAGAGGAGGGTGGATTGAGGATGCGAGGGTGGATTTTGAGGCTGTTTGCAAGCATTTAGCGGGTGGGTCGCATTTGCATGGAATATCTTTAGACATTAGAGGAGTTTCTGGAAGGGTTACAGCGCATAGAGCGGGTGTTGGAGTTTTGGGGTTCGGTCTTGGCGGTAGATCTTTGTTGCAACTCCTTTGCTTCGTAGAGTGATCCAAATGTCGATTCAGTGGCGTGTATCCCCGTGGTTGAGTGTTTGATGTGACAGCCGTTCCACTTGGCAAAATCCGAATCGAGTATGTGATGATAGAAGGACTTCAAAACCATAGAATGGTCCACGTAGACACGGGAACAGGGCTGGACTAATAAACGTATAAGTTCTGACTAGAAGTTTACTCCGGCAATCTCGACTGTGAAAGTACAGCCTCATGAGAGTAGTATAAATATTCAAGTACTAGAGAGCCGGATATTATTGGACATCCCATTGCTGGATCTGAGGTTGGAAAGATGACCTAATACACCTCTTTGGTCCGGACAAACCAGGCAATATGTGGACTTGCAACGTTGCCTTACGATCCTCTGAGTTGCATCATCATCCTCTAGTACTGTCCCAGTGATAAAACATCGCCTTGAGAGATGGCGCAACAAGAGATAGTCTTGCGTTTGTGAGCAGTGTCACACCCATAGACGACGATTTGCCTGAGACTTACCTTAGGCATAAGCCGAGCAGGCATAGATTCTAGACGGTAGACAGGTTAGAACTTCGGTTGATCGGGAGCGCCATTATGATCGTTTGCATTTCCTCTCCTACAACTGGCGATATGGAATCGATCGCAGCTCCGTGATTGGTCTACAAGTGGCGTCAAGGCATATTAGGCTGCTGGATTAAGACCTGAATGGTTAAGAGCGTGTCTAGTGCGTTTCCCCAGTGTTCTGATCACTTCCTTTCGCAGAGGGCGATGTTGTAAACAAGCAATGGCGTGGTCGTCTCTTGTTGCGCCGTGTTTTATTGCTATGTCGGCGTCGCTTCCCGTCACTAGAGGGGGTCTCGAGGACGATGATGCAACTCACAGGATCGTGAGGTAACGTTGCGAACGTAACGGACTACCTACCAGGCAAGTAAACCCCCTACACGGACAATTGTTCGAATGGCTTCTGACGTCTGCTTGTGCGCCCTGGATGCAGACCGTTGATAGCACAAAGGCCGCCACGGAAGATCGTATGCAAGGTACGAGTGTCTCAATCCCAGACTCGCGTTGGCTTCCCCGAGAGCCAGCCGGGAGGGTGCTTCTACTCCTGGACTGTGCAGCGATAAGGCCGAAAGCGGACAGATGATGGTGGTACGAACTCTCGATGTCGACGTGATGTTGCATCTGTGCACAGAAAGATGGGATTAAGAACTGCGACACCGAGAATGGCGCGTGTGCCTTCCGTTATCAGCGTGGCCTCAGGCGGACAACGACTTCGCGCCGGTTGCGACGGTCCTCATACTACTCGGCCTACCGGCGTCTAGGTTCCTCTGTGCAGGACCAAGGTCACAGTCACTTGCCTGCCCATACGGTAACAGATGCCGACACCAGCTTCCCTAGCTGGCGTTTGTGCACCCCTGACGAGAATGGCATTGTAAGTGGCAACCTTAGCAACCTATCCGCTCTCCCTTCTCCTTGAACCACATCTTGCCAAGGCGGATGCTAGAGGAAGATCTCGAGAATCACCCCCCGGGGGATTTGCCCTCTCCCGTGCTTCCGTTACCCGCCGGCGTTGACGCGGGGCAGCTTCGCCGTGGATGGCCTTTAGATCCACTGCCTAGGCGGTGAGGCCACCGTCAGCTTTCGATCACAGGGCAGAGGATTGGGACTGACTGGGACAGAAACCGAGATGGGCATGCTTCTGAACACCAGCGTGTCCCGTGATACTCGAAGACTGGATAACAACAAGCGGGCGCAGCGGACAGAGAGCGAACAGGGCCAAAGCGGAAGCGTGCACGGACAGCGGGCTATTTTTGGTTTACCCGAGAAGCCGGCGAATCAGAGAAGGCTGATGTGCGGCGCTAATGCTAGCTTGCGGCCACCGCGAATGATGCATTCAAATCCACTACCCCAGTCCGCTCGCCGTTGGGGGTTCCCCTGTTCCTCTCCGTTTAGTCCTGCAGTGTGCAGCCTTCTAGGCAAGCCCTCTCAGCTCGCCCACGTCGGACGGCCTGCATGCGCATGCTGCTTCTCCTGACCTGATTTCTCCCTCTTCCTCCCTCTCCACTCTCACATCGCGCCGTGCCCTCAACTTCACCCTCGCTCGCTCCAGCTTTTGGCAGCACACTTTCGCTTTTCACGGATTCGACCATGTTGTAATACCAGTCGCTCGTTCTTTTCAGTCGCTATCGCCCCAACACCATCTGTTGACTCTCCCCAGTCAGCCTTGACTGTCGCTTCCCTCCACCTCGCGCGAGCTATCGATACCACCAAAGGAAATCCGCATCGGGGAGAAGTCTCTCATCACCTCTCCCTCCAGCCGGGCAAAGCCAGTTCGGGCTTCGACGTTGACGACTTGGGAACAATATTCTTATCTAGCAATTTGGTCAGCATGGATCATTTCGGGTCCTCAGGACTCGGGTACGGCGGCGGCGGCGGTGATAGGGGCGCTGACGGTAATCGCCGGTCGAACTTCAACAACTCTCCGGATATGAACCTCAAAGCTCAGGCACCGCCTGTCATCCAAACATGCGCGGATGTGAAGCCTCGGCTGACAAAGGAGCAACACGACGTTCTCGAGCGGCACTTTCTAGAGCACCACAAACCAAGCACGGCCACAAAAAAGGGGTTTGCTGAGACGCTGGGAGTGCCGCTGGACAAAATCAATGTACGTTACTGCAGAGTGGCATCGGTAATAAGACTAACATCGGGCAGAACTGGTTCCAAAATCGCAGGGCCAAAGTCAAGCAGGATGCTAAAAAGCAGCAGATGGTCCAGAGTACATACAGTGCAATGATGATGCCTCTGCATTCTCAGTACCCAGTCAGCATGCACAACCAACAGTCCACCGAGGAAGGTTTTCCACATGGTTACTACATATCCAGTCAGGACATCACACAATCAGGCTTTTCCGCGGCGCCCCACATGCCAGAGCTGGATTCGGACGCATCTGCTGCTCAAACACAGCACTATTCCGAGTTCACCAACGGGTTGCATTCGATCCAGGAATCGACCCAGCGTGTTTCTCGTGGTGGCATTGTCCACAATCTTGCGGCAGCTGGCTACCCTGTGGACTCATTCTCGTTGTCGGATAGCTTTACTGACGGCGGACAATATCTCGGCCTGGAGTCATCTGTATATTCGCCGGGCCCCATGAATGGCTCAGGTTTCTTTTCCGAACCGGACATCAGTACGCCTGCGCCGTTCGGAGACATCTCGGGCTTGAACCGTACGATGGACGGTCGCCAAGCTACACAAACATCGGAGTCCGCACTAGCCCAGCCTTTTCGTAACCTCGGATCAGTGTCTCCAGATACTTCACCGGATCCTACAAATCATTCTATGCCAAGGTCTCAATCGCCGAGCTCGACGAACATGAACTCAGTGGCCTCTGTCTACTCTGGCTGGACCGAAGACAAGCAATCGCCCTTGAGTGCGACGCCAATTAATCCGTGTGAGGACTCCTGGGGAAGCCCCATCGGCATTATTCAGGAGGATCAGTGCAACAATGGAGAGCCCAGCAGCTTCTGGTCTGCTAGCTACGGCAAAAACTTTCAGAATCACCCATCCCAGGGTTATTATCCACAGTACAGCCACTCCAGTCAAACGCTATTGTCTTCCCCGCCAACGGCAAGAGATAGCATGCCACCCCACATAAGCGAACCCGATGCCAACTACCCTCTCGCGATGCCTGCAGCGGATCTCGGGCGTAAGGACTCCTCAACTTCTGCGTTAACAGAGTCAATGGGTGCGGTTGGCATCAAAGGTACATCGCCGACGGGCAGTAACTTCAAGCATCCAAGTCAACCGTCGAGCATCGCCGCTCGAAGACAGCGACCCCGACCGGCGGCACTGGGACCTGCAGCACTGAACCATAGAAGTGCATCGTACAGCGCTGGGATGCCTGTCTCAGGTGGCGCTTCCCAGTCACTGAACCCGCCTGATCATACGCTTCGGCGAATCAGGTCAACAGGCGTCGGTCGGATTCAGAAACCAACACCGGGCTCAGCTCAGCGATCGCCGCTGAACTTCACATTTGCAGAGGGTGGCCTTACCGCCGCGTCGCCCAAGTTCTGCGGTCAGCCATCTAGTCATGGCACTCCCACTTCGACATCCCAGGGCTTCTCGTCAATCAACAGCAGTCTGGCTCCACCAACGCCCTTGACACCGCGTGAGATGTCGCACTTCCCATCTTGGCAGCGTAGCGGCATTAAGAACTCAATCAACCTACCGGAGCATAGCAACCCTGACACGCTAGCTGTGTCGTGGTCTATCTCGGGACCATCGCCTGGCATGTACACTGGCTCGGTCTCAAACATTGGTTCGCCGCCAATTACACCTCTGGATGCGGCTCAATTCGGACATCGCCCGCGTCTGAGCAACGCCTCGATTTACCGCGACACACCACCGCAATCAGCACCGGCGATACAGCAGTGCTTCCCCCGCTCGGTCTTCGTGCCGCAGTCCCACGCCGTCGCTGTATCGCAGCCGTTCGACGAGCACCCCGAAATGACCGCTCCCGTGTCTCATATGAGAAGGCCATCGCTGCCAGATGCTGCACCGGTCTTCCAAGCCGGACTGTACTACCCATACGCGGTGCCGATGGTCAACAACGACACGGGTTGCCTCGGGTTGGATTACCCAATCCAGTCCACACCGGCCGCGCCGAGTGGGCATCAGCAGTTCCACACGTATGCCCTGCCGCAACAGAGTGGCCGGCCGGTGACTTCTGGCACTGCTCAGCCTGGCACCATGGCTGCCGAATTCTTCATCCATGAGTACTCGCCTCCACAGGCCGCTAATCAGGCATTCTCTCCTCCACGGCAGCAGGATTCGCAGAGAAAGCAATACATCTTTGCGAACGCTGGGCCGAGGGATTTCCGAGTTGGTGCCAGCTGACTTGCGGCACAGCCATTCAAACTAGATCTTTTTCAATCGAACCTGGTTATGGCGGGCCGCCTTCTGCTACCGTCGCGAGGCTCTTCGGAGCTCCTCTGTGCTCCTCTGAGAACCCAAGGTGCTTAGCTTCGCATGCGGAGAATCTCTTTCGTATATACCCGGCCCTCTTCTTCGAGTAAGGGCCAGCTTTGGTTTGGATTAACTTTACGGTTTCTCCCTTTTTGTAGAGAAGGGATAGATTGGGAAAAGTATCGCGCTTCTGCTGTTGATTTTTTGCACCGCTCTGGGTAGCGTAGGCGTTCTTCCCATCAGATGACTTTAGCGTAATGTCCTGTTTGTGTTTTATTTCTATTAGTATCGCTTTCATCCGCGTAGGACTGTTTGGCTGATCGTTCTGCGGCCCTCTCCGGAGGGCGCCATTCCTTTATTACTCATTGCCTCGGCCCGCTGAGTGAGCGGGCGGGTATCAGTCCCGCTGGACGTAATTCTAATCACTCTCCTTAATATTTGTTGCTGTTAATGACGGGCGGCGGATAAGAGGCGGAACACTACGGGTATGATTTGGATTTTGGCATGAGCGCGGCGTGGGCCAGGACTTAAAAAGGGCAGTTGGGCAATGTGGGCTACCGGCTTTGGCTATTGGATGCTCTCTGGGTTGATTTATTACTTCTTAGCCTCGTTTCTGTCTGTGTTGCGGAATACAAGAGCGGGGGCTCTCCGAATCCTCGAGCGGCGCGAGCGGAGACAGTGTAGAGCTTTGGATTTCGGGATTTCATAATTATGAGACATTTTTGCGAAGCGCAGCAACCCATCCTTCCACATACCTTCACTGTGATGCTACTTTTTTTCGTTGCCACGCCTAGGAACCGGTACAGCCGCTTACGTTGCCTCGAAGCCATCATCCGTTCCTTACATCCCAGCCAGTCCATCCTCAAGCGGTTATTCTCTGCTTCATTAGCATAAGAGGACTTGGGCCTACTCATGATTGGTCGCTTCGACCGTGATCAGCCGTAAAGTGCCTGCTCGCAAAAGGCATGCTGCGCGGGCAGATACCTGCTGCGCGAGGCAGGAGTCCTGGCGATTATGTTGGGTGCCTTCCGCTGGAGAGCAAACATAGCAACTGCCGCGCCGAACACCATCCAGTCTATCCTCTTGACTTCTACTTCAACTCCCGAAAGTCCTCGTCATCCTTTCAAACCGTTCTACCTAACACACTTCCATCATCCTACAGACCATTTCTCCCCAGATTGCACACCTAAGGAACCTGCATATACAGCCTAAACCACTTCCTACTACTCAGCTACAAAGCCGCTATCCTTAGCTCGCAGAGTTGACTCTTCAAACCTACGATGCATCTCCCCCTTCCTCTACAAGCAGCTCACGCAGCCCTTGTGCTCTCCCCCCTCCTTGCAGGTCTCATTCTGCCAACCCTCTCCCTCACTGCGCCCGCAGCAGCAAGAGGCACCCTCGGCTTCGCCCTTGGCACCAAGAACGCCGATGGAAGTTGCAAGACAACCGCCGACTACCAAGCCGACTTCGACGCCATCTACGCCGCCTCAGGAAGCACGCTCGTGCGCGGATACTCCGCCTCAGACTGCGATGCCGCGGCCCGGATCCTGCCAGCGGCTGCAAGCAAAGGCTTCAGAGTTGTGTTAGGGGTGTGGTGCGTACTTATCCACTCTAACGCTTTTCTATCCAAGTCCTCCAAATGCTCCATTGCGGGTCCACCGCGCCCCCTCAAAAGTCCATCTCGCTGACGCCAGCCGTTCCTTCTGGGATAAACAGGCCCGACACTCCCGCCTCCCTTGCCACCGACACCGCAGCCCTTCAGGCCCATGCGTGGCACTATCCGGACCAGCTCTACGCCGTCACCGTCGGCTCGGAGACACTGTACCGCGGCAACTTCACGGGCGAGGAGCTTCTCGAGAAGATCAACGGCGTCAAGGCCGTCCTGCCTCCGAATGTCAAGGTTGGCACAGCGGACTCCTGGAACAAGTGGGCGGATGGAACCGGGGATGCGGTCGTGAGGGGCGGTGTTGACATCATGTGAGCAACGTTTCTTTGTTCTTCAACGTCGCCTGAACCGCTCCACGAGAAACATGAGCATAGACTGGGTTGTTTGAAGAGTAGAGAGAGAGAGGGGGTGAGAGGCTGACGCTGGCACCGCGCAGCATGGTCAACGCCTTCGCATACTGGCAAGCCCAGGAAATCGGCAACGCGACCAAAACCTACTTCCACGACATCGCCCGCGCATTCGAGCGCATCCAGGACATCTCGGGCAGCTTCGACACGCCTGAGCTGTGGAACGGCGAGACGGGCTGGCCCAAAGACGGTAAGCTTCTCCTCCCCTCCCCACCCTTCCTCCTTCCAGTCCCTCCAGGTCCCCAATCCTCCTCTCAACCGCCCCTCACCACCACACCCACTGACACCCCCACCCACAGGCGGATCCGACTTCGGCGCCGCCCGTGCCAGCACCGCGAACGCAGCTGCCTACTCCCAGACAGCCGTCTGCGGCATGCTGGCCTGGGGCGTTGACGTATTCTACTTCGAGGCCTTCGACGAGCCCTGGAAGCCGCGGTCCGAGGGCGACCACGGTGTGTCGGCGGACGAGACGCACTGGGGGGCCATGACCGCCGGGCGGGAGGTGAGCTATGCGGTTCGCTGTGTGGCGCCGTGAGGGCTGGGGGCTCTGAGACTCTGGTGAGGCTGGTGAGTGGGAGGGTCGGGTTCTCACTTGTTACCTGATGCGCCTTGGACTATAACTGCTGAGAGAGATCATATGCTCTGAATTTGAGTCACCCCAGGTAATGGGCTGTTCGCAGTACATCTCGATGGCTCTGCTTTGATTGCATAAAGTCAAGCATGTGACACTTGATGATGTCTCATAGCTAAGGTTCAGAGCCTCGATCGTGCTACGCACCAGCTGGAGCCTCAATTTGACCATACACACAAACCATCCCCTGAAGGCCCAACCCTCCACCTCGAATTCCCTCACTCAACCCCAAACTCCTCTCCCACCGCCCCCACCAACCCAACCAGTTCCTCCACCACCTTTCCATCCCCATTCCTGACCGCAATCGCCCTCGTAAGTAGCGGAAACAGCCTAACCAAATGCTTCCTCCCGGCACTCCTCACGCCCTCCGCCTCCGGAATCGCCCTCGGTTCACTCTCCAGCTGCCGCAACCCCCTCAACACAAACAGCAGCTCCTGCCGCTGGCCGTACGGTTGCGGCATACGCCCTCGCAAGGGCTGGTCCGCGATGTATGCTTTGATTGAGAGGGCGCAGCGGAGGATTAGGTACGGCGCTGCGGCCTGGGCGAGGCGGATGCGTTCGGATGATGGTGAGGCGGTGGCGGCGGTGGCACTGTTGTCGTCTGCGGTGGTGGTGGAAGCGCAGAGCGCGAAGAGTTCGGACAGGCAGAAGTGGGCCATCCTGCTGCGGGGCGTGGGCGGGGGGTCGTAGGTGCGGCCGAAGCGGACGGTGTAGAGGTTGTGCAGCGGGCTGGATGCCGCGGGTGGGATTTCACCGGGCTCGGTCTTGTAGATGAGGGAGTGCTGGAAGAGGCTCGATGTGTAAGCGCGGCGGGTCGCGTCGGGGATGCTGGAGGAGCCGAGGTCGGGTGTGATCAGGTCGCGGAGTGTGGTGAGGGCTGCAATGTCGAAGGTCTCGTCGCTATAGATGGGAGTGTTGGGCGGTGCGGAGACGTGGTCGGTATTTGCTATGCTGTCGGCGATAGACACGATTTGGTCCCAGAGAGGATTCATCATATCTTTGCCGACGGATTGCCGCTTGGCCTCCATCAGCATGGGCTCGAGTATCGCTAGGGCTACTGTCGTAGCCTTTTGCCACGGCGTTGGCGCCTTTCCTTCGATATGCCACATGTACTTTAGTCGGATGGGCACCGCCAAGCTCTTGAGTGCTTTCAGAAGCGCACCGCTATCAAACAACCCCCGCCCGGATAGATGCGTCTCTATTAGCGACTGTAAGAGATCCATGGCCGACTTCGATATTGCAATGAAGGTTGGTTGCTTTGACATAACTGCAGGTTCGGTTGCGCGGAAATTCTCATAAGGCAAGCTGACCATGTTCGCCAGCATATTAATTACCGCCGACGTTACATCTGACCCGTTCGCTCGGAGCATCTGGATGCAGCTTATAACTTCGTCTTGCAGCGGCGTTTTCTTGTCCACATCGGGCGTGTATGCTTGGCTGTCCGAACAGCGCACGCAGCTCTCTAGGTTGGCGACAACCTGTGTAGTGTTTTGATCTTTGGCGGTGTCTTCTGTCAAGCGGTAGATCTCTCTCAAGCATTTAACATAGGCCAGAAAGGCTGCTTGATTATCTTCTTTGAGATCTGACGTCGAGCTTTCGGTGGGACAGTGTTCCAGCCACAGTGATTTGGTAGACTGGATTGTAAACGCATCCACTGAGCTTGGCATGTCGATCCCGTGCAGGATTGTCGTGATAGCTGTGAAGACGACCGCTTCTAGCTCATGTGACCGGCACGTAAGATATGCTATGAAATATTCCAACAAGCGCTGCCACAGCTGACGAAATTCCGGCGCTCGTAATGTTAAGCTTACGGAGAGGAGGTTAGTCGTCCGCTCGATAATTAACTTTGTCGTCTCATTCCATGCTCTTATGGTGCGAAGATCATCCTTTGACCGAGACCTCACTTGACGCTGTCGTTGGATATTGGCATCTATCAAGCCGAATAGGACAACTCGGACACATAGCTGCCATGTAAACGAAGACAGCTCGCTTCCATAGTTCTCAAATATCCTTAGTATGGAGTGTATTGCGCCGTGACGGACCTCATTGCGCTCATCTGTAGCAGTGGTCATCAATCGCACCAGAAGATAGAGCCATGATGCAGTCGTTGAACCATGGCTGGCTCTGTCCCGAATCTGAACTTCTGCAACGTCCAAGCCCTGAAGATCGACTGCAATGGCTTCCAGCGATGTATCGTCGATACGTCCATGGAGGAAGTCGGATGTATTCCAGAAGAACGTAACGGTCTGCTCCAGTCAGAATCTTGTGCACACGGTAGCAGATTCCACTTACTGTAAGAGAGATGTTGAGATCTTCGCTTTGGGAGCAGAAGCGGGACAGCGTATCGATCAAAGTTACCAAGCAACGATCTGGAACAAGATTCAGGAAGTCGGTGCATATGAGCTGCAGTGCTCCAAAAGCGGACCGTCCGAGCTCCAGCGAGATAAACTCTGGCACACGGTTTTTGCTGGACCTGGGGCCAGCGGTTGATTCTGCTGTCCCCTCAGTCGTCTCGTCTAGCTCTTCATCATCCTCGAAGACGCTGAGTATGATTGCAAGGGCAGAATCCCAGCCAGCGGTCAGCGTATCACCGCAATGCTCTAGGATGGATTTCAAGGCATCCAGGGCAGTTGCATGGACGTCTGCATCTGTTTCGCCTAGTTCCGGATCTGTGTTATCGTGCTCTACGTAAAGAGAATCGATCTCAGACCGCAGCGCAGCGAGGACTCTGCGTTCGACTTCTTGACGGACTTCCGAGACCTCTATCGCCGCAGTTTTGAGAACATCCTGAGCCACTCGGGTGAGGATGTTTGCAGCCATGACCCTTATTGGACTCGCAATGCTCCTATTCGTTGAGGTCGTAATGAGTTCTTGTGTCAGATATGCCCAGCCACTTTCGGTTACGTCGAAGCTGGCGAAACGCTCCACGTTGAGCGTTACCAAGTCGCCAAGCCTGGCCAATGCAAACCGATAATCTCGTGCTTGTGCCCCGGCAGTGATAGGAACGCCTGAGAAGTTGCTGAACCTTCGCTCGAGTGTCGGTGTCTGAGAGGAAGCTGTGACTTTCAGTCCGCCTTGTGATATTGGTCTGTCATGCAGCAGGCTGCTCAGAGCCACAAGGACTTCTACGAAGGAATCGTTTGGGAAATCAATGGTGCTTTCGAAGAGTCTCGATACCGCAGCGTGAACTGCAGCCACCTCACTATGCAAGTTTTGCTCGGGTGCTGGTTCGTTACCGTTCTTACCGTCGACTTGTAAGCTTGGACGATTGACAGACAGGGCGCCCCTCGCTGTCGAGGTGGCCATGATGATATCCGCCTGTTGCAGAGCCTCGAACACAATCGTCCAAGATGTGTCAAGCGTGGGGCCAAGGGCTATAGCGAGGTTCAGCAAGGCGCGAAGGCAGAGCAGATTCCTTGTGTTAAGAGAAGGTGGCCCCGTATCCAAAGATGACTTATGGGTCTTATCAGACGAAAGGGTCGAAGCTTGGCTCACAAGACTGTCAACGCTCAGAAGGCCTCTGACGTTCCCGAACACTCCCGAACTCTCTGGTACAAAGCTACTTGGAGGCATCGCATGCGCGTTGAAGATGTGCGGAGGGACTGCAGCTTTCTTTAACAGGGTCAAAAACGCATCTCGCGGCGTCGAAAGACGAAGGAGACCAGCAACCTGGGTGAACTTCTGAATTGAGCGAACAAGAGCACGGTAGTAGTCCGCGTCCAAGGCCGCATTGAGAAACGTCGAGCAGGTCGCAAGGACGGCTGGCCAGCATTCGCTGACCATTGCTGCCGAGGTCCTAATGCGTGGATAAGATGTGTGACTGTCCAAGGCTAATGGATTGATGGGCACGCTGCGTTTCTTGTAAGATTGTGATCGCGTCAACCGCCCCTTCGGCTGTTCCTGGGTTGGTGTTTCAAGCCCCGAAGGGTCCATTGATTCTTGCCTAGCCGATTCCTGTACTCTTGCCTTCCTCTTGCTTCTGCTTTCGTGGTAGACAGTCAAGGGAAGCACAAATTTTGCCAGACTTTCCGTTAAGCTGTTGACGCTCGTCAATACCAGACTGTGTATGTAGGTTTCGGGGATCGCAGGAGCTTCGGACTTGTCAAATTGATCTAGGCAAGGCGTTCGGAGAGAGCTCCACTGGCTACTGATGCCCGGCACATTGCTCTCGCTGATGTCCACAATCCCGATGACGCCTGCTGCGCCACCGGCTTCGACTGCTGCTTGCTCTGTAGGGCCGTCTCGTGCAATTGGCTTGCCTGCTGGAGCCGTCGATTGATTACCAACACCGATAAGTGCAGGTTTCTCCGATGCTAAGCGCACAAAAGCGCTCAGGTTGTCACGCACAATCGACATTTCGCCTTGTTCTTCGTCAAATCGCGCATAAATTTCGAGGACGAGTGCAGGATCTGAGTATATCGCCTGGAACATCTCCATGGACAGGGCTCGCCTCCACGTTGTTGCGGCGTCGGGATCGAGCATGTGATTCACGAACCCCAAAGCAATTCCGCATTCCGACTGCGTTATCGATAGATGCTGTCGAACGACGAGGATCAGAATACGAATCACACGCAGGGTTACAGGAAAGCTGGGATTCTCAGAGAGTTGCCGGATTATCAGGGGCATGAGTCTCTCACGGAGCACATAGCCCTGCTCTAGATGAGACATGAGAATGTCTCCGTGATTGGCGAGGATGGACTCGATGGTCTCCAGTCCAGAGAGTTGCGATATCGGTGAGAAGCGCACATACTGCGGCTTGTTGCCGTCCGTCAGAAGGCAAAGGTCGTGAAAGATCTGTCAGCAAATATAAGCGGGTAACACATATTACGATGAGTAGATTGAACCTTGTATGCATCGTGCGCCGCAGAGCGGACTTGAATCGCTCCTTTATCGCTAGGAACTTCAGCAATTGTTGGGAGCTCCAGTGATCTGCCTAAAGAAGAATGATCAGCGCCTGCGATTGGCTCGGACAGTTATAGAGCTTACCATCTTCGTCAACAACTCGGTCGAACACGGAAATGACAAGTTGCTGAAGCGCTGCAACCGCAGTGCCGCTGACGGCGGGATTCTTGACGCTTTGCAAGCTCGTACATAGGTTCACGGCGCCTGAGAGAAGGTCTCCCCGTAGCTCGCCAGCGTAATTCTGCAGCAAAGGCGACAGAGTCTGTAGGATCTTGAGTTGTACATCTAGCCCTGCAAAACCTTAGACCAGCCTCCTTCGGCAATAATGCACAGTGGCCCTACCCAGATTGATACAGTCTTTCAAGGCGTCCAAGACCTCCTTTAGCCTCTCTTTCGGTAGGGCACAAATTACAGCCAGTCTCTGCAAGCATACCACGGCAGAACCTGCGAATTTGGTATTCTGGGTTGCGCAGGCTATCAAGAATGGCGAGATGAAGTGCGATCTTCGAATGAGGTCTCTTTCGCCATTAGTCAGATATTGCGTTAAAGTGATAGGTTCGGACACCCGAACCTGCAGCTAGCTGTGCTTCTGAGGTTGCCGGTAAGGACTTGAGGTCCTGAAGCGATTTTTCGGCCGCCTTCTCAACACATCAGCGAAATGGTCAAGGGCAATGCTATACGGAGTGTACATTTTTCAGCTCGCTGTTTTTCCTTTTCGATTCTTGGATGAGATTAGTGAGCTCAGAACTGAGTATCTGCGCCGTCATGCTCGTCAGCGATTCAAGGCATCGGAAGACTGCACAAATGGTCAATTCAATTAATTCATGACAGAGGATTGTAGAGCAAGGTACAACTCAAAGCCAGCCCTGGCTTCGATGCCAAGAGACCGCAACATTGTTCAGCCTTGCCGGTCATGGCGGGGTCCAGGCGCCGATGTTTGGCGGGACATTTCGCCGGGGAGAGCATGCGACATACGAGCAGTGACAAACAAGCCAGCCTCGTTCGTCGTTCTGTTCTCCAACAAACTACCGTTTCTCCAGCTCAAGCGAGCCTTGTTTGTTCCTCAAGAACTCAAGAAGCCTCATATCCCTTGACTTCCGGATCGTCTGAGAGCTGCCATGGGAGCCAAAGTACCACGAAACTTCCGGCTGCTGGAGGAGCTCGAGAAGGGAGAGAAGGGATTGGGAGCAGGTAAGCTTCCTAGGAACATGTATGCATCAGCGGCGACTAACAGCAGATTAGAGGCTTGCTCCTACGGCCTGGAAGATCAAGATGACCTCCTCATGTCCAACTGGAACGGCACCATCCTGGGACCTCCTCACGTAAGCCCTGCCCAGAGTCTGCGTCAGTAGCCCTGTTTGACTGTTGTAACAGAGCGTACATGAGAATCGGATTTACAGTTTAAAGATCCACTGCGGCGACCGCTACCCCGACACCCCACCTGAAGTCACCTTCGTCTCGAAGATCAACCTGCCATGCGTGGATCAGAGGACCGGCAAGGTACAAACGGGACAATTGGTTGCTACAGAGAACACCACACTAAGAGAAACTCCAGGTTGACCCATCGAAGCTGCCCTGCCTTATCCAGTGGAGGCGTGACTTCACCATGGAGACTATACTCATTGAGTTGAGGCGGTATGCGCAATTCTGATCTAGATATGCGGACAATATCTGACACGCTTTGCAGGTACATGGCCCTCCCTCAGCACAAGAAGCTCCCTCAACCTCCTGAAGGTACAACCTACAGCTGAACGATTAGCCGTGACGGGTAGAGGAATCGACTTTGCCAAAGATGTGCCTTACTATCCACGGCAGTAAGTGCAAGAACTTAGCGGTCAGACGAGGGCGGTTTTATGATGCGTGGGGGGGACGTGATGCAGCGTGCTTCTTACTGGCTCATTTCTTTGTTCCTTTTGCTGGACTTGCATTTACACGGCGCCTCGGTGGTGGAGGTCTTTGACGGACACTGGACTGGAACAGATTTCACAGACATACCCTGGTACGCTCGAAATGAAGAGCGACTCTGAATGTTCCTCGCCGAAACCCCTCCGGCCGCGAGAGAGCGTATCGGTATGAGTAGCGCACGGCGAGGGGTTTCAGTGCGGATTCGCTGTATACCATGATACAGGCATCTTGAGCAGTGCTTCATAAGGCGCTGTCCTGCACCATTCGAGTATACCTTGTTAATCAAATCAGTATGTCGTTTTGTGGTTAATGGCCGTGGCAGCTTGAGGAAGCCACGTATCGGGCTTGAGATTCCAGTACATCACCTTCGCAGAAATGGCACAAGTAGAGTAGATTTGAAGCTATGAAGCAGAGCTTGTACCGTAACCCTGGAGCAAGCTCATATGCTCCAGTGCCCCCACAGTTCCGCTGAGTGCAGACAATGCACTGCCTGCCCATCAACATTAAGTCAAGGTGAGATGGGTGAAGCCACTGAGCCCAGAAGGCCACCTGCAATCGCGAACCTCCCGGAGCACCTCGTTGCATTGGTGCGCCAGACTAGCTTTGGCGCTAAGCCCATGCATGGTCTTTGTGATTTTAACACAATCCGCATAGCATGAACCAAAATGCGTCGTTCTACGGAAAAGCTGCCAGTAATTACCCGTTCGGGAAGCGCCATGGCCGGCCCGACGTCCGCTGGTGCGGAGAGCTTCAAACGTCAGGTCGCAGGACCGAGGGACTGAAAGCTTTTTGAAACATGAAGACCAGCGTATGAATGCCGCGCTTCCTGGTCCCCAAGAGATCAGGAGAGCATCGAGCAGCATGTATGTGTCTCCAATGCCTAATTAATCAGATTCTAACGCGATCAAGGCATCGCGCTCTACCGCGCGCTCCTCTCACAATGCGCCGCAGTGCCCATCAGCGATGACAAGCGCGGCGCGCTGAGAAACATTGCCCGGAATAAATTCAGGGCCAACAGAGAGCATCACAGTACGCGACTGCTGAAGCTTGGCTTCCACGCTGGCTATGAGGTGCGCATCCCGCTTCATGTATAAGTCACGATCACAGACTGAGTAACGTACGATCCTCAGGCGCTCGACCTCCTCGATGCCTCCGCCTCCGGCGACACGGCCGCAACCACCAAGATAGATGCCCTCCTATCGAAGACGCCAGCCCGCCTGACACAGCCGCCGAAGAAGCCCGCTCCCAAGCCTCGAAAACCTGCACCCGATCACCTCCCTCCTGAGGCCAAAACCCTCGATGTCCGTCCTCGTCTCACCGTCTCCGGCATTCGTCGCATACCAAAGCTTGTCAATGCCGGCGGGGTGCCGATTCTTCGCTTCAAGAAACCGCAGCCCCCGGGCCTAAGCCGGCTGATCAAGGACAAGATAAAACAGCGACAGGATATGTTCGACAGGATCAACGCGATGCAGGATATCTGGATACCACTTGCAGAGGCGGAAGATACCTGGGATACCATAGTCAAAGAGCGTTTCGGTGTGACAGACACGCGGTCTCAGGGTCTGGATTCGGAAGAGCCGGGCTGGAGCGATGTGATGAGGGAGACCGTGGAGCAATCATTTGAGTGGTATGATGCACAGAAGGAGAAGGTCAGGAAAACGGCGATTAGGATGCAGGATATTATTGACCAGGAGACTGAGCTGGCAAGGCAAGAGAAAGCTGTCCGGGATGAGAAACGGAGGGGGGAGAAACTGGCCAGAAGAGCCGAGAAGCGGCGGCTCATGGCATCCCCACCGGAGAAGGCTTTGGAGGGTTACACTGTCAGCACACAAGCGAGGCACTGAGAAATTTGCGCCTCTGAAAACAACCTCAACTCACCAAGACCATGCAAAAAACGCTCTATACCTCAGTATCTATACAGTTCTGAGATCATGTTACTGCTGAACTAGCCCATGTTCTACTTCAAACACCGAATCTCTATCGAAGTAGCGACCAATGGCTGATATCGTGATAAGGACTCCAGGCCTCACACAGCCCACCTACGCTTCTATCTTCACCCTTTCCATCCCCTCCAGCCCATCCTCCCCTTCATCCTCCTCCTCCACCTTCCCAACCAACCCCCGTTCCCAAAGCTCCCGCCCCGTCAACTTCCTCTCCTCCTTGGCACCCCTCTTCTTCTTCTCATCTATCTCCCTCTCCTCCGTCCTCCTCCTCTCCTCCTCTTCCATCTCCCGCCGAAACCGCGCCCGCCACTCCATGAAGCTCTCCCTCGTGACCGCCGTCCCATGAAACTTGGCGTTCTCGGCCTCCTCCGCCTTCGCAGCCTCCACATCCCGCAGCGCCTGCGCCGCCTTCTGCCGCTCGGAGATGAGCAGCTCGGCGCTGTCCTTTAGAGTGCTGACGAGCGTGAAGACCATTGCCATCCCCAAATTTTCTTCGACTGTGGGCTCGAGAGCTTCAAGCAGGCGGGCCTTGTCATCTTGGATGCTGAGGTGCCGGTGCTTGGGCGCGTTGGGCGGGGCGGAGATGTCGAGGCGCGGCGCTTCGTCGGGGTAGGCGTCGGGGTATTGGACTGTGAGGATCAGGGTCGCTGTGGGGGGCGTGAGTAGAGAGTCGGAGGTCTGGTTTGTGGGAATGAAGGGGCCGCACGAGGTTCGGAGTCATCATCCTCAGCGTTTGTGACATCGAGAGCGATTGAGATTCGGTACTCTGTGTCGGAGATGTCTGGCTCGGCGCGTTAGCAACCGTTCTACGGGCTATTGCTGCTTGGGTGTTTCAAGCGGAGCGCATTAGTACGCGGTCGTACTGCGTACCTGTTATCTCATCCGGAAAGATCGAGTCCAGGACCTCCCTCTCCTCTCGCTGTTCGTCTCTGCCCATGGTGGTGATGGTCCAGCAGAATGACGGCAGCGGGGGCAGTTTTTGCCGAGCACCTCGAACTTTTTTGACGGGAGGCTCTCACCACAACGCTCCGGAGCACAACCACCAAGCACGGTCCTTCAGCTTCCAGGATTCGAAGCAGCGTGTATCCCAGGCGCTTGCAGCAGTAAAAACCCCAGCATTCAGCAACCGCTTCCAGCATGGCGAAAACAAAACCCCAAAACGGTTCCACCAAATCCCGCAACCGCAAAAAAGGCGCCCCGAACAGCTCCTCCAAGAAGCCCGCCCCGAGCCCCTCAACCCTCCTCGCCCAAGCCGCAGACTTGATCCAGCAAGGCCAACCCACAGACGCGCTTACCTTGGCGCAACGCGCCCTCTCCATCCTCCAACCGACCTCCACGCCCACACTAGCCGCCCTCCCCGCGCTGAATCTCCTAGGTGAGATCAACGTGGAGCTAGGCGACATACAAAGCGCGCGAGACTGCTTCACGCGCGCCGCGGAGCTTGATCCCGAAGGCGGCGTGCCCGAGGCAGCGGGGGGAGGCGCGGAGAAGTTTTTGTGGCTGGCGCAGTTGAGTGAGAAGGGCGGAGTGGAGAGTGTGGGATGGTTTGAGAAGGGGGTTGCGGTGCTGAGGCGAGAGATTGCGGGGTTGGTGGGGGAGATTGGGCAGGGTGGGAAGATGCAGGACGCGGGTGGGTTGCTGGGGGGGAAGATGGAACTGCTGGAGGAGAAGAGGAGGAAGCTCGCACACGCGCTGTGTGGGGTTGCGGAGATTTATATGACGGATTTGTCGTAAGTGGGGGGTGAAATCATTGTCGGGTTGCGACGTGGCTAATCTAGGGCAGGTGGGAGGAAGACGCTGAGCAAAGGTGTGAGGCGCTGGTCACTGAGGCTCTGCTCGTTGCGCCGGATAGTCCGGAACCGTTGCAGACGTTGGCTTCAATACGGATTTCACAGGAGAAGCCGGAGGATGCACGAGCAGCGTTATCACGAAGTATAGAGCTGTGGAAGGACCTTGACCCCGCAGATCCGAAGGTGCCGGACTTTCCGACGAGGATCAGTCTGGCGAGATTACTGATGGAAGCTGAGATGGAAGAAGAGGCACTCGAGGTACTTGAACGACTGATCACCGAGGACGACAGTAGCGTCGAGGCATGGTACCTTGGCGGGTGGTGTCTGCATCTCTTGGGCGGAAAACGGAACACAGCTAGCAGCAGTTCTCAGACAGCACGCGATGCTCCATCGGATGAGGGGGATACCGTCAGGGCACTCTTGAAAGCCAGCCGCGAATGGCTGCAGAACAGCCTCAGACTTTACCAGGTGCTTGAGTACGAGGACGAGAGGCTGCGAGATCATGCACTAGAGCTCGTCAAAGAGCTCGACGGCGTCTTGGGTCCGGCCACTGAAGACGACGAGGACGAGGACGGAGGGGATTGGGAAGATGCAGATGGGGCAGACGACGATGAAGAGGATGAGGAGATGAGAGGAGCTTGAAGGATGCGTAAAGCGTCTACCAGCTGCCCGTGCACTGGCGAGCGGCTTCCACAGGGTCTGTTGCCCGCCAGGGTTGGGAGGCAACAGGTCTTCAATGGCCTCCTTGCGACACTCTCTAAGATTTGGCAGTCCTGACCTTCGGACGTCCGAATCACTTTTCCATGTGGAAGGACTTTGCGAAAGATCGGAGACCATTCCACGAGGACCTGTTCAGCTTCATTGCAGGATGATGGCCTAAACTTCGATCGGAGAGGCGGCTGCAGAGGCTGAGGTTGTTGGACCGATCGCCGTTCCATGACGCTGCAGCAGGATCAGAACAAGGACCTCGAAGTGGAGGAAGCTGAGAGGCACTCTCCACTCGGGCCCGGTGTTAGAAGTAGGTATGGCTAGACGCATGACTGGGGGCTTCGCAGTAGTTATTTGTAGGGGGGGAGAGGCGAATTGGGAGCACAGAGGCCCAGATCAATCGGCTGCCTGCCTTCTCATGCGCAACATTGGAGTGTGCGAGAGAATCTGTGGCGCGGATAGTGTCCCGCTGGCTGAACCAGTGCCCCCTTGTAGAGGACTTAGGTAACAAAAAGAGGTTGGACAGCTAGGGTCAGCCACGAGCGGATCTGGAACTGCCCGTGCCAGGCGTTGAGTCCCTATCCAACGACGATGGCTCAATTCAAGCCACGGTATCTTTCGAGAACAAGCTACCCAAACGCCATCTTGAGTTTTCTGTCGCCTTGGAGTGTCCGTGCGCACATCTTTGAGCAGTCGGTCCGGATCTCAGCTGGGCGGGGTGGCGACAGAAATGTCGAGATGGCGATTGAATCCGGGACTACTTCAGCTGAAGCCCTGGAGCCCTGGAGCCCTGGCTCAGCGCGCACAAAAGGCGCCAAGCCGTGTGGTTGACCCCAAAAGCCCGCGCACCTGGCAGCCACAGATGTTGCGCGCATCCCCGACTGCCCGGGGAAACGTCGCGGGCAGCCCAAGAACCGCGGCGCTACGGTAGAACCCTGACCTTGACGCCCAAGATCAAGCATGGATGCTCAGCAACATCGGCGCTGGCTGCCTTTCTTCTACGCTTGTCGTGAGTCTTCATGTTCGGATCCCATGTCCCCATGTCCCCATCTCCTGCTCATCCTCGCCGCATCCTGCAGTCCTCTTGATCTCATGCCGCCCACAAGAGGCCGTCCTAGGAAGAAGAGGGGATGATTTGGTACGTGCCTGCGCCTTGTATTTGCGCCGCAACGAACATGCAATGCGCGCCGCCTGTCCAGGTTGCTCTTTCCGAGGCACGATTAATCTCCTGTGCTAACTCCTTCGCGACTCCAGGTACCTATTGTATCCCTTCCGAGGGTAAGGACGACTACCTTCCTGTCACGATGATCAAACCTGAACCGTGTCTACAGAACGGCAGAACCACCACAGCTAGCCCCCACTCACCCGATCCGGAAGGCTTTCTACCGTTATGGCATAACAACCGCGCGGCATTGGCTGCTTTCGATCCTCCTCTCTGTCGCGACAGCAGTCCTGCTCTGCTACCCAGTACTGTTCCTTTACGACAACCCTACAGCAGGGTCCTATCAGCTCCCGCATCATGTCTGGACGTCGGCCAGAGTATTCGAGGGCGGCGAAGAGACGCGCGCCGATGTGGCCATGCGGCAGGTCTGGGTGCACGGGGACTACATGGGTGCCCTGAACCACCGAGTGCTTGAGGATGCCCTTTCCATACAAGATTATCTTATCGGAGGCTCTTTTGGTCAGCAGAGTATTGAAGTGCCTGAGTTGAGGCCAAATGGGAGTACCGAGAAGATTGTCCTCAATTCCTGCGGGTCTTTCCGACCGGGGCAGAACAACTCTTGGGGGTTTCATTCACCTCTCATGTACTGGAACTGCTCGTCGGCGGCCATAAAAGCCGACACGGATCTGCTCAAGACTATTAACGAGCAACCCCACCGTCAATCCTTCCTCAACTTCACGCTGCGTCTGCCGTCCGTATTTGCTGGCAAGTCGTTCGAGAACAACAAACTACTGGCGGCTGATGCTCTCGTGATCACGCTGTTCGACAGGTCTGGGCTTGATATGGGCGATGAGTGGGATGCGCGCTCAGCAGCACTGGTGAGGAACGCCTCCGGGCGGTGGTCATTCTATCCAGAGAGCGGAAAGACAGCCCGGAGTCAGCTTTACGAGTTTCGCTTCCGCCCAGTAAGCTGGATCGATGACTTTATCATGGCGCTGGCGTACGGTCTTATGGCCTTTCATGTGGTCGTGAGCTTGAGGAAGCTTCGCGCTGTCAAGAGCTGGGTTGGCCTAGGTCTAACGGTCATCAGTCAAGTGCGCCTCCCGTTCCAATGCAGTTGAATCTCGCTCATGTCGTTCTCAGATTGCCATTTCGGTCATTGCCAGTTTTACTATATGTGGGATGCTCAGAATCAACTTGACGCAAATACCCCGAGAAGCATATCCCTTCGTGGTCTTTGCAATCGGTCTTGAAAACATGTTAGTCCTGCGCTCTGTCCGCGCATTTTCCGTCTCGTGCATCTTATCGCTGCGTCTTATCAAAAGTCCATCCCGTTGTTGTACCCCATCTGACGATGTTACGCAGGTTCCGGCTCATTAATGCTGTTCTCGCAAACCCGCCAGAAATGCCCACCATCAGTCGCGTCGGCAACGCTCTGGGTGACGTAGGCCATCTCTCCCTTGCAGCTGTCGCCCAGAATCTCGCCCTTCTGTGGCTCCTGTCTAGGGTCGTCTCGCCTGGTGTTGCGGCCTTTTGCGCTTTCGCAGCAGTCGCGCTGGTTTTCGACTTTGTGTTTCATCTGACGTTCTTTGTCCCTGTGCTTAGTGTTGATGTGCGAAGAACGGAGCTTCAGGACTTCCTGGATAAGGCCAATCTAGCGCAAGCCAAAGCAAAGACTCCAAAGCAAGAGCAGCAGACATGGATCCACGCTTTGCTTCAAGGCAAGCTTCCGGTCAGTACCAGGATCGCTGGCTCCGCTGCCATGATGTGCTTCGTTGTCGCGCTCAACTGGCACTTCTTTGATAGCGAGAACAGCGCCTTGTCAGTTCTACAGCTGTTCCGCCTCATGCGTGCGGCGAAGAAGCTACGCGCTCATCGAGACCCTCTGGCAATACCACCACCCATCAACCAAGCGCGGACGCCGGCTGCATGGTTGCGCATGCAAGATTACGACACTGCAAGGGAGTTTGTTCATTTTGTAAAGCCACACGGACACAGCTTCGTTGTCCGTCTATACGAGCCGCTCACAGTAGTCATGAAAGGTGCTAATCGGAGAGGCGCCATGGATGAGTCGAGTTCCTTCCTAGTTGCGCTCCGCAAAATAGCGGACGAGCATTTCTTTCCTATCGCTTTGGCAATCGTCTTCGCTATAGCCATCGTCACACTGTTGATGAACTACCTGCTCTGGAATGAGCTGTCAGAAGAGGAACCCGAGGTTGAGGATTACGTGGACCCTGTCATTTCAATTAATACTCTTCCGAAGTCGCATGCGCTCGACATTGTAAAACTCACAGCATGCAGAAGGGGCCATGTCGTTTCTGTAAGCTTGGATCGGTCGACGTCGATCTATCTTCTCGACGCCAGGTCCAAGGCGTATTCTCATATATCCCTGAAGACGGCAAGCATGTCTCCACCATTATGGCCGATCATCGCTACTGCCATCGACGAGACGGGACAGTGGCTTGCCCTATGTACAGATACTGGAAGGCTTGCCTTCTGGAACTTCGTTGAACGCCGCTTTTTGCACTCTGTTGCTATCTGCCTGAGAGGTCACCTGCCTCTAATGTTCTCCTTTGCGGCACTACAGTCTGACGATGCTGAAAGACTCAATCTCATCATCACCACTTCGGACGGCTGGATTACCGATGTAGAGCTTTACTCGAGTCACGTGGAGAAACACCAAATCCACGACAGCCATATCCTCTCCTCAAGCCTGTCGGGCTGCATCAAGGATCAGATCAACATCCTGAGCATTTCGAGAGGATCCCGAGTTTGGCTGACCACTCGGAGGCTCGACGGCGAATGGACATCTGAAATCCTGAGTTGTTTCGGACCACGACCTACAGTTGACAATAAAACTCCAAAGTACAAGTCAGCAATAGATGTCCTAGGGTTGTGCATGTTTGCGCTTACGGGGCCTTGCGCGATAGACCTGATCTGTCCTCGCTCCCGCACTCGTTTCTACACTCTGAGGACCGGCCATATGAAAGGTGGCTCTCTTCGCGTCTTGCCCTCACAGCGACAGACATGTCCAACATGCAGCGCGCCAGCAGTTCACTCCCTCTGCCTCGTATATACTGACTCGGAAGCGCAGGATTGTGTCATGCGCACCTACCAGATGGACGATGAGCCAAGCTCACTCATCTGTCTCCGCCCGCCTCTAGACGATGAATCCCGTGCCTGCCAGGGACTCGAAAGCGCGATGTCGTTGGAGCATCGGGTCGAGCAGCCTGGCGTGTGGGGAGCCACCCTCGCCCAGTCCATTATTGGTATCCGTCAGCGGTCCTTATCGCGTGTTCCATCACCGGCATCCACCACTTCGGACACCAAAGGCAACCTCTCATCGGCTCCTCCCAACGGCTATACCAACGGCGCCCTCAAACACCGCCACGCTTCTCCGCCCTCGAGCCCCGAGGCCCCCAAAGCGAACCACACGCGCCCACCAGCCGCATTATCGGACACCAACGTCTGGGAAGCCTGGACCCTCTCCGCGACCGGCGAATTCCACGCGACACCCCTACTCTCTTTAGAATCTCGCCGCGATGCCGAATCTTCTTACCCCGGCTTCGATGCCGCCGCGTCAGACCCGGACGCCGAAGAGCAGCTCTTCGTCGCCAACCCGGGCCCCATCGCGCGCCTGGGGAAGCGTAGTATTGCCATCGGCTTCGGGAACACGGTCAAAATCCTGAGTCTCGGGAACGAGCGGTTCGAGGAAGACGGGAATGCTCGACCGGGCCCGGCGTTGGCGAGTAGTAAGTGGAGGAAGAAGTGCTTCACCAGGAAGACGTTGTGAGGTGGGAGGGTGGTGTGTGTCGTTTTCGCTAGGCTTTTGGGATTACGCTGGGGGGCTACTGAGGCTGGGTGGGGTACAACCAAGGTTCTGCCTAGTGCGAACAGGGCCGATGAGAGGATTTAATGATGTTATGGCGCTTGGGAGGATGGGCCTTGGCGGGATATAAAGCGCCTCAGGGAAATTGAGGGTGGTCGGGGTCGCCCTAGGCAGCGTTTGCGACGTCACGACGTGAGACGTGGATGTCGTAATCAAAATGTATAAACTTATTAGGAAAGCTCTGATCTCATTATTGGTGAGGTTTGAAGACCTGGCTTGTGCCACCGAGCCCTGATTGTAACGTCTATAGCCGAAAGGACGGCCAAACGCTGGCCGAAAATATATGACTGCAAGACACGTCTTCACTGATCAAGCGTCACGACCATGGGGCGCCCTAGCGGGTGCATAACGTGTATGGACATCAGTATCACTACCCCGTAGTTCTTTATGGAGTACTTTCGAACGCTGACAACGAGATCGGGCACCATCTGAGAGTGAGTCCCCTAGTCGTGATGCCGTATGTGAAGCCACACGGATCGATGCCTGGAAGATTTTCAAGTCTTAAAACCGATTCTTGCCATTCTGCGTAGTACGAGTACAGCTCCAGTTTGACGGTGGACCTAGGTAGGTAGACCGAACCGGATGCTTCGACGAGTTTCTGAGGTCGGACGCTCGGTGTTGGTGTTCTGCTCGTCCCTGCCGGAATGACGCAGATCCTCCGCAGCTCTTCTGCAAGCTCAGTTTGCACACGACAGCCCAAAACACGGCCAGCACACTCGACGCGGTACTGGCTGAGTCGCCAAATGAAGCCTCATACAATTGCAGGCTCAGTCAAGTGTGGGCGTCAGTTAACTGGAAGCGCCGGTGATGGACGTTCATACTGATGATCAGCAACCTCGCCGCACTTCATCGCACGCCTCTACCTCTTCCAGTCGGAAGTCTAGCACGGTCCGATTGAAACCGCGAAAGCACGCCTCCAACGCCTCGCTGCATACTGCACCGACAGCTGAAGACAAAAGCTTTACCTCTTTCCCTTCGCTATCGCCCTCACCTGAAGCGTCTCCATCCCTGACGACCGCTCGCCCCGATCCTTTCAAGCCAACCACGAGCCACATCGGTCATAAGCCGGTGGATTCGAAAGCGCGGAAGATACCGAAGAACACACAGTCTCTGGTGGGGAGTCTTGTCACAAGATCACCCTCCGGAAAGGGCAGGTCAGCGCTCTTCGACGACAGTCCGCAAGATGCACGATACGTACCTGGCAATCTTCACCACGCGAGCGATGAGCATATCGAACATGTCTTGGCTCGGGCTGGCGCCGTGGCACTGGTCAGGCAGTTAGCCGAGGACTTAGCCCAGCGAGATGCTCAGATGACGAGCTTGAGGCGTAGGGCAGAAGAGCGGGAGAGCATTCTGAAGAAAATGCTGAGGGAGTGCGAAGTGTCGAGTTTGAATATCGAAACGCGACTGCGCGAATCGGAACGTGCCCTGGAGCAGTCTCTTAAGAATGGCAACAAAGAACCAATTAGACCCAGCCAACGAAGGAGTCGAGGTTCGTCAGCAGGCATGGGCGCCGCAGATACAATCGATTCAATCCTCATCCAAGCGTTACGTGACAAGCTACCGAGCGGCGCCGATATGGATGTGGACGACAATAGCCTTTTGCTTCCTGGCGATCCTTCTCCTAACGCTGACAGGATTTCAGTCAATTTAACCGCAAACTACCCTCCGAACGCCGGGGAGACGACGAAAGGCTGGAAAACCTACCTGTGGAACGGAAATGCCACGAGCAAGAAGGCTAGTAGAAGCCCAAGTGTTATAAGCAGAAACGAGGAGGACATGGTTCGCACGCGATTAAGGGCCGATAGTGCCGCACAACCTCGTAGGAAGGCCCTCAACAGTGATGTGTTTCGACCTCCAGCGCCAGGCATTCATAGAACGGTAAGCGGCTCTTCGAGCTTGCATCGTGTCCAAAGCGATGAACCGGACAATCGAGGAGACGCACGATCTCGGCGACCGTCTCTATCTGTTACCAACTGGGCGCTCAGATTGGTCGCTGGCAACAACCAGGCCAACCGTGACATCGACAAGCAGGGCATTTTACGAGGAAGGCCGGCCTCAATCAGTAATGAGACGGATTCAAACAAACGGGCACCCTCGATGGGTTCGACCAGAACTACCCAATCCGCAAAAGTTCCGTCAACCATTAATGGAGCTACTGCGAAGGCACCGGTCAAGCGAACTTCCCTTGGTCCTCATGGCACTTTGAAACGAACGCCAACCGACAGCTTGCGCAGTGCGCTGTCCACCCTAGGGCCGGTCAGCCCACCTGCGGTCCCTCGGCGCAACAGCAACCTGGGGCCGGTCGAGATGGATCAGATTCTGCCAGAGGAGACTCGACCACCAACCTTAATGCAGCTTCACAGCACCACAACAGGGAGCGCCGAGTATCTCCTTGACAGATTTGGATTCATTTACGACCAAAGACGCAAGAAGCGACAAAATGATGCGGCCGCGGCTCTGCAGAAGCACAGGCGGGTCGAGTCACTCGGGAACAATAGACATATACTCACCGCTGGGAACGTCGGGGAAGCAGAAACGACCCTTAGAGATTCTCCCAGCACATCTGAGCCTGCTACGCGGCCCGCTAGTATGTCATCGGCGGATCACCAGACCGAGCAGGAGCCGACAACGAGGTGGCATGACTTCCTCAAATTGGCAACCTTTCCAACAGAACTTCTCTCACATACACCTTCCGCTGCGCCCATCACGTCTATAGACTCTGTCGAGGTTGTCGACGACACCACATCCAAAACTTCTCACATCGTCGTGCAGAAACGAGGCTCAGTCCCGGCTCTCAGCACGAATCCAGAGCCTGCGCCCTCACGGGTCGTTTCAGGCAATGCAGAATTCGCTCACTCATCAGCCTCAGAGCCCACCACTCCCGCAGATCCGACAACCAAGCCACCTGACCCGGTCAAGGCGCTGCTGGAACAGCTCACGGAACTGCATGACTCGCTTCAACGCGAAAGGACGGTAAAATGGAACGAGTTCCTTCGAAGGGTGCGTGCCGAGCGCAAGCGGGAAGGACAGGCTGCTGGCAGCGCCGAAGGACGACCTAAGAATATTTCTGGGCCGGAAGCTTCGCTAGCGGATGGTGAAATGATCGGCGTCGCAGGACTCGGAAACAAGGGCAAAGTGGGGCGTGCGAAGTGGAATGAGTTTAAGCATCTTGTCCTCGGCGGTATCCCCGTCGCATATCGCGCGAAGATCTGGGCCGAATGCAGCGGAGCATCTGCTATGCGAGTGCCAGGTTATTACGAAGACCTGGTCAGCAGCAGTACCGATGATCCCGATATCGTCAGCCAAATCCAGATGGACATTCCACGGACGCTGACGGACAATATCTTCTTTCGTCGCGGACCCGGCAGAGACAAGCTCAACGAGGTGTTGCTGGCCTATTCGCGGCGCAACCCCGAGGTTGGCTACTGCCAAGGCATGAACCTCATTACAGCATGTCTGCTTCTGATCATGCCGACCGCAGAAGATGCGTTCTGGATTCTCGCCACCATGATCGAGAACATCCTTCCGCCTAACTACTACGACCACAGCCTCCTCACCTCGCGCGCGGACCAACAAGTCCTGCGTCAATACGTCGCAGAGATCCTTCCCAAGCTCTCCGCCCACCTCGACGACCTAGGCATCGAGCTCGAAGCCTTGACATTTCAATGGTTCCTCTCCGTCTTCACAGACTGCCTCTCTGCGGAGGCACTCTTCCGTGTCTGGGACGTCGTGCTCTGCATGCACGACGGCTCGACCTTCCTCTTTCAGGTGGCGCTGGCTCTGCTCAAACTCAACGAACGGAGCCTGATTGAATGCGACAATCCGGCCGCGGTATATCATTACATCAACCACCAGATGACAAACCATGCCATCAGCATCGACGGTTTAATTCAGGCGAGCGAGCTGCTGAAGAAAGTCGTCAAGCGCGCGGATATGGAGGAGCGGAGGGCAAGGGCTGTGGAGAAGGAGAGGGAGGCTATGAGAGTAAGGGAGGAAGCGCGCGCGGAACGGGCTGCGGCGAGGAAGGGGAAGGCGAGGGTCGTTGAGGTGCCTGAGCTGGGGGCGGGATCGAGTGGACCGAACGGTAGGGAGTCTCTCACGCCTACTCAGGCGATGCACGACGTGTCGAATGGTGTCAGGTATGGGCCTGAAACCTCTGAGAGTACGGTGAAGGTGTTGGAAGAGGTTGAGGATGCGTTTGCGGACTTGCAGGTCAAGACGCCTATGCCGATTGATGAGGAGGCGATGTGGCGGGCTTGATGCGGAGGATACTTCCCAACATTCTGAGTTCACATTAGTTCTCAGTCTAAAGCATTGTTCGCAAGCATCCTGGGTGCGGAATTTTCAGATCGTTTCAGCAGGAGATGGAGTTAAGGTAGCATTGATGGCGTCGTGAGAGCATAAAGAAGCATTGAATGCATTGAAGCGGCGTTGTAGAGCTGCTTTGCTGTTTGTGTGTCCTCTTTCACTCTACTTCGTACACTGCAAACGCGTTGCGGAATGATGGGACTGTACTTTTTGCTCTTGCTGTCTCGTGCACCGAAACCTTGTTTGCAGCCTTTCCTTCCCAATGAGTAAACAGTGAGACCTCGTCAATGCACCATATTCCGATTTTCACGCTCATCTGCATCTTGTAGCACCCTCGTCAGGGCCTCGGAGTCTCCATGGCGTCCAAGTTAAGTGAGGCGCGCCCGCTGTGATAGTGTACATGATGCTGATCTACACCAGAAACCAACAAAGGCACTCTTTGATGATGTAGCCTTGAGCGGAAACATATCCTGACTCGGTCGACTCGAAGACCTGAAGTCCGACACTCTGGCACCAGCCTTTCGGGCAGTTCCTTCCATTGGTAGCTGGGATAACATCTTCACGTTCACAATCCCGGTCTTAGTCGTCTCCACCTCCGATGCAAGTCGATTCGAGCTGGGTCGCCTATTGAAGCATGATACTGATGCTCTCTAGTGCCTGTATCGCTAACATCTTCCAGTCTTCAACATCCTTGAGTTACAAGTTTTGGTGTAAATCTACCATCAAGATAAATTCACCCTCGCTCCACCTTCAGGACTTCATCTCGCTCGTCCTTATAGTCTTCTCTTTCTTGCCGTTCGTCGCTCGTGCACTTCCTCTGGACCTGGATGCAGTTACGAACCCAGCCCTCTTTCCACTCGCCCACCTCTTCCAACACGCTAGTAGTGTTGCACAAGCAGCTTCCCCGAACAAGACTGTGTCACAGGAAGAGGTACCAGCTGAAGTAACCAAGCTCCGAGCGGAGGTCGCCGCCTTACGGAAGGCAGATACCCCGGAAGTAGCTCGCGGTGATGCGGAAGCATATTGGTGCGGCTTAGTACCTCTTTAGTACCCAGCAACATTCCACAGCCGTAGCAAATTACTCGTTCGTGTCACGACAGCAGCTGGAGCAATAGCCTCTCGGCAGCACCATTTGGCCAACGGCCTTCAGACCGGCGTGATCCAGCAACCCAGACCGATGGCGAGCCATACGGAGTCGTCGACATCGTGACCCAGCCGGGAGATCGCCTACAACCACCCTCTCTCGCCGCGCCACGCTCGCTCTCGCCATGCTCCACGCTGCCGCCCCGCACCTCCCGGCACTGTCGCTCCCTCCTCCCCGCCTCCCGCTCTCTCTCCGAGGTCGAGTAGCGAGCCCATGCAGCTTGGGGGGGCCTATCGTCGAAATGCCTTCTTGCGTTCGGTAAGCTGCCTAGTCCCTACTAAAACTCATCAGTAAAGGCTCCGGCGAATTGGTCGCACCTCTCCGCAGTGCCGGGGACCATTGGCCCATATGGGGGAGAAGCCTTAAGTTAGAGGTGAGTCTTGGGGAGTTCCACGTGCTTGTTGGTTTCGCTCTTACCAATGGCTCGGGGTTCGTTGGTCAGATGTCCAGCTCTCAACGTCCGGATTGGTGAGTCTCCATGGCTACATCGATGCGTTTTCCTCCCGTCCATTCAACGGCAAAGATGGACTCGTAGTCCTGGCGAAGCACGTGAAACCGTCTCAGCCACGTGTCGTGTGGCGTCCCTTCGCACTGATGGCTAAATCGGATCGGGCCCGCTTGTCAAATCTGCGCATTACCAAGCAACCAGATCTTCCACATATGCAGAAGAGGTTACGCCGGATAGTGGCTTCTGGGTATACAGTACGCTGGATGATGGGGTTTAGGCGGTCCTGGGAGTCCAAACGGCGCCAACCGCATGCGCATTCTCCGAGACTGCCCTTGGGCCTCGCCGCAAACCATGCAGCAGCGTCACCGTCAGTCCTGTTGATGTCTCAGCGGGGCAGTGCCTTTTCAATAAGTTGTCTGATCCCGCAACAGGCTGTATAATAACGGCGTGCTACATCTCTCGCTGATTGAGACGGCGAAGCACAGACAGTGGACGTGTCTTTAGCAGACATGCCTGGATGGTGTCGTTAGCCCTTCCACAGTTCCGGGTGTAGATGTCTCAAAGAGAGTGACGTTCTGAGCTTAGCGCTAGAGTAAGCTTCTCGTGTATCACGTGAATGACATGTACCCATATACCAGTTGCGCAAGATACGTATCCACAATCATTAAGCTATCGGTTTGAAGGCAAGAAGCTTAGTACCGTCTGCCATATTATCGCTGGTCCTTTACAGTCCCTGACTATCTTCTGATCGCTGGGTGTTCATCAGAAGGGGTCTACTTGAGTGACCTCAGAGTGCCAAGATCAAGGCATCTCAGTGGTGTACTCGTAAATGTTGAATGCTCGTCGCAACGTTAGAACTGGTCCTTGGAGAAATAGTAGAGTTGACAATCCTGTATTTCAGGATCGTACTTTCCTTTCACCTTGACATCATCGCGTGACTGGTGGTTGCAGTGTGTCGATTGAACCGCTCCATTGCGCCACTCTAAAGTAGCTTGGCGCTGGTGGTTACGTGATTGACTCTCTGGCAGGATAAGGAGACAACATATAGAAGCGGAACATCTTTTCGAACCGATAACAACTCACCTCAAGCCGTTGCGACCTTTCCAGCTGTTAACATATACTGTTCGGAGTCATGGAACACTTCGCGCCACACAAGTCCTCCGTCTTCGAGGGTTACTACTCCAAGTTTACCCTGCCGTCTGGGGCGTCCCTGGCGTTGATCATCTGCAGCGTGCCGAAAGCTCCCAAAAGGCCGCACATGGTATCATTTACATATGTACCCAAGGACGTTTCAAATATTTTCCAACGAGAGCTGTGGGTTGAGAGTATCGATCGGGTGCCCACGGGGCCAAATAACGCGTTCGAACTGCGCGTGCCTGGCCTGGGTTATATGAAATGTGCTCCAGACTCCACCACGGAGTACAAGCTAGAACACGAGGACTTCTCTCTCAAGGGTATCACTACGAACCGGATTCCATGGTCTGAGACAAGGGACACGCCGGAAGGAAACCTCGTCTACCTGCCGATTCCGTTGCACTGGCATGTTCAATCACTTGGATCAGAATGCAAGCTCAGTCTTAAGATTCCTTCAGGGGATGTGCCTCCCGCAGACGCAGAGGGCAAGGCAATGGTCCACCAGGAAAAGAACTGGGCCCAGAGCTTCCCAAGCGCACACATATGGATTCAAGCCCGGGAGGGCGCACGCGGCTTCTGCCTCGCCGGCGGACAGATTTTGGGCATGGAGGCTTACCTTCTGGCCTACCGCAGCGAAAAATGGAACATCAACTTCCGGCCACCATTCGCACTGAAAGCTCTGGGTCTCTCCCCTTTCATGTGCGTAACGCCCAATTGGGACAACCGGTCTTTCGAGCTCAGCGTTCAGAGCTTCCGGACGAAGATTGTCGCGCGCGCAAAGGCTCCTGCTGGCACGTTCTTCTCCTTGAGCTCGCCTTTCCCGGAAGGTCACCGGGAGAACTACTTGGGCCAGAGCTTTCAGGCCACGCTGGATGTTGAGGTCTATGAGAGTGGATGGCTTGGTCCCTGGAATCTGGTACACAGAGATCGCTTCGAGGGGGCAGCATTGGAGTTCGGAGGGGAGTACTATCCGCAACGCGGTACTGACAAGAAGATGAATTAGACTACTTCTCGTTCCGAACTTGTACAAGAATACCTAAGACATTAATGAGCTACAAGTTCGAGCTCCAAGGAACGAGCATTGCTACACTGGTGCCTTTTCTCAAGTTGTGTGCGAAAACCCTTTTCGCCACCTTCTCGATCCAGCCGAACTCTAGCAGTTAACCAAATTTCATCCTCTTCTTCACGAAATGAGTACCCTCCAGCCAAGCTGCCACTACTGTCTGTCCGAAGCGCCATTCGGCGGCTTCTTCAACCTTGGGTGTAGGCCCAGATGATCGTCGTCTACAGGAGGCTCAAAGTTGTGTTCTTCTCCAAGGGGCCACCGTGCTGTGCCGACCGGTTTGTCCTTCGTCAACCTTGGATCTAGCACAGTCTCTAGGAGCGGAGAGTCGGAAGCCTCGGCCCTCTCGAGCGCGCCTTGGATCCATTTCGGCTTGAGCGTTTCCCGTATCGCACTGACTGGTAATCCCTTTGGCGGATTCATCAATTTATCCGGCACTTTGGTCAGCGCGTCCCGTACCCAGTTTCTTCCGCGGTCAGAATGGTCGGATTCGGCAGACGGCTGGCGAACGGGTTCGTAAGGCTTGGTGGCGAGGACGTCCTGCAGCCAGCTTTGCACATAGTCTGGATTATCAATATTGAAGGGTGTCGTCGGTTCCGTGCGGTCGTTGGGGTTTTGAGCTCGAGCGTCGCCCAACCGGCCTCGTCCGTCTTCTAAGAAATCAACCTCGATTGTTGTCGACCCTGGCGTGGTTTCTTCCGGATACTGTGGCGCCTCAGGAAGAACCCCAGATTCGGGCTCGATGCTTTGGATGATGGTTCCTTCCGGGGCCTCTTCGATCGTGCTGTACGTGTCATCTTCCGACGATTCCGTACTCGCCGATGGAAGCGTCCGAAGCGATGGCGTTGAACCTGCAGACCGGACATCGGTATCAACGTTTCGTGGCCCAAAATACTCTGGGTGCTCTGCGTGAAGTAGCTCGATTGTGGCTTCTAGTTGTTCCAATAGCTCCCTATTCACTGGAGGACCCCCTGGTGTTGGTGGCGGGTGCCGGAAATCGACATCATCATCATCCTGGAACAGATTTCGTTGCGGTGACTCTGCGTAAGGGTCTGCGATCTGAACATCGTCCATGCTCATGTTCCTTGTCGGATCCAGCGGCGTCAGAGGCGAGAACCGGAAATTCGTGCCGGTATGTTGAAATGTACCGTACTGCGGAAACTCTGCAGAGGGCGCTACAAGCATGGCATCTGCGAAATTCATGTTCTGTGTTGGATCCCCCGGTGTTGAAGGCGGAAAGCGGACATCGATATCGGCATCTTGTGACTCGTTTCTTGCTGGCGAGTCCGGAAAGCGCACCCCCGCCGCGCTCATCTTCTGCAAGAGCTCTCGCTGTTTATTCAAGAAAGGCAAGGCGCGCCCGAGCGAGGTGCTAATGAAAGCCATCGTGGCTTCTTGGTCGGGTTCTGCGGCCTGGCTAGGATCGACTGCGTCCAGCTTCACGCCGGCTGAACCCGTCGACTCGCTCTCGTCCGTACTCGTCGGCTCGAAACCAAATACCTGCAGCCCCTCTTGTACCTCTGGCGGAATGGCATCGCGCTCGACAACCTCAAATGGAAAGTCTTTGTGAGATATGCGCCGCGAGCGGCTGCCTATTGCGGAATGAACGGCTCCTGAATCCTTGCGTGGTTCGATGATTTGCATCTTGCTAGGCTGGTGGGCTGTCTCTGGGTTTGAAGATGTGTGTTGCCTCTTCAAAGACGACGGCGTCTGATCCTGGTCCGCCATGTTGTTTGTTTACCAAGGCTTTCGGGGACCGCTTGATGGGTTGGTGGGCCGACTCCAAGTGCGATGAGTTTGATCTATGTGAGCAAGGCTACATGCAACTGTAATAAAACTGGCAGATAAACAAAAGCAAGGTTGATGCTATTGGGCGTAAAGCAGACGGCGCATGGACTGTTTAGAAACGCTGCGAGAGATGCCCGGTGAAGGAGATGTCGGTTGCAAACGCATAACGGTTGCCACTGCCATCCATGATGATGAAGCACAGCATCACTGATGAGGAAGGAATGCGCCCACTGCGAACCTTTTGGCCATGCGGCTAAGTCAACTACGACGTAGGTCGCCATTGCGCTTATCTGCGGAACCGTTCATCACAATTATGAGGTTGCTGCTGGATCTCGACGGCCCTGGGTCCATCAACACCTTCAGTGTTCATCCGGAAACAACGTTTTCTCTCGACAGCACACCACGGTTTTCTCGAAACAGCTCGTTTGTACTGGCGCGTCAACAATCGCGGAGGCACAAGAGAAACTGAAAGAACGATTCGCAGTTCAGGAAGCCAAAGGCCTTGAAAACATCTGAGGGAACCACACTCTACCACAAGGTTCATATGCCGAAAAGCTTAGCTCTCGCTGCCGCACTCCCACCCACTCATGATCCATCTCTCACACATAACCGCAAGTCATCACAGGCACTCGAGAACAGCGCTCCAGCACTCAGAAAGTCTGGAGACGACTCATCCGGCCACCCACAGGTGGGAGAGGTTCATGGTGTCAGCAGCGCACGCCGTAGGTGGTAGCGAGGACCTGAGATGGGCTTGTCGTCACCATTTCCCCACTGGGGAACCTAGATTCGGCGTGGCAATGAGGAGAGGCGGCATGGTTCCGCGACGGTGCAGTCGGGACGCGAATACGGGAGACGAACGTCTCCATGTTGAAGGAGAAGAGTTACGGGGAATGGCGCTGGTGGTTCTTGCTGAGCGGGTTGGCATGCAGATGAAGGCCAGCAGACAAGAGTGGTTTCTACGCCAGGTAATTTTTTGAGTCTCACATTTGATGGACACAACCGAAGCTGCAAGAGTGCATCAGGGAAAGACTCTGAAAGTGGCAAGATTTAAGAAGCATACAATGGAAATCGATAACCTAATTCTTGATTGAAGATACTTTATGCTCCGATAGCCCAGCCTCATACTGTCAGTGCTGCACAGCTGCGCTCGTTAACTCCCAATGTTTGCCGTTAGAGCACTGCCTCAAAACTTCCGTGGCTGTCGCCGGAAACTGAGAGGAGGCATGAGAATCGTGCCTCTTGCGTACTTCCCCCATTGAGCTGTGCCTCAAACAGTAACCGGAACCTCAACCTTGAGCGCTGGAGTAAACTCCGCTTCCTCGGCTTCCCGGTGCGAGGTTCTTCGGGGAGCAACCAACCTCTCCGCGGTCGCCGACGAGCGTTACGCAGTCGCCGTGGACAGCGTACGACGTAGGACAGATCTGGGAATCTCGCATGGCAGTTGGTTCGTGGGAATAGCACCCGGAGTATCTCCCTAGCTTCAGAGGCCGGATTCACCAGTCCCGGCTTCTCGGATCAAACAAACGAGCGGTGGTAAAGGGAACGCGTTCTTGGTCAGTCTTGTATGCACGACATCGACGCATCAAGGCCTGACTATTCAACTTGGAGGGCTGGGCTCATAGTTGGCCGGCTGCAGCGCCGATCTCATGGATTCTGTGCAGCACGAGTGTGGGCCCATCCAATCGTTGCGGCGGATGAAGGGGTTCAGCGCGACTGCTGCTGATAGGTCCAGCCGTCCAGTAGCAAGATGATTTGGGGCGATTAAGCTTGTACAGCTGCAGCCAGAGTAACGACGATGGAAGCCTGCCCTCTCGAACGGCGAGGTAGAAAGGACAGCGATCCGCCCTCGCTGAATCAGAAGTCTGCAAGGGCTGTCGTCCGCGCGACGACGATAATGAACGCCCAGGTGGAAAAAAGCAAGTGGAGAGATGCAGACAGGACGCGGGACGAAGCGGCAGCCGGGCAGCCACCCGGGCTCGTGCATGCATGGCATTGAAGGGTTCCCAGGTTGCGGCCTCTGCACACGCAAGCACGCCGTCTGTCGCGCAGATACCTTAGCGGAGCGGGCATCAACCTGGCTTCACAGAACCTGTGAACAGTAAAACACATGGGCTGTTTGGACCATGGGATGCTCGAAATCCAGTGCCAAGTCCAACTCAAACATGCTGGTTCTGGGAATCTGCGTCAATGTGGCCGAGGGTGTTTTGCACGGAGCTCACGAGGTTGATGATAGCTGCTTTGAATACTGGGGGCGCGTAACACTCGCCCATGGGCCAGTCCAGGCGCTCTAGACTACCAGTGGTGTATTGAGAGAACAGGCTGAACGAAGATATAGCCCTGCGACTTAGTCCGGCAGAAGACAAATGCACCAGCGTGAGCTAAGGTAGGGTAAGGATGCGTCCCGCTAAAGCTTGACCAGCACCCACAAACACAGCGTTGCACATGATGGGCGCAAAGCAGCAACATTGTAATCATCACCGTCTTTCATTTCTCGCGGTGGGTGTTGAGCAGCAGTACAGGATCCCTGTCACCGCTCTCCCAAAAGAGAACAGAGGTCGAACATGCATGGTTGGATCACTGCACCCTGCATCAACGCGTGGGGTGGGTGGCGCCGCTGCACCCGCAGAGCAGCGGAAGCGGGGTTCCGGTCCGCTCGACCCCAGCTTGCATTCGCTCCATCGTGATCCATGTACATGCGCAGTGGGATTAGAGACTACAGCCAGGACGCGCACCAGAGCAATACAAGCCTTGAGCAGACCCCTTGTTGCGGTAGAGACTTCCTGCTTGGTTGCCCGATTTCAGCCGTAAGGAGCCACAGCCGAAGCGAGGGCGATACGAGGAGCCCGCGAAGGCCGTCGATGCTAACCGGCTTGCCCGATGCGGCAGCAGGGTGTAGTAAGCAGTGCGCGGCGTTCTCGTGCAGCGATGCGTGGATCAGTCCACTGTAAAAGGCGGAGAAGCTGATGCAGTCGGACCAGATTGCGTGTAAAGATTTGGCGAAGTGTTTCTTGAGGTTGCGGACGCTGAGACGCGCGAGCGACCGCTGATCATGCCGGAGTTGCTCGTGCCATGGCCTGCGCAGAACTTGGTCTTGGAACAGCAGCAGACGCGACACGCGTCCCTTTGACTCGCCTCACCATATCTACAAGATGCATTACAGCTGCACACCCTCCTTCAGTCGTTCATCCACGCTGCCACCCTGCTTCCGCCGAACCTGGCTGCGAAGCGCAGACCGGTCGAGCCCATCGGAAAGTAGCTAACGAGATACCAAATGAGGCAGACGATTTGGACGATTGCCGAGAAAAGCGTTAGGATGGTGCTTTGAAGCTAGAATAAATCACGCGCGTCAAGCGTCAACACGAGTAACCGACGGAAAGCGCGCTAAAACGACGTGGGGCAGGCTTGCGGTGTGGCTGCGCCAACTCGAACAGGGATGATGGACATTTGGAGTGATCGAGGGCAAGGGTTAGATCACTTACACCGAGAGAGAAATACAGAGTCAATGCTATGCTGCCGAAATATGCAGCCGTAAACGGCAGCCGTGGGCCGGATAGCAGATGCTGCACTGTGCGGAGGGTCAGTCGTTTGATGAGCAAGCCGCTAATGCGAGACCGTTTGCTTACCGTACTGCATTGGGCCCATCATCACGGCCCATGCAGCCAGGAATAACACGGAGCCCATTGTCCATCTGATACGAAGCGTTAGTGTTAGCCTGATCCAGCATCGTCGAACCCTGGCAACGAATGCCTCAAACCAGGTTCTTGAGGCGAGTCGTTGAGATTAGGTATTGGACCCTGCTTTGCAGCATGCTATCGCTAGCTGCCGCCAGCCGCATGATCCACGATTGTGCATCTTCTGTCCCGAAACAGGTGTGGCTGAAGGTTAATGATGTAAGAGGACTCTGCAATGTGAGCGCAGGCTGCGCCCAGTGCCTGTCCAAGGCGTGAGAATAGAGAGTGGCAACACCTACAATATCGCGAATTTCCTTGGCTTGAGTACGAAGACGCCGGTGGGCATCAGAGCGAAGCAAGTGGCGAACATCGCCAAGGCTGCGAGGTTGAGACCGCCAAATACGAGTAGCCGATCCCAGCGGCTAACTGTGGGTGCACGATTAGCTGTGTGTAAAGCGCCTTCGAAGATCTTGTAAGTGCGGAACCGCGGGAGCATGCAAGCCTCATGCATGAACGGGAGATGCGAAGACGGCGTCTCTGCCATGGCCGCGCGAATTTCTGTCTGCCGCAAATGCAGCGTGTCAGGCAGTAAAAGACTTACGAGCAAACCAGCCCTCCTCTTCCTCTCTCCTGGAAGGCGCAGGAAGCGGAGCTCCCGGACTCTCATGCGTAGGCAGCCTAACGTAGCCACCTGCACCGAATGGGTTTAAGGACTGAAGCTTGCCGAGTATGGGCGTGGACGAAGAGGTGTTCACGGGCGAACCGGCATCTCTCCGACTCCAGCCAAGCGAGCTCATGGAATCCCTAAACGAAGCGGACGCCATTTTGGGGGACACCGGCGTGCCGATGAGCCGTGGATGGCTTGATTGCGTGGAGGGAGGCCTGCTTCCAAGAAGTTAATGGGGCGGCCACCAAAGACTCTGGCACGAAGCAGCTTGCCAGTCTTGACAATATTTGTGGATGTACGAGGAAAGTTAGATGTAGCTTCCATCCATAATTACACGGTAGCGACGCGTCTGCCTTGACTTACGTCTTCGACTGCGCCTCGAAGGCCAAGCTCCCGCTATGCAGACTGTACACCTGTACACCTGTACACCAGGTACCTCCGTCCAAAAGCTGATGCCTTGCGAGAGCTCGTCAAGGCTTGTAGGCGGCTAGAGCGTCGGCCGGCGGCGGAAAAGGCGCCTGGCGGGAGCGCCTCCGTTTGTCTCGGGATGCGGCTCGAGGACGACGGCGCAAGTATCAAAAGCGTCCAAGGAGAAGCAGCTGCGCGCCGCGGGAGGGGGATTTCGTGCAGATGATCTTCGCAGAGCGCAGTAGTTTCAGGCTGGAAAGGTCCAATGACGATAAGGGTGCGGACGAGGTCTTAGACAGATAGGGCAGCTGCAGGAGCTTGTGATTACCAGACCGTTAGGAAGGATGGGCGACAGCTGGTGCGGCACAGTCGGAGCTCTGTCAAAGAAACGTGCAGCTTTGTCGCGAAATAAGCAGGGATGGCGTTAGTGAGGCAGTGATTGGCGGAGCTTCGAAAGGGAGGGGGGTGCGGAGGCGCTGTGTCGAGCGGAGAGTGTGCTGCTGCTTTGAGGTCGAGTCGGGGTGCTCGAGGGGGTGTTGGAAGCAATAATGACACCCATGAAGCCAGCTTTTGGCGGCGGAGGGGTGGCTCCGGAAATGCGCCAGCTGCGCTCCCTCAACGTCGCCAACCGTGCCAACCGTCAGCACTCGGCACACGCCCGACGATGGTGAATGCGACAATTGCGATGGCTCGAGGATGCGGAAGCGTTCCATGAGTCACGCTGTGCCTTCCAACCCCCAAAAGGGAGGCCGGATGCGCGTCCTGTTTGATTCCTGATCTCTGATCTGAGACTTGAGCCAGGCCTGACCAAAAAGCCTCCCTGGGAGAGAGGGAACGAGCAGGCGAATGCCCCAGCGCGCCACCGAGCAAAGTACCATGAATAGAGGGCCACCACTCGAATATATGATGCGCCCTGTTCCCCCAGCTGCCCCCCCTCGTCCAACCATCTTTTGTGAACGCCCGTCCGAACTGCCCTTTGAACGCTAGCAGAGTACCGTTCATGAGCTGCCTCCGCCGCTCTCCCATTCGCCGATAGCTGTTCTCGCTATCAACGAATTAAAGTGACGTCGTGTTGCTGAACCCGCGGCCAGGCTGAGGCAAAGTAGGCATCTTCAAGACGCTCGGAAACACCTCAGCACGCTCAGGACTGCTTCACCACATCCGGATCTGAGGCGCGTCGACAGATCGACCCCCCGCGGAGCTCTTTGCGTTTGCGGATTTGGAGAGAGAGAGTGCGTCCTTGGTCCGCCGTGCCCGCAGCGCCCGAACCACGCTCAGCTCCCCGTGCTCGCTCCTCATTCGCCAGACATCCCACATTGCGCGCTCTCCTCCACCGCCTTTCTTTCTCCTGCGGACAGACGACTGGACGACTTACTCTACTACCACTGCCACTGCCACTGCCACCACCATCACCACTCCTCACGCCCGACGCCTTGCTTCTGGCCCACTCATCACCAGCCCAGTTTGAAAGTCGACGCCGAAACCACTTTTGCTCTCGTCACAAAGGCGATTCTAGAGCCAACCGCCTCGCACGCAGCCCACCAGAGCCCCTCCCCCACTATCGTCACATCTCGCGCTCCACAGTCCCACAAGCACCCTCGTCGCCGATTGTTCTCTCAGCGGCCACCGGGCCGGGCGTCGACACCTAACTTCCTCCAAGGCTATCGCTGGCTTGCCACGGCTCATACTTCTCGCGCACCGAGCCTGTAGTACAGCGCAGTGCACCTCAATCTAAATTTGCTGCTCCGACGACAAAACCTTCAACAAAACCCCCTCCGGTGAAGACACCCGTGCCATTCGAAGCGGATCCTGCTTTCTTTCGACGGAGCGCTCGGCTGCCTGCTTGCCCGCTGAAACCTCGATGTGAGTACACTGGCACTTTCCTCTAAGCCTCAGGGCTGCCTTGTCCCCAGCGGACAGATCACTGCCACTGCCACTGCCACTGCCAGGAGTGGAATTGGCCTCTAGTTTCTTAAAGCTTGAAGTTGGCTCGGCTCAGTGGGAGAACACCGGTTCGTGTAACCGGCTGCTACCATCTTTGGCATACATTCCCGTGGCAGGGCGAGCAAGGCGAGCAAGTCGAGTGAAGTGCGGCTGCCGCCCGCCTTTCTTTCCCCTTTGGGCCAACCCTCCTATCGTCCATTGTCTTCTTAGCCACTTCACTTTCGGGGGCCGAAGCCAAGCCTCGCACCATAGATTCCCCACAACTTCCTTCCAGATCACTGACATTTCAGTCTCGACTGCAGTCCGCATCCTACTCTACCGATCAGCCTTCTGATCGCGCGACCTTGTCGCACCCATTTATTGCACGACATTCTTACGGACGTCATTGCGCATTCGAAGCGCCGGACCTACCCTTTACACCGCTGGTCATCGCAGCGACACCTGGCCCAGCTTGCCGCGCATCTGGACACAACAGCATCGGAGCTGTATACTCGCATAAAGCTTATGTCGGGCATTCTGCAACGCATTGGCCGCTGATACAGAAGCTAGAACGGCACAGTAGCCTTGCCGTCTGAGGTGAGCTTATGCTCTTGCATACGCTGTGGGAAGCCTAGCTTATGCGGATCTGACCTCCTCTACGTAGAGCTCACTGCAAACTCAACGATAGCGCTAAAGCTTATCCAAGCTTTGCCAACGGCTGAACAAGCGGCTCAAGCGCGCTTAAGCTTAAATCCCCTGCGCCGCTCCCCGCAAATAAATTCACGACCACATAGGTCTAGCGATCTTGTGCCGCCGCTTTCTACGTCGACACGCCTCGTCGCGTAACTGGTTCTCCGTTCGGTCACGTTCTACAGCCTTAGTACCGCCAGAATAAAGGTTGTCTGAGGATACAGCAGAATTATCGCATCCAGCACGAACCTCGGCATTGTACCACACCGTTAATGCTTGTGTCCTGTAAGTACCATCTCGCTTGAGTGTCACAAATTACTTCCTCCCTAATTCCATTGCGGCGATGTAAATATCCGGTGGTTTCTGAGGGTAGCCGCTGCTGTTGTAGCGCCGTATGAACACCAAACGCAAACGGGCGCAGCTTTCCAGCATGTGCAACTCAACGCTACCGCTTACTTCCAATTCCGTCCAGGCGTTAGATTGTACAGGTTCATCCAAGTATCTGCTAACATACGCAATAGCCGAGACCGTCTTTACCGGCTACTCAGCTACGAGGAGCTCCATTGACAGTACGCTGACCGCTATCGATTCCGACAACGACATTGTGGGAGAGCATTTCAGCAGCCACAGAGTAGACAGCATGACCGGTACAGGCTCGCCAACCCCTTACATCAAGGACGAACCGGACGATCTACAGTACAACCCCCACCGCTTCATGAGTCACAACGGTTACGACATGGCGCAGCAGTTTGGCAACCAGCATTTTGGGACTTCGCATGGAGACATTGGTGGCGTCAACCCGTCTGACCTCACCATGAGCGGAAGCTTCATGGGCAACCAATACGGATCACATAACCTCTCGTCAAGTTTCATCATGGGGAACTCGAACATAGCGGACGATGAGCTTTTGGAGGGGCTTGTCGAGGTGGATGAGTCCAACCGGCAGCATGGCGGTTTCAACAGCGGCATGCAGAGCCGGAACGGATACATCCAAGAGCCGATGAACGGAGCTGGTGGACCAGCTCCACAGGCAGCCAACATTCACCAGATGTACTCAAACACCCCGGACGGTGCCCCAATACAGAGCCCCTTCGTACACGACTTCAACTACAATGTGTTCCGGAACGTTCACCCACAGCAGGGGTACCACCCGAACGTTCCCACGTCTGGCAGCATGCAAAACGGTGGCTTCGTGCGCACCGGTTTGGAGAGGCATGCATCGGATTCCCGGAGCCCACTTACTCCGAAGACTCCAGCACTAGGCGGCCTACATCTCGGCACACCAGATTCGGGGAGCTTCGGCTCGCAGCCCATCGCCGCGAATGCGATGAGCCATCGCCAGAAGCAGAGCATATCGAGTCAGTGGGAACACACGCCGAGAAGCGCGCAATCCTGGTACGATTCGCCTCTTGCATCACCTCATGGTGGCTCAATGCACCACCCGCAAATATCAGAGGTCCTAGGTTCGGGAAAGCATGCTTCATCGTTGCCAGCGAAAGTCGACCTCGGAGTGCAAGGTGCGCCAGGCATGCAGTCCCAGTCGCAGGAAGCCAAGCGGCGTCGACGGCGTGAATCGCACAACCTGGTGGAGCGTCGCCGAAGAGACAACATCAACGAGCGGATAACCGACCTGTCTCACCTGGTGCCTATGCATCGGCTGGAAGATGAGAAGGTGCGCAAGCACATCAACAACAATGGACCGCTTTCACCAAACTTGACAGCGACGGGCATGTCACCGCCCCAGGCTACGTCTCTGCTGGCAGGCGGGACGGGCAGACGTGCCGCTGGCAGCATCACGCAAGGCCTACCCATCGAGGATAAAGATAAAGGCCCAAACAAAGGCGACATTCTCAACGGTGCTGTGGGCTGGACTCGAGATCTCATGTGGATGCTCTACCGCAAGCTCCATCAGGAAGACGTTCTTCGGGACCAAATCCTTGCACTCGGTGGGGTCCCCGCTATTGACGAGACGGAAGAAGAGAAGCGCATGAAGACCGAACTTCTAGGTGCCATGGAGGTAAACGATGCGGCCAGCTTCTCCTACTCTCGATATGCTGGCAGTGGGCTTCGAGTTCCAAAGCACACGAACATCGCTGGCGAGCCGCTTGAGAGTTCCATATCTCCTCATGGCAAGAACCAAATGTCCCCTCAGAGCATCAGTCCGGCTCCCTTGAGCGGCAGCAGCGGTTCCAATTCAGGAGGCGCTGGCCAGCAAGCGTTCTGGATGAATCAACATGGCAACCAGGGCCCTTTCAATCATCTCAAAGAAGAAGATGAGTTTGGAATGGAGATGTAACCGAGCAGTGTGGGACACCACACCACTGCGTCTGAGCCACTTCCGAAGATATCCATATCGACGATCTCACGAATGCGCACATCACCTTGCACGCCATGTAGATGAGCTTATGTACACTCGGCATGCATAGACCGAGGCTATGATCCCTTTCGTGCGCTTGGGAGTGCGTTCAGATGCTCAGAGTTGAACTTGCTCCATCTTGGCAACTTTACCTCAAGGTCATATGGTTTCTGCTCTTTGATTCTTTGGCGAATCATGGCGTTCTCTTCAATCTTTGCTTTACTCTGCACATCAGCCTTGGTTTTCATATCATAACAAGGGAGTTGGCGGGCATATGCGGGCGTCCCTAATGCTGGCGTGATTTGATCTTCGGGTTCCAGGAGCTTTTACGGTTGGGTGGGCGGCAATCTTTTCCAGCGTGCTATTTTGCTTTACGGTCTGCTTGCTCTGCATCTCTCAGGCGTGCTATATCACCTTGCGTTTTTGCACACATCTGCACCTCTCCACTTTTCCTTCAGTCTGCGCCGGGTTCCGGTTCCTCGCTGCATCGCTAGCGCATATCTCTCGCTGGGCAACGCGCTTGATACGCTTCGGTGCATAGAGTAGACCAGACCTGCCTTATGTTTGTCTTTTCATGCGTTTGCTGGATGCAATCTACTGGCTTTTTCCTACTGGCCCGTCCGCTTGCGGAGGGGTTGAGAGTGGATTTGCTGCTAGCGAGCTAATGACACTCCTCGTTTGCAGCCCTTGCATAACGTACATATTGTGTTCCTGTGATGTTGTTGTCGTTGTTGTAGACCCTTCACTGACGCCGCCAAGCCTGCAGCATCCGCGTTCTCTGACGCGCAAAGGCAAGCTGGTCTTCTTCCCAAGCCCGAGTGCGTCTGATATGACATCCATCAACTCCAGAGGCCCACAGTCCACGGTGACCAGTTCCACACCCGGACGCTCGACCATGACTCTCTCCTTCCCTCCGCGCCCCCCCCATCAGCCCCGCGAGAGCCTCCCATCAGCCCCACGAGAGCCTCTCATCAGCTACGACACAGCCCACAGCCCTGTACCCCCAAATACACCATCACTATCACCATCACCGCTTATCCCCACCGCTAACACCCTCCTTCACCTCCGCCCCACCAGCAGGCTCATCCTCCGCGAACCCAAGATTCCGCATCTCGTCCGGCGCCATCAGGTTGTGCTGCATGCGGCACTGCAGGTACTGCTTCGAGAGCGCGCGACACTCTGGGTCGTTGGTGCCGCGGTGCTGCCGCAGACAGCGCAGGTAGGTCGTCATTACGGACTTGCATTCGCCGTCGTGGTCGAGGGGGAAGGAGCCGCGTTCGGGTCTGTAAGGGGGGGCGGTTTGTGGGGTTAGCTGGGCTTTGTTTGTTTGAGGGGAGGTGTTGGGGGGAAGGTGTGCTGGGGCTGATGGCGGATGTGCTGGAGGGAGCAGACTGAAGGACTCGGGAGGGGGGTTCGTAGCGGAGGAGCTTACGGCGTGGGTTTTTGGATCTGGACGCGGCCGCCGGGGCCGCCGAAGGCGCTCATCTTGCTCCTCTTGCGATTGAGGGGCTTCCTGAGATTATCTGGCTGGTTGCGAGGGATCTTGGCCAGAAGTGCAACAACGTGATTGACGTTTCACAACCTCTCAAGCCGAGGCCACGCGGTGGCGCCAGCGTTTCATGACGTGCGTTTCGGGGGAGATCTCGAAGATCTGGGGAAGGGACGTTCTATGCAGGGTCTTTGTCACTAGCGCCAGTGTTCTTCTGTCTAGGGCATATGAGCTTTGATGTACCTTACTCTTTTGCTCTGTTTCACTATCCAACGAGAATCGACTTCCGTGGCCAATAGTGCGCTATCAAATGCTAACCATCAATCGCATACGCCGGTTGGGAGACCTCCAAGAAGATGCTGATCCATGAAGCGGATCACATCACGACAGTTGTCAGAGATTCCGTCGCCAAACGTGACAACCCCCACGCCATCACCAATGCTTCACAATAACCAAGAGGCCCCTCTCCCTCAACTCTCTAACCGCATCCAGCACCCTCTTCCTCTTCATGCCTTCCCTCCCCGCAATCTCCTCCAGCGCATGGCGTCCATCGAGATACTTCACAAGCACCGGCCACAGCTCGCGCAGCTCCTCGTGCGGATCTCCCTTCTCGTCCACAAAGCCGTTGCCAATATGTTCCAGCCATCGCGCTTCCAGTGCATTGGCCCGTTGCGGGGACTTGACTATCGAAGCTGTACGGTTTGCAGACGACGAGGAGAGGGAACTCAGCGACTGGCCTGGCGTGGAGGGGTGGCTGTTGGCGCTTGCTGAGGCGAGGGAGCTGGCACGGCGGCTCTGCGTTGGAGACATTGGCGCGGGGGATTCGGTGGTAGTGGGAGTTCGGTGTTGGGGCGAAGCCTGGAGAGGGGTGTGGGTGGGTCGCGTCAGGAACGATGGTCCTAATGGACTGTTGATCGGTGTAACGGATTGGGGGCCGCTTGTGCTGCCCGTGTCATGCGGTGGAGCCGTCGCAGTAGCTGGAGAAGTCCTGAGTTCATCTGCTCCGTCGCCATCGGCGGGCAGCACGTGAGGTAATGGACTTGAGGGAGCCTTTTCGATTGCAGACTTTGGTCTGCTATCGCTACTGGCAACGTTCTTCGTAGACTCAGCGACGTGTTCGAGATTCCTTTCATCAATCCTCTGAGCCTGCTCTGCAGCTTCCGCTTCGGCCTTCTTTGCGTTCTCCTCGGCTTCATCTCTCGCCTCCCGATCGATAATCTCAAAAACCTCTCCCTTGACCTTAGCCGAGACTCTCACCCAGGCGAACGTTCTTAGTTGCGTCACCCAGCCTCCACGCATTAGCCAAGCGAGTATTTCCATATACGCGGACCGGTGATCCTTGCTTGGAATGAATGATCCGTATGGTCTCGGCGCGCCAGACAACCTCTCCAACATCTTCATCAGAGGCGGCAGGGTCGGAAAACGCGCAGCATAACCAACGATGGCGGACGGTAGGGCCCGCATACCAGCATTGGGAGACACGATGTACGTATCCCGGTGATTCAGAGGCGGAATGGCGCGAGCGCGCCGCCAGTATATCAGGTGATTAGCCAGCAGCTGGATATGCTGGATCTTGATCGAGAAAGCTGCGGCGAGCTTCTGGAGAGACTTTGTAGGGGTGGAGTTTCGGATGTAGAAAGCTAGCGGCGCTGAGCGCTCTTTGGCATCGCCCTCGATCTCCTTCAATAATGTCTCGGCGTCTTCCAGTAGGAGAAGTGCACAATGCGGGCTCAGGCCGGCTTCCGGATCTTCATCGTCCACAACACTTGCTGTAGTCAACCAGAGACCCGGTATCTGTGGCTGGGTTGTGGTTGGGACGTAGGGAGTCGAGATTGCCTGCGGGATCTGGAACGAGGTTTCAAACGCTGCGTCGAGATGAACGTGGGCAATCTTAGAGCTTGAGATCGAATCAAATATTATGGCGATTGACTTTGCAAGTGCGGATGAAGAGATAATTTGGTGCCACAAGGTTGACATCGGAGTTTCTATCAAACTGTCAGCCTGTGGTTGTCCAGCCTAAAGGGTACAGGACCTACTATTCTCCCTCGCTTTCTGCTTCATAGCCAGAATCTCCCGTGCCTCTTTCCAAACATAACTGGAACAAGCTTGCTCTTCCTTCAAAACCTTGGCGTACTTCCGCACCACGTTGTCGTACGTCTCTTTGACCCGTAACTGATATTCCAGCGCTGGAGGATTCAGCACAAACACCACGTTGAACATAGACATGTCGTTCTCGTGTCCGTTCGCCGAGCCCGCTTCGGAAGCACTACCAGAGACCAGATCATGGCCATAGCCAGGCTCAAATCCTGATACGAGAGCTGGATCGAATGGCTCTTCCCCACCGCGCATATTTACGCCCTCATCTTCATCGGAAGGACCGTCCGTCTGCGGTCGGCCGTCCGTTGCCTGCGCTGCCTCGTCCTGGTCGCAGGCCGCCTGATGATCTCGCCTCTCGCTATGCCTTCGCCTCTTCTTCTTCCACAACCCATCCGCCCTGACGAACATTGGGGCGCCCAGGAACACCAGTCCCTCAAGCCCAACCTCGAACCTCCTCTTGTTGAACCCGCGCGGAGGCGAGAGCAGTTTCTCCAGGCTCTCAATGTTAAACCCCAACACCCTTTCCCACTCCAAGACACCCTCAGCCTCCACGCTCTTGCCCTGCCCCTCCCTCTTCTGCCCTACGCTCCCAGTGCGCGAGAGCTCAAGCTGGTCCGCCCCCTCGGCCTCCTCCTCCTCCACCGCCTCCTCATCCCTCTCATCAATGCCCCCCAGCCCGCTCATCTGGCCCCTCGCGCGCGCACTCGCCTTCGCAGCACCCCCTCTGCTCCTCCCCCTCACCCCCTCCCCATTCTCCGCGCTCAGCACATCGGCGTCCTCCCCCGCCTCTCCCTCTTCAAGCGCATCGGCGCCCCAGTCCGAACTCGCGCCGCCGTCAGCAGTGCTCGACCAGCTTCCGTGACGGCCGGGAGCGTTTGGGCCCGAGGCCCGCGGATAGGGCGGGTAGTGGAAGACGAAACGCGGGCCGGTGTGCGATTTTACGACTAGGAAGATGGCAACGAGCGAGGGGTTGGGGGGGAGTGGTGGGTGGGGCATTTGTGGGTGCGCATTGGCGCGAGGTGAAGATATGATGGCTTATGGTGCCGCGCGATGGGGAGGGCGGGAGGGCGTCATGGGGTTGGGTGGACACTTCTGCAAGCCAAGGGCGAGGACTGGAGAAGTCTGCGGCTGGGGGAGCCATGGTTCTGCAAGGAAGCCATTGCTGCTTTGCGGAGTGAAGACGGCAAGCTCATTCATCCGTCGGCGTTTAGGTGTGTTTAACTCCGCTTGTCCTACTGTTTTACCGCGTAATAAATCAGATCACCGCCTGGCCTGTCTGTAATGACTTGGTTCTAGATTAGGCTTGATTAGGGCGGCGGATGCTACAGCTACACTACCTCTACCATACCAAGTCTATCTACGCGCGCAGTCGAAGCAGCCAGTCTATGTTCCGTAGACATGATATCTGTACATCAGGTATGTCGCCTGCACCCGTTCTCATCCCTCGCGCCCCTACTGATCACCCCTCCATTTCCGGAAGAAGTCCATGACGCCCGTGAAGACCACGAGCAGGATACCACCGCCCGGACCCAACCTTAGCACCTTCGGCAGGAAACCCTTGTACAGCGCACCGAAACCCTCCTCCCTCATGACCGTGCCAAGCGCCGGCCACGCCCAGTTGTACTTGGGAAGCTGTCCGGGAACCTTGGGCGAATTCTGAATACGCGACTTGACGACATCCATGGGCGTGTTCAGGATTGTTCCTACAGTCCCACCGATAGCACCGGACATGAGATCATTCATGACCTGACCCTTCTTGTCCTTCGCCGGCGGCAACAGCGCCCGGACCTGGAAGATGCAGCCGAAGTAGCCAGCGTTCCAGAGGATGTGCCGCCACATGGTGCTCTCCAGCCCTTGGTACAGTGTCATTGGCCCCTCGTTCTTGACAATCTTGGTCACGCAGTCTATCATGCCGTTGTACTTGTGCGATTGGGCCCTATCTTGCAGTCGGATCTTGACGAGCTCGAAGGGCACGACCACGAAGGCTTCGGTCGCGCCGGCTGTTGCGCCGGTGAGGACGGAGAGGGACTGGTTCATCTTGGCGACGCCGAACAGATTGCGGTAGAATTTGCCCCATTCGTCGTTGGCGGCGAACTTCGTTGCTCTGGGGTGGGTTAGGCGTAGTCATCCCCCTTAAATATCGGGCTGCTTACCGCTTAGGTGCCTCCATGAGAATTGGCGCGCTGATACCGCGATATAACCGCGAGAAGCTGTGTAGGCCTCTTATCAGCATCCTTGATCCTATTCATAGTCGCGCTGCCCGGTGGTGTACCCTTCATTCCTGATGATCTTCCTGAAGCAGTCTACCATGCCATTGTAGCTGTCTTCTCCGACTCCCTTCCCTGACTGTAATTGTCTGTGGTATCGGTGAGCGCGTGCTGCTGAGGGTGAGATCAAAGTCTCCATACACTCTGGTCTTGACCACATCCAACGGGTACCTGCAGCTCCTGGTTAGCCACTGCTTTCAAAGTTGCAGCGGACATCTTACATGACAAGAATCTAGCCACACTTCAGCATAAGCATCACGATCATACAGTCGGCCGTGTCACGCGCAGCTTACTTCAGATACACCGGCCACCGCACCTGTCGAAGGATTAGGATCGCGTGCTGGGTCGAAGCCAGGACGTGATAGACATACCCGCCGCGAACTGGTAGATGAAAGGAAGAGGCTTGTCCGTCGACATATTGGCTGGTTGTATCGGAGGCGCAAAAGAGACGTCGAGACAACGATGGGAGATGTTCCTTTCGGGTGAGAGATAGATGGGACTTTAGGGAAAGGCCAAGCCTTGCAGATCGACAGGGTCTAAGCTTCCTTCCGCGCGAGACGGGGGAGCGGGTAAGCAAATACACGGAGCCGAGTTCGAAAAGCGCAAAGGTGCACTGCGGCCGTTGGGGTAACTATGGGAGAAAAGACGTTGACCACCCGTGGCCCTCTAAGCACCAAGGACGCCGAGAACATCAACCTTTACTCTAATGAGCCGCATCGCTTCCAATGGCTTGTCGCGAGTGCAAGATTGATTTTTTTGGTGGAGCATGCCCAAAGTCTCGGCACTTTCCCCGGACTGCGTCTCGCCCGAAGAAACGGCGAAAGGGCGAAAGATACCGCCGACCAGGTCACGTGCAAGCATGGAAGCGCGACTTGCGTTTTCCACTACAACGCGTCCGCGGGGCCAGCAGCCAGCATCCTTCAATATCACCAGCCCATGCATGTAATTGATCAGGCACGTTTCGCCGTGTGAGCTGCCTGTATCTCCATGTCCACGCGCCAGAGGTCCTTCTTCGACAACACATCGAAACCAAAAGTATTCCGCCAGTCTCCAATATTCCATTCGTCCCGAACTGACCATCTATCAAGCCACGGTCATACTACAGTAGAACGCGTAGTGCCAACGATGTGCAACGGACAGACACTGCTCCGGCGAAAGACACCATGATCGTTCCTCCGATCAAAGCTTCAAGCCAGTCCAGGTCGAGACTGAAGGCTTTTCAATTCGTCCAAGGACGGCCGTCCAGCAAGCTTGACCTCGAGGGAGAAGATAAGGAGAATGAGTCCGTCTCGGCACCCAATGGCATTGATCCGGAGTGCCGCGACTCCGCTGCACGACTCGATGGCCAGCCTCCCGCTCTCGTGCAGTCGAAGACAGCTCCGCCTTCGACGCCTGCCCCGCGGCTCCCACTGGCGGATTTGATCGGCAACCTAGACAATGCCGCGAGACGGAACATTACAGCTGCGCGGTCGCCGGACGAAACGCTCAGCTGGAATCACGTACGGTCTCCCAGAAGCTCTCAGCGCACGGTTGGCGCTGCCACGTCGCAGCGGAGGAGATCCCGAAGCTCCTCGCCCGCTTCGTCACCATCTGAAGCAGCGTCCGCTTTCTTCCCGGGCGAAAAAGACGTTTTGGACTTGCAGCGCCTGTCGCACGCCCTGAAGACGCCGCAAGCGGATCCGGCCGTGGAGCTGTGGAACCGATACGCTGTACAAAACGCGACGGAAACATCGACCGGCAAGAAGGCCACCCAATTTGCCCACTTGATCGGGAATTCCTCGCCACATTCGGCTTCGGAAGTTGGGAGTGTAGGCGGGCTTCGGAGATGGGTCAGCTGTGGCGTGGAGTGGCCTACACCGAATTCCAAGCGGCGACGGACAACCGGCGGTTTCCGAGAGGAGGCTGGTAATGTGCTTCAAGTGGGCCATAGCAGCGCAAATGCAGTCCCGACCGGAGCGAAGGCGTCTAAGCTCTGCCTGCTGGTGGAGCGCATCCAGGAAACGCTACGAAACAGTCAGGAGGATACCCCTCGAGCGCCGTCAAGCTCGTCACCATTGCCCGAGACGCGGGATTTTTATATCGAGCAGACCGCGCCGATCGCCTCTCCCTCACAAAGACTTTCACCTATAGAGGAACGCATCGATGAAGCACCGACAAAGTCGTCTCAGCCAGAGGCCGTTGATCAGCTGGGGAGCGATCATGAGAAATGCAGCGATAAGAGCTTTTCAGAATTTGGTGATGCGGACATCGACACCGACATGCTGGAAGCCATCAATGTCGCAAGCGGTACCGTTGCTCCTGCACATCAGGTTGTGGAGCAGCCACTTACCGTAATGCCCCTGGAGGCAGATGCACCGAAAGATGAGCAACTCATGCCACCTCTACCCGTGGTCACAGCGCAGGCACAAGAAGCACAGCAACAGCCGGCAGCGATCTCTCACGTCGATGATGATGAGTTCGATGAATTTGATGATGGCGATGACGTTTTTGCTGCAGACTTGGAGAAACTGACTTCGATCTATAATGCATGCAGAACGACTGAACAGCCGACTGAGAAAGAGAGGATCGTAACTCCACCTAGCGTTCCATCTGTTGTAGCGGTTGCACAAGATCATAGCGGCGTTCTCTCTGATGATGACAATGAATTTGGCGGTGACGATATAGATGTTGAGCATCTTGCAGCTGCAGAAGCCGTAGCCACGCAGGCGTTCAAGGCCGGCGAGTCTACTCAGTCACCTGTACGTATCCATCGCATCTTATAGATAAGCAATTGATCGGCTAAGTATGTGAAGAGAGACCGCGATGCTCGAGCCATACAGCGCTACCTCATTGCCAGTGTCTTCGAAGGCGACTACCAAGATGAGCGAGGCCGAACCCGCCCTGAGAAGGTTTATGAAGCCCCTACACGTGCTCCAGTGCTTCGCTGACAACCCTCCTAGATCCTCCTTGTTGACGATGAGAAGTCCAAATGCACCAAAGCCATTACTCTCCGCGAGGCCTGGTTTGACACGCCGTGCACCAAAGGCTCGTACGTTCACGTTATCGGGGAGTTCTCCGCGACCGGCCAGTGCCACATCACCAACGCGAGCAATATGTTGATCCTGCATCCGGACCATCTGATTTCTGCGACTGTTGTTGCGGACTCCTTCAGCTGCATGAGACGCGCTGTTCTGCAAGACCGTATCAAGGCGACCAGCGCTGCTAGCATACCATCCTTGTACGGGACCATGCTGCATCAGCTCTTCCAACAGGCGCTCTCAGCGAACCGGTGGGACACGGAGTTCCTCTATCAACTCATTGATGAGCTCATACCAAAGCACTATGAGACTCTCGCCGAGCTAAACCTGCAAGTTGCTGGCGTGACCGAGGACATGAGGAGCAAGTTGCCCGAAATGCAGTCGTGGGCAGGAATATTCATGAAGGCAAGACCGGGAGTAAGTCTTTGAAGAAATCGTGCAGTACTGGGATTAGTGCTAACGTTCCGCCAGCCAGATGCAGTCGTCAAGGACCGGAACAACAAGCAAGTGCTGATGAGCGTCAACAAGCTTCTTGATGTTGAGGAGCATGTGTGGTCACCGACGCATGGCTTGAAAGGCAACATTGATGCCACTGTACAGGTCCATATGCAGGATGAGCAAGGCGATAGAACGCTCACGGTTCCTTTCGAAATCAAGTCAGGCAAGAATAACGGAGCTACCGCACATCGAGCGCAGACGGCGCTATATACCTTACTTCTATCAGATCGCTATGGTGAGCCTATTCTCTGTGAAAATTAGTGCGCACGACTAACATCAAACTCAGATATAGAAGCTACGTACGGCATTCTGTACTATATGGAGTCCTCCGAGATAAGCCGCATCCCTGCACTCCGACACGAGCTTGTGCACATGGTAATGCAGCGGAACCTCTTGGCATGCTACGTGCGCGAGCGACTCGAGCTTCCATCGATGCTGTCGGACTCTTTCCTCTGCAAGAATTGTTACGCTAAGGACCCGTGTCTGCTTTACCATAAACTCGCTGAGAACGGTACCGGCAGTGAACTGCGCTCTAAAGATTACTTTGACCAGCTGGTGAAGCATTTGAAGCCTAAAGATCAAGACTTCTTCAGAAAGTGGGACATGCTGCTAACGAAAGAAGAGTCCGAGATGATGAAGTTTCGCCGGGAACTATGGTCTATGCTGAGCTTGGAGCGAGAGAAGCTCGGGAGGTGCTTCGCCAATGTCATCATCGAGCCTGGTTCAGCTTCTGAGCACCCAGAAGAGGGAAAAATTCATCGCTTTCGTTACAACCTGATCAAACAGAATGCAGCTCCGGGTTTCTCTTTCAACGAATCACAGATTACCGTGGGAGAACCCATAGTGATCTCCGACGAGAAAGGTCACTTCGCTCTCGCGAACGGGTTTGTCACGAACGTCCGCAAACGACGCATTGCCGTTGCTGTTGATAAGCGGCTGAACAACGCTCGGGCGCGCCGACAAGGCTTTCATCCGGAGAACAATCAGACCTTCATTGGTATTATGGATGTTTCAGGGCAAGGCCAAGCAAAGCGTGCTTCACAGTCTCAAGACGACGAGCAGCCAGTACTGTACCGCCTCGACAAGGACGAATTCAGCAACGGCATGGCAATGGTCCGAAACAACCTGATCCAGATCATGGACGACAACGTTTTCAAAGCTCGTGAGCTCAGGCAGCTGATCATCGATGGTATCGCGCCTGCCTTTAACCCTACTCCTACCGCCTACAAGCTGCCGACGCAGTTATCGCAAATGGCGATCAACTCGGACCAGAACGCGGCCATCGAGAAGGTCATGTCTGCACAGCATTGTGCCCTTGTTCTCGGCATGCCGGGAACCGGTAAGACAACCACGATTGCGCACATCATACGCGCCCTAGTCGCCAAGGGGAAGAGCGTCCTCCTTACCTCCTACACCCATACCGCTGTGGATAATATCTTGTTGAAGATCCGGAACGACAAGATCGGCATCCTCCGCCTAGGCGCCGTCGTTCGCGTCCATCCGGAAGTCCAAGAGTTCGCCGAGCTAGCCGCAAAGCCCAAAAAGAGTTTGGATGAATTGAAAGATTCTTGGGAAAAGTCTCCTGTAGTCGCGACCACCTGCCTTGGCATCTCACATCCAATCTTCAGCCGTAGAATCTTCGACTACTGCATTGTTGATGAGGCCTCCCAGATCACTCTGCCCGTTTGCTTAGGCCCGGTTCGCATGGCGCGGAAGTTTATTCTCGTGGGCGACCACTTCCAACTGCCTCCCTTGGTACAAAACAAAGAGGCATCAGAAGGCGGGCTGGACGTCAGCTTGTTCAAGCTACTCTCCGAGCGCCATCCCGAGGCTGTCGTCAATCTGGAGCACCAGTACCGGATGTGCGCAGATGTCATGCACCTATCCAACACTTTGATATACTCCGGACGCCTGAAGTGCGGCAATGAAGCCGTAGCCCACCGTTCCCTGACCATTTCGAACCCAGACGCACTCCGCCAGCACCACTACACCACGTCCAGCAACAGGGCCCTAAGCAGCAGCAGCATCCCACCATCAATCTGTCCCGGCCCCACCGCCCCAACATGCTACCTCTCCCAGGTCCTCTCGCCCACCAACAAAGTCCTCTTCCTCAACACCGACGCCCTCCCCGGCTCCACCGAATCCCTCTCCGGGACGCGCATGATAAACAGCCTCGAAGCAACTCTAACAACGCACCTCGTGGCCGCCTTCCTCGCCGCCGGCACCCCGGCCCCGGACATGGGCGTCATAACCTTCTACCGCAGCCAGCTGGCGCTTTTGCGGCAATCCCTCCGCAGCAACGCGCACCGCGACGCGGCAGCCGTGGAGATGCACACGGCGGACAAGTTCCAGGGCCGCGACAAGGAGGTCGTGCTCGTGTCGTGCGTGCGGAGCAACCCGGCGCTGCAGGTTGGGGAGCTGTTGAAGGACTGGCGGAGGGTCAATGTCGCGGTTACGAGGGCGAGGAGTAAGCTCGTCATCTTGGGCTCTGCGAAGACGCTCGCGGGGAACGAGCTGCTTGGGGATTTGGTTGAGATGTGTAGGGATAAGGGCTGGCTGTACGACTTGCCGGCGAACGCGGTCGAGGGTCATGTGTTTGATGAGATGGGGATGGGCACGCAGGTTACGCCGCTGGGGAAGAGGGGGGAGCCTGTGGTGGAGGGGTTGCCTGTGGGGAAGACGTCGGCGATGGAGATGAGTCCAACGAGGGCACCTGCGCTGGGTATCGCGAAGAGGGGCGGGAAGGCGTTGAGCCCGTTGAAGGGCGCGCAGGTGAATGCGAGGATCAATCCGCTCAGGAAGCCGTTCAAGGTGCCGGAGAAGGTCGGGAGAGTTGGGAAGAAGGGGATTGTAGGATCGAGGCCGGTGCTGAGGGATATTGTTAACGATGCCTTGGCGGATGCGTTCTCGCAGTGAAGAGATTTGGGAAGCAATGCATTTGGGAGGGGGGCTCTTCAGGTCTGCTGGAAGAAGTGAGAGTGTTGGATATCCATCTTTGTTCATTTCTGGAAGCGGGTGGCTGTCCAGAACTCTGGACACTTGGGAAGGAAGAGATATTGAGGTTCATGCTCCTGCTTGATAACGTTGGTATGTGACAGAAAATCCTCAAAAAGGGCCAGACCAGGGAATTCGGCACACATCGAAGCGGACTCAAGTTGCCCTTCAAAGTAGCGTTGATCACGAACAATTTCACGTTGTGACGCATTTGAGACATCTGCAGCATCAGCTTAAACAGCGACCGGAAGATCTGAAGCAGAAAATAGTCAGCATCGAACTACGACTGCGAGGAGAAATCACCGGAATCCGGCCAGATCAACCTGTTCCCTGCCTGAGGCATGGAACAGGTCCCGTTACGAGGTCGGTTCGCCGGGTGATAGGACACGGCTTGACCGGTAACGTGATCAATCAACTTAATACAACAGTGACATTAATTTGGTTCAAATTAAGCCAAACAGTAGAAGGGATTCTTTCTTGATCGTGAAAGACGCTATTGTGGTTGTAATTTTATGCCCTTTTTGACCGGGGCTAAATTCCCTAACAATAGTCCACGGCGTAACTTATACTAGAATCGGTCAATTTACAAAGCTACATCCATAATCTTAGGTGGCAAGAGGGATATTACAAATGATTTCCACACATGACTATCCGTGGTTAAGTAAGAGCGTAGAAAGAGTGACAAAATAGCGTTGACGTTCCGCTTGTTCATGTGCCAAGATGTCAAGATGCAATACCCGGCGGACTAACCTCGTATTCCTCTTCCACCCAACGACCTGAAAAATCCCAAGCGCTAACAATCTTCCACATACGAAGCCGAGGTGCCATGAGCCATTCCCCCCAGCATCGAACCGGCCACAACCGCTGTGCAGCGTTGCGAGCACCCACAATGCGGCTGATTATATCTGCGCCAGCCTGTGTTGCACCCGTCGGGGATATTGTCCACCTCCGTCGGCCATATCGTCCGCCTCCGCGACGTGCCAAGATGAGCCCTGCATGGGTGAGAGCTGCCGCAATGACATGGTTCGGGTGTTCGGGTATGCGGGGATCGTTGATCCCATTCCCGCGGGTGCGGGAGAAGGGGACCGGGGGGCGATTTTGGGTCGCCGTGGGGGATGTCGACGAAGGTCAACATTGCTGTTCTACTCGTAGTGTTCCAAGCCTGTGGATGTTCACACGTGGCGCCCTTGGGCGCGAGCCGACTGCATCCGATCACTATCCAGAAACACTGGCAAATGATAGCCCGGAACTGAGCAGAATTTTGGAGCGTCGAACTTTGTTCACCTGCCCGCTGCGCAGCTTATTGTTCAACAATCATCAGATTCTGAAAAGGCTCTGTATGTTACTGGATAAGCAGAGTAGTAAGCTGTGTTCTGAACTACAAGCTGTCCTGATACGCGATTATGAGACCTTGTCATACTCTAGACAAGCGAATTCCGCTGCAATTTGGAGATGCACAACGCGTGACTGCGCGGTGATTGATAGCTCGCGATTGTGAGATCATGTCCGTGTTACAAAGATCACCTGAAATAGGATGCGAGGATCTTGTGAGCGTCTCTAAAAGAAAGGAAATTGCAACTGTTGGAATCGGCTGAAACTGCATGAAGATTCTACAAGGGGCCGCTAGATGCTTCTTCTGCTACGGATCCCACGCAACCTTCCCCAGTGGAGTCGTCTGTCACCCAAGGTTCTTTGAGGCTGGAGATCACTGAAGCACGGAAGAGATGAAAGCCGATGTAGGACAACGCGGAATGTACATATGTTTTTCTACTGTCGTGTTGCCCCAACTCTTTCCATACACGTTGCCCTTGGTGGTCGAGGAACGTCAGAGCCACGTGTCGGAGTAAACTCCAAGGATTAGCATGACGATAGCCCGCAGTCCGCTCCCCCACCGCCTGCAACGCTGCACGTTTTTTAGTGGGGATTTGAAATAGCGTGCCGTCGGAACTTTTATGGCATCGCAAACATCGTCAGCTGGCTAAATCTGTTAGCCAGATATGGAAGGTCATCGTCAGGAATGGCTGATTCTGCGCGATCACGGAATAAAGTAGAGAGCGGTTCAACTCGATTCTATCGGTTTTCTCGATCCCGAACGAGGAGAACCAAGAAGGATTTCCCGGCGCGGCGCTCTCTTTCTAGCAGTGTCCCGAGAGAGGCCGGCGTTTGCAGCTGTTCCAGACATAAGCATCTCCGTTTACGGATGGGAATTCGATCATGCCTTCCAGTCTCTCGGGCACACGACGTCCAGGGAACTGAGCACTGCTGCAATGCGCTGCTTAGCGCAGATGCGCTTGATTTGATAGCGGGCTTGCAACCAATATTTTTACGCCAGAGAGATAACGAATGGCTGGACTCCAGAAACGTCGTAACCATTTCGGATAAGGTTAGCGCTAGCGGGTTGACTAAGCGCGAGTCCGATCTCGATCAACCACGTCTAACGGGCAAACCGCTGGCTACCCTCACCCCTGGACACACGGCCTTAGAAAAGTCGATAACGAAGCAACATCAGACAAAGGGAAAAGCATTTCTGTCCCGTATTCTGACCGACTTGCTCGGGAGCACCAATTCTCCATTGATATGAAGCGCACAGACCCCATCGTGGGATCGGAGATCTGCATGGGGACAAGAAAGCGGACGCGGCTATCAGGGCCAGCCCGGGCTGCTGCGCGGGTGGAAGCGTCGTGATAGTCTCTATTGCGTGGAAAGCGCTTACGGTAACTGCAAGACGCGTCCAAGACTTAACGATCGCGAAACAATTCTCAGCGACAGAGTTGTTGAAGCGAAGCTAGCGGGCCGAGGACTGAGGTGAGTTGCAACAACGAAGGGTACAGTGAGGTGCTGCTACGTTGCACGGCATCGGAAGCCACAGGCGTCGTAGATGAAGCGGGTATAAAGGTGTGCTGTGGCGAGTGGCGCGTGGCGCGTGAGCGGTGGGGCCAAGCGTGCCTCGGAAAGCGATGGGCGATCCAGCCAACCAGACGCCGGGAGGAGATGTCTCCGAAGTTTCCCTCGATCGTAGGCAATTCACATTGACGTTCCGCTCAAACCGTAACCAGCTCCCATCGAAGACCTGCCGTTCCCTCCTGCCGCCACTATTCGCCACTACAGGCATTGAATCTCCGCTTCGAGGCGACATGCGAAATCCGCCAATAGCTGTGCCAAGGTGTCGTCGGAGTATGAACCACTTGCAGATCTGACGCAGTCTTGGGTCATTCTGCCCCCAGACGCATTTCCCCATAAGACACTCGGGGAGACGGAGCCTTCGCAGACTGACCAGATGCTCGGCTTTCAATTCCAACAAGCAAAAGAGTCAACGGAATAAGATGAACCTCCCCAGCCCTGCCGGCTACGGCAAGCGCACTCTACTGCCCGCCCCCACAGCAGACGATGAGGTTCAGGCGAGGAATGAAGAGGCCACCACGCCAGGCCAGCCATCGAAGACACTTCCCAAGCGAATGCAGATAACGGCCGTGGCCTGTCAGCCTTGTCAACAGCGCAAGAGCAAGGTCGGTTGCGACACCCTTCAACAAGCTGCCCGGCGCGACGAGACTGACGTGAGTGCTGTACAGTGCGACGGTATTCGGCCGATATGCTCGTCCTGTGTTGCCAAACGGAGAACAGACTGCGCTTACGATGCTGCCGGCGACCAGAGGCGAACGGCGGCGCTCAAGCAGCGCATTCGGGCCTTGGAGAAACAGGCCGTAGACCTTAAAGCCATCATTAGCGGCATTTGCCTGTCTACCGACAAAGACGCGGCAATACTGGTTGCGCTGCAACTGCAAGCCGACCAGTTTCGGAGTCTTGATCAGGCCGCTTCGACACTGCGAATTCAGGGCTTCGAAGATGGCAGTGTGGACCAAAGCTATCGTCTGGACGCAGGCCTGTCGTCAGCCAACCAAGGGGATCAGACATATGCACTTCCACCACTGTACACGTGGAACATCGATCCGGCCTTAGCACAGGATCTGTCCTTTCCCCTAGAACAGAGCTCTTCCTGGGCTTCGAGTATGCCACCGAGAAGGGCCGGCCCTGGTTCAGTATGGCCTGGAATGATTCCTTCAGGCAGCATGGTCAATGCGTCGCGAATGGCCGCGCCCTTGTCGCCAGCGAACCTGCGTGGTGCATCGCAGTGGGCGGGAATGGAGAGCCCCGTGGAGGTAAGAAGGCAGTCCGATTTGTCTTGCTGGATGCGTCAGTTTGTATCCGATGCGGAGTTGTGATGGATGGCAAGCTGTTATTAGGCGCTACCAAATCGGCGAAAGCGCTTCGTGCACGGACGTTTCAGCCGAGCGTCTAGTCGGATACGATAGCGTCTAGCAACACCTCCATCAGCGCAACTATGGGCTATCCCAGGCATTCGAGGTTCTGGCCACGCACTCGTAGTCAGTCTTCTGTGGCGTGGACGAGATCTTGAATGGACAGGTCGAGATATCGAGCCGAGCTGTGCAAGTTCTCGTTGACCTCTCGACGACCTACAATCGCTGCTGAGCATTCAGGGCGCATGAACAGAAGTATTTCTGTCGCCGTGCGTCCTGAGTTGCGTGCGAAGACTGACTGCGAGTAAGTGGCCCGTGCTGTGGAGTGTTCACGCTGTCGGCACCTTCGGCCCATTTATGCTGTGAAGAGTATTCTAACGTCGAGCAGGCGTCAGATAGTGACTGGCAAAGTATCGCGAGATCCAGCGCGTATCCGCGGTCGCTATTCGATCAAGGCCAAGCTCCAGACCCGGTGCACCGTAAAGGCTCGTTCCAGTTATCTTCGCCAGCCCACAGTCCGGCCCTGACGCACAGCGTACGGTGAGCTTTGCGTCTCTCCTTCATTCCACTTCAGCCAGAGCTGATGCGGTTACAGGGAGGAGCCGTTGACCACTGCGCTGGGCGACGATACGCGGCAGAGTCGTTATCGGCGGTACTGGTACAAGGCGCCGAGGCATGCGATGCACATCAACATGTGTGCTAGCGCTGCTGGGCTGTCCGTAAACACACGCGAGGACAATATCCAGCTTGATGATACTCCAGTACCAGTCCACGCACTGCAGCCAAACAATGAACCGGATGACCGTGTGGAGAGTCGAATATATACCGACTTCATCCACATCAAAAGACGATTGGTCGAGCAAGGATGGCCGATCGACGATGCGCTTGGCAACAGTATCGTCAATCCAGAGGCCTTTCTGGACAGATCTAATTCGCGTGAAACCGGCAATCCTCAGAAATCGATCTGTGACTGGGCGTCCGATGCTGTACATTTGATCGAAGGGATGCAAACGCCGGAGAAGCTTGCGACAATGATAGTCATCGTGCGGCTCATGCGGGTAAGTTGCGGGCTCTTGGAACAGTTAGGTGCTCAGACGCTGAATCTTCCAGTGGCGAATAATACCAACTCTTGAGCACTACGAAAACGTGCCAGAATGCATGCGACCAACACCGGTACAGATCCTTGTACCTCATCCGGCCTGGATCGACTTTTTACCTTGGTAAGTCAAGCAAGCTGTGAAACGATTGGAACGGCCGCTAACGGTCGAAGGCCTGAAGTACGGGACGTTTTCATAACGAACCCAGAGATCATAACTGCTGGTGATCCCTTGAAAGTTTTGTCGGCATGTACCAGCGTAAACTGGCCGTGGTCGACGGCTGAGGCGATTTACGCCCCACATCTTGGAACTAAAGATGTCTGCATAAGCCCGCAATTCGAACGATATATCGAGGACATCAACAACTGGTCCCTCTCGCCGGATTGCTTGGCCATATTCCCTGACCTGGCCGATAAGGCATGGATCCGTGGGGTTGATGGCGAGGACGAAGAGATAGGACGTCCGGATGAGAAGTAGATGTTTGACAACGGTGCCCACGTCCAGGTTGACCACGAGGGGTGCGTTCAGCGGCGGAGACGTTTCCTCTGTGGACGGCCTTTAGCTTTTTAGCGAATGTCCGTTATTGATGGGAGAGCATCTTTAACTCGTACGTCTTCTTGGCTTCCAACCCCTGAAAAGTTGGTCATCGCAATGCGAGAGTCAACCTCCACCGAGATTCATATTGCGACCGAGGTGGGGGTTGGTTGCGCATGCCCGGCGGGAACGGCGTGAGAGATGTAGCATGTCAACCGCAGCGTTGATTTTACGGCGCTCGAGTAGTTTGCTGCGGTTTGGAGACCAGTTTCTGGGGCCGTGAAGGCGCTTTATTGCTGAGAGACGATCGAAGCTGCACGTAGAGAGATGGCAGCTGCATCAGGCCTCAATATCAAGCCTGCCTACGTAGCATGGGGTCATCCCCCGTTTCGAGACCCTACAAGCCCTCGCTTCCTCCATCATCCACCAATCATCCTGAAGCCAGAGCCCGGACGCACTTCCTGCGGACCCTGTCGATCCCAGCTTCACGGCGGAGCCGCGGGACCGTCCGAGTCGCGTGGGCCCTATCGTCGGAGCCAACTCCCACGCCACGTCTCTTCAGCCCCGCGCGTTCTCGTATGAATGTCTAGAACGAGATTTATAAGGTACCCAGGCTTTCCCCCAACCTCGCAGACGTTGGAATGTACATACGCTTACGCCGGACGTGTCTGCCGCAGTCGGTAGCACGAATGACATGACGTCTCAGCCGCAGCCAACATCACATCCTAGCCTAATCCGGTCGAGAGTTAGTGGTGTCTGTGTTAGCTAGACGAATAACCTTGATGAAACCTCCAAGATGTCTCACCGAGAAGACGGATCATTGCGAGGTGCTGAAGCATGCGACATCCGTCACTCGGCGTGAAGATTAGGATTGACCTGGTAGCAGAGCTAAACGGTGACCTTGCAGGAGCTGCAATCGAACCACTCAAAGACATCCGCGCCGTGCATGTAAGATCATTCACAGAGGTCGATAGGCGGCGAAACAGCATTCCTTGAGCGGTTACTGGCAAAGGTTCATTGATCAAGTTTCATATATGCGACTGTCATGGTTTAATGCCCTGCTGTCTCCAATAGGGACAAAGGCCGTAAGCCCACTCTAAAGATTCTCGCCTGCAATAGATATTGAGACCGGTATTTGCGCTTTTGCGTCATGTACGTGCTGATTGCGACTACAATATGTATATCTGCAACTGGACCTCTATGTACTCTCTACTTGTAATGAACCTCCATGTAGTGTATATAGCCGTTAGCTGGAGTACCTCCCCATTGTCTTCAGCTTCCGCTGTATTTCGCCTGGGATGGACTAAGGTCCCGCAAGCCAGAAACGCCGCCCGCCAAGGCCTCAGCTCTCCAATTTCAACAATCCCCGTTCTTCCAGATACGTCACGATCTGCTTGACCGCGTCCTCCACGCTCGTCTTGACGGTCTCTATCCTGATCTCCGCATTCTCCGGCTCCTCATACGGCGCGCTGATGCCCGTGAACTCGGGGATCTTGCCCTCCCGTGCCTTCTTGTACAGGCCCTTTGGATCTCGCTTCTCGGCCTCTTCGACGGGAATGTCGACGAAGACCTCGATGAAGGGGAGGGGCTCGTCGTCGGGATGGGCGGGCGAGGGCGTGGCGTGCAGCTCGCGCGCTGTCTGGCGGTCTTTTCGGTAGGGCGAGATGAAGGAGGTTAGGGCGATGGTGGAGGAGTCGGCGAAGAGCTTGGCGACCTGCGTCGGATTGCATTAGCGCGCTGTGCAACCAGCATAACGGTGCGCCCAAGACTAGTCCGTACCTCTGCTATCCGTCTGATGTTCTCGTTCCGGTCTCTTTCTGAGAAGCCTAGGTCCTTGTTCAAGCCGAATCGTACGTTGTCGCCGTCGAGCCGGTATGCGGCGAAACCGAGGTGCAGTAGATGCTGTTCGAGTGCGGTCGCGATGGTCGATTTACCAGATGCTGACAAGCCGGTGAACCATATCGTCATTCCACGCTGTTTGCGGTATGTGTTGCGCTCAGCGCGAGAGAGACCCTCGTGCCATGTAATATTGCTGTCGTTGATCCGTCAGTCTTTTTGTGCAACGGTGGGGCACAGAGGCACAAGGAGCAAACTCACGTTGCCATTGTGTTTGTTAAGAATTACAGTTTCTAAAATAGAGCGACCTTGAAGCAATTGAAGCGACTGAGTGTGTATATTCAAACTTTATGTACCCGCGACAAAAAAGTTGTGATATTGGACCCTGACGATGACGTGCTTTTCGGGGTGCGCCATTCGGTATTCGTCCCCTTGCAGCGCTGCAGCCGATGGCGTTTTGACCCCCACAAGGCTGAAAGCAAATCTCTTTGCCCGGCCGCCTGTCCGCCGAAGGCGACCTGTCCCTGCCATCTTTCCCGCCTGCGAGGAGCGGAGCGGAGCGACGTCAGCTGGTGCCTGTACACGTCTGGCCCTGCTCTTGTCTTCACGGCACGGTAAAACCATCGCAAATTGTTCTAGTCGATGTTGGAAAAGCATCGCCTTATTACACTTATGACTCTATGGAATGCACGACCCTTGGATGAGTATCTGCGACTTCCCGTCCTACCACCTTATCCATGGTCAAACGCCGTTGATATCCAATGTACCTGCGAGAGGACTTATCGTGGTCGATATATACGACGCACCATAACGACGGCAAGATGACTTTGGGAGACAAAAGTTGAACATACCTTCACAATACCCCACCCTCTCATCACGACACTGGAAGCGTCTCCGCTTCGGAAAAGAGATGACATGTTCAAGGGGAATCCCACTTCAGACCCTTGATTATTCGAGTTGATATTCGGGATATCTGGCTGAAGGGGACAAAAGTTTAGCAGCAAGAAGATACCACTGGCCAGGATCTGAGCGCCGGACGGGCTATCAAGATAGGAAGGGGCGTTGACAGCTACGACAAGGCTTCACAAAGCGGAATACGGCTCATGTAAGGCCAGGCAATTGCCATTGACGCGTGTTGCAGCTCGTGTGGCGTGGAGTGGTACCGTCGTTGGGTGTGTTTGCCGCGGCTCAGTAGTTTGGGTTGTAGAGCAAAGGTTTGTCCGTTCTGCGCTGGCTAATCACCATAGCAGGAAGGCTATAAGAAGCTGCGAAATTCCAGCAAGCACATGGCTTGCAGTATAAGTACGAGTATCTCAGAAGCCGACAGTTAGGTATACGGCTCGTTAAAGCCACACTGATAACGCTCACGTTCAGCAGGTCTTTGGTACAGTGATTGGGAGATGGTGCGTTTGGCTGTGCGCGGACGGGCGAAGTTTCGCACCTCGACGAGGTTATCACTTCAATTGGGCCAACTGATATCTTCTCAAAGTCTAGCGTACTATGATGCCGCGTGATTTCACTTGGTTTTGTGAGCTTTTGGAGAGGTTGGGAGTGTACGGGTTGGGCTGCGATCCCTGGGTCTGGTTTTGATATTTCCGCACTGTGGGGGTAGCGCGAAGTGAATATCAACTGTCGCCCGTCCGTCTCTCTTCTCTCCACCACACACCAGTTGTCTTCACTCTTGACAACACAAGCGCGCTCACCAGAACTCTGTACCGTCAAAAGCTCTGTACCACCAAAAGCTCTGTACTCATCATAATTTCTGTATCACCATCACGCCTTCCGAAACTACATCCTCCTCTCAACGCAACTGCTAGATTGTCTGTCCCAGCAAGAACGTCCAAGATGTTCAGCGTACTCTTCAGCACACTCTTCAACACCATCTTCGGAGACCGCGCCATCAAATTGTGCGCTGGCACTGGCCGCAACCGCAAGCCATGCACTGCAGTCGATCAAGCTCAAATCCTCGCAAAGGCTGTTATCAAGCAGTCCGCTCAGAAGGCCGAGCCCATGCAGGATCAACCTTCAATGCGTCTCCCAGTCACGACTCAGTGCGCCGACTCTCCTCTTCCGCAAAGCACCATCCGCCATGGCTTCTCACCCCGTGTCGAGCGCGCTCACACAGCGGCGTTCCCTCGCGTCGTCGCTCCTCTGCTCATCCTCGAGGAGATGTCTTCTTCACTACCAGCGGCGGAAAGCTCCGGTTGCATCTTCCCTCACATGAAAGCTCCAATTCTCCTTCACACAACCTCATCTCCCGACGCAAAATCATCTCATCCTCATCGCAAAGACAGCGTCGTATCAACAACTTCGACAACACCATCGAGCAGCTCAACCCTCACGCTCATCGAGAAGGCCTCTGGCGCACAGTCAAGCCTCTCTCACTCGCACACAGAAAGTGCCACCATCGGCGTTGGACGATATCGTCACCCGGCCAATGCAACATGCGAATGGCTCGAACGCCGCAAGAGTCAGGAAGAACAGATGCTGGGCTGCCAAAGGCTCTTTGGACAGCCAGGTTTCGAGAAGATCCTCGGGCCTCACCCATTCGACGAAGAGATCGCGCAACTCGCGCCTCTCTCAAGAGTCAACAGCAACGACTCCAATTCATCATCATCCTCCGGCAAAACCACTTCCTCCAGAAGCGAAAGCATTTATGACGAAAATACCGGCACGCTCATCACACGCGGCTTCGACTCTTCACCTATCACCTCTATCGAAAGTGCCCAGTACTGGCTCCAAGGCGTCGGCAGATCTCACGTCAGAGTAAAGCGCATCAGAATCATTCCAGAAACCGAGGAGGAGAAGCTCCGACGGCTGCAGAAACGAGGTGGCTACGAGATGATTCGTGGCGGCAATAACACGCCTCGCAAACCAATCACCAAGCCTACACAGTACGCCAGCGTCGTGGAGCCCAACATGGGTTACTCACCGTCGTGCCTCCACAGTACGCCAGGCCTGAGAATCGATGCTTCAATCGTTCCACCGTGGTCCCAAGCCGGCGTATTACGTTTTCCGACACAGCTGGAGACAGTGATGACGCCATTATGAGCGTTTCCTTTTAGGTCTGCCTCTCTTGTGGTTGTTCGGTGGATACCCTGGGGGCGTTTTCCGCAGTTTTTTATTGCACTTTCTTGCTGTGTGATTCCACGGAATACCCAGCGCGGCGTTGGCGGCGTTTTGGTTGCACTCTCTTTTGCAGCCTGTTTCTGAAGAGATACCCTGGGCGGCGTTTCTGTACTTCATCAGCTTCCTTGGATAAGGATTGGGATTGGGATTGGGATCAGGATTGGACTAGCAGATCTGGTCTGGATCCAAGAGCGTCTGGTCATAGCTACTTTCACTTAATAGTAATTCATTCACCTTTAATCTATCTCCCAGTATCAAATAAGTGACGTCTAGGCAAGCCGTGACACTGCTGATATGTACCTCACACGCGGCCGGCTGCCTTGATCACTTTGCTCCAGCTGCTATTCCCATTCCCCAAACCCCAAGGCCCACTCACACTTCAGGATACACATCTGTCCGCCTCAACAACGGCATCTCTCTCCTCACCTTCTCCAAATACCCCAGATCAATCTCCGCCACCGCAATCAACGGCTCAGAAGCCCCCTCGACACCGCCGGCCCCCTTCCCCTCAACCATCCCATCCTCATCCACGCCCCCTAGCTCCGCCAAAATTCGCCCCCACGGGTCAATGATCATACTATGCCCGTACGACACCCTCTGCTCATTGTGCCTTCCGCACTGTGCAGCGGCCACAACGTAGCTCTGCGTCTCGATCGCGCGGGCCCGCAGCAGAGGCTCCCAGTGCGCGCGGCCAGTCGGTACCGTAAATGCGGAGGGGTACGTCAAGATCTGCGCGCCCTGCCGCCGCAGCGCTAGCGACGGCTCCGGGAAGCGCAGATCGAAGCAGATGAGCGCGCCCACATTCCCCACTGGCGTCTCGAAGGGCGGGAGCAGAGAGGATCCTGGCTCGACGCTCGCGCTTTCTTGGAGCACGGGCCCGTTCGCGATGGAGACGTCGAAGAGGTGCAGTTTTTGATAGCGCTGCGCGACATCGCCGGTCGAGGAGATCCAGAGGAGCGTGTTGGCCACTTTGGCGCCCCTGGTCGCGGGCTCGTGGATCCCGACGTGGATGGGGAGGGCGTGCTCACGTGCGGAGGATTGGAGGCCCTGCACGAAGGGGCTGGTGGTGGCGGCTTGGACGAGGGAGAGGCTTTGGCCGGCGGAGGTGGCGATATAGTCGGAGGCTTCGGGGAGGAAGAGCGCCTTCGATAGTTAGGTGGTGGGATCCGCGAACCGGCAAGGGAGGGTTACAGCCGTACCTGGGCACCGGCTTCAGCGGCTTTCTGGACGAGCGTCTGACACTGGGATAGGTTGTGGGCTATGTCTGCTGTTGAGCAGATTTGCCCTATTGCCTGTCCCGCGTCAATATCGGTCCAGGGGCATCGTGAGTCTTGAATAGGGGCGAGTAAGAACACAATGTCAGGGGTTCATCCTAGCTTGTGTACATCAATGCTAGAAAATGGGAACAAGATATGACATTCCGCTCGTGGATCCAAAAAGACCTGTCATGGAAACGGAACAACGAGCGATGCTTATTCTCTTGATGTGGCGCCCAGCTCTCCGCACAGCATGGAATTGCATTGAAAACATCATCACTGAGAGAATATGTATATGGTGAAGGATTGGAAGTTGCATGATTGCGGCTCTGAGGAGAAAATAAGAGGTCAAAGGGAAGCCATTTGTACCTACTACTCTAGCCATGTCAATCGCACAGGGTTTATGTGATCAAACTACACTACGGAGGCCGTCAAGATGAGGCGATAAGGCGTTCGATATCACGTGACCTCCTGACAGGTCCAGCTCAGCCTTACCGCCCGTGCCGCGTTTCGCGATTGAAGGAATCCGTCGTCATTGTCCATTTGAGTAAACACCCACCTACCCCAGAGACAGCCCGGCCATCTTCTTTTCCCTACAGTATGGATTCCCAGAACAAAGACAGATACGAGATCCACGAAGCCGCCCGAGAGGGCAAAAGTACGAAGTCTCCCTAAAAGCCCCAAAAACCCCAAAACTACTCTCAAATCGCAGCAATCAGGCTAACACTGTCCTTCAGCAAGCGTAGTGGAGTCGCTTCTCAATGTGAGCCTCAGTCCACCCCAAAGTAAAGCCCGTGTGGTAGCTGAGTTTCATCATCCCTAGGCCAACCCGCGCCTCTCCTCCCGCCGCGACGAAGATGACCGACTGCCACTCCACTGGGCCGTCTCCTACAACCGGCCCGAAATCGTGCAGCTACTCATGCAGAGCAAGAACTTTGACGTAGACGCGCAAGTATGTGCATATCCCCCCACACCACCCAGAACGCACCCCCAAGCACTACAACAGACAGCTAACCCCCCGTTTCCCACCCCAGGACGGCCTAGGCTGGACGCCCCTAATGATGGCCTCCTCCCTCAGAGCCGGCGACGGCGACGCCCTGATCGACACGCTCCTCTCCGCGGGCGCAGACGTCAACGCCAAGAACAACAACGGGCAGACCGCGCTCCACTTCGCGGCGTCCAAGAACAACATCGATACGGCGCGCAAGCTGACCGCGCACAAGGCCTCCGCGCGGGTGAAGGACAAGCGCGGCCAGCTGGCGCTGCATCGCGCCGCGGCGGTCGGGAGCGTGCCAATGATGAAGCTGCTGCTGGAGAATAAGAGTCCGGTTAATGCGACGGATGTGGATGGGATGACGGCGTTGCATCATGGTAAGTTTGGGTTGGGATGGCATACTTCGAGACGGTGAGAAGGAGTGTTGACTTATGGGCAGCCATTTCGGAGGGTCACGGTGACGCGGCGATGATGCTGCTCAAGGCTGGTGCGGAGACGGACAAGAGAGATACGGATGGACATCTGGCAATACAGCTGGCACCGGATGCCAAGGTCGGTAGACTATCTGTGTACGGGGGACACGTGGTTGGACTGACAGCTGGCAGATCAGAGACTTTATCCTCCAGAGCGCTGAGCGAGAAGGTATAGATCTGGAACAGTAGGAGTCTTCTCGGGTCACTGAACCACGTGAGGGTCTCTCGTGACGATGCCAGCGGGTGGATCAGTTCAGCGCCATGGAAATGCATTGGAGAAGGCGCCATATCAATGCTGTCAGAACCTGCTTCGCCCCAGGCATATCAAAAGATGCAGGGATGCACAGCGAGCCACGCTCACCGCCCGACCTTCTCCTCGACCAGCTCCCGATACATGTTCTTCAAATCAGCAACATCGTTCATCAACTCCTCGACTCTCTCGCTCTTTTCGCCCAGCATCTCCAGCGTAGTCTCATACCGCTGCTCCATCTCCCTGATCCTCTTCTCCGCCTCCCGCGCCTTGACGTCCGCGGCCCTCTTCACCTCGACCTCCCGCATCAGCGCCACGACCTCCTCGCGAGCGCCATCCCGCTGCGCAGCCAGCCGCGCCATCTCCTCCTTCGTGGCCGCTTTCTCGGACTCGAGCCGGCGTACCGCGGCGCTCATGCGCTCGACGAGCTGGACGGACGGTCCTGCGCCGACGGTGCTGACGGAGAGGATGTCGTTCACTGTGAGATGCGGCGATGAGCCCGTGTCGAGCTGCTCATCGTGGTCGTATGCCTGGATCGAGGGCGGCGTTTGCGAGTAGCCACCGCCGTTGAGCTGCGAGAGCGAGGGCGTCGAATCCTGTCTGCGCGGCGTGCCTGCATCGGGCGTCCGCAGAGGCTGCGTGGAAAGCCGGCGGCTGCTGCTAGGAGGGCGGTCGTGCTCGAGTGGGAGGAGGGGGGAATCGGTGGATGCGGTGCGGTTCATGGTCCTGCGGGCATGCAGGCCGAGGAGGTCGGGGGTTGAGTGTTTCCTCAGGCTGCTGGTTGCTGTTGGGCTCTCTGCGCCTAGGAATCGAGCGTCGGCTAAAGTGGGCGGATGGCTGCTGTGGCTGCTGCTGGCGTGCTCGGCGCGCCATTTGACCTTCTCTTCTGCTATCCGTTGCTGAAGCTCCGTATCCCACATCTTGCGATCGCGCTCGAATTGCTGCCGTGCGTCTTCGAGAGCGCCTTCAGCCTGTCGCAGCCTCGTCTGGAGTTTCCGGATCGCGTCCCTCTGCTCCTGGACGTCTTGCTCGAACGTCTTGGCGCGGTCGTTGACGCTGTCAAGCTCCTGTTCAAGGCGACGCGATTTTGCATTAACATCTCGTGCTTTGCGGCGGACGTCTGCCTCGCGCTTGGCTGCATCGTCGCGCTCCTTCTCCAGCGCAGCAACGCGTGCAGTTAGCGTGCCCTCGATCCCCTGCCAATTTTCGGATGCGAGGGCGTACTGAGTCTGCAACGTCTCGATTTGGCGGAGGAGCTTAGTCTGCGTCGAGTTCGTTGGGTCGGATGTCGCTTCTTCTGTCCTCGCTCGTAGGAGTTCGAGCTTTGCTTCGAGATTCTGGTCTGATCAGTATGCCATGTAACGAAGGTTGCCAACCGGAGTTATTAGTGGAAATAGCTTACAGCAACTTCGCCTCTCAGCTCCATCTCCTTTGCGCTTGCATTCTCTGCCTGTTTGTTTGTCTCCGCTTTGGCCTCTCTCACCTCCGCTCTTGCCCTGTCTTCTACAATCTTCTTCTCGATCCGCAGATCCTCAATCTCATCTCTCAACTCCCGACCGGCCTTCATCTCAGCCTCCAGCGCGCCGACAGGTGCGCTCTTCTCCGCTTGTTCGGCCCTCGCTTCTGCCTCTTCCAAGCGTCGCCTCAACTCCTCAATTGTCCTCACCGCACCCTCTCGCTCGACCTTCAGGGCATCGACCTCACGCTCAATCCGCGCAAGCGCTCTCATCCCCTCACTCGCCGCCTTTTCCGCACCTTCCGCCCGCTTAGCCCACTCCCTTGCCTCCTCGCGCTCGCTCTCCGCCTTCGCTAACCGCTGCCTCAACGCCGTACTCGCCTTCTCTTCTTCTACACGACTGGCCCGCAGTTTCTTGATCGTGCTCAGCTGCGCCAGCTCCCGCTTGCTAAGGGCCTGGCCCTCGTCGAGCAACTCCGCGATCTGCGCGTCCTTTTCTGCTATTCTACGGTCTAAACTCCCGGTTGGAAGGGTGGAGGCGGTGGTGGATGCGGTCTCGGCGGCTTGCCGGGCGAGATAGGAGAGCTTAGCTTGGAGGGCGTCGGTGCGCTCGAGGTGGGCATGCAGCTCGGTGCGGTGGTCTTCGCGTAGGCGGGCGATTTCGTCAGCGTGGGGGGAGAGGGGTGAGGGTGAAGCTCCTGGAGGCTCGGTGGGGGATAGAACGGCGGGTGTGGGGGCGTCTGGTGAGGGGCGGGATGATGTGGTGGACTCAAAGGAGGGACGGGGAGACGGCTTGTCTTGGATGCCGAGAAGGCTAGAGACAGAGGTGGGCTGGGAGGGGGGTAGCGCGGTGACGAGCGTTGATGGTGCCGATGGCTCTTGCCCTGCATTTTCCAATATTTTCTCTTCATCTTGTGATGCTTCTGCACCTGGTCGTGTTGGAGCGGGCTCGGAAACAGTGTCCGATGTCTTGGAACCTAAGCTCGATGGTGCAATATCGGCGTCTAGTGATGGACTGGCTGTCCGCGACGGTTCTGTAGTCGGCGGTCGACTGCCAGGTCTCGACGTTTCACCGCCCTTGACCACGGCCTTTGCCAATCTATCTTGAAGCCGGCCGTTTGGTCTGCTTCGTGAGGAAGTTCGCGATACTCCTTGAATCCTAGGTCAATCAACGACGTCGGCCACGCCCATGGTATCAGGCATACCTTGCTCAGACTGCACCCCCTTCGCCTGCTGTGCCGCTTCTTGTCTAGCCTTCTCGGCAGCCCTACTCCGCGCGGAAGCCTGATCATCTTCCGCTAATATGGTATCCAGCTTTGATTCGATGCCGGCCACGGCGCCAGAGAGAAGAGAGCCCCATCGCGAGGTTTGTTTGGGTTTGGAAGCTTGGGCGCTCATCCTACGGGGTCTACTACAGATCCGGGATCAGGCAGGAGATTGCGGTGCTGTTCTTCGGCGTTTGGGGGATTTCATTGCTCGGTAATGCCGTTGGTGGAGGGTCGCGCGGAACGAGACTGTCTCGCCGCAAGCTGCTTGGCCCTTTCAACGTCAAGTCTGCCGCCGCGGCGGGAAGAAGTATGGCAGATGTCAGTCTCTGGGGATGGTTGCTCATAGCACGAAGGGGCACCTTGGGCACAGCGACGGGAGGTGACGCCGCAGGGCTGATCTCCCGCAGCCGTTGCGTGTCACACTCTGGAAACGCCGATCCTCCGGCTTCCACAGATCTGCCTCCACGGTAGAGTAAAGTCATTCTGTTCTTGAATGGAGCCATTCCACCCTGCCCATCCTCCCTAACCAGCCCAGACTGCTTAGGCAGCAGGTAAGCACTGCTTCAACAGAGATGCCCTGACAGTTCGACCGTGAGAAACCCATCTGCAACCCACTCTATACCGCGATCCTGGGGAGAAGCCGGCCACCGACGGCAGCAACAATAAGTCAGAGAGCTAAGGTGCCCAAGCAAGTCCCACTGAGGGTAGCGGGCATAGGTTTGGTGCCGTTGGAAGGCGTTGTGTAGCACTATGAGACTGTTGTATTTGGTTGAAATGTTAAGAGAGGAAGATTCCTGACCAGGTAGAATCCCGTGGTATGCTGCACCAGCAGATTGAGCCGCATCATCTGCATACTAGAATACTCGTCCGATGCTGAAGTAAACAAGTATCAAGGCTTCGTTCTCATACTGTAGGAACTCGCATCCAAATCTCCCGAGGATGCTGGCATGGCGGGGCAGTTTTCACCGCGGGGCATCCTCTCCACCGGACAATTTGTCCTGGGACCAGAAGAGTCACCAGCAGCAAAAATATAAGTTTAGTTATCCTTGATCCTCAGTCACAGGCAGAGCCATTCTCATCTCTCCAATTGCATTGTCCTTGCTGCGCTTTCGTAGTTCGCTTTCTTCCTTCGCCTTCAACATGAGCAAACCGAAAGTCCTTTTGTTGGGTGAAATCGAGCAGTAAGTAGCGCTACATTACCTCCGTACGTATCTGTTTAATCGTGACCTTTCTGCTTTCCGTGTTGTTTCCAATTAGTTCATACATTGCCAGCCCAAGATAAATTTGATCCCATTTCAAAACGTAGCCAATGTGCCGATGATTCAACTATCCCTTCATCCGCTCTTCATCACAAATCTGACATCCACCAGCGCTCACGAAGCATGGGATGCCCTATCCTCCCTAGCAGAGCTCATTACGCCATCCTCCCGCAACCGCTCTGAGTTCCTCGAAGAATGCAAAAGCGGGAAGCTCGACGGCGTCCTCGTGGCCTACCGGACGTTCGCTTCCGTCTCAATCACCGGCATGGTCGACGAGGAACTTGTCCAAGCGTTGCCAGAAAGCCTGAAGTTTATCTGTAATTGCGGGGCCGGCTACGACCAAGTCGACGTGCACGCCTGCACCGCCCGCGGGATCTGTGTGTCGAATGTGCCGACGGCTGTCGATGACGCGACGGCGGATGTGAATATGTTTCTTATCCTTGGAGCTCTACGCGGCTTTAACACCTCAATGATTGCGCTGAGGGAAGGCAAGTGGAGGGGCCACCCTCCGCCGCCTCTGGGACATGATCCCAAAGGAAAGGTGTTGGGAATTCTGGGAATGGGCGGCATAGGGAGGAACCTGAAGAAGAAGGCGGAGGCGTTTGGGATGAGGGTCATCTACCATAACCGAAGTAAACTCAGCGAAGAGTTGGCCGGGGGCGCCGATTATGTTTCATTTGATGAACTCCTCGGCACGAGCGATGTCATTAGCCTGAATCTACCGCTAAATGTAAAGTGTTTACCGGTTTTCGCCGCAGAAAGAAGCTAACATTGAGCAGAAGCACACTCGCCATATAATCTCGACGAGGGAGTTCGAGAAGATGAAGAAGGGGGTTGTGATAGTGAATACCGCACGGGGCGCCGTCATTGACGAGGATGCTCTTGTGAGGGCGCTGGACAGCGGGCTCGTATGGTCTTGCGGTCTCGATGTTTACGAAGAGGAGCCAGAAGTGCATCCGGGCCTGGTTGCGAATCCTCACGTCATGCTCGTGCCGCACATGGGGACGTGGACAGTTGAGGTAGGTCTACGTGCTCTACATACCCTCCATCTTAATCTATTGGTGCGCGGTCAGGCACTGACATCAGACTAGACGCAAACGGCGATGGAAGAATGGAACATTGGGAATGTGAGGGCCGTATTAGAAAAGGGAGAGCTGAACAACGTCGTGCCTGAGCAGGCGGATATGTGAGCGTTCGGAACTTCATCAGTCGTCGTTTCGTTTTAGACAGGAGGAGCGTATAGACTTAGCAAGAAGAAAGACGCCTCGGTAGAGATGCGTTTCGACGCCGCGTATATTGGGATGATTCACGAGAAAGAGATCTAGAGAAACAGGCGTCGATTAACGCCCGATACTGAAAGGCAAGGACGTGCACTTTCTCTGTTGCTGTTCAGAACATCATATACTGGCATTGCAGTGAGCCCTGGCGCCAGGCATCCGAATATGTGGGCACAGCTCGAGTGGACGTCGTTCCGTCGCCTGCTTGGAGACTCTGTGCAACGAGACACATGCTGCTTAGCCGTCCTGTCCGCAACGACTTGACGCGTCTTTCGTGAAAAATCTCCTACTATCAGGAACCATCTGAAAGTCGCGGGTAAGCTGCAAAGACCAGGAGTTGCCAGGCAAGATTCACTCCAACTCATCATGCAACCCAATATCGAGAATTGGCATAGATGCAAACAGTGTGAGCAAGGGTTTATCGGGGTACAAGGCAGAGAGGATGCAAGCGGCGGCGTATACACAATCTCAAATGTATCCTTTGCCAAATCTCGCAGTGCTGTACCTTACACATATCCCTCTTGCTGCTACTTTTACGCCGGAATGGATTACGGTCGTACCCAGCACGTGTTGTCTAGCATCCACGGAAACGGGTTTTGCCGTAAGCAGAGTCACAATGTCGATTGGAGGTGAAGATGTTGGATTGGCTAGTGGAAATCTCACGCTGTAGTCACAGCGAAACAACCTTTCAAGATGTACAAGTTTGTGCTCTCATCCGGAAGGTAAATAGTAGAGGTGGCGTGGTGAAAGAGATAGAGACAGCGACCGAGTGGAAGACTTTGCCAAAGGCGGTATAGTCGGTAACCTCGAATCAAAATTCTTCAGCCGCTCGAGACCTCGAGATGCATCTCACCTCCTCTCCGCCACATCAACAACCTCATCCGCCTGCAGCGTTTGCGTTGTCTTGCGTCGCAAGCAGGTCAGCATCAACGATACTGTTGCTTGATCGCTTCGGTAGTCGAGCTTCCCCTAACTTACACCTCGCTTCCTCAAGCGAGCGGGAGACTAACACGTAAAGGTACGTGCGAAACACCATCTACTAGCCCATCAGAGTTGTATGCATACAGGCCAAGAGACGTGGACCCTCTGCCCTTCCCTTCCCTTCCCTTCCTTCACTGCGAGCAACCGACAAGACGGCTCGGGATACAGCCGCCAGCTACATCTTTGCTGCGATGCAGTTCGGCAGCGATCGGGTACTTCAGGTGCCAACATTCGAAAGTGGCCGACGGGACTCCCATCGTGTCACAGCCACAGTCCTGAACCCGGGCTAGTTGTTGCTTTCCTTCCAGGTTAGGCTGGCGTTGAGCCTCTACCCCCAATAGCAGTTCTCCTTAGGCATGTCACGCATGCAGTATGCACGATGCGCCGGCCAGCTTTCCATGCGCTCTCTGGCCATTTCTGTCCCCGCAAGCCGCGGGGAGGCAGCCAGCAATGCTGCTGCGTTGCGTCTATTCACTGCGCACTGGCGCCGAGGCAGACCTCGCTGACCTTGCTCGCTGTTGTAGAGAGTCTTACCCATGCCGCAAGCTCCCGTCGACACTCTCGACAACCGTGCCTAGCCCCTCTTCGACCCCCCTGACGGAGGCTGGAAGCCCCTGGCCTGGCGGTTGCAGCGCCTGACGTGGGCCTGGTCACGTTTTCCTCGCCCCCAACGTGCGGGCGCTCTCTTTCGAGTTCCATCTCGCCTACGCGGACCGCTGTTGGCGTCGAGCTCTCCCCGGACTCGGCTGTTCAAGTAGGTATGTTTCATGCGACCCTACCCAGCTCTGGCGCGCTTCATTACCATTTTACCATGTCAACACGCAACACGAGGCGCTTTGCAGAGTGACATGGAGCGCGCCAGTGTCGGGTTGAATAAGGCTGACCTTCCGAGATAGGTCCGGGCGTTGCAAGCCAGGAAGCGCATCTGTCAAAGATCGAAGAACCTGCGTCGCAAAGACCCGAAACCACCATGGCCGAGCAGAACGGTGCACAAGCGCGCCAGCAGCATCCACCATATCATTCTCCACATTCCTATCCATCGCCTTCAACGCAGCCGACGTACACCTACCCTCCGCCGCAAGGGCCGCCGACCGCTGAGCCATATCGCGCATCGCCAACAGCCTCGAGCATACCACTGCAGTCGCTGAATCTTCCTCCCATACGCCAAACTGACGGACAGCCACAGCCGCAGCCGCAAGCGCAGCAGCCGTCGCAGCCGTCGCAGCAGCCGATGGGTTCACCTTTGCCCCCGCCTCCAGCCCCGATAAACGCCTACTATGCGCATTCCATGCCGCCTCCAGGCCAGCCGATGCACATCACATCTCAACCACACAGCTCGATGATGCGGTATCAGCTACCGGCGCAAGGACCGGATCAGAGGATAATGTCGGGAGGGCGGCACAAGAAGGAGATCAAGCGGCGGACGAAAACTGGGTGTTTGACGTGTCGGAAGCGGCGCATAAAGGTAAGCGCGTTGTGCGAGTGTCGAAGAGGATCTGGTTTCTTCTGGTTTCGATGTTTGTAGATGATGCAGGGACAGAAGGCGCGGAATCGCTTGTTCCCCACGGTCGCTTATATTAGCGAGAGCGCTTCAACTTCAACACTAGCGATACACCGTTCCGTGCTGACCTCAGCTTTCTTCACCAGTGCGACGAGGCCCATCCAACGTGTCGAAACTGCCAGAAGAGCAAGCGTGAGTGCTTGGGTTACGATCCGATCTTCAAGCAGCAGCCTGGCCCTCCGCAAATACAGCCTGCACCAAGCGCTGCACCCCTCTCGGCCTCGACACCCGCAATCTCTGCCCCTCCACAGGCTGCATATTCGAACGTCCCGCAGGGGTACGCACCAGCTGCAAGCGCAGGCTACGCGCCAGGCTTGGGTGCGCCCGTCTATCCTCCAGCTCCAGCAGCGGATCCATCGTACGAGATCGGCCCCGCCATCGATCCAGCGCTTGCTGCAGCAGGACCTGCCGCCATAGCAATCCCACCGATCTCCTACACAAACCAACAGGACATGAGCGCACCTATCAAGAGCGAAGCTCCGCACCCTGCCGGCCAGCCGGTCCCGATCGAAGATCTATTCGTCATCGGCGGCCATGCTCCTGCTCCGATACCACCCAACAACGGACCAGTAGCTTCGTCAGTCATTGAGGAGATCAGAGTTCTATACACCAGGGACTATGCTCCAGGGTTGGACAGATGGCTCGAAACGAGCTGGTACTCGACGAAAGGGTTCTCTCGACTGATGGCTGATGCGCGGGTCCTCGAGATGTTCGCCCACCTGCTGGAGCAGTTTCGCGCCGTTCAGAACGACTATGAGGGATTGAGGCGTCTCCCAAGTCTCGAGGCGAGGCTTGTGTGGAACTTGTTCTGCTTATGTCGTCCTCCAGCAGCCACGATGAACGGTGCAAACGGCGCGACTGCTGGTGGAGTTGATCTGCAAACACACGAGGTCACGAAGCGGCTAGAAGTCTTTGAATATCTTGTGACGAATCGAACGGTGGAGACGAACCCTGCCGAGCAAGTCGCCTACCCCGTACGACTTGAGTATTGGAAGGATCTGGAAGTGAAGTTCTGGAAAAACCTGGGTACGGTGGTCTCGAGGCGTCCACAAGATCCGGATGGCATCCGAGCCATCCAGCACTCGCTCGGTGAGTGCCGTAACCTACTCGGTCAGCTCGAAAACCGCGATGTCATCTATTCCATGGCCATTGCTCGCCATATCGGTCCTCGCATCCCGGATTTCCCTAATAACTTGCATCACGTGTACAACAACGATGATGCTGACGAGAGGACGAAGTTGTTCATTGCGAAGAGGTTCATCGAAGATGAGGCGCAGGGCAAAGGAACCACACAGGTTATCCAAAGGCTGTGCGACATGGCTATCAAGTCATGGCAGGCGCTGCGATAGTCACATTCAGCTTTGGTGTTTTTGTCTCTGCGGCATTTAGCGTTGGCGGGTCGTTGCTTTTCCGGCTCATTTCGGCTACTACAAGTGCTTGTACTTGCAGATTCGCAGCTGAGTTTTGGGACATGTCCTACAGGAGGTCGTCGTGCCGCATTTCGAGTCTTGGCTGGGTAGGCTGTTGTTGGCATCTTGCGAAGCAAGCTGGACCACTACCGGCCTTTTGCTCACCTTTGCGCTTGTCCGAGCATTGCACGGACTTTGTGCCGTTCTTTTAGCGTCGAACCTATCTGTATACCATTGCTTAGAAGAAGCCGGCCAAGGAGGTTAAAGTGGAAATAAACCGTTGACGAGTCAGCGAAGGACGTTCAGTACAGTATTTCCATCAGACCCCAGCTCAGTATTCCGTGAAGCAGTAACCTGACAGGCGGACAGAAGACTTGGATGAAGTTTAATGCATTTTGCGATGACTGCTATGTCCCAACATATGAAACCAATGAAAGGAAAGCAAAGCAAGAATCTCAGTCTTACAGCCCAGACGCTCAGCTCAAACGCTCAACTGACCCTCTGCAGCGTGGTGCATGAGGCTTTACGAGGTTTCTACTGCTTCACTGACTCATCTGCTTCCTGCGTCCAGATACAAAGGTAGAACTGCACGAAAATGAACCGGCTAAACCATCGGACTCGATTATGACAAGACAGACAGATGATCGGAACCTCGCAGTCATAGCGCATTTTCATACCCTTCTGCCGGTAAAAGTGTAGGTAGTGGAGTTGTGCTGTGTTATGCGCCGCGATCTGACGCCCGTGTCTTCGCGTCGAACCTCGGACCCTGGGCACGTCCAAGACGTCACTGCGCTCAGCAAAAGCTGCATCTGCCAGCAGACAAACGCATGAGCCCTCCAGCTCTCGCCCACTTCTTGAGAGCGCAGTAACCCTCGTATCTTCTACACCATGCTGCCGCATCCATTGCGCGAGATTTGAACGCAAGCACGGCAATGTCAGATGGCGGCTCTAAATCCCGCCAGTCGTCCGCCTGTAAGCCGTACCTGCAGAGAGCTAATCGATTGAACATTCCACAACGCAGCTGTGGACTGTCCGCTTCAACATACTGACATCGACCGCTCTAATAGCCTTCCACTTCGTCGCCGGTCTCGGCAGTGGCATTATAAGTGCCGTCCTCCTCCAGCCCGCCGACCTCCTCAAAACCCGCGTACAGCAGTCGCACTCCACGACCCTCTGGTCAACAATCCGGACCATCGCCTCCGGACCGCAGCCCATCCGCAGCTTCTGGCGCGGCACGGCGCCCTCGACCCTGCGCACCGGCCTCGGCAGCGGCCTCTACTTCTACACACTCAACGCGCTACGCCAACGCGTCGCCCGCAGCAATGTCCTGGCTCACAGCAGCAGCAGCAGCAGCAGCAGCAGCGGGAGCGGGAGCGGGAGCGCAGGCGCCCACTCCTCCAGCCTCCCCAAGCTAAGCAACACCGCGAACCTCATAACCGGGTCGTTCGCCCGGGCGAGCGCAGGCTTCCTCATGATGCCCATCACGGTCATCAAGGTCCGCTATGAGAGCACGTTCTACAACTACACTTCCATCTGGGGCGCCGGGAAAGACATCCTCCGCACCAACGGCCTGCGCGGCTTCTTCGCCGGGTTCGGCGCCACAGCCGTCAGGGACGCGCCCTATGCGGGGCTCTACGTGCTGTTCTACGAGCAGGCGAAGAAGCGGCTGAGCGCGCTCAGCACGGTTGTCGGAAAGACGCAGAACGAAGGCTCGAGAGCGCTCAGCAGCGGGTCCTCGGCCGGCATCAATTTCGCGTCCGGGGTGCTGGCTGCGGGGTTTGGAACCGCGATCACAAATCCGTTCGATGCGATTAAGACGAGGCTGCAGCTTATGCCGGAGAAGTATAAGAACATGGTGCAGGCTTCGAAGCTCATGCTCAGGGAAGAGGGACTGAGGTGCTTGTTTGATGGGCTGGGCATCAGGATGGCGAGGAAGGCGGTTAGTTCTGCGTTGGCGTGGACGGTGTATGAGGAGATTATCAGACGGGCGGAGGTGAGGTGGAGAGAAGGTGCTGCGATGTAAGGGCTTGGTCTGCTACCCAGGTGTACAGGCGGTGTTTCTGGAGTCGTGGATACTGGGCAAGGACAAAACTCCGGCGTGGACAACACTACTCCATCTTAGATTAAGCACAGACCATTGAAACATACGCAATCATTCTTGTTGCCCATCCAATGAAACAGAGTTGGCTTCGAGAGCTTGTGGTACCGAAGCGTGAGGCGCGGAAGCTATTATAACTGAGCGGAAATGCTACAGATACTCGCTATATGGGATTATGCGGAGCGGCATCACTACGGCATAGTAAAAGTAGCGACAGCCGCAAAACAACGGAAAACATACCAGTTTTGTAAGTAATGGTGAAGAGATACCCCCTACTTCGGAGTCTCAGGAAAACAGCGTTGCAATGCCGAACCTCTTCGGCGAGCTACGTCTTCGTCGCCCATTCGGAGACGGTGTGGCCTTTCGGCGCACCCAGGCGTACTCCGGCTTATTCGGATTCCGTTGCTCGATGAGGAGTTGACTCGTCCCGCGATGCCGCAGACTCTTTGTGTGTTCGAAGAGAAGATCGGTATCTCGCCGATCCAGTTCGCGAAGAATGATGATATAATGACTGTCGTCCTGTTCAAGTTTTAGCATTTTAATCTCAGTCGGTCGCTGCTTGCACTTACCCTGTCATATTCCCACGGCAGGCCGTAGTAAGTCAATGTGTCGATGGAGAGGTGGTCTCTGTGGACTTTGATATATGTCGGCTGTCTTGCCAGCTGGAGAGGGTTTGCTGGTGATTGGCCTTGCTGGAGCTCCCTCGTCTTCTTGGGATCTAGATACAGTCAGCTTTCTGAACCATGGAGCCGCCCGTGAGATAGAAAAAGTGTTGACTCACCAATCATAGCCTGAATCTGATTCTCGACGAAACCGAACTGCGCCAAGCGGTCGTGCATCTCTCTGGCCATCTCCTGCTCCTTCGCCTTCTTCTTCGCTGCTTCTTCGTCCGCTTTCTCTTTCTGCTTCCGAAGAAACTCTCTGTATTCCGCCTCCTCCTTCGCTTTGTTTTCCTCCGCTCGCTTCTTGAGCTTCGCGATAAGAGCGTCCTCCATTTCCTTCTGCTTCTTGGCGTCATCTACTTTCTTCTTCTCATATTCATCGATGATCCGTTGTCGCTCTTCTTTCGCTTCTTTTTCCTCCTTTGCCCTCTTCTTCTCGTACTCATCAATCGCCCGCTGTTTGGCATCCTTGGCATCATTCTCTGCCTTTTGGAGCTTGATAGTGTTTTCAAGAAGGATCTGCTTCTTGAGATTCTCACCGTCCTCCTCTGCCTGCCGGAGCTTTGCAGTGTTCTCGAGGATGATTCGCTTCTTGAGGTCGTCGGCGTCTCTCGCCGCCTGTTCCCGCTTCCGAGCGTCCTGCTCTTGCTTGAGCTCGAACTCCCTCTTTAGCTTCTCCTTCTCAGCCTTGAGCAGCGCCTCCTCCTCTTCACGCTCTTGCTGCTGCTTGAGCATCTTCAGCTCCATTTCCTTCTTCACTTTCTCAGCTTCGGCCTTCAACCGCTCACGCTCCGCGTCTTGTTCCTGCTTCTCCCTCATGAATTTCACTCTCAGTTTCTCCTTGTATCTCTCCTCGTCAGCCCTAATGCGCGCCTCTTCGGCGTCGCGCTCGGCCTTATCCTTCATATACTGAAGCTCTACCCTTCGCCTTATCAGCTCCTCTTCCTGTTCCCTCTGCCAGCGCGCTTCAGCATCTTTTGCCCTCTGTTGCGCAAGCTCCAGCTGCATATCGTATCGCGGCGACGGTGCCCTCCACTGCCCCTCGTGGTGATGGTGATAGGCCGCATCGGACCGCCCTCTCGAGCGCGAGCGCGCAAGCGCCCGTCTTGTCAGCTCCAGCTCATCTATAAGCTCCTCGCCAGCTATGCGCACCGGACGGCCGCGAGGACTTGGTGCGGGGCTAACTTGCTCCATGCGCGGACCTTCTTGGTGCTGGTCCATATAATTGTGGACATGTATATTGGGCACAGGCGTTCCGCCTGTGGATCGCGCGCGGGTCCGACCACCGGCAGCGTAATGGCCGCCTGGAGAGAGGTAGTTCTCGCTGGGTCGTCGGTCGGCATAGTAGGCGGGACGCCGAGGTGGCCGAAAGTATGGCGGCTGAGTGTAGCGGACTCCCCGGGCAGGATCCAGGCCGGAGTACCACTCGTCTACTTCATAGTCATAAGACATGATAGCGGCAGCTCAGGATGGTAAGGAAGATCCAAACAGTTATAGACGATGGTATGGAAGTAGAGTAATCACTGATTGTGGACTAGAAGAGGCACAAAAAGCGGGAGGACAAGAGCTGACAGCCGCTGACACGGCGGGGCAATATTAGTCAACAGCAGGCAGAAAGGAAGCACAATGAGAGCGCACGGGAGGAAAGAGAAGCGTGATCACTGCAGCTGAGACGAGACAAGAGAGAGTCTTTGAAACCTGCGGCGTGACGCAGCTGACTGGGCGGTCAGCAGCGCAGAATACAGGCTGAAGCACGCTTTTATGTGCGGCAAAGGCAGCATTCGGGATCTCTGGTTTGAGATTAGCCATGCTTCAGCTGCGGCGGTCGTGCATACATAGTGCATGCATCAAAGAGGGCTGACAGGGTGGCCGGCAACAGTTGCGCCGGGCGTCTTTCCACCCCTCCCTCTCTGCTTTTTCGAGCTCGCCTGCGAGCCCATCATTTGCTCAGCCTCTCCCGCCTGCCCGCGAGAGTGTCACCATCAGCCCAGGTACCTGCTCTCTGGAGATGGGGGCCTCTGGGAATGCCTGTTACACGGCCTTGACCAGCGGCACGATCCGCACCTCGGAGGGGTTTCGCAATCTATTTCCGTCACCGAGCGCTAGGGAAATGAGGAAGGAGCCGGCCAGGGACGTGGGGGCTGAACGCACCACGAACGGCAGCGCTTGATTCCGGTCTCAAGGTGGACGCAATGTAGAAATTTACTCAAGTGTGTTGTTATGCATCTGTCCGAATCGATCGTGTCCAGGAAGTCAATCCGCGCCGTGGGATTGCGTAGCTGCATCTGTCCACCTTTCGCCTACCTAAGTGCATGTAAACATGTAAACCAGTTACTTTTTCCGCCCTGGCGGCTACAGACGCGTTCGCTCCTATTTTAGTATTTCCTAATCTTCATCACCACGGTTTCACCGTTTTAGTAGAGCATGCCGCTAGATAACTTGGGTCCGCAAGAGCTGCGTATGGAAGGGGCACATGGAGACGCTGTCGTAAAGTGCGACAAAGCCTGATGCTGATAGACATCGACAATCTGAGGCCGGTGCTAATACCGCTGCTTGTCTTCCAAGCCAGGTAAGGGCTCGCAAAAGTCCATCGCTGGAGGTAGGATAATTGTAGAAGAATCGACACCGTGATGGTCTTGGCCCAATCGGAACGCGGATGGCGGAACAATCGAGCCGTGATCCCCGGAAGATGCTGATCTGATGCCTTTCCGCCGCTCTATCGTCTGTCACCCTCATCATGTCCACTTGTGATCCATATCGTACTTCTTCCGGTCAGCAAATTGCTGGCCCGGCCGAAGCGTCTACACAGGCTGGCCAGAAACGGAAGCGGTTACCAAGAGCATCACTGGCGTGTGATTCGTGCCGCGTACGCAAGGCAAAAGTATTGTCTCCGTCACTCCTGCCACAGCTCAATTGGGCTGAAGCATTGTTCCATAGTGTGATCAGTCTGAGCCGTGCTCCAACTGTGTGCGTACGTATCGTCCGTCGTCAGTCTTACTTTGCTCCCTCGACACTTATATTCTCAATCAGGACACTCGCTAGAATGCACATACAGACCAGCAGAAGCCGCAAGGCGGGGCGTGCCAACTGGACCGCCGGCTTTGTCGACTCCTGCTAACGGACAACACCGGTTTGTACATCTTGTCTGAATTGTGGACGATCGACTGAAAATCCGTATCCAGCCCGGCACACCAGCAGAGACCTGCAAGTAAGCCTATACAGCAGAGCCGAGGTGCCTCGACCGCGCAGGCCGGCCGTACATCAACACTCGTGCAAATAGCGGCGCATCCAGGGCCGCATTTCCCGAATGCACCGGCTGGTGAGCAACCGGCTCATGCCTCAAGCGAGACGCCGACGCCATCAGCTACTCCTGATGTCGAGCGCCGAGGACGAACTCACTCAACCCATGACAGACAAGCCGACTGCCTGGCAGAACTGACTCCGGTCGTTTCGAATCAGTCCACAGAAGCAGGTCCTGATAGCTTTGGCGAGGTAAACACTCATACTCAAGGCACCGAATTTTATGGACCGACCGGCATCTTCTCTTTCCTCTTAAGGCTTCGCTCAAGAGCACGCTCATACAGCGTTCGAGCTAAAGAGCAGGCTCATCCGGAGCTTCTAAACACCAGGAATTTACAGAACCTATCCATTGTGAATTTCCTGCACAGCTCAGATTATCCTGTAACAACGGCGAATGATCACAATCGCCGTTCAACCGTTCCGGATGCTGCATCGTTCCCCTCCAGGCTCAACTCAAGTCGACTGATCAACGTAGATAGTCGATTGCCGCATACACCTCAAAAACAGACAGATTCCCGAAAAACAGGCCAAACTTTGAAGCCGTCCCATCAGCCTCACATTGCTTCACATGACACTGAGACTCGGTTTCACGGACCACTATTAACAGCTGCGGGCTTGAGCGGTGGGCATGTCACCGCATCCCATCGCTCATTATCTGATGCCGACATTGAGAGGGAGTGTGCCCGCCTGTATTTCCAAAATCTTCATCTTATTCATCCAATACTTGACCAGGCAAGCTTCATCTCGCACTGCGAGAGGGAGATCTGGGGCAGAACCGCATCTTCGGAGAACCCCAATCTGCATGGTCGTCCTGTCTTTCTCGCCCTCTTCAACGCGGTGCTAGCCCTCGGCGCAATAACGGCTGGTGAGGATGCGTTCTTCATGCAAGGCGCTCCCTCAGGGCACTCTCCTACGGCAGATATCCTGAGGAGAGATCCAAACGGGGATGCGCCGATTTATCCGCCGTTGAAACTTGCAAAACTCTTCTTTGAAAGAGCAAAGGAAAATCTCAGCGATCCTTTCGAGGCTTGTTCGTTTGAGAGCACCCAAACATTGTTTCTCATGGTTCGTTGGCATATGCCGAACTCTCACCTCAATCCATAGCTGAATATTGATTTGAACAGGCCGTCTTCTGCCAGAATGCACTAAAGCCGCACAGCTGCTACATGTATAGTGGCATGGCTGCAAGGACTGCACTTGCAATTGGAATTCCAAGTTGCGTCGATCACGGGTCTACTCAAGCGAGCAGTCTCTGGTGGTGAGCAATCTCGAGTGGTCGGGTGTTATGAATCGGTGCTGACAGTGGTTAGGGGACTGTATTCTCACGAAATGTACGTGCCTCATCATTCTCTCACGGAGGCTTTCTAAATGCCGCAGTGAAATGTGTGCTTCCGTGGGGCGCGAATCGGCCTTAAGGGAGCCGCATCACTACCAAGTTCCACTACCGCAAATCTTGGTAGGTTAATGCACTCCGGGTGCTGGACAGATGTGGCTAACAGGCCAGCCTCTTGAGAGTTCATGTCAAGCTCTCATCGGCTGTATGGTTGCTCTGGCGCAACTATTGAGGGAACTCTCGCATGAGGTCTACCAATCAAACAGCACCCTCACCTTAACGGAGAGGTCGGCCAGATCCCTTAGCCTTGACAAGCGTCTCATGGTCTGGAAGGATCAACTACCGCCCACCTTGAACCTGGAAAAGACGTCTCTAGTGGAGCCGGAATGGGTCTCAAAACAGAAGATTGTGCTCAGGCTTCGTCAGTTCTGGCTATCTTGACTCACCTGCATCTCTTTTGTTAACATTAGCAGGCTTCTTCAACGCCAGAATCCTATTCCACCGCCCGTTCCTCATTGCAGCAGCAACCGAAGAAAACCCCGAGCCATATTTGACTCATGTCCAGTTGTGCGTGGAAGTATCCAGAAAGACGATCGAATTGCTGTACGATGCGTACGTACATCGACCATATTTCCGTACATGGTGAACAGAGCTTTCCCACTCAACTATATGACGGCACCAATCACTGACTTCTGCGGCAAGGTGGTACAACGCCACGTATACCCTCTATGCTACTATGATCCTCCTCTACGTAGTGCTTTCTAACATACAACCGGGGCCTGAGGATGATCTTCTCCAGGATGTTGAGAAGAGTCTCGAAATTTTCAATGCCATGAATATGATCGTTGTGGCGCGGAGATGCGCCGAGATCACGACGGAGATATTGGAAATCACAAGAAAGCTTGTTCAAGAACGTCGCGAGAAAGAACGACCCCCACGACAACAGGAATCCACAGCTGGCGATATTACAGGAGATGTTCTGCCAACAGTATCCGATCCTACTGTGCATACGTTGCCTGGCTTTGGGTTTGACATAACGCATGAGAATCTGTTCGATATTACGCGAGAAGATCTTTTCGCCAGCCTTGTCGACTGTAATTTGATGGACGGGTTTACCGACTATGGGAGCGGCTTTGTGGATGGGCCAGATACGGATTCGGCGGCTGCGTCTCGAAACATTCCCGTTATCAACCAAGGTGAAGGTAACTTCCAAACCTATCGTATGGGCAATGACGGGGTACTGGGAGGCGCCATCTTAAGGCTTGACGAGACGGCACAGGACTCTTACCAAAGGCTCACTTGGTAGTAGTATTGACAATTGGATATTTAGTTATTGGTGCACTGGATTTTCGGTCATATGTCAATTTAAGTGACGATGCCGAGTAATCATGAGGAGGTTGGGAGTTGGACAGGGGAGTATTACCGACTGTTACGGCTGTCAGACCTGGGGTAAGCATTTCTGCCACCAGTCTTTACCCCGCATTATCCTTTGGATCTAGTCTAGCCTGCGCCGGGGCATGCGATGGCTGCCGAAACAGTGCTTTCATGATCTTCTCTCTGTGTTCTCCAATTGGTGCCTCCTTCCGCAACACAGCTTCCGATTGGTCACAGCCTCTTCCGCCCATGTTTTCCTTTCGTTGCTAAGGACAGGACATCCGTAAGGGTTCATTCAGCGTATATACGTGTATCAGGTCCTAGATAAAAGATGGTGTTCCGAGACTATGAGCTGGATAGGTCTCCAGTCGTCCAACTGTCTTTTATTCTCACGGTTCTCAACTTGCTCCTTCAATGGCCTACCACACTACTACCGCTGAGTCAGGTGATGAAATCGCCGCCGTCTTCCAAGCAGCCCCTGGGACTGAGATTCTCTATGATACCGGGACTGAACATGGTGCAACCTCCCAGCATCTACATACTCTACAACATGCGAGGAAAGGAGATTCGCATATCCTCTTGGTTCCTCAACCATCACTTACCAACCCAAACGATCCTCTTTGTTGGCCGGAGCTGAAGAAGTGGGTGACACTAGCAAACGGCGTGTGGTACTCGTTCAACGGAGCTGTCACAGGACCGATAATGGCTGCTGGTAAGCCGACTTCAAGATTCCGAAGATGAGCTGCAAAATGTTAAGCTGGCAATGATCCCAAACAGGGATGATACCACTCTCCGAGCATTTTGGTCAATCCCTCCAGAAGTTGACATATTCCAATGGCGCTACGCTGATCTGTCAAGGAGTTGCGACTACGGTGTGGATGTAGGTGTTCCTTCGGGTGTGGTGCTTGACACTAAGCTAACTTATCAGGCCTTTCGCAGTCAAATACGGCAGAAGACCTGTCTACCTTCTCTCCAACCTTCTCATGGGGGTTGCTTGTATCTGGCTCGGTGTTGCATCCACCAAGACGTATACGCCTTTTCTCATCGGAAGAGCTTTTCTTGGGATCTTCGAAGCTCCGATTGAGTCTATAGTTCCCAGTACAATCACCGACGTCTTCTTCCTCCATGATCGAGGTGAAAAGGTGTCCATCTACGGCTTGTCGGTCTTGGGAGGTAATGAGATCGGTCCGATGCTTTCGGCATTCATCATCCAGTCTCTGGGTATGAACTGGGCCTTCTACATAGTGGCCATGGTCATTGCGACAAACCTGCTCACCATGTTCTTCTTCATGCCGGAGACCAAGTTTACTGGTGCACGTCCACCGATCCTACCTGCCTCTTCTGAACAGAACCTGGAAAAGGCTGGATCAACAAAGCACATCGAGAGTCTGGAGATCTCCAAAGCCGCTGGCGTCACTGATGATCCGCAAGAGATGGTCAGACAGGGGAGCTACGTACAAAGTCTCGCCTTCTGGGGCCGCAATGATCCCGAAGTCAGCCTGATTAAGACCTTCCTGCGGCCGTTCGTTCTCCTTGCATACCCTACGGTTTTGTGGTCCTGCGTGATCTACGGACTCGCATTGGGTTGGAATGTGATCTTGGGATCAACCATTGCACAGCTTTTTGCCCCTCCGTAAGCCCGCGCTTCGTTTTGTAGATTTTTATGTTAACCGGTATCTAGTCCCTATCTCTTCAGCGAATCCGCTCAAGGCCTCATTTTCCTTTCTCCGTTCGTCGGATCCCTCGTCGGCACCTACCTATGCGGCCCATTTGCAGACTTCGTTGCAGACTGGTACACGAAGCGGAACCACGGTATCCGTGAGCCGGAGATGCGCCTGCCCACCTGTTTCATAGCGGCCGCGCTCACCTTCCTCGGCGCGCTGATGTCCGGCCTCTCATACCACTACAAAACACACTGGTCTGCCCCAGTCGTCGGCTTCGGCGTGTTGTCTACCGGAGGTCAGATGGGTGCCACCCTTGCTATGAGCTATGCATTGGATTGCCACAAAGAAGTAAGTGCCTCGAATCCCCGTTGAGATGTGTGTGCTGACCCGTGTGCGGCTTAGCTTTCCGTGGAGTTGATGGTTACAATCGCTTCGCTAAAATCGGTAATCGCTTGGATCTGGACTTGGGTAATCAATGACTGGGTGATCAAGGATGGAGCTCTGACTGTATTCATGGTGGTGGCAACGGTCAATGTTGTCGCTTACATGTCTACCTTTTACTTCTACTACAGGGGCAAAGCTATCCGCGTTTGGCTCCATCAGGCGGATTTTCTTGGGAGAGCTGGGGTTCGTTGATAGTTTGTCGTCGCGTACTCTTGTCGCAGTAGCAAGTCTAAGTGCTGTCGAGTTCCAAATTCTAAACAACCGCAAAATCATGCGAGAGTAGAGCAATCAACCTTCGGAAGTTGGCTCGTCAGGTATCTTTCTGTAGCAAGGAGTGTCTGGGAAGTAAGATTCTTGTGGTAGATGCGTTTCCTGATCTCCCGCGGACTGTGCCCAGTGCATACTCGTCCCAATGCCTCATCGCCTAGCTCAGGAATCGGTCCAGAACGGCGAGGGACATGACAAAACTAGGGAGTTCCAGGTCTGGTTCATGGAGACCCCCATGAAAGTCCCGCATACGTCACGCTTATTGGGGTATATGCTTAAATGATTGGCTATATGCGACGATGTCACCCGAGTGACGATAATGGCCGGACCCGAACGATCACGAACAGGTAGAGCGCTGCGCCGGCTATCAATTAGAGGCTTTGTCAAATCTGATAACAAAGTTAGATTGTGGGGCTGGGCAAAAGGCGGCGCAATACAATCTCTCGAAGCGTGTTGCAGCCACGAACGAAGGGGAACGGTCAGTCTAAAGATGTTTGTAAACATGACGAACTTCTTAAGATTTGGTAATTTGCGAGTCCGGTGATTTCTGTCATCCGCGTGGATGATACACGAATGCAACATCGGAGCTTTCAAAGGACTTGCAGCTTCCAGTATCCCACATATTTCGCCATCAATCCCAAGACTCAAGCCTCTACTACAACCCCAGATGCCGGCTCAACGCAACCTGCAGATCCTCAACTGAAACATCAGCTGTAAGTTCCAGTAGGATGTGCTGATCCGGCCTGACCAGCAACCCGCCTCCTGTGCTCAGATGCGCACCATCGTCGAAGAGGTCACGATGATCGTGGAACATGAAATCGAAATCCGTATCTGCAGCATAGAGACGGAGCTTGATGGCCCACTGCACCGTGGCCGCCTTAAGAGCATCGAACCGCGCAGCCCATTCCTCATGGGATCCCACAACAACGGTGAATCCGTCGAGTGCGCAAAGATCCAGAGACGAAAATCGACGGGCGTGCACCTCATCTGGCGAAAACTCCGTCACGTATGAGACGTCTAGAGGTTGAATTGGCGGGGCAGAGTTCTGATTGCGGAAGCTGATCCACGCGTGGGGAAGCCGAGCGCCTTGTTGGAACTTCGGCTTGTAATGTGAAGCATGCGAAGGAGTTTCTGTGCTGCCATACACACTGCCGATATGGAGCTCCAGCTTTGTGACGGTCATTAGCAGGGTGCTACACTCAAGTTGGAAAGAGCTACTCAGCGTACGTTGTCGAAGTGTTCCCTTTGCCCCTCTACTTGATCCCTTATCATGCTTTTTTTGGACGGGTCGCGTATAGACTTGAAGAGGTTCTTGCGTGCCTCTTCTACATCGGCAATCCCGGCTGCACCGAGCGTTTTCAGGAAGGAGAATATTTTCTTCCCGTTCTTGACGCTTTGCTTCGAGTTGATCTCTGCAACCTGTCTCCGTTCCGATCCGTATGACTGCAAGAGTGCTTTGCTCCCCCAGCCCTGGTGTACAGCGGCGATTTTGTAAGCAATGTTGTGAACGTCTGCGATACCGGAATTGAGGCCCAAGCCACCAGTTGGCGGAAATGAGTGGGCTGCGTCGCCCGCCCTACGGAGCGGTTAGCCATAGGCTTGCGAACAAACGATCTCAGCGGCTTACAGGAATACGTTGCCACTATGATATTTTTTCGCCACCTTACGACTGAGAATCCATGGTCTGTAACTAAGGACATCGAACAGCACCTCTCGTCCGATAGCAGCAGTGACTACTTTATGGCATAGGCCCTCGGTCCAGGTGTCGACTGGATGTTTATCCGACTGAGATGATATCAGTAACCGTTAGATCTAGACCCAGCTGGGGTGCGGACATCGAAGTTACTTATGAGGACCTGATTTCCGGACAAATCATAGCCGATGATAAACCCCGATGCCGCAGGATCCATAATCCAGTGCAACATGCCGACGCGATCCTGTACTACAGGACGAAGGTCGGCGTTAAAATGAATGGTCATCATAGTCTCATCTACGATAGACGTTAGCTTGCCCCAAGGGTCAAGGGCCGCCCGAAAAGACGGTTGCCGCTTCTCGGCTGGTGGTTTTGTCAAAAGATGTCCAGCGGTTTAGCTCTTTGATGCATCGATCATAGAAGGTGCTTTCGATTTGTGGACTATCCTCTTCACTTTCCACCTTCAAGACTAAGAGAGCTTTCAATGCAGCAACGAACGTTTCGGATGGCCCTTGGGTTTCACAACCGAGGAATGAACGTACAGGAATCCTCTCCTTCACTCTCGATACCCAGCTGTGATCTGACTTGGCTCCTTGCACCATCACAAGCAATGACATGTTCCGAGCGTATGCGGAACTGGTTCCTTGTAGCACGCTCCTCGACAGTCGTTATGACCTCGTTTTCGTTCTGCGAACCAAGTCAGCCAAAAGGATGGGCAGAGGTGTTCTTTTGGAGATATACATACTTGTGTACATGAGACGAACGCAACACCCTTCCGTATCTCCACTTGAGGATCGTTGGATAGTACATGGGCTACGAATTGCTCAAAGCTAGGTTGCGGGATGTTGTGAATCATCTAAAGCAGTGCTGGTCAGCAACACGAGTCGTTGCCGCGTTCTTTGATCCAGCTTATTCAATACTGCATCCACAATCAAACTGGATCCATGGTCTTATCGATGATAAAGCAGCTACACCGATATCATGCGATAGAGAGCAAAAGATGCTCAGCACTTTAGCTCTTTGATAGATCGTCGCCTTAGGCGTCTTTAATCCTGTGAACATGCTTAGGCTATCCACCTCTAGGACTCCGGGTAGCTTTCAATGCGGCGCCGAGCGCCTCAGACAGCCCTTGGCCGCATACTGAAGGATCATTCAAGGGGCTGATTTCGTCGGAGGTCGGCTTACCTCAGGCGTAGACTCGAGAACAGCGGGATCCATGCGCTCGTATGGAAGGATCCCAATACGCTCACCACTGAGGTTCGTCACGAAGTTGACCCAGAAGGCGTCCGCTCGCTTGGTGCCCAAGTTGCGTATCGCCTTGGTGTCGAGTCCAAATTGACGACATATCTCTAGGCTCCTTGGCGAGAGAGCGTGAGCTTTCGGGGCCCCTAATCTCTCTGGGTATTTTTCCACGAGTAGTGAGCGGACTGCAGGCGCATTAGTATTAACGTTGCTCGACGTTTGAGCGTGGTAATAATTTCACTCACCCCCAAGCTTGGAAAGCAGATGGGCGAGGAGGAGTCCGGTTGGTCCGCCGCCGACAACGAGCACCGGGACATCGATGGCAATGTTATCCTCGATACCGGAGGGAACATCTTTTCCATTTACCCCGTTTGGGTATGTTCCGTTGACGGCATCAGTGAGACCAGGCATGATGGGATCTAAAGTAAGTTCGTGCGGAGTGTTTGGCGGCTGTGCTCTTCACGGGCAGTTGGATAGAACAGGCCATCATCTAGGCGCTGCAGAGTTCATATACGTGTATGCGACACAACGGATGGGTGTGCCTTTTCCAAACACACCGCGGGAATTCTTGCCAGCAAAGGCTTTCCAACAGCTCGGCAGCCCAACCGGAAGGACACTGACGACGGAGCTGATCTCGCCGCATGTTTGCCAGTCAGGTCTACTGGGTTTTGCATGCCGTTTGTGCCGCGTTCGATGCCGGTGTAAGTTGAAGTCGTTGATTCCGGAATGAAAGAGGCGGATGGGATGTAACGCAATCCGCACTGATGGTTCCGATTGGACAGGCGGCACGTTCAGCTTCCATTGGAGATATTTGCCCACTCACCCTCGAGTCAACATCACCGCTTCCGCACGCTCGCACTCGATGATCGCCAGATACCTACCATGCCAGTCCGACAATGCCTCGGCCTGTTTCATCGCGGAATTCGTGTTCGTGAAAACTACCCCCAAGATGCTGACCAGTTAGGTGGCCGGGGACGTCAAAACCAATACACGATTCAAAGTCAATACTAAGCTTCTTGCCCTTCCAAGTCGCTTTCATGCCTGATAACAAACAGCTTTGGATGACGTGGCCACAGTAGCTGGGCATTGAGGCCGAATATGCTTTTAGTGCACCCCTTCGTAGAAGTACGCTGTAGGAAATGAATCCTAAAATTCTTGTCTCCATGATCTGAGCCGTCTATCCGCTTCCGATTGGCTGATAACAGGGTGCTCTGAATCTCCGACAGGACATCGGTGTCAATGCGAGGTGAGGGCGGATGAGGAAGCAAACATATATATCAAGCATGCTCTCTGTCCGTGCCGGAGTAGTATACAAGCTACCAATAATATGTAACTCGTAGTCCAGCATGTCTTCACCGGCACCCACTCCCAGCTTCGCCACTACGCCCGAGCCACTGCTCCTCAAAGATGTCAGACTTCTGCTTGAGCATGAGTATCTCCCTTTTGAAGCCGGCTACGCCATTAACGCGGATGGCATGCATCACATCGCCGCTTCAACGTACATGACGGGTTGCACCGGCCGCATGATAGACTGGTGGTTTGGGTGGATACATCATACCAAGCAGTACAAGCTGTGGCATCCCCGTGATCATGTCTTTTCAGACTGGGAAGGGCCCCGGGAGAATAATTCCACTTACATCGGCGGCCATCACCTCGTTCAAGAGTACATCGGTGGCCACCTTGGGAAGCTGAAGATCTCCTTCCTCGACCCAACTGAGTATTTCGGCGAAGGATGGAAGGATGCATTTGCGAAAGACGGTTACTCGACGGCTGTGTGTGGCAGAGTGGGAGACTGGAACCCCGATGATGGGAGCGTGGTATACATGGGGCACCTTATTCACCTCATTAAGGACGAGCCGGACGGATGCCGTATGCGGAGCAGATTCTGGCTAGGAGATGTGGACGGTGTGACGGACCCAAGGAAAAGAGCAGAGGCTGTGCCGTCGTTCTTTGTCAAGGGCTTGTGCAAACATGCCACGGAGGAAATGGCCATCCTAGCAACGATCTTGCCAGAACTGTATAGGAAGGATGCGCAGATTATTTGAGTAATAGATCTGGACACGTTTGACACCGGCTTTGGCAGCGTATCTCCTCAACTTGCACTCAAGTTTGCGCCGTCCGTGTTTACATTTGCTACTTATGAGCCAGACATTCGATTATTGTACAAGACATTACCATTTGTTATACTGATAGCACCCCAGTTGAACTAGCTCACACTGCTGAGTTTCATGAAACGGCTCCTTGAGGAACATCCCAGTGTGCGATGCTAGCTCAGAACCCGTAGCCGCAACAAAGCTGTGTTATGCGCTGAACAGATTAGGTGCCAGTCTGTGGGGCGTTGAGCCGTTGCCCCAGCTTCGTTCATGGGTGTTTCTACCACTTCGGCTGGGGCAACGGATTGCATCAAACGCACTGGACCAGGAAGAGCGGCTGTCCTGACCTACGGATCTCAAACTTCTCTTTGATGATCCTGGATGACACATCAGGTCGAAGCGTTCATCCTCCTCGTGATTGGAACAGTTGCTCCATGCTGGCTCTGCTGTTCTTGTACGTGGTCTCGAGATAATGCAGCTTCTTGTCCAAATTCGCCATCTCCGACTTCAGCTCTTGAGACTCTTTAGACAGCCTCTGCTTCACGTCTTCAGTGGGCGTGAGCACAAACCTGATGGCATCCTGTCAGACGGAAGGCTCGACTGAAAAATCGAGAACTCTGAGCTCACATCTTTCCGACGCCCTCATAGACGTGAGTATCCTTCGGCAGGGAGCTGACTTCGCTTGAGGTCAACTGGAGCATCCGACTCTCGCGGGTCTTCGCAGCCATCTGTGCCTTCACTATGCCGATCTGCTGTTGCGAGAATGCTGCCTTCTGCTCAATCTCCTGCAGAAGCTGATTGCGCCCCAAGTCACATCAGGAATGGTTCTCTGGAGGAAGACGGGTTCCACTGCTCACCTTCTGCAGTGCCTCCGGTGGGATCGACATGCTGCTCCTGGGGGCTGTGCTGTGGCCGTGATGCTTGGTCCTGTCTGTTCCTGTCTGTTCCTGTTTTTGACAAAGACGAGGGAAGGCTGACGGCCCGAAAGCGGCATGCATGTGATTTCACTCGCTACTTTCCGCAGGGGCCCGCGCTAAGAGTGACGCTGCTTCGACCTTGACACGCGGCTGGCGAGCTTCCGGCAAACAAGCCCGCTGTGCAAACTTTATACCCACTTATAAGGTATACAACAGCGGTTCCTGCCTCAACTCTCAAGGCTCGCAATACGGACGCGGTACCATGAAGGTGCCATACGGACAGTCAACTTCCTCAACATAGACCCGTAGCTTTCCGAGCTTCCATTATACTCCTCCGTGTACCTGTTTCACGCGTCAAGCTCTTGCATTCGCACCTGTACCAGTAATACTCTACACAAGAGTCTACAAACAGCATGCCGTCTTGGCTCCCGTCCATACCGTATCCGCCCTCTCAGGATGGATACTGGTCTCCAGTGACTTCCACCTTGAACTGGTGCGAAGAGGTACATTTCCTCTCTTGCCTCGTCAAAGCCTTCCCGCTGATTCGTTGACAGGACTACTATGCCACTGTGTACTCGGCAGAAATCGTTAACACGCTCACAAACCTTCTCTTTGTATACCTGGCTATCAAGGGCATTGCGAATTGCCTCAGGAACGGGCACGATGGAATATTCCTTGTTACATTCATCGGGTACCTCTTGGTGGGAGTTGGAAGCTTCCTCTTCCACTCTACGTTGAAGTGTAAGTCAGGGGTTTCAGTACCTGTACAGAGTCAAAGGAACCTGCTTTTGACGCTCGGCGACGGTGCTTAGACCCCATGCAGCTGGTAGACGAGCTGTCGATGATCTACACAACGTGCCTCATGTTCTACGCAACCTTCTCCTACGGCAAGACCAGGCAATACGCCTTCTTCCTCGGCCTTTTCCTCGTCTCGCTAGCCGCCTTCATTACTGGCTACTACCATTACCTCCAAGACCCAGTGTTCCACCAGAACATGTACGCGCTGCTCACCGCCATCGTCCTCTTCCGAGCCATGTACGTGATGGAGGTCAGCATCCGACCCTCGTTGAGGCATACGGGCAGGTCTGTAGCGATCGAAAAGATGGATGGGGCCGCTGGTGCTACAGAGAGGGTTGAGCAGGACAGAGAGGACCGCCGGGACGAGGATATCCTGCGACACATGTGGATCATGATCGCGTGTGGGCTGAGTATATTTCTCGGCGGCTTCGCCATCTGGACGCTGGACAACGAGTTCTGTCCGACTCTCCGGAGCTGGAGGAGGCAGATTGGCCTGCCTTGGGGGATATTGCTTGAGGGCCATGGCTGGTGGTAAGTCGCTTCAATCTCACATGCCCGGCAACCGCTAACACTGCCGCATAGGCATCTCATGACTGGGACAGGAGCATACTTCTACATTACATGGGGCATATGGCTCCGGCATTGTCTGAACAGGCGGCAGGACGAGTACGACCTCGTCTGGCCGCAGGTCATAGGAACATTGCCCATGATTGAAAGGCGACGGATAGACAGCAATGGGAGCCTGCAGAACGGGACGACGAAGAAGAAGTTGTGATGACATTCCTATCCGTTGGCATGTTTCTGGCGTTCGATACCCTCAAGAGACGGACAATCACTACATGGAACAGGCACTGGGCGGCCTGGCGGCAGGACTAGAACCCCATAGAGCAGGCATTATCACATTAATAGAAACGCGTCGCCAGGTGGCCGGTATGAGCGCTACCAGTGGCAGGTGAATCCAACGCGGCTGGTTTGACGAAATACGGAATTAGATTAGACAACAAGCATGGGAAAACCGTCCAGAAGATGTTACTCGACAATTCTTTTCTGGTGGCATAGGTACCTACCTAGGTAGAGTTCGTCTACAGGCAAGCATCTGGGGTGAGTGCCCCTGCGCCTGCCCCC